ATATCGCCGTCCCACTTTCGGTCACCACGGGCAACTTGGGACACACATGTGAGCATGGGAGCCGCCGGAAAACATGCGGCCCGCAACGAAAGTGAGGACTTTCTGTACAGTGCTTTTACGAGGCGTCATTTCCATCAGGTGCCGTGGACTCCGCTCCGTTGAAGACTCTGCTGTTGCATCGAATCGAATAATAATCAAGTCAATTTAGAGCGAGAGTGGTCACCTTCGTAGGTACACCAGCGGGTCTTAGTTCCACGTGCTTACTTTAAAATTCTTGAATGTGAGGGAACATCCCGCACTACGTAGATGAAAAAGTGAGAGGGGCCCTTTCGAGAAAGGAAGGTCGACGGCCTCGTTCATCTTATTGCGCATGTCTTCCCTGTTCACAACATGGCGGTGGCTGGAGATTGAGATGTGAGTGAGGCGTACTTTGTGAAGCACGGAACAGCTAGCTAGCTGGCTGTACGGTGTCTCCTCTGGGAATAACGAAGAATGGCAGGATTGCGGCCGGCCGCACAAGACTTTGCAACAAGATCCTGTCTGTGATTTTGACTTTGGTTGTGTGGCAGAAGCAGTGTGATACAGTGATACTGTACCGGGTTTGTTTAGATGCGCGATGGGATCTGGAGATAAGAAGCGGAAGTGGCCCCCTATTCTTAGCGAAGCTGAGATGGTGCCACTGCCACGAGGCTCATACGGGTTTCCCGTCGCAGGCATGGCAGGGCTCTTCAACAGGCCTCTTGTCCTTGTCCATATTATGATTGTCATATCGAGCCAGGGCAGCAACCGCAAGGCCAGCCATCAAACGCGACCAGCAGGACCCAGGAATCAATAGCGTAGCGTCCAATAACCGTCCACGACCCGCCTTCCCCTCCTGTTGTTGATGACGGGAAATTGACAAGCACAAGCACAGGCACAGGCACAGGCACTGTGCCCGAGCCACCCCTGGAGCATGCATGTCGGTTAGTCTGTGGCTGTTCTTGTTGTTGGGAAACCCTTTCTTTAGGTTCCCCTTCCCCTCTCTTTCCCCCCCAGTTCATATCCACATCCCGATCAAGATCCATCTCCCATGTGTTGTGCAGCCTGTCCTGTCCTGTTTTGTCCTGTCCTGTCCTGTCCTGTCCTGTCTGTGTAGTAGTGCAGTGTTGTGCTGGCCCGCTGGTCACATTCGCTTCTATCCGAGGCACCAAAAGGTACCGTGGGATCCTTACCCGTCTGATGTGTCTGCAGAGCGGTTCTGCCCGCACTGTGCATCTGCCCCTCAGCACGCGCTTTCTATTGTTCCAGATAGAAATACACTAGGATTTGACGTTCTTGATACGGCATTTCTGTCCGATGTCGTATTGACGCAGCTGGCTTTGGGGGACGTGGACGAGCAGGGATTGCTTCATGGTCCAATCTAGTTGCACTTGTGAGGACTCTTCAATCTCCAAAATCACACAGCTCTGATCCTCGCAAACTTGCCAGTAAGGTAGTCATACGCTCTTGGCAAGAATATCGTGAAGATTACGGTACCTGCAGCGCGAAGAGCATTGGACATCCCATGTGACCTGTACCTAGGTAGGATTGAACAAGCACCGCTCCTGGAACATTTTCGGAGACCATGTCAATCCCGCCCCAAGAATAAATTGTAGAACTAGGTTCATTGAATAGAATGCTCATCAAGTCAAGTTCTGACTCGTTCGAACTCGAAGGCATGAATGATGTCCAATATTTTTCCGTTTGTGCTACTCAGATAGGAATGGCATGCATAAATGATGCTAGCAAATCTAACAGCTGCCATCGGTCTTCCCAGTCAATAATGGATGGCTTGAAAACTTACCAGTGATGCCTGGACAACGTGGAAATGGAGACGGTGCCGCTTAGTTTAATTGTCCGCAGCCGCTTGTTCCTGGTCGATGGCGACGACGATATGCTCTGTGAATCGAGCAAAATTAAACGAACTATTGACAGGGCTATACATCGCACGTAGCCCTTTATGCTTTCCCAAGGCGACGATCGTGATGTTAATCTGTATTGATGGACTGTATAATCATTGCTGTGGTTGCAACAGCTCGTACCTACACTCCAGAGAAATGCGAAGAACTCGGCTATCGTGGATGGCTGCTGGCCCATGGGAGCGTTAGAGGCTCAAGCGCCACGGCCATCAGCGTGATCGTCCCGCTGCGAAACGCATTTGAAGTATTATTCCATCCAGGAATGTTGAAGTTTGCGATTTGCGATTCGCGGTTTGAAGTTCGGAATTTGGATCGCTCGCCAATTTTGACACGTACTCGCTTCTCCGTACGCACTCGTAAATTTCCCTGGGGACGCACAGGGCATTCAATGAATACAAGGCTCGGCTGTCGCGACATGACATGCAATAATCTTCCAGAAGGACAGCAGGCTTCAAGCTAGAAACGGCTTTTCAGCGCTCCGCATGTTCAAAGTTAAAATCCTCGGCTAGCTGGCTAGGTGACTAGGTGACTAGGTGACTAGGTGACTAGATGACTAGATGACTAAGGTAGGTCACTTCGGGACCTGTCAGGCTGTCAGTGGACCGCTGGCCTGGGCCGTCGTGTGGGCCGAAGCACGAGCGATGGCGTTCCTGAGCTCCCTAGAGCCGGGAGGCAGAGCTGGAACTTTGGTTTGGGTTTGGAACAGTCGTTAGTCGCTGCCGGTGCCAATGACGCGCCGTCGACTCCGCAGGCCGAGCAAATTGCAGGCCATCCCAGGGATGGCTCGCCCTGTCACCAGGCTTGGGTTGCTGCAGTAGTCAAGTAGTCCTGCAAGGCAAACTCAAAATTGTCTAGATCAGACGACTAACAACAATTCAAGCAAGTCATGGTGGTCCCGACTCCCGAGAAGGTCTCGGGCAATAGGCGCATTATTATTATTGTCACGAAGGGATGCGATCTGATCAGCAGCAACTCTTTCATGCGCTGCTGGAAGGTGGGGGAGCGTCGGAGCTGGGCGCTATTTTCAGCGTTGTCCGTTGATTGATTGATTGATTGATCAGCTGAAGCAGTATCCTAGGGAGGAATATCTGCTCGCTCCCAGCAACGGACGACGAGGGTCTCAAATTGGGAGGCGGGTCCTTGTCGTGCCCGTCAAGCGATGAAGCGTATCTTGCAGTTTTCCGCGCAGCGTTGCAGGTCAAGCACGACCAGGGAACATGGATGGGAATGAGAAGAGGTGCAGAGCTGAGATGAAAAGTCCAGGATAGTCGACGCTGTTTTGTCGCCTTCTGCCGTGGTTGCCAAGGACTGCTGAATTGGACGACAAGAAATCAGGGATGGATAGACTTAGACACGGTGACTGCAGGCACGATCGCTGGCTGCAGGCGTCCTAAACAGGTGCAAGGATTGCGGCGACTGACGTTGCATGCTATCATGGGCTCTGTGAAGTTGGGGAAATGGGAAGCCAAACCACGCACATGTACGTGCGTCTGTATCCCGATCCCTCAGTCTGGGTGGACAAGAGCAGTTCATCGCTCGAGGCGAGCTGCACACATGCATGCGCCCGTTTTGATGCTTGCTATTTCCTACCTCTTGGAAACCTTGGGACCTCACACTGCAGATTCGGGATTCACAGCGTCAAACTAGGCAAGGGAGATCAAGATACAAGATCGACCAAGGGTCGGACTATTGTTTGGCCATAGTTGTGGATAGACTCATGGAGCAACAGTCATGTACGGGAAGTCGCTGTGCCGGACTCATAGAGTGCTGGGTGTTGGTGGCGGAGAGCTATGATAGGTCTATTGAAGGTAGTGCTCGCAAGTCGGCCATGGCGTCGAAGAATTTTGAGGCTGCTGATTGATGGTAAAATCGACGTTGCTTGATGGCCAGCGCTACATTGACCTGCCTGCGTATCGTGAAGCGATGTGGTGAGATTGTAATGTGAAATTGTAGGTACTGAAATCATTGTAATCATGTCACATTGGGGTGCGGGAGCCTTCATTCAAGGCAGAGCGGCACCAAAAGAAGGGTCCTATTTGTCCTCGGCGACTGCTGAGGCAAGACATGACCACCCCGCGCAACGGTTCATTCTGCGAATAACTGGGTTGACGTGTGGGCAGAGAGTCAGCGAGAGGTGGAACCTGGAGGGTATGCCAGCTTCCGTCCGATGAAGAAGTAGAAGAAGAAGCAAGAAAGTGGAGTGTTGGAAGTGGAGGATCCCAAAGAACCAGAGACGAGAGTCGCGGCAGGTGAACGAATCGAGGAGGGAGGAAATGAGTCGGCCAGCACTAGGTTTGATAGACGGGCAGGATGTTTATAAACTCCGAGGCGCGTGGGTGGAGGGGAGGGGAGCAAAATAGACAACGGCGGTCCTGTGTAATAAGTCTGTGCCCGATGCGGAAGTCCAGACGAGCGCAATGGGGTGAGGCGTGTCAGAACAAGAGGGACCTGGATCACCAGCTGGCTGTGCGCACAAGCGACACGGCCCTGTTCGTAGGGTTGAGGATGAGGATGAGGATGAGGACGAGGTTGGTCGGCGGTCGCAGAAGTGGTGGGGTGGTGGATGGTGTATGACGGATAACGGATGATGGATGATGGATGATGGATGATGGATGGGGTTTTGAAGATGGGATGAAAGGGAGGGATGGGTGGACAACATGGGACGGAGCAGAGCCTTGGAAGGGGCAGGGGAAGGGGACCTCGAATAACAGGAAAGCGGCACTGGATGTCAGTCATTCCCTACGGAGTGGTGTACACCTGAATGCTCGTATATGGAACTGAGATGTTGAGTGAGGTACGGTAGATTGTCGAATAGAATAGAGGAGAGGTCAAGAACAACAAGATCTATGGCAGGGGCCAAGTCTATCTCCCCTCTATCTGCATCTCTATCTTTGCCTCATGTCCCAACGGCATATAGCTTGATACCGCAATAATACTGTACCGTACCGGCCCTAGCAGCAGCCGCCTTGCACTTCCCTTTCGAGCTACCCTCCCTCCGTTTTGCCTCGTCCTGGAGGTAAATTACTCTATTTTTTATTGCATTGCATTGCATTGCGTCCAGAGATGGTGGGTCTGCCGTCATTTCGCCAGCCCAGTATTAGTCCGAGCGATCAAGTGTATCAGTTCGTCCGTTCGCTGTCCATTGGAGAGGGAAGCCTTGCCCAGCCCAGCCAGCCTTGCTGGCCGAGGAGTATTTACATGTTCAACTCCCCCGGCCTCGTCGTTACTCTCGATTCTACAACGGAATACGTCCTGGCAGTCAGTCAGTCGTTCTCGCTCCCGCCAACCCCTCCAGCCGCTGTTGGCTCTCTCCCTTTTACTCGGACTCGTACCTGGAAGGCTTCCCAGTGCTTGTGCTTGTATTCGAAGAGATTCGAGTCCACCATCGCCGAATCATCATCTCTTGATCGCGGACTGAGTAAAAGTCGCCAGCTTCACCAACGACACCAGCTCAGCTGCATATCTCGGAAGCAGTCCCTACGGAGATTATTCACAGCTCGATTGCCCTGGTCGAATCACTGGCACACCTCGCTGCACAAGGAGGGAAAAAGGTACGCGCTTCACAATCATGCATCAATCCAATTCCAATCATCCAAATCCGAATTCATCTGTATCTTGATTGGACCCACAAAGCACATCCTGTATTGCCACCGTCGAACATGGCAGGCATCGCAATGGCATGGCATGGGCAAGTGTCCTCCCCTTCAGTCGATTCCCGTTTCCAGCCGCCTTAGCCAGGTACCACCACCAACTTCGACACTGCCGTCCAACCGAGCCGCACTTTTCATCCAAGGTTCCTTGGAGCAGGGTATTTAGGGATTCTCCTGGACACGGCAATGGAAGTGCCTCTTCTTGGGCATACTCGTTCGCCAGAGAAACAGGACGAGGTGGACGCCTAAGTGTCGCCTACACCTGGGCAACAACTACACTTGAGGTGGGGTGTATATCAGTGGAACGGTTTCCACATCAGCATCAACGTTTATCCGTACATATCCCAAATGACGCTCCCCGACCTCAGATCCCTGGCCAACACGCAATGTACAATACCTGCTCTGACTCCATTGAGGGAGGATTAGAGCGACTCTGGTCCCCCAGTCCTTTCGGCACTCATCTCAGGATCTGGTGGGATGAACCTCTCGATATGCGCCCCTACTGTCTCACAGGATGTTGAGGTTCGCTTGGAAGTCCCGTCCTCTGACATGGAATGTCGTATACTCTGTCTGGCCTCAAGTCTCCGTCCCGTCCTGTGCTGTGCTGTCCTGTTCCTGTTCTCCATCTGGTACCTGCGCCACAGCTGCATTTGCAGGATGCTTTGCCTCTGCATTTCGGTTCCATACTGTACCAGCAAGTCTTGAATCTCGGAGACCTAACTAAAGTTTAACAGGGATTCCAGGCATACCAGACTCTACCGCACCAGCCCATACCTTTATCCTTGCGATCAACTGCTCCTAGCACGCCACGACGAGCACGTCCGGGCACACCCTGCCCCTGTCCCTGCTACTCAGTGAGTCCCCAGCACCCCCAGCACCCCTAGCTGCCCTGGCCCTGGTCCCCTGCTCAGTCCCCTGCGCTGCTGTGCTCCGCTACCCCTTCTCGCCCTTCCCCTGCCCTGTCCGCAGGCCTAAGCCTGACTAGCCGACATTCCAGCATCAGCCCCAGGCCCTGGCTCACTAGCGACTCTAGCTCCCAGTCAGAAACCGCACCGCACGAACGCCCGCTTCACCATCAGAGACAAAGCTAAAAGACCAGCCGAAAAGAAAGCCAACTTAAGTCAAGTCAAGTCAAGTCAAGTCAAGTCGATTCGATTCGACCCAAACCGAGTCGACTCGACCCGGCCCAGCTGCCTTCTTGACTCCCTTCTCCCACGCAACTGATCCCGATCCCAACCAGTCCCTGCGCTACCTGGGGTTCCCAGCTTGACAACGGTTTTGCCTGGCCCTACTCGAACGCCAATAATTCCACCACCACCACCACCAAGAGGGGTGCCTCCAGCAAGTCACTTCGCACTACGCTACGTCTAGACTGCACTGGATTCTGGGATTCTACTGCTCCCGGTACGTACCTGGCCTGGCCTATCTCCCTCACATCGCTGCTCTGCTCGGTCTATTTACCTCCTCTTTCCCCTCCCTTCCCTTCCTCCAAACTGCCACCCGCCATCATCAACGGCGGCTTGCCTCACAGGAGCCCCTGCACTGCACTGCACTGCACTGCACCTGCACCTCAACATCCACAACCACAACCACAACCGCTACCAACCTAGGCCTTGCTTGTCCTGCGTACCCTTCCCTCCCTTCTCAGCTAAGCCCGTTGCAGCTGCGCACTTCATGTTCATCTAGTACCCTACATTCAACATTTCCCTTCCGAATCTTTTTGTACTCTGCTGCACCGCACGCTACTACAGCCCTTGTATCTTATCAGTACCCTGTCCTTGCGAGTAACCCCCCCTCCCTCATTGACGCCTGCGCTCAAGGTACCCACCTTTCAGTCCAACATACCCTAAATCTTTCCGAGTAGAGCCACACTTTAACACTCGTCGTCCGCCCCATTTGCTCTTCCAGATCACTCAATGTCTTTTCGTATCCTTGATTTTACTTACTGACTGTATTTCCAGCACGACCTTCAGTCTGTCCCCTTCCCGACCAAATCCGAATATCACAAATCACCCATCTCTTAACCACAATCACCACTGCAGCCAAAGAAGGTGCATCAGTACCACGATACAACTTGCCCATCCAAACAGACTCTTTGCTGCACCTCTTCTGCCACGGCATTCTGGGAAACATTTCACATCTGCCTTGCAGTTATTAAACTTATCTTGAACCGATTGGCTCGTTCCGTTCCTATTCCCATCTTCGAGCACGTCACTCCTTGCTTCCAACGAGGTTACAGACGGCACTGCAGTTTCGATCACTGGCTAGGCATTGCCTATAGCAGAAGGAAGAAGACAAGGTCAGTGGATGCTTGTGAATGATTCAACATGGGAACAGTGTGCTGAGAAACGCAGAGAAAAAGCATGCAAAAGGCATAAATCAGACTCTACCATCTCAATAGTTGGTCGCATCAACCAACGCTTCAGCAGGCATATACTAATTGCCTTTCGAGAAACCATTGATCGAACCATAAGGATTACTTCGCCCTGCGGCTGGATGTGTGCGAGGTTGGAGTCAATTTTCCGTGACGAGCACCACCATCACTAAGCTCCGTCTTTTCCATGCAATCCCCAACACCTCGTCGCGATAATCCATACACCTCACTCGGCGAACGTCGAGGTAAATCAGACCTGGCGCGCTTTTCTCTCGATCTGAGTTGGGCCAGAGCGGCGTCCGACAGTGCTCGTTCAAGGGCATATCCCTCTCCGCCCATGTCAGGATCTCCGCCGCTTCCACCAAGACGAAACCCCGACTCCAGCGATCGTGGTCATGGAAGCTATGGATCGGTTGGGCAGGACGTCTATCGGGGAATGCAGACACCTCAGATGGAGCAGCATATAGAACAAAGGGGTCCTCCCATGAGGGGGTACGCGCCTGAACAGGCCTCCCCAATACCGTATCCAGGACCATACAGACCAGAACATATTCCTGTGGCGCCTATGCAATACCAGCAACCTCTTCCGCAAATAGCCCAACAGCAACCACAGCAGCATCCACAGCAGCAACATCAAATGCATGGCTACCAACCCCACCCTCAACAGATACCTCCGCCATTCTCAGCACCTGAAAGAGCGCCTATGCGGGAGTCGGCTGACTTTCAGTCACCAAAGCAGCAGAGAAAGACCAAAGGTCATGTAGCTTCGGCATGTGTGCCATGCAAGAGGGCTCATCTAAGGTATGTTGGTCTTCTCTACAGTTCGAATACAGGCTAACTTCATGCAGATGTGATGGTATGTTCTGTCTCAGCTATGATCCCCATACTTGTTGCTTTTTGCTTTTCCATGCAGAAGATATCCGCATTAGTCTCCGATCGCGAGCATGCATCAATACTTTTTTTCTTTGCTGTGGCGCAGGCTCGTCTTGGTTAGAAAGTTCTACTGTGACGTCCGTGCCTGGTTTATTGGCCATGGGCCATATCCGAAAGTGCTGAGCCATCAAGACGATCTCGAATCGCGAATATCCCGGCAGCTGCTGCTACCCTGCGCAAGCGAGCAGAGCAGGAGCAGTGCTAAGAACTGCAGCGCACTGTTCTGCGATGCTTGGCAGAGTTTTGCGCAAGTCAAGTCGTCCGCAGTTCAGTGGCTGGTCGGGTATGTCTGCGTCCGCCGACAGCACACCCGATGTCAGGGAGATGATTTGCAGCGGCCATAGCGACGGCGGAAGATCGCTGAAGGGATCAGGGCTCTTGTCAATCCGGCTGTACTGCAGTGGTGCAGCGCTGGAAATGGCGGGGTCGCGGCCCGATTGGCGGGTTCCCACCGAGGTTTTAGCGGTAATGAGCTGTGCTGTGCTGTGCTGTGCTATGCTATGCTATGCTGTGCTGTGCGTGAGCCACTCGAGCCAGCAAGCAAGTAAGCAGGCGGGCAAAGCCAGGCCCTCGTGGTATGCGCGTGTTTTGCTTGCGTTAGATCTCTTCAGCAGCCTATGCTATTCTTGGTCTGCCCGACAGAACCCGAGCATTTCAGCAGCCTCCCATCTGTTCTGATCGCCTCAATCCAGGCCAGTGGTCAGGGATCAGAGGTCAGAAAAGAAGCGGGGTTTGGGCTTCAAATCTTTCTTTTGACCTCGAATTCGCGACAACCTTTTCTTTTCCGGGCCGCCTGTCTCCCGCGTTTTGCGCGAGATCGACTAGCCTCTGAGTTTGTCGGGTTTCTAGGTTCTGGGTTTCTGGGCTTCTGGGACCCGGCCTGAGAAATGACCTCCCAACTCCTTCTGGAACACGGCTCAGCTGAACCCACGGAACCTGCCTCGGTCGTTTCAGGGTCAAGGTCCGCTCAAGCTGTATCCATCAGATGAGCTGGATGCCCCTCGGCTTTTGTAATCCGCCTTCTCTTGACAATTGAGGTCATGGAAAGCGACCATGCGAGATGGCGCTTCTGTTGGGTGGTTTCGAATTTTTGATTTGCAACACTAGTGTGCCGCTGTCCACAAGATGGGGAGATCAGCGGAAGCTTTCCTTAATTGCGGAGACACAATCCTTAACTTCTTGAGCAATTATCGCCGTCTGATATTGACCTTACTAATCTTTCGTTGTTGCAGCCCAACGACCATGTTCCCGCTGCCTGAGCAACGGGAAAGAAGAATCCTGTATCGATGTACAACACAAGAAAAGGGGTCGCCCCCGATTACGAGATGATCGTGAATCTCGGTACGAGGTTGTTGGCGCTGGCTATCCTCCATCTGCTGACCCGTCCATGAGACGGCCACTTTCTTTATATGCATCTAGCGACCCTTCGCCATTTGGTCAAGATCCCCTTCAAAGATCCGGCTCGTACAGAGTTTTGAAATCGCAAGGAGGCCCTATGGGTGGTGGTCCCATGGGACCAAGATTCCTGGAGCACGCATCACCCGCAGATGCCAACATATACGGAGCACCTATGCCCCCTACTCCCAGAACGGTACCATCTTATGAGCCACCATGCGCATACCTCACCATGGAAATGCAATTTTCCAAGACGACTCAGAGCTTTGGCGAAACGATTGGGGTTCAGTCCATTCAATCGAGGCGACTTCAGGATGTTGTGAGTGTCAACGATCGAGATAAAGTTGCACGATTGCAAAGAATCTTCGAGGACGAACGTCGAGACAGGGAGCCTAACTATCTGCCACCCATTTATCTCGCCAAATTCGAGGAAGACCACGTTATTCAGAGTGTCGGTTTTGGCCAAGATGAGATTGGTATGGTGAGAACGGAACGGCAAGAGATGTTCACCTTTCAAGCGCCAGATGGTCAACAAAGGACTTTCCAGGTTCGCCTCGGCTTAGCGAAAAGGGATTCGACATATTTCATCATCCTTCTACTTGTGTTGCCAGCCACGCCTCAGACTTTCCATCAACCTTCGTCCTCTCCGTTTTCGCGTGAGACCTATTCAAGAGATTCTCAATATGGTTATCAGACTCCTCAGCAAGGGTACCAGCACTCCCAAGGGGCGTCGCCATTTGGGCCAACCCCGGGATTCGGAGATCCTCGCGGAGACATGAGTGCATACCGGACGCCAGGCGCTCTTGGCCCTAGTATTACATCATCCGCGAGTATGACAGGTTTCGCTCAGCCCCAGCGGCCAGAGTATCCTCAGGTTCCAGCTCCGTATCAGACTCCGCGCAGCGAACTTCCACAGACTCAAGGGCAGATGCAATCACAGCGTCCACATGACCTCCAGCTACCCCCGATTCGGGATCAACGTGGGGAAGCTTCATCGATGGATCCTACGCGACGAAGGGATGATCGCAGTGGTCGGGTGGATATTGGCGGTCTGCTCGAACAACCAGGTCGACGAGGTCTTTGATCCAAGCGACCTCGAGTGGTTACTTTCTTGCCGCGCTCTCTGATGACCGAATCTCCTGCAGTGTACAGCTCTTGTCCCAGATTTCCAGGTGTAGAGAGGTGTTGGTGTCCTCCAGCGGCCGCACAACGTCGGCATTGTGTCCAGGACATTGTGGTCCATTTCATGTACAAAATATAACTTCGGGAGACCGAATTTTCCCTATCATGTCAAGATACCACCCATGTATATTAGTTTGCTGTCTTTTTTTATTCTCCGTTTCGTTTCGGGATTTGTGGTAGATATCGCAGGGGCATAGCGCATCGCGTTGGCGTTTTCGCATTCGAGCGAGAGAACTTCTTTGGCGCAGGGGGGTTTGGCATTCGTTGTAAGATATATGAAGGGATCCTTGAGCGCTGGGGTTTCCAGACAGCAGAGAGGGGTATGATGAATAGTCAATACAGAATGAGTGGTTGATGGAAAAGATGGTCTCGATGCTCGTGTGCAGGTCCCTTTCCGCTCCCAGGCTTGTTTGTGTGTTTGTGAGGTGCAGAGGTTTTGGTTGGTTTGGGCTGGGGGCTCGTTGAGCGGAGAATTTTTGAGATGCGGCAACTAGCCTTCCATGTAATCTCGCGAAGCGACTTAGAGCCATAACGCTATGCGCTATATCTGTAAGTGTATCTCTTCGCCAGGTAAACAAGACGGAAAAAATGGAGCCCAGACGGGGAGGAGCATGAAGAAGAGAGAGCTTTGATGCTGACGTGAGTGGAGTCATTCAGCAGGAGGACGAGGGACGAGGGACGAGGGCACGCCCTGCTTTCTTAAAGAGGTGTCGGTGAGGGATCATGATCAGGCTGATGGTGGGCTGAAAGGATAGGTAGATTACTTGGATGAAAAGGGAGAAACCATACCTACCTGCCATTCCATTCAGTAAGGTAAGGTACTCATAATCTGCCTGACTTTACTTTTCCTGTGCTGTCCTGTCCAGTCCAGTCCAGGCCAGGCAGTCCGTCGAGGAAGAGGCCGCTGAGGCCCGGAGCGAGCAGAGGCCACAGCCAACCCCAAGCCAGCCCTGGAGGCCCGACGCTGGGAGCCAGCCCAACACAGCAAAGGCTCAGGCACAGACCCCAAGCCAGGAGACCCGCCCCACTCACGGTGCTGCTTTCCAATGGAAGGCATGATTTGGGGGGCCTCGGGGCCACTGGGCATTTTCACGCGTGCTAGAGGAGAGAATATCATGCACAGACAGGAAATCACTTCGGCTTCTTCTTCTTCTTCTTCTTCTTCTGGACCTAATTACTTCTGCCACTCCATCGTCACTTCTTTGGGTGTGGAATCTGGGTGTGTAATACGAACCTTCCCGTCAATACAGTACTGTACATTCATTGCCTGGACCCGCCCTCCTCTCATCTCATTGGCTGCACCATCGTCGGGCGAGGCTCGGGATCCGTGCCTTTAATTCTCCGGACGGCTGTCCCACTCCCACTCCCACTCCCACTCCATCAACCTAACTTACCCCACACTTTGGGCTGGTGCTGGTGCTGGTGCAACCCCTGTATCAAAGAGGGTTCCCCTCACTTCACCTCAGTTCCAACAGATAATCAGCGCAGGCGAGGCAGGGTACAGACAGCGAGCTAGAGCTACTTGTAAGAGGAGGTAAGGAATGCAATGTAAGTAAGCTCTGCTCTGCTCTGCACTTGACCCCTCAATGTGACGACGCGCCAATGCATAGGTATCTCAGTTAGATGCGAGCGGGGAGGACGGCTTCTCAATCTCTTCTTCTTCTTCTTCTTCTTCTTCCTTCCCTTTCCTTCCTTCGTCCTTCTTCTATTTCTATCATCTCCCCCGATGTGAGTATTGTACTATACAAGCTACAAGACATCTTCAGTCTCGCATTTCGTCCTGTACGGCAATTGGCAATTAGTACTGCAGACTCAGTTTCGCCTACCTCAACCTCCAAGGCTCATTTCCAAGCAAACAACCAACCAACCAACCAACTGAATCACTTACCTCGAAGCTTTACAAGATGTCTACCTCAACCTCCCCCGCAACCTTCCTCTCCGACAAAGCCAGCGCCCTTGAATCCTCTCACCCCGTTGCCCCCTCCGAAGCGCGCGCGGCCCAAATCCCCCTCCAAACATTCAACCTCCCAACCTTCCCCCCGGAAGCCTTCACCGCCGGCCTCACGTCCCTAATCCTCACCTCGGACATCAAACTCGACGAATACCAACCTCTCCTCGACCAACCCTTCTCCGTCCCCGACCTCCCTCAATCCATCACCGCCCTCACCCTCGAGCTCTTCTCCCTCGGTTACCCACCCGGCTTCCTTACCGAGCTCGGCAAGAAACTCATGGGCATCAAGAGTTTGACGCTATATTCGCAATTGCTGGCTGGCACGACGACCTACAGTAAGGATGATGCGGTGACTTTCTTTCGGTTCCAGACCCAATTGAGGGAGTTGCATCTCCTGGATGTATTTGGACCGAAAGGATTCTATGCCGAGCTTGCTGGGAGAGTATCTCCAAGTCTGCGATTCTTGGAAGTCAATTTCACGTATCGGCATTCGGATCCGCAGTTCTTGAGCAGTGTTCCAAGCGCTGAGATCGTGGACTTTTTGAAGAAAGGCGCTGAGACGGGTGGGACTGCGAACACAGGATTGTTGGGACTCACGGCGAGTATTTCGGCGCCGGATATTACGGATGATGAGGATGATAGGGAAGGAACTGAGGTGGGGATTTTGCCTGTTGAGAAGGGGCAGACGGAGGGCTTGGTGGATGCATTGAAGGATGTGGGGAAGGAGATGGTTATGCTGGATGTTACCATGTTTGAAGTTTCTGTCGAGCAGGTCAAGAATATCATTTCGGCGTGCCCAAAAGTCAAGATCCTAGGCTTGACCGTCACGGTGGACAAAGGGTGGGGTGAAGTCTTTGAGGTTCTTGGGCAGGATGGGAAGGGTGCTGGGGTGGAAGTATTGGAATTAGTAGGTGTGCCGGGGAAGGAGTTTGCAGAGAGTATTAAGGAGGGAGAGACCAGTGGGTTGAGTAAAGATGTGTTGGATGCGGTTGTTCTGGCGGGGTGTAAGAGCTTGAAGAGTGTGAAAGTCAGCGTGTTGAGGACAAGGAGTGAGATGTGGGTTTTGGAGGGGGAGGAGTGGAATTTGAAGGCGTGAGAGATGGCGTTGCGCAAATTTTGAGAACTGCAGGTTTTTTCAAATCAAGAGATGGAAGATAGATCGAAGTCTTTACTTGGCTATTCTGGGTCGCGGTCAATGGATATCTGCTGAGAGAACGAAAGAGCCCGACTCGCTTAAATTCAGTATTTGTGTTTACATTCATCTTACTTCGCTTCCCATGCTAAATTGTGACATGGACTCTTTACCGAGGCCGAATCCGAGGCATGGCGGGGCTGGATTAATCAAGTACGATGATAGAGCGACTGAGATGATGCTAGTCGATAGTTGACACTCGTGCTATCTCATGATGAGCATCCTCATGAGGTAGCGCAGCGTCCTGGTCTCACCTGCTCTCAGTCTCTCTTCTTTCCTAGCATGATCCCTCCCTGTCATGTGTTGCAATTCCTAAACTGGCAAAGAAATAATTTCTTGAGAGTAGCCTTGCTGGGAAATGGGGCAATAACAGTAGACCTTGCAACAAGGATTGAGTTCAATTCACCGTTTAAAAACAAATTCTATACCAGCACTCTGGAAAGTCACTGAGATTTGGACCATTCATCTGTATTTTTCTCAGGACGAAACTTGATCGCTGAACCTAGTAATAACCTCATTACCAAGAGCTCGATTCTCCATGATCCCTGATTATCGATCGTCGCCTCAGTCTCTGCTCCAGATCTTCGGATCGCTGGCTCGACATGGGAGGGAGAATCTCGATGGGATTTAGAAAGACAAAACTTGGAAGGTAGCAAATATGGGAGGCTGGTGAAGATATGCTGTAAGCTAAGTCAATACCGGAGATGGGGTGAAAGTATATACCTGGGGGCACCCGGAACCTTTTAACTGCCGTCCCTGGTCATGATCTCGTTTGGAAATATCTCCGTCGGAACTCTTTCAGACGAGAGTAGGGTCATGGCGGACTGACATCTGGATGAATAGTTAGCTTCTAATACCAGCTCTACATACCTGTGAAACGAACTATGACCTCGGCGCCTTTCCTCGTTGCTGCACGGAAGGATGAATTTGGCTAGACGTGGCGCGCATGGATGCAATAGAAATCTCAAATGGTCTATGTTTAAGCTTAAGATTTAGAAGCACGGCACGTCGTAGTCCGGACACAAATGGGATTTTCGGAGAATTGCAGTTAGCAATCGTCCTAGCTCGAGATTTTCATCTGAGTATTTATAGGCGAAACAAACACCGCTTCCACAATGTTCGTGCGTTGCTTCTGATGTCAATCGGAGAATTGTTCCTCGTCTGGGTTCTGCTGGTTTCGCTCGGCAGTCAAAGTTTAAGAGGTTTCACGGACTGGATGAAACAATATAAAAACGTCCGATTTAGAAGCGATGGCATACTTGATACACGCTTTGAAGCCCGCCATGCCATATCTAACCAGCGTAGATCGTAGTTCGTAGAAACAAGGTTGGTGGGAAGCGCTGTGCCTTTTAAATAATACGAAAGCTTATCAAGTATGCTTTAATGGTGAACATGTAGAAGAAAGTAAGTTCAATACCATGCGATTGGATCTTCGATTATCAGCAATTCGCAAAGCTTGATCTCGCTTGCAGGTGGCTTCCGTGGTCCTGGACAATAACAAAACGCTCCTTTCTCTCATCTAAATATGCAAGGCAAACCCAGTGAAAGACAGCGCAAACAAGGAGAACATGGGAATCGAGATCTGAAGCCATTATGTGACCTCACTTGGCTATCTTACATGATATTCGGCCCGGACACTTGACCAGTAATATGTCAAAATCTCGTCTCAGGCAGACGGTTCGGTTAGGAGTCTCGGTATACTCATCCGCAAGACAGAGGCTTGAGAATCCTTCGGATCATCCTTCCGACCTCCTTTCCTTGCTAGTTACTACAGTACCATCTGAATCTGATAGCGGGGTACATAGTCAAGGTAGTTCAGGGTATTCTCATGTCGGATCTTTTGCCTACCGGCTGAAGTCAAGTCAAGTCAACCTTGTAGCTGGGAGTGAGACTGATTGGACTGACAAGACTCATCATTCAGACTCAACTATCTCGTCCAGTCTAGTGTATGTTTGATGTGTGGCCGAAAACAAGCTTCGATACAACCGTAGTAGCCATGACACGGACTTCAAAACTACCCCGCCACCAGGATGAGACTGACCATGCCGGATCGGACAAACTCCAGATCTGATAAATGTAGCAAGATTGGCTACTGCACTAGGTTGCCGGCTATATAGTTTCTGTGCTGTGCAGTGCTGCAGTGAAGTGCAGTAGCGTAGTCTCGAGACCGGATATATTGACATCCAGCCATCCAGCCATCAGCAGCCATCCAACCTCGTCTGTGCAGCAGTAGTGCCGCAGCAAAAACAAAAAGAGCTAACACCAAACTGTGAAATGTGAGGCCTAGCTACTGCTTCTTCCCTGCATGCTATCGCATGTACATCATTGTGCAGTAGATATTTAGGTGCGTCAGGTAGGTGCCGTACTGCAAGTGCGGGGTACTGCCCTTTATCGTGCTGTTCTGTCTGTATGGAGGGACAGTAGGTGTTTCAAAAGGCGCGTTGCAGAAACTACTGTACAGTTCAAGATAGGAAAATAAGGTTCGCTCCTCGATGTGCCTCCGTAGTCCGCATCCACTCTATTTCTGTTTGTCCATTAGACTTCTCGCTTCGCTGAAGGTGCAGGGACGGTGCTAGCGAAACAGTGGTGTGGACGTATTGATTCCAGACACGCAGGGATATATCTTGCTGATAACCTTTGGTTCTGGCTTCTCGCCTGCGTGTTGGGATGGACCTGCTGGTGCATGATGGGCATCCCTGTCGGAGCAGTGCTTGGTGTTGGATGGATACCAGGTCTACCAGATGAACGAAACTCAATACATGGTATGACGATGGACTGCGCAGCGGTAATCTAATACACTCAGCATCTCGGAGATCTCCTCCATCTTACTTTTTCCGGAGTAATGCAGATGATTTCTCCTTGGCCCCTTTTCTCCGTTGCTCCGGGATGGGCACCGCTACTGCACGAAGGTAGATTGTACTGGGGTGCTGGGTTGAAGGTATCATGCACTGTTCGGTGGTTACTCCGTCATGTTGGAAACGAGATGGGATTCTGGTCCTTTTGCAAGTAGCGATGGATCGATTCTGATATGGCAAGGATCTCATGACAATCTGTGAGGATTTTCTGCAGTGAAACGTCCGAGATGTGGTTATATGGTAAATGGAATGGACGATGTTACATTCCTAGATTTATCTATGACTCGTCTATTTTCCGTAGCGTGTATGCATTTTCAGGGGCTCGCTTAGCGATGTTACTTTGCTTCCTTTGAGGGTTGCATTGTTGATAGTCATAGGTATTCTGGTATTACTAGCATCATTTTGGGATGTCTTAAGAATTTAGGATAAAGATCATGGTGCTGGTATAGCACTAGGATGTCTTCCCCGACAAGCTATAATAGTAAGGTACCAGATGTGAAGTGACATGCAGCCGTCAAACAAAAGCTCCGAGCTAGGTCAGCTTCCGACGCAACGGTATTAGTGATATTTAAGCAAGATGAGATCCAGACCATATCTGGGTAGAAGCTCTTAAGGCCACTATGTTGCCCCAATAGGTAATTCGATGGACTAGTCAAGCCCCATCAATGCGGCGACACCGAGCTCTCTGTTGAAAGAATTTGGAACAACTTCACACTAAGGTAAAGTCTACCTTTCACCTCTTCTGTACTGACGAGGCTCATGAAGGCGCCAGAGAGTCGTGACTCTGCTTTTAGTAAGGCCGCGGAGTAATCTGGCATCGAGGAAGTTCTGGTGCCAAAATCAAACTCCTTTGCAAAGCCCTCCTCCAAGACTAGACTAACAGATCAAATATTGTATTGCTAGCTCACATGATTAGAGGATAGAAGAGTACCGAAGTCGGTATGTAGCTACGCCTTATTGCTGAAACTGAAAATTCGTGGCATTAAGCATTCGCTTCTCCAGCAGCTCTGCTACCAACAGGTTCCCCCATTATGGAGGAATCGCTGATTTTTTGTAGTTTGCTTCGTGGTATTACAGTATTGACTAGCTACGACTGCGATTTAATTTCAGTTGCTTGTATGCACTGACGTGAGCTTCGTGGCTTTCCCGGAAGTGTTATGGACTGTTAAACCGTGGTTCTGTAGAAGTGACGATGAGGCATCCGCCCAGGTTGCTGGGACCAGACACAACACCAATCCTATGGTATCGGCCAAACAGGCAAAAGCTTTATGAATAGCCTTATGAGATAGTTGGATCTAGATTCAGCATGAATGGGGCATAGGGCAGCCGAAGCATTGAGAGACGACTACTGCGCGTGACTTCGTTCCTTTGGATATGGAGGCATATATTCTGAGTGACTCGAAGGCTACCAGTCTTAAAAACCAATACTACAGAAGAGAAAGCTAAATCCAGACCAGTGTCCATACTAATTTGACTCTGACAATCGTATACGAAGTGCAAGTCCGCCTATGTCGACAGGTAGGATTTTTTTTTTCCAGTGATGAATCACAGCTTGGAATGTCACTTGAAACGTTGCATCCGCCAACGACCTCATTATTCAAGTCCATGTCAGAACCTCATGCTCACACACAATCGATACTTGAAGGAACACTCCTCTATAGTAAATGTGTACTTGGTTTGGAGCCCTTACACCGAATCCTTTTCTCGACTGCAGTTGCCTTGGAGTTTTTGGTCGGCGCCCAGATTCTGGTACAGTTCCCCCTCAGTCGACGATTGACGCAAGATCATCCTCGATAACAATTCGACAAATCTCGAAAGAAAAGATGTATGAGAAAGAAGGGACAGTTAAATCCAAAGACAATGCTCAAGATGTAAGAGTCGATTTTTGATCTTCTTCAGGAAAAATAAAACGCGAGCATCATGAAAAGTGCACACCGGTGCAGTTAAATCTGCTACATCAAATCATAATTTTATATGATCACCACGATTCAATAGTCCGGTCTCAAGTTAGAGCATCAGGTGTATGCAGAAAGCCGCGATGTATACTTTCACTTATTTGAGCAAAGAGAGCGATCTAGCAAGAAACGGTCTTTTTAAATCTGTCTGCTAACCTAGTAGATACCCAGCACCGCTCTCAGACCTTCATAAGCGCGATGAATGATGATAATGTGGAGTAAGCAAGCGATGTGTCTTGTATCAAATGGGATATTTTTTGTTGACATAAGCGAAACTGAAGCATCATATTTAAGAGTGGCGGATCAGTTACCTGAAGACCGTCAATGCTACAAGAAAATGCCTTTCCATGGAGGCAGCTACCATTCGGGTACAGTCTTGTGAGTCGGTTTCTTTAGTTGCATAAGTAATCAGTGCATCATCAAGACTTGGCTCTGGGCTTTGCGATGGCACTCTCATGGCGAACACATCAATGCCTGGACTTTTCGCCTTGTAAAACCAGTCATCGCTCTTAACGTTTTGTTCTAAAATCTTGTCTATCATTGCATGTAGTACAACTCATAAACCTGATATTGGTCACGACACCAGTCGGTAGGCCAGACGGAGAGCTTCTGCTTCTCCAATCTCTGTTTCTATGCTGTGAAAGTGACAGAATAGAGCTTAGGACCTGGATATCCAACGAGGATCGAGAGCTCTGCAAACGTATTTTCAAAACAAATTGCTGATATTTGGTAGAGGCTGCAAATTTTTCCTCCTTTGTGATCCATGAAGGACGACTTCCACAGATCCTTGGGATCATTGTTCCGAACGTGTGATGCAGTCTCTACGTCTGGCCACCTTTCCCCCTTTTTCTTAAGATTCACCAATCTATTCACACAATCAATACCACAGTCCTTGACTGTGGTTAAATCCAACCATTCAACACCGTGCCTCGATGGTGAAAGTGATTTTGACATGGAACAAGTCATCCCTCAAACGCAATCATGAACCAGGTCGGACAGTGCTCAGCAGGATCTAACCTGTTGGTCGGTTCATATCGTTGAGCAGCTTACAAAACGCTTTCTTCCCGCCACAACCAACTCCCCATCTAGCTATACTCTACCTAGAGGTCTAATAATAGCCGTGAAGTTTCAACAGAAGCAAAGATGATCCTGAAGGCCGATGTGAGCCACGTGATCGGAAATACATGCAACGCAAAGGTGTACAATGCTGGGATCCTGAAGTGTGTTTATTTCTAAGTGCCAACTGTGAGAGATAAGATAAGTGAGTCCGGCCAGAAAGCCAGCAGAGGTTTTCGTGGAAAGAAAGATTATCAAGAGAACATCGGCAAATGGACAAGTGAGGCAAGAAGTTAGTATTTACATCCGTCTCTCCAAACATTTACTATGATTGCGGCTTGTTAAGACTCCTTGAGATTTTATAAGAGGGACTGCATGGTGCTGACCCGACTGAGGTAGGTCTATCAGAGTCCGGGTTGATAATCGATAATGATAAAGACGAAATATGGCAGCAGAATTGAATTTGACGCCTAGTTGACCGTAGTGACGCCAAAGAAAAACCGAAGATATAATAACATTAACAATAATAATTACAAAATAAGTCAGAATGCACAGTGGGTAGTAGTGAGGTGACTAGTCGAGCTAGTCTACCTGCGATAGAAGGTAGTCGTCAAAACTCGACCGACGTTTCTTTCTATCTGGTACCGATAATTCCCGTTGACAGTAACAATTTCAGGAATACTTATTAAGTAATTGCTCTGGTGAACACCCTTGTCGTAATGAACTACTAGTAGTATACCTTGGCAGTAAGTTACACTGTAAACATACCTCGTTTCTGTATGCTTGCACTTCGTTCAAGCACAACCCCCCCGGTTCGCATGTCTCTGATATCTCGCTTTTTCTTCTTTTGATTTCAAATCAGGCCCACTGCCGTGAATTACCACTTTCTTCGGGTAAGTTTCCTAGAGCAATCTAGAGGTCGCTGGGCTTCAGTGGATAGAAATACTGTACTCTGGTGTTGACGGACAATCAGTCGAGTTCTGTCAGAGCAGATCAGAATCGTACATGAGGTTGGTTGTCCTCTGACATCAACCAGATATCAACTGTGAGAATCCTATACGCTTGCCTCTTTCTCCTAGTCTCGTATAGTCCTGCAAGCAGTGGAGTGTCATTACGATTCAAAAGTGAGTTGTGAGGAACTCTTGACAGTGAAACAGAATATCACGACAGGTAAAAGTAAAATAGACTCTTGCAAAACTGTTATGACAAAGTGGCAGATTAGATATGCAAATGCGAAATAAATTCGAGAAAGAAAACATTTGACTTGGAGCTTCCGAAATTCAAGGTATATTGCGCGATCCATGGACGAAGGGAGGCAGCACTCTTGGTGCAATGGCTCTCAGCCTACTAAAAGCAAATTTTATCACATCGGATGCACGAGATGTCCTGGGTTCTGTTCGACTCTCCTAAGCATTTTTGGAGGATTGAAAGAAAGGGAGAAAATGATAACTCACAGACAAAACGCACAATCTCCCTTCGCCCTCAAAACGAACGAACCATTGTACCGCATACCACTTGCCCACTCAGGCGTAGCTCTAGGCTCTAGCTCACCCCTGATCTGAGCCTCCTACCCCTGCCCCCTTAACGAAGTAACTTCGTAACGTCGCTTGACCCCCAATAATGCCGCCGGTCAACAAGGCTGAGCTTCCCCTTGCCTACCGAGCCTACGTATCCCATCCTCCTTTGATGTCCTTCGCCTTCGGGAATCACCCTTGTGATCAATTATTTTGTCAAACAACACAGCGTTAGCGTTATTATTATAACGGCCATGAACTGGATGGCGAAGTTCCCAGGGGCCGAAGAGTAGAAGAGAGAAGAGAAGGGGATTTTCTCTTCGACTCTTCTTCTTCTGTGCACCTGCACCCCCTCGGTGCATCGGCAGCGGGCACGGCTCCATTCCCAAGACACTAGGATGAGATGGGGCAGTATGGGAACAAAATCGGCTGAGATTTGAACGGGCCGCCTCGGACTATTGTGCACGATCATGATCGAGCATGATCGTCTGAGACATGTATGTACCCGTACATGGTTCGCGGGGTATCAGCTGATGGGCCAGAGGTACCTCGACCTCGACCAGCCAGATTTCGCGACTGCTTCTCAGCAAAGGGAAGAACTTTGAAATAGGGTAAAGACGATAGGAGCGAACTCTATCTAGGGTAGGGAGGACGAACGGAATAAGCTCCAAACACATAGCTTAATGTAACTTACGAGCCAGGGATACGCCGTCGAAACATGTCCGTCAGCCGCAACACCAACACCAACACCAACACCAACACCAACACCAACACCACCGACCCCTCAAATGACGCCTTGACGCAACGAGGAACACCAAGATAGCCTTTGCTGGTCTCTCGGACCGAGCTCAAGTTGACGCTGACCGACAAGCTGACAGCAAAACGACAGAGTTTTTTTTTCCTGCACTGCAGTGATCAATCAGCACGGTGGAGCCATCTGACAGGCAAAACAGGTAATCTTCCCAATCAAATCTATCGATCCGAATCAGCCTCCATCTTTCTACTTCGTACCAGGACACACCACACCCTCGCAAAGTCGAATTGAATCAACCCGGGTTGCCGGAAACAGTGGACACCCCACATCCACATGATCAGGATTCCATCCTTTTCTACCTGAGGTACCTACCTAGATTTCTCCTCAAAGTCCCAAATCAGTAAGGCGACATTCCTGAGCAAAACACAGCCTAGGATCACCATCGTCCCATTGTCAGCAGTTCGCTCACAAGCGACCAAGACACCCAGAAACAATAGTCCGAGCCTCAAGCGGTCGCGCATGTTTTCCCTCGAGCGTAAGATCCTCGATGCGGAGCCGATGCCCTCCAATAAAAGCATCCACGAGCCCAGCTAGCCGAGCCCCTAAGCGTCCAAAATCCAAACACCACGTAAAAAACTTCCAGAACACGACCCAGCCAAGACGGGACGGGCGTTCCTCTACTGCAGCTAATGGATTAAACTGGCTCAGCATCATGACGGACAGACATGGCAGAGTGGACAAGGAGACCCCACATCGAAATGTTCCATAAATAAATACAAGAGGAGAGACTGGATACTTGGAGGGAAGAGTTTTCAGTTTCTTCTGACGATTTCTCCTGCCCGCTCTGGTTCTTCTTTTGAAAGAATCGTTCATTTCGGCTCGGATCTTAACTTAATCTCAAACTGATTTCACCTCATGCCATATCATCTCATCTGAGTATACTCAACCGGCATTCAAATAGAGTTTCTGGAAATCTCCCGGTCCATCTCAAAATATCCAGATCGAACTTCTGATAGAGCACATAGATCATCCGACCATATCAACAAATAGGCAAATCACACTTTTACCAGAATATATCACGACACAACAGAGTTCAACCTCACCCTCTCGAATTTGGGCCAAACATTATTTTGTTTTCAAGGATACAAACCAATTCATCCAGCCAAACCGACAACAGTTAATTAGCCGGGATCCGGCAGCACAACAACACAGAAGCGACAACCTCATATATCCTCAACTTGACCCACGTTTGCTTTTTCTCTTCAAGCTTCCAAGAAAAGGAATTATATTCCTTCCCGAATACAACGTCTCCTCCAAGATGGGCGCCGAACAATCCCTGTCCTCTCCCTCTCCCTCCTCCTCACACCCAACTCCAAAATCCAACTCAACTACCCACCTCCCCCTCCCACCAACAACTTTCCCAGCTTACGAACCCAAACACCCAACCTCCCGCCGCTACGTCTCCCCCAAACCCGGGCACCCATCACGCAAAAAGCGAACCGCATCCCCACTACCAATCCCAGCAGAGCTCCTCGCCGTCCCTTCATCGTCCAAAAAATCATCAAAACGACACTCTCTCGCCCCATCATTCATGCTACGCTCTTCCGCATCCTCGTTCTCCCTGCCGATATCCAGCTCCAGCTCAACCACCGGATCAGGAAGTCGAACAGGGACTACCACACCACCCACCATTTCATCCATGCACCACCACCACCACCACAGAGCCGGCGAGCGACAGGGAAGTGGAAGTGGCAGTTCGAGCTCAAGTGGGAGTGAAAGCGGGAGGCGATCGAGCGAGAGGGATGGTGATGCTGTCAGGATGGGGATACGGGCCGGGATTTCCATTTAATGAGGAGGTATTGGTTGCTGCTGAGAGGGATGTACAGACTGGGAAGAGGAGTGGGGAGGGGAAGAGAGGGTTGTTTAGAAGAAGTCTGGGGGTTGTAAGATGATTAGGATGAAGTGATGATTTTACGGAAAGGGTGTGATGGTATGAAAATGTAGCGAGAAAACAAACGGCGCAGGATCCCTTGATGGGAAGGAATTACATGTCCAAGGAGTATGCTGGAATTATGAGATAATGCCTTTGAAATATACCAAAGCCTTTCTGGCTGATATTCGTTTTTACTTCTTTCTATTGTTACACAATCATCCAAGCTAGTCGGCATCACATCAATCAATCTCTATGATTGGGATCACCGCCGCTAGATGAGGAGTTGAGATTTGTCTTTCCTTTTGCACGCGCGCAGACACCCCATTCCGCCAGTCCACTATTCACTCCATCGCTACTCATTAAGCGCACCAGGCCGTGACTGACTTTCAAAAGCATCCAATGCCCCTCCTTCCCTTTCTAGACTCCAAACTCCAAAAGCTCAATGTTGATACACCGCAACAGAGCATTAATTTTTGGCCCAACGACAAATGAAATGGTTCTTCAAGAAAACGACCTTGATACCCCCCAATCCGCAATATCGAAGGTGTGCAAAAAGGCACGGGTATCAATGAAACAAAAGAAAAAATGCATGCAGAATGCCAATCATCTATGAACAAATCATCGACTGATGAGCTGTATAGATAATTGAAAGGTATGGAACACTAAGCTGAGTTCTCAGCGTGTCCACCTCCGAGTAGTTCGAGGATTTTGTTGGAGACAGCTCCGGGGTATCCACGACCTAACATTTCCTGGACGACAGCCTTGGCACTGAGTCTATCTTCGACGGCAAGGTAGGCTCTGGTCATGGCTTCGTAGGTACTGGGCTCTCTCTTCTCACGGCTAACCGAAGCAAAGATGGATCTAGCTCTGTCGATATTGAGCTCGTTAGCCCAACCATGAATGAGAGTGTTGGCGATGTAAGGAGTCATGTCCACGCCACGTTGTGACATCTCACGAAGAATGGGCTCGGTCTCGGTAACACGATGGTTGGCGACCATGGACTCGAAGAGTGCTTGGTAGAGGCAGGCTTGTGGTCGGATCGAAGAGTCGGCCATAACGGAATCGAAAACTGCCTTGGCTCCATCCATGTCGTGCAAGACACATCCCTTGGCGTGAATCAAGGACGAATAGTGAACAGCCTCGGGGCGTTGACCAGTGCTTCGAATGACATCAAGGATGGCTTCGGCAGCAGGCATGTTGACTGGCTCGAGTGTTGCATGAGTATCGACAAGAAGCTTGTATGTGTGGTTTGTTGGCTGGATACCCTTGCTCTTCATTCGCTCGTAGTATGCTAAGACCTTGCTCTTGTCACGCTTGGTGGTCAAGAAGAATTGCATCAAGCTGTTGTATGGGGCGGGACGAGCCTTGTAGTTTGGCATCGATTCCATCTCTTCGAACAACTCCTCAGCAAACTTCTCATCACTGACACGGCAGAGAGCATTGACAATTGTGCCATAGGTAACGCTGGTTGGTCTGATGCCAAGAGCACGCATCTCAGCGAAGTAGAAAAGACAGTCATCAATACGACGCGCTTTTCCAAGCTTGCCAATGAGTGCATTGTAGAGGAATGATGAAGGCTCAACACCCTCAGACTTGGCACGATGAAAGATCTTAACAGCTTCGGTGGCTTCATCAAAGGTCTTCGTCGATTCCTTCAAAGTGGTAATGTAGAGACCGAAAGTGTTGGCAGTTGGTGCAGCACCCATGTCAAGGAGCTCTTGGTGATATTGAGCAGCCAGAGTACGGTTTCCGAGTGTAAGACAAGCTCCAACCATAGCGTCGAGAATGGAGACCCAGCCATAGCGAACGACCGAGTATTGAGGAAGAAGAGGAACGTCAGATCTGGCCATGCCGAGAATGTCGTGGACCAGATTCATGCGTTCCTCACGTGCGGCGGCAGCGATGAGCTTGGCGTAAGTAATGTAACGTGGGTGACGACCAGCGCGACGCATGTTTCTGAACCTACCAAGAGCCTCATTGAGACGAGAGGCCTTGGCGCGAGCACTGCTACCCTTCTCAAGCTCATCGGCAATCAGAGCAGAGCCTTTGAAATCAGTCGAAGCAGCGTATGGATCGAAGGTATCCTCGTAAGCTGGCACAGCGGGGTATTGGACAGGTGTGAACTGCTGGTACACCGGGACCTCTGGGAGAAGACGAGGGTCGGTAATTCCGCGTTGCGACATGAATTGATTAATAAACTCCATTCCCTCGTCAATCTCATCTTGGAGATGGGTGCTGGATTCAACGGAAGATCGGATACGGGCGAACATTTGCTCGGACTGAGTAAGACCCTCAAGAACTTGGCCAGAACCAATCATTGCAACAGCATACATCGCAGCTGGCTCGATGAAAGCTGACGAAACAGTCATTTCAGGAGCTGACAGGTATTGCCAGTATCTCTGCGCTGCTGGAACATCACCTTGTCGTACACTGAGAGCTAACATTGCCATTGCGGGAGTGGCAAGGTCAGAATTGACAGAAACATGTGAGAAAGCAGCAACTGCAGTCGATTTATCATCTTTATCGGCTGCCCGGGTTGCGATCTTTCCCATTGCCTCGCTCTTGGTGGATCCACTCAGAGCTTCGGCCCAACCCAGTGCCTCTGAGAGCTTGCCCTTCTCAAGGAAACCTTGGACAAGACCTCCCTGGACAACACAATCTCCAAGTTCGGAAACACGCTCTGGATAAGCTTCAAGAATTCTCTGGTAGAATTGCACAGCTCCTTCAATTCTATCAGACTTGACGTAAGCCTTGACCACTGCAGCATACACATGGCCGTCTTGTCTGTCTGTGAGTTCAATCTTTCCTTGATCGTTGTCAATGGCGAGTTGTTTGTATTCATCGTAACATTCCACAACACTGTTCAAATCACCCACGTGTGCAAAGCCATGAATCATAGGTGAAAATGTCGCTGAAAGCGGAGAGATATTGCTAGCTTCCATATGCTCGTAGAATCGGATCATCTCTGGGATTCTGCCGGCCTCGGAACAAGCTTGAATCAATTTGTGATAAGTTTCCCGCGGGTATGAACGGTCCGTACGAAGACTGATGGAGGCTTCGAACATACGCACGGCAAGGTCCAATCGATCATCCTCGGCCAAGATGGCAAATTCAAACTCACTTGATGCGAACATAAACTTGCCAGGCTCCTCCATACCACCAAATCGGGCACGTCTCTCCTCCAAGGACTGTTTCAGCGAAGAAACTTCGATGGATCGGGAAGAGATCAAGTTGATGAGAGTGTTGTAGGTGGCGGTGTTTGGAAGGACTTTACGTCTCAGCATGTCAGAGTAGACATCAAGTGCCTTTGGGACGACTTGGATTCTCTCAGCAGGTAAATGAATGGCTGCATCCAAAAGAGCATTGTAAGCAGATGCTGTAGGCTGGATGTTGGCTACCAGCATTGCCTCGAAAACGGCTGGGATCTCTGCATATCGTCCACCCTCGGACAACTTTGTGAGATGCTCAGCATAGCTTTGTGATTGTTGCTCAGAAGCTGTGCTGATAGTGGTTGCAGAAGTGGTTGGCGATCTTAGGAAGCCAGACTTAGAAGATAGAGCTGGAGATGAAGTTCGAGGTGGTGTAGGTACTCGAGCCGCAACGATGCTCAACTCTGCCTCGAAGATTGCTTGGTCGTTTCGTGATTTGATTTCCTTCTCAATAGCAGCATCGATCTTAGCTAAGGCAGCTTCCTCTTCTGCTGCAAATTTGTTGTAGTCATCTACTGCGCTCGCACCGTAAGATCTCTCGGGGACAGGAGCGGCCTCCAGCGTCTGAGATTGCACATTGCTTCGACCTTCCTCGACCTCGATCAAGGGCTTCCACTCGATGCGTTTTGGGAACTGAAACTGAGCCCATTCCTTGTCGGCCTCGCCTGTAGCATGTTGCTTCTTCCAAGCCTCGAAATACGCATCTAGCCCTCCATCACTCTTCTCGTGGCGGACCAGCTGGACCGTACTCGAGGACTGGGCACTGTTGTGAAATGCATTCTGAAAAGTGTACGAGGGGAAGTAACCGGCTTTGCTAGCACGTCGGTTGAGACCGAATCCAGGTCTGTTCGAGGAAGCGTAGACTTGGGGATGTGTGGCGGCAACGACGGATTGGGCGTAACCGTGTGTGAATGTCTTGGGACCTTGACGTGCAAGTGTCGATGCGATGTTGGAGTAGATTGGCATTTAGTGATGGTTGACCTCTCAAGACTGTCTGAGAGGAGACTAGAAAGAGGTCAGCTTCGGAAGGTTTAGGGGACTCGAGGTCAGTCGCGTCAACGCGAAGGCAGCCTACTCACATTAAATCTCAATTAAATCGGCGAATGCAGGTTCATTTGACAGCTATGCCGCCAAACAAACGCGCTGATTGAATTGAGTAGAGATTCCGTCTCTGGAAAGCTGGTCGACTCGACGAAATCGACTAAGTGAATACGTCAATGGACGTCGAAAAGTTCTGCTTTGGTGGCGCTGAAGTTGACTGTTGGAAGGCAAAAGGCCTAAGGACCGAATGAAAGAAGCCTCAGGAGCTGGCAGACGGGAGAAAGACAATTATGAGTTCGTGGCCTCGGGTGCTAGGTCGACGCTGATGACGAGTAGAGTAGTTGCGGGATTAGGGACGAGGGACGAGGGACGAGGGAGCTTCACATGCAAGGTCAGGCCGGAGGAGGCTGAGAGTGCAGTAAACCGGATTGAGGCAGCTCTGGAGGTCAGCTGCGTCGTGAGCGAAGATAGAACGGAGGTTGAAGCCACGGGCGAAGAGAAAGAATTGGGTGTGGTGTGAAAAGGGAGGACAAAGTTAGGTATTGTCCAGTTGGGTTGGTCGTGTCGTGTCGTGTCGTGTCGTGTCGTCAGGGGAAAATCGGTGGCTCGGAGCGGTCGTGTGAGAGTACGGTACGAAAATATAGAGTGGAGTGGAGCAGGAGGCTTTTCTGCATTGCTGGAACCGCGTGGAAGGGACAGCCGGGGGCCTGGTGGTGGTGGTGGGCAGTGGGCACAGTCATCGTTCGGGACACGCCGGGAAAGGCCGGGTTCGCAGGCAAGCGAGCCACTCAGCTGCCGGCATTATCGAGAGCATCCCTGGCGGCCCAGCTGGCCCAGCTCAATTCCGTCGCCCCGAGTGGCCAGCTACAAGCAACCCCACACTGCAAGCGAGGGAGCGGAACAGCACCTCATCCTTGAGCTTATCAGATCCAAACATGGATGGGAGGGGATTTGCGTCGAGAAAACCATCCGGCGAACAATCGACCCGGCTTACAACTCCCTCCCACGCTGAATTGACCACTTCAAGTCGCCCAGTCCGAGTTGATCAATGCAAGCCACGTACAACTTCATCATCTAGCCAGATCTACAGCCTCGGTCCCAAGCCGTGTTTATTGGGATTACAACGCAGCAGCAAAAGTAGAGGATTCAAGAGTCACGCCACTATCAAAAAGTCCAAATATGGCAAATATCGCTTCACCTTTATCCTCTTCAACTACAGCTGTCTCCGCACCAGGAAAAGTCCTTCTAGCCGGTGGATATCTTGTCTTGGATCGCAAATACACCGGTCTAGTGTTTGGGCTCAGTGCGCGAATTCATGTCATCGTTCAGGATATCAAGACCAGTTCGGGTGTAGAGCTGTCGGAAATAGTGGTTCAAAGTCCGCAGTTCCGGGACGCAGCGTGGAATTATGGGTATCATCTAGTTGAGGATCAAGGTGGGGTGGAAGTAACGCAGTTGCCAGGGTAGGACTTTTCTATTGCCCGAGAAGAAAGGCTGTCTTGATATCCCCGAATCCGCCCCCTTCTCTCGGTCTTATCACGTGGCATTGTCACGAGACCATTGTTTTGATTTCGATGCGTTTCTCGCTTCGAGGTCGTTGATGGAACTGGACGATATTCCCGGCATATGTCTAGTTTCATGCTGAATCTGGCTAATGTGATCTAGCAACTCGTCTATTCCATTATCACGCAACCCTTTCGTCGAGACAGCGCTAGCTTACGCCCTGACATATATCTCGACGCTCCTCTCAACCACCATCAAGCCCACCAAGATTACCATCCTTGCTGACGACGATTACTACTCCAACACCTCCACCACCACCCTTTCCTCTTCTACCGCCACCCACAAGTTCACCGACTTCAACGTCCGCCTCCAAGACGCCCACAAAACCGGCCTCGGCTCCTCTGCTGCCCTCGTCACAGCCTTCACAGGCGCCATCCTCTCCCACTACCTCCCCTCCTCCATCTTCACGCTCTCCTCCCCAGAAGGCCGCTCCAAACTGCACAACCTCGCACAAGCAGCCCACTGTGCTGCCCAAGGCAAAGTAGGCTCCGGCTTCGACGTCGCAGCGGCCGTCTACGGAACATGCGTCTACAGGCGCTTTTCACCCTCCATCCTCTCCAGTCTCGGCGAACCCAGTTCAAAAGGCTTCGCTACACGTGTGAAGAGCATCGTTGAGGACACCGCTGAGCAGAAATGGGATACCGAGATCTCGAAAGGGGGAGTTACGATTCCTGAGGGCATGGCGCTGGTGATGTGCGATGTGGACTGTGGATCTCAGACTGTAAGCATGGTAAAGAAAGTGCTTGAATGGCGTAAGAATGAGGCGGAAGATGCAAATAAGCTCTGGGACGACTTACAAGGCTGCAATGATCTCTTGGCAGAAAGATTGACGAAGGGATGCACTCTTGAGCTTTCCGAGGCATTCGTGGCGATTAGAGCTATGATCAAGGATATGAGTATGGCTTCTGGGGTGCCGATCGAGCCTGAAGAGCAAACCGAGCTGTTGAATGCAGTCACGAGGGGTGTGAAGGGTGTTCTCGGAGGTGTGGTTCCTGGTGCAGGTGGTTATGATGCCATTGTGCTGTTGGTGCAAGACGATGAGCAGACGAAGACAGAGTTGGAAACATTCCTGAAGAAGTGGAGTGATGAGAAGAAAGGCAATGTGAAGTTATTGACTGCCAAGGGCGAGTTAGAGGGTGCGAGAGTGGAAGATGCTGCTGCATATGGTGACCTCAAATGAGCGTTTTCGATGGTTATTGGTTTTCATGATAGCTTTAGCGAAAATAGGCCAAATTTCACAGAACATCGGCTGTCTTGAGCAAGGAGTCAAACGTTACCTCGAAGCTAGATTTAAATAAAAAGTCATCCCTGAGAACATATGTTAACCATTGGAGAAGATCACCAAGGCACCGATATTGTAAACCGGAGGCCCAGGATCTTGACAGTCAATTACAAAGTTGCCCCATCTTCTTTTTCTGTATTATGAGGTCCAACATGCTTGTCTTAACAGGACTGAAGCATGGAGTCCACTTCCAACTAGTACTCGAAACTCTTAAAGTATTGTATCTTCACTCTCTGTCTCCCTGTCTCCACGGTTAATTCAGTATCGCTGTCATGCTCTGCCCCATTGTCATTATCCTCTCATCGTCATTTGGTGTGTGTCTATCTTCGATAAGGAATACGCATCGTGAGACGAGACCGATCTCTTAATGCCGCAGGCATTTCCATGATCAGCGTAATACAGAAAGCTTCCAGCTCATTAGAACTACATCTCATTCTTTTCACCATCGAAGCTTCCTTGACTTCTCACAATAAGCGATCCTTTGTTGAAACACCCCTGGAATAGATCACTAGATGGCTTTTAAAGCGAACTCCCTCGATAACCAGCCTTCCTTGACCGACCAATCGACCAATCAATATAAATTCCAAGACTTAAAGGCAATCAAGATCCATGTCTCTTTCACTTCGAACTTGCCAATGTAAAAATCAGTCACGACATAATCCACATTCACTACTCTACCTCATGTTGTAATGTACTTCCACCTCTACCCAAGAGCGGCTTAGTCACGCTTACCTTTCTCCTCCACATCTATATATTCCTCAGAGCTCGCCCTTCAACTAGTTGTTCCACACTGCTTAGCAGCGGCTGTTTGGGAAGATACCCACGAGCAAGGAAAGGAAAGAGCGGCTTCACTCTTGTTCAAGAGGCCTAGATAAGAAGTACTAACTTCAGCAAGGGTTTCCTGTTGCAACCTCCTGAAGGTAAGATGAGAGCAAGGTATGGAAGTCGTCAGATATCATGAAGATTACAGGCAAATTGCTGTCATCTCCACACGGCTGTCAATGTTTGTAAGCCATACATAAAAATTATGTAACTCACAACGGATGGGAACGTCTGGGATTAGCCAGAGCAAGCGCCCCAAGAACGAACGAAGGACCTATGGCAGCATATTGGCAGAACTTTATTGAGACGATAGACACTCTTTGCTTCTCGTCATGCTCTAGAATTGAGGGCTCTTCCCGCAAGCGAAGGTTAGGGTCTCATGTGGAAAGATGTTACGTTATATGGAGCTCCGAACTTTCTTGAGGCTTGATGCTGCGGTCTTTGACACACGAAAATTGGAGTAGGAGCACACAAGATATTCAAGGGAGAGGCATCGTACAAGTTGGAATAATGTAAAATAGAGCCTTTTGGTATTTAGTACAGCGACAGATCTACACTTAAGAATTGCAGACAATTAGAGGTGTGTCTTTCCAACTGCAATCAGTGCTGAGCTCATGCTTTTGTTGGCTTGAGGATGATGTTATCAATCAATCTCACAGGGGGTCCACCAGCCAGACCAAGGTCTTCTCCGGGTTGCGGTGATTCGACAGCTAGCATCTTCACCGCACCACTCAGGATAGCTCCCGTGGCCTCATCCACATCTTCCAGCTCCTGCATAGTATCTGGATCAGCCAAGGAGATGTAGTCAATCGCAAATTTCACCCTGTCCTCGGGCTTCATCTGGAATTGTGCCTCCAACAGCAGCTTGACCAATTCATTTGCAGGTCCGAGAAGTTCATCTCTCGATCGACAACCACGAGAATATGCTGCCTCGGCGACTCTCAATGCCATCGATAGCACTGTCGCAACTTTACGCCTTCTCGAACCAAGATATACATTCCTCGAGCTCAACGCAAGCCCGTCCGGCTCCCTCTTCGTCTCTCCAATAACAACATTGGTATCCATACGGAAGTCCTTGACCATCTTCTTGATCACCACCGTCTGTTGAACATCCTTCTGGCCAAAGTAGACCCTCTCCGGCGTTACGATGTTGAACAGTTTCATGCAGACCGTAGCCACGCCTCTGAAAAATGTAGGCCGGCTTGCGCCCTCAAGAACCTCCCCGACAGGAGTGATTGTGACGAAGCTTCCCTTCCCATCAAGTTCTTGACTCGGTGGTCCGCTCGGGTACATCTCTTCCGTTGTAGGTGCGAACACCGCCGCGATCGTCCCCAAATTTCCACCATCAGAAGCCAGTTCTCTGTCAAGATCTTTCAACATTTCCACATCCTTTGTCCATGTCTTTGGATAGCTGTCGAGGTCTTCGTGTACGCCAAATTGAGTAGGATTGACATAAATGCTGACTACTACGGACGAGTTTTCCTTCGCTGCGAGGCGTATTAGGGAGAGGTGGCCTTCATGCAGAGCTCCCATCGTGGGCACGAGACCAACCGAGCGGTAATCGTGAAGCTGTTTAGAACGCCATTGGCGCAGCGCCGGGATGTCGCGGAACACCTTGATTGATGTATTCGGTATGACTTGGTCTCTTCTTCGTGCTTGGATATTTCCAGAGGTGGAGAAAGCTCGTGGATGGCGGAATATAATCTTCGAAGTAGCTACCCTACGCTCAAGGCGAGAAACAGACTGTCTGGAAGCTTGGGAAAACATCGTTGTGTCGTGTATGTCTCCGAAAATGGGAGAAGTAGGTTCCGTGACTCAATCCTGCTTACTTCCCGCCTAGGGTCCATGTTTCCGAGGGAATTCGGTGCAAGGCATCTGTACTGTACTGACTTGTGCTGCGTATATCGAAGTCTGAGTTGGATTCGTCTCATCAACAAGGCTGGAGCTTGAGCTTGTTCTAGTCTAAAAAGAGCTAGCTCTCCCGACCGATAGCGGATAATTTTAGTGCCGTGCCGACCTTATCGATAATTTTTAGAGAAAAATACACCTGGGCAAGCTCTAACGCTCCAACCGTGAGCAATTCTGCGATTTTTGCGCAACCATGGGGGACGATGGCATGATCATGAACTTTGACCTTGGGGATGCCCCCTTGGTCACAAAGCAAGTTTTTCAAGGAGGGCGGTGGAAAGACAGATTGGCGGCAAAGAGAAGCGTCCAAAAGCGGGCAACTCCACGATCGACAAATCCTTCCGAGAGGGAAATATTCAAGGAAAAACGACATGATGTTAGCACGGAAGAATATATCGGCCCTGGAGCAGCACCAAGGCCACCGAAGAGACAACGAGTCGACGACTCTGAGAAGAACCCAAACCGGGTACCTCTTTCCTCCAGCAAAACTACAACTGGAAGCGAACGAGGTGCTAGGAGGAGAGTCTCGTCATTCCAGGAGGATAAAAGATCTGCATTTGTGGCTGGAAAGCTACCGCCTGGCAGTATAAATACAGGTGGGAAGAAAGCGATCTCATTCCAGGACGACACAAGACCAGCTTTTGTTGCTGGGAAACTGCCACCCGGGAGCATAAATACTGGGGTGAGAAGGACAGTCTCTTTTCAAGATGACTCCAGACCAGCTTTTGTATCCGGAAAGCTACCTCCAGGAAGCATAAATGGTGGCCCGAAACGAGATGTGCCCTACCAGGAGGAGACGAGACCTGCTTTCGTCTCAGGAAAACTCCCACCTGGGAGCATCAATGTGGGTATGAAAAGGACTACAAAATTTGAGGACGACCCGAGGCCGGCATATGTATCTGGCAAGCTCCCACCTGGAAGTCTTAGTGGTGGGAAGCCAAACCAAATCATTTCATCGCTTTTCTCATTTAACCCATCCTCGAAAACAAAATTCGAAGAGCCAGAAGCCGAGGTGGAGTCAGCAAAACCTTCGAATGCACCACTAACTGAAGAAATGGCTACTTTCACGGCGCTCGGCCTATCGAGAAGATTGGCTGCTCATTTGTCAACCAAGATGGACATGAAAGCGCCAACTGCAATTCAAAAGGCGGCAATTACTCAGATGGTGAAAGACGACAGCGATGCTTTCATACAGGCAGAGACCGGATCTGGAAAGACCCTGGCCTATCTCTTACCAATTGCTGAGCGAATCATGGGGATGAGTAGCGCAGATGTGCAAGTCCACAGAGACTCTGGTCTCTTTGCTATAGTTCTCGCGCCAACACGAGAATTGTGCAAGCAAATCGCAACCGTCCTTGAGAAGATTTTGAGATGTGCTCCATGGATTGTAAGCACTACTGTGATTGGAGGGGAAGGAAAGCAGTCGGAGAAGGCTAGGTTACGGAAAGGGGTGAACATCTTGATTGCAACACCTGGACGGCTGGCAGACCATTTAGACAATACCGAGGTCCTGAATGTGAGCACCGTGAAATGGTTGGTATTGGATGAGGGTGATCGATTGATGGAGCTGGGATTCGAAGAAGAGATCAAGGGAATCGTCGAGAAGATTGAGAAGAGGGGGTCAGCGGCCAACAGCAAAAGCATTCTTGACTTGAAGAAACTGCCAAGTCGAAGGATTACAGTTCTCTGCTCAGCAACAATGAAAATGAACGTCCAGAGACTTGGCGAAATCAGTTTGAAGGATGCTGTACACATCCAAGCTGACCCGACCGAAGAAGAAGCCGCGAAGGCTGCAAAGGACAAGGTTGATGGTGTCGTTCCAGATGACAAGAAGTTCTCAGCACCGGCACAATTGAAACAGGCATACGCCATCATACCAGCCAAATTACGGCTCGTCAGTCTGGCTGCAATCCTGAAACGAGCCTTCGCACGACGAGGATCGGTGATGAAGGCAATCGTTTTCATCTCTTGTGCTGATTCCGTGGACTTCCACTTTTCGCTGTTTAGTCGTCCACTCGAGGCCGCACCCGAAGATGGAGAGCCAGTTGGTGAACCACCGACAATTACCAAGACGGATCTGACGAAAGACACCATCGCTCTCGGAACCGCTTTCTCGAGCAAAACAAATTTTGTCATCGTCCACAAGCTTCATGGTTCTCTTGCTCAGAATATACGAACAGCAACTCTCAAAGCGTTTACCGAATCCGCAGAGCCTTGTGTGTTGATCTGCACAGATGTTGCTTCTCGAGGTCTTGATCTACCAAATGTTGACTACGTTGTGGAATACGACCCACCATTCAGCGCAGATGATCATCTGCATCGTGTTGGAAGAACGGCTAGAGCTGGAAAGGACGGTCGAGCTTTGATCTTCCTCCTTCCAGGCGAGGAAGAAGAGTACGTCTCTGTTCTTGCATCAGGATATCGGGATGGCAAGAAATCTCTGACACACAACACCTCGGAGGATATCTTAAGGAAGGGATTTGGTGGATCGGGGCGAGAGTGGGAAGAGCGCGCTACAGAGTGGCAATTGGATGTTGAACGCTGGGCACAAGAATCTCCCAAATATCTTGAGATGGCGCGTCGTGGATATCAAAGTCATATTCGTGCATATGCAACGCATGTGGCGAACGAGAGAAAATACTTCAACATGCAGACGCTTCATCTTGGACATTTGGCGAAGGCATTTGCTTTACGAGACAAACCTGGTAGCATTAAAGTACCCGGGTTGAGACCTGCGAAGATGACCAAGGCAGATAGAAGTGTGGCCGCCAGGAAAGCTAAGAGAGGAGAGGTGGAGGATAAGGCGCCAGAAGGAGAGAGGGTCCGGAAGCAGAGGAAGCTCGATCTGGACGCACCGGCAGTGGATGGCAACGATGCCATACGGAGGATGAAAAAGAAGATGAAAGAACACATGTCTGTGGCATCAGAATTTAATATTGGATGAGTAGTCGGAAAACAAATCGAGATACCCAACTCCTTATCCATAGGGAGGTGAGAATAGGGAAGATTCGTGAACAGAAACCCGCGAATCTGTGACTTTAATGCGGACCTGAACTCAACCAGAACAACCAGTAGACAATCTCAATACTGTGCAGGCAAAGATCTTCATTTTGATGAGATTGGAATGATACAGTAAAGCACGTGAGCATGCTCGGGCCATCTCGAGCCTCGCGAAAAGTCGCGTGTAAGCGCGTCCCTCCTCCAACATCATACATCGTACAATTTGCTTGTTCCATTCATTCGTCAACTTTCGCCATATACCCCGACTGTCGTTTCAATCCTGTAGTTCTGAGTAGTTTGATATCACCCATTTGGCCTTTATTAGTTTATTGTTATTTTGGCAGCATTATCCGCGATACTGCGCAGTACATCCGGAACTGGATTGTCGAAGCTTAGATACCTTCGACATCCACGAGTCTTTCCCATGTCAAATCGTTGTAAGGATTGTCTTTCTTTTTTAATACCCAAGAGTTTGAAGTCAATTGGGGTCAGATGCACGTGTATCTTAAGTTTCTCAACTATCTTGTCAACATGGGTATTTTTCTAATTGCGAAAGACCAGTAGCTGATTTTCACTTCTGTTTTATTAAACCAATTGAATATCTCTGTAAAATTTCACCAATCGCCATGATGGAAATGAGGTTGTCCGCGGCGAATATCCGACCTGACAACGATGGATGGGATCCTGTTAAGGGCGACTACTACAAGCAATATTCTTCTTTGATCTCCGATCCACAACTGAGAGCCAAAGCAGAGGAACAAATGCAACGGATCGTGCTGCAGGCTGAAGAATCAAGGAGGGCTCGAGAATTACAGAGGTCACAAGAGATAGTCAAGGCTCAGCAAGCTTCGAGGGAGCAGAGCCGACATCCAGCGAAGGCAGCCAAGCTGGTCGACTACCAGGAGCAAATGCGACTTTTAGGAGAACAAGAAAAAATGCGTATAATCAAAAGATAGATGGCATTTAAAGAGCAGAGTATCCTGGAGCAGCAACAGCACGACGACCGCGAAAGGCAGAAGCAAGTTGCAGAAGAAGAACATGGGGTAATTCTCCAACATCGAATATCTGAGCGCGAAAGAGAGATGCGAGAGGCAAAACAGGACCAGAAGACACCGAATGAAGTTCGTGAACGGAAAAGGCAACAGTTAGAAGAGCATGAGGGTTTCAGACAGGTTCAAGTACTTCTCGACCAAGAAAGACGGCGACTGGCAAACGAGGAGGTATCACAAGTTGCACTGACAAAAGTGGAAGAAAAAAGAAGAGCTGCGGAACAAGTAGAGGCTACGCGATATCATCACCGGGTCATGGCACGAGCAGAGCGCGAACATGAGGAATTGGAACGGAGCCAGCAAGATAGACCAGCACTGGCAATCTCAGCTCGACAATTACCTACATCCGAGACTAGAAACATGCATCTTCAGGCGGGAATGCGAGTAGTTCGGGCAAACGTAGTGAGCCAGGACCAGCAGAAGCTGCATGAGAGACACAAAGATATCGTCTCGGCAGCTATCGAGGCAGCGGCAGCCCAAGCTACCTCTGCCCAGAAACGATCTCACGCCGAGTTTGACGAAAGGCCAAATGGTACACAATTATCTCCTCGAACTTTCAAGAAGCCAGAAAATGTCTTCTCCAGAATGATGCGTGCACCGCAAAAGGTCACAGACTCTCCTCGCGACTTCAGCCATTGGGATGCGCATCTCCAGCAGGCGCTCGATGACCAGGTCTCGGCAGGATATGTTCGAAATGAAGCGGATTGGGCAACAACCATCACGAAAACGATTCAAACATCTCTCGAGAGCATGATCTTTCCCTATATCCGCCACCGAGCTCACCCCCAAACAAAGATCAATGCATTGCACGTTTTGATAGAGACAGCTACCGCAACGGCCTATGCTCCTCGATCTACGGCTGCTGATATGATTCGTAACAGTTCGCTTCCAAGAACACTGCTGAGTTGTATGTTGGAGATTGCGGAGAAGATGTCAGGTTCGGAACGGAAGACTGTTCTAGAGGAGCAAGCATTCCTTCATAAGGTCAAAACCCTCAGATACCAGCCAATGATTTCCTGGAATGGAAATACCTGGACTGCCCTGGACGAGTTGCTCAGGTTGATGAAAGATCCCGGGCCAGTTGGATTCAGGATGATTTTTGATCAATTGTCCAGCCAAATAGGATCTGGTCGAGGGGTGACATCTATCGCTACTGGAGTCCGTAGAATCATCAAGAGCGATATAACCTCGTACGTGACTCCAAGCACCTGCTTCGAATTGGAGGACAACGCAATGAATGTCCTGGCAGATGCTGGGACATTTGCGATGAAGGTACTTGGCACGCAGTACCGGGCCCCGGCGGATCTGTTTGGAGAGATAGCAGTGGCCCTATCGGAATTGGGAAAGATGCTGGACGGAGATGAAATTCGCCAAATTCACTCTGAGATGATTCAAGATCCCAATTTTTCAGCAGCAAACTTCCTCGACCACTTCTTAGAGTGCATAGACGATGACATTGTGACGTTCAAGACAGTGAACAATCATCAATTCAAGCATGATTATGGCTTCAGATCGAGGTCTTGCGCCGCATTTCAACTCTTTGTCGATAAGAAGAGATCACAGATGAAGCGAACACACGGCAATGATGGTCTACTGGCCAAAATATTGCTTCTCAGATGGAATCACATCTTATTCGACCCAAGCTGGTCCAGATCTCAACTTGCTTTAGATGATCTTCTGGAATTGCTTGTAGATAGCTCGGTCCCATTGAGTTGCGATCGGTACCACTGGAAGATAGATTCTGCGTTGCACAACGCAGGAATCGAGGGTTCAAGTGTTTACGCTCGAGACAAAGTTGCCAAAGACGTTCGCACGGCAGTCGATCGTAATATTTCTCATGTTCTAGCTTTGGGACGGAAAGGCTGCATGGAAACGAAAATGAATGCGTTCAAGGCATTGGTCAAGATTGGGATGCGGATGGTCGAATGGATATGTCTGCTGGTCGGCCACGATGGTAACTCGATATTTTCAAGGATCATCTGTCCGAAGACGCGGCGACGGACGCGATGATGGTCATTTGCGATTCGATGGTAAAGATGGGTGGCACAATAGCAGTGTCGTGCCAAGATCTTAGTATCGTGAACGACTTAGATGTTCTGCGAGCTCCGATACCTGAAGCATTTGAAAGTTTGGATGGCGTGCTGGATGTTATCAGAAATCCGAGCAAGGTGGGAACCAATGACGAGAAGAGAGTCGAGTTGCTGACTGTTCTGAAATCCAAAACTGTCATCGATCTTACAGATGATTGAAAAGAAAGCATTCTGTAAGCTGGCTGCAGTCTTTATCTTTTAGTAGTCGAGCAGAGTCGCATTGGACCTGGTGTAATAGGCGAGATTTTGGTGGGTCTTGGGGAATGGTGAATACCTCCGTTTGACCTCTACTGCTTTGAGTTCCGCTACTCGCAATGCAGCAACATGCCAACCATAGAGTTACATCCTGAAGTCAACGCAGATATTATTCTTCTACTACTAGTCACGGAGGTTATTACCTCAAACACTAAGGTTAGGAGCAAAGAAAATCAAATTCAGCAGCAACTTCTGGAAATCTCGCTTAGATCGATAGAAAGTAAACAAATCGCAACGTCAAGGAATGTCAAAACATGTAACAGAAATCTTCAGCATAAAACCCCCAGAAGTTCAGTAGGGCAAGAACAATCAGTTTGATAATTGTCATAGTGCCATTTCGCGGCGTATTTGCGACTACTTTTAGGAGTATTTAGGGCATGCGCATCGCGGGGCAATGATAATGCTGGAGCTGCGAATGTCATTGTTGCTTACTACGTGGTTTAAAACTTGGAATACTAATGAACATGAGATGAACAGCGCAAACAAAATGGCTATGACTGTCATGAGGCTTGGGTTAAAAGCGTTGTTCATGAATTATCCTTATGTCGTTTCAATAACGGTCTCATGCGACGAATTTGTCATTGGCAGGAACCTGGAATCACGTAGTGTTACTGCCAAAAAACTAGGTCGACGCCACATTTTTATTCTTCGTCGAAGCGCTGTTCAAATTCCAAGCTGTGGTCTATCAAGAACATCAAGCTTAGCCAAACGTTATCAAGCTTAATCAATCGTAACAATCTGAATCACAGTACAAAACTTTGAGGCATAATGTTCTCTGGTCCAAGGCATTCTTTCGACAAAGAACCTGGCTTATTTGCGGTGAATCTCTCCGTCTGCGAGTTCCAATAAAACATCGTTACTTCAGGTTCAATGCCAGTTACTAGTATCGCACCGAACATTACTTAAGTTTTATGGCACGATTACGCAGCTAGTAACTGTCATTTTTGAATTTGTATCGTTATATGAGGGGAGAAAGCGCACAGCAAGAAGTCATTAGAAGTAGAAGCAAAGCACAAAAATCCCAGAGTACGCCAGCTAGAGGCCCATAAGAGTGCAGGTAAGGCTTTAACGCCTTGAATCATCATGTAGACCCATTTGAGACTAGCTCGAGAAGTGACTCTGGCCGTCGTAGGCGTTGTTGTTAGTCGTTATTCAGACCCTTGTCTCGCTTATTCGAAGCCACAACAACAGCGTCGCTGTCTCTTTGATTCCTCCAAAATTTCTTCAAAATAACATCAAGATCGATCGTGTTCAGTCTGTGAGCGTACAAGATAGTACTTACTTTGCTCTTTGCCCTTGCAATATGAACAACCCCTGTAAGTCGGTCGTGGTGCTCAATTGACATACACACTTTGTTTTGGGAAACAGCGCTAATACTTCGAAGCAAGACGTGGTGCTGGCCGTGGCCGAGGACGACAGCCTCGAATTATTCTCAATAGCACTCCAGATAGCAGAAAATCTTCAAAGAAGGCTGCGACTGCGAAATCAGCCTCGCGACCTGCCGGCCTATCAGGTTTGTCTCCTCTGCTCACCTCCATTTTGCTGCTCTAAAATTCACTTTCAAATCTCCGCCACGATCATAATTCTCCAACTTTTCGGTCTGCTCTATACGAGCAGCTTAGCACTCTCCTTACACACAATGGCAAAAAAGAACCAAGCTGCTGGCTTCGCAAGATCGGAAACCTCAAGTCCTCCGACAATGCCATCCTCTCTGACCAAACAGGCTGCCCTTATCCTCAACTCCGTCGACATCACTGCCGTTTCATTCGATGAGTACTTGAATATGACTAATAGCAGTGGTACATCAGGCAACGAAGGACCCCCTCCAGCTGCGACGAGTGCAGACGAAAGTGTATCTGCTGTCGACGATAAGGATACCCCTGTGACTGGCACTGAGATGTCTCTTCCTGAGAATACGGAATCCCCATCAGAGACTGGATCTTCAAAGCTGAAAGAGAAACTACTTGCGGCTCGTAGAGCTGCTCCAAACTCTTACAATACGTCCTCTCCTCTCAAGAATAATTCTGTTGGAGACAAGACGCACCACGCTGCCGCCGATGCCAAGCTGGAACCCATCAAGTAAGTCCAATCTCTTGCATCAAAGTACTAGCATCTTTTGTTCCAGAATGAATTGTTTTCCTTCTCTATCAGAGCGTGTAGCAAGCTGACTCTTTATTTCTCGTTTCAGGGAAGTTACTATCGTTGACGAGCTCATTTCTCGATTCCCTGAAATGATTACAGCTCCCTCAAAATCAATAATCGTCGATATCATTATTCTCTCCGATTTCCTCAAAACCTCTGCTCCTACCGACGGTCTTGGAGCCCAACCCATTGACTACGCACAGATCGAGTTTCTTGCTGACTGCATCATCGCTCGCTCTGCCAACCACATCCAAGTTCTGCCTGCAAAGAAAGAGGTCATTTTGAATGCCAACCCGGGAGAGAAAGCTGAGGATATCGAAATCAAGGATCCTGTTGCAATGCAAGAGGAAAAAGTACGGTTGCTCTTTCAAGTCTTGTCCAATGAACTCAGCGCTCGCTTCCCACCTGACCCAGCCGCTGACCCGATCACGTCCGCCGAAGAAGAAGATACTATCTTCAGAGAGAATGCTGTTCATCTGAAAGATACCATATCTTTGAACTTGAGTATGTTCCCAGCGGATGGCAAATTGCACGCAGATATCTTGAAGTTCGACCGCGAGGAAGAGAAGCTCCGGTTGACGAAGGAAGCAGCCGAGAATGCCAAACCCAAGAAGGAAACACAAGCAGAAGTCATCCGCCGCAATATGGACTTCCTTGCCCAAGACCCATCCATGCCAACTATGCCGTTTGAGGAGGACTACGTCGAGCGTTACAGCAACTATGAGGACATGGCCAAGATTGGGCACATGGTTAACCCAGACGGACCTCTTGGTAGGGCTTATCGTTCTAAGCTTATTAAACAGAAGTCTGCCTTGGACACCGAGATGGCTAGGCATAGCACTCTCGTAGAGGCACAGAAGCGAGGTCAGGCAGGAACCCGTGCAAGAATTGATGGTAGCATTGCTGGCGCGCATGCCAGTGACTACTTCTACACGTTTGGGAAGTGAACATCATGAAAGTGTAACAGCAATAATAGTAACATGCTATAGTTTGGGATTCAGCATGGCGTACAGGAGATACCCAAGGGATTATGCTGTCTCAAAGTATCTAAGAATTCTAAGACCTTGAAATTTTAGAATCATTGCATCCTTCACATTCTGCCCACATACACTGACCATCATTAATGCTTCAAGAAGTTTGATTTGTCATTTTCTGTTGTTTGTGTTCGGCAAAGTAATCCTGATTCTGCCATTATCTCTAGTACATTCCACAAAGACCTGTAATACTGCTTGCTTATCTCTTTTGGATATTACTGCTTGCAAGAGCTTTGACAGTTCACATGACACAAGATGTCCCAGCTACCCGGTTATCCCAAATGTAGTGGAACGTTGGAAAACATATTGTGTGTGTTGGTAGAGAAGACGGTAAGTGTAGGCCAGTTGAAGCTGGTGTGACAAATCTCACCATCTGGTGATTGAGAAGGTTCAGCCGCGTTGCCAACCCAAAAATGGGATATATCTGCTCAGGCTCGTGCTAGTACGTATGGTTGTCTACCTTGTTCAAACTCCAATGGTTATGGGTCGCCCAGTTGAACTTATTATGTTGTTTTCCGGCCCTCTTGCTACCCTCTTGCTAACTAAGTGTAGGTAAGGGTACTAATTAAACAGTCGACACGAGAAACATCCATACTCAGATGTACCCAGCCAACAGAAGAGAATATTAAGCTTTCACATTAATAGATCCTCCTCTCGTTCCCACCGAACTCCAAGAGTACGCCCCTTGATATTCCAACAGACCCAATAATTCAACCAAAGAGCTGTTGAAGAACTTTGCTTCCCCAGTGCTTCTTCCCATTGTGATCAATGTAAACGCCCTTTGCTGACTCTTCTAGCATGGTACACCACTCTCTCTCCCAGCCCACAACTGAATGAACCTCCGCGTGACCTGGGGACCACACGCTTTGTGTGGTAATCGAATCGTCCGTCTTCGACGACTGCGGTGGAGGCTAGGGCTTTCTCTCGCATCAGAGATATACTGTGTTCAATTAGAGATCCATGAGTATGGCAATTGGGTTGGTTTGCTTGGGCTTACTCGTCTTCGCTGTAACCTGGGAAGTGTATAGCTGGACCTTCTTTGAAGTCGAAAGGAGCGCTCTACAATTTTTATTAGCAGGTCATATGGGCGGTAATGTATCCCAAGACTCACAATTTGTATGACTTTAGGAGGCGAAGACGGCTTCAGACAGAGTACTTGACGACATCTGCTCCCAATGTCCGAGAAGAAGTTGTGGATTTGTGGTAATGGCGTCATCGTGAAGAATAAATGTCGGTGGTATGGTAGAGAGGACGATATATAGGTATGTCTCTGATTAATTGATATGAAATGACTGTGAAATGGAAAAACTAGACGCTGGCTGATAAAACGAGGGACTGAACGACAAGATAAATTGAGAGGAAAGGACTGAATAACGATGACCGCCAACAACGATAGTAGTTGCAGATTATCGAACCGCGCTGTGCATGCTTCTTCTCATATGTGGGGATACTGAGGACTATATACAAAGGTCCATCTGAATTTAGATGTTTCTAGGTAGGTAAGATGGACGTGCTGCTAGGGGCAACGCGATATCAGATCATAAATTAGTAAGAGTCAGTGTAACATCATGTAGGCAGGCGGTGGCGCCAGTCTTGCCATTCTCAGGGTGATCATGGAGCAACGGATAGTACGAGCCATGATACAAGTGACTTCTCCTTGCACCGGAGATGGGTTGCCATGGATAATAAAGTCCACTTGGAATGGAAAACCTTGATGCCTGAATCCTTTGTAGCGTAGTACTGCGGCTGAGGAACACCTCAGCACGCCGATGATGCAAAAACCTGGCCATGGAAGTGGCGAGAACGTGTTTAGGGGTCTTGAATCTCCCGCGGGAAGGGTTCCGAGAATGGATTGGAAAATGTAATGATTCCCCACGCTAATCCAGGGGAAAGCTTATCTTGTATAACAATTTCCAGAGTGTGTTCATTTCTCGCAGCAAGGCATATCAAACTGTAGTCCATCCGAAGCAAGGGAGGGATAGCGTTCAAGGGGTAGCCAATCGCATCCACATAGGGATGTTTAAGCGAGCGGAGCATTCTCCGTATCCCTATGTGCAACCACGGTATGTGCGAAAGCTGTGATCGACAATCACTGGCAATTCATGTTTCAGTGATGCTACTAGTTGAAGCCACATAGCATGTTGGGATCCCACAGCGTTAAAAGGCAGAATTGAAACGAAATCCACGTTCCATTAGCCATATCTAGGTCACCAACGCCGAATGACAGGAGGTGTTTCCGAAACCTGGTGTCACTGAAATATCTCTGGTTGCCGGGCCCAGGTCGGCGAAGATCTTCTTCTACTTAGGGTAGTCCTTGACGTGGAAACTCTTCAGTTTCACGAATTGGTCAAATCCAAATTTGCTCAGGGTTTGGCCCTTTCCAGAATTTTTCCAGCCCGTCCACGCAAGGTCCTACAAAGGGTCAGCCCTGTGGATTGAATGGAAGGGATATGTGGAACTTACCGGACTTGGATAATCACACCTATTCACGAATACAGTCCCTGCGTCAACATCTTCTGCCAGTTCAGCCCCTTTAGCAGTGTCCTTCGTCCAAATTGAGGCAGTCAAGCCGAGTTCGCTGTCGTTCATTAACTTGATAGCCTCAGAATCATTCTTAACCTTCATAACAGGGATAACAGGACCAAAAGTCTCCTCCGTCATGACAATCATCTGATGAGTTACATTTGTCAATAGCGTTGGCTTGATGAAATTGCCGTTAGGTGGAGGCGACTTAAACGATTCATTGTCCGGAGTTGCATCCTTTGCGCCCTTGTCCAGTGCGTCCTTGATATGTGCTTCGATTGCTTCTTTTGAGCGTTTTGAGATCACCGGCCCAACATGTGTCCCCTTGTCAAAGGGATCGCCGAGCTTGTATCCCGCAAGAACCTTCTGCACAGCTTCGACAAACTGGTCGTGGATCTTCTCGTCGACATAGACTCGCTCCAAGCTGCAGCAACTTTGGCCAGAGTTAAATATAGCTCCATCAACAATTTCCTCAGCTGCCCATGCCACATCAACATCTGATCGGATATATGCCGGGTCCTTGCCACCGAGTTCCAGGCCGACACCCACGACGCGATCTGCTGCTCCCTTCTGAACAGCGAGACCTCCAGCAACGGATCCAGTGAAGCAGATAAGGGCGATTTGCGGATCTCTAACGATCGCTTCGATAGTTGTGGGTGAGCCGCAGTGGAAGTATTGGATTACGTTAGGAGGAAGTCCGGCTTCTGTGAATATGGAGGATATGTGTTCAACAATCGTTGGAGTTTGCGGTGAAGGTTTGAGTATAACGGAGTTTCCAGCCAGAAGAGCTGGTATGAGCGAGTTCATAAGGATCAGATACGGGTACTGCAGATCGATTAGCTAGAATATGGTCGGGGCTCAATCGTCTCCAACATACATTCCATGCGAATAGAATAAGGACTGGCCCCACTGGAACTTTTCGAATGAACCTCTTGAATCCTTTCTCTGCCTCGCCATCTGTATCCTTCAGAGTATCCTCACTAATCTTCAGAAGATACTCCCCTCTCTTGACCGCAGTCGTCACTTCTTTGGCTGTGTATGCAATGGGTCGTCCCATCTGTTCCGTCAGCTCCTTTGCCAGCTCATCTTGCTTAGCCTCCAGAAGCTTAAGTGCTTTCTCCACAATGGCTTGCCTGTCTGCTAGCGATGTCTTTCGAAAGCTCAGGAACGCCTCGGTTGCCACCTTTGGAAGCAGCTGAAGCTCCGTGGCAGAGATTCCACTTCGGGTCAGAACTGGCTTGTTGGTGGTTGGAGAGATGGTGGTGATGGTTTCGACGGACATGTTGGGAGGATTGGAATGGTTAGCTGACGTGGGGTTTGAAGAGGGAGGTACCGAGTAGAGAAGACAAGAGCCAAATCTTCAGAGTGGGATAAATGTTGTCGCGCCTCCCGCACACACGATTCATTCATTGCACCCCACTACCACGACGTGCCGGCCAACATATGACATAGCCCCGCCAAGGGCATCATCCCGCCCGATTTGTTACTGATTACAGGGGTACTAACCTTATTTTCAGCAGCCCCAAAAACTTTCCTCGTGCCCATTGCGTCTACTCCAAATACACAACAACCACACGCAAAATGACGACTCGAAAGCACAACGAATTCCTTGATGCGGATGACAGCGAAGACGATCGCAGTCAGGGCTATGACTCGGAGATCGAGGATGTAAAGAAGGGCGGTGGCAGAAGTTTCAAGCGGAGGAAAGTGGACAGTGATCTCAGCGACGAGGATGAAGGCGAGCTACATGACAATTCGGAGGAGGAAAAGGAGGAGGATAAGAAGGCGAACCAGGAGGAACCAAAGGATACGATAGCATTGAAGAAGGTACCCCGCAATGCAAATGATACGATGGAATTGCCCGGCGTTTCGAAACCTCTGTCGAAGAAAAATCTCGTTGCAACTGCTGCAGCGATAAAGAAGTCTGGCGTTGTCTACCTGTCCCGAATACCACCGTTTATGAAACCTCAAAAGCTCAGATCACTCCTCGAGCCATATGGTCCTATCAACCGCATCTTCATGACACCTGAAGACCCCGCATCGCATACTCGTCGAGTGCGCAATGGCGGGAACAAGAAAAGATCATTCGTCGATGGATGGGTTGAGTTCGTCAATAAGGTTCATGCGAAGCATGTCTGTGAGCTGTTGAACGCAAAGACAATTGGCGGAAAGAAAGGCACATATTATCATGACGATGTGTGGAATCTGCTCTACCTGAAGGGCTTCAAATGGAACAACCTCACAGAGCAAATCGCCACGGAGAATGCAGAACGCGCCAGCAGAATGCGAGCAGAGATAAGCAAGACTACGAAGGAGAACAAGGAATTCGTACAGAACGTGGAGAGGGCGAAGATGTTGGAGGGAATGGAAGCCAAGAAAGCTGCTAAGAGGAGAAAAGACCTTGAAGACACAAGGGAAACGAATGTGCCGCCAAAGGCAGAAAAGATGGGCGGAGAACGAGCACGTCAATTCAAGCAGACGCCAGTGGCAGCGAAAAGACGGCCAGAAGACCAACCGGAGCAGGTCAAGAGGGTTTTGAGCAAGATCTTCTAGACTAGGATGCTCAATCAAACGCAAGTAATTTGCTGGAATGGTTATAGTTTTGACACCATTGCATCATCTCCAATATTTCCTAGTCATTTTGGAGGGCTGTTTCAGTAAGTTCGAGGATCCCTTCGTATCCTTCAAGGTTCTCCTGAGCTCCTCATCAGCAAGTTGAATAATATCTCTGAGCTGGACATTAGAACACGTCAATAACTGCCTGTCTGGCATAATTTGGCGCGTGTTTTGCTTTCGAGAAGAAACATTCCCGTTGCTTAAGTATCTGTGTGCTTTGGTTAGCTTTCAGCTCTCGATCTTCCCACCTATTACCAACTCGGAAGTAATCCGCAGAGTTCCTGACCAGTCCTGGAGTGTGGTTGAGAAGCACCCGGCGATATTCCCAGTCTAAGATTTTGCACTACGTTCTCATCCTTCATGACTCTGCGTCTTGGATTTTGTGTTCCACGCCCTTGTGAAAGAACTATTCAACTTCGGAAGCTCATGGCTCTTATGTACCTCCTTGGCTGGTACTATTTTCATAGCTCGGCATTTCTTGACGAAGGGAGGTATCCTAACCAAAAAAATGCAGAGGGTAGTGTTCTCCGAGATGACTCTCGTTGAAATTGTATGTACTTGAGTGCTGCCAGCACAGACTTAACCTAGGCTGCCGTCCCAGCACATGCTGACTCTATCAGGAGATTCGATGATGAATCACTTTCTAGGCATAGAAAAATCCGACTCACTTCAAAGCTCTTGGGTTTTGTTGCAACTAGCCAGGGAAGTGAGCGTTTCCCCTCTCCGTGCAAGTCCACACGCAGCTTGTTTTCCTTCCATTTTGTCTGCTTCCGGAAGCAACAAACGTCGCACAAATGCCTCGCTGCTAATTGTACGCACTTCCAACAAAGAACATCGGAAACCCTAGCCCAGTAGACTTCAGAATCAAGCAGCAAGTCTTTTTCTTCTTCTTACAAACAAATGTGTTTTTCAATGTCTGATACGCGACTTGTACTTGGCAGATCTTATAATCATGGCCAATCAACCTGGCCTTGCAGCCCCGAATCCTTGGCCGCCAAAGTATGCCCTCTCTGACACGGGTAGTACGGGCTGTATGTAGATTTCTGCATCTTTCTTCTAAGATCTTAGATGATCGAGTCTGAAGACATATAGTGCCTATATCAATGTTGACTGGAAAGGTCTTGACGGACACGTATAATGACACGGCGAGAGCTGTTGAGACAATGATGCCGCTGAGAACTTTCTGCGAGACGAGGCCGGACAGTAATAATACCAAGCATTGGACAGTTGAACTGGACGGGTGGATTCGGAGGGCGAATGGCAATCTGAACCATTGTCGAGCTGCTGCCGCTTCGCTGCCTGTGGTATCATGAATCGTGTTTTGCATAGATTTTGTTTAGGATATTGAGGAGCGAAGTACTGTAAATAATAGCCATTAGATATGCAATCTTTACGTAGAACAAAAAGGGTATCCATGCTTGCTATGCGACACATACAGTACAGGGTCAACTTAATAAATGTCCCAGAGGCTGACCTTCCCATCCTTACTACCAGCAGCAAGCCAGTGTGCCGTCCTTGCCTTCAATAACCTTGCTTCCTTGACAGTCATAGAATTCTCCTTTTTGACCAACTCACTCCCCTCTCCGCTTTCCTCTTTGTTCTCGACTTGGGCAAAGGCAACGGCATAACAGCCGTGACTGTGCCACTTCAAAACTGCTAATTCCTTCATACCCTTCGCACCGTAGACTCGGACTCTAGAGTCCCACCCTGCAGTCGCAAAGATTTTGCCGTCGTTACGAATACGTAAACTTTGCTGGCCGGCGTGCTTCGACTGGAGGGTTTTCAAGGGCATGCTTTCGACAGCCATGATAACATTCTCGGCTGCTACGGGAATGGGATGTTTAGCGATAATGGCATCAGCAGAGGATGTGATATAGAAGTCTCTCGTAGGAGAGACGTCGAGAGACAGGATAGGTTGGGTGTGTGCTTGGGATGTGTAGAGGTGCGACCAGGTTGAGTTTGCGAGCTGGGAGACACTTGTGTGGCCACTTTCGTAGGCAGCGAGCACTGTCAGACAGGCAGCCTGAGGATGGTAGAATATGGATACAGCCATCACCATCCCACCCTTGATTGAAGATGGACTAGGAACAGTATGGATGCGCATTGAAGATGGCAAATGGAAAATGTCAACCTAACAGGATCAGCGTAGTCCGGTATGAAGGAACGGGAGTAATGCTAACGTACGGTTTCGGAACTGAGGGTATTGGGGACAGCTATCAAAAGCTCTTCATCAGAGCTTTGTAATGGGCATTGCGCGAATGAGCAGAAGTTCATGGTGTTGACATGAAGCACATGTAATAGCCATGGCTCTCTCCGCGGCTCCGGCGGCACATCAACTGGCAGCACAGTGCTCATGGACGCTTCGTCCTCTTCTGATAGTCTCCAAACAATGAGCTTGTTATCTTTGCCATGCCTGCAATAGTGTTAGAGAGAGATAACAAGATTCCCGAAATGGGCATATAACATGTGAGAGAATGTCTGTTTGATATCGGAGGTATGTAAGGTAGCCTAGGAGATATGTGAAATTATACATGATTCGCCTCTCTTCCAAGCACGCTCGCGGGACTCTATCTTCTCATAATAACACCAATGAACTATAGATAGATCAATTCGTGATAATACTTGAAACATACTCACGTGATAAGTTTGTCAAAACCCCAGGGACTGGCCCCAAGGATTGCACCCTCATGGGCTCTCCAGACAGCGACTGGTCTTTTCGTTGCCAGGCTCCATATGACTATCCAACCTTCTTCATCGCCGGTGACAAGCCGGCTGTTTGACCGTATGAATGTGGTTGAGTGTATTTGGGAGCCATGACCACGCAGGATGTACGCCGGCTGGGCTGGAGGTAAAGCCATGCCGGCTACTGCCGCTGCTTTATTTGGATCAGACTTTAGAAGACGATGCTGGTCAAGAGTCTGGGATCTGTGGTTGACGGCCCGCCGTGTCAGGTGGTGCTGATGCTTTTCGCAAGATGTTGGTCAAGACTTTCGGGTTCGTAATATTGAGGCCAAAAAAAGGTTGGTTCTCCACCGACCATGCGAATATTCATGCATCAAACCCATGGTTTGTATGCTGTTTGGGGTATCGAGAAACCAATGAAAGTAGAGCGATATTTCGATGCAGCCGCAGGTTTGTTTCGAAGATATATAAGCAATTGGCGTGCGGTACCTACTGTACCTTAAAATAATATAATATTGATAATCCTGCATCTGTCTTGTCTGGCCCCTTCCCCTCCCACACACGTGAGTGAAGAGCTAAGCTTGGGGCAAGCGAAATCTGGGGCACCTCATTCCCGCCTTTCAAATTCCAGGTTCCCATGACCTTAGCTTAGCCTCCCACTACAGTAAGTCCCCGCTGCAAGTCAGATTGAACCCCAGTCCGTCCAGCCATTCCTTAGGAGCTTTGACGAGCTTCTACCTCAATTTGATGCAGGCAGGCAGGGCAAAGCAGGACAGGTGGTAGGTAGGTTAGTCATTGGGGTGGTGGAAGGGTCAAGACAAATAAATGGAAGGCTGCAGGGAAGGGAAGGGAAGGGAAGGGAAGGGAAGGGCAGGTGCAGGTGCATGCTGCAAGAACCAGAACTGCTCTACAGTAGAGTTGAGTTTCGGCTCTTCTCACGAACTCGTCTACAGTCCAGTCCAGTACTGTACAGGATGACTTCCAATAGGTAAATTCTCCCTGCCAGGCCAGGCCAGGCCAGGCAATTGTGCAAACTCAACGGAAGCCATGGCTGTTCTTGGACATCACAACCGCTCGCGCTCTCCATCTCTGATCATCTCTGATGGCTTCCTGCAGCAGGACAGGACAGGACAGGACAATCAGACAGCTGCTGCTACCCGCCAAGATGCAGCGCTTTCCTCAGCATTCTTCTGCCACTCGTGGCCCGTCTCGGCACTCGTTGCAGAACCCGCTGATCGGCGAGTTGTGAGTTGTCTTGCTCTGCTCTGCTGTTCTGTTCTTCTATGCTATGCTATGCTATGCTATGCTATGCTATGCTATGCTATGCTAAACTAGGTATGCTATGCTATGCTCTGCTCTGCACTTGCACTGGATGCGACTGACTTGATGTCAGTGTGAGTGAGTGAGGAGGTTCTTCGATTCGGGAAACATGACATCCGAAGTCCCCTCCCCCTCCCCCTCCCCCTCACACATGGGCGAACAGAGCTCGACCTTGAGCTCGTTTGACCAACCGTGGCTGTGCTGGAAGGGACCTACCCGCGCATCAAGAATTGATCGCCATCAGGGGCAAGCTTTCCACCCTGCCTGCTCTCCAATGGGGACACTCCGTCAACCCCCAAGGCTCGGGAGGGCTACGAGTTTGCGGCAGCTCTGTGACAGCAGGCTGACAGCCGCGCACCCTCCCTCATACACACACAGGCAGCTGGGTCCGATGTCATGTCATCGGTAGGTAATTCCCGGAGTAGTTCTCGTCACTTTTACTGGCTGGTCGTAGAGCAAGGAACATTTACGCCGATCTGTCAATATTTCAAAAGAATCATACTGTACCTACTGCATTGTAGGTATGCCGTCGCGAGGAGATCTCACTATTCCTATTTCGAGGAAGACAGGCAGGGAATAGACGGGCCTAGCCTGGACGGCAGGAGGGGAAGAATGAGGCTTGATTTATATACGCCTCTGACGACTGAACCAGGATAACGGGCACCAACTCAGAGACCCGGGATTGGATCAATAATAATGGAACTCTGGAAGAATCACTTCTGGAAGCCGAAGCGATAAGTGCCCCTGTAAGACGACAAAGCCAGAAAGTAGGACACATTTGAATTGTAATGTAATGTAATGTAATGTAATGTAATGTAATGTAATTTACTTTCTGCTCGATTGACGACATCAGCAAGAAAACGACTGATGGATGGACGAGACGGTTCGCTGTTGCTCTCCACGATTCCGCTGTACAGGCAGGGCAGTAAGGTATGGCTTGTGATCCCTTCCCTTCCCTCATGCTTGCCTTGCCTGGCCATCTCTTGTGCGCCCACGCCCTCAACCCCCCCCTTTGCCTTTGCCTCTCCCTTCTGTGCTCACTCACATCTGGTTGAAGGTGTCACGGAGGCGAATCGCATTCCGAAAGGAATGTCCTGTGCATCCGTATTTCGTTGCACAATCATTCCCCTCTCCAAATCTGCAACAGCCTCGATTGTGAGCGCAGCAAGCCCCGCGTACAGTTACTCACACTATCCAGGGCCCAGAAGCCGAGAAAAGGAGGCCAGAGCCCATTCCTTCATCTCCAAAAAATACCCACCTAGGTAAATTACCTAACTAACAGCCAGTTGCACCCTGCGTGGATCATCGTCACTGCTGCCGACAGCTACCTTAAGGTATACCTACCTACCTACTGTACTTCCTCGCCAGCCAGACCTCTCCTTTGTTGACTTCCATTGGCCTCCTCAGCTTCTTACTCTGATCTTCTGCACCAACTGCATCGCTCAATTCTATTCTCCTACCATTCCAAATACTCACGCATCTTTTCGACCAAGCCTTCTAAATACCCACCAAAAGCCGCATACGCTCGGCAATCCCTCGTCCTTGGCCCAGGAAGGTTTCAGTCCTTGAAAGTCTCGCCCTGCTGGTAGCGTTCGGAGACTCAAGGATCCGACTGACGACCGCCTCTCCAGAGTCTCCACAGGACCTCGTCCACAGCTCACCCTGCCGCCTGCGCCTGCGCCTGCCCCTGCCCTGTCCCCCGCCGCCGCCGCCGCCGCCAGCAACAAAAAAGTTGTCCATTGCCATTGCTACAATCCCTGCCTGGCATTAGATCAAGCCTGGAGAACTTCCGGATTCACTCGTGAATGCCAATGTTTGCGGGAGGCCAAAGCAAAACAAGGTATTCACTGCGATCCAGCGCAGAGCCTTCATCGTGGCAGGCCAAGGATATCTTGCGTCTCCTTTTGATTTCGACTATCCTTTCCAACCATCACCTTTGTACTCGGCTTCAACTGCCTCTGACTTGACATTAATTGCGGATCAACAATTCACAACTCCAATTGGCGACATTAGCCCACCTTCGCCCAAGCGGCAGCGCATCTCGAACCCCCCTCAGCCCAAGCACACTTCGAAGAGCAATACTCAGATGACCGCTTTAGCTACGACAGAGCTGGCGGAGGAGAGGGGGCCCATTACAACAGCGTCCAGCAAACCCAAGAGAGTGCGAACAGGATGCTTGACTTGTCGGGAGCGCCATTTGAAATGCGACGAAGGTGAGCTTTGACTGTGTAGCGATGTTTACCAAGCTGACTGGTGGAGGCTATACAAGCAATAACCAACAATGCCAGAATTGTCGGAAGTCGAGTCGACTCTGTAAAAGAGGGGTGCGGTTAAACTTCATAGATACTACTGTCAAGAGCCCGCCAATCATCCCACCAACTGCGGATTGGAAAGGTCATACTCCTGTCCCATCTAGTGCTTCGAGTTCTAACAGACCTCAGTCAAGTTTCTAGACGAATCTCGAGAGATTGCATCGGAATACAAAGGCGGCCTTGGTAGATATGCCCACCTCGATCAGACGATTACCCCCCCTCGAGAAGCACCCCCACAATACCCTGTACGGACGCTGGCAGAAGACAACTCATTGCCACCGATACAATCCTCTCGGCCATACTCAGACAATGGATTGAGCGCCAAGAATGAATACTCGCACTCGAGAAGAGCAAGCCGGCATCATTCCCATACAGGCAGCGAGTCTTTCCTCACGGCACCTCCTTCAACTTCATATAGCAATCCCGAGCCTCCAAGTCCCACAAGTGAAACCCGTCGGTATCTCAATTCACCAGAAGAAGTTCTTTTCATGCAGGTCTTTGTTGAGGAGGTTGGTCTTTGGATGGACAGTATGGATGCTCAAAAACACTTCTCGAGAATCCTTCCATTTCACGCACTATCGGAGCCCATGCTTCTCAATGCTTTTCTTGCATGCGGCGCCCGCCATTTGACCTTAGTCAACCCGATGTATCATGAAGATAAAGCACTATTCTACTACGACACGGCGACCACTCAGTTGTTGCGCTCACTACAGAACCCCGACCGAGATACTGTATGTTGTGCCACCACTGCGGTGATTCTGAACGTTTATGAAATAATGTCCGAACGAGCTATGCAGCGAATGAACCACATTGCAGGTGCCCGGGCCTTAATTAAGGAGTGCGGTTGGAATGCCAGAAGTACCGGTATTGGTGCAGCTTGTTTCTGGTTGAATGTCGGTATGGAGCTTCTGAGTTGTCTACATTTCAACTGGCAAGTTGCGTGGGAACCAGATCAATGGGGCGTTGATATGAATCTACAGCCTGAGACAGAATCTGGAAAGGAGGAGGTTTGGGTACACCGAATGCTCTACATTGTTGGGAAGATTGCGAACTTCCGAGCTTCAATCCCACGGTTCCAAGAAGCATCGCCACATGATGAGCAAATTCGACTTCAGGCCAGATTTTCAGAGTGGAAGAGACTCAAGGACTTGTGTGACAGCTGGGACTTGAACATTCCGAGGACCATGCAGCCGATAGGTTACCTCCACCCTGACCAAACCAGCTCGAAATCCGCTTTTCCGGAAGTCTGGTGAGCAAACATTTTTAATTGAACTTCGAAACATGCTAATCAAACAAAGGCTCATCAAGCGTGCCACAATCGTTGGTCGTCTGTTCTACCACACTGCTATGTGTTTACTAGCACAGATCAACCCATTGATGTCCAAAGATACACACGAGATGAACAAGATGCAAATGCACCATGCTCATCTAATTTGTGGCATCGTTGCACATGTCAAGGACAGGGGTGTTGCTAGTGTTGCACTACGCTCTCTCGCCATTGCTGCCGAATGCCTCGTTGATCGTCGTGAGCAGGATGAGGTCTTGGAGATTTTTGAGAAGATTCGAAAGGAGACAGGTTGGAAAGTTGGTTTCATCGGCAAGGAATTGAAGGCAAAATGGGGATGGCCAAGTGAGGATACACAACCCCCACCACAAGTCTCACAAACATCTCTTGGCCAATTCTATCCGGCCACAACACAACCACCAACCACGAGTCTACCACCAGCGCCGCCTCCAGCCAGACCGGCGATACCTAGCGGGATTCTTAACCCACTATTAGCCAAGGCTGATTTCTCGCTACCGAATCACCCCTATCAGCAGTACTACCAGCCTCCAAATACTCAAGCCCAGAATCACTTCCCCCCTCCACCACCTATATCACACCATCAATTTCCACCACCATACGCTTGAGATCTCACGGAATGATAGGCGGACTTCGTATTGTACAACATACTTTTCACTGGAGAAGCAGTTAGCATCGATTGTGCATTGAATGCACTGACACGATAGTGGCTCTGGGAGCCTCCGCGGCACACAGACGGCATTGGTGAGAAACTTGGGATGCATCTTGGAGTTACATTTTGCTGGCATGGGACAGAACAGGACATCCATTCTGAATTACGAGAAATGATCATAGGAGTTCCCACGGAAGAAGCGAATCTTTGCATAAAGGAGGGAATGGTCGGGAAAATCCTACATGAGAGCGCTGGAGTTATGGGCTGGTTTTCATGACTTCTCTGCTTGTATTTCTTGTTTCACATCTGGCAGGCTGGTGGGTTCTGTACCTGTACACTGTATTTATTGAGTAGTTCGTAGGAGGTACACTCCGACGCACTGAACTGAAACTGGCGTCTTGCAGCCAGCTAGACTATCGCTGCAAGCTGGGAAATAATAATGTATATCATCACATATCACATCGCATCACCTTCACCTTCACATTCCAATAAATGAAGCTAGTAAGTATCTCGGCCCTAGATCTTGACTCGATTTTCTAGAACAAGCGTAATCCGCGTACTCCTGCCGTATATTTAATACGGTGTGGTTACGCAGCCTTCTCTTGTTGCTTTTCCTTCTCTCGTACATGCATAACTTGTCTTGATTTGTCTGGCTGGCTGGCATTGCTTTTCCACCATCTCGCTCGTGCCACCAAGGGGTTTGATACACTTCTGAGCAGAGATGGCTGGCTCGCTGGCTGGACCCGCTAGCTTCCCCGGTTTTTGGGGTCAGCACGTTTCTTCTTTTGGTTTTCACTGCTGATGGATCAGTTTTTCTGTCCAATGGCCAGGATCTTGGAATGTGGCTTTGGAGCGCGAACGCGGAGTTTGCTTTTGCTGCCTTGGCATGGGAAGGGTGCCGAGAATTGTTTTAGTTGGCTACTTCTAGTGTGGTCTTGGGTATCCACTGTTCCCCAGGAGCTATGTTGGCGGAATCTGGAGTCGTGGGAATCCAATATAGCTTGCGAAGCGGTTCCTTTGGTGGCAGGGATTCTGGTGTAGCTTCCCTTGGATGGAGTCGGACCTGGGGCAAAGAGGCTTTCGACTTCCTTTCGTGCCCTGATATCAAGTCCTTCAAATAGAAACGGCGCCATATGTCCGTCAGGCGGGTGGAGTGCTTTATAGCAGATTTCTGCTCTAAAATAGCAGGAGTAAAGCGATTGCTGGTTGAACCTGCAGGCTACTTCGTATATTTCGTCTCAAAGGTCCGGCAGGTAATGCGGTTTGAACTTCCTGGTTGCCCTATCTGCTGCCCGATACTCGAATTGATCACCATGTAATTCAAAAACCACATTCTTCGCAATGGTCTTTGTCTTCTCCGTCATCTCTCCCACATCCATCTTGTCTTTGTCCATTGCTTCATCGACACGTTCTACTCCTTCCTTCTTTGGTCTCGGGACAGTAAAGCTGAAGACCGTATGCTCCTTGGGCAAGATTTTCACTCCATCTCCCTTCGTCACCACCTCAAAAACAAATCTCGAATCCTTCACCACGATGCCCTTCACTCCGACCCTGGAGACACATCGACTCCTCGCAACCTCAAGCTCTGCCCCATGAAAGTCCGCACTACACAGCCTCGTTGCCATACTAGGCGTAATTTGTCTCATAATCCCATCCTCCCAGAGCAACTCCTGTATATACCCGATCCACATCCTGTTCAGCGGTTCGTAAATGGCATACTTTTGCTGAGATTTCGGAATGTCATATAAACATAGTGCTCGTTTCTGGCGCGCAGATAGAGGCGCGGGCTTCTGCTTTTTCTTGCGTGACTCTTTGGCTTTGCGCGCCAGCCGTCGCTGCTGTTGTGCTGTCGATGACTCTGTAGGCTTCAAGTGAAGAGGTCGATTTTTTACCTTCTCGGTGAATATTCTGCCGGCTGTGTCGGGAGAGAACGCTCGCGAAAGGAGAGAGAGTCCTATGTCCTGGGATGACATTCTGGGGAAATGGAGCCTCGAGGGCTTTAGAGCTGCTCTCCTTGTGACTCGACCGTTGTGGTCGTGAGTTGGGATGTCAGCTCGCGACGTTTTGGAGGGGAGCTTTCACATGCTGCAAATAAGCTTTTAGTGCCACAAGTGGCAGCCGATTTAAGCCTAGGCCAGCCAACCCCAGATTTCCGGACTACACTCCATGCGCGCCGAGGCATCTCAATAATGCATTAACGCGATCAACAACATTCAATGCTTTCACCACAGGCACCTGCCATGACCCTGCTGCCATAGTCAACAACTCAAAATCCCATATATGTGTTGGCAATTTGAATCAGGAGAGCATACACAATGGCAGATTCACGAAACGCCTCTGGTCCGCGAACCTCGGCCCCAGATCTAGAGATTCTGGGAGATCAAGTTACGCTCCATCCAAGCGGCTATATCGAGCCACCAGAGTTGCAAAAGGATGCGGATAAGGAGCGGAATCTGGTGGAGAATATGGCCAGATTTAGGTCTAGTCCTTTGGAGTCTGTACCCCTGTCTCTGTCACCGAGGATATAGACTGATGGATGGCTAGATTCCTCAGAGAGGTCTCCCTTCATGTCTCTGGCACTGGTTGGCGGGCCTATGATAACTTCATTGGACAACCTATATTTTACAATGGGTTTTCTGAGTCTATGTCACAAGCGGTTCTTGCTACACCCATCTTGCAGAAACGAATCGCCGAATTAGCGGAGAAGAGGGTTGCGGTAGAGGAGAAAGAGGGGCTGTTGAATAAAGATGATCCGCTGTACGCAGGAAAACGAACGCAGCGGAAGATGGTTATTGAGCAGAGTTTACAAGAGCTAAGCGAGAAATGGACTGGGGAGATGATATGCAAAATGGAGAGCAAACCGTTCATTCGAGGGGCGTATTATATGTGTACACAGTTGTTAACGAGAGCCTACCATCAAGGTGTGTCTCTAGATATTACTTGTCGATAACTAACTAATTATCTAGGCATTCATGTCTCAAGCGAAGAGGTCATTCGATTACGGACGGTTGCTGAGAAGGCCGAGAAGAACAAGCAGAGTATTATTTTCTTGCCTTGCCATCGATCACATGTGGACTATGTGTCCCTTCAATTAATTTGCTACCGTCTGGGTCTTGGGCTACCAACTGTCGTTTCTGGCGATAACTTGAACTTCCCAGTCGTGGGGAGCTTTTTGCAGCATGCTGGTAAGTATGAGAGTGATTTGGTAACATTAAATACTAACATCAGACAGGAGCAATGTGGATACGACGCAGTTTCGGAGACGATATCCTCTACACAACACTCGTCCAATCGTATATTGATACACTTCTTCAAGGTGGCTTCAATTTCGAGTGTTTCATCGAAGGAGGTCGATCCAGGACTGGAAAGCTTTTACCACCAAAGTTCGGTATACTGAGCTTCATCCTGGATAGTATTCTTTCTGGTCGGGTGGAAGATGCCATCATTTGCCCTGTCAGTACACAATACGATAAAGTCATAGAAACAGAGGGGTACATCAATGAGCTTTTGGGCACGCCCAAGAAGAAAGAGAACTTGGCAGACTTTTTGTCCGCATCCTCGGTACTATCCCTGAAGCTGGGACGTGTGGACGTCCGATTCCATGAACCTTGGAGTTTGCGTCAATTTGTCCAGGACCAGCAGGGTCGAACCACAGGCATTCCTAAGGGAGTAGATATGAGTAGCACTATTGACCCTGCTACAAGGCAGAAAATGCTTCGCACCATGGGATACAAAGTTCTCTCAGATATCAATGCCGTATCAGTCGTCATGCCCACAGCCTTGATCGGCACTGTATTGCTGACATTGAGGGGAAGAGGGGTAGGCAAAGCCGAGCTGATTCGGAGGGTTGAATGGCTTAGCGATCGAGTCAGATCGAAAGGAGGCCGAGTAGCTCATTTTGGAAATGCGCCAACTTCTGCTGTCATCGACCGCGGTCTTGATGTTCTCGGCAAAGACCTTGTTGGTGTTGTCGAAGGGCTGCCAGAAAAGACTTATTATGCGGTAGACCGATTTCAACTGTCGTTCTACCGCAACATGACGATTCACCTATTCATCACAGAAGCACTTGTTAGTGCTTCCATGTATATCCGTGTAAAGCGCGGTGGTGGGCCTGATAACCAGAAGATCACATACACCGAGCTTCGAGATCAAGTACTGTTTTTGTCGCAGCTTTTCAGGGGTGAGTTCATCTATCCCACAGATGGACTGATTGTCAACCTGGACAACACTCTCAAAGGCTTAGAAAGCGATAAGGTCGTTGCTCTGGAACGGGATGCTGAGGGGAACATTGTCTCGGTCGGATTAGCTGATGAAGAACGTGCTGCTGGTCGTGAGAATTACGATTTCTACTGTTTCCTGATCTGGCCCTTCGTTGAGGCTTTCTGGCTTGGGGCTGTGGCATTCATGGGGTACACACCCCCTCTGAATTACAAGGGAGATGGGTGGCTGGATGTGAAAGGGTGCCAAGAAAGTGCCCAATTGGTAAGCTTTTTCTCCATTTTGTATGTTGTGTCAAACTAACTAGTGACTTTTAAAGCTGGGTAAAACTTTGTATCATCAGGGAGACTTATCGTATTTCGAAGCCGTCAATAAGGAAACTCTCAAAAATGCCTGGGTGCGTTTCGAAGAAGAGGGTATAGTGGTCGTAGCCAAAAGCCGAGACCCGAAAATCCAGCCTCGTTCCAAGCTTTCACCTGACTGGACACCGGATCGTAATCCCGAGACTGGCCGTCTGATTGCTAAGGGCCGCTTGTGGGATTTCATAGAGAAGATTGCGCAGTCTAGAAGAGAAGGAAAGAATAGACGGGACGGAGCAACGGTCTCCACTAGAGTTTTGAGACACACAGAGACTATCGCACAGAGGCTCTTTGCGCAAGATGCTGGAGATGTGTTAAGCGAGGAGGACAAGAAAGAACTGAGTAGGAAACAGAAGAGGAGACAGGCTCTGCAAGCCAGGGCGCATTTGTGATTTCATATTTAGGTTGTTCTTATGATACCAGACATGTAAACTAATCTATGAGGTAGGAGCTGTCCCGTACTAGTTCAAGTTGACTACTACCTATGCCCAAAGTTCCAAATTTTGCTGAATTTGTCCAGCATTGTCTTTAGCAAGTCTCTATGTACACAAGCTGTCTCTCTCTTTCCACATGCAACCATTAGCTAGTCACAATTCCATACCGCTGATACGGGAAATCTTCCAGAGTTTTCAGCCGCTCAGCCCATCCATCACCTACCTCCCCTACTAAGTGCATGTCAACATCCCCAGCTTCTCCAGTTCTCCCAGCCAAGACCTCTGGTTCCCTGTCTTGAAACTCAATAAATAGCTCAGGATGAGGCACCCATACAACTCTCATGCCAGCTCTCCTCCCCGATTCTACGCCGGGCACAGAATCCTCAAACACAAGACATTCTTCGGGGAGAATTTCCTTCTCACCCTCTGGAAGCGTCTCATTAATAACTTTCAACGCTAGAATGTAGATATCCGGACTTGGTTTGCCTCTTCCTCTGGGAATCCTCGTGTCGTCTCCTAGAATCCTTCGTTCAGTCTGGAAGACTGTGAAGAGACTATCTTGAAGGTGTGCCGTCTTGAGATCGAATGCCCATTTGTGGGAGCTTGTTGCTAGGGCTATATGAACTTTATCTTTACTGGTTGTCTGGGCAGCTGCTAGTTTTGACAGTAGAGTCTCGACGCCTGCGAGTGGTTTGCAGGTTGGGAAGTGCTCATGCTGTAACACGCGGACTTCAGACATATATTGTTCTCGGGATACGGGAAGTTGTGCCCCTATGAAGTAGGTACTTTAGCAATTGCAGTTTGCCGAGGATGAGGTATTTGAGAAGCGGGTGAGCTGTGTTCAGGATGTCATGGGACATTCGAAGAGACCAGTCCTAGCTCGCTTGCGACGTACATTCATGGAGGACATCTCCAGCTGCTTGGCCAGCTCGTCCTTGCATCTTTGCCTTTCTGGATACTGTTAGTAGATTTATTCTCAAGCTGAAAATGCGAGGTATGCACATCGACCAAGGAATATCTGGCTTGCCATATTTGTTCAGAACGGCGTTGGTGGCTAACGTATACTTTTCTTCCGAGTCAATCAAAAGCCCATCCATGTCAAACAAACATGCCCGAACAGGCGGAAGACTGTACAAATCTGTTAGGAGCAGTGTCTCATAAAAATACGGTGTACATGAGTAGGTGAACAGCTTACTCCCTTTTTGCTGTTGCCATAATAAGTTCTTGCTTGAGTGTGGAAAGTTACTTAGTACTTCATAGTGCGGGGGGGGAGGGGGGGGGGGGGGGTAAATTCTAAGGGGCCCCTCACTAGCGCCAGGAGCCAACCGGAACTAGTTCCGCCCTGTGGAAAAGCTTCGGGCTTCTTTCCAGCAGCGTCTAGTCGCACCCTCAACATGTCGTCCAGAACAGAACGATTCCAGCGCAAAGGTCGCGACAAGGAAGATGATAAGGCGGATGAACCAGAAGAGATAGTCAGATTCTCTGCCGAGGAAGAATCTGTACGTTCCTGAGCCTTTCAAATCGGTGGTGTTTACTGATGTCTTACGCAATTAGGCACTGGTGAAGAAATCCAATGCAGTGAAGAATGACGCAAACGACCTCTTTGCCAAAGGCTCGTTCCAAGATGCGATAGCTACTTACGATAAAGCACTCGCCACTTGTCCGAATTACCTGGAGTACGAAGTTGCGGTATTAAAGAGCAATGTCGCAGCCTGCCATCTGAAGTTAGAGGATTGGAAGGAAGCGGTCAAGACTGCGTCTGCGGCACTGGAAGGGCTGGATAGATTGCAGGGGAGAGGCAGAGAGGAACGGAGCAAGGATGATGCAGGAACGGCGAAAGATGAAGAAGAAGAAGCCGATGAAGAGATCGTTAGTGCTGGTGCTGCGAAAGCAGAGGATACTTCTGATAAGGGAAAGAGGGAGGCAGATATTGAGAGAATTAGAGGAAAGGCTTTGATGAGGAGAGCCAGGGCTCGGAGCGAACTTGGAGGGTGGTCGAGTTTACAGGGGGCAGAAGAAGGTATGTTTACCTTCTTTCCAGCTACTGATCCAGCTAACATTGGCAGATTACAAAACCCTGGAAAAGATGTCGAATCTGTCAGCGGCGGACCGGAAGGCTGTGCAAAGGCAGCTGGTACAACTTCCGCCTCGAACAAAAGCTGCCCAGGAAAAGGAAATGGGGGAGATGATGGGGAAGTTAAAAGAGGTCAGTATTCATCGCTCCAGCTCCAGATGACCAGTCTGCTTACTCTTCTAGCTCGGAAATGGCATACTGAAGCCTTTCGGTTTATCGACCGACAACTTCCAGATGCAAAAAGATCCAAATACAGGTGGATATAGCATGAACTTCAACCAAGGGGCTTGATACATCATGAGTTTAAATGTCCCAAAGGTCCCGTGCGACTTAGAGCGTTCGAGCGTTGCTGATTGTATCTGCAGACGTCTCGTCCGTCGAACTTTGACGAAGTGCTTCCTAGCCTCTGTTGAGGTGCCCAAACACAAAGCGCATGACTGGCAGTATTGCTGCTCACTTCCACTTCAAGCATCGCTTCAAATGTATCGAATAACTCTCCTCCTATCAGTCGCGGGAAATATACACATGTCTCATGTCTGAAAACCGAGTCCTCCTCGCTTCGACTTCGGCCTCTGTTGTCAAGCATGAGGGGCAAAATTCAGAACCCCGCCAGAAGCGACAACCAATCCCTGCTCATGGAGCTCCCACGCTTCTTGACAATCCTTCTCTGCACAAAATACTACTTGGTCTATTTATCGGTTCTCAACTCGTTTTGCATATCTAGCCAAACTCTGTCTTATCTCATTCCGATCCTCTTCCAATCAAAACGATGTGAGAAGTACACATTGTTGTTCTCTTCCGCAGCAGAGCATTTTTGACTTCGTGTCCAGGCTTCGCTGGCACCTACTTACATCCTGCAGCGGGCAATAACGGAGACCCCAACTCTTAAATATCATCAGCATCTCTCATTGGGCAGTGAGGATCAAGAGGCTCTCTATCTGCAAGGGTACAAGCCCATTCGATCAAGGATTGTTGCGGCATTCCCGTTTGAGATTGTCGTGATACCCCGCTGCTGCTGAATGATTGGGGGCCTTTATTTTCGCAACCCAAACCCCCACTACTTACCCCTCCATGAAGAACTTCAAGATCCTCCATCCCACATTCTCTCTCTCTCTTACTTCTTGACAACTCTCCTCTCTCAGGATTCTGTTTCTGAAATCACCGAGAGTTTTTTGCGCAAAATTAAGCATTTTACCCCTGCAGAAAACCCACCATCACATGCCATGCAACACAACATTCCCACCTAGAGATCCACTTTCATCCGTACAAGCAGAAACAAAAGAACGCTCTAGAAGAAAGCACACTGATCGCCACAATATCAACGACAGTCCCGTGAGACCATATCCAGTCACCAAAATGACAGTCCTGACTATATCACCAACATCGACGACAACAATAACGATCTCGCTCCTCTCCCCAGCCCTCACACACTCCTTCTATCTCGCCTCGACCTTCCAGCGACTTCTTAGCACCACAACACTCTACTTGACTCTGCGGACATGCATGATCTCACTGCAGCTATTTCAAAACTCGCTGTATATCTCGCAGATTTTGTATCTGAAAGGGAAGTTTGCCTCCGTACTGCTTGCTCGGAGTAGTTTTACCATGGCTAAGGAGATGGGAAGAATGGGGTGGAAGGCCAGTGAGGGTTTGAGAAAGAAAATCTGGTTTGAATTTATGGTTTTCGTGCTTGGAGGAGGCAATGGCTTGATCCTGTTGGTTTTCTGGCCGGGTTGGATTGTGCTTTGGTGTATGTATGGGGCGTGGTTGGCTTGTGGTTGAATGATTGACAAAAGCGTAGCAGATGAGTGACAAATACAGGTATGTAAACAGTTCGTGAGTTGGTGACTAACCTTGTATGCTGATGTGATGTAGCACTCGACACGTCTCAAATACTAGGTATAAATCAGATGTCACGAGCGACTTCAATCAAGCCAATGAGAGGGGATCCGCAACAGACCGATAGCTTTCCTGTGGTTGTAGCTTACCAGGTAGCCGTCGGTTTGAATGATAACACGCACGTCCGAATCGAACAGTGGTAAAGCTTTACCTGATATCTTTAGCTTTGAAAGCTGCTGGAACTTGGAATCTGTGGAAGTGATTGATTTCCACCGATTTGTGGGATATCGAATGCATGGGTTCGGCGGGGGAAAGACATGTTCTGGGGGTTGAAGGAGTAACGGAATGGGAGGCTTGCAGCTTACTTGAGGGTATTTCTTAGCGGGCTTTCAATAATCCAATTCAAGCTTCTTCCGGTCTGTTTTCTCCTATTCTACCTATCATACGTTTTGTGCAACGTCCCGTTTCTCCATGTGGCGTCCACAGATCGGGCGAGGCCAAGCAACCCTGGGATAATCTGTCAACTGCTTGACGGGAACAAACCTCTGCCTTAAGACAAACCTGCAGGTTCAAGTCGATTGCGAATCTTGGTACGACTTCGAGCTTTGGTAAACATCAGAATCGTTAATCGCAGTTGCTGCTATTGAAGCCTCTCGGAAACTGCCAAAGCCTGCCTGGGCACAGCAATAAACATGCACAAGCAGGGATGGAGCAGAAGCGAGGCGAGAGCTGAAAAGGGGCTGGAACCGAGCAGGCAGTCAACAATGACCTTCGATTTTGGTCGCAGATGGTGCCCTCGTCTTGAAGCTTTCCCATCCTCCCATCTCCATGCACTTTTGGCTCCAAGCTGCTAGAGTAAGGACTTCCAGATACGAATACGGAATGCCACCTAGTGCATTCTGTGACCTTAGTAGGCTATGCATATGGGACTAAGTCTTGGAGAAAACCAACGAGAGAAGTTCGAGATCAAGTCAAGATAGTTCCACCGCTAGTGGTTTCGAGGATCCTGCGGAGCAAGTACAAGAAGCTTACTTCGCATGAGAAAATGAAAGGGCAGCGAATGCTAGAATCGAGGCTCTGGAGGACGGAGAAGTTGACGACAAAAATGATAAGCGAGGGTTAAAGGGGATGTGAAGCTATGAAAGTTTGTTGATGGCAACGAGTACCTTGACTCGTAACAGTCTAATTAGAATCTTGCTGTGCAGATTTAAGCTCAATGTCCGGGACAGCTACACGACATTGCAGCCCCTTGCTTTGCAGTAGTAAGTTGCGGGGTCACCAAGTGGGGGGCTTTTATGGCCTAGAACTAAAGTCTTCGTTGATTAGTGCCGTTGTGGACTCCAAGTACCACCTCTCAATGTGATAAGTTTTAATTTCTGGTATTTTCAAATCGTTTCCTTGCTCCGAAGCTTGTATTTGTACATTCCGTAGTCTTCTCTTCCTACCAACATGCTCATCTCCCAAGTTATAAGTCAAGACCACCGTTATCTAGACGAATGCTACGACAAGCTGAAAGTAGCATCTACAACGGAAGATAAGGTCAAGTGGAGGAATTTGTTGGTTTGGAATCTTGCTCGACACGCCATCAGTGAAGAGTTGACTGTGTATCCTGCTTTGGAGCAACATCTTGGTGACAGAGGGAAAGAGCTCACCAGGATTGACCGCGCACAGCATCAAGCGGTAGCTTTCCTTCTTTCATTTCTCTCCAACATCTCCATCAAATCTCTTGACCTGGAATCTAACATCTTCAATCAGGTCAAGAACGATCTTGCAAAACTCCAATCCCTCTCCCCAACCGAGACACAGTTTCCCTCCCTCCTCGAACAACTGATGGATAACTTGCACCGACACATAGAGCACGACAAGGAGACAGACATGCCACTTCTTGAGAGCTCAATCTCTAAAGCCGAGTCTGAGAGGCTAGCATTGAGTTTCTTGCGCACGAAGAAACTCATACCTACGAAAGCACATCCTGAGTCGCCACGTAGCAGTCCATTGACGGAAGGTTTAGCTGCTCTGTTAGCTGCGTCGATTGACGAATTGAGAACCCTGGTGGAGAGTTTCCCGGAGGATGAGACTGAGAGTGCGGAGGTAGATTGGAGTGAATTGGTGTAGGATATGAGAAAATTCCCTTTGTGAAAAAATCTATGGCTTCAGATTGGAGCTGCTGTTCAGGCCAGGGGTGTCATTGTTCAAGTAACCTAAGTAGGTTGACATTGATATACAAGTAAAAGACTTGTGAACTTGCGGCTTTCTTGCTGGGAGCATAGGAATAACGAAAACCTCCCTGCTCAAACTCAAATCTAAACATGTACTGCTTAGTTTAGACATGCCAATGACACTTAGAGCTTCCGTTGGCTAGGTATCGATAGAGGCAATCTACCATAGTGATGTAATCCCCACGTTTTTGTCGGTATGGCATACAATGATTTATAAAAAATCAACGCGTTTATTTAATTTTTGTCTATCCATCGTATGCTAAATGAGTGCGTTGCGATGATGCTGTGCAAGGCAAAATCTAGGCATGCCCCCAGCAAGCTCATATAAAATCACTGTAATTAATGTAAAGATAGGGTATCAAAAGTGATACAACGCATCAGGAAAATAACTCTGGGAAATCCGCCAGTGTGAACGCCATCAACCATTCTCAACGCCGTCCAAGCAGATCCCTGTCATGTTCTCCAAAGCTGCCCCAACTCTATTCCCAAATCCATTGCAAAAGCCGGCAAAGTAATAAAGCATCGGTTGTGTGGTAAGATCATCACAGAAAGTAAGTCGAGAGTCGGTTTCCAAAGGCGTGCCTATCAGTCGTGCCAACGAAAAATGAACAAGGCCAAGCATGGTGGCATTGGCGACCTTAGGAGGAGGAAGCCTCGCGAGGGTGTGGTTCGTTGAAGATCTTGATGCCGAAAGCATTGAAAGTAATGCCAAGGATCTTCTTCAGTTCAGGATCTTCTGATACGGTGTAGTATTGAACCTCATGGTCAGGGATGTGTTCGCCATTTTCCTCCAACTCCCCACGGGCGATGGCCAAAATTCGCAATTCACGGAGCTTCCAGGTGAAATGCGGGATGAGCTTGCCGTTTCCGTGAAACATCTGGTGGCCAAGACCGTATTGACCTTTAACGAAGGATTCATGGTACCATGGTACATCACGTTGCTCACCATTATATGGTCTGGCGAAAACCTGAAGTTGCTCAAGTGTAAATTCCTGTGCAAACTGACGATTAATCTTCAAAAGATCGCAAATTGCTACGCAGTATTCCATCTCCAACTCAGGGGTTGGTTTTGGGTACTCCGATACTTTCTTGGATTTCGCAGAAGATGTGGTGGCCTTGCGAGGTGTTTTCTTCCGAGGTGTACAGACAGGACGAGATGATACCGTGATAGGATCTGCTCGCTCCTTCTTGACAGGCGTCTCGTACGTTGGATCACCATCTTCTTCTTCCTCATCAGGGTATTCGTACTTGACTTGCTTGAGATTTCGTCGCTTCGCAGCAGAGCCCCGTTGGCGAGCAGGTCTCTTTGATGGTGTGACAATGCCGTCCTCTGTCTCTTCCTCCTTTACCATGCCTGGAATGTCAGTCAGACTAACTCCATTCTTGATAGCCATGCGACCGAGTCTGTTTTGTTTGTCTCTCTCGGCGTTGATCTTTTTGTTGTTCAGCTTCATCTATTAACTTATTAGAAGTCGTTATTTGAGTCTCTTAGCATGCTGACTTACCTGAAGTTGAGCTTCTGGGGCGTCAACTAAGCGGTCAACATACAATGGATCTAAGACCTGTTTGCAAACTGCCTTTGAGTGCTAAAAAGAGAATTAGCGAATGATTAGAGGCATGCAGAGTAGTACCAAACTTACCTGGCAAGCGTTAATGATAGCATCCCAACGCTCCTTGAAGGTTTTATGAACGTCATTGCCTTCACGCTTTGTCTTGTGATAAGCATCCACGAGTCTGATTCCCATGCAAGACTGTCTGCATTTGATCTGTATGAGTCTGTTAGCATTTCACCTGCAGACGGGAATAAAATTGACTCACAAAAAGTTCCCAGCAAGCAATCTCAACAACCTCCGCAGAATAATAATCATCATCCAGGCGACGAGCTGCTTGGGCTTTTCTTCCATCCTGAGCTTTCTTATCCACAATGCCAACCGTATTCATGAAGGCGTCGAAAAGTTCCTGAATGTACTCAAGGATCTCTCCGTTGTCTGTTGGGCCAGTGTCTAAACGGCCTCTAGACACCGAATCCTTAGCAGCCTTGGCTCGCTTTGCCAGTAAAGCCTTGTAACCACCCTCGCTCTTGATAATTCCTTGGTACTTTGAGATTTGGTCAATTGGGCCCAAACGAGAGCTGCTGTGTAGGGTATTTGAAGTGGAGGGAGTGCCTTTTCCAGCTTCGTAATCACTATCCCCGTCACCGTCACCGTCATTCTGGTATTCATCAAGTTCTTCGTCCTCAGAGTCAGCTGTGTTTTGTTGATCAAACGTGTAACCACCTGGTTGATTGGCAAGTGTAGTTGGACTTGGATATTGCAGATTCTGCTCGTTGTTGCCGAATTGGATGTCCCGATTGTCCATCGATTGACCACCGCTAAAACCTTGTTGATTATTGTTACCAAGCATATTCCAGTCCTGCCCTTGGTCTTGAAATGTCTCTAGACTAAAGCCAGAATCGAAGACTCCCACGGCGAGATCATCATCAGTTGATGGGTAAGAGCGAATTTGATTGAAGGGAACTTGTGAGCCACGGCGCTGGTGAGACATGTCCGCCATACTCATGAAGTCCTGACGGCCTCGAGGAGATTGAGAATTGACCATACTCGTAGGCTGGTTGAATGATCCCAGGCTACGGTGCTGTTGATGTGTCGAATTCATGTTCAAGAAGTCTTGAGAGAGTTGGGGAGACTGTGTGCTAAGGAGGCCGTTTAGATCTGGAATACGCTGCATAGTGTTAGCAGCAGCCATGTTGAGAGGGCCCGGGGCCATGTGGTAGGGAGAGTTGGCAGTGGTAAAGCTGGTGTTGTTGTAGTTCCGTGGAGTATATGGACCACCGACATTGCTTGGATTGCTGTTAGACGAGTCATACTGCAACTTTTGAGGAGTAGTTAATGAACCCTTGCCGCTCCCAGTGTGTTGGCGCTTCATTGGAGGTGTCGGGGTCTGAGGAACCAGCGTAGTGTTGCCTTGTACATTGTTAGAAATTCTCGAAGTGGAACTATTGGTATAACCACTGGCTGGGGACTGAGCCATGCCGTGACTTGGGTGACCAGACATGAAGCTTCTGCTTTCCATATTGTTGTCGATACCTAACAAAGACGAGTCAAGATCAGGATCAATGTCAGGTTCATGTTGAGATTGAGCATCAAAGGCTTGACGAGAGTTCGCAGAATCGCGTCTATCTTTGTAGTTGGGACTTGACATGTTCTGTGTTCAAAAGCTTGTTAGTTGTAGGTTGTGACATCAGCGATGGGAAGCGAGTCTTTGAGGTAGAGATGGCAAAAAATGTAACATATCCAAACCGGTCGAGAATACAGATGAGAGGAGTGAGGAAATGGACGCAAGAGAGTAGGAGGGTGCTTTGAAGAACAGAATAGTATAGAAACAAGGAGCGAAATCTCTCGAGGTGGGAGGAGGAAGAAGTCTCTCAAGAGCGTCAACTTGAAGGAAAGGCGCTTGGCATATTAAGCGAGGATACAGTACCAGCCTCAGTATGGCACAAGTTGTTGAATGCCCCCTGCTGTTTCGACTTTATAGAATGGGGATTAAAATACAAAAGAACTCTTCAAATTATCCCCACTTGGATATAAAAGCCTCTTCACGACGAACACTTGATATGATTACACACACTTGATTGCCCACTTGTACGACCTGTGCGAATAAGGAAGTGTGGACGACAATGTGTTTACCAAACTGGAACTTTGTAAAGAAACGATCTAGGCTGAGGATACGTGAAAGAGTACACAAAGCCATGTAACGTACCAGTAGAGACACCAGCTAACTAGCAAAGTGGATGATATGTCATGGCAGTGATAATGTAAGTGACAGAGTAGGTTAAAATGGGGTTGAAGGAACGTGGCCAGCAGAAAATTTGATTCATAAGAAAGTTAGAGAGAGAGGAAATATTTCCAGGATGCAAGATGGGTGAAGAGGGTTGAAGAAAGAATGGGAGTGGACTCCCGGGAAAAAAGAGTACTTGTATTTGTGGAAGATGGTCAGGCAGAAAGAAAATGATAGGATGAGTGAATGAGACGAGACTGCGCACTAGCGCGACACAAGTAAAATCTCGAGGTACGCCCTAGAGATACATCTTCGAGGGAAAGGTGAGACGATGGGACACAATATTAACACCACCAGAACATCTGGATACAGAAAAGGGCTGCAATAATGTCCCTTCCCAGTGTTTTCCCATGTCTTGCGGGAACCCTCGAGGTCAGTGTGGAATGATGCGCTGGATTACTATCCAGTACACAGCCGTACAGAGTAGCTGAAGACAAAGAAAGAGGAAGTAACGCGACTGTTATCACAAACAGCTGAAAATAAAACCCGTCAAGCCTTCCCTGGAGGGTATGTTCTTGTAATATGATAAGAGAGCCATGGTAGTTGCGACTCGGGCACGTACCTGTTGTGGGATTGCAAGCTGTAGAGTTGTTCAGCTGTCAACCGATATCCTTGGAGCGCAGACGAGGCAGAGACCAAGCCGCTTGTGGGCTCTGCAGTGGTGGGTAGGGGTATGACTGATGAGAGAAGTATGTCTGTAAGACTGTAGAATAGGAGGATCGAAGGTATCAGTCGAAATACGGTCAACGCGATAAGGAGTGGAGGTCAGCTTGGTGGAGAATTGAGGTGTTGTAGAGCTTGAGGAAGGATTGAGGTTCAAGGTAGGCGCCCTTTTGTAGACGAGGGAAGAGGAAGATGGCGGACGATGAGGCTGAAAACATCCGAAAAAGGAATAGTGTCTATCAATGTCGGTTGCTTGGTCAGGCAAGTTCCGAGGACTCCAGGTCGAAGGAATATTCACGATAGAAGAGCGTGGCAGGCTCCGCTCAAGAAGTGGCAAGGATGTTGAGGACCCGCAACGCAGACGCACTTCAAACCTCCTGGACCGTCTCAGAAATACGTGTGACGGTGCCAGTACCGGCAGGTTGGAATGGAAATGAAGCTGAATGAAGGAGGAGGACGGAGGACGGCGCGACGCGGTTTGGTAAGGCTGCGAACGTACGATTGTAGAAGCGAAAGGAAGACCCAATCAAGACAAGCTAGAGAGAACCTGCGCCAACTCGTCCAGACTGTCTTTACGTAGTCCTAGCTCATATGACCAGAGAAAATGGGTGTTTCCTTCCCGGGACGGCTTTGCTTTGTCTCAATGAAATATGATGACCGCGAGCCGCCAATATTCGCCGTGCCTAGAAATGAGTCGTCCCGTCACGATTTTCCTTTCCAGTTCCGATAGGATGGTGCTCGGGTGACCGACAGCAGAAGATCCCTCCGAGCAGCAGCCGAGAAAAGGAAGGATAATGACTGAGCAATCAAAGATAATTACCAGAGTATCATACCGCTTGTAAACTCCTGAGCAGCTTCGCTAGAGTCCATGTTCATTCCACATCAAGTGATTGGTCCATGGCTAGGAAATGTGACTATTGCTGTAGGGATGTTGACATGTGTAAGCGAGCTTCTGCCCATGATGCTTATTACCAAAGCATAGGAGCTATCGACCACATTGATGTGACTTCTTCAGGCAATTTAGGTCTCACTTTCTCTTCTAGATACCATCGACTGCGTTGATTCCGTTGATTTCATCTCAGGGATGCCGACTATATTCGCACCGTCCACCTCGCATGTTTCTGGCAAAACTGTGACCATTTTGCCAAATGAAGATGTCTGTATAAGTCAGCAATTGATGAGTCAAGAAATCTTTCTATAGTGTCTGAGAGAGTATGTGGTATGATGATGTCCGAGACTTGACTTCTGGCACGGGACTGGAAGGTGTCGAACTGTTCAACGTTTCTAGCTTGTAATTGTGTCTGGATAACCACGGAAGACCGACAGCTATATAGCTATGATCAAACTTCTTCATTTCAGTGTTGGCGCTCCTCATTCTGAAATTTATTGACTCGGTTTACCATTTTACTTCTGCTTTCGGAAGCAGCAGCAAGGCAGTGAAACCCCGAGAAGACAGCCATTGCAATGACTAAAAATCTGTGAAAATGAATCCGCAGATAAACGGTAGTAAGTTTCCTCTGTGAACTGTACAGAGAGCCGATACCTAGCTAGACTGCGCCGTAGGTTGGCCATCAGCAATGGCTATACTAAGTGAGAATTCCAAAGTCCTGAAGTAGCAAAGCAAAGGACAACTACCAGACAACAAGTGATGGTAGTTTCATGGATTGTGGACTTCATACACCACAGAGCCACTGCGTAGTAACTTTATGCACATACCTGTAAAAAATGGGGGAAGGGGATCCACTTGGCCGTTGTCGCGACGGAGATCGTCTTTTCCTAACACGTCCCACATGAAGTAAGCAAGCTATAACATTAGAAGCACCAAGAGCATTGTCCTGAGCAACTTGAAGCATACAAGCCATTGTTTGTATGAAGAGGTAGACCGAAAGTTCTTATTCGAAGCTGAGGCGTACAACGAAGAGTGTGGTTGGGATGGATTACGTGTATACAGGCGTTACCAGGGGAATTACTGTCGTTTGTATGATATTCTGCTTATTTTGACAGAAGCTTCTCAAGTGCCGTGGGTTTTGGGACGGGACCATAGCTTCCGCTATCGATGCTTCGTGGTTTTGTGGTTCGTTAGTCTGGTCAAGATAGTCGTTAGGTCGTGGGGATAAATTCCTGGTCTTCAATATCTACTGTCAGCACGGGGTCGCGTTCTGTAAAGAATTGTTGCTGATAGGATGAACACCTCTGCTCATTGCCTAGAAAGAGCTCTGGAATTCTTACCCTTTCAAAATGTTGTGTTTCCTGGCATCTTACAACGCAGTGAGTGGCCGACTAACAGCTTCTGCAGATTTCCAATGTTGAACCAGGCAGTGATTTGACATGTAGAGGCGGCAAAACGAGGTAAAGAGTGCTAAAATATGAAGTTATAGTCGTATTATACAATGTAGGACGTACATTTTCTTGGTCTGTGAGTATTCGTGACGGTCAGGAGCTCTGAACCTCTGAAAGGTAAGTCGAAGATATTCACCGAGCATTCCAGCACCTATAAGTACTAGAATAGAGTTAAAAGGTGACTTAGATGTTAATTTAACGTACCTAGAAGTCTTGAGAGTGTTTGCAATGGATTTAGATACTTCGAGAGTCCTGACAGCTTAGGAAAGCCGGAAAGTCCAAAAACTGCCCAACCACGGTGGGAAACTCTTCCAAGACAGACAGCCGAGGCAATTTGGAGAGGATACGCGTTATTGAAAAGGTTCGATAAGGTCATTAGACATGGTAAAAGGCTCATTTGTAACTCGTGGGGATGGAACGTAGGAAACTTCCACGTCCGAGTGGCCAGACGACGACCACATTGTTAGCGTGCATTCCCAACAGGCACCCGTTGCAGGCCATTACTGTAGAATGGGTGAATGAGTATGGCATCGAAATCGTCTTCATCTCTCTCTTGCAAGTTCTGCTTATTTCGGTAGCATTATGCTGGCAACAATCAAAGGATCAGTTCGGAGTCTTGCGTTAAACCCTCCTGTACCCTGTGTGCCATGCCGGTCACAAGAATGACAGACATACAACGTAACTATTAGGCTTATGAAACCTCAGTGTATCCATAGCTGTTCACATTAATAGCTTGTCGTATTCTGTGTACTTAGAGGTACTTGTAGGCTCTTTCCCTCTTCAACTGACAGAACAACTATTGCAGTTTAGTGAATGGAATGAGAAGGACATGCTAGAATACTCATCTTTGACCCTCCAGACTGTCGTTATGTAAAATAGTCCCGTCACTTCGAAGTGGCTAAGTGTCTACGTGCAAGAATCTGCTGAATCACTCTGATTAGTAGACCTCAGATCAAGAGACTGCGTGGACAATGACCTACTTCAAAGTACTGCCAATCCATCTTTATTTACGACCTATGGCTCACGGACTAATTTTTTGATGTCCAAAGTCTCATTCAAAGACATAGGCATCTGAGCTGAAATACTTTTTGCCTGAAGCTGTCCCTTCTGTGAATATAAAGGTTACTTTCCAAGCCTAGCAGTCAGCTCTGTGACTCTTAATCCAGGTGATACACAATCCAGTCTGCAACATTGAAGCTTTCATGGCTCTTGAGCTTTGCTCGCATGGAATAAAGTGGATATCTGAGTAACACATTCTGTACAGTCTACTTTTTGGCAAGTCAGAAGTGGACACTCAAAAGACAACAACTATCTTGGATTTTCATCATGCAGTCAGATGAAAGATGCCAAGAAAGTTCGAATCAAGAGAAGTCTTGGATAAAGAACGATCAGCAGATCTGAAATACTTAAAGCGAAATCTCACAACATTTGTACAACCGAGACAAAAGGCCTCTTTCTAAGGAGTGCGACGTTCCAGAGGGCTCTGACATAGTCGTCAACGAATCTGAGAGACGTATGCTCGTGCAGGCATAAATATGGGATGCTGTGAAGGATCTGATGTCTGTGACAGTTCTAGTCCTGGTTCTCAGTTAAATTTGTAGAGAATTAGCTTTAGGGGGCCATCTTAATAAGCGCTGCTTCTTGCAAAAGCCAAAGACTCTTGCTCCTCGGGGGAGACTCTGAACCATAAGCTCCATCGTACATCCGCAGATGGTGGCATTATTTGCCCTAGTTCCTATGAAATACCGTTAGCTGGGTGTAATTAGGAAGGTGCTGATATTTACCATTATAGCCATACCGAAGGATGATCACTTCCTTCATAACATTGCACTTTCTGGCTTACAGAGTGTTATTGAGGCACAGCAAGCATTAATGGCTCCATCAGGATCAAGAACCTCCGGCTCCGGTCCTACCGAGCGTGACACCCGAGCCTCTTAAGCAGCTCAAAAAGAACACACAGGAAGAGCACGAATAGGTCGTGGAGCCACGGACACAAGCCTTTTGCGTCAACATGTGAAAAAATCAGGAACATAGTAAATAAGCAAAGCAGATCATAGATATGAAGGAAATAAGCCATTTTGTAGCAATTTGCCATTTACCTAAAGAGCCAGACTCCTCGACCCTTTTCAATGCATCCAGAACGCCAATGGAGAACGACTCCGCAACTACCATCCACCACCTCTCCTACCACCACGTCCTCTGCCAAAGTTCCCTCCACGATTTCTGTTGTCGCCAGAACCGGCCATTCCTTGATCGTAACCATATTGATTCTGGCCCTGGCCAAACCCTTGACCTCCAAAGCCTTGTCCACCTTGTGCACCTGCTACAGCACGTCCTTGGCCGAACATTGTGGGGTCCATCTGACTTGGGTCCATACCGGAGGCCATCATTTGCTGCATCTGTTGAAGCATCTCGGGTGTCATTCCCTCCATACCTGGCATAGCTCCTCCAGCAGCTCCTGGGATCATTCCGGGCATAGCTCCCATGGACATCATCATATTCATATCATCCAACATCTTTTTCTGGTTCGCAGCCACCTTCTCAGGGCTAAACTCCGCTCTGATTGAGTCCTGCTTGCTCGCGTAAAGCGCCCATGTGAATTCGTCAAAGCCGTAGTTGAAATAGTCGCTGATATCCGTGCCGGGTCTGCGCCATGGTTTGTCGTTCTCGCTCAAGTCTATTATGTTAGTCCAAACATTTTCTGGGAGGATAGTCCAAACCACCTTCATCTATGTTGACCTGAGTGATCGGCTTTCCCGCAGGCTCGTATATTGGCTTCGCATCGACATCAATCTTGGACGTTGATATTCCTGGTAAATCAGCCCCAGAAACGTGGGGCGCACCCTTTGTTGCTTCCTTCTTGACGACAGGTGCTTTCACAACAACTTCATTTGCAGTCGTTCTTTGCGGAATGTTCCGGATCTCGTTGTATTTTGGTTGACTATGCTCGTAATTAGCTCTTTTCAAATCTATGAGGAGGAAAGGCTCACGACGGAGGGGCAGGCTTGGTCCCATCTTTCCGCTCGGTGATGATATCTATGTCCTAAATCAACGGTAAACAAAGATCCGTTAAGGTTCTGATCTACACGTACCGAATCACTGTCCTCTGACTCTGCTTCGTCTTCCTCCTCTCCCTCTTCTAGGTCTTCATCTTCCTGTTCTGGCTTGGCGGCCGTAGGAGGGGCTGCCTCTGTCTTTTCGGGTTTATCTGTAGTCTCCTCCGTGCCTTCCTCGGGCGCATAAAAGTCATCATCTTCGTCGACATCCATATTGGCGATTTCGCATCTGTGTTGCTGTGAAGGAGAGCTTCAAAGAGTCGACGGACGTTGTTCCTGCAAAGTACAATACTCGGGAGCTTAGTTGCTTAGCGCAGTTCAATTATTCTGGCCGCGCCCGCGTCTCCGTCTCCAGAAGAGTCAGGTTACAGGTCGCAATCCATTCCAGCTGCAGGACGTGTGACACAGCCCTGATTTGTTAACTCTGGCAGGCGCGTGTGGAAAATAATGGCCCTGGCAAGATCTGCGAGTGGACCCGGCGGCTTAAGTATTAACACCAATTCTGCCAACTCATTATTGTGAGTATTCCCGTCCCTGTCTTTGAGATCAATACCGCGACGAACTCGACATCAAGCTCGGTCTAAGCTCTAACATCACATTTAGTGGTTCAAGTACAACACCTGCATCAGGAGGGATGTTTGGAAATACAGCGGCTAGCAAGCCAGGTGGACTTTTTGGTGCATCGACGGCGACGGCGACGACGACATCAGCACCGCAGACGGGAGGATTGTTTGGATCGACAGCCACGGCAAGCCAACCGCAAGCAGGAGGACTGTTTGGAGCGAACACAGCAGCTTCCCAGCCTCAGACCGGAGGGTTATTTGGGTCTACCTCTGCAAGCACGCAACCGCCGGCGTCAGGGCTATTTGGTGCTGCGCAACCTCAGCAGAGTAGTGGACTATTTGGAAATACTGCTACAACACAACCTGCTCAGACTACTGGTCTTTTTGGTGCTTCTACTACCTCCTCTCAGCCCCAGCAACCTGGTGGACTCTTCGGCGCGGCACCAGCGCAACCGGCCCAAAATGCTCTTGGAGGTGGAATGTTTAGTGGATTGAGCGGTCAGGGCCAGAACCAGGCCAAGCCAGCTACGTCCTTGTTGTAAGTTCTGCTATATGTTTTGTGTAGAGCGAGCTGACCGAAGTCAGTGGTGGTGGTCTAGGTAGTACGACTCAAAATCAACAGCAACCCCAAACACAACAGACAAACTCTACGTTCCCAACATTAAACCAAAATCAAGGAGGTGGCATGTTTGGAAGCACGTTAGGCAGTGGCCTGTCTTTGGGACAAAATTCGACTCAACAACAGACTGTTCCTGGGGTCCGGATTGATGTTAGCCAACTCCGAGGTACAACACGATTCAATGACCTTCACGATGACCTACAAAAGCAAATCAAGCTCTTCGATGATGTTATTCAACAACAAATCCAGCTAAAGAATGATTGTGATGCTATAATGCCCGCACACAACAACCAGCTTGCACAGGTCCCCCATGATGTTGAGTTCGTGAGGAGAAAACGTATTGGTGTTGAGAATGCACAGGACTCAGACGCACAGGCAATTTCAATCGTGCAGAAGCTCATCAAGGTCGATGCCGAGCACGCAAAGTTAAGCTTCAAAGCCATTGACAACTTGAAGCTCCCTCCACAATATCACAACACTGGCGTCTGGTCAGGCAACCCTGCCGCGAATGACAGCCGAGCCCAGGAGAATGGCGATGCAGATGCCCAAGATATTGTCAGCTTCTTCAATCAGACCGCTGATGAGCTAGCCTCGACGCTCTCTACATATCAAAAACATATCTTTGAAATCGAGCAGCATCTTAGATCGGTCGAGGCAAATAGCGCTCAACAGATCAACGCTTTGGTCGCGAAGAGAAATGGTACTTCTACCGGCCAAGAGGACGCACGATCGGAGCTGATAGCAGTTCTGAACGATTTCGAGCAAGGCATGATAGCCGTTGCTTCGAAGGTGGGTGGGGCTCGTGAGAGTTTACAGAGCTTGCAACTTGACGGGTTTGGGGAGAGCCGCAATGGACAAAGAAACGGACGAAGAAACGGACTGTATTGATTTGTATACCTAATGGGTGGAGTTGGGAGTCGGGGCTGCATATGAGAAGCATCAGGGCATGTTAGTGGGTAAATTCCATACTTTGAGGAAGATACCAGTGAAGAAATCAAGTATAAGTATTTTATCACTCATTCTTTGTCCTTATTGTATTGTGTGCATTTTTTCTGACTATTGTCAAGATCATATCTCATAAAGAAATACTAACGCCTGCCCTTTCTGGACACAATGTATTCCATCCCAACGCCCGCTCAATCGCCGCAATAATCAAAATCACTTAGTTACACCAGTCCAGCCTCAATCGTTGTAGTTACTCTGCTGACTCCCATCTTTGTTGACAATAGGTAAGCCATACTTCTTCGCTAAATCCTCCTCCTGGCTCCTGGCATCTGGAGCCAGACTTGGTCTCTCCGCTTGGCAAGCCACCCTCACAGCGTGTCTCCGATGAGGTGCGAATCCATAAGAAGCAGAATGATTCTGTTGGATATTAGCACACAGACCCAGAAATCGAAGAATCTCTTTCCGCATCGAAGGTAAAGATGACTTACCGTAACTCTGTTATCCCAAAACGCCACATCGTCATCGCCCCATTGAAACCGAACATGTAACTCTTGAGTCGTAGCAACCATCTCATTCAAGTACCCAATAATAACATCGCTCTCCACCTTTGGAATTCCCACAATCTTCGTCACAAAACCTGGGTTGAAGAACAACGCCTTCCAGCCTGTCACAGGATGAGAACGAATCAACGGATGCTCCGTAACAATCGGCTCTCTTCTCACTGTCCTCCCAGCAGCTCGCGACCCTTCAGCTTGCATATGCGAAGAATGCAACGCAGTCAACGACTCGAGATACTTCTGCATTGGCGCAGAAAGTGCATCATAAGCAGCATACTGTGAAGACCACAGCGTGTCGCCACCACCACCTCGAGGCGGCCCAGTGAGTACTTTCAGCGACGTGTAAGATGGTGGTTGAATCTCATAAGTGACGTCCGAGTGCCACAGGAAGCTAGGCGCGAACATGGCTCTCTGATCTCTCGACTTCTCGTCCGTGTACACCACGTGTACATCATCCAAGTCTCCACGCTTGGGAACAGAAGTCGTGGCGTGCTTGTGTAACTTTCCGAAGTAAGCGCCTAGTTCTCGCTGCTTCTCAATGGACAGGTTCTTCTGATTGCGGAAGAAGACCACACCTCGCGTGGCGATGAGGAGAGCAAGGTCGTTCTTGGCTGCGTCTGTGAGTATGGAGAGGTCTACACCGTGGACTTCAGTGCCGACTTTTGGGTTGTAGTCGAAGATGTCTGTAGCGGTTGAAAGGAGATTCTTGAATGTTGGATCGCCAAAGTGTGCTTTATCTGTGTAGAGTACTTCTTCTAAGGCTGGCCATGTTTTGTCTGGAAAGTACGGCTTCAAGTCCTCATACTTGTATGTGTCGTGCTTTTGGACAACTGTTCGACCTGGGACATATGATGAGATTGGAGAGGCTCTGGCCTTAGTAGGAAGAGCGGTGCTGTTAGCGCTCTCTTCGTAGCGTACCTCCAGTGTGGGAGCCATATTGGGTGAACTCAAATGCGGCTGATGGAATTTGGAACGATCAAGAAAGTAGAGGCTCAAATAACGGAAAGAAGCGCGATTCTTGATATAAAGGAAAAGCAATACGTCAAAGGGAGCTTCATGATATATACGAATGCCTGATTCCAGTCACAGGAGATGACACAAGCAATGACACCATCCCCAAAGCGCATTGTGCAATTGTAGCTGTCCGCCAAAGGTGGCGTGGCTTACTCGGAGCAGACCCGTTCTAAACACCCGCACACGCTTGTCTGGGTCTGGGGATTATCTGCCGGAATGCTGGGGGCGTAAAGCCATGCCTACCTACTTACCTCCATACAAAGTCACATCTCCTGGCTCTCCCTTTCATCTTGTGAGGCTTTAAGTACCTATCGCTAACCTTCGGCGACTCTCTTGAATGCTCTACGCAAGAATCGTTGGACACCTAAGTATGGTTTGGATGTCTCCCGCCGCACACTCGACACTCGACACTCGACTCAGGCCACTCACACCGCAATTCACCGCACTACTCACCGCCACCGATCCCAACAGTCAAGATCTCGGCCCTGACAAGATTGCGGGGAAGGGGAAGCGGAAGCCACGATTACCATGTCTCTGTTGCCCAGATGCATGGTTTCCGAGCAGCTATTTCTAACACAACGTTGGAGATTTCCCATTTCGCCGCCTCGCTTAATCTGAAGGCGCGACCTCTGTGGCTACTGATTGGTCGGTCAGCTGGCCATGACAGGATCCACTTTCCCCTGGACTAAATGCTGCCATTCTGGAGACCTCTTGCGTGCTCACTCGCGACATCCTAATTTCGATGTTTGGGATTTGATATCAATGACGAGGAGATCCACCGCTTCTGTGACTACAAATCAATGGGAGACTCCAACCTCGACTCAAGGACTAATAGTCGGTTCCCCTCTGTAAGTCTGCGGGCACTCGCCTACAGTCAGTGAAAGCAAGTGTCACAGGAAAGCAAGTGTCACGCAAAAATAATCAAACGAATTTTATAGCTTTTTTAAGAGATACTAATAATTAAAAAGAGATAAATAAATTACCATGTTTTGTTTATCAATTCTATTTCAAGATCCTGCTCAGGAAGCGACTGCATGTCTATTGCTGCTAGTGCATAGCTCCCGACAGCTCACCAGCGTTCAGGAATTTAGCAAACATCATAAAGTTATTCTCAAGTGCTTCATCTTCTACACCCTTTCACAACTCATCCAGCCGTTCTACGACCCACTCTCCAAGAGGACCTTTATCAATCTCTTTGACGGTCTCCCTCAGCTACTTCAAGTGACAGTAGTAGTGACCAAGACCAGGATCTTCGAAGCTACATATTGCAAGTCTGTTTGGAAATGCATTGCACGAAACTCCAAAGACCAATTTCTTCCAATATCAAGGGAAACAACGAGCTCGAGCACTCACCTGCCTTGCACTACTCGCCCTAACAACGACAAGATCCACCTTCTCCCATCCAACCCCCCATGCCAAACTACCCACCTATCAGAAACACCGACCCTCGTCTCCTGCCCTCCCATCTCATCCACCAACGCACCAAACCTCTCTAGAAACCTCAAGTAGCTCTCTCCTCCATGCATACTCTGTAAAACCTTACCCAGCATTGTCCTACGTTCGAAAAGCCCATCACCAGCACGCATCTGTTCGGGCGTCAGGACGAGGAAGTCAGAACTGCGGCAGGAGCACGCTTGGATTGAAGTATTCAGTTGGCGGAGGAGAGGGAAGAGAAACGTTTGGCTGCGGCGTGCGGAGAGGTTATATATGCTTTGGTAGACGGTTGGGAGGATGTAGGAGTGTGTGGACATGTAGGTGTGGCATTCTTGGACTTGAGCGGCAGTGAAATCGGAGAGTCTAAACTGGGGATGAGGTTAGTGCTGTCTTGTGACTTGGCCAGGTTTAAGCTGGATCTCACTTGTTCAAAATGGCCTGTTAGGTACAAAGCTTGGATTCCTTCCATTGTCTCGCTGATGGGTGTGGTCTAGTCTGGGAAGCGCAGGAGATAAATTTTCATATAAGGAGTTCAAATTTTTTCTCTCGATATTCTCCAAAAGAGAAGAGGAATATTTACCTTCTTCGCTTTCAACGCTTCCTCACTCTCTCCACAACTTCAGGATCCCCTCCTTCGACGCACCACCAGGATCCAGACCATCCGAGCCCTAGTAGTGATATCAAAATCCGAAGACAAGCCTCCAATACCGATAATTTCTTCAGGTAAACCACCGCCCTAGTACGAAACGTTACCTTCTGACTCTCAAGATATGCCGTGGTAGATAAGAGAGCTTGTATATACTCTTGCAGTGTCCAGGACTATGATGCCGAGATCTATAGGTGTGGCGACAAGTTGCCTATGCTTTTCAATATTAGAGGAATTCGTGGATACCTGACCCATGCCAAGGACGAGAAAAGGTGGCGACGTGGTGTTTGCTATTACTGTGGTTCGGAAGAGAGAATTTAGTGTTTCTGTTCAAGTCTGATTATAAGGTAAGAGAAGAAGAGATAATACAAGACTAATAATTGATAACAACCGATAAAGAAGTAGGCCAGTCTCTTTCATGTGCTTTATGTAGTTAGACAGAGCGATAAAGCTAGCCTTGGAAAATTATAGTTCTTGGATCCGGCTATTCCACCCGCGCTTACCTTTTCAAGATGAAGATCGTTACAATTTAATATATGATATTAAGATTCTGATCGGATGTTTGTACCTTAAAGGAAAAAGCAGGTTCCGACCCACTGTGGGAGGGGCACTTTCCTAGAATAATAATCATATCACTGTTACCAAATTCTGGTAAGTGTCAATTGATAGTCGATTGATAGTGATAAGAAATTCTTGGCAGTTGAGAGGTCGTTATTTCTAGGAAAGTGCACCTCCCACGGTGGGTCGGAACCTGCTTTCTCCTGTAAGGTACTTTGTGCCGTGCACGTCAGCTGATGTGAATGCTAGCATTAGCAAGTATCTATCCTACCTGATGGCCAACATCTAATAACGAAGTCTGGAAAGGGGAAAAAGAGAGGAGAAACCCAGTAATCCGAGAGTTGGTGAGCCAGCTAGCTGCGCAGAAGTAGTGGAAAGTCAACAATAGCAGTCCAGTTACCGAAGTCCCCCTTCAAGGCATCAAGCGAGCCAATTAGTGCGGCAGCTTATGGTAACAGTTCAGAGTCAACATTTTGCTCGCCCATTTTGTACGTTAATGGCGACGGAAATACTCTCAGCAGCAGCTGGTTCATCACGAAGTATAAGAATGCTTCTATCTGGCCTTGCTATGCTCATTGTCCGTGGCTTAACGTGCGGCTACTCGTGGTGGATTGAGAAAGCAACCTGTGAATGCGGATACGAGTTTGTCAGCCACTGACATGTGAATCGGAACTGTCGGTATGACTTCTGTAAACTACTTAGATCTTGATGCCCCCCTCTTTCTTGTTTTCTTCATGATAACAATATTCTGTCGTTGCATTTCTTTGTCTTAGACGTTTCTTGTCAACTTCCCTTACGAGGACTTTCATACAGAGGCATCGTGCAAACATGAACCCCACTCGTTCCTTGAAATCGGTACCGCACTAAATCGCGAATAACATGAGAACTCGTCGCATTGTTTCTTGCCACTATCTCTATCCATGACTGCCATCCGCAGACCACGAAGACTCAAATATCGTATGCCGATAGTTCCAAGCCCTCCCAAAAACGCCATGCTCGCCAGCTTTTCCCAACAGAACCAATCTAACCGCTGACCCATCATCCCGAAGCAAATGAAAGCAGGCAGGTATCATAACCAAAGTTAGGGAATCATCTCTTCTTCACTCGTTTCCGTCATTGTCTCATCACTATCAAATTCCTTCCTCCGCTCGTCCGTTGACGTTTGGGGCTGCGGTCCACCATTCGCAACACCATTTAAGAGTTTCTGCTCTGCAGGAACATCGCAAGTGCCAACCAGAATCCCATTCAAATGTCCATTGGCTTTCGAAACAGCTGGTTTCCTAACCTCAGCGGCCTTCTCGAGTTTCTCCTTCCTGATTTTCTCGCGCTCAAGTTTAGCCGCCTTGGCGCTCTTTCTCTGCACTCTGTTATCACTCACACGTCCGAAGGCGAGGACCTGCACCAGGACCATGACGACTGTGTAGCCCCAGCATAGCTGATCGTCCGCGTGCATGTCGAGGTAGGGAGGGGCGTTGCGGACAGGGCCAAGACTCTCCATGAAGGGATGCGGGGAGAGGGAAACCGAGGGTGGGGGAGGCATCATATGCGACACGAAGGTATTGAAGAGATGGAGGACGAAGGCGGGATTGAGGAGGATGGCAGGGAGGAGATAGGTCGTCGTTAAAGTCGGCATTTTGAAGTTTTGAAGATAGGATTGGGATTCTGTTGGGCATCGTCAGCGGAGAACTGCTTGGTATTGAGTGGAAGCGCACATTGTGTTACAGTCGCTGCTACCATTCCTCTACGGATTGAGCCGTAGTCTGCTGGCTCAGAGCAAGTGTTTGATCCTGCAATTCGACCAAGTACTTGGAAATGTTGTGTTGGACGGCGCACAAAGGCGTTGCCGATCTTGGAAGCCGACTGTTGCGCAACGGCTCGATTGTGACCCTTCGATTGTGCAACTGCTTTATCCAATCTTTTCAATGGCTGGCTCCAGATATAACGTGACGGCAAGAAAGATTTATTGTTGGCAGTGGCGGTTGTGGGTGAGAATGGGCCAGATAGTGAATGGCGGGCAGAGTGTTTGGAGGCGCAGCAAAAAGAATGCTGTATTATCAAACACTATCAAGATGCAGATTTCGCCTGACAATTGACTTCGTTACGGCAGTCTTGAGCTCCTAAAGATGGAGGGAGGATTTTCAGGTAAGATTGAGTTTGCAGGCTCAGTGTCCAGGAAAGAGGTTCGAGGTGGTCAGCGTCAAGTTGGCATGTGAGGGTGGATATGGGAAAGTCCTAGCTTCCCAGTTTGGCGATCCAAGCAGCAAGCACCAAGCACAAGTCGCAACGCTCTGGTACGGGATGTGCTATCTGGCTCTCTGCGAACCCAAACCCAACCCAACCATGATCTGCCAATCAACCCGTGGGCAATCCATGGTTGCCTACCTCTTTGACATGTGGCTGTGACAATAGCCTGCCGAGGTCTTGGACGCCAATCTGATACGGGACCCGTAACCCGTACGAGAGCGACAGTGACAGACAGGCTTTCCAGGTTTCTCACCCCCCAAACTCTGGACTGGACTCTGGAGACTGTTTCCAGGGGTCCAGGTCCCTGAAGATCGCTAAATCAGTGACGTCCCACCCCCTCGCCTCACCCTGGGACAAGGGGATCGGAGCTCGGAGGCCGGAAAAACTCGACTTCCGGCTGGCCGGCTGCTGGTGCCACAGTTAAGGGACGGTACACCAGCGACTCAGCGAGACCAGCCACAGTCCAGCTCGAAGCCGATTCGTTGGAACGGCTGGTACCACGTTGAGGGGACAAGGCTCTGGATTTTAAATGTTGTCCTTTTACGGAGGACATGAAGGACATTGTTCACCACGCCCAGGCACCTACGAATCTTCGCATGCAAAGGAAGCTATACTCTTTTTTCTGCTCCTCATCCTTTCCCATTATACAGTATTACAAAACAGGCTCCGTGTGAGCTTCTTCTTTTCACAAGATGGTGTGGTCCGTCCAACATTCGATGAAGACCAAGTCAACTAACCAAATTCCAGAACACCCTCTTCAACACCGCACTTAAGCAGTCCACATCCCTCAAACGCGATCTGTCTTCTCCAACATCAGGTCAACCTTTATCCCCTTCCTTCCTCGGCCAAATATCAGCATCCCTGACTTCCTTCTCACGAACTCTCGACTCCTACGCCGAACTCATCAAATCCGAGCTCAACCCTTCGAAAAAGGAGAAAGCAGAAGAGCGTCTCAAATCCTTTCGAGCGGAACTCCAATCTTTCAGAGAGGAATTCAAAGAGTTGAAGCTGCAGAATGAGGACGTGCAGAGTAGCGTCAACAGGCAGGAATTACTGGGACGTAGGCCACATCATACTGCCACGCCAGACAACCCATACTCCAATGCCTCTGTCGCAGCGAATGCAAATGTCGGCTCTCCATGGGCGCCTAAAGAAGGTGGACAATCGAGCCTGAGTATGCAGTCCGGAGACCAGGCAAGGGAGAACCATGCTTTAAGAGAACAGAACTTCTTCGCAACCACACATACGGCATTGGATGAGTATCTGGCTCGAGGTCAAGCAGTCTTGGGTGATTTAGGCCAGCAGAGAGAGATTTTGAAGGGAACTCAGAAGAGACTCTATAGTGTGGCGAACACATTGGGGGTGAGCGGAGACACGATACGTATGATTGAGAGGAGGGCGAAGCAGGACAAGTGGATATTCTGGGCGGGTGTGGTAATCTTCTTCGGCTTCTGTTGGTTAGTGCTACACTACCTGCGATGAGAGTCGCGTACGGGTCGGAAAGGAGGGATACGGACGAGATGCGCATGTATTTTGGAACTTACAGCGAGGCGTTTGGCGTTCTTGGGAGAAGCAATCCAGCAGATGTTGCGTTCAGAAGTGCATGTATGAAATAGATGCTTCTCAGCTCACATCCTAAGTTTCTGGTTATTCGGCTGCTACATCTCTCGGTATCATCTCTCCTTAAACGTCTCGCTACACATCCTTCCTACGGACTCGAGTGAGCACCTCCCAGTCTTGTCCTGACCCATCTGCCACAATGACCTTTACCCAACTACTCCTAGTACGGGCACTTTACAGGCCACAGCTTCTCACCCTTCTCGAGTTGCACCGTCAAGGCCTTCTGCACATCACCATTGCAAGAGCAAATGCTCCCCAGCAAGGACTGGTTGCCACAACCAGCGGTGTAGCAGCTTTTTTGATCAGCACCATAGTAGCAAGTCCCAACTGCTAGGCACGAGCCCAAGAGCAGTGGTGCTGTGTCGATTGGCGCTGTAGAGGATTGGCGCTGGGCAGTTTTAGTGAGATATTTGGAAAGATTATTAGATGAAGACGTACCTCTACTAAGGTGGACGGAATAACAGTTGCGGCGGCAGTCAAGAGCAGTGAAGCTGCGGAGAGGAGAGTTGATAATTGCATAGTGATGATTGTTCAGGGAGATGTTTGAAGAGCTGCATGTCAGTTAGCAGCTTGGTCTAACAACCATCCCTAAGCTACAAGCTTGTATGCTTACTTATTTGCACGAAGTCTATCAAAATAGCAACTTGTAGAGAAGTAGTTGAATGGACTAGAGAATAGATTGCAAAATTACATTATCTAGCAGGAATCACGTCTTTTATACCTACTCCGCCCATTCCGGCAATAGAAGTAGCGCTGTTCTCATGCTCCTTCATCGGAGTACAAGGAATAAAGCTTCACAAGAGACGGATAAAATACAAACATGCAACCAGACCAGATGACTGGCCAAACCGGAGATTCGGCCCTATCTATAGCAGGCTATGGTAAGGTTTAGCTATGTACTTTCGACGCAAGAAACAGAAGAGAAGCTTTGTCACCCAATCGTTGCATGGGCAGCGGCACATATTACCTAGATTTTCCTAGCGGAAATGGAGAACAGATGATCGGTACCCCACTTGAAGCTTTTATCCTCGAGCCTAGACTTGTGTGCTTGTCGCCGTGTGCCTGCTTAGCCTTGAATGGAGGGTCTTTTCATGTTGACACCTTGTGATCACCCCTCATTCCACTTCAAGGCCCGGCAGTTACTTGAAAGATTGCTACTGTTGAGAGAAGGAGGTAAAAGCGTTTGTTTCACCCGTCGGTCCCTCTCGGCTCATTATTTCACTTCATGCTTTCTTCTACCTTTTAAATGGCAACTCTCGTCTTCTTACTTTCAGCTTTCCCCAACATCTGACCACATACCAACAAAAGAAGATGGGATAAGCTTGAAGTTAAAGAACAAGGTTAATCCTCGGCACACCAACTACTTCCGTCGTTAAACTCTAAGCAATCTTATCAGATCATCATCTTGCATCACCAAGTCAGTGCCGTGCAGCCCATCTCCACACTTCCACAGCAGTCCATCCACACCTGTCAATCTCTTCAGTGGTACTCTTTTTTTATGGTGCGTGCATCTGTCAAAGTTCAAAGTTCAAAGTTCAAACTCTTGTGTTTGTGTCCCGGATTGGATGAGTGGATGCTCAATGGTGATAAGAAAGTACGAATCACTGCTTTGGGGTATGTATTGGATGTCCTTGGTTGTTCTGAACTTGAGATGGATGTCGAAATTTGTTTGGATTCTTGAAGGTGGTATTTAGCTCGGTCGGGGTGCCGACAATTGGATCGTGGGAGCCGATGGCGGTGAGAATATTCAGGTGGATCTGTCAAGGTGGAGTGAAGTATTTGAAAGAATTGCTCTACATGTCAAAAGTGGAGAGTGGTGAGATGATGAAGGGAAGATCTGTCAGTGCAGCCGAGTTGTCGTTGGAAGAAGGTTTTCCCAAGTTGTCCTCTATGATTTTAAATTCCTCCTCTGAGCCATTTTCTTCGGGTCCATGGCAAAGGCTCTCTTGGACAAATCGTCCATTGCAGAGCAAGGTATAGTATAGTTGAAAACTATATAGCGGGGCCAAGGCATGGTAGCTACCTAATTGAGGGATTGGTAGGCATGTCCTGCTACGTACCATGTGAGCAGATGGGGAAGTGAAGCTGAACGAATTTAACGGTTTCACGCTCTTTGTCAATAACTGACTCTTCTTTAAAGCACAAGGACAATTATAAAGCAAGAGGAACGGCTGAGCATTGATTAGTAACTTTCCGTCTACTTCCTTCTACCCTGACCATGTGCTAATTTATCTCCAGCTGCAGAAATCACTATCTGTGTGTGACACTATTCATTCTGCTGACCTCGCCTCAACACGGAGAATTGATACATTAAGATGAAAACAATGCTGCCAAGTTTCTTGCAAATGCCGAGAGCCTTCTGTACGCGAAGCAGGAAACTTCCTCTGTTTACTGTTCTTTCTTGGCATCTTCGCTTAAGAATGCAGGTCACAAGTTCCATCTTCCTTGTCTACCACCTATTGCGAGACAAGGGATATCTAACTTATATGTTAAGCTTATACCTCAAGTCTCGGTGAATTCCTTGGATACTGTTCTACTGGTCATCAGACTCCACTGCGTCACGCCCATGCCCAGAATTCGATTACCGGTATGTTCTGTATGGAAACAATAGGAGAATCGGTGCATCATTTCTCCGACGAAACCAAGACCTTTAAAGGCTGATAGCCTCATGTGCGTTACTATCCACATCCCATTTAATAGTAACACATTCATTCGTACTCTAAGCCTAAGAAGAGAATGTCGCAACGCCGCTATCCAAAGCATCATCGATAACTTTCACGGCAACCTGAGCTTGCGGTAGTACTATAGGATCAATCTTCTGCACCACTTGAAGAAAATCAGCATAGACTATAAAAGCGCTGATAGTCTATCCCTTGTCTATATCATCATGTGGAGGTTCCATCCTCCGAAGAAGTAAACTCAAAGCTTAGATCAGGACATATAGCAAAGGGGAATATTTACTCACATGCCGCACTCAAACTATCATGGTCATACTTCAACAGCTTCAAACTATCCAATACTGTTCCCTCTAACTGATCCTTCTCAAACAGGCTCTTCTTCCCCTCCAAGATCTCCACTGACTCCGGGATATGCTTCGCCAGGGTCGCACTTACAAAGTCCACAATGATCTGTGAATCTGCGAGCGTGGCATTAGGAATGAGCAAAGCATCAGTATACGCTTTTCGGTTTGCGATATGTACAGCCGTTACGCCGCCGATGATAGGTGTTGCGGTGAGGAGGCCGCCTGTGTAGGACTGGATGGTTGATTTGAGAGCTAGGACGCTGTTGTCGAGGGCTACAAGATCGCTGTAAATGAGCTGTGCGGAAGGGAAGAAGGGGATCGCTGCTGCTAGAGCAGTTGTGGCGATGAGGAAGAGGGACTTGAGGGAGATCATTGTTAATTGTTCGTAGAGGCAAGGAAGTGGACCTTCTGTTTGTCGTGGGAAGAAGAGAGAGAGAGAGGGGGGGGGGAGGGAGAGAGAGAGAGGGAGAGAGAGAGAGGGAGAGAGAGAGAGGGAGAGAGAGAGAGGGAGAGAGAGAGAGAGTGAGCTTAACTTTGTCCCTTACATATCAGAAGTTCCAAAATAACATGATTTAGGTTTGTAATGTATCAAGAGGAGGAGGGTGTGCCTCGGCATATGTGTATCGAGAGCAGATCTAGCGGATGGCCTCTACTAGTGTGCTGCCGTCACTGGCCCAGAGCTGATATGGGAAGGCTTGAACAGCTATCTAGACTAATGCAATGAGTAACTGGGCGATCGTTACACCAGATGACTTTAATTAGACCAAAAATGAGATCTAAATGAGCGCCATTTCAACCCCACTATCCTGCTTTCGACAATATGGAACCTCGCATCCTCCTTGTAAAACTCTCCTGTTGAGTGCATGTGACATCTTGACATCAGAAAAATATGCGCAAATTCTCTTTAATCTAGTTTAGAATTTGAGAGCTTGAAGTACTTGTTTTAGACCGAACTTCTAAATGTGGATTATCTGTCAAGCCCCTTGCATACCAACCTTCTTGTCTTTCCACTGTCAATTATTGTCAGGGATGTTTTAAAATATTAAGATGGAGACTTACGTTGAAGGCAACCTGAACATCCCGAAAGAACGGCTCTCCGATGATCCAGACATCAGCAAGTCCATTGCCTCCATCCATACTAAAAGTCGATACAGATTCTCCCCAAGCGAGAGCTGTTCCAACACCCATCCTCGATTCAACCACAATACCAATGCAGTATCCACTTCCTGTTGCCATTCTTCCCAGGGAGAATCTTCCCCCCGGCGAAAAGGTGCCCTTGTCTCTCTTTCCCTTCAATACTTGAACGTTCCACTGTTCGAATTCAAAGTGTATTTTCGGTGGGTTAAAACATGGATATGCATGAAATTGGTCAAATGGAGGAGATAACTGCCTACTACCGGAGATAGACGAGTAGAATGACCGCGCTGCTAGTGGTGGTGCGACGATGAATGGTGTATTGACCTGTGGTGCGTCAGAATCAAAGGATATCGGCACATCAATCCCCACTAACGTCTAGCACGATTGGTTGATTGTCCAGCATCTTCATCCCATCGATCCAAATTCCTCTCATAAGAATTTGCCACCATCCTTCTGCGCCATGCACCTTCATCCATCTCCAGTCTTTCGTATCGTCTTCCACTATTGCTTTAGATGTATCTCGTTTCGTCTCGTCGTGCTCACCAGGATTCAGCATCTCGTCCGTCTCTTTCTCAACCTGTCTCACTGAAGCAGCGAGAGTACCCCCAATGCTGAAGATTCCTTCCTTTCCGTTAATAAGCAGCACTGACCATATCGGCATGTCAACCGCTTTCTTCTCTAATAGCTGCTGCAACAATCCGTCTGCCTTAGTCTGACTTAAGGAAGCCGAAGAAGCCAGTCCAAGATATGATCCGGAAGGGAGAAGAGCTCGAAGCCATTGTTTGGCAGGTCTACAATGAGCAAAAGTAACAGGAATTGCTCGCTGTACTGTAGGCAAGTGTACCACGTCTGTTGGCCCTCGACATGTCGGAAAGGAAAGAGGTACTTCTGAATCGACTGGGATTATTAGCCAATTCTCCATGGTGATAGATTAACAAACCATAGGTCTTGCTGTTGAAATCTAGAAACCAACTCCCTTTCGAACTGCTTGTACTCAACACCCAAAAGTCCGCCGTCAGCATATCAAGATCCATGTCCACGGTTTGTACAGGCTCTCCCATTCTTAAGGTCGCAAACCAGTTCCCTTCTCTTCCTACCTCTCCAAGCAGAATTGTGCTGGCCTGAGTACCATGAACCCGTCTGGGTTTCCGCACAACTTTGTTGCCATTGAAATCACGAGTAGTCGCATTGAAGCGGGTCTCTACCACTTTTAGTTCTTGAAGGAGGTGTGTGAGGTTGGCAGTATCTGGCGCAGGAAAGCTGCCTGATCGCCGAGAAATGGTGTAATGAATTGGAGGAAGTACAGGTGCTGTAGATGCCACACAACACAAGGCTCGTGCCAAGATCAAGCACCAGGTGAAATTCGAAATCATGGTGCTCTCATTTTCAGTCCTGAGGAATCAACGAAGTAATTTGGGTTGGTGAGAGAGGATGCCATTAAATAAGGAGTACAGCCTCGGCTGGAGTAAGTTCTGGCAGGTTCATAAACCAAGTTAGCAATTTTGACCTCGCGGAAAGGCAAGTGCCACCCCTCAAGACCGATAACTCAGCAACAAAAATTCGTAACGCAATCAAAATCAACGACAAGCCAAAGCACCACACGATGACAGCTCAATAGACACTTGTTGGGAAACGGGAAAGGCAAAGCACAGCATCAAAACCAGCAAATCCGACCACAAAGAGCAACTCCATTCAGCGGGTTTGTTTTCCACCATCCGGTGGAATTTGTTTTGCCATCCTGTGCTCTTCATATTTTTTCCCGCAGGCGACATGTACTTAAAGGATGTTCTGCAAGTTTTTCGAGGCGTTATCGTCCTCAGAATTGATCATTACCAGTGCAAATATTGGTGCTTGTTGGCGATTGTGGTCGAGGCGAAAAATAGCAATCTACAAACAGTTACCATTGAACGTCCGTCATTATGTAGATCTAATCATTCGAATCTGTTAACTCAACTGTAAAGGTTGCATGCTCACACGTAGGAATACCATCATCCGTAGGGAGAAGACGTGATTCACACTCCAAAGCTCTGCGTCCTTCTTTTTACTGCTTTTATTTGCCATTAGGTATCACTGGAAATCCGTCAACTTCAGCAGAGATTATCCCATCCCATCCTATTCCATTCCCAACTGCATGCTCGCTCCTCGGAATGCTAGAAACCAAAGTGCCTCTCGCCATCAACCACAAAAATGTCGCTGCAGGGTTCCCAATATTCATCCATCAACGTGCCTCAAGTAAACAAAGGGAAAAAACCCAAATAATTATAGGCATGTGTGGAAGAGAAGGGTATTTATTATACATGAAAGCCAAGTCAAGTTCGAAATATCATCAGTCGTAATGGAAGAACTTTTGATCATCTCCTCCGGACGGCGAGGTTCATACAATCCAACACCTGGACGTCATTAGTAATTTGAAGCGGGTGTACTATTATTTGACTTACGCCTTCAGGAATAACACCTTGGTTGTAAAGGTGCTTGCTTATTCCTTTCACCAGCTCCATCTGCTCCTCTGGTGTGAGCCCGTTGATCGCACTCTCAATGACACCTCCAAGAGACACCTTGTAGATCGCAATGAAACTGTGATAGTACATGTAGGCGAAGAACCCCATGATAAATTGGCAGTCCATACGATCGGTAATCCCGCCGTGGCCTGGAATTGAATCACCAAAATCCTTGATCTTGAAGGTTCGCTTCAGGCCGGACGCAAAAAAGCCACCGAATGGAGCGATTAGAGAAGCGAATGTGCCAAATACCAGAATATGAACTTGCATCGGTGCCATATAGAAAGATTGGACGAAGGGAAACCAGATCGGAAGGTGATAAAGGCGTGGAAGGAAGACCGGATTTGGAGTACATTGAAGTCCGGTCCAGATGTTTGCTCCAAGGTCCTAAAAGGAGTTATTTAGCCAAGCTTTCGGGTTTCAGTGGGGAATGCTTACGTTGACAGGGCAAATGAAGTATTTGTAACGCATGAGGACGTTGGTCATGCCGACTCCAAAGATGATTGTGAGAACCCAAGCACCAACGAAACCCTCGACCGTCTTCTTGGGTGATAACTTGATGAGCTGCGTCCGGCCAAAAGTGATACCACAGATATAGGCAAAGATGTCGTTGCAGATGACCAATGAGACAGGTAGGAAGAACCATATCATCCCCTCAAAGACGTTGTTCATGATGAAGTGAGCCTGTACCACAATAAGATATAGAGCCATATGAGTCCATGCAAATTGAGTAAACTGGAATCGGTAGTGTCCGGCTTGAAGCGAGGCCACGAAGAAGACAAACCCTGGAATATGTTAACTATTGCGCTCTCAACCACGTTGGTACACGTACCAATGACATAGAGCATGAAGCTTATGAATCTATGATGTGTTGCAAATGGCAGTAGCACCTTATCCACCAAGACAATATGCTTGAAGTAGTAAATCACACTCTCCCCGTAAAGAAAGTACATGGTGGTGGCCAACCAGTACCAGTTCAATGCCTTTGTGAATTTCAATCGTCGCGCCCTGCTGGGAACATTTGCAATTGCGATAACTTCTTTGAAAGAGACGATCTGTACCGCAGTCACAATAGCAATAATGTAGATGTGGCCCATGAACATTGCTCCAAAGAACGCGCCGATCATAACGAAAGTCCATATGGACCGGGTAATAAAAGTTGCCTTTTTCTTCTCATATTCGGATACCGGGGCCACCTGAAGGTCGCAATGATTAGCAAACATATCTACGAAACTTTGCAGTTCTTACATCCAATGCGCCATCAACGCCAGTTTTGCCCATGGTTGGTGAACCTGGTTCTGATGCAGCTTCACTGATATCCGAGAAGCTGCTCCTTCGCCCATCTGCGCCAGAACTATGTCCATTCCGGTGGTTGAACTTAATCCCGCGACGTGGTTTAGCCATGATGCTAGTCTTTGTGCTGGTGGTCGAGCTTCAGTATTCCCTCTCTTCCGTCAATTCAGATGTGTGCCAGATCTGGATTGCGAACTTGGAGATGGTGTTATGTGCTGCGTGCAAGCATGGAGTAGATACCGCAAGTAGGCAGACGGTCAAGCTCAGACTGGGCTCAACAGAGCAGATTTGGCAAAGCAGAGTAGTCTGTGGCTGAGGAGTGGTGTTTTGTCCGGAGTTGGCAGCAGACGTTGATCTTTGAAGTGAAAGGTAAGCTGGGCCGCTGACGTATCCGAGCCGCCTGTTTAGGGGTTCCAAGCTTGCTCGTGAAGTTCTCGAGTCGCGTCGGTTTGTGCACAGGGTTTCACGCGTTGGTTAGAAAAACGTTTGTGAGTTCACGCAACGCAAGATAATCAAGAGCACAACTTTTATCTTTTTCATAGAAATAGCCCCTATGTACCTATTTTGAGCAGGGTTCTGCATGGTTGAAATGAAATTTGGTACACTCGGGTACAGCAATCTGCTCTGCACGGAATAACTGGTACTTCCGAAGCCGAAGGTCTTGGCACAATTCGCGATCAACCAACGCGTCTGTTTGAACATCCAGCCGAGCAAGGAGCACCCGCCAAACACCAATGTTGCCCAATGAAGGATCTATGGCATGGCCGGGTTCGACGATGGAGACAGTTTCTTCGGGGACGATGATCTCGACACTCTTCCGCAAGATGCTCTCGAAGAATTAGAGAACAATGCCATTCAGTTTACCCAGGCCCAGACCCAAGCTCTGCCGCAACCCCCTCCTTCATCCGATTACGGTGATGATTTCGACGACGAGGACCTGGATAATGCCGTGGTAGTTGACCAGTCACGGGCTATACCTTTGGTGCCATCTTATCCCAATCGAAGTGTCTCTGGTCAACCACCACCTCGAGACCAAAACCGGCCTCAACCACATCCTACTCCAAGTCCAATCCTACCAAATAGAAAGAGAACCAATCCTCCTCCTAAATTCTCTCAGCCGAATCGGTACCCGCCTCAACTTGTTGTACCTGAAGATGATTCCCTGCGGGTAGAACATGGCAGTGCCACTTCGTCACAGCCTAGTTCAGAAGTGCAGCGATTGCAGAGCATCATTGAAGAGGTACCGATGCCCTGCTTTTTTCTGGATGCATACTGAAACGTTCATTAGTTAACAAAGGAACGAAATGCCCTAAAAAACGATGTCAACGCCAAGGCGGGAGAGATTTCGATTATAAGGAGTAAATTTGAGACGACTGTCAAGCAATATGAACGAGAAATGGCCGCCCAGCGAAAGCTGGATGAGGACAAGCTTGCAAAGCAGCAGAAAGCTTTGGAGGCTGCACGTATCGCCGAGAGAAACGCTGCAACGGAAAGAGATTTCATCAGGCGAGATCTGGCTGAGGAATCAGAGCGAGTCCGTCAGTTGAATAAGGCCCGGGAAGCTGAAAGGAAAGGAGTCGATCTTGTCACAACTCCTAAAAAGAAGAAGGCTCTCCCACATCGCGATGGATTTGACGACGACGAAATTGAGATTGTCTCACCATCAAAGATATCCCCATCCAAATTCCAGAAGAGATTGGCAGGATCTCCTTCTAAGCCGGCAAAACGGAAACGAAAGGCTGCTGAGAGCCCTGCCAGTGCTTTGCAAGTCATACACAGCGAGGAATCCACAGAATCTGGTCCTCCAGCTCCTCTACTTGACGAAGGCCTTATAGCAAAGTTGGGCATTCCAGACGGTCGGTTTGACGTAAGTAATCGGAGTGTCCCTCCTTTGAATGCTAGCTGACTAAATGCGAAGTTTCTTGGAATGATGCTGGACCACCGCGTTGAAAGCAATGGCCTCCGGACTTTTGAAGAGTTGGGAAAGCACAACTATCCATCTGCTCCCAACGAGTCATTTCAAGCAATCATATTGGGAAAGATTCCTTCGCTCGGATTCAAGAAATCTTCTAAAGATCTTGAAGTTGACTTCTGTGAGCTTCTCATTGCCATCTGGGCGAATTGTGCAAAAGAGGATCACGTAGGTCATCTCATCAACGGCATATCTTTACTGACAGATCGTAGTATGCCCCTGTATATCTATTTATAGATATGCTGACATTTGCTCTTGAACTCGATACCTCCTCAATTGCGACACATATTATTGACTCGTTGCTACCCGTCGCTCAACTGACTGCTGACCAAGTAGCTATAAAACGCTTCCAAAAGTCCCGAGGGCCTCATGAGAAGTATATAGATGTCACTGCATGCATGTCCCTACTGTATCTTGCAGCTCAAGGATGCATGTCGGACCAAGATAATATCACGAGATTCTGGAAATTGATGCGCTGGGATCTTGTCCTCTTCATGCTCAGCACGAACCAAGGTCCTACAGATCTCAATCTTATGCTTGATCTCTTGTCCACGAGCATCACTATGGAAACTTTCGGCGCTCTGCCAACTGAGATGACCTATGCCGAGCAAACAAATCACATCCTGGACAAAACTGGCTTTCACCTTGTGGAAACTCCAGTCACTCTATTGCTGGTTAATAATAGAGAGTCTGCAGTTAAGATGATAAGTGAGAATTGGAAAGAAAAGGACATCTTTCAGCTCCGGATCCGAACACTCCAACTCATGATTGCAATGACACGCTCTCCATTTTGTTGTAGTATCATGGAATCAAATCATCTCCTCATTGGGAGACTGGTATCTCTTGTAAGTGACGAGCTGGATACATTGTACGACTTCAAATCCGGACGAAAGGACAGGTAAGTCCCGACGACCTCGAATTTACCGAGCATAGCTAAGTTCGAGTCCAGTGCACGTATCATAACCTTGGGTTTCCGGTTACTGTACTTCCTAGTAACCAAATACGAGAACCTCGACATGCAGAAGAAACTATCAGTCATACCAGGCGGTACGCAGAAATACATTCTCTGCCTCTCGCGGCTGCACTTCTCAGAGGACGACCTCGTTCTAGAATCAGGCATTGAACCTGATATTGCCGGCCTGGCTTTCGAGCTTCTCGGCCTCCGCGTAACTCCTGAAGAGGGAGACGCCATCCACGATGCTTTCTCAAGCTCGTGAGAGAAACGAAGAGTCTCCTTTGTACCTGCAATGCACATAACGTGTATATATTGGGGGCTTCATGGCCGGGTAGACAAAGGCGTTCGGGATACCAAATATGGCGTACTTAGGGCATTTTGTGTAGGCAAATATAGTTTTAAATGGAGACGGGATACCCATTATACTCATAGCCAGTCTTCTATTCCTACCCAGTCACTTAACTATGTAGAAAGAAGTCCCTCAATGAGACTTGAGAGCTGATCCCTGAAAGTTCTGCTCATAAGAAACAAGGACAACCAGGAATCAAGGAACTCATGACATCAGATTATGCCTGTCTCCACTGGCCGGAAATCCAAGACTTGGTCATTGTCTTGGGCATGATTTCAAGATCGCTATCGTGTTGTTGTCGGTCCACTTTTCGGGCAATCGGTACAAGTCGGAGCGATTGGCGAAATTTTTTCTTCCTTGTTGACTTTGCGGCGTAAATTTTCTGTACTTCAGTCAATACTTTTAGGAGTACCAGAGCCGCAGAGGCAGAAACAGAGAATGGGTGTCCAGGCGTTGCAAAAACTCGAAACCCTAGATCTCTTACGGCATTGCTGTGATTGACTCCCCGGGTAGTCGGGTACTGTAACGATCCCAAGAGTTCAAAGCATCCCCACCAGAAACTCCACTCCCTCCACATCTCATTCATATTCAGACATGGAACGGGGCGCTTCCACATCATCAAATTTTTTCTTCCTGGGCTTAGGAAAAGCGCGTTTTGTTTTTTCGTTTCACCGAGTACTGGCCGAAGCCGAAGTTTGTCCACTTTTCGTCTGCAAGAGCTCTGCGGCAAAGTAGAGGACGAGAGAGCGGTTGTTCTTCGGGAGCTTTGCGTCGGCGTCGCTTACATGTTGATGTTGGGAAATTGGGTTTCTGAAAAAGCCGTTGGAGATGCCGGCTGGGACGTTGTTGGTGATGCTGATGTTAATGCTGTGGCTGCGGCCTTTTTTTTGGTGGAGGTTTGAAGTCTGGGTCTCGATTTCGGTCTGGCCGTTGTGGACTTCGCTTTCGTTTCTGACTTTTTTGGACTGCTTGGCTTAGTTGTCAGAGTTGTAGTCGTGCATGGCATGGCGTGTTCCAAATTCAAATACCACGAGAGTAGAGAAAGGCCGAGGCCCTGGTTGTTGGCTTGACTGAAGGTAACGTCTTGATATACACATTTGGAAAGACTGGACCGAGTAAGCCAGTCGCATGACACTGCAGCAAGCAAAAGGCTAGCTAGGTAGCAAAGCTAGTGCAATTTGTTCTAGAATTCTTGGTTGGTAGCTGGCTGTCTTAACGGTCATTTCAAAATTTCTTCATATTCTATTTCATCTTAATACAGTATTCTTTGGCTTGGTTTAGTTTGATTCCATTTTTTTTTTTTTTTGATTTGATTTGATTTGCGTTGATTTGATTCGAGTTGGTCACATTTTCCCGGAATGCATGTCCGTCGAGGTGGCCAATAGCGTTTCCAAGCAGAAGACAGGGAATGCCTGACAGAGGATGCCCTGGGGTGGCACCGAGACAAGAGTCAAGATGGCTGCAAAGCTGGAGACCCCACAAGCACCGTCCAGCCAAGGGCTGGCTTCCCGCTCAGCCACTTACCGCACGATTTCTCACTGCGAGACATAACATCGACCACGAGCACCTTTCACTTCAAACAACAGCGCTGCAAACAGCCACACCACACCACACTACACTCCAGAAAAGAGGCCCAGGTGGTAATAGAAACCTGACCAGCTCCTGACTCCCTCCTGAGTCCTGACTGCTGTTCTGGGCGTGGCCTCCCTCCTGACTTCTCGGCCCAACTCAGCGACGGGGGCCCAGGGGGGCAGTGTGGTGCGTCTCTTTCGGTCCGACCTGATGGTAGCGATACTCTACTAGGGAGCAGATCCTGGCGCTCGCTCGCCTGGCCCGGTCGACGCATCGCAGCTAAATGCGATTAGGTGCATCTCTCCGAGCGGCAATTGGCCGGCGCCGACCAAGATTTCCCACACCTTACTGTACTCAGTTTAAGCACCACAGTTGACCACATCCATCCCCATGGCGCCGCAAACGGCCAGCCATGTGCTCTTGCAGGCCAGCAGCGCCAGCGAGGCCAGCCACCTGGGGCACTCGGACACATCTCGGTCGCGCGACGCCCCCCTGGCTGGATCTGAGCCTGAGCCTTCTGAGGACGTCCACTTACAGCCGCCGACACGCAGCCAGGTGATCAGAGGAGTCGAATGAGGGATAGAGACGCGATGCCAGCGTGCTGCCCCCGCCTTCGTCTCCACACACGGCCTTAACGCGGCTCCTTAGCAGAAGTGGGGAGGGGATGGAAAGAAAGCGTGCTGGATTTGAAGCAAAGGTTTGGAACTACTAAATTTACTTGGCCGGATGGGGTGAGGAGAAGAGACATGGGGAGAGGGGTCGAGGGGTCGAGGGGAGGCAAAAGGGAGGGGAGTTGGACCCGAGGGAAGCGGACGAACGAGCAGGGGAATCTAATCCGAAGCTTGGTTAAGTTGCTTTGCGTTGTTATGCAATGAATGGTTGATGATCTTTGCATGCTACATGCTCTGCGTTGCATTTATGCCCTGCCCTGTACTCTACAGTACTGCAGAACTGTCTACTCACCTCAACAGCCTGCACCACTGCTGCTCGCGAACCTAGCCTTGCCCCTTCACTGTGGTACAGTGGTACTGGACTGGGCACTACTAGTACAAGTACTGTACTGGGCAGTCAAGGGCTCATCGGGCCAGGCGAGCCAGGGCCAAACATAAGCTCGCTTGGTGTCCTCCCCTCGCTCCCCTCCACAGCTCGAACCCTTACCCGGCGGCGCTACTGTACTGTACGGAACAAGTATTTGCCCATAGTCCACCAGTGCTCCCCAGTGCTCTCCAGTACAGTAGTGGCCCCACCCCATCTCAGTCATTACCTTACCTTACCTTACCTTACCTTACCTACGCCGCTACTGTCATCTCGGCCATTCTGGTCCACTCGTCGGAGCTAGAATCTGGCTAGCACTGTAAAACTCCTGCTAATTGCCCCTGCCTCACACCTAAACACAGCTGCAGCCGCACTCTAGAGAGCGCTAAGGCGCACTAAAGCGCCGTCTGCATGCACAATTTGCATCCCTGTGTGTCACGTCCTCCAGATCCCCGCGTCCCCATGCTCCAGAAGCTGTGTTATTGGCTGGTAGCTCGTGCTCGTTGCTGATTTTCCTCCCATTCCATTTTCACTCCATTTTCCCCGATCACCTTCCTGGTGAATCGCGGATTGACCTCGGCCAGTCTCGTCCTACTGTACGTTCTTCGACACCGACCCGGCAACTTTATTGACGGCTGTACGGTGCCGCCAGCGATCCTGTTGTTGTTTTCTTTTCTTTAAATACGCCCATCCCCTCCCCTCAGATCGCCGGGTTTCTTGTGTTTCCTCCCAAGCCAACCTTCGACATTCACCAAACTGCTGGATCGACGGTCTCTTCCAACTCCAGAACAACCTACCACCCTGTAATCGATTGTCTGTGGACTGGACTATCATCTCTCACAATGGCAGGCGGCGCTCTCCACGCCACCGACAACATCGAGCATACCGAGGCTCCTGTAAGTCACGCTCCTGACGAAACGCCATTTGATTTCACCCTACAAAGTTCACGCTTACTGACCATGAATTCATTTTACAGGTCACTCTCAAAGCTTACCTCCTTTGCGCATTCGCCTCTTTCGGTGGTATCTTCTTTGGTTATGACTCTGGGTACATCAACGGTGTCAATGGCTCCGCCGAGTTCATTCGCCTAATCGAGGGCCCTGGCGTCGACAAGCTTCAATCTTCCCACCAATCTCTGATCGTCTCTATCCTCTCTGCTGGTACTTTCTTTGGCGCTATTATCGCTGGCGATGTCGCTGACCGAATTGGACGTAAATGGACTGTCATTGGAGGCTGCGTGATCTACATGATCGGTGTTATCATTCAGATGCTCACTGGTGTTGGCGGAAGTGCCCTTGGTGTTATCGTTGGTGGTCGTGTCATTGCTGGTATCGGAGTCGGTTTTGAGAGTGCCATTGTCATTCTCTACATGTCTGAAATTGTAAGTCTCAGTCACATGCCTCACCTCACGCTGCGAAGCTAACAGCATTCCCAGTGCCCAAAGAAAGTCCGTGGTGCTCTCGTCGCAGGCTACCAGTTCTGCATTACCATTGGTCTCCTCCTCGCTTCCTGCGTCGTTTATGCCTGCGAGAACAAGACCGGCCCCGAGTCTTACCGTATCCCAATCGGCATCCAGTTCGCCTGGGCAGTCATCCTTGCCGGTGGTCTTTTATTCCTTCCAGACTCCCCACGTTACTTCGTCAAGAAGGGCAGACTCGAAGATGCCAGCAGATCTCTGCAAAGACTCCGTGGTCAGCCAGCCGAGTCCGAGTACATCCAGAATGAGCTTGCTGAGATTATCGCCAACGAGGAGTACGAGCGAAGTGTCATCCCCAGTGCTGGCTTCATTGACAGCTGGGCAAACTGCTTCAAGGGTTCTCTTTTCAAGCAATCCTCCAATGTCCGCCGAACCATCTTGGGAACTTCTCTGCAGATGATGCAACAATGGACTGGTGTCAACTTCATCTTCTACTACTCCACCCCATTCTTGCAATCCACCGGCGCTATCAGCAACACCTTCTTGATCTCCCTCATCTTCACCCTCGTCAACGTCTGCTCCACCCCTCTTTCCTTCTGGGCTGTTGAGAAGCTCGGTCGTCGTCCCCTCCTCGTTTGGGGTGCATTGGGCATGTTGATCTGCCAGTTCCTTGTCGCCATCATCGGTGTCAGCGTCGGTTTCAACCACACCCACCCAGATGCCAACGGTGACCCAATCGCAGACAACATCTCCGCTGTCAACGCCCAGATCGCCTTCATTGCTATCTTCATCTTCTTCTTCGCTACCACCTGGGGTCCCGGAGCTTGGATTCTCATCGGTGAAATCTTCCCTCTGCCCATCCGCTCCCGTGGTGTCGGTCTCTCCACTGCTTCTAACTGGCTCTGGAACACTGTAAGTTGCCTCGCATCGTCTGCCATTCTGTGAACACCTTTCTAACGATATTTCTGCAGATCATCGCAGTCATCACCCCCTACATGGTTGGTGAGGAGCACGGCAACCTTAAATCCTCCGTCTTCTTCGTCTGGGGAGGTCTCTGCACTGCTGCCTTCGTCTACTCATACTTGTTGGTTCCTGAGACCAAGGGTCTTTCTCTTGAGCAGGTCGACCGCATGATGGAGGAGTCGTCCCCACGTACTTCTGCCAAGTGGGTTCCTCACGAGACATTTGCGTCGGCGATGGGTGTTGGTGGTCACACTGATGACAAGCCCGTTGTTGAGCATGATATTGAGAAGAGAACCTACTAAGGGTGTTAGAAGTGGTATGAGGCGTTGCTTTGGTGCGAAGGGTGTGAAAGTGGATGGAGCGGAATGGATGGCTGAGCATAGATTGCTCGAGCCTCGAGCGATACGATGATTATGTATAATTGAAGGAACGATTAATAAAAACCTGTTACTGCACATATCGTTATGTCTTTTTCTCTGCAAACCTCGTCTTTTGTTGTGATTGCCATCCCATCACTTTCTTAATCTCTCCATCGAGATCCCTCTTGCCACGACGCCAAGTTCTAAGCGAATACCTGCCCTTGAATGTGGAAATGGGCTCTAAGATATTTCAGGTTCAGCATTCTTCATCAATCTAATACTCTGTTTACATCTTTCTCTAAATATACCAGTGGAGTTTCTGAAAGTCGGTCGCCTTGGCGATACACTCGATTCTACATAGCTTTTCGATCCAGCTAACTACGGCAAACCAACAAAATGTGGATCATCACCAACAAGCGAAAGTCAACACAGTAATTATGCCAGACGTGTGCTTAAACAAAACATACGTACACGAATAGCAGCGAAGACCCGCAAAGGGACTATTCGATATCCGAGTATCCCGAGTACCCATCCCACTCCAGGGAAATATCCTTCGATGCCACCTTCAAGAATTAACGCGGGTTGGCTTGGCAACTGAAGATGAGAACCTGAGAAGAGCATAATTGGAGAGATAAACTCTTGGGAGGTTAAGTGTTGCATGCGGCGATGGAGTTGTTTATGTTTACGGATTGAATAGGAGGGAAGGAGGAAAGGAGCAAAGGGACAAGGAGACAGCAGTAGGAGGGAGGAGGTAGGAGGTACTGATGAGTGGAACGTATAAAGAAGGTAGGATGAAACTCGAAACTCGAATGAGTATTCAACGGCACTTGGGTTTTCAAGAATTCCAAGCCATTCCCGCTTCAGCTGGCAGATGGAGATCGATTTCACACCCAATGCACTTGTTATTGAAAGGGCCTAGGCGAGCTTGGCTGGGTGGAGTCAGTTGAAGATATCTCGAAACTGGCTGTGGCATGCTTATATCATACCATATTTCAGATTGCTTGAGTTCGAGAATGTCACGATTACGCCATTCTCAATGATCAGAAAATTGCTGAACATAGAGTTTATTCTTCGGCCAAGACTGGCAAAATTGAGAGTTTGGAAATGCTGTGCGGATGAAATTCCTGGCGAACACAGCCAATTGAGAAGTATAGAAATCTTATCCTGATAGCGAGCCGCTTCTTAATCACCAATTGTTTGATTTCTGTGATGAGATTGAAAAGTTATGGCAAAATAGTTGATACTACCCCTGTCACGAGCGGCCGCTCTCGGCGTCGAGGCGACGTCATGTATCCCGAGACTCAAGATCAAATACACAATTCGCCTCGAAAACTCAATTACTTCAACAAGAGCCCCTCAACGCTTATACCCAAACCTAAATCTCGAAGTACATTCCCAGAAACAGCTACAGGGCCACGAGCAAGGCCCAACGCTAGAATGCGCTCTACACTATCGCTCCGGCGGCAGGTCGTGCGGAATTCGAACCCCTCTAGAAACTTCACGACAACTCTTCCTAGGACTTCACAGCTCACATTACCAATCTGCCAAGCGTGTAACAGGAATAAATCTACCTCAAATACACAGCATCGATCCCAACGACGCTGGCAAACCTCATCCTCTACCTCTCCGCAATCCAACGCCGACGACGCCATACAATCCAACCTAACCCCCCAAACACACTACGAATTCTTCCCCAAAACCCTCCCCTCAGGCCCTCCACCTAATGGGCCCTTCCACATCGACACTCGCGAACTCCGGCGCGAGTTCCTCCAGCTCCAAGCTGTTGCCCATCCCGACCGGCATCCACAGCACCTCAAAACCCGCGCAGAAGCCACCTCAGCACGAATCAACGAAGCCTACAAAACGCTGCAGAACCCCTTACTACGCGCACAATATCTGCTCAGTCTGCGGGGGATCGACGTCGCGGAGGACGAGACGGCGAAGGTGGATGATCCGGAGCTGTTGATGGAGGTGCTGGATGCGAGGGAGGAGATTGAGAATGCAGGGCATGAGGAGGAGCTGGAGGAGATGAGGAGGGTGAATGAGGAGAGGATTGAGGAGAGTGAGGGGGTGTTGGATAGGGCGTTTAAGGGGGATGATTTGGGGAGGGCGAAGGAGGAGGCGGTTAGGTTGAGATATTGGGTTAATATCAAGGAGAGCTTGGATGGCTGGGAGAAGGGAAAGCCGGTTGTGCTTGTGCATTAAGGATTGTGGATTTCGGGTGGTCTGGATGAGCTGGGCAATCACTCTTTTGACAGAGATGGATGGGCAGGTGGGATTTTTGGTTGCATTGGAAGGCGTACCTGTATCTATATGCTACTCTTGGTTTACAGATACCCACTTTCTTGAACAGTTTTAATGGACACTATATTTGTCCAACTACAGTGTATCCCCCTTTTATGCATGCCTGATTGTATGATATAGCTCAGCACCATACAATGCCATAGGCCAGGAGCAATGGAGCAGAGGTGCTAGTTGTTGAACTGGATCTTGACAAGGAGCGACGTCCACTAGTTGCAACATGCAACTATGGTCTGGGCATCTGATCTGGTTCTACTTAGTACCCAGTGACAAGAACTCCTCAAAGACATGTAAGCGAATCTTGGAGGTACAGGTGCAAAAATACAAGCGTCAAAAGCCAAAGCCCTTTATCATGATCCGGATCTCATTGCACTGATTTTCAACTTGATTGCATTGCTGGCGATATTTCAATGCCTGAACTACTAGTAGCTACGACTGGTCCTGCATATGGACTCACATACGGTGCAGACACCACACCTTCTATTACATTTGTCCTATCCTCCATTATCTCAGGCAATGGCATAATCATGCCATTCGGATGCGTGGACACCAACTTCGCCTTCTTATAGAACTTATTCGTCTTCTTATGCGGGATTCCCCTGACTTTCATCAAATTACTAACCGTACTCTGACTATATCTCACGCCAAACACTTCCTCCAACTTATAACACACGGCTTTCTGATCCGTGCCAGGATGAGCTTCGACAAAGAGCCGGATCGTGTTCACTACAGCTTCCTCGTTTTGGGACTTGAGATATTTCGGGCCGGAGCGTTTACGCTCGTCGACACCAGTGAATTCGAATCTCAAGAGGCGACGTCGGATTCGGCTGACAGTCTCGTAGGTTGTGAAGAAGACGGCCGCGATGGCGGGAATGTTTGGTGCTTTATTTTGGGCCTGAGCTATTTGAATGGCGGTTTCGATGGCGGCTACCGTGGGTTTGGGAAGGGTTCGCGCCATGATCTGTTAGAACTGTTGGTCTAGTTCCGTTGATACTATTTCAGTGGTTTCTGTGGGAAACTTACGAAGACTTGTACTTGTCAAGGTCACCAGCTGACGAGGCTGAAGATCAAGCTGATGCTGACTTGGATGTCCGAGGTCGAGTGATACATATGTGGGTGCAAGGGGTTGCGAGGCGGAATTGGATCCGAGCAGGGATGGAAAAGCAAAATGACGATTGGAACACCTTGGCGTAAAGTTTAGAGTACTCTGTTCGGATTTCAATCCTATCCAGCTGACACAACCAGATTCCCAGGACATTACCAGAACACCAAACATAGCAACTATCAATCACAATTCGTTCTAAGTCCTCTCAGACACCTCATTGAAACGCCGATTCTTGGAAATATGGTGGCAGCAGTCTGACTTCTTACCCAATTCTTTCAGCGAGCCTTAGGGCTTCGCATCCTTCCTCCCAAAATACATAAAGAACGATGATTTCTCTTGAGAGAGTTGCTGTCACAGCATGTAGGACAAATTCTTCACATCTGGCGGCAATCAAATGCAGTGCGATACCTGCCATCGAGAATTCTTCCCTGAAACCTCGGCCATTCTCTACACATCCATCACAATCTTCCATCAGTTCAAAACAACACTTTCCCCAACCTCTACAAGCATTTCGCAGAGCCTTCTCGACCTCGCGATCCTCTCTCTCCACCTCGAAATTCACATACGGCATCGCCGCCTCCTTCACAGCCAAAGATCGGCGCTACAACCCCGATACCAACGTCTTCAACTTCAACCCCTATAACCGCATCCGCGCACGCCGGAAAGACAAACGCACCCGCCCAGACAGCGGCCAAGACGCCTTCTTCGTCAGCCGCGTAGGAGAGAGCTCAGATGTCGCCTTCGGCGTTGCAGACGGCGTAGGAGGCTGGGTCGACTCTGGCGTGGACCCTGCGGACTTCTCGCACGGGATCTGCGACTACATGGCGCACGCAGCATATACTCACAAAGCCGAAGAATGGAATCCGCCTTTGGGCGCGCGGAGTCTTATGCAGCGCGGGTATGAGGATATTTGTAAAGACGATACGGTCAGAGCGGGCGGGAGTACGGCGTGTGTTGCTGTTGCGAGGGGGGATGGAGGGCTGGAGGTTGCGAATTTGGGGGATTCGGGGTTTGTGCAATTGAGGTTAAATGCGATTCATAATTACTCCGAGCCGCAAACACATGCGTTCAATACGCCGTATCAGCTGTCGATTGTGCCGGAGAAGGTGCTTGCTCAGGCTGCTGCGTTTGGAGGGGAGCAGCTCTGCGATTTCCCGAAGGATGCGAATGTTTCGCAGCATTTGCTAAGACATGGCGATGTACTTGTCTTTGCGAGTGATGGCGTTTGGGATAATCTGTCCAGCCAGGATATTTTGAGGATTGTCTCCAAGATTATGTTGGGTGCCAGGGCTTGGGAACATAGTGATGGTGGAGTGGGTGTGGGTAAGAGCTTACCTCAATTCATTATGGCAGATGATGGGAAGAGTGGTGCAGAGGAGATCCCGAGCCTGCAAAGTTTCCTGGCCGTAGGTATTACGAGTGAGGCCAAATCGGCCAGCATGAATACTAGGGTCGATGGACCTTTTGCTAGGGAGGTGCAAAAGTACTATCCGCATGAGAATTGGAGGGGTGGGAAGGTGGACGATATTTGTGTAGTTGTGGCTGTGGTGTGTGAGGACGGCAAGTGAGAATTGGATCTGAGCGTTGAATCTGTATCATATTAGATGAGTACTTCTCGATGAAGATTTGTACAATGTTAGCTTTGAGTCGTTATAGAACAAAAGCTTTAATTTGTTTATCTTTGGTCTTTTTGGCTGCAGGCACTCGGTGATCAACGTGAATAAAAACGGCATAACTGAGTCTAGCTTCAGCAAATGCGCATTTACATGAACCTGGCAAAGGCCTCCTTTTGTGGGACCAGTAGCTATTAAGGCTATGTCTGATATTGCCATTCTTGTATTCCACTTCCTTAGAAGTCTGAAGCCTGGCACGAATTAAAGCAGACCCTCTTCTCACGTAATGTGAGGAGCTGCTGGCCTTCGACCCCTCCACTAAATACAACCCATCCACGACAGTTCAGCAGTTCTAGCATGTAGATCTTCCTGAGCTTCGAACCTCGGCGAGCACACTTCAGCACAATGTGACTGCTTTTTTGGGACTAAGACGGAACGAAGTAAAGCACATTAGTCCAGCAGCCTCGTGCTTGATATTGTAACAAGACAGCGGGAGTCTTGGATGCACATGTGCTTTATAAATTGCAGCGGGAAGCGATGTGTAGCCGGCTAAAATTCCTTTATACTTGACGCTGCTGTGCTCCCACTCACAAGCGGGAGGAAGGATAGATGCAGTATTTGTGGCGAGTTGAACTTGGCGGCGGGAAAATTATTCTGAGAATCACAAACTGCAATTTATTCCATAGGAGAGGGCGGAGCATGTAGAAATAATAGAAGCGGACGTTAGAGGCGTACATTTCACATTAGCCTAAGTGTAGACAAATGAGCGGCCTTGACTCAATTGTTCGTGTGTACCGTTGGTTGTAATATAAGCTTAGCACTCTGGAGAGATCCGAGAGACCACTCATACGGTTCTACCAATATTTTGAATTGAATCGGCGACTCGGGGTTTCTGTGGATGCCCAGGCTACGACAGTGTGGACTGTACCGTACCACAGCAGCGAGTAGCAGCAGCATCGTCGTACGGATGCTCCGGTCCGTCCCTGATGCTAGAAAAATCTTCGGGACTGTAGATCTGCTAGAACCTCAATATAAGCAAGAAGTGACGTCTTTCTGGCAGGTCTTGTAAGAGACAATTGAGGAGTAGAGGTACTTTTGTTCCGTGTCCGGTCCTAAAGACGAAAACCAGCCCCTCCAGTTCCAGGGAGATCTAGTTCGAGAACTTCTTACTGTATTGGAATATCTATCCATATCCAGAGACCTCGATGTCTTAAAAAACAGAATCCCATGTGCCACGAAAATAAATAGTGGAGGTGTCGAATTGTCCTATCATTTTCCAGTCCAGTGTCAACATTGAGCGCACGGCCTTCTCGCTTGTGGAAAAAAAGCAAGGGGTTGGCTGACTTGCTTTTGACGAGCCGTCAGACTGCCAACTGGAGAACGTAGCAAGCACCCTTTGCAACAATCGTTGATCGAATACCCTTCTGTCTCGGGTGTCGAGAAGTGTCTCTTCTTTGTAAGACGTTTTGTCACTCGTACTTGGCATCCACACAGGTCGGCTCGGCTGAAATCGGATCGGCCCGGCCTGTTCGACATGGAGCTCGAGCCGAGTCCGTCCGTCCGTCAGTGATGGATGGATGGATGGATGGATGGATGGATGTATGGATGTGTGTCTCAGCTCATGGTGCCGATCCCCTCCCCCTCTCCTTTTCTTCCCTCAATTCACTGCCCTCAACAGATCCCCAGATCTAGCATCATGGCATTGCATTTGCATGACCGTTCGCCCGTTGAGAGTAGGGAACCACCAATTGAGGAGCTTTACATCAATGGCCAGCCAGGTGCATGCAGCGGGCATCGGAACTGGGGTTCCTGTGGCGATCAGTAGGAACGAGATCTGATCGTAAGTCGGGCTTGCCTTGCCTTGCCTACCTAGGCTGTGGCTTGGATGGGCACATCTCATATCTCACATCTTGAACTCGGACCTATTTTGAATCTGATTTCATGACGCGTTTGCTCTTCCTTGCCTTGCCTGCTAAATCTGAGAGGGCCCAGGTAGGTGCCTACTGCTCGTCTTTCGAGTCTCTACGAGTACCCACAACCCTCCAGGGTCAGCCACTTGTCTGGCAGCTGAATAAGTCTTTGTGTATGTAAATGAAGGGTTGACCTCGAGTAGACCTTGAGCTTCACTTACACAGCATATGCTATGCTGTACTGTCTTGTACCTGTGCATTGTACAGGACTCTGATGTGCAGACTGTGCATGAGTGGACGCCATCACATCAAGTCAACGCCACATGAGCTTCACCCTGCTGGACACGGAGGAACAAGCAGGATAAGCATTCCGCTGCCAGGCTGTACTGCGTGTTTGAATCTTGATCTTGATCTTGATATTCAGGTCCCACTTCCCCAGTTCTGTTGTCTTGTGGATTCCGGCTTGCGATATGGATGTGGATGGCAACTGGCCTCCTTCTCCTTCAAGTTCCAGAAGAGACGGCAGCTCTTGCACTTGCCTCTCCCTCCCCCTCCTCGGCTGGGCTTCGTTCACGATATCCCACGCCCAGGAAAAGTGAACTCGTCTACAAGGCGGCCATCACGCGCCGTTATCAATTCCTGATGCTCATATTCACCTTCAAATCAGGCATCATCTTTCGAGAATCTACTAAGCTTCCCACAAACCTTTCGAATTGTAAATTTCCGCTTCTTTTCCGTCAACACAACACCACCAACGTCAGTCGAGTGTCAGCTTCTGCGCAAACGCGGAGACTGACAAAAAGTCGTGACCAGTATCCTCCTTTCTGGATTCTTAACAAAGTCTGTACACTGCTGCGACAGCTGCGATTGTGATGTGCAGGGAGTTATCCTCTTTGCGCCGTTAGGGTAAGTTGCGATCTAGGTCTTTGAAGTACTTCGAAGCCACGAGTCTTGCTTGTTTCTCTTACTGATATTGCTCTAGTCCTCAATTCGAAGCTTTTATCAGGTTTTAGAGGACCGTCTCTCAGTAAAGGACACTTCGATCTACTCTTCTTTCGTGTCGCCGCATGACGGTTCGTTAAGATGAGCTCTTCTATGACAGAGGAGGAATTGAGCAGCAGCATGTTAGCGCTGATGAATATTGAGAACGATGTCACCGAACAACAACAACAACAACAACAACAACAAACACAAGATGATGTCGTGGCAAGTCGTGTATTTCATAGCGAGGGTCTCAAAGATTTTCTTGACAACCTCAAAGAGCTAGACCACACTTTGATCATACAGGAGGAGGCAAAAGAGGCCGCAGACAAAGCTCGAGCAAAGAGAGAAAAGAAGTATGCAACTGTCCGGTTTGTGAAGACCATATTTGGGATATCGGGCAATAAGTCGCACAAGAGACCAGCGCAGGATGATCCTCAGCACCAGCCATTCATAGAGCCGTTGAATGAGAAGATCGACGAGATACAGCAGCCTGTTGTCAAAGAACATGTTATACACCCGTCGCCTTACTTCACCCCTTTGAAATATCGTTTGCAGCCTCGAAAAGAGCAAGCGAACTTGACGCCCTCGAGTATGAATGCGCTTACTCGCTCGAATCCAGACGCTCCAGTCTCAGCAATCACAATCGCGCGCAACAGAGGAGAAGCTGCTCTAGCACTCTTTGGGTCTCAAAATATTTCAGCAGACAACAGTGTCGTTACAAGTTTGAGGGAACCCAGCCTGCCAACGAGAGCAACGCGCCGTAGAAGAAGCAGTGATGTTGAGTCCATAGACATCAGCCAACCGTTATCGATCAACATCGATGCAGTACTTGCATACAACAGAGAGGAGATGTCATCTTCTCCGTCTTATGAGCCTGATGAGCTAAAGCGTCATTCGCAGCAGGTGTTTCGATATCAAAAGCAAGATCTTGAGTACGTGATCATCCAAATGGCTCAAAATTCTTCCCACTATGCTGCCTGGAGACAGTACATGGAGTCATATTCTCAGGTAAGGGCTTCTCCTGTATACATGAAATATGGCGACGCTAACCATTGGAAGGGTCATTTTAATCTTATCAATCCTCCACCACCTCCCCCACTCAGTTCATCATTCGAGTACCTACCAAGCGTCTTTCCGCCAGGAGAGGCTGAAAGAATGAGACTGAGTCGTCAGTATGACATTCTGTGGCCACAGTGGGGTCAGGACAAAGCCGGAGACCTTATTCGTTTGGCAATGAAGAAATTCAAGACCAGATTCGTCTCTCTGAGCTTCTTTAACGAAGAAAGCGAGGTTTTCAAGGCTGAGAATGGCTTTAATCAATCTCGAGTAGACCGATCCATTAGTCTCGCTGCGCATTGTCTACTCTCAAAGGATGTCCTAGTCATTCTGGACACGAAGGAGGTATGTGCCCTGCATATGTGATAGTTGAAATGAATGCTTACCATCTCAGGATTGGCGATTTACGAATAACCCTTTGGTGACTACTCGACCTCACATTCGTTTTTGGGCTGGGGCACCTATGATGTCTACAAGTGGAGAAGTCCTGGGGGTCTTTGCCATATTCTCAGCTAAGCCTCGAGTTTTATTTACACCGGTCCAGCGTCGTGAACTCGCCGAGTTTACGTCGCTGGTCATGAAAGACCTCAAGCTGCAAGTCGATGCACTAGCAAACCTTCACCAGCGCTCGACGCCGATTCTAGACCGAGATTCTCTTATCAACGCACCTTACGAGGCACAAAGCATCAAATCTGTTGTTAGATCGAATGTGATTGAGTCCGATCTTGTTCCATCTGCTTTGACATACCAAAAAGACAAAACCCCCAAGGCTATGCAGTCTTGTTTGTTTCTCAACAGAACCAGTCAAGAAGCTTTGCTTCAGCATTCAGAGCAGACACCACCATCATCGGCAGAGTCGAGCTCTGGATACTTTGAAACTCCGACTAGTCTGAAGAATCAACGTGAGAGTGTCTGTGACCAATTTGGAATGACCGCAGGTCAATCTTTCCAGGAGTCCTTGTCATCATATCCCACTGGCTTCAGGGTCTCGTCGCCTCGTCCGTTCTCGTCATCGGATTTGACATCTCTGCATCCTCATCCGCCGAACACACCTATTCATTCAGTTAGAGAGGCAGATCTGTCGATTCAGCCGAAATTCGACCTTGATTGGAATGATTTCAAAGAGCTGACCGACGAAGACTGCGCCGAGCCAATTCGACAAAGCTCTTCAGTTGTACCAAGAACTGTCAGAAGAATGAACAGCGGCCGATTCACAGGTACTCCAAATATGAAGCCAAGATTCAACCATCTAGAAAGCATTGCTTCTCTAACCGACTACGAGCAAGAGTCTGGCATGAACAATAGCGACAAAAGTGAATACCACTGCGATCAGAGAGATTTGGTCTGTGGCGTTAGCAGACCCCTTGGTCGCGAGGAAGCCGAAAATTCCAACACACCAGCATACAGATATTCTGAGGGGAAGTATGCTGACACATCATCTCCAAAGCTTCTCAATGTACCTCACACGCAAGCTGCTGCTGACATAGTCTCGTTAAGAATCGATAGCAGTCCCTTGATCGATCTGTCGATACCCGACATCGAGGATAACTCCCATCAGCAAATGGAAAAGAGCATAGGCATCTACAATTCTCCATCTACTAGGGTCAAGAGAATGCCGTCTACTTTGACAGCCTATACTTCAGAATGTGTATACAGCTTGTCAGATGAATGCTTAGAAGAGGCAGCTTACGCTTGTGCTTTCCATGCCCAGAGTATGGGTTATGATCTCATCTATGCTGTTGAGATAAAGCCTGCACGACAATTTATGTCTGAACAAGAGCTTCTGGGACCTAATGGTTTACACAAGAGAATCTTGGTCGCTTACGGTCTGACTACGCCCCTTGACTTGGCTTCCGACATGCATATTCGTGTTCTTCGAGGCCGAGGAGGTGAGCACTGGAACGACGATTTGGCCGATACTAGGCACGGAGATGCCAATTATCAAACAGGGCTGCTGATCCCGATCCTCTCTGAAGGAGGACCGAAAAGACTCAGAAGTTCGGGAATCGTCATGGGTGCCTTTCGGAAGCCAGGGAGCATGGCCAACGGTTATGTCCATAGCCCAGCAGCCGATATGGAGAGATTAGTTGATTTTGCAGACCAGCTGAAAGATATCTTCCAGAAGAAGGAACGAAAGCAACATCGATCTAATACAGAAGCTCCATTTTCAGCTGCATACCCTGCCAACGAGGCTCAAGAGGTCGAGCTGAAGACTCACTCTTTCGATGTTCCACGCAGCCGCAGATATTAGATGTGCGACTCTTTACTCTCGTCGATCTACAGTGGTAGCAGCAACATCGCCTTCGGGAAAGATGTTGCTCGTTCGTATTCCAAGCCAGCAAAGACAGAATCTGATGGATCGTGTCTGACAGCTTCCTAAACCAGGCAATCTGAACATAACCGACCAGTTCTTCTACATGAGAACCGATTTTGAAAGCGATTTTCTCTATGGGCATACACTTTCACTTACGATGTCCATGAACAACGAGTTGCCATAGTATATTTCCTTTTGTCAAACACGAACGAATGAATACAACAAACCGAGAATAAGCGGAGCATAAAACGATAATGATATTTACGGTCCCAGAATCTGCGATACCCACTTCCGGTCATCCTGTTCCAATCTTCGTCTGTCCACGGCTGTTCAGGAGGATTGTGACCTCGCTGACTGGATGGCACCTGGTCAGCGATAATTCTGTCATTGACATCACTTCGCTTCATTATACACTCTTTGGCTCGCTGGCGGGTAGGTGGTGCTAGTACCTGAGAGCCTCTGCAGGGGAACGAGTTGGGTGGATGGCATAAGAAAGAGAGATCGAGCATGCAAAAGATGTATGCAACATATGTGCTTGTAACTGGGGACTGAATACGTGTAAGAGTCGATAGCAAAATGTGAAAAGGCAAAAAAGACCATGTGCGCTTTGTAAGTGTGAGGTGATATTCGCTGGCCGTTGGGATGGAAATTCCATCAATGGAAATTTACTGTTGAAGGAGCTAGCTGTATCCATTCTCTGCATCTCGCTGTTCAGCTGTGACTATGTCCGAGAAGCCAGCTCACCAAGTCGAGTTCCATATGCAGAGTACCTTTTAAGGCTCAAGTACTTCTTCTGCCCGACCCTTGTTCCGTGTCCCTACCGAAGAACAGGGGTGGGAAACGAGTCCACCATGTACCCGGAAATGTCATAGAGTTTCTTGAGTGCATGGAAGCGTATCGATACCATAGCGTCATGGAAGTATACATTTGATGTGAATGAGTTTTGAGAAAGGGCAGAGTTGAAGACAATCTACATCCAGGACTGTCATATTTCTACTTCGACGTACACAGTATGTCACTGTTCAATTAATAACCTCCGACGTGGCAGAGATATCTCCTCTACACACACACGTTGAAGTGCTGTGTCTTCCTTGCAACATGCTCTGCTTGCACTTGCTTCAGATCTGAACAGCCACTCTGCTTGGTAAATGCCAGGTCCCCCTTTATCCTTTCAATTATCCACCTAAGCCGACTGGCAGCTAACTTTCGTTCTTGACAGACACAGTGTGTTCTTGGCTATACCAATTGTGAAGAATGGACAGATTTGGATGCAACGTAGTGTGATGAAAGGAAAAAGAAAAGGGACATGAGACATCAAACTCCAGAATGTTATTGGCATCGTGCATTTCGAAGTCGGATATCGAGACTCGGGTGCCATCTAAATGTCATCAAAAAGGATTGCAACTTGCAAAATTTCCCCAGGATGTTGCTGCTTCCAATCTGCGCAGTCTGCTGATTCTGGTCTTAAATGTGTTGTTGTACAGGAGAATTAAATGGGGGTTCTTCGTCCCGACAACTTTCATATTTCTTTCCTTGTATATTCAGCAGGACAATTCCAAGAAGTAAAGAGCAGACGGAAGATCAGAAACAGAAAACTCAAAAGGGGGCTCAACATTCAGGAAGAATCGACGGTCATCTATTTTACACGGCCACTATCTATCAACCTTCCCTCTGATCGGCACCCCTCCCACCATTCAATACACACAAACCCTCTTCCCACCATGCCAGAACAAAAGAGAAAGAGATAGACGGAGTAGCATTCAGCCATTAACGCAGGGGAATTTTTGTTTTGTTCGTTTAGGCGAAGCTCTTGGTGAAGGTAGTGACAACGTCCTTCAGTCTTGCCTCGAGGTCCTTGCTTAATGCACCCTCCTTGTCAATTGTGGCCAACAGATCCGACTCGTTCGACTTCAAGTGTGCGATAAAGTCAGACTCCCATTGCAGGATCTTGTTGACTGGGATGCTATCAAGATGTCCGTTGACGCCAGCGTAGATGAGAGGAACCATTTCGTTAACGGCCATGGGAGAGTATTGCTTTTGCTTCAGGAGCTCAGTCAACTACGAGGAGAGTGAGATTAGCTTCCATTTCTAATTTGTGCCATTCCATAGGATCAAACTTACACGTTCACCACGGTTGAGGGTTTGCTTGGTAGCGGCATCCAAATCAGAACCGAATTGGGCGAAAGCTGCAACCTCACGGTACTGGGCCAAGAAAAGCTTCAAGGAACCGGCAACTTGCTTCATGGCCTTAAGCTGGGCAGCGGAACCGACACGGGACACAGAGAGACCGACGTTAATGGCAGGTCGGATGCCCTTGTAGAAGAGCTCGGCCTCCAAGAAAATTTGTCCATCGGTAATGGAAATGACGTTGGTTGGAATATAAGCGGACACATCACCACCTTGGGTCTCAATGATGGGAAGAGCAGTCAAAGATCCACCACCGTGCTTGTCGCTCATCTTGGCAGCACGCTCGAGGAGACGAGAGTGGAGATAGAAGACATCACCGGGGTAAGCCTCACGTCCTGGTGGGCGACGGAGAAGGAGAGACATTTGTCTGTAGGCGACGGCCTGGAGGAAAAAAGTCAGTCAAAAAGTTCGGGAAAACGGGGAGGAGAGACAAATCTGCTTTGAAAGGTCGTCAAAGATAATTAAAGCATGCTTCCCATTGTCACGGAACCTTGAGGACATGTTAGCTATTGTTGTGAAGGATGGGGGGTGGGGGGGGGGGGGGGGGGGTACATACCATTCACCCATGGAGCAACCTTCAAAAAATCAAACATGTTAGCATATACTTAACTGGCGATGAGTGACGAAATGAAATCAAGACATTGAGAAAGACGGTTAGTAATGTCGGCTGCTCTGGAGCAATTGAGGCAAATGTTGATAGCTGAGAATGCTGAAATGATCTGGCGACATTGAAGATACTCTTGAGCAATGCGAATCGGTAGCGTCGATTGAAGCGAGTTGAAATGCATATGATGATAATCGAAAATGCTGAAATGAATTGACGACATTGGCAATATTCTGGGTAATGATAAAGTGTTGAGCTTGGCAAGTGACTTCAAGAAGATGCAAGAGCAGCCTTCTTGAGATGTCGCTTTGAGGTGTTGTGCCCTGGGCAATTGATACATGTGTTGACAGCTGAATGTACTGAAATGATTTGACGACATTGCAAAGACGCTGGGTGATGCGAATCGGCAACGTCGATTCGTGCGAGTTGAAATGATATTGGTAAGAATATTCATCAGTGAAGTGCCACAAGATCTCACAGGTGCTGAGAAGCGACCTTGGTGAGATGCTTCTGTGTGAGCTTGTGCTTGTCCAGATGGAACTGCCCATCAAATGTTTGATTGCATGGCTCGCAATGAAAAGTCTTATTGGCAAGTATTTGAGCACGAAGTCCAGCGTTCATGCGTTGTTTCGCAGTCAGACGGGGTCTGACGCCTGAAGCTTTGATCTTATGTCGATCAGTGTCGTTGTGCCGTGTCAACTTTGCGCGGTCTGCGAAGGACTTGTTGCAACATTCACAGTGGAATCGGTTCGTCTTGAGGGCCTTCTGCTTGCTGCGTTTGTTGATTTCACTGACTTTGGCCTTGTTGCGCGCAACCCACGAAATTGCCTGAAGCCGCTTCTTCAAGCGGAATGCATCGATGTCTTGAGCACGTTCGCGGTCGTATACCTCTCTCATCTTCTCCAACATGTGAACTCTGCGTTTCTTTCGCTCCTCTTCAGCAAGCAGAAGCTCTTCTGCTGTCATCTTTAGATCGCCAGCAGCAGTCTCCTTGAATGGCGTGTGACTATTCAACGGGCGCCAAAGAACATCATCGCGGGACCATGGCATGAAATGAGTCCACATACCATCCATGATGGTAGGAATGGCAGAGTAGAAGATGTTTATGAATGTTCCCTCAATGGCAAGGAAACGACGTCTTGCTCGTGGGATAATTGAGACCTTTGGAATAGGTGACCAACAAATCAGACCAATGTGAGCAAGGTCATAACCTTTGTCGTATAACAGACGGACAAAACGAGGAAGTAGAGGATGTCTCTTGTCATAGTATTGGGAGATGCGAATCTTGTACCCGGTGGAGGCCTCAGTACCAGAGCCAATGCAAAGAGCTGGCTCGCATCCGTCCTTGGTCAAGAGTGCAGCGTAGACACCCCAAAGCTTGCCGTCAGGTTTGGGCGTGGACAACCAGTAGTCAGGCGAAGGCGGCGTAGGAGATTGAAGGACTTCAAGAAGTCCGGGAGCGAATGAGAGAGGTGTAGCATTGCAAATGCTGCGGCCAGCCTCTCCCTGCATAACCACCTTGAACTCAGGATTGATATACCAGTCTGGGGCATTGAGGTTGACATGCTGATGCATGTAATCATCAACAAGCTTCTGCAAAGCTGACTGGACGGCAGCCATTGCGGTGATCTTGATCACTGTTGACTGCGGTTCCAATCGGTAGTGCCGATTCACGCCTCAAAATCTGTTGTATGTTAGATATGTCTGTAACCTAAGGGTGTGGACTTACTCCTCACTGTCCAGGGCAAGTATGCTCAGTGGCTGCTGGGAATCACCAGTGGTGATTTGGACTCCTCTCAGACTGAATCAGACAGTGTCTGAAAGTATGTGTATGTATGGCGTCGACAACCTCGTTCGACACAGGCAGAGGAGCTCAATGACTGCAGGTATCGGCGGTGGTGATTTGCACGCTGTGCAGGTAATTAGCATGTGCTTGACCACAAAAGGACTTGGGACTTACTGCTCAATTGTCTCAGGCATGTAATCTCAATGTGCTACCGCTCCAGATCGACAGAGCATCGGCAGTGCCGATTCGGACGCTGTCCAAGCTGTTAGCATAGCTTGACTAAGGAGTGGTATAGACTTACTGTGTGCTCGACCACAGAGGATATACTCAATCACTCGCAGATCTTCACAACCACGACTGCTGTTTCGGACGTTGTCTGAACAGAGAATGTGTGCGAATCCGTATCTTCGATTGCGGAGGGTAGGGTAGTATCAACGACAGTATAGTACAGCAGACAGAACTGAAGAGTGGTGGTTGACGGCTTCAAGGTGAAGAGGTTGTTGTGAAGTTGTTGAGGAGAAGAGCAGAAGATGAGGAGCGGAGGTGATATAGCCTCTGCCTCTGCAAAGGCAAGAGCGCCCAGGGCGGTGCCATCATGCGAATGCTGTTGGGGAAAGAGCATGAAGGTTGATGAGGAAGGTGCACCCACGCCTTGCGTAGGTGCTTGAATGTTGTCCCACAAGTGAATGAAAAGTGAAGATGAAATGCAAAAAAAGAAAAAGAGGAAAACTTACCAACGAATGGGGCAATGTATTGAAGCGGCTAGAACGGGAGATCAGTATAAACTCATTTTCTTGTGAGGATGAAAAGCTGGAGGTAACTTACTGCGGCTTCGGAAGCGGTGGCAGCAACAATGATGGAGTACTTCATAGCGTCGTTCTCTTCAAGGGTCTTGACAAGCTGGGCAACGGTGGATCGCTTCTGTCCAACAGCGACGTACACGCAGTAAAGCTTCTTGGACTCGTCCTTTCCATCGTTCCAGCGCTTTTGGTTGAGCATGGCATCGAGGGCAACGGCCGTCTTTCCAGTTTGACGATCGCCAATGATCAACTCACGTTGGCCACGTCCAATTGGCACCATTGCGTCAACAGACTTGAGACCAGTCTGTACGGGCTGGTTGACAGAGTGTCTGGGAAGAATGCCGGGAGCCTTCAACTGAGCACGACGCTTCTCGGTGGTCTTGATGGGTCCCTTTCCATCAATTGGGTTTCCAAGAGCATCAACAACGCGGCCGAGCATCTCAATTCCGACGGGAACATCGACCTATGTATATCAGCTATTGCTGATGGTAGCCTTTGTCGTATACACTCACAATCTCTCCGGTACGCTTGACAGTCTCACCCTCCTTGACCAAACGATCAGAACCGAAAAGCACAACACCAACTTGACCAGCTTCCAAGTTCATGCACATGCCCTTGACACCGGATGCGAACCTATGCTTTAATCAATATTTGAGGCATTTTTCGCTGTCAGCGGAATTCTTACTCGACAAGCTCCTCAGCCTGGACATTGCTCATGCCGTGGACACGGGCAATACCATCACTAATAACCCGTCAGCACTGCTTTATCTCCTCAAGCGCCCATATGAATAGCTCCAGATCTCGATATGTTTGTTATGATGCAACGTACCCAACGGACAAAACACGACCGGTCTCGGCAAGACCGGACTCCTCCTGGACACCTCTAATTCTTTGTTCGAGGATGGATGAGACTTCGGTTGGCGATGCCTTATCAGCAGATGCATATCCTCGGATTTGTTTTGATGCTGCGTTGAAAGCTGCGGGTGCGGCAGTTCGTCCCTAGGAGAAAATGCCAGTTAGCCGAAGCCCGAAAAAACGTGAAGTCGTAGCTGTTGAAGCTGGCCCAACAGCTCCCAACCACCAACATGGAAGCTCAGAGGGGATCAATTGAGCTTCACAATGAAGTATCAATTGATCTCGAATGATTGCAGATGGTTTGAAGGAGATGCGGATCGGGATGGAAGGACGTACTGCTGCGACTCTGCCGGACGCAGAGATTGCGCCCACCGTCCGGCTGGACTGTCGGAGAGCGTTCCTGAACATGGTGACCACGGTCTATGGGTTAAGGAGATGTAAAAGAATCAATTGCAAAGGCAATTGACAGAGGGGAGATGGCGGTGGGTTGTGGTGGTGGTATGAAGACCTCTGGGAGTTGAAGCAAGCAGGAGCGACGACTGGAGAAGGGCTTCTTCTCTTTCACGCTAGGAAAGTCACGGGGAAGGGACTCCGCTTCTTTCTGAACCGAAATGACCGCGAGCCAATCAGAGAGCTCAACTACCTCACCCTAAGTACCTTCCTGCCTCCTTCCAGTCCCAAGCTTTCCTGTGACTGTCTTCTTCCCTTATCCACATCTTCCAATACCACGAACTCAATGCTGTGATCGAGAAGCTTCAGATCACATAGGATGGCTCGCCCCTAGCACTCGTACAACAGCCAATCCGAGAATTCTCCGGCGCGGTGGGAAATCACGTGGCGTAAGCCAATGAGATGACTTGAGCTCCATCTCGATCCGTTGTCCTCGTCCTCGTTGCCGTCTTCTTTCCTTTCAACATCCAGCCGCCGCCGCCGCCATGCTGCAGGAAGTTCTGGCGACATATAGCCCTCTTCTATTCCCACTATGGCTGCAGGATCGGTGCTTGGTCCGCTCGTTTGTTGCTGCCCTATTTCGAGCTAGGCGTATATCCCCGCTCATCCGTTGGATCTTGGGGTCTTTTGGGGGCTCGTTTTTGCCGTTGAGTCTTGTAACGCATCCGTCATCGTCTTTTCCTCCAGTCATAATGGGTTGGCCGTTATATGTTGCCAGCTGTCTACTCGGCCGGATTCAGCCCAACCCTACAAGTGGTAGCCAACCGCAGGATCAACCACCAGCTTCCTTGGACGGAGGTCGCGACATTGTCAAGTGGCGTGGCGTACTATTACGTTCGTTGTTGTCTGCCTGCCTCGGATTACTATTTTCGCGTTTGCTCGGTACAACCTGTGGAGCACCATACGCGCTTGTCTCGCATCAATGGATGGTCAGTTGATCCAGCACAAGGCCGATGGCTGGAAGCGCTGCTGCAAAGTACTGCAGTATGACGAACCAAAGTTGGTCCAAATCCTACGTCTGCTTACCTATCCTAAGGTCATGCTCATGGTATCGCATCGCATCGCATCTATGAAATGGCCCAAAGCGTAATCTTCGTTAAAAGCAATACTTCAACTATAGCGACTTTTCTAGGAACAACGTCGAGGTGTGGATTTTGTCAAAGCTCCTGCAGCCACGGACGAATGGGGTCTTCTGATTTTCTGCCTTGGTGTTGGGCTTAGGATGGGCGAGTCAGAATGCGTTGAAGATGCAATGCTCCATAATATTCGGGTCTGAGTAGACCTGCCCAGAAGGCGATTCGGAAGTACCTCCAGGTTTGAACTCCGTTTTCTGTCATATACGACAAGACAATAACCGGATGAAGAAATTCGTGCATACCCTAATCCCAGAATATCCACCAAACCGTCTTGTTGGGCTTGCCCATCAAGATATCTTCAAATGAGGTGAAGAACCGTCAGCTTCAGCTTATCCACTCTACTAGCCATTCTAACACATATCTCAAAATATCTTTTCTGTCCATCCCCATCCTCCAAAGATTTAAAGCACATAAGCCGCAATTACAGCACTTTTCTTTCCTGCTGTTTTTACAAGCGGGATAAAGTTGAACATAGTCTTGCTGTGCTCACTGAGCTTGACAACAACGAATGTGTTCGAACTTCATACATTCTTATCTCCCACATTCGTTATTGGTCCCGGCTATTCAATCCTACCTGTCACAAACCCTTGATTATACCCTGGTTCTCCTATTACACCGGGTCCATTAGACTCAGTTGGCTACCCTCGAATCACTTGACTGTAGAGTTGAGTAGGCTGTCAATGATAAGCATTCAGCTTGCATCTTCATTTCGTTCAATATCAAGCCTGAGGTTGTACAGCATACCTCTTGACCGCAGTTCGCTCTGGGCTTTCGGCAATTTTCCGTACCGACCCTCGCCTAGTGTTGGGAGCCAATTGTTGGTGCGCTATAGCTCCAACATCAAGGTGCATGGAAGGACGACTATTGACTCCCCGCAAGCAAACCTGGTTGCTGGAACTGCTGTAGGCATCCGATTGGACCTCTCAGGCACAGAGAATACCACAGCGTACAGCATACGGAGGCGCCGTTGATCCCGCTTCGCCTACACGTGCCAATTCAATCTAGTGCTACCACGGAAAGTAAACAACTTTCCAACAGTGCTCATCACGCCAATCCTGTCAGTTCGGAAAGAAAATACCTGTTTTTTGCACGTCTGGACTGGGGTCTACCAATATCCGGCAGTTTTCAGTTGCCTCGTAAGTCATTACCAAGTCTGATGGTGCGCTAATGAGACGCATGATTCCAATCATTTTGGGTATCTTGTTACATAAGGGAAGGGTGTCAAATGCAGCGGGGACTGCGATATCCATTTCACTGACTGGTATCGAGATACAGAGTCTCGAAGCCCCCAATCCTAACGAGAGTTTATTCTTCACCATCCTGCCATCATCACCTCGTGGCTCACACAACATTCCATGCTTATAAAGTCTGGCCATATCTTTTTCTTCAAGGAACCATCATCCGCAAAAGCACGATTCCGTGCCACACAGAATTATTCACAAAAGCTTTAAAGGCATAGTCGATCCCAATATGACTCTGCTCTCGTTGAGATCGCCTGCAAGTGCTCTCATCAAAGGGTATACGCAACTTGGACAATACTGGAGCACAGCGAGATGTTCCCCAACTCTCAAAACCACGTTCTGGGCGAGGACCATCACATCAAGTCCCAATTGTTGCAACAATGCAGGCCTTGCTCATGCTCCACTTCAGAAGGATATAATTTTCGATAGCATGGGGAATACCAAAGGATTTCCACGAAACCAAACTGGTATCTACCCTCCGTTTTCTATCGCACGTGCTAGCCCATCTTCCATCCATCTAATAAAAGGTGGCATCAAAGACCTCGGCCTGGCTTCCGTTGGAGGTGAGATTGAACGACATTCACGGATTGAAACAGCAGTGGCAAGCCCAACTTATCGCACCTCCCCAAGATTCGATCGTGTCCCATACTGGCAGAAAATTAGCCGCTGGCAAGATGTGTCTGAGGAGGAGTTCTTATCATATACATGGAACGTACGTCGAAGCATTTGTATATATGTGAGCAGGATATTGACATGATGATTAGACAGCCAAAGACATCCAGGGTAAAATGAAATTACACGGATTTCTCAACGAGATACTACCCGAGAGAATCCCGTATACTGGTCAACCTGAACCTACTGTGCTTCGGGAGGACTTCATTAAAGATGTCATGGATGGCATAGCAATGGCACCGATGTCTATTCGTTTGACACCACATATTGTGTCCAGTATTAATGTAAGTCATACTTGAAATAACTCCCAACTCGTCCTTCACTATGTAATCTTATATATCTATTGACAACAAAATAGTGGAATGATCCCCTCAACGATCCTCTGAGCAGGCAATTTATTCCCAAAAAGTCAACGTTCAAGCCAGATCACCCCAAATTAAGATTGGATTCTCTTCATGAAACCGAGGACAGTCCTTGTGAGGGACTAGTTCACCGATATACAGACAAATGTCTTTTTCTGGGTAATTCCTGTGTTTACATCTCTTTTTAGGTGACTGTTGACATTTATCAACAGCAAGTTCTCACTGTCCTCTGTACTGTCGCTATTGTACTCGTTCCTATGCCGTCGGTGCCAACACCGATACTGTGGCCAAAGCATCCTTGAAACCGAAGTTGTCCCGCTGGAACGAAATGCTAGACTACATCGCCAATACTCCTGCTATCCAAGATGTTGTCATATCGGGTGGTGATTCATACTCTCTTGCACCCCATCACCTCCGTATGATTGGCGATCGTCTTCTGGACATCGATCACGTTCGTCGTTTCCGCGTCGCTACAAAGGGTCTCTGTGTTTCTCCTTCTCGAACACTCGACCCAAACGATACTTGGACGGATGAGCTGATCCGATTGTCGAACGCTGGAAAACGGCGAGGCAAACATGTCGCCCTGCACACGCATTTCAACCACCCAAATGAATTCTCGTGGGTTACGAGACACGCAGCACAGAAACTCTTTCAGAATGGTGTAATGGTCCGGAATCAGTCTGTCTTGTTGAAGGGTGTGAATGATGACGCGGAGACCATGGGAAAACTGATCAGAGAACTAGGAGACAACAACATCTTCCCTGTAAGTGACTCGGTGGTTCATTTCGCAAATACGCGATTTCTTTCTCCATATCGTAAGCTGACTGACTGTCTTGGTATCTCACAGTACTACGTCTATGCTGGTGACATGGTAAAAGGCGTTGAAGACCTGCGCACACCACTCCAAACCATACTCGATCTCGAATGCCACCTACGTGGTACTATCGCCGGCTTCCTGATGCCTCAATTCGTCGTTGACCTTCCAGGCGGTGGAGGCAAACGGCTTGCTGCTTCCTACCGTACATACGATCGTGCAACTGGAGTTTCCACTTTTGTCGCTCCAGCTGTCAAGGGGAAGGGCAAAGAGGATAAGGTGTACGAATACTATGATCCGCTGGTCTCGTTAAGAAATCGCGTTCGTGTTGAAGCCGGTGTTCCACTTGCTGGTGGTGTCTGATGGCGTGATGGCGAGGTATCGGCAATGTTATCTTTGGTCTAGATCTCTATTGTAGCTTGCTTTATGGTTGTCTGGGTTGCATTCGCTTTGATTTTCTTTGACAGCTGATACTCGCCAATATAACATGGACGGGGAGATATACGAGAACAAATCTGCTACATAGGGATATGAGCAACGAGCGAGTGTATCCCGGGAGGTTGGATGGCAAGATGCGGCACTCTCTCTCTTTCTGCAGAAGAAGCAGTTTCTTGTTACTCTCTCGCTAAGCTTGCTGTTAGACTACATTTACAATGGGATTAAAAATGCTTGGACTTGCACTCAAAACTCATATATCTTTCAGTTTTCTAGAACCTGCGTTCCTGTGCAATGGTGCACTTTGACTCCTCTCTCGACAGCTGTAAATCAGAATTTGCATGAATAGTCGCTTTCATTGCCATCAAGATTTGGCTGGACAAGCAATCTGAAGACGAGTCTTGGTCATAGAACGAATCCAACTTACATTCGACCCTGCTTGAATCGCCCTTCTGCGACCTTCTCCTACGTGAATAGCACCTCTCTCTGGAGGACACGGCATGAGCATTGGTGACGCCTTGTGTCATGAACTGCATTCAGATATCAGGTATTCTTCAAAGGGATTTCGTGATTGTGCATCTATTAGCCCGCTCAAAGACATGAGCTGTTACATCAACGGGGTGTAATGCAAGGTGAGAGGTATTGGGAGAGCTGACTATTGAATATAAATCACGAGGCTCCAAATTTGAGAGTTATCGTTGTTCGCATTGTGTCACCTCACCGGTTCAGGAGATAAGGGATGGAGATAACATTGACGTCAAATCTGATAAGAATCCAGGAGTAGAATGTATGTGAGTCTAGCGGTTCCGGAGCAGTATTCCACGACAGTATTTCTGCCTAGTAGCACAATAGACTTACCTCGCCCTCGCTTCCTGAGGGTTATCTGTATGTACTGTACGGTACCGCCCTTCATCTGTCAAAGTCCCTGGGATAGGCAAACCTGTCTCGCTAACCACACAGCGAAAAGTCCGAAAAAGGAAATCAACCACAGAAATCTTCAAGAAAGGCCAACTTTGTACTGTAATCAAGGGAGCGCACTTTCCCAGCTCTAAAACACGGTTTCAGATAAGATAACCTGGATATCTTGGACATCACGGCATGCATACTCCTTAAAGAGTAAGGGTGCAACTGGGGAGATCTAGTTTCGTGCTTGATTACGACAGGGTGAAAGATGAGATCACATCGTGCCGTGTAGATAAAGTTTAGTAGTGCAGATAGGATTTGCTTCTTTGAAGGAAAGTGAGGGGTTGAATCTTCTCTCCGATTTGTCTCGGGATGCGAGGCGGGATAGTGCTGTGATACAGTAATGATGGTACAGGGGAAAACACAGAACGTGGTTTTTGAAAACGAAAGGAATAACCAAATTTGTGTACTGAGACATGGTACGGAACACAGACTTAATCTGGCTCGTGGGCAAAGAATAAGCAGTAGGCATCAGCTAGGCTCGCGGGGAGGATGTTGCCGTTTTGCTTTAGTTACTACTGCAGCAAGGCAAGCGTTTCTTGAGCGAGTAAAACAACAGATACCTTTATTCGTGCTCCCTATCGCAACTGGCGCAGAAAACGTCAACATGAATGTTTTACGAGTTACCAAATATATGCTTTCAGAGAAACAAAAAAAAGAAAGAAGAAATCCTTGGCTATGCTCAGATTGAACAAACCGTCTGAAGATCGCGCTAGAGCAAGGGAAATAGAATTTTGCGATCTTGCTTCATGGAGGGTGAAGAGGCGAGACCTGCCGCAACAGCACACACGAAAGAGCTCGGATAATCGAGCAAGGAGTCGCTTTGACGTCTTCCTCCCTCGTTATTGGAATAAGAGGGGCACAATCGATAGTGAGACGAAAGGACCGCAAAGTAGAGAAAAGCAAGCAAGAGAGCGAGCGGCCTGTGCCCAATGGTCGTTGTGGGGAAACGAGGAGACAATGTGTGTTGATGTCGTCTTCTCGCCCGTGAAAGTGACAGAATTCTGCACCAGTGATCAGTGACAGATGTCTGTCACCTGGGGAAACGCTGTCAAACCAGCCTGGAAGCCACTTTGTGCGGATGATGCCGTATCGTCCGTTGATCGACATCGACATCGACCAGAATCAAATGTGCATTTTGGCTGTCTGGGACGTTTAAACTTTGGAAAGGGGCTGACCTCGACAGGACATTGGGGGATCGGGATCGTCCAGAGTGTGGGAACGTCCACTCGGATTTATTTTTACCTGATGTAATATTAGTCCTCGTAAGGGTATAACTCGGAGATAAAAGGAGGGGGATGTGATGTGGTGACAAGGTTTTAAAGGCTCCAAGGCACAAAAAGAAAGATCAAAGAGGACGTTTGTCTCTCATGAGATTTTCTCGTAGCCTTGGCGCGTTTGAAACACGTCCATCGCACGCGGGAACCAGGGCCATCTCAAAGTGAGCGTGCGTGCTGACTTGGCTGGCTGAAATGAGATCTTAATGTTCAATTCATCCAAAGTGTTGGCTTCGCCAGGAAATAATCCATCTCATCTATCTCAAGCACCTTGCTCTGCAGAGAGAAGAACAGACGTTGAGAGAAAAGTTTGGTGTTTAGCCTCGCCAATAATAGCCAGAGAGTTCAGGTCTGTGTGCTTCTGCGGCCTCCTCGTCCTCGTCTGGATGGCAGCTTTTCAGCACTCAACCACGTCGAACTCGTCCGCAGAAGCAGCTGCGAATGCAACCGTTTGTACGAGATGATGCATCTCGCACCGCACTATTGCTACAGGGAAATATCGGATGAGAGGACAGTCGGAGAATTAATTATCTCGCCAATAACAGCACGCATTTTTCTGTAGGGATTCTTGCCCCTTCCCTTTCCAGACGCTCTGTTCGCTCTGTTCGCGAATCACTTGTAATAATAGAGAGCCGACGATATTGCTTGGAGGCCCTTTCAAGCATACTTACTCGGGTACTGTACACCACACCACACCACACCATACTCTAACTACCAGATAACGAATAAGGTACGTATCGGGATCAGGCACGGAGAGGCCGGTCGCTGACTGCAAGGATCTTTAATATGTTGCAAGGTACAGTACTGTATGAGTAAAGTGCGTGCATCCGTCTGCAAGACCGCGTTGTAACCATGTGTTGTGTTGAGAACATGAGATGCATGTTCACGAGAATACGGCAAGAAGCCGCGACGTTATTATAGCAAGTGCAGGATGAGCAGCGAGTGTTACTGTGTTGGCGTTTTCCTCAGCGACACGTTGGCTACAGCGTGGCCTCTCATCTCAGCCTCTGGAATATTCCCGGCGTTACCTAGCTTGGACTTGGAGGCGTACTGCTTCCCCCCACAAGAAAAAGCACGCAACAAAACCAGCACTTCTGAATGGCGAATCAGGGAATCGAAGATCTTGCTACAGGACACAAACACAACGGGGCCTATGCACTCTGTAAAGCGTGCGATGCAGCACATAAGTTGGAAGGCTGCTGACGATGTGTGTGTTTGTTGGTGTTGAGTGTTGGTGATGATGTGGTGTGGATTGGATTGAGGCGAGGCTAGGACCGGCTCGGCTATGCTGATATTCTCCCCGTCCCTACCTTACCTTACCTTACCTCAAGGTAAATTTACTCGTACCGAAAAGTCCTGTGGGCTGGATGTGCCGCTGTCTCGCTGGCAGCTGGCCGTGGCATAGCATAGCAGAGCAGAGCATACTGTAGCATAAAAAGTCAATCCTGCACCATTGCCCATTCCATTGGCAATGACATTGACACGGTGAAGCCCCGCTAACAAAGCGGTGATACGAAGGCGACGTCTGTGAGTTTGTTGACTTGAGATGCGTTGTTCACAACGACTGGACTGAAAATGCAAATACTTTACTTTCCTTTACTTTCCTTTACTTTGAAGAGTGAGTGCGGGCATCCGTAATTGTGTCCCAGACTCAAAGGGTCGGTGCCTGCATTGCTGCCCACTACTACTGTGCTGTGATTTGCTGGGCGGGCTATGCATGGATCAGAACGGGGTCGGGGGGGGTCTCACTGGGCCTCTCCGGATTAATAATTGGCCTGGTTCCAGCGTTGCACTGCTTGTCCGCCAGCTGCCCTATCTGCCTGTCTCGCCTGTCCTGTCCTGTCCTGTCTTGCGATCCCACCCCTCCGAGCCCCCCTACCTCTACTTAGCCTGCCTCGCCAAGGGCCTTAGGTTGGTTGGCCTTGGCCGCCCGCTCCACCCGCTGCCCCTGACCTCTCCCTGCGACCCGCACCGCCCTTGTGCTGTGGACGTCTGCTCGTCTGCTCATTCGCCAGAGCTGTGTTCCCTTGTTGACGGCCCCTGCAGAGATACCAGATATTGGACGAATCCTGGCGATCGTCGACGATGATTCTGAGCTCGCAACTCTGCTATCAAGCCCGAGCGCTTGCAACTGCTGAGCTCTCAGTTCCTCAACTGGGTTGCTGGATATAAAGGTGGAGTTGAGCGAATCCAATAATCCAGTCCATCCCACGAAAGTCTGATTGGCGCCCTCTGACATGACCTGACCTGTCTCCTGTCTTTTATGCTGGTGGAGCGAGATGGAGAAAGTTGAGGAACAGAGTGTAATCTTTCTCTGCCCATGCTCCGATTCATGCGTATCAAAGGCCAGCCTTTGAAACCATTACACAGCAGGAGGCAATACTGCAATGGGTAGCAAGACTTATACTGCAGAGTGCACTGCAGGTCACTGTACAGCATTCTCGTCCACTCGTCCCCCTGATAATCAACCAAACCTATCCAATCCCATGAAATGAAAGCCATTTCATATCAAGGCTGTTCGTGAATGTTCCCCTGGCATGCTCACTTCCATTATTGTCTCCAGAGTCCAGATCCACTAGTACTCAGCCCTTGAACCACTGTACCTGGTAAAACCAAACGGCTTGACAGGGCCAGCATGCCTGTCATGCAAGGAAGGGGTCCTGGGATTTTGTCGGATTGACCTCAGTCACCCACCTCACCTTGACTTCTTGAGAACAGACCTTCTCCAGACCACCTGGATCTCCATCCAGGAACAAACGCAAGCACCTCGTGCATGAAGATGCAATAGTTGACCTACTCCTTCATTCATCTAACCTACTCTGAGAAAAGCAGCCATGGCACCGCTTCAGCCCAGCAGTAGCCGTAGCATCAGCAGTACCAGCAGACTGGAAATTCCTACAATGGACGACCACGTCTCATCGTCATCATCAACTCTCGCTCCTATCTATACCTCCTCAGGGATGTCCAGCTCCAAATTCGACCTGAATCCGACTCCAGAACTCGGAATCGAACTCGAACACGAACTCGACCTCGACATTAGCGAAAGCCCTCTTTCCCCTCGAGCTCTGTACGCTCAATCTTTCGACCGCCCTGGATCCTCACAAAGTCTCCCCAGCACACGACGGTTCAGGAAGAATATGAAGGAGATGACGGGCTTTGGCACGACGGAAGAGGAATTTGAGGCATTGCCCATTGCAGTGCGGAGAAAGGTACGTGTGCAAGCCACTTCCACGCTCTGTTGTTGGTCTTTGTCGAAGGCGTGCATGATGCCTTTCTGCGATCAATGTCCTCGAGTGAAGTGAGATGTACTGTTGGCTGTCGTGACCGCACAGTATGTCGAGCACTCGCTTGGATCATGCATTGTTCAGGTCCAGCAGCATCGAAGGACCAGATGTCACAGACGAAGACGCCATATCCGGAAGTTATCCAGGAGCCGTCCAGCCGATTCTGATAGTGCATAGTGCACGTCTAGTCTCTTGTCCAAAATCGGGCATCGATGCTGCAACAAGGCCTGCAAACGCAACAGATGTGCCTCTTTCACTCCTATTTTTCCCAATTATCTCCCGAGAGTCGATTTTAGCTTTCTGTCCGTCCGCCCGTCTGTCTGTCCCTCTGTGCTCAACCCGACATGCCGTTTCACCCGCTGGGCCACCGTCTATTATGGTTCCCAACCGAAAAGATACCTAGTTGCGAATGGCAGAGAAGGATCAACACCTATCGAGGCGCCGTTCGCGCCTTGCAAATGCTATTCCAGATGGGTCCAAGGGGCGGTGTGTCTGAAGCACCATCTGGGGCTCATCCCGCATACTTCAGAGGGGGCCGCTATGGGCCTCATGCAGCTTCACTATCCAGTCACATACGGAGGGAAAGTACCTGCAGGACTAGTTCAGTCCCTCCCTCCCACCACCCCCAACTTGAATAATATTGGCGTCGAAGCTGCCAATTAGTCGCCGAGTACTAGAACCATACAATGCTTCTAGTTTTTCCTCCACTTCAGTGCTTGCTGCAGCTTCGTTCAATTTCTACTTTCCACAAGAGGATGTGCGAGCTCCCGCTCATCAGCGTGGACTTCCTCGGAACTGGCATCGACTGACCTCTTCTCCTACAGTACTTCTCCACCTTGGAGCGACTACGATTTGCCCAGAACTCACGGACGAGCGCACTCCATGATTTGCCAATCCAGAGCCATCGAAAGAGCTCCATAGCAGACCGCCGTGGCGTGAACGTTGCCCTCATCGAACCTCGTCGGAACTTTTCTCGACGACAGCGGAAGATCGCGAGACAACAATCTATCTCCAGCACCGAGGCCTCGTGGTTTCTGACCCTACCGGACAAAATCAAGAACAAGCAGTTTACAAGGGAGGAGCAGGTGCTACTGGCTGGTCGACTGCGAGAAAGTGTAATCCTCGACGCTGCCGACGAAGCAATCTATAGAGCAAGCCGACGTGCCAGTCGCAATCTCCCTGTGACACCGTTGTTCGACGAGTCTCGGCCTGGTACTCCCCGGAGTAGCACAGATAGTTCTCGGCCAAACATCCAGCAGGAGAACACCTCGAATATGGCCGCTCACATGTACGAGAGCTTTCGGTGGATGGACGATGAGCAGGATCTGGATCTGAAGCTGGTATTGGACGACTATCATGCCAATCTAGACGGCGTTGTCATTCCTACTCCCGCCAGCGCGAGACGACCTTCATTCCGACGACAAATGTCCGTCTCGAAAATGCCCTTTGGACGGAGTTCCCTTTCTTCTCATCCACGATCACCACTTTCACCGAAATTCGAGCCTCCTCTCAACCATGGCAGAACCAGATCTCGCACAATGTCCCTGATACAGCCGAAGCATGTAGCGAAGCTGTCAGTCGCCACGATAGATCCGAATGCGGCACATTATCAAGACCCAGAAGCACGACTGAAGTTGCGAGTATACCTTGCATCTCCACAAAAGTTCGACGAGGCGATTGAATTCGGATTTCCTTCTATGGATAGCATGACAGATATTACAGACAAAGAAAATAAGCCTCCGAGACGTTTGTCGCGAGAGGTCAGCGGAACGAAAAAGTCATTTGGCATTGACAGGGGTCAATCATTCTTGCATGACGATATGGCCTCCCTGTTCGACGACGACGTATCTATGGCCGACCCGGAGTCACCACTGACCCCCAGAGGAGATCTTGGGTTTCGTTCTCAAAACCAATCAATTGCAACTTCTGGATCGAAAGGCAGCAGAACATCCTCCGACTTTTCGCACCTGGGAATCAACAAGCCTATGTTGGTCAAGCAACCTGAGTCATACACTCATGGACTGGCGGGGAGTAGAGAAATGACACTGAGAATGACTCTCACGCGACCTGATCTACGGGCCGATGAGACGACAATTTATGGATGGCAAAGATGCAAAAGTCCTCTAACAGAGGAGCCTTCTACTTCGATGGACGAGAAATCCGAATTCAGAGGGCCATTGGGAGGAGCAGATGGTTGGGGTCCAGATAAGGAGACTGGCGTAGTAAAAAGATTTTGGAACAAGGTTAAGAGCTCTCAGCGAAAGAGCACGTAGCCGACGGAAAGGTGGTTAATTACGAGAGAGAATTGTTTGATTGTATAGTACTTTAGCGGGCCATGGCTTTTCTTTGTTTGCATTGGATTGATGGCGTGGCCCAAGGCATAGCTCGCGGTTGCATCAGATTGACGTGATACCACATGCTTGACGTACGGGATGGGATGTAGCTTACACGAAAATCTCAGAATAGAATTGCTAATGCTATTGGCATAGCGTCACCTTTATTGCCCACCTTTGACTTTCCCAAATCTCTACGTTTCATTCTAACCTCGATATTTTGACCGTCACTATTTTTGAACCAGGTATAGCAAAGGACGAGAAAATGTGGGACTCGAGAAGCACGTCTTTATTGTAGTACTTACCAAGAGGAAAGCAGGATACTGTGTGCTGCAGAACTTCTGCCACTGTCGTATCTTGCAGCTGGAGAAGTATGAGAATCAAGCTTTCAGAGAAGTGGATCTTTGATCACATGGAACTGTGGCGTAGGACTACTACCATTAATAGATGGACTTTGCAACAAGCGCAAAAGTGATACATGGAAAGTATTGATTCACCAAGATATAAAAAATTATTACCAAGAAGAACTTCCTCCAAAGCACCTGTTTATCGATTGAATCAATACCTCAAGCCCGTCCGCCTTCAATAGCAGAGCTCAGTGTTTCGTCATCAGCTACGCGAGCTGCCCAATGTGTGGCTGCTGGAGTTTCATCAGCTCTTGCCAAGCCTCTGTGAGCTCCGGGATACACAGTACACCACCTGCAAAGACCACGAATCCCGAACCTTGAATCCATTGTTGGTTCTCTTCATACCTCACAAATCTCATCATCAAGGGCGACTTGATGAGCAGTCACACATCTTGATGCGCCTCCAATCCATCAACTCGCGATCATGAGGCTACACACTGCCGCAGGCTGGTCGAGCCTCCTATTCACGACACTGCTATGTACCGGTGCCTGGGCGAAAAAGGAGAAGCCATCTGTCAAGAGCAAAAAGTTCGACTTCATTCCCCATAATGTGAACTATTTCGAAGACTCGGACGTTCTGCTGTTCGAGGACAACCAGAACAATGATGTCTACCGCTCGACAGATGCAGGTGCAACCTGGGACAAGATAGATGAAGGGAAAGGGAAGATGCTGGAGATCTCAATGCATCCCTTCGACAAGAAACGAGCATATATCATTACAGTGGAAAAGACACACTACAAGACCAGTGATCAGGGCAAGACGTGGGAGAAGTTTGAAGCAGATGAGCTGGCTACGATCTTCAACGCGGCTCTCACATACCATGCTGGAGATCCAGATAGAATAATCTTCAATGCTATGGAATGCACAGGCATTTTCTGCTCGGAGTTGGTAAGAATTGTCAAATCCATCTGTTACTGTCGCTTACTAGCCATAGACGATGTACACCTTGGACAATTTTGCCAAACCCCCAAAAACGCTGCGAATCGACACCTCTGGCTGTCATTGGGCCAAATCCACTGAACAATTTACGACTGGGCAAAAAGATTTGGATAATAATAGAATACTTTGCGTGGTGAAAGGCCGATTTTCTCTTTGGAGAAAAGACTATCGACTGCTAGTTTCGGATAACTTCTTCGAGTCGAGCGGCGGCACAGTTCAGGAATTCGAGCCCGAGCTGGAGTCTGGCAGGACAGTACAAGGGATTGTGAACATGGCTATTTCTCATCCATATTTGGTGGTCGCGGCTGTAGCAGACAAGACAGACGAGATGGCACTTTATATTTCGGATGATACAGTGAAGTGGCATAGAGCTATCTTTCCACACGATCACAAAATTACGGAGGAGGCATATACTCTGCTGGAAGGGACAAACTATAGCATTCAAATTGATGTTATGACTGGTCGGGAGACAAACCCAACGGGCGTCTTCTTCAGTAGTAACTCAAACGGAACTTTCTACGCCCGGAACCTCGAACACACGAACAGAGGCGCCGATGGGTATGTGGATTTTGAAAAGGTTTACGGTGTTCAAGGTATCATACTGTACAACGTCGTAGACAACTGGGAAGATGTTGACAGTGGCAAGACCAACGGAAAGAAGATCAAGTCCAAGATCAGTTTCGACGACGGCAGGACTTGGGAATCCTTAACCGTGGATAAGGAAGACCTCCACCTCCATTCCGTCACGGAGCTTTCAAATTCCGGAAGAGTGTTCTCCAGTCCCGCTCCTGGTTTGCTGATGGGCGTTGGCAACACTGGCACATATCTGAAGGACTATGGCGAAGGAAATTTGTATGTTTCAGATGATGCTGGATTGACATGGCGAAAAGCCTTGGATGGTCCTCACAAGTATGAATTTGGGGACCAAGGTTCCATTCTTGTAGCGATGAAGGAAGGTTTTCACAACGAGATCAGGTTTTCACTAGACCATGGGAAATCATGGGGAAAGGCAGATCTTCCTGAGAAGGTCCGTCCAGTTCAACTCACTACACTACAAGACTCGACGACTTTGAAATTTCTGCTTGAAGCGATCGACGAAGAAAGGACAGGGGCAGCGGCATTTCTCATGGTCCTAGATTTTGATGATATGCAAGAATCGCAGTGTAAAGAGGGGGACATGGAAAAATGGTATGCCAGAGTTGACTCAGATGGCAAACCAACCTGTCTTATGGGCCATAAGCAATGGTACAGCAGACGGAAGGCGGATGCTGATTGCTTCGTCAAGAAGGAATTTGTCGATCCGGAGGTCCACTCTGAGCAGTGTGAATGTGCCGATGCCGATTTTGAGTGCGATTACAATTTCGTTCGCAGTGCTGACCGAAAAGAGTGCGAGAAGGCTGGTGATTTGATCCTGCCAGAGGGTGCATGCAAGGCTTTCGGACCAGAAGACACCTTCAAAGGCTCTTCCGGTTGGCGACTCATCCCAGGCAATGATTGCAAGCGTGCCGAAGGAAAGCAAAAGGACGATCCGGTTGACAGAAAGTGCGTCGATGCCGTGGGGGCGCCAGCGTCTGGTAAGCCAGATGGTGCTCAGAAGAGTTTTGATGGGAAATTCTTCCACAGCAAGATCTACCTCGAACGTACGGGTGTCAGTCAAGGAACAGACGAGACTGTCCTCATGCAAACGGATGCGGGGGTTTATATTTCCCAAGACCATGGCAAGAACTGGGAACAAATGTTCAAAGACGAGACAATCCTGGCCATCATCCCCCACTCGTATTTCAACGACATGGTTTTCTTCATAACAGACTCTGAGAAGGTCTACTATTCGACAGACCGTGGCAAGAACATACGAAGCTTCCAAGCCCCTGATAAGCCGAACACTAAACGTATCCCGGTCATGAGCTTCCACCCCAAGAATAAGGATTGGATAATCTGGGTTGGAAGGAGAGGTGATTGTCCCGATGGCCCAGAATGCCATGCAGTGGCTTCTATCACTACCGATCGTGGTGATGATAAGTGGAAGACATTGCAGCGCTACGTCCGAAAGTGCGAATTCATTGCAGAACCCGAAAACGGATACCGTGTTCCCGGACCCAAACCTGAGATCGACAAGAAGAGCAGAGACAAACTCATCTACTGTGAGGTCAAGTCAAAGGAGAGCGCAGATGATACGGACAATCCGTACAAACTCGTTTCTAGCGATGACTTCTTCAATGAGCCACCGGTGACCCATTTCACAAATGTAGTTGACTTTGCCACAATGTCTGAATTCATTGTCGTTGCAACAAAGGACGATAAAGCAGAGACGCTGAAGGTTGACACAAGCGTCAATGGATTGACTTTTGCTGATGCGCAATTCCCATATGGCTTTTCTGTCCCACATCAAACAGGATACACAGTGCTGGACAGCTCTACCCATTCCGTTTTTCTGCATGTTACGGTCAACAATGAAAAAGGGTATGAGTATGGATCAATCATCAAGAGCAACTCCAATGGAACTTCTTACGTCCTAAGTTTGAACGCTGTCGACCGAGATGGCCCGGGTTATGTGGATTTCGAGAAAATGTTTGGAATCGAGGGCGTTGCAATGGTGAACGTGGTATCAAATTTCCAGTCCAAAAACTTCAAGAAGGAGGGGAAGAAGCTCAAGACCATGATCACCCACAACGATGGAGCTGAATGGGCTTATCTCAAACCACCCACAAAAGATGCCGATGGCAAGAAATTCTCTTGTAGCAACAGTAACCTAGAGAAGTGTTCGCTGAATATCCATGGGTACACTGAACGTGCCGACAAATCCCATACCTACTCATCCGCTTCTGCCATTGGCTTAATGCTCGGCACAGGGAATGTGGGCGAGACTCTGTCTTCGATGAAAGATGCAGATACCTTCATGACCTCTGATGGAGGGGTCACCTGGAAATCTGTCAAAAAAGGCTCGTACATGTGGGAGTTCGGCGATCAAGGATCTATCGTTGTCATCGTGAGGGAAAAGGTTGCCACCAAGGTGGTGTATTATTCATTGGACGAAGGTGAGAACTGGATCGAATATCAATTCGCTGAGAAAGAGGTCGAGATCGACGATCTTACAACGGTACCCAGTGACAACTCGCGGAAGTTTTTGCTTTGGGGTTATGATGGTGACAAACTCGTGGCTCAAAATCTCGACTTCTCGGGTCTTACAGACGTCCAGTGCAAGCTCAACGAAAACGACGTTGAGGCTGACGATTATTACCTATGGACACCAAAGCATCCGTCTCAAGAGGATGATTGCTTGTTTGGTCACGTCTCATCATATCATCGAAAGAGGACAGAGAAGAAGTGTTTCAATGGCCAAATGATTCCCCATCTTCACAGCATCGAAAGGAATTGCTCTTGCACCAGGAGAGACTTCGAGTGGTATGTTCACTATGCACAGTCTGCTTTTATGAGCTAACATTGTTTTAGTGACTTCAATTATCAACGACAAACTGATGGCTCTTGTGCTCTTGTACCTGGCTTTACTCCTTACGACCATTCCTTGATTTGTAAGGAAGATGAGAGTCGCATTGAATATGACGATCCAACCGGCTATCGTCGTATTCCGCTCTCTACCTGTGTAGGAGGCAAAGAGTTCGATAAAAGTGTCCCTCATCCTTGCCCTGGTAAGGGAGAGCAGTTTAAGAAGAAGCATGGAGTTTCCGCGATCGGCATATTCTTTATCATCATTGTATGCATTGGTGTCGCAGCAGGTGTCGGCTGGTGGGTGTGGACAAACATGGGCAACTTCGGGCAGATCAGACTAGGCGAGCAATGTAAGGCCCCCCTGTTCACTTCTCCCTGAGCATTTCAAGTTCTAACAATCTAGCCGCAGCATCGGATCTCGAGCCCCCCTACGTCAAATATCCGAAGTTAGTCCTCGTAGCCATAGTCATGGTAGCTACGGGAGCTGCAGCATTAGCAACCAGTCTGTGGCGCGATGCCAGAACGACTTTTGGTGGAAGCAGACCTGCGCGCTTCACGACCCGGGATAGCTTTGCGAGAGGAAGAGGTGATTATGCGGTCGTTGACGATGACGAGGGAGAGCTTCTGGGCGACGAAAGTGATGAAGAGGTTTGATCCTCCCGCGATTCGGCGTATGAAATGAACATAGGGGCTGGATGTTTGTATGATGGATACGGTAGACGGGGAACAAGCCCCGATTTTGTGATTATAGATTAGGCGTATGATTATTAAACCCGTTTTGTATACCAGCAAAAGCGCACATCGATAGATTCTTGAACGCTCTTGCTGATTTTCATGGTCTTCTTCGCTTGACATCTTTCTTCGCTTGACATTTGGTTGCTTTTAAATCAACAAGTATACTTCCATCTGAACTCAGGATGGCTCAAGTCAAGGTCCCGAATCTCCTTCTGGCTGGGACCACGCAGCACCGCTTCAGCATCCACCTTCGAACGCTGCTTGTTGTTGATCCTCATCCAGATCATCATCATGGGAGCAGTGATGAGAATAGTCGTCGACGTAGCTAAATTAAAACCGTTTCTAATGGGATAAATTGGCGCATCAAAACGCAAGAACGATCAGGTGCAATTAAGGCGGTACTGCATGGAGCTGTTGCGAAACGAGCAAGTCCAGGGGATAAATTGTCTTGATAATCGTGGGTGCGAAAAAGCCGAGTCCTTCGACAGTGATGTTCATTAGTAGAAAGCTGAAACCGGTTACGATAGTCGTAGGGTTGAATACTCCTCGAGAGGTCTTCTTCATATCGAATTTGCCCAGGACTTTTGTCGTGGCTACCCGTTCATTCATCACTCGTTTGGCGGAATATCCAAGGGCAAATCAGGAGTACTGTACTTGGGGAACCTTAGGTAGTTTAGATACCTTAGGTACCTTTGGCGAAGAAAATGGTGGGCAGCGGCGAGTGACTTTTGGGTTACAGTACCGGGGGGTAACGAAGTATTCGTAAGGCCTCGGCCACTGCTACTGTACTGAGGAAGGCCTGGGTCCCTGATGATTTACTCCGAGCCGAGCATTCTGGCAGGAGCATCCAGGCATGGTAGGAATTGCAAAAGACAGTATGCGATCATCTCATAAACGCAACACTTGTTTTCTATGAATATGCGGTTCTACTCACACAAACAACGTGCACCTGGCCTGGTGTTACGAGCCCCTCGATATTCCTTCATTCCTCGTTATCACCAGCAATGTACCCGGACGATGTCTGTCACCCCACCACCACCACCAGCGCTCCGACAGGCGATGGAAGATGGCTCAGGTAAGACTCTGATACGAATAATTGGGAAGAGCGTAGCATTCAGTAGCTTACTCAAAACAGAAGTAGGGATTACAGAAGAGGAGCTGTATCAATATCGTCGATACAGATGGCTGTGCGCATGCGTTCCCCCCCTAGCTCACCACAATACCTCAATGTCGTCCTAGATCGGATGAGCCTGAGAAGCTTGCTATACGCTATCGTCGATTCAACCTCGATGCACTCCTAGATGTGGCCATTAAGACTGCTGGTAGTGGAGCTAGATCCTGTAAGACCTCTATTCTCAATTTACTTTTGCTATCGATCCAAAGCACGAGGGGTCGCATGTTTACTGATGCTCGTTCGATGATAGGTACAAAAGTATTGAAGTGCATAGAAGGCCAGTTCAACAAGGCATTTCTCATTACGATGGACAATGGTGTTGAGGTTCTTGCGAAAATTCCTAACCCAAATGTTGGATCGGCATTCTTTACAACTGCATCTGAAGTTGCTACACGAAACTTTGTGAGTAGACTTCGCCCGATCTGCATTTAATTCAAAGTCCAACGTATATTCGGCAGGTGCGGGAGGTTTTGAACTTTCCCGTTCCCCGTATACACACATACTCCTTGGATCCACTCAATCCAGTAGGCGTCGAATATATCATAGAGGAGAAAGCTAGAGGCAAGCCTTTAGGTAACTTGTGGCGCTATTGGTCTCGAGAGTCACAACTAGATGTTGTGACAGAGCTTGTGGATTTGGAGGCAAAGCTTGCATCCGTGTCGTTCCATAGCCATGGTTGCATATATTACAAGGACGATCTGGAAAGAAAAGGCCTGCGCGCTCCAAGCCTTGAAGCTACGTACAATTCCAATGGCAATCCTTCGAAAGAATTCGACCCATTACATATCGCAAAATTTGCCCTTGGACCCTTGAGTCAACCAGTACTTTGGGAAGGGCAACGGGCAACAATGGCTTTACAGCGAGGTCCCTGTATGTTCGGCATGTTTATTTGACCTGGTAAACAACTAACTTGGTAGGGCAAAATACTGTCGACTACATGCTGGCTATGGGCCTGAACGAGATACAATGGACCAGGACCTTTGCAACGCCACAGATGAATTATTGTCGTCCTGTAGACACGCCCGAACTACCGGAGGAATACGTTTCACTTCTAGAACGATATCTCATCCTCGTTCCCCACTTAACCCACATTTTCCCTGAGGAGTTGCATTCCAAAACGCTTTTCCTCCAGGATCTCCACCTGGACAACATATTTGTTGACCCAGATACGAAGAAGATCACTAATATTATTGATTGGCAATCGACCGCGGTGTCCGGAATACTTTTGCAGTACAAGGTTCCAGCCATGCTTCCTCCTCCTGGTGGATACAAGAGCATACCAGAATCGACGTCGGATGGGATAAAGAGAGCAAATGGCTCAGTTGAGAATGATGAAATTCTCAGTCGCTATCAGGACCTCACCCGTTCCAAAAACCCTCTCCGCTGGGCTGCAATCAACCACCTCCACAAGTCGACTTTGCAAGCTGTTTCCCTGGTTTCTGGTGCATGGAGTCGGAATGATGTATTTTCCTTTCGGCATGCGCTGATAACTATTGCGGCTCACTGGAAAGATATCAATCCTGACTCAATACCATGTCCGATAAGCTTTACCGATCAAGAATTGTGGCTCCACAACGAAGAAATGGAGCTACTAGAAGAGCTTGGAACCGTGCTACACTTACTTCAAGATCAGAACCTGATCTCGGTCGGTGGTATGGTTCTACGCAGTGACTACGAACGAGCTCACGCCGTGAATATACACCTTAAGAAGATGTTATTGGATATGGGTGAATATGAGCAGCAAAAAGCTTTATATGAGAAGATATGGCCGTACTGAGTGCTGGGACAACTTTTCTCTGAAATCCTCCACTCCGATTTTACGAATCTGTTTGCTTGCGATACCGTCTTTTTTTTACGCGATGCAGAGCTTAGCCAGTACCTAGAAGTCTCGACCTTTCTGATCTCAGAGATGGCGCGTGACGCGACAATGCTCAATTTAGAGTCTGCGGCACTGACACTTACTTTGTCGCCTATACCGAGGAAAACGTAACAATTGATTACTTTTTTTTACGCACTGTACTACAGTTCACGCCTGCGTGCCATAGATGCAGTCGTGCTTTGAGACCCTTTGAAATTCCAGCATCGTGCCATGCCCTCTTATGCCGAGCTTCCGCGCAACGCTATTGTTTATCAATGCTGGTGCTAAGCGAAGCGAGGCATTGTTTCTGTACTGTAAAAACACCTCCAGGTCAAAGACATGAAAGCCATAGATAGGACGTTTCTGCGTCAATGCATCCAGACAGACCAATTTGGCAAGCTTCCATAATAGAGGCATCTACTCATCCCTCTCTACAATTCTTGACATGCTGGAACTTTACCCCGCCATCATGTGTTTCTTATCGCCAATTCGCCACGCACGCCGCCTCGGAGAAGCACCACTCTCCTGTCCCCGCCAAAAAAGCATTTAGCGTGCAAGCACACCAGGTGGCTTGTCAACTAATTCAACACCCATGATTGGGTGACAAATCGAATAATCAGGCAGCTGTTCCCTGCTCCGCGGGGGACGAACGACTCTGTTGCAGATCTCCGTGCCGTGGAGGGGAGGGGGGGAGCTCTTATCGCGATATTTTTGATTCGAGCTGTGATAACGGCCTGCTTCTTCCTTCTGTTCTCTCTCCCTCTCGAGGTCTTTCGGGTCATCGGAGCCCTTTTCATTGTCTTTCTCGTATTTCAATTTCTCCTCGTTTCGCCCATTTACAGCTCTGTTGGGCGGGTTGTAATTCGACGTTTGGAGACTGGGCCGGAGAGATGTCTGATACTGGAGTTACGACGAATTCTGTGATGGATTCGGAGCATTTCAGTCCTTATCGTGCGGATGGGAAGCTTTACGGGTTTGTATGTGTTGTTACCGGCGCGCAGCAGCCTGTCGGACAGGCGATCATCAGAGAGCTGGCTGGTATGTTTATGCTTTTACTTTACTTGTGAGCTCGTTTGGATTTGGAGGCTTCGTGAAATTGAAGGGGTCAATTCTGCAAGTGTAACGGGGTTTGGTTATCCGTACAATGTAGACGTGGAACTTTCTGGATTTTAATTAGAGACGGAAGCAATGGGAAATGATAGAGACCTTGGGAGCCTTTAATGCTGATCTCGATTGTGACATCGCGGACTTGAGTGCAATGGACACTGACTTGACATAGTCCACGGTGCAGCTTGTATCTATGGTATGTTTACAGTACCAGTACACCTTTCAAGCTTTGGCTCACGATCTACCAGCCTGCGACAAAGGCAACAGCTCAGACTATACATCACTCATCCAAGCTGTCGCCGCGGATAGCCCCAATACCAAGATTATCGGCTATCCATTCAATGTTGCCAAAGAAGAAGAGACACTGGGCCTCATTGACGATGTGCTGAATTCCTGGGGAAGACTGGATGTCTGGGTTTGTTCATCTGGACTCCTCGGCCCTCCTTCACTCGAGGCTACAACGCCTGCAGATCTCCAAAAATGCTTCGAGGCCAATTCAATGGCACCCTTCTTTGCGCTGAAATACGGACCACCAGCTATGGCTAAGACAACGCCGAAACAGGCATATCCTAATGCAGCACCAAAGGAGAGGGAATATGGTAGTATAATCGTCGTGAGCAGCGTGGCTAGCACGTACGGTGGATGCTGGGGACCATGTTATACTATGAGCTCGCATGCTGCATTGGGAGTTGTGAGGGCGGGAGTTGCTGTATTGAAGGGTATGTTGAGCCGAAACTGTCATAGGTGCTGCTGATCTGGTTCAGGAACTGGAGTGAGAATTAATTGCATCTCGCCGGGCCAGATAGATGTTGGTGTTGACTTGAAGAACGTAAGGTCCCCCGTCAATATCCAAACCAGAGAAGTTGCTTACAAGCAGAAGTTCGATATGAGAGGCATGAATGCCCAATTTCCGCCTTCATTCTTACAATCCAAGGAGGTGAGTATTTCCTCAAGGGCCTTCCTCTTGAACTTGAATTTGGTGCAGGCTATCTCAGGGACTGACGTTGGATAGGCACAAAAGAAGGACATCGGACTGGAACGAGCAGGTCTGCCTATCGAGGTTGGTCGTGTAGCTGGTTTCCTTGCTTCTGGGTTTAGCAGCTACGTGACAGGTGCCAATATCGTGGTCGATGGTGGAGCTAGTGTGATGAATCCTTTGACAGTGCCAATATAAGAGTAGCTGGGTATTTAAAAATATTCATGATGTTCGATATAAATTGCTTGTCCATCTCGGAGTTCTTTGCTGTGTTCCAGACTTTGTTTGAACTTTGACGGGACTAGGCCTCCATCTCACAAAACAAGGAAAACAAAAAGGAAACGCTGGAACTGCATCCTAGTCAGAAATTATATGTCGTTGTTCATCTTTGCCTCTTCGATTTTACCTCGACGTGTGAAATCTTGTTGACGATAAAACGTCCTTCCTTCCTAAACTGGCTTTGTCGGAATCGGCCGAGGTTTCGTACCAAATTCACAATCCAACTCCTCCATCACGAACCATCTCTTTTCCTTTCTCCACATTCTCTTTCTCTTAACCTTTCTCATATCTGCCACAATGTCACCTCCAGCCCCCGAGCTCTTCTTCTCCAGTAACGAGACTCACGTCTCCCAAACTTGCACGACCTACAACCTCACCAGCGGCCAATTCCACAGCCTCCACAAACGATGCGCCGCCTCCAAAGCCAAGGCGTATTGTCCCTACTCGCGATTTCGCGTCGGAGCTTCGATCCTTACACTTGACGACCAATATATCGATGGTGCGAACGTCGAAAATGCCTCGTATCCTGTAGGGACTTGTGCGGAGCGCGTCGCGTTTGGTAAGGCTGTGACGGAGGGGCACAAGAAGTTCAAGGCTGTGGCTGTTGCGACGGACATCTCTCCTCCTGCGAGTCCGTGTGGGATGTGTAGACAGTTGTGAGTCCTGCCATCTCTGTTGTGTTTCTTAAGGAAGTGTATTCAAGGCTGGGACCTGGCGTGGTGATTGGGAAATGAGGGCCTTGGAGGGGTTAATAAATTGAACAAGGGGCTAATTAGACATCTGCAGTATCCGCGAGTTTTGCGAGCTGGATATACCAATACTCATGTTTGATAAGGATGGAGCATATGTGGTCATGAGACTGGAACAGGTACGTTATCTCTAATTGGTTTTGCAAACAGTTATTAATACTAGACAGTTACTTCCAATGTCCTTCGGACCTGAAGCGCTGCCTCCTCCAGGCTCTGCAGGGGCACAAGGCTGACAGAGGCATGCATTTGAAATGGTAATGACGGCACGCAACTGGAATTAGAGTTTGAACAGGCGTTACCAGGATGCATTAGAGAAGGTTTTTCATACTAGAAGGTAGAGCTTTTGTTGAAGAACCTCTGAATCAAGGCCTTTCTTAACCAGCAACAGGGCTTGGCATAGCACTCTACTTCTCTTCGCATGATATTCGAGACTTTCGTGCCACTGAACACATCTTCTCTGTAACTCCCTTGCTCAATGGCCATGACCTTGAGCTTCTAATCATCACAATATCTTGATACTCGTTTGTAGTCTCTCTAAGTATCGAGAAGCAGGAAGGGGTTGTGGTCTGGCAGGCGAGCCAAGCGCTCAAGGAGCGAACTGCCCTGTTACCTTTGCCGCCATCACTTCTTCACACCCGCATTTCGCCAATATGACAAGCCCAGTAACTCTCTCTGTTTTGTTTATTTATGTTGGGTTCGTTTGTCAACAGCTCCTCGGGTCATCTTTGTGTTGAATACAAATCAGTTTGCAGTGAGAATATTCTGATCAATTTGTGCTTGCTGATACATACAAATACTACACGTGAAATAGCTAAATACAAGATTGTAATCTTTCTCCATTTGACAACGTCTCTTTTTGCCAGCTCCACTTTACCTATTGATGCCATGCATCCAAACCTCCTGCTCGACCCTCGCCGAAAAGGTACTAACAGCCAAGATCGCCTGCATCTGCTCAATGCTGACGTACAACGTGGTTCTAGCCACCCACCACCTTATACCTTCGGTACAAGGCGGGCTCGTCAAGCTACCCTCATATGTCCAGAAATCATTGAACATGTTGACTTCTCGGATAGCTTCCAAGATATCAAGATTCATTGGTATTGTCTCCTGGGAGTTGAAGCTTGGGATGGGGTTTTTGGTAGGCCGGACAGTGCTGTTGCCAATCTGACCGAGCATCTGGGAGAAGAAGACCGAGTCTACGTTGCCAGGGTCGATACGAATAGCAATGACACCGCGCTCTTTGCCAGATGCATCGGCATGAACGAGATGCAGCTCTGCCTTCGAGCGATCACCTTGCACGGAATGATCGGCCGGAGAGTGGATGTGAAGTCCTTTAAGATAAAGTGTCGTGTTGTCGTAGCTCATTGCTGGCCGGCTGGTGAGACTGGAGTTGGAGGAGGTGGTGAAAGCTGGTCCATATCCCCAATTTGACAGAGAGCCAGGGACGGCGGAGTAAGAAACTGTGTCGAAGTTGGGGCTGTGGCTTGTGGAAAGGCCTTGAGTGATCATCAACTGGATGGGAGATTGTTGAGTGCCTGTTTGGCAAAGGGTGTAGTCTAGGTCTTGTCAGTGACTGCATGACTTTAGATGGTGGAGTGCATACTCTCGTTGATCATGCCCCAATCGTAAGACGCTTCATAACTCCAGTCTTGCTCCCCACCAGCCCTTTTATTGAGACTCTGACCACGAGCAGCGAGGCCATGTTGCGGGCAAGCAGTTATGCTGGGGATAGCAGCGATAATGACCAATAAAGAAAACATGATTAGATTGTCAATACTGAATGTTGCTTAAACCACTACAGCTCAAAAACACTTGGATGACAGCGGCAGTAACAGAACTTATACTCACGTCTTGAACAAGTTCCAAGGCTTCACGAAAGCTAATCTCATCCCGATCTTGAGTGTAATCTTAAATATTTTTGACATCTTGCCAGGGAGCCTCGTCTGTATGCTCGCAAAGTCTTGCTGCTGATCTTGGCAACGCGTATACCATTGAAGTCTCGCCAAGCTCAGATATAGAGAATAAACAAGCGTTAAAAGTCAAATCTTGCCGACCTGTTGGAGTCGCACCATCACAGAAACTGGACTTTCACTTTTCTGGGTATCCCCCGCTCTTGGCGTTTGTGCGATGCTCTGTCCCGGTCAACTCACAAACCCTGCTTGTATTGATGCCGATCTTGGCCATTGCTTACCTGCCAAGAAGAAGTTATCGTCGCATGGAGACGAAATGGTGAAAATGCCGCAGTGACAAAGGTCTGGAGCGGCAGCTAGACAATGGAAAGGAAGTAAATCCTGCCCGAATGGTGGCATAACATGGATGTGCTATGAGGGGCAGAAAATGCCAATATAGGTTGACACCAGACTCCTGTCTTGTCCCTCCGGTAGACAGAGAACAATAGGAGAAATAAGAAGATGACATCGGAGCAAATATCCAGCTGCCTAGATAGGAAAGGGTCCTCATTCTGTTTGAGACCCAGCAGTCCAGCTTGGTACGATCTGCTAAAAAGGATGACTTGAAATTTTGGATATTTGGCGTAAGGATTCAGGGTTAAAAACGAGTCAAGTATTTAAAGAAAGCTTGGGAAAACTCTTTACATTCTCTTGAAGCCCAAAGAAGGGGGACAGGAAAGCTCAAAGAGAAGTCGCTGAACTTACCAGCGCCAAGCTATAGGGATGTTGGAGGTAGATTTGGAAGGCAAACCTAAATCATTGGGAGGAATGGAAGTTGAACAGGGCTTCCCTGTGAGATTCTCGCATGTCCGTATCACGAGCCTCACACAGTCCACTGAGCTTTTCTTGACGACATCGTAGCAGCATTCGGTGAAAAGGAGCAAGATTGGAAGGTGACGTCGCTTGAACCTGTCAGATGGTGTTGAGGAGAAGAAAAGGAGGAGATTGTAAAGGACAGTGATCTGCCCTGCCCTGCCCTGCCCTGCCTGAGTTGCCGGCCGGTGGTATGGGCTGAACACCTCCGAGACATTCAGACCGGACTTGCGAGAACGCCAGCTACCTTAGTGTCTCAGCAACGTCAAGCCTTGCTGCCGTGCTTTGGCTCGTCTTCGTGTTCTTTCAGTTTCTATTAGCAACGAAACGCCTACCTTAAGATGCAATCGAACAGGATTCTTCCGGAGTAAATTACCTACCCGAGCTACCATAGGTCCTCAGCCGCTCTAACTCCTGAGATAAGAAGTCCAAGGCTCAGCGCAATCAAGTCCTCGTCAGTCTCTCCCAGCTTTGCACTGCCTTCGATGTAACAGTTCCTGCCACGTCGTTCTTTCCGTTCCGCCGATGGAGATGTTGGCTGACGGATCGCATCGTATCGTATCGTATCGTATCGTATCGTATTGTAACCCCAAGAACATACCTTAAGCACCATTTGCGTCTTTTCGGCCGCTTGTTGGTAGCCCGGCAATTCGCAGACTCGCATGTCTTGTGTTGCCAACCTGTTGGGCTACTTGGATAGTGCCGTGGCATCTGCAAATCGCAAAGTCCGCCTACCTGTCAAAGTCTTGTTGCCTTTTACTACCTCGCACCTGCCGAAGCAGTGAGATAACGACAGAATGTAAGGTACCTAGGTAGGAGCAGCCGTTTGCACCTTTGCGGATAATCCGCACGGCAGATGAACAAAGAGGTACGAACCCTTCCTTCCCCCGCTGTCTCGATATTCGAAATTTGCTGTATTTCCTCATAGCACTGAACACTCTGCTTCCTTGGTGCCACTGCCCTTTGAAATGCAGCTCTATTCTGTCTTTGAATCATACCACTAGGACTGCCTGTACCTATCTTCTGCATGTGTTTCACCGTCTCTGAAACAAACTTTTGTACCACCTCTTCCCACTTCTGTAATTTCCTGGTACCACATAAAACTGTGATTATTAGCTGCAAGGTGCGTAGGTGCAGCTGTACCACTTGGAACCTGCGAGGACCCGACACGGGAAGCAACAGGAGAGGGTCAACCCGTCCGCTGAAGAGGGGACTTTCGTACTTCTTCAAAGGCATTTTATGCACTTCGACCGATCTGCTTTACAAACGCAGCCAAAGAACGGCATATGCCTTCTTTATACCAGGTGCTCAAGGGAACATGTCAGAGGTGCACCATGAGGATGGGTAAGTGCCTGCCTCTGCCTACGTCTGAAATGCCTAGACTTGCAACCTATTAGGTATATGAATGTGCTCTGCTTATTCTACGTGTTCTTCTGCCTTGACTTGGTTATTCGAATCCCTTGGAGACGTTGCCACAGACATATATGCGGCCCGGTGAGGTTTGTTTATGTCGAACATACTCTCCAACGTTTCCAACGTTGGGACTTCATCACCAACCAATTAGAACTCCCGTCAGCCAAATATAAACAGCATCACGAGATCTTACGGATGCCGGCTTGATGCCTCGTTTGCTCGCTTTGATTGAGATCAGGCAGCCTGCCTAGTATATCGTCGTGCCACGTGCCGCTGGAGGTGATTCGGCTAGCTCCCAGCCTCGTGCTCGACGATAAAATCCCAATTTCTCTCCACCAACAGCGCGTTCTATTTACAACAACACACACACATTCGTTTTCCCCCTTCTTGGTACAAGACAACCTCCTCGATCTTTCTCGATCGCCTTACGTATCATACTCTTACCTTACATACCCTCACTTCCAACTTGCAATTCGTCTTCAGACAAAATGCGTACCTCTACTCTCCTCACCTTGGGCGCCGCCTCTGGTTTGGCCATGGCCACAGTCATGACAAACACCTTCTTCCAGACCACTACAGTCACCGTTGTTCACTGTGAGCCAACTCACACTGGTAAGGCCCCAGCCATTCTCTCAATATTCACCGTTTTGCCGCGTTCTCCATCCAGCCGCGCCCAGTTGTTGACTTCACCTTTACGCGACCTTGGCTAACCCGACAACAAACAGACTGTATTGGAGGCAGCGTTACCGTCCTCACCACCGTGAGCTCAACTGAGTGCCTCACTACAGTCAGCTCTACTCCAGCCCCAGTTGTTGAGACTTCGCCTTCAACCCCAGCGCCAGTCGAATCGACCCCCGCTCCAGTCCCAACCACATCTCAGGTCTCAAGCTCGGCCGTTGAGGTTCCAAGCACCACCGCTGAGGCTCCAAGCTCGACCTATGTCCCAAGCTCTACCGTTGAGGTCCCAAGTATGTATTCCTTTTGACCTTTGACCACCTTTTGCGCCAAAGACAACTTCGAGCTCCGTGAAAGAATTGTGATGCTGACTCTACGAAGGCTCCACCGCTGTTACCGACTCCGCTGAGGGCGTTCCAAGCTCGACCATCACCGCTAGCATTGTGACTGGTTCCACCGAAGTCGTTTCCTCAACCTTGGCTACCGTTCCCTCCGAGAGCTACGTCCCAGTTACCACTCCAGCCTACAGCAACACCTCTGAGCCCGTCGCTTCGACCAGCTCTCCTACAACCACCACAGCTATCGTAGTTACTACTCCAGCTAGCAACTATAGCCCCACCGTTCCTGCTCCATCTTCTACGCAGACTGGTGTAAGCGGTGCCAGCAATGTGGTTGTCCCTGGCTTCACCTTGGGCCTCCTCGCTCTTGGTGCCTATCTCTTCGGATAAGCTCCTCAATATTTCGATCTCTGGTCGTGCACATGGACGGAAATCAAAGGGGGGTATATGTATTGGGAGGTTTTCGTGTAAGTTATATGGGGATACCTAATGGATGGTGCCATTCTCTCTTCTGTCACTTTGTTGGTCGGAATCCTAATGGAAGGGGAGGGGTTATTGAGATATTATTTGCAGAAGCTTGTTGTTTGTTGAAGGCATTTTGAGTCGCACGGTGGTCAATTCTCCTATCTAGCTGGCTTTTTGCTGAGCGTGGTGGTAGATTATGGCATCGTTGCACAGGCTCTTCCTGAATGCTTTAAATATGGAGAAGTAAATACAAAATACAAAAACACTACAACCCATTATACATTAACCTCACTTGATGACTGCAAGAAACGGTCATGGTGTACTGCGTCGCTCTTTATTCCAGGCCCCAAGTAATCCTTGCTGTTATATGACTTAGATCCCTAGCTAGATATCTCAATGTACGCTCAGTCTGTACAACAAATCCCTTAACAATCCGCCACGAAGCTTTGTGTATGACTTCTTGACCGATCAACGATCTATCGATCTATGGAGAAATAATTGACCAGAGTATAGACGCGCTGTCGATAGTGGATTTCTCGGAATGGAAGCCGATGCCGTGAAGAGTTCCTTGAGATTCTCTGATATGGCCAGCAGTCCAATTCTGCTTTCCATGTGTAATTGAGCTAGAATATAAGTAAGAAGACCTCGAATTTGGAAAAGTAGAGAGATTGCAAACAATACCAGAGTCCAGGAATGAAAGTCTATTTGCAACTATTCTATCCGAAACGCCCGAGGTATCAAATCCAAACAACTCCCACTATCTAGAATATTCTACATCACAAGTTGACAGAAAACGATATCAATTTCATAACTCTTCTTCCAGTCACGGTTTGCAGACTAACCGCTCAGTCTGTCCTCAGTGGACTTGGCGCCTCTCTCCACTATTCCCGATGCAATGAGTACTTGTGTACATGTGCTACCACAGTGTATCGTTTAAATACCGACCCGCAGCAGCCTTTCACTAATATTTCCCGGCTTGCCGTCAACATAATCAAATCCAAGCAGCATGCGATGTTGGCTCTGGTCCTGCTTCGTACCAAAACTTTCAAGTTTGTCCAGGATAGAATCCTGTCGACGTTCGAACTGTTCGAGCTTGCCTGAAACAACCTGGGAGGCAATGGTAACGTTCACAGCAGCAGGATAGAGTGGCTGTGATGCTGTACTTGAGAACTGCAAGGCTTGATTTTGCTGAATAGCGTTGTGGTTGGGTAACCCTTGGATCAATGGTTGCTTCGTATATCCGATTGTGCTTGGGCAATGCGATCTTCCAACGGAGAGATTTGAGCTAAACAAGCGCAGGATCGACGCCATGATGATAGCCAAATCCATAACGAGGTGCGAGAGCACTTCCATTGCCATGTCGACTTTCACCTCCATTCGCGTACCATTCTTTCCTCCAGCCTCTACCTCCATCAGCCCCTCCGTTTCCACCCAAACCGCCGTATCGTTGACCTCTCTTCCCATCCCAGACTCGACTTCTGCTACATTCAGCACTCGAACCTCGATTCCAGTCCACGCTTTCTCGTCGAGGTCGCCTGCCTCTTCCCCGAACAAGGTGATACCTGTCCCGCTCCTCCCTGATACCCTCTGCCTTTCCTTCAGATCTCTCCTCATTCCGCACAAAGCTCATCTCATCCTTCCTCTCCCTGTCCCCGATAACCTTCGTCAATGTCTCAACCATTCCAAAAATATCCCCTTTCAGTACCGCAAGATCAACGTTCCACTCCGTCTTCCTTTCTCTCTCTCTCTTCTTCCTCTTTCCTGAACCGCTGCAGCTCTTCCTCATCCCTTTTCCTCTTCTCGGCCTCTGCTTTATTCGCTACCTCGTGACCAGCATTCTCACTAGCATTCGGTGGCGGATTGACCATCTTCTGCAAGTTGCTGGTAAACTCCATGTCCGATTCGATCCGTCGTTGGATTTCTGCATATTGATTCTTGCTAACGAGCTTTTGAGCTTGTGCTGTAGCTTCTGCTTCTTGCCAGGCGAGAGTGAGGTTGTTTCTCTCTTTCTCTTTGTCCGCTAGTGAAGGGTTTGCTGTTTGAGCTTAAGATGGCGAAGGTAAGCCAGGCCAAATTGGAGGTTGGTACCCTCCCCATGTAGCAATGGGATGTTGCATGTGAGAATCAGGCGGGGGAACTTGTGTCCACTGTAGCACCGGTACATTCACAGGCGGTGGAAAGTGGGTGGTGTTCATTGCGGCAACAATGGCTGAGGCTGAGAGAGTTTGAGGTTGGATGTCCTTGGTGAACTTAGTGTGTTTATTGGATGATTTGGTTCTCTTAGAGATGTAGTGAGGTGGAGCTGGGCTGTTTCGTGGTTGATTGGCCTGGTATGGGCGGTGGACGATCTTCGTGGTCACAACTTTGGGTTTCCGCGATTGCATGGGTGTAGAGCAGGACCGTCGTAGAGGGATGATGCACATCGCACCTCTTGATGAGATGTGAAATGGTAGCAATGATCAATGGAAGTGAGAGTGCAAGATGAGAAGACTGAATGAACTGCTTTCCAGGGGAGAGGTGGGAGGAGACTTGGACAGTGTGCTGCCTTTTCAATCGGGCGGAGAAGAACGAATGGCTTAACTTTTTCCAGAATCAACTAGGAGCTGGGAATATCTTCAGAGAAACTTGTCAGTCACAGACCCGTGACATTAGCCGTCACACCAAGCTCTATAGAAGTGACAATGGTAATGAATGAGAAGATAATCTGAAACGGGACACTGGGACACCTCTCTCTCAGTTCTGCTAAGCTTTTCAGAATGATGTTATCCTGCCATTTGACAATTATCTATGCATCTGCTTTGCAACACGAACGTGGAGTCTAGCATTGTCTAGAATGCACACTCCCGCCAATTTGCGCTTGCTCCGGTTCCAGAAAGCTTAGTCCATTCATGGATTGGCACTGGGTTTTTTTGTTTTCTTTGGAGTGTTTTGCCAAGCCAATTCCAAGCGAAACACCAGCCTTGCCAGGCCATTACACTCCACAACATAATCGTAAAAAAAGAGAAATTTTGTGTATTACAAGTTTCTGGAACTAGCTGGTTCCACAAGGACATTCAAGGCTAACAGGAGACCCGCGTTGAGGTCTTCTCCCGTAGCTTCTGCAAGTATTTCGTACGGACTGGGTAGGTATGTATTCTTTGCCTCCAAGATCTCTGCGTTTCTCTCGCAGGCTACCTCCCATGCAACCTGGGGGCCCCGCGACCGCTTTGCGGAATTTTCTTTTTTGGACTCTGATTGTATCTTGAGCTAGAAACAGAAGCTTCGTTGTCTCCGTGACACATATTCTTGATAACGAAGATCAGGATGTCCATGCACTGTCTCTGCCCACTCTGACAGGTAGAGTTCAAACAGGCAGTCAACTTCTAGACAACCTAGCTTTACGAGGAGCGATTTAGGCTAGTGGAAGCTTCACTGATAGCAGGCTATGCACAGTGGCTGCTATTGTGCAGCCCAGCCAGGCTCCCATCGTTGCGTATGTCACATCAAGACGGAGTCTGATGCTCCAATGGAAAGAAGCTTCAGGGAATGCCCATCGTTTTCACTCATTCGATGACATAGAAGCTGCACCATCTTCTTGTGGCACAAATCTGCGAAATCTTCCCCTGATCAGATCGAACCTTCATGGATTATTGACGGAATCGTGTCTCTGTTGCAGTGTCAGCTGCGTTCTTGACAGAGCTCTACTTCACAGCTTTGATGAGGACTCATTTGCCAGTTTCAACGAGTTTGAAACAATAGCGAGGTGACAACAGTGTCATCATCAGTTATTCCAGGTGCTGAAAAAACCGTAGTCTTACCTCATACCTCTGCTGTTGGGTCAACTTGGATAATCTTGACAATTGGAATGCAATTTAGTCTGAAGCTATATTCGAAGCATGGAAAATCAACAGGAGTCCTTACCCGCCAGGTTGTACAGGAATGGTACCGTGGTCGTGCTGGTCAAACTCTGTCTGATGAACTTCGCCTGAACATATGCTGCACTCTTCCTCATTTACAACGAGTTGTACTTCTGGTGGCTGGAAGACCTGCGCAACGGCGTTTAAAGAGGTTCTGTACGCCTCTCCCAGCAATTGAGGAATCGAATCGAAGGTTGTTCGACGGTCGTGCTTCGAGGAAGGCATCACGACACTTATGACGTCCATCTTTGAAACATTCTGTTGGTCAACAAGTAATTTGCGTTTGGCCGTGCCATCAGGACGAAAGGGAAGGCAGTTGCACTTGCAACTCAGCCATAGTAAGCCAACTTTCAGAAACACCAGGCCGTCCGGTCACAATTCCGTAAGCTAACGTGGCGAATCCGCAGAGCTGGCTGTTTGCTTCTGTCGACAACGCTGGAAAAGGTATATCGAGAGTAATGGGTTCTTTTGCGATGTACTCATCTTTCTTACTCTCATGGCTGCTCCGAAGGTCAGTGTCGTTGATGGAAGTTGGAACCCAAGACGTTCAGCCGAGGCGCTGACCTCACTGCCAATCATTCAGATAAGGATAAACCAGGGTCAACGGCCATGCCACGACATATTCATGCATTGCTGGGAGCTTTGTTGGTCGATACCCTAGGTAGTGAATTCTTTTGCTTAAAAGTAAATGACATGCGCTATGAATAATATTTGCACAGTCAGGAATCCCCCACGCAGCACCTACCTATGCGTTGGGCGGATCCTACCTAGGGATGCTCTCTCCTAATCAACCGCGGTCAGTCAACAGACAACACATACTGAAACAAAGTGCCCGATTTACATCAAGACCACGAGGAACGTCCATCGTCCTCTCCGAAGTCCGTTACATACCCGCAGTAAAACCACAGCAGCAAACACAATAGCAAACAAACCAAAATGTCCGAATCGGCCCCCAAGTCAACGTACTCCAACGACCCCGCGCTCTACCTCTACACCTCTCTGACCTCCGGGTCCTCGCACATCGTCACCGCTACCTCGCGCATGGAGACAATCTTGAAGGCAAATCGCATCCCATTCAAGGCAATCGATATCGCTACAGATGAGAAAGCACGCATGCTCTGGGGCCGGAGAGCAAGGAAGGATGAGTCTGGCCGGCAGAGGAAGATACCAGGACTCGTACAAATGGGCCTTGTCGTAGGGGTAAGATACAGCCCTCCCCAGTTTCAGATACAAATGGCTAACTAGGCTAGGATCTTGTAGAAGTTGAGGACTGGAACGAATATGGAGAACTGAAGCAACATGTTACTATCGTCCCTGTCCCTGGCGCTCCAGTCGCAAAGGTTCTGCCCAAAACCACAGCCGCGCCCGCAAAGGCTCCAGTTTCACAGGAGAACAAGAAGCCCGAATCCTCAACAACAGAGACAGCGAAAGCCTCCGAAAGTGCGAAATCACCTACCACAGAATCTGGTCCTGCCCTAGCTTTGAGAGAGATCGGCCAGCAAGCTGCACAGAAAGCAAAGGAGGGCAAGAAGAAGGTGGTCGAGACATTCAGTGGTGTTGGGCAAGCAGAAGCACCCAAAGAGCCTAAGGTCTCGGAGGAGCTAAAAGATGGAAAGAAGACCGAGAAAGCTATTCCAACTCCTGTCGCTGTACCAGACAAGTCCGAGAAGTCGATCGACACACACACTGTGGATAGTACAGCGTCGATTCAATCGCCCACATCAACAGCCTGGAAAGGAGCACTTGACAAGAGACACACACCTCGAAATTCGGTTGACAAAATCGCTTCAATACAATCACCAACATCTACAGCCTGGAAGCCAACGGACGTCAATCCCCCAATCTTAACGCACAGAGGATCTTCTGTTTCTGAAGCTTCAGCCGAGGAGATCAAGAAGATTGAGGAGGCAGAGAAGATTCCAGAGGAAGACGAGGAAGAGGAAGAGGACGAAGAAGAAGAATCGTCGTCTGAAGAGGATTGATGCATGAATGGATCTATTGGCTTCGGAGTTATAGCTGTATCCAATACCATTTTGTCCAGTTGCCGGTTCATGGTACTTTGGATTTTGAAATCCGAACTCTTCCTGGTCCCCGAGTCACAGTATTTGTAAGTCGATTCACAAGAGCGATGGCAGCTGCCCCCAGTTCTGGTTGGACCTCATCTGCAGGGACTCACTGCTTGGGCTCCAATTATTGCGCAGATCCAACGAACCAGCTCATCGCAGCCGTTTCTACCACATGTACCGCAAACCACCTTCAATTCCTCTTTTCATTAGTGTCTGCGTATTTTACTGCTCTTTGTTACTTCCTGAACCATTTTGCATATCTGGGAGTGGTTCAAGTGTCAACCGCATCCGGCCATTGCACTCCAGTGTCTTTAAGTCGTCCATGAACAATGGATCCCAAGGACTCTTATTCTTCCCCAAACCTGTGTACTTAAATATGCTAGATTCGATTTACTATTTTCTTCTCAATTCATTATCGTCGTACTGTTATCCGGCTCAAGTCCTGCTTCAAGAAATATCGCCAGAATGTCAAGTGATACTGGCTCAGAACCAGAGCCTTTAGAACCTCCCCGTACACTAAGTACCAACGACTTAACCTACGGCGTAGAGCTAGAATTCGTATTTGCATTCCACGAAGACCTAATTGCGTTTCCCAGCAACGCAGAGTATAAAATTGTCAAGAACCTGCCATATGGCACACGAGCACTCTCAAGATTCAGCAGAGTCAACCCAATATTCTCGCCTAACAAGATTTACAACAGCTGGGGAGTCGAGTCTAATGTTCTAGATCCTTTTACAAAAGAGAGGCTCAGCCCTTGGAGGAAAGAGCCGTTACAGATTGTAGCAAATATTCTGAAGCAGAATATTCCAGCATTTGCAAACGCGAGTGCGTCGAGAGATCTGAATATCTTGGATACATTGGATACGGATAATAAGAAGAAACTGAACTGGGATAATAAGAAGCAGTGGAAGATTACTAAAGATCATTCGGTATGCGGTGTGGGATCGGAGAATATAAAGAAATGGCTTCCAGAGAAAACAGTGCAGCATGCGAAATGGGATTCGCTTGGAGTTGAGTTGTAGGTATTGGGGCTTGTACTTTCTTTTTATCTACTCTCATCTTCATTTGTCTAGAGCCATGCATTTTCTTATTCAAGTCTGTCCTCTATGAAAATGCTGACATTTCTTACCTAGAGTATCACCCATACTCAACTCTAACACTGCCCACGACAAAATCCGCATCTCAGAAATCGTCAACGCCCTCACCCGCAAAGAAGCCACTCAAACCGGCGCCTTCATCACCAACCAATGCGGCCTCCACATCCACGTCCAAGGACCCTCAGCCGCCGAATTCCAACATGACCTCAACATGAACGAAGACGACGCCGAGTGGCACAAAGCCAAAGTCTGGCGATACCTCGCCCTGATCCTCCTCGTATACGAGGAAGAAATTGCTCGACTGCACCCACCATGTCGACGACCCGGTCATCCAAACACAGAGTACCAGTTCTCCAGCAACAGGCTAGGGTTCATGAAAGAGGATCTCGGGAATATTTTCCCCAATAGACTCGTTGGGCCTGCAGTCAAGACCACGATAGATGATTGTATAGGGGTGGACTGCTCCACGACAGCTATGCGCAAGAAAGCGTCTATTCCTCAAATCCGCGAGGGTCTGAGTAAGTACTCAGACATGGACGTCGTGGCGCTGCTCAACTGGCCGCAAACTCCTAGGACAGGCGGGAGAGAGAAGATAAACAGACACCTCGGCGACAAAGACCGCCAGGTCAACCTCACCTATCTAATGCGCACGCCGGACCTCCCTCAAACCGTCGAATTTAGACAAGCGAAAGGGTCGCTTAATGCTGAGGATATAAACCACTGGGTGGACTTTTGCATCGGGATTGTACGCCTCGCGTATCTGTATGCTGCTGATCCTGAGAAGTTTCGTGTTAAGAACTGGGAGGATATAAAGTTGCCTGGTGGGGGATGGGAGAGAAATCAGATAGATGTTTTTGATCTTATGAGGGATATGAAGTTGAGTGATGAAGTAATTACGTATTGGGAGGAAAGGGTGGCGAGGTGGATGGCATATACGAAGGGGGACGAGAATGATAGATTAGATGATGAGGTTCGGCCGCAAGGTTTTGTGAACCTGGAAGTGGGGGGTTTTGAGTAGCATGTCGGAGTGTGGTTGTATTGGATAGAAATTTGTTTTGTTGTTTAGGAGTCTGTCTTTGAGGATCTTGGTTCGCTTTCTGGTTCAGTTTGGAGAGATACTGGCGTGGAGTATGTACAATCGTTCTGGATACATTTATCATACCTTGGATGGCACTGCAGATAGCAAAGCCTAGTATAGATATCCAGGTCAAGAAAAGCGACTTCGAGTATGCTAGGTTACAGGTTCAAGGAGCGGAGTCAAATTTGTCCATTGTCTACTAGGTACGCAGAGGAGAGATGCACAAACGAAACCCCGAAGTGATTATCACCACACGCCATCCTATTCAACGCCAGATTACTAAATCTGCTAATCTATTGTAATCACAGCCAGACACTACCCATCCCCGTCGTCCCTTGGGTCCAAGCCTTCCCACAACCTTATCATCAAATCATCGCATCATTCCCCTCATCCAATCCGTCAACCAAATCCAACCAATTAAACAGGGTTCCGTCCCTCAAGTTCCTTTCCATTATTCACAAAGGCTTCCTAGCCCACCCACTAACAGTCCTCCATCCTCCGCCACAGGCTCTCCCCTCCTCCAAAACCTCGGCCACACTCTCTGCCTTGCCCTCAACAGCACCAGTCTGAACCGCGCATCTTTGAACCCACTTCTCCCAAGCCCAGCCACCGACAATACCACAGATGCTAGCAGCATTATCCGTGCTGCCCGATACCATCGCCTCCAGCTCGAGGTTAACCTCAACTCCCATACTATCTCTTGTAATGACCGACAAATCTTTCTGCTTCCTTGGTGCCACTCCCATGGGTAGGAAGACCCATGCTCTCTTGATTTTGACGAAACCCGCTGTGTTGAGACGAGAGATGAAGAGCTTTGTTGGCGTAGGATCATAGCCAAGAGTCTTCAGGTTGAAGCCGAACTCAACACTCTTAGCGAGGCCAAGGGGTCCGGCGTTGATGATATCGGAATCCATGACGCTGAACTCGAGGTATCCGCCTGGCTTGAGCACACGCATACATTCCTTCAAACACGCATCCCACTCGTCTTGACCGTTTGGTGCCTGCTCTCTCAAGATAGTGTAGATCTCTCGGGCGGAAATGAGATCGAACTGGCTGTCTTTGAATGGTAGCCTGACCAGACGCTCAACAGCAACATTGCGGTGGTTCTTTGGGCCCCGAATGTTGGAGTTGGAGAGTTGGCGGAGGGCTTTGGTGGTAATAGTGTACACCTTTGTGTTTGGGTACTCGGTCGCACAGTGCCATGCCCAGTCACAAGTGGCTTGCCCTCCGAGATCAAGAATACGAGCACGATCGCGAGGAGTACCATCCATCTTTGGTCCCATGGAAGACAAGCGAGCAAGTCGCTTAGCAACCGGGGCAGCGATCAAGCGACCACCGTTGAGAAGCTTGACAGCCATGACGTTCCAGTTTGCAGCAGCCATTTGGGTAGAAGCTTCGTATTCTCTATCGCGCTTGAGCTTCTCTGGATCCTCCGGGGCAATCTCATCACCACGAGCAACATTTGCTGAGAGGCGGCGCTTGGCACTCATTGGAACGACACTGAGTTGGTACTTGCCAAGAAGCTGAGCTCTGTGAGCAGCAGGGAACGAAATGCGTTGGGCTTGAAGAGCTTCGAAGCGAGGAAACCGATGGATGAAGGTGTCTCGGTATCTGGATCGAGCGACAAAGTGCTGAAATGCACGGTAGTAGGCCGACTCTTGACGAGTAAGTTTGGGAAGTGGGCAGGCGATGTCCGTAGAAGTAGACACGATCTCGGAGAAGCGAACAGTCTTGCGTGGCGGGGATTCTTCAACTTGGCTCTGGCTCTTTGTGCTTGCAGCACGCTTGAGCAGAGTAGCTTCATCACCGTGTTCCTCAGTAGGATTGATGAGCTCGGAAAGATACGAGGATTGAGCAGTCAGCCACATGCCAGTTCTGTCCAAGTTGGCGACGGAGACATCGTTCAGCTTCTCGGCGTAGCCAGCAGCATAATCGGTAAGAATCTCGTCGGCGACAATTTCCTCATCCATGGGAGAGAAAATGTTCAGACCGGTGATTGTCTCGTCGGAATCCTCATGCTTGAGTTCCGGACGGATTGTCAAACCGGAATCGAGCTGAGCCAAGTTAGGTCTTGCGGTAGGAAGGCCGTCGGACGTTGTCTCAGAGCTCTCTGAGACCTCAACAATGCGTTCGACAGGAGCCGAAGTCCATGGGGTCTTGTAAAAGTGCTCAGCAGTAGTCGAGGAAGGCGGATGGGCTGAGTCTGGAGTGCAGGCAACAAGATGCCATGTGTGGCGTGCACCCGGAGACAGAGCAGAGAAGAAGCCTCCTGGAGATGGGATCTCCAGTCGAGTAAGACTATTCATTGATCTCTGCTGTTCTGGCGAAAGAATTATGGAGTCGTTCCGATGAATACTGGTGACGAGCGGTGGGAGACTCTGCTGCATCTCTCGTGCGGGCGAGACTTCCGGAGTAATGTGAGTCAATTCAATGACTTGTTCCGTCTGGTGCTCGAAAACATAATCTCCCCCAGAAAGTGCTTGCAAAGTGGCCATAGCAGCAGGTTGTAGTTGAACGCCCCCTCCCCATTCATTTCCATCTGCTTCACTGCTGTTGCCAATGTCTGGAGTTGGTGGAGCAGACATCTGAGCCATTTGGTCGGAAGTGAAACTGCCATCTAGAGATGGTGGAGCGGAGCAAGATGGCACTTCTTGGGATTGGAGATAGGAGAAGATCGCAGGAGACATTGGGACCTTCGGGGGTGGTGTGGGTGGGACTGGTGAGGTCAAGAGTTTGAACGCTGCAACTCCTGGCCATGGGTCGCCTTGAGAGGATGGGATGACAAGAGCAGGCAGAGAACTTAGAGAACTTCTCGTGGTGCTCGAATCAGCAGATGATCTATTTGACTTGGTTGTTGTTTGCCGAGCACTGTTTCTTCGAACAAGATTCTTCCTTCTCCTTGTCTCTTCGTCTGAAGAAACATCATAGAGATCGTCGAACTCAGTGGCCTCGGTTGTGAAGCTATCCCGGGTCCATGGAGCTGAGGATGGTGACGGAGAGATGCTGCCAGCATCTGACGAGTCATCGGATTGTGGAATAGGTGCAGACATGAAATGGTTTCCTCGAGGGGTTGGAAAGTGATCACTGAGAGGCGAAAGCCATTCTGCCATCTTTGGAGAAATATCTCGTCCCCTGTGCACCTGTATGAAGGAGGAGCCTCGCGTAGACTCCACGTCATCTTCTTCAATTATAGTCTTTAGAGACCTTCGTCGCCTGCGAGCCTGCACAGGCGAAGGAGGCCTGTACGTAGTAGCCGGAAGTAGATCTAAAGTACCCATTTTTGTCGAGGCAGTGAGCGCCGGGTGAATGCTGTTGCGTCCTGCTCGATAAGAAAGTATTTTCGGATAATTGGGACGACCAGCGTCGCTAAATTAAATGGTGGTATGGAGTTTGGTAAGAGGTAAGAAACAATTATAAACGATAGACTGCTTCGATCAACGAAGACTTGAGAAAACAGCAAACAACAGCGACGGCGACGGCGACGGCGACGGCGATAACACTGCGGGACAGAAACGAAATGACAAAGAGGTAGTAACCCACTCAAGTTTCCCGGGTGGCATAGATGTTTATACAGCAACCAGCTCGAGATGCCGGCGCGAGGGTATGACTGGCTAGCGCTAAGAGTCCGACAGAGGCTTGGAATTGGCTATCGGGTCCCGGATTGGGCCTGCAGCATTGAGTGGGAGTGGGAGTGGGAGTGGGAGCAGGACGCAGAGCAGCTAGACGCGCTCACTGGGCCGAGTCTATCGTCGTCAGTCAGTAGTCTCCTGTCCTCCATGTCCTTCCTCATCTCATGCTGCGGTGTGCTGTGAAGTCCTGGCTGGCCCCTCCAAGAGACATGCGTGGAGGCCCAGCAGAGAGAGGTTCATCATGCTATTGCCAATGCAGCGTTGACATGCGTGAGACGGCAGCCAATCAAGGCCTGCACTGGGCTCTTATGCGAACCATGGCCGACAAACAATCTCTGTAGCCAAAATTAGCATCGAGGATCGAGGGTTGTTGGCATGGCGCGCGCGAGATGGAGTGGCACGCTGGCAGCAGAGTGGGAGGTGGGTGTGGGTGTGATTGGCGCTGACTTGCAGATGCACCCTGCGAATGACAACCTGCAGCGGCAACCCTCATGAACATCGGCGCGTAGAACGAACTTCGAGAACAACTGCAGCCACTCACATGCAGGAACAAGGGAGGGGAGGCTCAATTGTTCGCTTCCATTCCGACGCCAACCCACTTTGTACTGTGAAATGAAATGGCTGTACGGAGGTATTACTGTACAGTACGGACGGTGTGATGCATCTTGGTGACCCCGGGACAGACCTTCGTCCGGAAATAGATCTGATCCCACCAGGAGAATATTGAAAGTCAAAATAGGGGACTGTGCCGTGGAGAGGCTGGTATGAATGGTGATAGTACGGGGCAATAGTTTGACGTTGGTGGATATTTGTTTTATATTGAAGGTTGGGCGCCGTGTTAGAACTTAGAAGTTGAAAGGGCATTGAAGGTTCCATTAGCGTAGGTAAACGTGACCTTCTTGGGACTTAAGCTTTCGGACTAAGGTACTTACCTACCCTTAGGGATCGAAACAGCAGTTTCCATCACGGTAGAAGGACGCAGAAATTGGATATCACAATGACAGCAGATACCTACCTAGGTAAGTTCCTCAATTGGCAGCTTATTTCTATGTGAGTGTCACGTGCTAAAGCATAATAAGGTACCCTGCAATGCCCTCGGCCGGAAGGAGGGAAGCGAGGGAAGGCTGCTTCAGAAATCTTGTACTGAATCCTCCGGCCTTGTAGGCAGCATTTTCTGCTGACTAGTCAATTAGAACCAGGAGCCGGAGTATGCGTTGTCCAAGTGCTATGTTTCTGCTGGACAATTACCACCCTTCCATTAAGCGAGAGCGGGCACTGTTTATCCAAGCAAACCCACCAACCGAGGAAACGAGTCAAATCAATTTCGCGTCAGTGCGTAGATGCTTCTGAGAAAGTATGCAACTTTCAAACACTAATCACGACAACAATAATTATCATCACATCCAATCAAGGCAGCGCTCTAAACCTGAATACCCAGCTCCTTCCCAATAATATCCGCCGCCTTCTCCCCAACCGTTAACGCGGTATTATTCGTATTCGCACCCACGTTCTCGGGCACCATACTCAAATCCGCAACCTTCAGCCCCTTTGTCCCATAAACATTCAAGCTTCCATCCACCACACCCCCCTTACTCCTCTCCTTCATTGCACAAGTGCCAAGCGAATGCCACGTCGTGTTCAAATTACCTCTAATCCAGTCCTCAATCGCCTTGTCATCTTCAGTGCTGTACTCAATATCCTGGATATTGCCACCCAAGCTACCGCTTTGCAGAGCGGCTTTAGACCCCTCTGGGAATTTCGGGTGTCCGAGTTCGAGCTCGCCTTGGTAGTAGGGAAGACGGCGAGCGATCTCCCGGGACATCTTGTAGGCCCAAATCTGTTTCGCGAGATCGGATGGCGCATTCAGGAAGCCAGTGTCGAAGTCGTAGCCGTTGATGACGTCCTCCTTTGAGTTGATGTGGATGGAGCCGCGGGAGAAGGGGTACGCGGTGTAAGTGCCCATTGTGATATACTGACCCGGTTCGACGAGAGATGGATCTGCGAGGAATGCGTTCACCACACCACAGAGCATGAGAGGGCGTGTGGGGTAGTTGGCGAAGAATCTGTCCCAGTCTTTCTTGAACTCTGGGCCCATTTGGGCGATTTCTTTCTCACTTGGGCGAAGCTTGGCGCACATATCTGATTTTTGTTAGAGCTAATTCGGTAGCATCAAGACAGTCGCGACTCACCGATTCCATTCCAGCCAAGCATAGGATCTTTCTCCCCAAGAGCCTTGACGAAGTCCTTGCGCCCACTGAGTATACCGTCAAGAGTCTCAGCCTCATCAAGATTGGACTTGTAAGGATACAGTAAGAGGTGATGATCTTGATAGCTCTCACCGACGCCTGGAACGTCAGCGACCACTGGGATATCGAGCTTCTTTAGAATTTCAGGATTGCCAACACCAGAGCGTTCAAGGACTTGAGGCGTGCCGAGTGCACCAGCAGTGACGACTACGAGCTTCCTAGCCTTGATAGTCTTATGAACGGGCTTAGAAAGAGCCAGCTCGGGCTGGTGCTCGGCATTGGGCTTATACTCAATGCCTATGGCGCGGGGTGGAGAAGATTCGTCGAACAGAACTCGGACGACCTTGGACTCAAGAAGGACGTGGAGGTTTGGGTGTTGTCCGTCTTGGAGGAGGGGGTGGATATAGCGATGAGCAGCATCTTGTCTCTTGCCATCCGGGCCAACGTATCGGTGCCATTTCTGCCAAGCACAGATAAGTATACCAAGCGACATACGAGATGTGTGGGAGAATAGATACCGAGAAACCTCCGTTGGCCTCGAGGTCTTGCAAATCCTCAATCACGTTGTACCCCATCTTCTTAACAGTATCACAGAATTGTTTCTCACTCTTTCCCCTGTATCCACCATCTGAGATGTGAATCGGGCCGTCGTGTCCGTGCTTGCTCTGGTCGATATTGTCGCCCTTGGGATGATAAGTCTCGAGCTTGTTGCTGAAGTGGTGCATCTCCTTTGAGCTCCAGCCTTCAGTTTCCCAACTATCAAAATCAATGCCTATACAAGTTGAATGTCAGTGTTATACTTCTGAAAGCGAGGGCTGTAACTAACCTTGAGCACGGGTATACATCATAAAGTTGATCGACGATCCGCCTCCGAGCATGCCACCCATTGGCACGATTGCCTCGCGTCCATTGAGATGTTTTGACGGCTTGGCCTTGTAGAATAGTGCAGTCTTGCTGTCTGGAGCGAGGTGGCTCAAGTAGACAGCTGGGTTCGTTACTGTGGGGTCATTGAAGTTGTTGCGGCCTCCCTCGACCAAGAGAATCTTCAGATCTGGATTTGCTTTTGCAAGTCTGCCAGCGGCAACACATGCTGCTGTTCCACCTCCAGCAAATATGATGTCGACCTCGCCAACTGAATCGTTGTAAGTGGACATTGTGAAGTTTCAAGATATGTGAAATAAGACTGAAGCAGAACAGAGGATAGTAACTTAAGCATCACAAGATTTAAATCTAAGGTGATGGGAAAGAATGGGTTTCCTACTTATATCAACGACTTACACCCCTCAACATCCCAAATAGGACAAGTCCATGTTACCCCTCCTTCCCTGCACCCGGATGATGCTTTCCTGGGTCTTGATGGGAGCTTTGGTATGCGTTGGTGCCCTTGCAAAATGGATCGCCGCACACTTCTGCATGCCCAGCCAGTAATACCCAGGGGCAAGCAAAGCTCCAGCCTCAGTACGAGTAGCTCACTCGGTACGCTTTCTGTGGGGTACCCAAGTACTCGCTTTCATTGTTGCCTGCAGTACGGCAACCTTGACGTCTTGGTCGACTCCTCATAGCGAGGAGGCTATCCGGTTCCACTCCCCGAAAACTATGGACATCAAGCAAAGCATGAGCATGACTACCAAATCAGCGGAGTAAGTGAGGCATATGGAATCATTCTTTTTGTTCACTGTCCCCTTCTGTAGATGCAACTGATACGAAGCTGATTAGTGGGAGAATGGGAAGGGATGAGGTGGCGACGGGAATACCTAGGTAAGTACTCTTGTACTGTAGATTCGTGAAGAGCAATTGCAACGCACCTGAACGTCTTCCGGCATTAACAGATGCGGGGACACCGTGGGGTAAAATGCACTAAGTGTGGATCTTGGAAGCCGAGGCTAGACGGGAGTCAAGATAGCCAGGGCATGGAAGGATTCCAGGTTGTGAAGGCGGAAATGGCCCGCGCAACCCGCAAACCGGACCCAATATCTGGAACAATGGCCCAATCTTTGCTTCGGCAGGGAGGAGGAAGGAGAAATGGCGAGTCATGTTCAAACGCCCAGTAGAGATTAGTGTGACTGGCTAGGGGGAGAACTTGAACTTCTGTGCACCAGACTTGTGTGCCTGTAGGAGAGGTATCCAGTGAGAGACTCAACCTATTTGAGAACTGGACATCAGATCGTTCGAAACACCCAGTGAATTGCTAGAGTACTGTACAAAGGGTCCCAAGAAATCAAGCCACCGCCAGCCACTTAACAAGCCTTCTCCGTCCCAAGCCCACGATCTAAATGCGAGTGCTGCCGTGTCTAAGCAACAAGCGGAAGGGAAGAATCGAGACAAAGCGCTGGCCCGCTTCGTTGTAGATCATATCAACGATAGCAATGACCAGGTATAGCTAGCAACAGCCAACCTAACGCCGCATGAAAGGAGAACCGGAACAAAAACAACCATTGAACAAAACATGGCCTATCCGCCTATTTCACGGAGACCCCAAACGCCTTGAACCTTATGTACTAGTCGCGGGGCGGCAACAGAGAACCGAAAAACTCCCCATCATGTGTATCTACCGAGCCCAAAACACCGAAAACACACCCCAAAACCCAAATCACCCGTTCTTATCATTCAGATCGTTCCATCCAGTCGTAATCTTGGTCTCCCTCTCACTTATACTGGAAGTCGAGAACACCTAAGCCGCAGGCGCTCTTTTCAAAGTCATCATCATTCTCTCAACCAGGGTCGTAGAATCCGCCGGTACATCCGGAAAGGCCCGAAGCTGCAAATTTTGATCCGTCGGCATTAAACCCGCTTCGGAACCCTGTGAATGGATGGTCGGAGGCTGGAAATATTGCTGATGTGGATACAAAATCTTGCCCTCTTGAGGTGGTACTCTTGGAAAGTTTTGATGCTGCTGATGAGAAGGCAACACTTGGGGGCCTGGCCCAGTAGTCGCATAGTGGGGCTGATGCGGCTGCTGAGAGACGGGCGGCTGATTCAACGAAGGCGCAATCGTTGAGGCAGTTGAATATTGCTGAGGAAGAGGAGTTTGACCTGGTGATTCGGTAGCCAAAGAAGGAGTCTGTATCTGTCGTTGCGAAGTAACAGCATGATCTGGTGATTTTACAGCGACTGAATGGGGTTGAAACTGTTGCTGTGTGACAGCAGCGTGGTCTGGTGACTTGCCAGCAGCCGAGTTGGGCTGCAACTGTTGCTGAGGAGAGGCGAGTTGCTCTGGAGACTTCTTGTCAACCGGGCGAGGGGTTTGGTGTTGTTGCTGCGCGACAAATGGCTGGTCCGGCGACTTTCTAACAACGTCCGCGGGCGGGCGTTGTTGCTGTGAGACGGGCTGCTGGGCCGAAGTGCTCCTCATCACTGGTGATGAATGTGAGTGGTAATGTGGGTGAGAAATTGCTGGCCGAGCGCTTGGCAGCGCAACACCTGGGTGATGGCTATTGATAAAAGGCGAGGCTTGTGAGGCCGCAACGTTCTGCTGAAGAGGTTGCGTGTTGTGGTACGGATTGTGAGATTGTTGCTGGGAGTAATATCGAGCCTGCTGGGGCGTGGAAAATGGCTGGTATGGGGCTTGCAATTGAGTCGCAGTCCTATCGTACATTGCCGGAGGCTGAAGAACAGAGCCCTGATAGTGAGATGATTGAGAATTTTGTGTTGTGGGTGGGTACTCGTGACGAACCATCGAATTGTACTCTTGTCGAATCGCTGGGTGCAGTTGAGAACTGTCCTTTTTCGGTGGAGCTGTGGCCCAGTTTTGATTGTGTACGGGCGCGGGTGCAGGTGTGCCGGAACTACGATGGGAGTTGTATGCGGTTGGTGACTCGGTGGAGTACGACGACACCGGTGATTGCGAATTTGACTGTGTTTTCAAACTACTGCCAAGCGTCGATATGCTTGACAGGGGTGTACTTACACGCCCAGTGTTCTGTCGGAACATTGTCTGCTGCAAATGGGCCTGTAGACTGCCCTGGTAACCATTCATGAATCCGCCACCTGGTCTGTACGGACTTTTATATTCCAGTGGCGACCTATTATGCTCTTTCTGCAGGTACGAGTACTTCGCGAATGGATTTGGTCTTGAACTGGAGCTTGGAGGCCTGCTCCCAAATGGATTCATTGGCCTAGGTGCTGGGGGTTGTGGAGGACGGTAAGATGGATACGATGCAGGCATGGAAGCTCCAACACGCGGAGGAGCCATTGCATTTGCGGGTCGTGGTACAGCTGCTGGAGGTCGAGATGTTGCTAGTGAAGGCGCAGGTCGTGCAGTTGCCATGTGAGGTGAAAGTCGTATGTCCGAGCTCATACTTGCAGCAGGCGGATTACTGACAGTAAACTGGCCTGAGGCTCGCGGAGGGTCAGCCTGTCGATATCGAGGATCAGTGCCAAAGGCGTATGGAGCTGGGACTGATCGTTGAAGGAATTTTTGCTGATCAACGTAAGCCTTTGGATCAATGCTATACATCTCACCGCTGCTGCGAGGCTTGTATACATATGGCTTCTCTGACCTGACAGAGTTTGCAACAGGCTGGGGGGGTCTAATCGGCGCTGTCTTGGAGATGCTCGACGCATTGGGGTTCAGATTCGAAGGATAAGTGGCACTATATGATTGCCGTGCTGCAACCGGAGCTGGCTTTGGGATGGTGTCGAGGAAGTGACCCTTGGGGTTATGTCGAGGATTTGCAGGATCTTCTGTAAATTGTGCCTTGGCTTCGGTTGAATTCTTTCCAAGATAGAACCATATTTGGTTTTCTTTGCTGAAGTCGACCTTGACTTGAGCAGGGTTGCGTTGAATCTTCTCGGACTTGAACTCAGCCCATGTAGAGCCTTCGACAAATGGATCATCTGCTCTTGGTAAATCATCAGCTTGACGCTTAGATGTGTTAAGCGATTCTTTGTCCTTGAACGATTTAGGCATGGGGATAGCCTTGGCTGATGGCTTCTGAAGACGTCGGTCTGCTGGATCTGGGACAAGAAGCCACTTGTATTCGACTTCTACTCGGTCACTGCAACATGTTAGCTTGAAATTAAGGTGTGTACTTATCATCACCTACCCTCTCGGAAGAATATCAACGAGTATCATTTCCTCGCTGATTCTATTTTCGACGACTGCCCCGGCAAATATATCGCCCTTGAAATATTGCATCTGGCACACATCCCCAGGCTTTAAGTCCAAACCAGCCTTCAGAAGACGCTTGTCCTCGCCGAGGGTGTCACCATCCATCTTCTTGTCTCGCTTGGAGCGGTGAAAGCGGCAGCTGAAGTCGATGCCCCAGTCTTTGTACTCGGTCCCGTCTTCACCAAAAACAGGGATTTCGCCTTGCTCAACAAGGACACCAGCAGCTGCAGCGCAGGTCGCATGGTATGCTCGTGTGCACTTCTTCTGTGAACATTGGAAGCATGCTCCTTTCTTTGATCGACAGTAATTGCATTTGAGGTCGAGACGGGCCTTATCAATGTACTGGACATCAACGATAGTATCTTTCTCCCCAGACATAATCGATGTTTCAGGGATGTACAGAGCACACATGCGGTGTGCTTTCTGACCATCTTCGGTGAAAAGTAAGGGCTCCGAAGGTATGTCGTTGGGACAGAGGATACATGGCTCTCGAGTCGGCGCCTTGATGCGGACACGGATCCGCTTGACGGTAGAGTTGGGGTTGCCGGCCTTATCGGTGGTAGGTCTCTTGCGCTTCTTATTAGGAATTTTGAGTTTGGTACTGCCATTGCTTTCTGGTGGCGTTGGAAGATTCGCAGCTTTCGCGTCCTCCTCTTCGTCTTCTTCCTCTTCTTCGTCATCTGTTTCCTCATACTCGGTTTCTTCGCCTCTTAGCTTCCGGTCAATCTCGTGTACATCGATCCAGACGCTGTCTTGAGCTTCGCTACACTCGCACTTCTTGGCAACACGTCCGTACTCGAGCCACGACTCCAATCCAAAGTTGACGGCCTCGGCACAGTTATAGCCCAAGTTATAACCTGAGTGGTAGCCGTATGGGAATGTGATGACAAATTCGCCAGGATGGTGAACAATTTTGTTCACTTTGATATTGTAACTTGACATCAACTGGGATGGTGAGATCAGGAAAGTTTTGTGTCTCAGAAATTGATCACAGGCTTTGGCATCTGTTGGCCAGATACTCTTCATGGCCGCCTCGAATCGGCGTGCGTCTCCTTGGGAGATACTGTACCACTGTTTCGGTGCCCCAAAGTGAAGATAATTGATACTGTAAAGGTCGACGTCTTCAAGATGCCAAGCAAATGTAGCCTTCCACATACCCAGGTACAGGTACGCAGTGTTGACACCTGGAATCTTCGAGCCTAGAACGTCGAGGATATTGTCCAACTTGCCCAAGTTCCAAGTCGTCGTTCGCTCATCGAAAAGTGTACCAGGCATGTCTGCACCATAGAGAGGTGGTGCATACGTGAGAGTTTTCCAGTAATTTCTCTCAAGCTCGTCACAGCGTTCCTGACTGTAGTCCTCGCCTTCTAGCTCATACTTGAAGTCTTTGAAAGCAGCTTCATCCACGACCCCTGTCTCACGTTTGTTGTTCTTGCGTCTTGAAGAGACGGAGATTGCCTTGGGCTGTCTTCCTCCCATTCGCCTCATTGGCGTATCGTACTCTTCTTGCTCAAGCTTGACAGAGTCATTGTCGTCCTCTGCTTTCATGATTGGAGATACCGGGGTTGGAAGACGATCCGGGGTACTGGTGCCATCATTATCGACGTTTCCAGATCTCGACTTGTTCTTTGGTGGCCTTCCTGCGCCCTTCTTCTTCGCTCCGCCAGTTGAAGCTTTGGGCTTTGGTGAAGGCTTTGGAGGCTTGTCTTGGTTGACCCGTCTCTCGCCTCTCTTTGCAGGAGGTTGGTGCTCACTCTGCTCGCATAATTGGCGCCATTGTGGCAAGTTGTAGGAGCGTTGATGCACAATATTCGCCTGTCGATATGTTCCTCCTGTGCCCATAATGTCTTGCTTGATTGGCTCCTTAACCCTAACTGTCTTGATAGCCTCATCGAGTCGAGGTTGCGCGGCAACCCATTCCGGCGGCGGGATCACTTTTACAATTCCACTTCGCATGCCATACTTATTTATAGCAGCCATCTTTATCCATATTAGTCGGTGGATTCCAATGACTGAACGTTGAGGAGAAGGACTGGCAAGCGCGAGGATATACTAACGTATCGTGTGAAGTCTGCGAACTCGTCCATGGTAGGTTTGAAGACTGGCACTCCTCCAGACGAAATATGATCAGGTTCAACCTCCAATATCTCGGTCATGTCAACGTCCGGTTCCAGGTCGGATAGCTCAGAGTCGCTGCCACCATCTTTAAGGGCAGAGTTTGAATCGGGAGGCGAGTTCAGGCCGACCGGTGCAGCTTGTGGCGCCGGAGCAGCCATCGTTTCGGCTGACATGTTTTAATTCTTCATACGATCGAGTTCTGCGACGATTTGGCGGACGGGCAATCTGCCTTGAGTTGAGTTTGGTCGTAGGGGGGGTTGACGTAGGAAGGGGCAAACTGTCGGGGTGACGATCGTTCTACGCGAGAGAACACTCGCAGAGGTTTTTGAGTCGTAACCAATTCCTATCGCAACTGTACTGATGTCAGGCGCATTGGGATAATTATCGGATTGAGTCGTCGTCGATGGGTTGTTGGACTTGAAAAGGAATCGAACGAGGAATCGGACGACGACCTGAGGTGCGGTGCGGTTCATGCTGGAGCTAAATTGATCATCGTGGGACGCTAACCTTATCTGCGCATGCGGTCGCGTATCTTTTGGATCTTTTGGATCTTTTGGATCTCTTGCACTACTCCTCCTCCTCCTCCCTCATCTCGAGCGATCTTCCTATGCGGAGTTCTGGCAATCTGACATTTAGTTCAGACGTCCATTATCATCCTCTCCTAAGACCATTTCTTGCGCGATGTTCTGCTATTGCATTGCTGGCTGCACGATTTCAGCTTTTTCCACATTGCCACATGCACGTCTAGAACAACATCCCGAGGCAAAAGTTCTCCATACTGCCCGACAAGGTCTCTGGACAGCTTCAAAGCCGCCCTTCAAAGCCGCCCTCCCAGGCGGCTCAAACGAATCTCGTGAATCAATTTATAGCAATCCATATAATTGTACAGCGGGGTTTTGAGTAAGTCTGTGGTTTCTGTGTACCCAAATGTCCGAAAGAATAAAGTGCTTCTTTCTCAATCATGACCCCTTCCTGGTAAACCATTACCGACAAGTATATCCTAGATCGGATCTCGTTGTTGATTGTTTTTATCAGATCCGATTGCGTTTGGACCAGGTGGAGCAATGAGGCTCATTCCTCCTGCAGGGGCTAGGTTGGGCCATGCGGGTGTTGAGACTTGACCCGACACGCGTCGAAGCTACACTGCTACCAAGCAACTTATTTCTTTTGTCGCCGCAGCTCATTGCTCCGACCAACCCTTCGCAAAGTATCTCTATCATCGCTCCGTTCACTGGCGCTTGTGAGGACATCTTACTCGTTTGACTGGGCTTCTGTCACGATGGCTCCATGAGCTTGTTCATCTAGGTGAGCCCAAGTAGAAATCCGCTTTTCAAGCATGATGAAGAAAGCATCGTGGGCACTTGCATGCCAATTGAAGGAATTATGTCTGGTAGACCATCCAGTGACTCTGCAGCCTTCAATCTGACCAGTTCACCTGGTTCCTCGGAAGTGTCTCAAGAGCTTTACAGTTTTTCCTTATCCGTGGTTACCGTCAAGATCATCAGGGCAATCGTGTCAGACGTCAGGATAAGCTTCATCAGCTTTCCCCTGATTGCCCAAATGAATTTTCTGCAATGCATCTGCCCGCTCTCCCGCGCGGGTCCTTGTGGTCCACCTATCAGGGGCAATAGCAGACGCCAAAGAAAACAAGGCTTGTGATGCAACATTGCTTAGTGATGATCCCTCAAGAATGTAGTGGCGGTATCTGTTATGTCCCCTCGGCTTACTGCCAGAATAGGCTTGTCCAAGAACTTGGATGTCAAGCAGCTGTTCCCCTCCCTCTCTCTTCGTTATCCTCTGTTTCTGATCTTGTGGCAGAGCTTCGCTGACAGAATTTTCGTCTTGTAGATTCTGCGAGACGAAGCTGGTAGGTGTGCACTTTTAACCTCAATTGTTTACCCTGAGAATTCATCCAAGCAGATGGTTAGATCTTGTCTCATATGCAATTGCGCAGCCATTTATCATCGTATCTGAGAAAAGAAGCGAATGGAATTTGGATTATTGAGTACTGCTAGCTTCTTCCTGTGCATCTCGATCACGGCTGCCACTGCCTTGAAGTGCCCTAGATGCAAATGAGCGAATACTTATCGATGCTTATGCGCTTATGAGCTTGTGGAGGCAAGAACATCCCTGCTGATTTTCATTCTGAATCTTTTCATATTCTGTCCCTTTTGTCCTTATCCAAACTTGGTATCTGAAGAGTTGACCAGATAACGAAGTAAGACTCGGCACCCAGACCGATAAGGGCTGCCCAAAGATAGCAGAGCCCACCTGTCAAACGTCTGAATAAACAACTTGTAAATAAACATTATCGCCGTTGGTATTGTGAAACAGGCAATGAGGAGTCATATCAGTGTGATTTACTTGTTCGGTATTTACCTTTTTGCTTTTAGTCACATGCTTTGCTACGCCAGGTAGCTCAATTCCAAGTGGCACCTATTTGACGAGCCAGACAGACAATTTCTGATGAAATCACTATTATGATGCTTGTTCATTTCACACCGTACAATCTTTTAAACTAAGTTGCTTGCTGACAGTATTATTCTCTGTTCAGATAGACATTCTCACAGGGACTCCATTACTGAGCCTTCGCTTACATAAACTTCAGCGAAACTTGTTGGCGAAAGAAAGTCGTATCATCGATTAAATACTTGCAAGTCACAAGACTTACTATTTGAAGATCGCAATCGTTCCAACAGGGTGGCAAGCTCTCCAATTGCTTTTGTGCACTAAGCTGTTGACAAGACGTTGTTGGGACCAGTTCTGAACAGCCGATGCTTCCATTGGGGCAAATTTGCTATGGCGGATAGGGTCAAGCACCTTTCAATCAAAATTCAAGTGACAATGATTCGGGGACAGCTGTCACGGCACAGCCGAACTCAAGAGAATGTGAACTTGACCTAGACGAATTCAAACAGGCGAATTGCAAGCTATGTAGCGGTGAACATGTATCCAGGCACCGATCGGCGGCAATTATGAGCCGTTTTGAGATACAACTATTTGCTCATATTTTCAAGCACAAGTTGGTGCAACAATTCGCTCGATGTTTCCTCATTTCGACGGCTATATTGATCTTTGCCAGTTGGTCCATGGGTGGGCCTCCATTTACCCAGGAGATCTCGCCTTCAAACTTCACCCTGAAATTTTCTTTTCCGTTTTCGCCGGGGCAAATTATTCTCATGCTTACTCTGTGAGGTTTATCCAGATTAAGCTGCATGACCACAATTTTTCTGCAATTTAGAGATCTCCTACGATCTTCCGCTGCTCTGGTGGCCTGTTCTCCTGAGACTCGATGATTGCCACTACCTTAAATTGAGGCGATTAAGAATGTGTCAGGTATTGCTACCTATGTCTTTGTGGGAGAATATTTTGCATGTATGTTTTGCTATTCTAAGTTTTGTCGCGAATATTTTCCGTGAGGTCGAATGTTTTCCAAGACTGTTTGGCAACTGCACAGTTTCCTAAGAGTAACAGCCATATCATTCCCAACCTCAGCTCGTTGCTACTCCGATTATCGACAGGTACGAGATTCCGGGGTCCATGCATGTAAGAGAACCAACTGATGTCAAATTAAAGTTAATCACGAGGCTGGCGTATGATTCCCCTGCATTGTTTCTAGCCCGGCTAAGCTAACCAAGTACTGCTCCGTATCGTACTTTGCCAATTCTCCGATGCCAGGGACTTCGGTTCCTTGCGAGACTTCCGTCCAGTGGCGAAGTCCAGATCGTTTCATGGCTTGCGCCAAAATCTTGGATGCCAGCAAGTCTCTGCCGACCATTCAGCCTTCTAAGGATTTCAGCCAGTGTGTATCGTGAGGACGATCACTTCACATTTGAATGTCTGGCCTTTCTTTGCTTGGAAAAGAACCAGATCATGCCAGAGTCATCGGTCTCGCCGATTTTATGTGCATTTTCAACATTCCATCCCACCTCTTTCTTGATGATGGGCAGTACGGTTGTTGAACCACAATGAGATGTGGCAAGAGCTCGATAGGACACGAAGGATTGTTTCCGCAGCCGATACCTTCTGACTCTGAGCCTGAAAGTTGTTACATAAGATTCATTTATCTCTACCAAAGAAAAAAAATCTCATTCATTGCTTCGGGCAGAGAAACTATCCCCGAGCTAACATATGTGGTCCCAGAAACTTGCATCCGGCTCGCTCTAAACGATCGGATCCTCTCGGGAGCTCTGAACCGAGGCGATTTCAATTTGGAAGTAGATCACTTGGATCTCGAGACACAATTTATATTAACTCAGATTAAAGCTATTCGTACTCTCTTTACCCCGCAATCCAGCAAATGCAAGCAAGCTTATGGAGTTCTGAAAATAGAACAAACAGGCCGCCTCTCCCGCGATGCCTCCTCGGAGACCGCCTGATCAGTTGATCCAAAAGGGCCAGAACAGGCATTGAGAATTGAAAAGCAGTATGGGAGAATTGATTGTTCTAATTTTGGAATTGCAATAGAGTTAAGGTTCATGTACAGTGCTGTGTAGTGAGGCACCGTCTGATGTGTATATAAACATTGGATGCCCCAAGGAAACTCTTCTCTCACTCAACACACTTTCCATCCAGTTCTCTGCCTAGACTTCTCAGCTCATCTTCACTATGCAACTCATTACCGCTGTCATTCTTCTCCCTGCCCTGGCTCTAGCCAACCCTGTGGCGCAACGCCAGGCTAAAGGCCCACCAGCTGAAGAAATCAAGATCATCAGTGCTCAGTCTTCTGGCAATGGTTGCCCACAAGGCTCTGTCTCCAGTACCATCTCCCCAGATCGTACCGTATGTGTCAATTCTTTCTTTTCGAGAAGAAAATCCTATTTACTGTTTCCAGGTTGTGACGTTTGGATTCGATGCTTTCCAAACTTACATTGGCCCAACCGCCGCCCAAGCAGACAAGACCAAGCAGTGCCAGATCCATCTCAGTCTGCAGTACCCAGGTGGATTCCAGTACTCTGTTGTCGACGCGACTTACCACGGATGGGCTCGTCTCGATGCTGGCGTGACAGGGACATTCGTCTCCTCGTACTTCTTCTCGCAAGCTGCTTCTCAGACCTGCACGACACGATCCACGATTTCGGGCGCACAGTGGGTCAATGGTGATGTTTATACTAAGCAAGATCTCATCGAGTCAACTGCCATCATCGTAAGTACTTCTTGCCCTATTCCCAAATGTACAATCTTCTACAAAGAGTTCCAAAAATCACCAACCTACTGAAGCTTTCATGACCCTCGTCAGAGAGAGAATTGCCCCGTGGTACACAAAATGATTAATTTCAGAGACACCGCTAACTCATTGTCTCTAATAGTGGTCTCCTTGCGGCGCAAATGGCATCCTTAACGTCAATAACCGTATTGCTCTGTCATCCACAAACGCTAAGCAGACCGGCGAGCTGTCGAACGATGACGCTACCGTCTCTTTCACTCATCAATTGCACGTCGCATGGCAGCCTTGTGTCATGCCAACCAAGGGCAGTGGTGGCGAGTGGACAATTGGAGGGGGTACCACAGCTATCGTTGAGGAGTAAGCTTGAGCTGGCTGTCAGGCAGTTCGCTTTATTGTTGGCTCCGTTTAGGGGCAGGAAGTGGTTGCATTGGCAGGGAGACTTTATGTTTCGGGAGTTTTGCATGTAGTCTTCAATGTATTGAGTTCTACACCTACAGAAACTTCTTGTTGAAGTAACCAAATCGGTATGCGGGTGACTTTTTCGTGGTAGCAACTCATTGTTCTATTTATCTCTGATCATGCTGGGTGAAGGCGTGAGCAGAGCCATTCTCAACGGCCGAAGCAACGGAAAAATATATGTAATTTGAAATCGATAGTAGCGTTTCATAGAGCAGCAGCACTAGGATTAAACCATGTAACACGCATCACCCACAATTCTGCATTTCCAAAATCTTCTATGAGACATGGTTGAACAAAGTGATAAACAGCAAGACCAATACTGAGCAAACTCCTCAAATGACATGGCAATTTTTCCCTGACCTCATGTGCAATCCCGTACTTTTGGCATACCAGCTTTTCCAAGGTCGCTGATTCGCAAGAAGCGCTAAAATCACAAGTGCTAAATCGCCAATTCAAGATGCAAAGAGAGAGCTTTTGGTTTGTTTACATTCTTCATTTCCTTCATTTCAGTTTCTGCTTTTTGTGTGTTGTATCATCCGACCCTTTTTGTTTGTTTTAATGGGAACCCAACCAAGCCTCGACCCATACCAGACCAGATCAGACCATATCATGTAGCACAAAATGCTCCCAGTCTACCTACGACGAATGCAGGCAAGCAAGCAAACAAGCACGCAAGTATGCTAGAAAGAGAGAGAACACCCCGAAGCACCGGCTATCCAGCCATCCATCATCATGAGGAACAGATACAGAGAGAGGAAGAGAAGGAAGAGAAGGAAGATTAGACACAAAAATGCGTATGCATGCACGCAATGCTAGAACCCCTTTCACGCCGGGGAAGTATGCCGCAAAACAAGGAAGGAAGGAAATATTACACGGGAGGGGGAGAGTGATGGCACGAACGCAGAAGCGGGTGTGAGGTTTCTCGTATCTACGAGGATTCGTCTGGGCGACGGCCTCCACGAGGAGCTCCACCACGACCTCCACGTCCACGGTACCCATCGCCTCTGAAGTTACCACGGCCTCTACCTCCACGTCCTCCACGGAAGTTACCTCGTCCACCACGGTCTTGCTTGCGCTCGACAGCTTGGAATCCATCGTTGGCGGGTGGGGTGGCGATTGGCTGGAACGAAGTCAGTCCAAGTCATGGTAGATAATGGAGAAATGCGCTTACTTGAGTAGGGGAATCAGGTTCGGCATCAGCCCAGCTCTGGGTGTTTGCTGGAGCAGCAGGGGTAGCAGTTACACCAGTATCAGTTTCAGTGGCGTCGCGAGGAACCTCAACCCACTCCTGGCTCGTGGACAGGTCATTGTTGTTGTCCCAGTTTGCCTCAGCAGCTGCATTGGCAGCTCCGTCACCGAAACCTGAGTTTGCGGGAATACCTTGGTCGTATGTAGCTTCAACGTGTCCGTTTGTCAATTCAGTAGCAGCAGGGGCATCAAGCTCAGTAAGACCGGCGTTGGCAATGGTTGGATCAGACTCTACTGGGTATTCGGTGGTCTCGACTTGCTCGGCTTCTGGAGCGACAGCGGGAATTTGTGCGAGGGAGGCGGTCTTCAAGTCGGCATCTAGAGTAAGTGTTAGTCTTGTGTGGCACTGTGAGAGGGGATTTCCTACAAGTAACAGAGAGGGGCTCTCCGGTAACACTCGTGACAGTCTCTGAGGAGCCCTGGATGAGATTAAGCATGGCAGCGACAGCACTGGCGTCACCGGCGTAGACCTGGGCCAGAAGACCCTCCAGAGCCTTGCTCTCTTCAAGCTCGGCAGCCTCATCCTCACCTCTGCGAATAGCAGCAAGCTTCAGGAATTGTGACAGAAGGAGAAGATCATCTTGCTGTTGCTTGACAGCAGCTGTAGCAGCCTGGGACTTGGCAGAGCCGACCGCCTCCTCCAACTCCTTGCTTGAGCGCTCGATATGGGTCTTCTCGAACTCTGCCTTCTCAGTTTGTAATTTGACTTTGTATTCCTGGTCGAACTTCTTGTATTGTGCGATCTGCTCCTCGAGTTGGGTAAGGGATGCCTGAAGTGCGGGCTTCTTCAAGAGTTGAGCCTTTTGGTCGGCATTGATCTTTCGGGAAGCTACGAGGTCGTCGAGCGACTTGTCAGGATTTTCTGCGACGATGTTGTCGACTTTAGAGGCATTGGCCTGGAAATGAAGCGGTTAGCTAACGCACAAAGACCGATCCCAGGAGCTCTGCTTACGATCTTCTTGTTGACGTTGCGGATATTCCTATGAAAATATCAGTTCGGCTGTTCACAACCACCACCAAAAGGTCGCTAGAAAGCCTCCAGTATACATACTTGTAAAGCTCCTTGATGTAGGGGCTTTCGTAGCCTCCATCGCCGTTCGCACTATCCGCAACGCCATTTCCAGGAGTAACCTCCGCGGCAGAAGCTGGAGACTCAATTTCGGTGGCAGCTGTCTTGGCAACCTTCTTCTTCTTCGCAGACTTCGACTCGGTCTTGACTACGGGGTTTTGGGTGGCAGTGGCAGCCATTGTAAGGATATGTTGGTTTGGAGGAAGAGTGTGAGGATGTTGATGTTTGTGTGGTGCAGCGGCTCGTCGTTGAGCAGTGGAAGGCTTGTGTGCGCGGGATTGTTTGCGTAGAGTATTTAAATCCTCAGAATTGGAAAGAGGGTGATAGAGTAGATCGTAGGATTCGTGGTCTTGAATTTTGTAGGATTGTAGGAAATGTGATTGTTTTGTCTGTGGTAGTTCAAGTTCAAGTTCTAAGTTGACGGAACTTTCTGAGCTTCCCGGCCAGACCACGGCACCCCTGTCCGGCCTAAGCGAAAAGCGGAACGCAACAGAAAGAGGCAGAAAGAAGACGAGAGTGGAGAGGAGAGGAGAGAGGAGCTTGGAGTCACAGTCACACTGGCTTGCAGAGGTGGAAGTTTATTTTGATATAGCTTGCTCTTGTTACCGGCGACGTCTCGAAAATCTGCATCTCCGAAACGAAGGTGCACAAGAGCAAGTCTGGTTCTCTTCCCCCACCGACCGTCTCTGCTGGCCCTTGACTCCAGTCTCCTCATATTCCACCAACTTCAGTTATGCAGCCCCCTCATCCCTCTTCAGATGTGCATGCTCCAGGTAATCGTGATATACAGCCCGCATCTGCATCATTCGAGGGTTATGGCCCGCATCCTAAAAGAGCTGGCTGCTGCTGGCACGGCAATCACTTTGCTTCTCCTATCCGTATTCGAAGTCGGCTTCGCAAGTCATGTTGTGGGCGGTGCTGATCAAAGTTGCAGTAGTCTCCTGGCTCGCTCATCCCTTGAACTTCGATAATGAATTCTGGAAAGGATGACGTAAGTAAGAGTAGCGAAAACTGGCAGTACGCGTCGAAATGAGGTTGTAGCATGTACCTCTGTGACTTTCTTCACGCTTTTCGCACTGATGCCGCGTTCCCCTGCTTGCTTCGCGTTGATCGTAGCCTCCTTCATCAATCTGGACGTAACTGTCAGCCCAACTTTCCCGAAACCTGTCTCATCGATGCGAGAATTGTGATTTGATAGATTGGGGTCGCGTACGTCTGCAGAAAGAGTGCATAGTCGAGGAATATCTGCAGTTGCCGTTAGGTAGGTGCCTCTGGGAGACGCGACGGAAGGCTCACCAAGACATCCACGTTCTTGGTGACATTGCGCTTCGAATGAGCCTTGACAATCTTCTTGACAGTAGCCCGTGGATACAGCTTCTGTCCGGTTGCCATTGCGATTGATAGCTCGGAAACTGTTGACGCGGGTGTGCTGTTTGAAACTGTTCAGTTCAGGTAGGTGCTTACAGTCGGGTAGTACGTGGATGGGCTCCATTGTTGTTTTCGGGCTTCGGCTTGGGTTTGTGACTTCAGCCTTGTCTCGGTGCTCGGCAAGGCGGCCAATGAGCAGTTGCACTCGAGGACCCCTCCATTGCTATTACTGTACCACCAGTTGCCTGTTCCGTTTTGTTTGACTTACCTATCTTAGCTTGGCTTTTCTCCTTCCTTATTTGTGCGCTGATTAACGAGCTCATTGCCTGGTCTGGTCACTCAATCAGGTCTTTTCATTCTTCATCTCGAATCTCCAGTCTTGTCAATTAAGAAGACCATTTTCCGTGTCTGATTGCCAACTTTGCTTGCGGACCTGAATCAACACAAGTCAAACACCGCAACGACCCCGCCATTAACCACATTATTTACACCATTCAACTGCCACCCAAGTACCCCTTACAGTACTCTTCGGCTTTGACTGGCACTTCATGACAATGGCATCAGCTGTGGCTTCTGATCGGGACATTCTGCCCAACAATGTAAAGCCGGTCAATTATGATCTGTCATTGTATGACATCGAGCTTGGAGGAGCATTTAGCTACCAGGGCACTGTCTCCATCCTAGCAAAGGTGGTCAAGAGCTCAAGGGAAATTACCCTAAATGCTCACCAGCTGAAGATCCATGGCGTGGAGGTATCGTTAGAACATACCAAGACCCAGCAGACATTCGTGTCGACCGGCATCTCATACGATGCTCCTAGACAGCGAGCTACAATCTCCTTTGGAGAGGATCTCCCAACTTCTGAGAAAGCACTCATCGTCATCAAGTTCCAGGGCACTGTCAACAACGATATGGCGGGCTTTTACAGATCAAAGTACACGCCAGCGACGACACCAGCTGCGTCAGTTCCGAAAGATGGAGACAGTCATGTCATGTTCTCAACCCAATTCGAAAGTTGCGATGCCCGAAGGGCATTCCCCTGTTTCGATGAACCCAACCTGAAGGCAACCTTTGATGTGGAAATCGAGCTTCCGGATGACCAAGTAGCGCTTTCGAACATGCCCGAGAAGGAGGTAAGGAAGTCCAAAGATGGGTTTAAGATTGTGTCCTTTGAGAAGACGCCCGTCATGAGCACTTACCTCTTGGCGTGGGCCGTAGGAGATTTTGAGTACATCGAAGATTTCACCAAGCGCAAATTCAACGGCAAGAATCTCCCGGTTCGCGTCTACACTACGAGAGGCTTGAAGACCCAGGCTCAATACGCTCTTGATCACACTCCTCAAATCATCGATTACTACTCTGAGATTTTTGGCATCGACTATCCGCTACCAAAGTGTGATCTTCTTGCTGTTCATGAATTTGTAATGCTCACTTTCTTCCCCTTACTTCTCTCGCGTACTAATCTAGTAGGCTATAATAAGTCACCCCTCACTCTAGAAGACGTCATGCTAACCGGTGCTTCTGTCTAGTCTCACGGAGCGTAAGTGCTCATAGAAAGATTATGTTCCCAAAAAGCTTCCCACTGACATTTGCCTAGGATGGAAAACTGGGGACTAATAACGTACCGGACTACGGCAGTTTTATTTGATGAAAAGACGTCTGATGCGAAATTCAAAAACAGAATTGCGTACGTCGTCGCTCACGAGCTGGCTCATCAATGGTTTGGAGACTTGGTAACCATGGTGAGTGGTTTCTCTCGGCATCTCTGCTCGCAGGAGCATATTCTACCTCTACTGCACAATTCCTGCACTGAAATTATCATGAAGGTCGTCACTGACTCTTTATCTACCAATGTAGGATTGGTGGAATGAGCTCTGGCTTAATGAGGGCTTCGCAACTTGGTTGGGCTGGCTCGTCACCGATCACATTCATCCAGATTGGCACGTCTGGCCTCAATTTGTATCTGAAGGAATGCAAGGGGCATTCGGCCTAGACTCGCTGCGTAGTTCTCATCCGATTGACGTCCCTGTCAAAGATGCTCTTGATGTAGATCAAGTATTTGATCAGATCAGTTACCTCAAAGGTCAGTGAAAACCCCGTGTTAATGCGCCTCAGCCAATAAAAAGCCTTGGAAGACCATGCAATCAAACACGCTCGAAGAGCATACTAACTGCGATAGACAGGCTGCTCTATTATTCGCATGTTGGCTGCTCATCTCGGGCAAGATGTTTTCCTCAAGGGCGTCGGAGATTATCTCAGAACTCATGCTTTCGGTAACGCCACAACTAATGATCTTTGGTCTGCTGTTGGTAAGGCATCCGGTCAGGATATTCGAGCATTGATCGATCCTTGGATTTTGAGAATTGGGTTTCCAGTTGTGACTATAGCAGAGGAACCCGGCCAAATTGGACTCAAGCAGAATCGATACTTGTCCACTGGAGACGTCACCAGTGAGGACGATAGCACTACTTGGTGGGTACCCCTGAGATTAGAAGGTAAGGTGGGAAGCAAAGATGTTACTCCATTGAATTTCAATAAGAAAGAGGACATCGTTCGGGATGTCGATGAATCATTCTACAAGATCAATAAGGACACCACTGGATTCTATCGCACCAACTATCCTCCAACTCGCCTGGCCGCCCTGGGCGGTCAGATCAAGAGATTAAGCCTCTCAGACAAGATCGGTACGCCCGTACTACTCGCTCGACTTGACATATAAGCTGACATTGTGTAGGATTGGTTGCTGATTCTGGAGCCCTTGCATATTCTGGTGAAGGTTCTACTCCAGGACTTTTGTCGTTCGTCGAGGGCTTTCAATCCGAGACTAATTCCCTGGTCTGGTCTCAGATTCTTGGTTCACTTTCGACCGTAAAGTCTGTATTTGCAGATGATGAGGCAATCACGCTTGGCTTAAAGAAGTTTATCCTCAAACTTGTCACACCCGCAGTCGAGAGAATCGGCTGGGAGTCATCGGCTAGTGATGACTTCCTTACTGGCCAGGTTCGCGCTCTGTTAATCATCACAGCAGGTTTGAACGGCCATGAGAAGTAAGTCTTGTCATTTGCCAAACAACTACAATCGGAATAACTGACAGCTTTTTAGGGTGATTGCGGAAGCCAAGCGGAGATTCGATCTCTATGTATCTGGCGCAGACAAGTCTGCCATCCACCCCAATCTCCGAGCAGCTGTTTACGCATTGGTGGTTCGTTATGGTGGTAAATCTGAGTTTGACTTTCTAAAGAAGGAATGGTTTTCAACCACCTCGATTGATGGCCGCGAAACCATCGTTCGAGAACTTGGTCACATCCAGAATCTGGCTCTTCTCCCCGAATACCTGACATTACTCTTCAATGATGTGGCAACCCAGGACATGCACACAGGAGCTATTGCGCTTGCGGCAAACCCAAATACCAGACCCGGCCTGTGGAAGTACTTCCAAGAGAACTTCGAATCCATCAAGGATCGCCTTGGGAAGAACATGGTGGTTCTTGACCGGTTCATTCTTTGCTGCTTGAACAAGTTTAGCGAAAGGGATACGGAGAAGGAAATTGCCCAGTTCTTTGATGGCAGAGATAACAGAGGATATGACCGTACTCTGGCGATTGTTAGTGACACAATTCTCGGGAGGGCCACGTACAAGGACCGTGATGGAAAGGTCATTTTGGAGTGGCTTAAGGTTCATGGATATGCTTGAAAGTTGGGAGGTATTGGTCATGGAACGGATCCCCGCTCTCCGCACTGTGGCTTTCACCGATAATCTACAAATATTTCCGTCTATCTTTTGACGTACCCGTTTGAACACTACCTTAATATGCTAAGTCTGCAAGCATACACAATTATAAATCAAACTTCAAGTAAAAAAAGTATATAGATCATCTACGTGTCTGTGAGGATGGTGTGGATATTTTCGAAAGTGTGCTGGTGCTCTAAGACGGATTGCAAGAGTTTAAACTCAAAGCTATTGGAGCGGATGCAATCCTGTATGCATCCGAATAAAAGGTTCTCTCAGTCACTCAGAAAGGCTCTAAGACACCCTGGTTACTTCTATTCTTCCAAGAATTATTTGCTTCTTGTTTGCAGTCGACCCACCTTTGGCTGTTTACTAAACATTTCACCAGGAAGCGCAAATCACCTCGACGTCAAGAATCTACCTGCTATTGCACTTGCTTGAATAACTATGCACTTGGATTCCCGCTATTTTACAACCGATCCTCAACGCCTTTCGGCGAAATGCAGCTTGCTTCACGAATTCGCACTCGAACACAGCGCAATTATGGAGCAGAACATGTACCACGATATTGAGTTCAATATCACGATGGCCGGTAAATCAACTATTGTTAGTCATGAAACAGGTAAAATTTAAGAATTTGGAGGGGTAGCTTTTGGAGGGTAAATATGAGCGGGTCATACTTAATGTTGATATTTGCTACTCCTTGTACGTGAGGAGGTATGTGTTGGTTTGAGGTCGCCTAATGGTGCAAAGAAACCTACTAGGGAGAATAGATTTTCAAGGAGCCCTGGTGTGCAGTTCGTGTGGAACGTCCCAACATCAATCCTTATATTCTTATGTTAAAGGAAATACAGGTGATTGGATTCTGCAAATGGTCTTGTCTTGGACCAGGTCATCCTGGAGCAAGCCGAAATGGGGTTGACGACTCCTCCCAATGGCCAGCCATTCCATTAGTCTACGGAGAGTAAGATCTCTCATAAAGAAACTTCCATTAATTGATTTGAAATCTGCAACTCATGTCTGGAATAAATCCCAAGCAGGAATTTAAACGTGTCAGATGCATTGGCTGGAGGAAGCGACAAATTTTTGCCTGACAAATGTGATTGACTAAGTGTTTCTCGCTTGAAGCATAAGCCAATGTTTACTTTTGCCCGAGACACAAGCAATCTTGTTTCCCGGTCCTTCTATCGTATTCACTCTGGAAAACATGATGGAGCAAACTGTGAGTCACCCGGCGTGGTCAGAGTTAAAGCACTCTACCACAATCCAAATATCTTCCTTCGTCCCCTCTTTCATACCCATAGCGTGGGAGCTGCGAACTCCGTGACGCATTTTCAACATGCACGCTGCCGGCAGAGATATTCTAGCCTCAAGCAACACGGTGGAAAGAAACAACGGTATTTGAGGAGGTATGGTAGCGCGCAACCTTAACAACAACCTCCTCCAATGGTAATTAGGCTTCAGGAAACTGTGCCAAGTTAACTGAAGCTCTTTACCAAAGATAGTGACGTATGCTAATGATTCTGTCGTATAGATAGGCCATGCGGATTTCTAAGGACATTATGATGATACTTTTACTTGCGAAATGTTTTGAAAGTGGCTTCCTGAGACACGCCTTGTCTGTAGAGACTTTGGCACTGTAGCCACACCGGGGGTGTACCAATACACCAGAATCAACTCAGATATATTGATGGAGAGGGCAGCAAACTCGAAATCACAATCCGTATCGGATCTTTCATCCATGACCAGCAGAGCTCGTTACCTGCCTACGACAACTACGGGAGCCACTCTACAGAAGAGCGTGGCTGGAGAACATTCACATCTATGGTAAAAGAAACAGGAAGATGTATCCCTTCCACCCTCAAATGGCACATGTTTTAGCGTACTTGAGAGCGGGCCTAAGTAACCAAAATAAGCCTCAGAAGTGGACCAGATCTTCGAAATTTATGAAAGCTGGCTATCAGATTTGCTGGCCAAGACTCGCTTCTATTTCATACTTTACTGTCACATCACTGTTTGAGTGCATCAACAGAATGTGCCATTTGAGGGTGGAAGGGATACAATGAGGACATAAAGGAAGCGAAGAAATGACGGGCAACAGCACTATGGCAACCGGAATGCTTGGGGTGCCTCTTGGCGTGATAGAGGTCCACAGTTGTATCAAGAGACGTCCTTCAACTTTATCATCCAAATATTTAATCCAGTCTTACTTCCTTCCTCAACCACCAAACCCGCGTGCAAAACCTTTTCATCTCCCTTTCCATCAGCTCTGAGATTTACCCAGAACATACCATTCCCAACAATAGGCCTGAAGACAATACCGTCGCCTTTCTCGGTCCTCCCATACCTCCCCTTACCTCTCTCTTCCTTGTCCAACACACCTCCTGGGACTGATATGCGCGGGAAATTTGTACCTCCGGAAGAAGAGCAATCCGCTTCCAAGTACAGGAAGAAACTTGCAAGGCGATTGTACTCTCGATCGTCGGAATTGCGGACAGGTGTTTCGAACCAGTCGTAGTGGAGGTCATAGTGTTGTGAGGGAAGGTAGCGCACGGCTTGGAACGGCTCGATGCCGTCGGCTTCTATATTCAGTGCTTGGAGGAAGTTGTAGACTCTTAGAGTGAGCGCGAGAATGGTGGGGTCGTCGTTGGGGAGGGTACAGGATGCTGAGGTTCGGTAGTCTTCAGGTGGTCGTGGCGTGTCAGAGGAGGGGGTGGATATGAGAGGTGAGGTTATGTAGGAGTGCTCACTAGTGGTTGGGTTAATGTGATTTGGGGATTTGAGAACGGTGGTTTGTGAAAAATACAGACCAGAGAGACAAGAGGCGGGCTGCTTCGTCTTGACTGATGAAGGATGATAGGTAGATGAGGAGGGGAGAGGTGGAGAGAGTCAAAGTTGTGAAATTCGTGTCTGACATAGCGGTATCCTGAGTTGAGAATTGGCTTGTGTATTCAGCTGATGCATTTTGATGGAGGATGGATTCTAGTTCCAAGGCATGCGCCGGAAGTGTGGCTGAAAATAGTAAAATGATATGAAACAGCGTCCTCAACATCTTTTGGGGGTGTCTGCTGTCATTGAAGGGATCGTAAGCTTTGAAGAAATTAAAAACCGGTTATCAGTCTATGAAGTTCTTTGCCGAGGGTGGGAAAATTGACGAGCGATTGCAACACCCGACGAGCTCGATGGGAAAACAAACGTTGCACATATGTCTCGGCACAGTTCCGAAACACTGCACCTGTCGTCGAAAAGCCTATTGAAGGTGTGTTTGCATGTAACCGGCCGGATCTAGCTCTTGTACGACTTCGTACAAGCCATCAATGGACCTCACCTTGAGAAACAGTAGTACAGTTGCCAAGCTGGAAGAAACGACTCCAGTTCCCCTTCAATTACTACTCCGTAACGCCACATTACGCATTCCACCAAGGCAAGGGTTTTTGATATACAAATTCTCAATCAAGCTTCGCCACTTCCTTGATCTTGATATCAATCGACATACCCCAACCCTCTCTTCCCCCAATCCAATTCTTGTGCTTTCCAACTTTATCAATATCCGACACGTGATCATCCAAAGCCTCTCTCAACATCAGGGCATCATCCTTGACTTTCTTGATGGATATGATCAATCTCAAACCCTCCTTATCATCGTCCTTTCCAAACCCGCTGGCCCATTCCGAGTTAACCTTGATGCGAGGCTCATCCTCATCAAAATTCCCACCAGGATAAATTTTGCTGATCAACAATCCGATGGAACCCATGTATCTGGTCCACCACACCTCTTCTGGAGTCAAGATCGACTGAAGACTTAGCTTGAAGTCAGCTTCGCGTGGTGGCAATTCGCCTTCGTATCGTTCCTCCAACATCAACGCAAGAAGAGCGCGGTCTGAATGTGATACGCCATGGGTAGAGGCCATAAATCCTGCACTGGTACAGTACAAAGCCGCTGTTGAAGCAATTTCTTTGGACATATGAGCGTGCACATATAGGACGTTGGCAAATGCATGAATGACATGCTTGCTGATCGATTCCGGGAATGCTCGGCCACCCTCTTCCTTAGACGCTTCCGGAATGGCATTCATAATAAGAGTACTCAGAGCATCTGCGGACTTACGACCAGAATTCTCGGTCGCAACCTCCAGAGGATCATCGTCTCGAATGTTTTGAGAGAGTTCTCTGAAGAGCACACCTTCTCTCACACCTCCTTGGCAGAAATGGGCCTCCTTGATGCCGTGTGGGAGAGCTTCTGTGAGGACGTTGACCAAGAACGCTACTGCTGGAACCTGACCACGGCGGCGATCAGAAACCCGGAAAATCTTCTCAGCTTCCCGGGCGACTTTCTTCAGTGTTTCGACATCTTCGAATTTCTCCTTGCTTGCTCTGTAGCCGTTGATGATCGATATAGGATAATGGCGTCCGTGGACTTGGTTCATATAGAGAAGCAGGTACCCCCAGCCTCTGAAACCGCCTCCAGAGAGGTAAAGGGGGAATCCTCCTTGAGATTTGGCTCGCTCGGCCATATCCTCAGGTATTTCAAGTTCGTCGTATGCCTTTCTGAAATTCGCCTCCATCTCCTCTCGCAATCTAGCCACCGCAGCATCTCCCTCCTCCTCACTTTTGCCTTTCCTCAAGTCGTCCAGTTTCTTGGTCAGAGCTGCAGCTCCATACGGGAAGCTCACAGATCCCTTGGGACTGACTTCTACCTTGCCATCGATTGACCGCATCCACGTGATTTGTGCGGAACCACCGCCCAAATCCATGACGATGCCACTGACTGTGGAAAAGCCACTTGCTACCCCAAGGGCGCCGACATAGCCTTCCTCCTCCTTGCCTAACATCTCGACCTCTAGTCCTGTGGCTTTTTGCACAGCTTTGCGGTACTCCACGGAATTAACTGCCGTGCGTGTTGCCTCGGTGGCAATAATCCTGATGTGATGATCTGGGACATTGAGATCTTTGCAGATGACCTTGAAGCGCATCAGAGCTGCTATAATTTGATGGATAATATCGTCGGGGATAGGGATTCTTTCGCCCGTGTCTTCGTCATACTGGGCAGAATACAGACTGATGTCCAAACGGTAGGACACCAAGGTCGGTAAGATACGGGAAGTTGGCGGTGCGAGACTCGATACTGAAAACCGAATACCATTGCTGAAACTTATCAGAATTGTCAAAAAGAGTTCCGAATGTCGGTTTACCTTCCCATATCGACGATGCCCCGCAAGTACTTGTCCCCTTTAATCATGGTTTCCACTTCACGCCTTCCATTACGGAATGGAATTACGGGACCGCCTCCCATTTTTGCTTAGTTGATGGACTGCGAGTTATGTGATGGACGAGGAACAATCAATGAAAGAGGAGTTGAGGGGAAGTTGGATGTTGAGCAAATAAAGAACTCCGAAACCTTGTCAATGTCTAGCGCTATTGGCAGTATTGGCATGTGGAAGAGCACGTGACACTTCGAATGGTGGAGTCGTCAGTGAATCCGTTTCGCCAAGAGTGTGTAATTAGAGCCTCCGCATCTCTCGAGAACATTTCAAATCAGTCATGGGAATCGCACAGTATGACCGGAATTTATTTATCATTCGGAAGCGGGAAGTGCAAATCGGATTAGCTGCCGGATGTGCTCATCCCCTTGCCAGCGTAAGCGAAAGCATGAAGGAAGAGAAACAAAACAAAAGGGGCTTGAATTACATCTCCTGCGTCACATTTTCAAATACACGCAACAGCTTTCAGAAAATTAGTACTGACATCTGATGTCAACGCAGTTGGTATTATATGTCGTCTTGGCCGAGTCCCACGCGGCTTGGCATCTGATGTTGGCATCGATGATGGTAGACGGACAAGCATGTTGAGAGTGGGTATTGAGGACACTGCTGGAACTTGGTAGCTCTAACCACATGGTAAACTCAGGCAAGAAAATTATAATATGATCAAATGAGCTGCAATGCAAAGATTCAGACAGGTCTTTAGGAGGAGGGGTGAAATGCAACACAGTGAGACATACAAACCCAAGGTGGGCACAACTCTGGACTACTTTGATTCTTTCACGTTGGCTCAATCTCAGCACAGCTACACTGCAGGTAGCAGATCATGAAAAGAACAGCACGCGCTCAAAACATTACGCGAGCTCGGTAGTCAACAAGAAGGAACCGAGCGCAAGCTGGCCATCCAAAAAACAAAAGGCAAAATTTGTATCACAGCACCAAAAGCGCGCTAAGAGGAGCGAAGATCAAGAAGCAAAGAAGTAAGACCAAAAATTCAAAAAGTAAGAGCTCGATCACTGATCAAGCTCTTTACCCAGGCTGGGGATCCACCTGAGGACCCTGACTGTGGCCACACAGATATCATTTCTCATTTGCAGCCACCTAAACTCATTGCTGAGCAGATCCATTACGCAGCCGCACTTATAGAGGACCATGTCAGGCAACTTCTTATTTAGATTCATGTAAGTGCTGAGCTATCCCTTCCACTGCGAAATGGAACGTTTTGTCGGTGCACGCAGAAGTGGAGCAGAACACCCTGATCTGGCTTGAGAAGCGAGGTAATCCCCAGTTTAAGTGAGCGTTCCACAAGAAAAGTATATCACGATTTGCTCGCTAAGGTCGCTTCTCGTCTCTACTCCACCGGGATTCAAAAGGTTAAAAACGTTCCATTTCGCAGTGGAAGGGATAAGGCAGATCGGGACGTGTTTGGAGTTGGTGGAGTCACGAGACGCGACGTGGGTTGATCGTGAATGTAACTTTGATGGACCATTGGGGCAAGTCTTAGCTAGTAGCTGGCAGGGAGATTCTCACTAGTCATAGAAAGTTTTTGTAGTACGTGAACTTGTGGTGATTACTATTGAGCTTACACTACACTAAGCCCAATTGGAGGACAAAGGCTTTCGGATTCATATGGAGCTAACTTGATTTATGCAGCATTTGCTTGAGCTTTTCCAGCTTCTCACATGTTAATCTGCCCGATCACCTCTACACTCACTGTCTGAACAAGTGCGGAAGTCAACTAATATGGCTAGCCTACCATAGAGTATACCCTCCATCAACCACAATATCAGTACCTGTTGTGAAGCTCGAGGCATCAGATGCAAGATACAAGTAGACACCTTTCATCTCTGCCAACTCGCCAATTTGACTAGTGGTATATATCAACTACAATTCCAAATCACAGTGAAGCTCAGGGGACAAACCGCATAGGCGTCTTATCTCTTAGCTGGTCCTTGATGTCTTCTGACACTGCGGCTGTGAGACCACTCTGTATGAAGCCAGGCGAGACAGTATTCACACGTGCGAAATCTGCCCACTCCACAGCGAGTGATTTACCTGTATTAGTGAGTGAAACAGCTCCTGTCAAGCAAGCATAATCAATCTTCGAAGAGGCAGTCCAAACGATTCTCGAGAGGCAGAGAAACTTCAACTCACACATGTGTATTACACCCGCCTTACTTGCATTATACGCTGTCTGTACATGGGGATAATTAACGATATGCCCACTCATACTCGCTGTTGCAATGAAACTTCCTTTACGGAAATTTTCGAGCCTCTCACCACTGAGTGTGGTGCCTTCTTTGGCTTGGCGACGCCAGTGCTTCCCTGCTGCTCGAGAGCAGTAATAGACGCTATCAAGATTAGTGGACATGATGGCTCGGTAGTGCGAGATGCTGCTGTCGAGGACGTTGGTTTCGTTCCCTAGAATAAGGTTTGTCAATGATGCCGAGCAGGAGGCGAGAAATGTTCCGAATCGCATCTCTCGTCTTGTGGCGAGAGAGACAGAGAATTGAGGTACTTACATGCAATCCCACTATTAGCTATGAAAATATCAAGGCGGCCATTAAAGTTTGAAACCACTTGGTCAACAGCAGCCTGTACTTCCTCTGGTTGCGTGACGTTGACCTTATAAGCGGTTGCTATCCTCCGAATCAGCGATCAGGAATCCAAAATCATAACAGTGGCTTTTGAAAGTAACGATACCAATTCATGTAGATTGCAGACTTGCCTTTCACCTTATACTTAGCTGCGAGAGTTTCAGCAGCTTCTTCTGCTATTGTACTACTGTGGTAGAAAATCGCCACATTTGCTCCTGCTTCCGCGAGCGCCTCTGAGATTGCGAGGCCAAGTCCACTTACTGCTCCCGTGACTATGGCGGTTCTACCTTTCAGAGAAAACTGTGGTATGACGGGTTGAGACATTTCAACGAGTTGATGCCGATATGGAGTGGATTGAACGTCTATCTGGCTGTTGCTAGCCTATTAGTCAGCAAGACTGAGATAAATGTCGTCAATAATAATTTGACCTTCTAGCCAGTAATGCTCTACGTGTTACTTATAGCAACTGTGAATACTCATCGGATCTCCTTTGTCATGGTCGCAAACAGTACGACTGCTCTGCATCTGCCCTCATGTCAATACTGGCGCTAAGATAGGGTACAAGCCAATCAGCAGCCACGGAGCTTTCTCGAGGGGAGCTCCAAGAGAATGGAGTGAATGCAGTCAAGCTGGTGAGGAGTACACCTTCTATTTGTTCAACAAACTGTACAACAATCAACGATACAAAACCCTACCACGCAGACGAATCCGTTATTGCAACTCCAGTCCAGTATTCAAACATCTACCCCACCTTAGGGTTTCGCCACATCATCACCACTGCACTCCTATCCAGTTCTTGATCGCGTGCCTTGAGATACCACTTGCACAGTCTATACAGCTACCCACCGAGTGTTTGTTTGCGCCCGAACGGCAAGCCGCTCGATACCTCACTAATGTCCTCTCCGTCATGGGATTACATTGCAAAACTCGTCTGTATAGGCGATAGCGGAACGGGCAAATCTTCACTCACGATACGTCTCTGCGAAGGACGTTTCTCTCCGCATCATGACGTTACGATAGGAGTTGAGTTCGGTAACTGCAATTCAGCTATCGAATGCTTAGAGAACAGGTGCTAACGACTGATTAAGGCTCTCGAATAGTCCCCGTAGGACCACCAAACACTCCTGTCCCAGCACCAAAACCTACCGTACGCGATCCTACCCTGCCAGAAATATCAGAAGGACTCCCAGAGCCACGGCGAGCAGAGCCTAAAATAGAGCAGAAGCATATGAAACTGAGTCTTTGGGATACGGCAGGCCAGGAAACATACAAGAGCGTAACGAGGAGTTACTTCCGTGGTGCTTCGGGAGCGCTGCTAGTGTTCGATATCTCGAGGAGGCCGACCTTCACACACGTCACGGACTGGCTCAATGACTTGAGGCAGATTGCCGAACCTGATATTGTGGTTGTACTGGTGGGGAATAAGAGTGATCTGGCGTCTGGGGATGAGAATAAGAGAGAAGTTACGAAGGAAGAGGCTGAAGAGTGGGCAAAGAAGAATGGAGTGTTGGAATACGTGGAAACGAGTGCCAAAAGTGGAGAAGGAGTTGAGATGGCTTTTGGCAGAGTTGCAGAGAGAATATATATGAATGTCGAGGCAGGGAAATATGACTTGAATGACAGGAGGTCAGGAGTCAAAGGTCCTCCAACTGGGGCCAACAATCGAAGTGGTGTTAAGTTGTCGAGAGATACCCAAAGGACTTCGGGATATGGCTGTTGTTGATACCAATTGTCGTTTCAACTCGGACGATGCTTCGAAGCCACGGTGGGGCTTTTAACATGCTGTGCTGTATATATTGCATTCAATGGCGTCGGGAGCAAGCTAGATACACCAAGCGCTAGGGTGAATTGCAGGAATATGATGGGAATTCGTTTACCATTTGAAGTTTTCAGAAGGATATAGTGTGCTATACTAGAGAGTCGTTTCAGGTGGGCACGAAGGTTGGTCCGACGTCCTTCACTACCTGTTTGTTGACTATTTAGTTGTTGTGTACTGAAGCGACCTCATTCAACCCTGGTTGCTGATTTTGTGCCGGGAACATCTCGATGATGCTTCGAGGACTCCCAATCAAGGGCTACTCTTCAATACAATATGAGTGAGCTCAGCCGCTGGAGCATCATCATTACTTATTTGTGACAGATCGTTCTTCCGTTGCAATATTTCTTGATATCATTGTCGGTTATTGATGAACTTTGCTCCTTTCAAGCTTCCAGGCCAGCTTTGTAGAATATCACTACATCTTCATAACTTAAACGATACACATTTTTTATGACTATCGATTTATGGCCACGGATGCATTCGAAAACTTTCGACGCAATGGCCTGCCAATCAGTAGTGAGTTTGTGGATTATTACTTTTGATCACTCCTCTTATGTTGAATCTATATGCATCAACCACATCTTCACAGCAGTGTAGTTCTCATATGCTTCTCACTTGATGACTTAAATCCAATATCGTCTTGAGGAGCCTGTGTCCAAGTTGATTCCAAATTAGCCAGGATCCTGTGCTTTTGCGCCACAGCAATTCCCAGGAAAGACACACAATGCTCTGGCTTCCTTCCCACCCTCAAAACCCCACCTGGGAAGTATAACTGGAATTCACAATAATATTCCTGTGCCGTGATCACCACTGTTGAGTGGAAGAACAACTAGACGTCACGCTGTAGTCACGAGGCACGGCAGCAACGTCATGATTCAGCCCCTCTTCTACAAAGGTACTTGTATCAACATCCACAACTTCCTCTCTGGTGACGAATCTCAGCCAAAATTCACAGCCACTAAACCTCGGTCTTTTCGGAGAGGTTTCTAGAACAAAAGAATCTGCTGGGTGACAGGGTGATACAGCTTCCGAATCATCAGGTTTGCGCCCGTTGCTGGGATCACCAGGGGCGATTGGGGCTGAGCAAGGTGGGTTACGTCTCGCAGTGAGGGGCAATTCGAGAGCTTAAAGACAAGGAGTCTCGGTCCTGCAACCCACTGCACTACACCAACCCATCATCAGCTGCTTACTTCGCAAGTTACAGAAACTCCTCCACTCAACTTCAAACAAGACAGTTTTCGAAGCTATCTACTCATTTGCGCATCAGTACCTCAAGATGAGCGACTTTGTTCCGCCAAGCGGACCTCCTCCACCAAAAGTTCCGGAGGGCTGGAAAGCGCAATGGAATGAGCAGTACAGCGAATGGTTAGCACCCGAGTCTGCCGTGTTCTCCAATGGTCAAGCTTGCTAACAAGATACAGGTTCTATGTCAATATTTACACCAAGAAGTCGCAATGGGATAAACCCACGGAGCCCGTCTACCCACCTCCAGCTGATGGCGCACCGCCCGGAGCTCCTCCAGGATACAGCGGAGGTGGCCAGCCGCAACCTACAGACACGAAGCACAACCCCTACGAATCAAGTATGAATCCAAACACCGAGTCCGACGCAGCACTTGCAGCTCGTTTGCAGGCAGAGGAAGATCAAAGGGCTCGAAGCGGAAGCCGTGGCGCGCAACAAGACTACCAGAATACACCTATGCCAGCCCAATCACCCGGCTATGGCCAGCAGCCAGGCTATGGTCAACCTCAACAGTCATATGGACAAGAATTACCCGCTAGAGATCAGAAAAAGAGCGGTGGATTTCTTGGCAAGTTGTTGAGTAAGGCCAGTGGAGGTTCAAGTAGCCATGGAGGCGGTGGAATGAGTTCTTTCATGAAACCGCAACAGCAGCATTATGGCGGAGGTGGCTATCAACAAGGCTATGGTCAACCGGGCTATGGACAGCAAGGTTACGGACAACCCGGCTATGGACAACAAGGTTTCATGCAGCAAGGCTATGGCCGACCTGGGTACGGCGGCGGTGGATATGGCGGCGCTCCTAAGAAGAGTGGTATGGGAGCTGGAGGTGCTGCTGCACTTGGTGTTGGTGGTGGTTTGGTTGGTGGAATGTTGATTGCCGACGCGATGAACGACAACGATGAGCAAGAAGCATACCAAGATGGGTACCGTACGTTACTCAAACCCCTCTTAAATCATGTGTCACGCTAACAAACTTATAGAAGATGGTAACAATGACGATGGAGGCGACTTCGGAGGCGACGACGGTGGAGACTAATGACTATGGATATTGGGTCATCCCGGTCTCCTAATATGGATCGAGCGGATGGGCGAAGCCTGGCTGGGTCAATCTTTGACGACCGAGACGAGTTTATTTTCCCCGGGTGCTTTTGATGCGGATCTGGATGGATGGCTTTTTGTTTCTGCGATACATGCTTGTATTCGTTTGAGGATTGCAATCCGGCATCTCGAGGTTTTATGTAAGGGTTCGTGCCTCACTTTAAATAGAAATCTGATTGTGGTGACACACGTCTGAAATGTTCTCTGGAGTACACAGTGCTTTGGACATACTTATTGTCGCACATTCGGAAATAAGTAAACAATGTTTGTGCTATTCGTTCCTGCATCCGAAATCTGCACGCTGTATGCATACCAAGCCGTTCCACAACCCCCGGTGTCAAAAGAAGATAAATCACAGCCAGGCCCCATTATTCAGAGCTCCATAACTCAGAATGTCCTTATCTCGTACCCACTCAGGTGGCTCTCCGCTTACATCTGCTCCGGCCACATCGTGGCCAAAGCCCAAGTCCATCTAAAGCCAAAACTAACGCAAATTCCGGGACTCCCTCGCATCAACTTCGCAGCACCATTAATTAGCGAACGCACGCTTGCTCCGTGGCTATCTTTTAGCGGTGCGGTGTCCCAACTAGTAGTAGTTGAAACTTTAGATTTTACTTCTGCTTTGTTGGTACTGTTTTGTTGCAAGTCGTGCTTTTTAGGGTGATGAGCTAGACTGGGGAGAATGAGACTAGGTACAGGTGGGAGGCGGTGGGACGATTCTTTCTTGTGATGTTGAGTGAATGGGGAGCCGATGAAAAAGGTTTGGAATGTGCTAGTTGGCGGTGAAGTGTCGAAGTCTTTGTCTACCTAGATATGAGTGACGGGACTGGGAAAGTGGGATCTTGCATTGAGCTACCTTGAAGCTTACTATTGTGTGACTGCCGACCCTGGGGTTTGCTCTTGCTTCGATAATGGAGCGATTAAGATGCTCTTGAGGAGTATGACACTGACATATAGGGTGGAATGTGAAGTATCGTTGTGGAGCTGAGCAGTGTACGGATGATAAATAGGATACTAGCAAAAAATAGCCTGCGTCGAAAAGAGTTTCTTTGAATTTTCGTTTACATATTCAGTAGTCCGAGGACAGCTGTCGGGTCTCAGCTCTATATTGCTGGTAAATATACACAAAACCAGCTCTCCACCAAGCTCACAGAACCCGACTTTGGGTTGAGCTTCACTCCTGCCTCATATCGCTTCCCAGCCTTCATCACCTTGTCACCCCTTTCTCAACAGGCGTCTCGCTCCTCTTCGGTGTACTCGATCCAGCTAGCCAAGCAGCAGCATCGAAGTTCTGCAATGGGTTCGGGGCCGCCTGCCCGCCGCCCAAAGGAGATCTCTTCTGGCTCTCGGCAAACTCGGCTTTGAATTCGTCGTCCACTATATCAATGTCAGTGTTCAACTCGCAACCATGATTCGACAATAGGGCGTACTGTTATCCATAATATATGGCATTCCAAATACCAGAATCATGCTGACACCGGCAATAAGTATCATAGGGTTCTTCAAGATCGACATTGGTGAGACTTTATGTGTGAGATTAATAAAATGCCCCTCTCAACACATATGGAGGTTGGGAAGCGCTCACAGCCAGTCCTCTCAATCAAATACTCCTTTGTGCCGACACACTTGACCTCGAATCCCCATACACCAACTCTATCCTCAATCTCCTTCACCTCCCTAACCTCTCCCTTATTACTCCATTCGTTCCCTCTGAAAGTTCCCCAAACCTGTACTTCCGCCTCACCAGCGGCGTGTCCCACAACCTTACCCTCCGAAACATCGACTCTCAGCGGCGCGAAGAAATGCGTGTGGGAATGGACATCAAGCAAGTAGCTTCCAGATGTGACATTGCGGAAGTCGAAGGAGTTGGAAGTTGTGAGTGGCGCAGAGTAGTGGTGCGAGAGCGTCGTGAGCGTTGCGTGTGTGGAAGGTGGCAGCGTCGAGGGGTGCTGCAGGATTGGTGTTGAGGGAATTGTGATGCGGAGGTGGGTCGCGAGGACGAGAGGGAGGGCGAGGAGCCCGGTGATGCTGGTGCGAAGCATTGTGGGTGTTTTTGTGGTTGAGAGCTAATCGTGGTGAGCTTCGAGTGAGGTCTGCGGGAGGCTTCGATGATGCTTGGGGAGCTTGGAAAGTTTACCCGAGGCTTATTATATGTACTTAACCACAACGGATTCTGGTCGCCTATTTCAAGCCTCTGTCAACATCACTTTGTCAGTTCCGCAGTGCAGACCTGCGGTCATAAGGTATTTTTCCCACTTGGATTTATGCATGCTCTGTCTTATCTATGATTCCTGTTCAATTGCAGGGCCATTCAATGCTTCTCGCTAGTAGCTGATTGGAGCTCTTTAGCCTACAGGATCTTCTTCGGCGAAGTTTTCATTGTTCTCTTCACGACACCTAAGTCTTGATGTTCTCTAGTTCAAAGTTATCTGACCGACCCAGTCAGTCAATATAAGCGTATTTTGTCCTTCACACCCACGTTTTCAATTCGGTTCTTCACTCGAACAGAGAGACCTTTGTCACACAAAATGCTATCTACACACATTGGAGAATCCTAGGCAACTTGTCAATTAATCATGAAGAAACACGATGGGCAGGAGGTCATGGTTGGGAAGCACACATGGGAGATTGTTGCGCTGGCTTGTTCATTAGGTTTCTAGCTGTCGTCAGTTGCGTATTCCAAGCTTCAAAATCGCTAGAGTGTTTGGCATGGAGACTTACTGAATGAGCCTTATTGCTGTTCCCATTATTGCTAACAACCAGTCAAATCTGTGGGTTGAATCTAGCATAGCAAGCAAATTTGATAGATAACCTTTCACCTTTTCCGGATCGCAATCCCAGAGTAATATATTGGGCGCCTAAAATATGAGTATTGCTATAGCGCAGCTTGCGATGTTATCATCTCCTCTCAGTATGTGATTGAGGGACATCGCTGTCTGGAAGTCTGGTAGGGACTACTTACATGTTCTAGGTACTGTCGGTGATCTTTATGATTGGCTTGTATCAACGACTTCTCTGCCATGGAGCATAAATGTTACTGTTGAGCACGCCACGAATTACTCAAGTATCGACTCAAGACATTAGGAGGAAAAGTCCTTTTGAGCTCTCCTAAACTAACAGTCGAGATATATAACGTCTAACCTCAAACTACTTTGTAGGTACGGTGAAGCTCAAAGTCGATGACGGACGGACTCATGCTTGACCGAATGAGCTGGAATAGCCACTTCGCCCCCTTCACCCATGGAGATCAATCAAAATACTCATGAAATTAATTCGGTATATCATAGAAGCCACAATATTACTGCGAAGATAATTCGACTTTCCACTATCCTGATAACAATTCTTCAAATGGTAAAGTCAACGCTGGCGACTAGTAAAGCTGACAACAAACACATGCATAAAAACAATTAACATGGAAATTAGCTGCTCAGCCATGTCAAGGATAACTCACCGGTAGAGTTCAAATTATTCTAGAGAGAACGATATTCTGAAACGAAGAATTCTTGCATACTTTGCAAAGTCGGTGGACGCACGGCTGTACGCCCGGCCACCTGCGACCTTTCCAACGAGACTGTCATTCCTGACTTTCTTTCATCGAGATCAGGAGAGTCTCGATAGATATCCGCATATTCGAAGTGAGTAAGTCCACGTCTATGTAATATTCAAAAAGATGAAGCCTTTCCAGACTACCATTAGCGTGGACCAATATATACTTCTTCGTCGCATTTCAGATCTAGCCTAGCTTACACATACCAAGGTTAAAGATGAGAATTGAGGCCAACTTTCAGGGTCTGAAAGCCTAGCAGGTTGAATTTCACACATAGGGAAAAAGAGTAACCTAACAGTTCTGAGGTTATCCCGAAAGTCAACAAAGCCTTCAGGTTCGCCTCCTCAGCCCCTGAATCCCTCGCCTATGTAGCTGATCACCAGCGCAGCCAAGCTACTGTAGCCTCGGTAGCGAAGCTGAACTGAAACTCCCAAAACGAAACTTCAAACCCAAAGCCCACTCCAATATCTCTTCTCACATGTTGACCTAAACCCTCCATATTACAGTTCTTAACCACCCGATCCTAAATCAGCCAAAGCTGTCTTGTCGCGTCTTGCGCCCGACTTTCGCCACTGACTACCAGCTTAGCATCGCCACCAATAGTGTCCGATGTTGATGGGTTAGGACTCAAGCGAGAACTTTGAAGTGAGTCTGTTACAGAGGATGTACCATGTGGGCATCAACCTTGCTGCGATGGAACAGTCTGACTGTGGGTCTAGGGTACATACCCAACATTGGAGGAGATGGAGGATGCGACAATAGAACTGTAATCTGAAGTGACTTTGTTCTACTTGAGTTCGTCGGCTGTTTTCTCGAGCAGATGAAGAGTCTAATATTTTGATTCGCATGTGGCACACAATGATTTCATTCTGAATAAAACGTATCCAATAAGAAAGCATAGTATTATCTACCTGTAAATAAGAACTCCACTCCATTTCCAGATTTTGTCTCGCAAAAAGAGGTGGAAGTACTCTGAGAGCTGCTGTGTATACATAACATAGACATAGGACCGGACCAGCCACTCAACAGGAGGCTGCTTAGTTGACGTCCCGTAGGCCTCATAATGCAGACAACCTCCCCAACCAAAACCCATCCATGAATCCAATCCATCCAATCCATAAAGTCATAATCCAGGCCGGCGTTCACCTCCAATCATCCAAGTGGAGATCAGAAAACGAAGCCAGCAAGCGAGAAGTCCTCAAGACCCCCTTTCAAACAAAATCCCCATACTCCTCATCCACACCATCTCTCTTGCCAGGCCACTTCCTATTCCCCCTCCCCTCACTGTTCCCCCAAGCCCACCACTTCACCTCCCTCCCATCACCACCAAGCAAGCTATTTCACGCTCCCAAGCCCTGCGGCGCCTCCTTCATGGCGCTCTTCGCCTGGCGGTCGGTCTTGAGGCCCGAGAATCCACCCTTGAACATCTGCAGCGCAACAAGCGCGCTGGATGCAGTCCATAGGAGCCAGGAGAAGGCTGCGAAGGTGGCGTCTGCGCGGGCGGCGGCGCAGACAGAGCCGCGGCAGAAGAGGAGCTTGCCGAGGAAGACGGCGAGGGCGATGAAACCGGCGAAGTAGAAGAGCATGTTAAGGATGTTGAAAGCGAGGATTGGGACGGGGTGGGAGGCTGGTGGGTATGTTAGTTTCTGTTATGTGCTGGGATTTGGATGAAGAGAATGTACATACCTTTTGCCATGAATCGAGGTGCGAGTTCAAGGTAGGCGATGGAGATGAATGACCAGAGGGAGACGAAGATTAGGAAGTTGACTTGAGATGGCGAAGCTGTCAGGGTATCATTGTTGTACCAGTGGGCGACTGTTACTGTTGTTAGTCGTGTGCTCATATGCTGGCTCGATTTGAACAGAAGGCCCCCCATTGAGATTGAGAGGCTTCTTTCTGTTAAATCTGAAAGTACGCACCATATGCTGAAAGACCCATGGTTACCAGAGCGAAAACACCCTGGGCGATGCGGATTGGCAATAACATGTTAGGCGCCATTTCGAAGGTTGTGTATGGGATTTTGGTGTGGTGGTGAGTAGTGATTTGTTATTGACTGGCGAATTCGTTCTAGAATCTCGCAACTCTTGTTTGAAAGCGGCTGCAACTTGTGCGCGCGTTGATAAGGAGTGTATGAATATATAGACCGGTAGTTGATGAGATAAGGTTGAGGAGCAGCAAGCAGGACTTGAGGAAATGGGTGCAGAGCGGCAGTGATATGTATGATGAGAAGAAGAAGCGGAGGAGGGAAGAAAGTACCGTGAGATGATCGCAGACCACCCACTTGAGATTAGGTTAAAGTTGATTGGGAAAGGGTTGGATCGGAGTAGAAATCAAAGCAATTACGGGAGAACAGCGAGAGGCATTTGATTTTGATTTGAAGGCGTCGAGGCCCCTTGTATGAGAGGGCAGACGCACCGCATAATCTGGGGACGGTAGTCTTGACCCCTTCTGTATCATTTTGAAACGGGCAAGGGTAGCGACTGGGACAACAGGGGACAGCCGAGGCCTATCAAGCACTAGGGTTCGCAGTGGACGTCCATTCCGCCAATGAAACGGCGCGAATCAGAGGGGACCATAGCAAAAGTCGACATGTCTGCCCTGGGTGGTCCTGGTCAGGGTTCCATGTTATCGTCCGGCGATATGGTATTTTTTGGACTGGGCTGAAGAGGAGCATGCCCAAGTGCTCTCTTGGACACAGCGCGGGTAGCCAATTGACGAGGTTGAACAGCACCAGTTGTGGCGCCGCAATCTCCTCTGCACAATTTACCCCTCGTTGCACACGCAGAAAGTGAAATTAGTGAAATTGAGCAGAAACAGTGCCAAGTGATACATAGGAAAGGAAACCAGCCAGTAAAACAAAAACCGTCAATTAAAACCACACTGACGCTGTCCCGCGAAGCGACTAGCAAAAAGAATAGAGTGGCAAAGAAAAAAGCTCCCATCATGTCTTGCATCCCCTGACTTTGCCTTGCCAACCCTCCGAGATCCTCACCTCATCGTCTCCATAAACGTCACGAAGCTTTCAGAAGAAAAGCCAAAAGGTGGGTTCCGACACACGCGCTTTGTCGTCCAAGACTTCTCCAAGGCCAAGCAAGCGTGCTTCGCTCGGCAGTGAAACAAACACAGTCGCGCTCAGAGACGAATTCGGCTCGAGAACTTGTCAGACTTTGCGGCTCCCTGGGCTTGACTTTGCCCGTGCAGACGGCTTGGTATTCTTAGCCTCGCGACAGAATCTGTAAAGTTCAGACTGCGAGACTTCAGAGTTCATCGCGCGCCGGTGTGTTCGGATTTTGATCGTCAATCGTCCGGGGACGCCAAGATCGCCTTCAGATTCCCAGCCAGAGTCAGGACTGGAAGCTTTCTCCCTTGGCAATCCAATCATGCATCGCAGGCATGGCGTACGGTTCGATGCCGCGTCGATTGTGTGTTTCCAGGACGTGTCAATGCAGAGATCGGTCTGTAACAGATTCTATTTTGGGCTTGAGAAATACTGTGGATTCGCATCGCGATCTGACAAAGGGGTGCACACGTGACTTTGAAGGCGGGTTTGGATGCGAGGCTAAACCAAACGAGGGAATCTCAAACTCGTTTGAAGTATCTCCAAGATGTAGAGATGATAATCTTGTCTGACACATGAGAACAAGATGTCTTGGGGGAATCTTGGGAGATGGAGAAATGCTTGAGTTGTGGTCTTTCCCCAAGTTTTGCTGACGTTTGATGGGCTTGGAATATGGCAGTGTTTCTTGTTCTTCGTCTGGTGTAAAGAGTCATGGCTGGGCTCACATGGGTAGAAGTCTTGAAGTTTGCTGCTCAACGAGATCTGAATCGTGGGGAAGTGGCAGTGTCTCACGCGATGAGTCCACTGGTATGAGTCTACTGGACATGGCAATTATCTACCAACATTCATTCTTTCTGGTGCGAGACGTGCGCCTTTCGACTGGTAGGTGATCGCCTCAATCTCTTGCGTAACAACTGCTGGCTTTCTTGGTTATAAGGTAGGTAGTGTTCTAGAAGAACTCAGGTGTTTAGTCCCAAGAGGATTGATGGCCACTGGGAATATTGCTAGCTGAAATGCCTGTAGGCTGTAGGTACATCATGATACCATCCTCTAACTGGAAGTCACTGTGGACTTGTGAAGAAGAGCTGCAGTCTAAAACCCAGTACCGCGCAAAGCCTGCCGGGTTCCAGTTCGACGATACGAGACGAGGTATCAAATCCTAGACTCATACCCTTTCAGCTCTTGGGCTTCATAATTACTTGAACAGGAAGTTACATTGCCCTTGAATCCGGCCGGAGCGTCCTTCAATCCTGTTGTCAAGCCCACGCCCTTCAGCCGGGTATCTCTGGGCAAGTGGTTGTAATAAGGTTACGAGATTCCCGAGGAGCAGCATGTTCAGCTTCTCCAAGTCAAGCCTCGACAAGGTGCGGTGCAGATGAAGCCGAAGCCGAAGCCGAAGCCGTTGAGATAAAGGTATCCATCAGCCCAATCACGTTTGCTTACTCGGCAGCGTACCGTATCGAGCGTATGTCCGGCCTGTCTCGGCCCGGAGAGACCCCTTTTGCGCTGCCCTGCGCTGCCCTACGCTGCCCTACGTTGCCCTACGCTGCCCCGCCGAGCCTGTCCCTCATTAATAGGTATTGTTCCTACCTTATCAATTTGGCGGGGTCATCTCATCTCATCTCATGGCTGACTGCAGATCCTAACCACAGCTTTTCTGTGCGGCTTCGGAGCTGCAGCAAACAAAAATGCAAATAAAAGTCGCACAGCTGAGTCCATCACTTTTTTGCATCATTATTTACCTGTACATCTCATTGGATAGAAAGGAAGAAGGAACACCTTCATTCCGCTTTGAGAAGGGAAGGGAAGGGCAGGATGGCGTGCTCAAGCCAACTAAGGTACTTACCCCACATTGGGGATCGCCGACCTCACCCTCACCTGTACCTACCTTACCTGCTTACCTACCTACAGTGCCAGCCCACCAACAGCAGAGCTCGGGAGGAGGAAACTGGCTCATAAAAGACGCCGCCCACTCCTCGAATTTCTCCCAGCTTCATCACTTACACTCCCCAGATACACAAACCGAAAGAAAACGTAGAAACCTTCACAATGGCGCCTCCATCAACAAACTTCGAGACCCTTCAATTGCACGCTGGTAGCTATTACCCTTACCCCTCCTCCACGCTAGGACAATCAATCCTAACTTTTGAGTAGGTCAAGAACCAGACCCAGCAACCAATGCACGCGCAGTCCCAATCTATGCCACTACCGTACGCAGCTTCACAAATTGTCCCTTATTGCTTGGAAGCTAATTGGGTTCCAGTCCTTCACATTCAATGATTCTGCTCATGGCGCCCGATTGTTCGGTCTCAAGGAATTTGGAAACATCTACAGTCGGATTATGAATGTAGGTTCTCTATTTCAATCCGCCATTTCCAGAGGAACACATCGATAGCTTTTCAGCAATCCGCAGATCATTGGACCCCGTGTTATACATGATCCCTGATCTCTGCAAGCCATCGGGCACAGCCTTCTTAACAAGCTGACAGAAAGCCTATTTCTTCTCCAAACTCTGAATCTTCCGTAAGCTGACTTTACTTCTCAGCCAACAGTCGATGTTTTCGAAAAGCGAATTGCAGCTCTCGAGGGCGGTGTGGCGGCAGTAGCAGCCAGTTCCGGGCAAGCGGCTCAATTTATGGCAATTGCAGCTCTTGCACATGCTGGTGATAATATCGTATCCACAACGAACCTGTACGGAGGAACCTACAACCAACTGAAGGTCTTTCTTCCCAGACTCGGCATCAATACCAAGTTCGTCAACGGAGACAAGCCAGAGGATTTTGCTGCTGCAATCGATGAGAACACAAAGGCTGTCTACATTGAGAGCATTGGAAACCCAAAGTACAACATTCCAGATTTCGAGGCTATTGCGAAGGTCGCTCATGATCACGGCGTCCCTCTCGTTGTTGACAATACATTTGGAGCAGGAGGTTATTTCGTTCGTCCAATCGACCATGGAGCTGATATCGTGGTTCACTCAGCCACTAAGTGGATCGGTGGTCACGGAACTACAATTGGAGGTATTGTGGTTGATTCCGGAAAGTTCGACTGGGGCAAGAACGCGAAGCGATTCCCTGAGATGGTTGAGCCATCCCCAGGATACCACGGCCTGAAGTTCTGGGAGACCTTTGGACCCATCACATTTGCTATTCGTGTCCGTGTTGAGATACTCCGGGATTTGGGAAGCTCTCTCAATCCATTTGGTGCCTTTCAACTTCTTCAAGGTATCGAGACATTGAGCTTACGTGCTGAGCGCCATGCGCAAAATTCCCTTGCCCTTGCTAGATGGTTGGAGAAGAGCCCACACGTCTCATGGGTCTCATACCCAGGCCTCGAGAGCCATCCTTCGCACGAGTTAGCCAAGAAGTATCTCCCACGAGGTTTCGGTGGCGTACTGAGCTTTGGCGTTAAGGGTGGTGGAGCTGCTGGCAGCCAGGTCGTTGACGGTTTTAAGCTGATTTCTAACTTGGCCAATGTTGGAGACTCCAAGACCTTGGCTATCCACCCATGGTCAACTACCCATGAGCAGTTATCTGAGGATGAGAGACTTGCGTCTGGTGTCACTGAGGTATGTTTTCAACTTCCATCCCTAAGATTGTCTCGGCTAACATAGGATCTTAGGACCTCATCCGTATCTCAGTTGGCACAGAACACATCGACGACATTATTGGCGATTTCCAACAATCCTTCGAGGCATCTGCAGCAGCCAAGACTACCGGAGGAGCTGATAACTCGACTGCCACCGGTAATGCAGGCGGTGACGCTAAGTTGTAAGTATCGGGTGAGCCCAATGTTTTCTTCTCAGTCGAATAAGCGACACGCCGACCTCTTCGGAAATTCTCATAACTGCAATACCTCTTTCAGATCGTTGACTAATCAATGTTTTGATAGGGTCGTCTAGATGACTTGGTTCGCAAAGTTTCCGTGCAGGTCCATAAATTCTTTTTGATTTGAGCACTTCCTTCATATACCTTTGCAGCGAGATCTTGACTTTACGGCAAGATGTGGTCGGATAAAAAGTACGACATGTAGATCCAATAGTTGGGTTGACAGGGGTTGGTAGGTGGTGTTGATTCACTTTTGTTGTTGCCACTGATAAAATTCTATCATGCATCCACCGTACCTAGTTAATGCAAAAGCTCTTCCGAGATCTCCTCACTGATACATCCTACCTTCTTCGGCCACCGTAATGCCGCTCGTGCATTCCAGAATCCAGTGGCTTGAGAGATAAATTTTTGCCTGAATAATCGCCTCCTGGTTTTTTGGCGCCTTCAATGATTTGTCAGAACATTGTGCCCTGTAATGGTTGGAATTTTGTGATATACTAATAACAGGTTCAAGGTAAGAATTTGCGGAAAGAACAATAGATAGAACGAGCAAAGCTATTCAAATTACTTTTCTTCTGTAGTGAGCCATGCATTATGAAATAGGCCGTGTCTAGATAGATGTGGATGGCGGGGCCGGAAATAATGATGCAAGTTCACAGACGTTGGCCACAGGTAATCCAGCTATCTGAACTAACTGCACAGAACCCGAGGAACAAAAACTTCCCCTAAGCCATAACTAATTTACGCTTCTCGACGACGACGAAGTGTTGTACGAGAAGGTTTGGCACTATCTGCGTGATATCAACCCGAACTTTCGGATAGCTGGCCGATCAAGCCTTCCCCGCCGTGTCTACTTCCCATTCTAACAAGCACTCTCGAAGGCGTTCGATCATCTGAATTGCTGTACTAGTGGCTATGCGTCCTAGAATCATCTTGGTAGGTAGAACGTAGAGAAAGCAGAAAACAAAACTTGCTCGAAAAAGGCTCACTTGTCGGCAAGAATCCTCAAATTGTACTGGGAGTCTGGAGCAGACTTTTGACATTCTCATCGGAGTAAACAAAGCCCTCACACATCAAAATCGAAAAGTTGTCCTGGCCGCCTGAACCTGTCACTCCAATACTGCTGAGTTTGGTATCTGGGAACATCCTCCAGAGGTTTCAAGACATATCGCTCCTCCAAATAACGCCTTGCGTGATCCTTCGGCCCCAGAAGTCGCGACACACCATCCACATATTTTCTTGCGTCTTCTGTGGTGGAAGCTTCGAGTATAAGATCCACGATCTCCAGCTGCCCGTGATCTATCGCTGCACTGAAAGCAGACTGCAGCGTCCAATGCCGTGGTATGAACGCTTGGCCGTCTTTCTCGCCCAGCGACCGCCGATATGCCCTGATCAATGCGCCAGCATATTCCGCATCACCCATCTTGGCGGCGCTCTCGATGTGTTCTACCCACTTGATGTCCTTTTCTGGCGGACAACTTTTGAAACTTTGCACAAAGACGGTTGCTAGCTTAGACCTTCCAGCTTGTTCTAGCCGGTTCAAAATTCTCGACAAGTCCGTAAAAGTGCCACCCTTTGCACTCAGTAGACGTACACACTCGATTGCGTCATCCTCGTTTACTTCTTCACGAATGAAAGTTCTCATATGTTGTAGAGAGATGTTGAAGTCGAGGTCAGTACCGCGCGCAATTAGCTTGCGAATGAAAGGCAAGTTGGCCATCGTAGCTGCAACGTCAAGCGCGCCACTGAGACAAGCATTGTAGCCACTTTTCTCGCTATGCTTGTCGAGCTGTTCCAGTATGAGTCTGGCAATAGAGTCATGTCCTGAGCTTAGCGCAGCAGCCAAGGCTGACTCAGAATAACTGCCTATCTTTGTGAGGTCGACATTGTGCCTGAACAGAAGGCGAAGAATGTCTTCTGAGCCACCTCTCGCTGCTATAATCGCGAGCGTTTGTCCTGATTTACTTACTGCATGGACATTGGCGCCTTTTGCGACGAGGAACTCGAAAGTCGCATATCGTCCTTCTTCCGCCGCAACCATAAGAGGTGTTTTCTCCTGGTAGACTCGAGTCTCTTCCAATTCAAACCCTTGCGTCAAGAGGTAAGCTACAGTCTCGACGCTGCTGCTCTTGGCGGCTTTGTGCAGTAGAGTTGAGTCATAAAACGTTGGTGTCTCCTCATCTGGGAATTCAGGGTCGGGGTCAACTGTGCTTCCACTGCCCGGGACTCGAAGTATGGCTCCATTGTCGAGAAGCAATTTCAGCACTTCTAACTGACCATGTTCTGCAGCAATTTCTAGCAGTTGATCTAGCGTTCCTTCCAATCCCTCCCGCTTAGGATAACCATAATCATCGGTGCTCTTGAATATGCGGCTCTGGCGGTAGTACCTCTGATATATGGCATCTTCCTCATCCTCATCGTCGTCCTGGTCATTTACGGTTTGAATATCAAATTTCTCCGCCTCCCGTTTCCTGGAATCATCCAAAAGCCACTCCACAATCGGCACATGCCCATACTGACAAGCTGTGCTGATAGGGTTGGTGACGACACCATTTTTTCTCAGGACTCTCAATACCCCAATGTGACCATTTTTCGCAGCCATCTCTGACGGAGTGAAATTGATGTTCAGGCTGAAACGAGTTTTCCGCCCTTCATCATTGGGGAGCTCCAAATATGCTTCTGGGTCAAAGCCGTAGGCAAGTAAAATCGCCACAGCGGTCTCATGGCCATTTTCTGCAGCGCAATGAAGTGCGGACCTCCGTTTGCGATTGTTGCGAATCGAAGCACCATGTTGAAGTAAGAGAGCCAGTATTCCAATGTGACCAATTTTCGCAGCTCCTTCCAGAGCGCTAAGTCCTCCTAAGATAACCCAGGAGTTAGCAAGTGCCGTATCTGGTACGTGTTCGGGAGATAATCAGGTAATGAAGAAAATCATGGGACCCTCTAATACCTACCTGAAAGACTCACAGGTCCGTTAGGATCAGCGCCAGCTGCTAGTAGACGAGTAACAATAGCCAAGTCGCCACGCTCTACAGCTGCTTGGAGAGCTGTCCGACCATTGTTAGCACAGGGAAGTTCGTTGACATTGATATCGGCAGCGATGAGCTTCTCGAGGAGGTCAATGTCACCAAGAGATACGGCGATTTGCATGACTGTGCGACCATTATCAGAAGCAACTTTCTCGTAATGTCCTGCTCCTTCTGCCACCAATGCACTGATCTCGAGACTTGCATCTTTCCTTCCACTCAGGGCTAGTCGCTGTAAGCGGCTTGCTGGCAGGATAAATGCACCTTCGCCAACAACATCCGATTCGAATTTCAGGATCGTAGGATTAGGAGCTCCCAGGTCTTCCTTAGAAGACGAAGCGACAACTGATTTCTGGGGTTGGTTGTCTTTAGCATCACCAATCGTTGGTTGGCCATGTTTGAATGGCATCTCCATGAGTGCACCAAAGCTTTGCAATGCTTTGGCGACTGTGCGACAAGCAACACAACGAGTTCTGTCATCCTGGTACATATGGTTGCGGACGCATAGCCCACAGAACACATGATTGCATGGCTTCAAAATGGTGTCTACCAGATTTTCTTCACAGACTACACATCCCACCACTTTCGTGTTCTTCGATAGAGTGGCCTGCAGCTGGATTCCCATTTTTCGTCTCGCTGTCCAACTGTATGAAGTTTGTCAAGCACTCCTCCGCCTTGTATCGACGCATCACCGAGGAGCTCAAAAAATGGCAACTTCGCTTTGATATAATCCTTGAAGCTGATTGGCGGTGGCGGCGGTGTAAAGCCCGTGACGGCCTCAAAGATCACAGAGTTGACGATCTGTACGTTGACCAGCCTCGCCCTTGACCCTAACGTAACGGAGATATTAGCAATTACTACAACTGAAGTTGTGACAACAGGTTACAACATATGTCCAGAGAATCCCAAATTTTTGGGAGAGCGGAGAATGAGCCTCAATACTTACAGTTCCACTCCAGAGGTTCTTTATCAGGTATAATTGCCTGCTTGATTTCTCCACCCGTTGCAAGGCCCATATCCCACTGAAGTTCTTTCTTTGGTTTTGTGACAATTTGCGGTTCACGCTCAGCCGCGGCGCCCGTGAAGAACTCGAGGGTGTATCCCTTCTCACCGTCAGCACAATTTAGCACGAATTTGACATATCCTGAAATAGTTCAAGGACATTTAATCTTGTAGATGACGCTCCAATCTATACTAGAGATATCAGGGGAGAAACGCTGACCTGGCAATAAAGTACCGCATTATCAGTCATAACCTTGTGAATGGGGGTATATTTGCTTGGCCGTTGTATCTCTTCGTTGCCCAAGGTGAAGAGCACAACCTCGTTGACAAATAACAGCTTTGCAAGCCTTCTTGCCAGGTCGTTGATACCTATGAAAGGCGAGTATTCTCGGGGTAGCTCCACCGGGCCGCAGCGGGTACGCCGGAGTCCGACATATTTCCCTGGAGAGTAGCGTGTGACCTTGTACTCTTTCGGTGAGCGTACAATTATAATAACCTTGTATGGCCGAATTGGGATAATCGATATAGGTTTGCTGAGGTTTCCCATCCCAGGAAAGTGGACAGCCATCTCATGGACGAACAGTGGACGGCCTTCTTCACTGTGATGGAACATGCATCCATCTTCGATAAAGTACTTGCTGACATCCCCATAGCCGAATTCTTTGGCTCGCAAACTAACTGCATCACCGGACATGTACAGACGATCGTCTACCTTCAGGCCAAGTTCTCGGGTCGTCAGTCGCTGGTTATCGTGTCCTCGAAATGTTCCTCTGACACGAAAGCGTGGTGCAATTAGAATTTGAAGACCGCCAAAAGCTTCTTGACCAGTAACCTGGCCTTCAGCTGTATAGTCTGAGCCAAGAGGCACCGACACAAACTGCTTAACAATCCCTGCGCGAACCAGGAAACCATCAATCCTGTTCTGTAGCGGCGCCAGGACATAGTCTTGGGCATCGTCTTCTTTAGACCGCTTCTGAGTGACACCAGAGATTGTATTGACCGAACCAGCATAGATTCTAACTGCGAAATCCGCATGTACCTTCATGTGTCGAAATAACGGGGGTTCTCCAGAGAATGTTAATGCCAAGGCCTCTCTCTGCCATAGGGGAATAAGCAGTCCACCTTTCCTGCGAAATAAGAGATGGTCCAGGCTCAGTTCCTCACTGTTGATTAATGGGAACGGCGAGAGTAGGACTGGTGGGTTGTACAGTATTCCGTCTTCGGGCACACGCAGAGTCCTGGAGAAACCGACCTCTATCTTTTTCGACGAAATTCCAAAGTGGTCGACTATGATAATCTTTCCCTCTTCAGACATCTTGGAAATAGTCATGGGTGGAGCGCTGTGCCCCGTCTCACCGACTCTAATAAAGTCATCGAAGTAAAGTTCAAGGGGCGTGTCTATGTTGATCCGCAGACCCCCTGCCATTGAGAATGTCGATAAACCTTTCGTGACATGTACAGACACCTCGTCCTCATATGATGCGACCGGTGTGAGAAGCTTGTTACCCATTTTGAAACCACAGATCTTGCGGTAGCCCTTCTGTTGCAGGAGATTTAAAGCATCGTCCCAGAAATCGCTCAAGCTCAAGGCTATTGACTGTGTCTGACTTTGTGAGGACTTATCAAGCCCGAAAGGCAAGTCAGTGACGAGCAGTTGAGCTTTGAAAGGTGCAACTAATGGACGTCGTATTGGTGCAAGCTCTATGTCGTCCATGATTTTTGGAACGACGTGGACCCTGTCCTCTGCTTCCTCACAGGCAAAGGTATCAAGCCAGTCATCAAACGAGCCAAATGAGGTGATTGCATCTGCATCGGGCGTAGGATCAACATATTGACTACTGGCAGTAGACACAGTTTGATCCACGAGTTTTAGGCTGCTGACTGAGGACGCAGAGCTCGGTCCCGATTTTCTGAGTGCAGCAAACCCATTATCAACATAATGCTGCAACGGATCCACCCAATTTGCAGGCCCAATGGACGTTTTCTTCACCTGCCTGATGTCAACCGCCAATTGATCAGGCTTTGCGTGGACCTCTTTCGCGGAGCTATGCTGGCGCACTGCAAGAGCGACATTGACGGCAAGCGTAAACTTATCTAGCCGCTGCTGGGACTCCATAATCGCTGCCATCTTGGATTTGAAGGTCATCTGTGCATAAGCCTTGACGACGATGTTCTTCAAGAACAGCGCCTTGACAGCTTCGAGCTCCGCTTGCACGTCCCTGATAGATAAATTAGTCTTACAGCCCTCCACACATTGACGAAGTGGATCCTCGTCTCCTCTGGGCTCCTCAGTGAGAGATTTCTGTAGCTGCTTCAAGACCGAAGCGAGTCTGTTTAGATCTGTTGACAGGTCTTTCAACAACTTCGGCCGCTTTTTTACGTCGTTGTAAAGACTTTCACAAACCCTGACGACCTGAACTGTGAGTGTCAAGAGACCTGCAACAGATGCCGCGATACTTAGTGGATCCATGTTGACGTGTTATACTGTTTATAGTACGCCAGCGACATATAAAGATTTGAAAGGGAATGTTGCAATGTGGCTATTCCATAGGAGCGGCGCCCAACAGTATTTGTAAATGCCCTTGGTGCATCCTGCTTGATGTTCACAGTTCAGATAGGTCTTCAAAAATTGAGAGCCGACCCCAGTTTGCATTTCGAACGTGTTGAAATCCAGCAGTTCAAACCGAAGGAGTCCTCTCTTCTAACCAGAGCTTTGGATCGACAATCCATGATTACTCGACAAGACGGACATGGACAGGGCTGACACTTTCTGCTCCATCGTGGCTTATGCTTGCAAGTTGTCGGATTTTGGCACCACTCCACTCCACTCCAGTGGTTCCAGAGGGCCAGATCACGTCCTTCACAAGCCAGCGGCTTGTTCCGTCATGTATCGTGTTGCTGGACTACATCTCAGCCAGGGCACTGCTGCAAAATGGTGTTCTAGCCGCAAAACATGCGGGTAACAGTGACAGTGTAATCTTGCATTTCTGGTTGACCCTACGGGTTTTTTTTTACAGACACTGTCTGTAAATAGGCATTTTGGACGGATTTTCTGTCTGTATTTTAGTCAATTGTCTGTATTTTTCTCAGCTGGATTCTCTGATTCTGATTGATTTTTGAAGATTTAGAGTGAAAATACAGACATTACCTGTAATTTAAGGAAAATACAGCTATTGTCTGTATTTTAAGAGTTTTCTGACTAATAAAGTTAAACATCCCCTCTCTTATTTCCCTCCCCCTTTCCTTCCCTTCCCTTTTCCTACTCTCTCTCTCCTAAGGTCTCCCTCTAAAGGTATATCTCCCTCCCTCCTCCCTTCTCCCTCCTAAGGTAGGTCTTCCTCCCAAGGTCTCCCTCTCTCCCTCCCTCCAAAGGTAGGTCTCCCTCCCTCCCTCCCTCCAAAGGTAGGTCTCCCTCCCTCCCTCCCTCCTAAGGTAGGTCTCGCTCCTCCCCCCTAAGGTAGGTCTCCTTCCTAAGGTCTCCCTCCCTTCCTCCTAAGGTAGGTCTCCCTTCCGAGTGTTCCGGAGGTAAGTAGTAAAAGGTCTGTGTTTAACTTTATATTAAAACATGAAAAGTCTGTGATACACACTAAATTGTCTGTGCTTTTTCATGCGTCTATTACAGACATTGTCTGCACTTTTTGGACACACTTGTAGCAGACATTGTCTGAATTTTGTCTGTATTTTACTACTACTAGGAACATAGATAAAATGCAGACACTTTACAGACGTTGTCTGCATGAAAACCCCCGTAGGGTGAGGACTGGGCGATGGGGACCTTCCTCTCTGTGGCTAATGGGGGCAAAGCCACAATGTCGCTTGACCTTCCCTTCTTTCCTTGACTTTGTCAACAAGGGACTTTGAACCACATTATCATCCCGATATAAGGCCCCCAAGAACGCGGTCGGTAGGGAATAGGAGGTAAATGAAATCATGCAGAGATCAGGTATTCGGAAAGTTCGATCATAGCCAATCAAAGTGGCACTTGCCACGGACAAATTCAACCCTTAAAAAGTTCGCAAACCACGTTGGATTGTCAATTCATTCTTTCCGGCACTACCACAACTAAGGCAGCCAGCCAGATAGAGTCACGTTGTCCGCTTTCAGCAGCTACCTGTCTGCCATGTTTGCCTCCTATCCATAATGCAGGGCTACATCCACGCAGCCGTCTTTCGGTACACAAATACAATGCCAATGCCGATGCCATCCCTGTTCCCCCTAAGTCTTGATATCAGACCATGCTGCACCTCCTCGCTATCAAGACGAGCAGTTATCAATCCCACTCCTGAACGCCGCCAATGAATGCACCATGCCCAAAACATACATGGGCGCAACGACACGCTGCGGTGGACGCGAAGTAGCGTCAGACGAAAAGAAGAAATGCTAAAGTACAATAAAGTGAGATGTTTCCTTTTATCTTATGAAAATTCGGCACGGCTTTATTTCAAGCGGCCACAGCAGTATCACCATTGATCGGTTTCTGCTCTTCTACTTCCACGGTCGGATCGGCCGCTTTCAGGCGGTCTGGGAGACCTGGTCGCCATTTGGTGAATAGTTTCACTACCATTGGTCGGGCATCCTCATCTACTGTTGATTAGTCTTTAGGGTAGGGAGGTCAGGAGCTTGGATGGCCAAATCTGCTTACAAGTATCCCAAATATCCTCCACGGCATTCAAAACCAGCTCCCTAACCGGCGGTCTATAAGCAACCAAGAAAAGCAGACTCTGCAACGCCATATTGACCGTCGCAGGATCTCTACAAAGACCTTTAACGCGATCCAACACATCCATGTTTAAGCCAGGGATCTCGCCTAGGAATTTGATGACCAAACCTCTGTCTTGACCATCCAAATATGGCACCATGCCATCCAAGACTTTGAGAACCCATTCCTCGTAATGGAGAGGTGCGGTTGGGCAAGACGTTAGCTGGATCTTGTCGTTGTACCACTCTTCGCAAAGCCAAGTAAGTGCGGTATCGAGGCGCTTCCGGAAATCTTCTAAAATATACGCGCAAAGATATTCTCGGATTCTTGTGGCGAGAGATCCCGAGATTGAACCATCTTGCTCTGATTTGATTTCTTTTGCCTCTTCTAACATTCCTGGCGTACGAGTGGCTATCCGGCTGAGAATAGTGACCCATGCATCGCGATCATATGCACTCGCTGCAAGTCTGTTGATACCGGCCTTAGACTTCTTGCCTCTCTCGTCTAAGGACTTCATTATATCAAACATCTTTACGATTGTCACTTGGCCGACTTGGCTAGCTTGCTCAAGAGTCAAGGGTGGAGGTGCAGGGAGCATAAAATGTCCAAGAGCTACACTGGGAGCTGTGACTGTTGTCTCCTCTGGAGGCGCAATGTCGAGCTTGTTTAATATCTGTTCCGTATCTTCTGCAGCGTAGAAATCCGGCTCATAATCATCGTCTTCCTCATCAACGCCTAATGGAGCAGTGGCTGGATCGAGAATGACTGGCGCGGCAGCCTCCAAGATCTTGTATCTATGGCGTACACCCTAAATAATTCAGAACTCGGACTGCACTGTACAATGTCAGGCTTACCTCAACTGCTTGATTGAGAGTGTCTGCATCGATCTTCTGCATGATAGTAACTCCAATCTTCAGAACCAAGTCTTCAGACAACTGTGATACGTCAAAAGTCTTCAATGCATCATCCGTAGTAACTGTGAACAGTTCTGCAATTGTATGTGGTCCTGGTGTAAGCGGTGGCACATTGAGTCTTGGAGCCAGTCTCGATACAGGAGCCCCCAACTTCTGTCGCTTTGCAGCATCGAAGCCATCTGTAGGTTCTGGAGGCCCGCGTTTCCGTGCGGATTCATCAAATATATCTGATTTTGATCTCATCATCCGCTCGATGTATTGATGCATCTTTCCAGCTAATGGATGCTGCTGGTCGCTGTACACTGTCAGCACTTCCTTGGCAATATGATTTTGACGCATACCGTTTGAGGACATGGAGAAGCAACGATCGAGTGGTCTTCTCCATAGACTTGACCATGACACGAAGTTTAGGGGTCATAGGGGAGTTTGCTTGCTTTAGCGGGTTGAAATTCAAGATGACACTCAAGATTTTACTGGAAATATGGGGGCGGGCACGTATTAGAGTAGAGAGGGAGTTCAACGTTGCATCAACAAGTACCGCATCGCTGCTCATGTCAGTCAGTGATAGCGGGAATTTAAAGATTACTTACCTGCTATTCTCATGGAATACTGCAAGCATTCTGTCCAACAGACCGGACGCTTCCGCTTCGAGGTTCTTTGGTGGTATCAGGGGATGATTTTGAGGTACCATGGAAAGAGAGACTTCCAGGGGATCGCCACGCTGTGGAAAGTAAGCGTATGCACTCCAGGAACACTTTTCAAACCATTCATACTCTTGGATCGGCATCTGGGCCTTTTGTTTGAACCAATACTACTCTTTGGGCAAATTTAATGCAGCATATCCGTACACCAGGAGCAGCGCTGTCCCACATCCGCAGTATTCTCGACTTAATGGCGAGCATTCGTTCCCAGGTTGCTGAGTCGTAAGAGTTGTTGATGCTGTTAATGCACAAACGTTAGATCCAATTCCTTCCCAAAAATCATTGGCCTGGCCAAACTTCTTATCCAGACGGGCGGTATATTCAAGCAGCAAGTCATATAGAAGGCGCAGGCGCGATAAAAACTTCTAAGATGCATGCATATGGTGGGGAGGGATGCTACGTACATCCATCTGAACACCAAAGGATATATGCTAGCAGCAGTCTGCACCACACTTTTCACCACAGCCGAATCCTCCTGCTGGTTCTCAATCATACTCTTCAACGTCTCCAACACAATCAGACTCATCGCTTCCTTTTGCTGCGGCGCGACTGATGGACTCGCAAATGTTTCTGCCAGGAATTCGGAAACCCATCGTCGTAGCTCGACCCTCGAGCCAGGAGCGCCTATTGGGAGAATTCCCTGCACGACTTGTGGATAGTGTATGGCATCATTCAAGACCAATTTGCGCGCATTCTCGAGTTGTTTTATCTGATCGTGGACGGGGGACTCCATGATATCCTGGAGATGCTTGAGTAGCTGGCACGAAGCTCTGCGAGGGGTTCCTGGATCTGCATGTGCGATATGAATGAAGCTATTATCTCAATTGTAGTCGCACAGAAAACGATCCGGTGGTCGAGATAGGCATGGGGGTTTCCTACATGGAATTTTGTGGTCGACGTTCTGTTGAAGAAAGAGAGATAAGAGCTCTTTGAGTTGACCTCAGCGATGAGACGCGCCTATACCACTGAAGCTGTCGGGAAAATAAGGTTGCGCTAGCATTAACGCCTAAGGCATCCATACAGCTTGGAACCAACTCCTCGAAAGCCAGAGCGCCAGCCTGAAAATGGTTCGAGATTAGAGGAGACAAGGGAATTGCTTCAGCTTCACCCAGAGTTCAAGATGGCAGTGTAGGTCACGTTGTGAACAATTATTGTCTGGTTATATTCACTAACGCACCTGTAGATTACCGCGATCGTCATACTACGACAAGCACTATAAACAATCTGCCGCCCTGATCCGAGCCAGAAGACCTTATCTCATCAAGAATGCGCTGACCGGTCTGGCCTTGTTTGGCTTCTGCGGCTTCGTCTGTTAGTAGTTGAATTGGACGTGTGCTACTTGAATTCAGGACTGATTGGTGTTTGGCAGATTCATTTACGATCCGAGCGGTTTCTCAAGATGATTTTGAGGATGTGAAAGTTCCAGATGCTCCTGTACCATCAACCAAACCAGGAGCCAGTACGATAGCGGCTGCTGGGAAGTAAGGACTGGTGCAGGCGACTTGTGGGGTGGGTAACTTAGAGGATCTGGAAGGATTTGGCGCAGTGTATAATACGATCTGCATGGGTGGCGTTCGGTCCCAAGGGAGCTTGATATCAGAGTGAACCATCGATTGTAGTTCTACATTACAAGTACATACGCCAGGGAATATAACGTCTGCGCCTATGAACCCATCATCCCGTCCGTCTATACAAGACAAGACCAAACCTGCATCATCCAAAACTCCCCCTGGTGTAAATGCCCGAACTCATAACGCCTCCACCGTATGTGCGCCGTCATAATCGTATAAACTGGGTTAAAAGCGACTCGTCATTGCAGCTGCTTGCTCACGTCTTACTTCATGTGGAAGATCTCGAGGAACATCAGATGGCTCAACCGGAGACTGTTGATTTACATTACTCTTGGGAGCGTCCAGCGGTTGAGATAGGGGTTGGGGTTGAGGTTGGCCATGTTGTTGGTTTGGCAATGCTGGTGGATGCCGGTTGTGTTGAGGGGATAATGATGTTTGCCGGCTACCTAACGGAGATGGGGCTATGGTATGAGTGTGGTTGGAGTTTCCGAACGGATTGTGTGGAGAGATGCGGCCCCCAGACAGGCCGTTCGATTGATGCAGTAAAGATGAGGAATTAGAAAACGTACCCGAGATGGGCAACCCGGAGCCATGTTGATGCGAATTTCGTCGAGGCTGAACCTGGACTTGAGAAAAGGGGCTTGCAGTTCTCGGCGTTCGCTGAGCAGAGGGTTGTCTTTGGAAGAGATGACCATGTGACGGATGCTGAGGATTTGCCCAGGGAGTTTCCTTCATAAACTGCTCCTCTGCTGGTTTGAACCGTGAAGACGAACTGACATTGCGCAAGGCAGCCAGTTCGTGAAGTGGAATGGCTGGCTGGACCTGCAGGACTTGTTTTGTTCGCTAACGAGAGTCAGCATATTTTGCAGGAAGAGGGAAGGATAAAATTACGCCCATCTTCTCAAAATCCTCTTCCAGTTCCGCTGTAGTCGCTGATGCCATGGGTGGAGCTGCAGGGAATCCAACATACTTGGCCACCCCGGACAGAATGGACACTTCGGTGTTGTATGCCGTTTGGTTTGTGATCTGTTGTGATCTCCTTGTCTGGAACTTCAGAGAATAATCTGGAACACTGCCGGCATGATTTCTTCTATCGTGCTGTATTTCGTACCATTTCTGCCCCAGCTGCTCGAGCTTCTTTTCCCGAATCTCGCGGACTTCTTGTTGGTATTGGACTAGAACTTGACTCCTCTTCGCTACTGACTGAATCTTAAGATTCTCAAGTTCGTATTCTCTCAGCTTATCTGCGATTCGTATGCGTTCGTCACGACGAGCAGTGATGCTTTTCATCATCGCTAGGTAGCCGGGATGGGTAGGGTTATCTTGTCGAAGCATCTCTTCTTCTCGATTCAATTGCGCCAACCTTTCATCGTAGAGTCTTCCATCATAATTAGCGATGCCCCAACAATAAAGGTCGGTATTCCTTACCTGTCTCGGAAAGTAGCGAATTGACGTTCTATGGTGGCCAACTGATCCAATGCAATTCGCTTTTTCTCAACTAAGACCGGTCAGTAGCATTCGAGGAGTGCTGGAATTAAGAATATCTCACGCTCTTCCTCATTTCTCATGGCAGCCTCTGCCTCGTCATCACCCTCGGCATCTGCCTCTTCATCGCCATTCCTGACTTCATGATCCCCATTGACAGCAACATCGCCATCCGCATCCTCGTGTCCCCCGACGCCATTCTCTGCAGCCCTTTTCTTCTTCCGGCCTCGCTTCTTTGGAGAAATTGGAATATCTGGGACCTCAGTACTGTTCTCCTCAGCTGCGACAGCTTCTTCGCCTCCCTCGGCGATTTCATCCTCCTGCACTGCCCCTCCCTCGTCTCCAGAAACATTACCGCTGATCGGATTCGAAAGGTCTCCATCCTCGTCCGGATCAACATCGTCTTCAATCGCATAATCGTCGCCGGGGGTCATCACAGACCCAGTGCGCTTGCGCAAAGGCTCTTCGAGGTCATCGTCAACCGCGCCCCCCGCCATTATCGAACGTTTGCGCTTTCTTGTGTCCGCGTCTGCGACTGATAGCACATTCTTGCCCTCGCCAGAAGAGTCTCCTAAAGAGGTTGCCGCTGTTGTGGTTTCTGGCTCGGGCTCCCCACGCTCTGAGCTTTTTGGAGAATCGGGATCGTTCAGGGAGATGTCATCGGAGGACAATGGGTCGTCATCGTCGTCGTCTTCCAGATCAACGGGTGCTATTTGTTTATGTAGTTTACTCGGGCTATGTTCGTAGGTCTGATTGTTGCCGTGCGAGCTCATGACGAGATCCTGTTGTCGAAATTTGTTTGGAGACTCTTCGAGCCGTTCAGTCTCTGCCTCAGAATCGTTCTCGTCATCAGAAATCATGCTGAGTTCGTCTGATCCCTCTGCATCCTCATCCTGATCGCCGTCTTTATCTTCAATCTCACTCAAGCTACTAGAGCCGTCACCGTCGATCTCAACATCACTCAACTCCGTTAGGGAGCCCTCTTCACGGGCAACCTGCAGTATAGCATCCACTGCTTGCTCCATTTCAATGCTCATCACGCATGTAATGATATTCGTACCCAGTCTTGCTTGTATCTGCCCCGGTCCTCACATAACCTCGTGTCGGGGTGTGCGATGGGGGTGAAGTCGTAGTGTTGATGTGCGCGAGGGCACAGTTGTGGGGTAAATGAAGTTTTCGAGGAGCTGCCGTCGCTTTTTTATGTTGCTTGAAGTGTGAGCCAGCTGGCGCCCGGATCTGAGGGCGTGGTTAGGTAGCAGGGAATGGTGAGGAGCGTTGTGTTGTGGGAGAGAAGCTGGGGTTCTTCAGACCTGCTGGACGCATCGCGGGTGATCAAATGGTCCACCCGGCTTGATCCAAGCCAGCACACCGCCCGCCATATCGGGATTAGCCCCTGATAAACATCTCCTTGCTGCACCAAAAATTCATTCCTCGGGTCATAGGTTAACCAATTCCTAATTTCTGAACTTCAAACATTTCAAAATGGGGAAACATAGTCGCAAAGATGGGGAGAATACTAAGAAGAAGTCCAAGACCGAGGATCACGTCAAAAAGTCTATAATTGTGGATGAAGCAGCTGTCGACCCAACCCTGGCATTACTCTTTGCATCCAGTGTAAGTATCTTCTCGAAATGATTGATCAGTAGATCAAGAAATATACTGAAAATCAATAGGCCGGTCCGGTCAAAGCACCTCCAAAATCGCGTTATGAGGAGCCTCCTCCACCAAGAAAGCAAATTGCAGAAGAGGAATCCGAAGGCGAGGAAGAGGAAGAGGGTGAGGCCGACGACGATGATTTGAGCAGTGTAGAGGAAGACCTGGACGATGTGGACCTGGAGGATCTTTCCGGATCCGAGGACGAATCCGACGGTGGAGTTGAGCTGGACAAAATTATCGAAGCGTCTGCCCCGAAACCTGAACGAAAGCGTAAAAGGAAAGGCGACGAAGAAGACCTCGAAGGGAAATACATGCAGAAGTTAGCCAAGGAGGAAGAGAGAGAAGAAGCAGAACGCAAAGCTGAAAGACGACTCAAACGCCAGCGGATGATGGCTGCGCAAGATCCAGACACGTCTGAAGAAGCCAAGGATGTCGACTCGGACTCGGATAAAGGCTCAGAGCGCGGCAGTGAGAGCGCAGAGGAGGGAAATCATGTCACAAGAGTTGTGCCGGCGGACATTCCCCTACATGAGTCTCTGGCGCCAAGTAAAGACTCTTTGGAGCTTGAGAAAGCTACCCGAACTGTCTTCCTTGCAAATGTTTGCACGTCAGCAATAACTGATAAGTCTGCCAAAAAGACTCTCCTTGCTCACATGGGATCATTTCTCTCATCACTTCCGGAGCCATTAGCTGGCAAGCCGGATCACAAAGTTGAGTCTATTCGTTTTCGATCAACTGCCTACGCTGGTACAGCACTCCCAAAGAAAGCAGCATTTGCCAAGAAAGAACTCATGTCTGCTACCACCAAAAGTACCAACGCTTATGTTGTTTATTCTACTGCATTCGCAGCTAGAGAAGCGGTCAAGAAGTTGAACGGAACCATGGTACTAGATCGACATCTTCGTGTAGATGGCGTTGCTCATCCAGCCAAAACAGATCACCGCAGGTGTGTGTTTGTTGGAAACCTAGGTTTCGTGGACGACGAGAGTATGCTCGACCAAGGCGGCGAGAACGAGCGAAAGCGCTCCAAAATTCCCTCTGACATTGAAGAAGGGCTATGGCGACAGTTTGGCAAAGCAGGAGCGGTGGAAAGTGTACGAGTGGTGAGAGATGAAAAGACCCGAGTTGGAAAGGGGTTCGCTTATGTCCAATTCGAAGTAAACACTAGCCCCGTTCCAAACTTGACCAGGCACTAATCATCGCAGGATCCAAATTCGGTAGAAGCAGCTCTTCTTTTCAATGAGAAGAAGTACCCTCCCATGTTACCCCGCGTCTTACGCGTGGTCCGTGCCAAAGCCGTTCGCAAAACCGCCAATGCATCAGCCGCTGCTCGTCCAGATCCTCGTAATGCACGAAACGGCAATAAGCCCCGTATCTACCAGCCCAAGACGACTTCCGAAATGTCATCCCTCCAAGGTCGTGCTGGAAAACTCCTAGGAAAGGCGGGAGCAGCGCAATTCAAGAAGAAGGATGCAGCGAGTGGGGCAAATGGAACGGTGATGGGGAAGAAAGGAGATGGGAAGGTGGTTGAGGGCATTGCACGAACACCAGAGAGCATTGTATTTGAGGGATACAGAGCCAGTTCCAAGAATGGAAGGCCTAAGGACCTGAAGATGGGTGGAGCGAAGAAGGGTAAAGGAAAGCCGAAGTCCAAAAGTAGTACTCGTGCAAGTTCTTGGAGGAAAGCAGGTGGCAAGAAGACGAGTTGAGAGGAGGCAGCTGAGATTTGACGATAAGTCATTGGAATGCACACGAACTTCTACATGTCCCAATACCGACTTGATCAGGTTGTGGGCCGTAGGCATGTGATTTCAAAAAGAATAATATTGTCTTTTGCCTTACTGCTAGAGTGGCAAATTCATCCCCTTTTGAACAGCTGCCACGTTTGGAGACCCACCATTTCGTTCCCGTCAATCTGCGCTTACTGTAAATAAATACACCCTTCGCAACAAGACCCTTCTTCCTGCAAATCCATCAACCTTTCAACTCATCAAGTTGGGACAGCCACACGCAAATTCAGGATGTTGAACATTGAAGCATCCTTGTCCTTCGCACTTGTTGCTGTTTCTCTCCTCACAACCGGTGCCATCGCTGCTTGATCTAACTACACAGTTTCTCACGCCACCACTGACACACAATGAATAATGCACACTCGCTGAACATGGATATAGTAGCAAACCCTTTGCACACCTGTCGCTGGTTGGAACTGGCAGCGAGCTAATGTCTGGGCTCTCAGTGTGAACATTCATAACCTCTCGGTCGTACGTGGTGTCTGCAAGAATAAGGCTGACAGCTGCAAGAAAATGCATTGCTACTACGGCTCTTCAGTCTATATGTGCAACGATAGGTCCTAACTACCTCTTTCTCCCATTTCTGTTGATTTTTCTATTGGATAGAGAAAAGACATCTCTGACCAATAATCTACTGCACAGTGACTGCGAAGTATAACCAGATTGCAACTACGTCGGTTCTTTCGTCCAAGACAACTTCAGCCTTTACACTACTGACCACCACAACCCCAATTTCCCTCGTGCTGGGGGACAGGATGTTAAGTCAGAAGGCTATACCGTAATTGTTCGAAAAGAATCTTGTCAGTGGTAGGAAGAATGAGACAGGTTTAGGGCAACGGCAAGGTCAACCGTGCTATTGAATGGCAACACGCATGTTGGCGTTGGCTTTTGTTCGTTGCACAATCAGTCAGCTCTTAGAAAGTATAGACAAAAGAAAGGGATTGAGATTCCATCTTATTAATTTCTTTTGTGACTTTGTATAAACGTTTAGATGGCCTCTGAGTTGTCGGAAGGAGTTTAAATGAAGTTTTGGGAGTATTGTTGATATTTGAACATTAAGCGAGATTTGCTGAGCAGGATGAGAAGAGCTTAGAGATGTCAGAGTTTTCTTTCCCAAGTCTTGTAAAAAGATTCGCACATCTATCTTGTGAGATTTAACGAACGGAAACCTGATGTGGCTCTGATTGAAAATGACGCTCTGCTCTTAAGACTGAATCATTCTGCACCTGTTCCGTCAAACTGCACCAGACTTTGCCAAGGAAAGCCGCCAACATTCTATGTCAACTATAGCCAACAACTAAAAGCTAACAGAAACTGAGAATTATTCTCACGGTTCTGCCCCTCACACGTCTATATACGCCGCTTTTCCTTCATGTTCAGGCGGTTCTATCGGCATAGACACCTCCCCTGAACATCTTCGCACCTGGTACAATAGCAGATCAAAATTAACTTGCATAGCTTAGTTCATACTTCGAATTGAAGCTGATTCCTTCCACATGTGCCTCGCTCATGGCGATTGTTTATCACGCCCCCGAGGTCCTCTCTAGCTGCCGATGGTCCTGTCGTCAATATCCTCCTCATTGAACCATACGACAATTTTCGGTACCCCATAGCTGCTCAAGTGTACAACACACCTTTTGATGAGTACTATCCTAAGAAAATGGATACTTGGGTCAATTTGACGAGCCTTGAGCATGAAATTGGACGTGAGAAGGGTTGAAGGGATGTGTGGTCATGCACTTTCAATACTTTACCAAAGTACGGTAGTTGTAAATCGGTTAATAAGTACTTGTAGTGGAAAAGTCATTGATTGGCTGATCGGATGTAAGTGGCAGGCTTGCTGATGCAGACGTGCTGTCTGCCTTAACGTCGCTGAACTTGTTCTTAGCTACTGCTTACCCCACAAATACAGTCTTGCCCTTGCGTTATCCAATCATTCAATGCACCTCTAAGAGAATACTTGCTGACTTTGACATAGTTGGAATGAGCTTGTTCTCAGTTGTGATTACCGTAACTATCACTTTCCTCAATCTCCGAACTTTTGTTTCAGGCATCCAAAACACATTCAAAGTGGGATTCTGACATGATATCTGTAGTTTTTACCTACCCCATTGAAATGATCACTCTATCTACGATGGTTAGATCGATACCAAGAATCCATAGAGAAGTTATGTGGGAGGATGTGAGTAACCAAGTGATTGCTATGCTGTCTGGGTCTAACTAGCTATCTGCAAAAACTGCGCTATCTCATTTGCTGGCTCTATTCCTAGATGTCCATGGTACTTAGATAACAGCTCTCCTTCGGAACTAAAGTTGCATTATAATTCGTGTGGGATTACTATGGGATGGGCGATTTGAAATAGAAGGTGCTTGTTTGTCATCAGCCGATATCGCCTCCAGATCGGCATCGCCCTCCAGATCGGGAAGTACATGCCTCCAATAGATGCCTGAAATGTATTCACTGTTTCTGAAAACAGCCGTGACTTCATGATTTGCTTCGTACCTTTTGTTTGAGGTGCTTTCTCTATTGAGGCTCCTTATCTCTCTCCAGCCCAACTCCAACTTCTTCGACAAATCATCTTCCCATTCAACTTCAAACTCATTTTCCAGCAAGACACTACACTGCAAAAGACATCAACCTACCATGAACCTCCTCACATCTCTCATCCTGCTGGCCTTCCTCGCCTTTGAGGCCCTCAGCACCACAACATCTCACCTTGGTGGTCCATTCGACGGCCTCCCCTTCCCCACAGAGCCCATGGAGTAAGCCTAATCCCAGCATCCTCAAGAGCAAATTTCTGAGAAATACACTACTCTTCACGTGCTGACATCCCCTTCCTCCAGATTCAACCTCACCATTGACGGCAACGAGTTCCAAGGCCAAGGCACAATCCAACATGTCTACGCTCAATACGCCGCTTCTCACCCAGACTTCAAGCTACCCGAGAGCCTCAGCATAGGTGCCGCACTTGCGCTCAAGGCTGAAAATGACCGAGTTCAGGGCAAGATTGAAGGTGAAGTTGAGAAGCGTGGAAAGGTAAGTGAAGCTCTCCCCAAACTCACACCTAATCGATACACATAAACTAACAAGAGACAAATCAGAGCAGCGTCTACTGCCTCCCCAACCCTCAAGTCCAGTGGGTAATGGCTCCCGAAGGCGGTGTCTGGCAAAATATCAACTTCCTACGCGGTGTCAAACCTGATCTGTGCCGTTTCGCTGCTCGATCGTGCAGAAAGCTGGCTTGTGCTAATAGTGCATCGATCTTTGTCTGCAATTGGGTGTGTCTTGTCCTTTACTAACTCTCCCTGTCGTGTTTTCTGCAATTTTGCTAACTGGTGATGTGTTTGTGCTTTATAGAACGAGAGCACACTCTGGAGAGCCTGCTCATACATGGGTAGCTACGCTGAGGATATCGTCAACCACTGCCCACAGTACCGATCTGTCGGTTATGTCGGTGGACAGGAGGATGACACCGATGGATATTCGGTCATTGTTCGTGGTGACCCATGCTAGAGATTTTACATCAATTTCTCTATCCCCGAACGGAGGTCGAGGGCTTGGTTGCGCATCGGTGCATGTACTGCCTCATCTTTGAAGTGGCTCAACAGAGTAAACGGACAGATCTGCTTAGCTTTGCTTTGCTGGGGGATGGATGATGCCATAGAATGAAAACTATCCGTCAATTCTGAAAATTAGATCTCTCATGAAAAAACACTGCTTTATTTTGCTATATCACTATTCAAACTTGAGAGGAATTCGACTCCAACAAGATACCGGAACCAAACCCACTCACTAAGAACTGACCCACTTCGCCCCCTTACAAACATTCAATAAGAACTCCTCGCCTCTCTCCACCCCTGGGAACAACCAGAAATAATGTGGAACTCCGTCATAATAATCGCTCTTCGTCTCTACCCCCTCCTTCTTCAACATCTCCTCAACGACCTTCCCATCATCTCTCAATGGATCCTTCCCACAAGTACTAATATAAGTCTTGGGGAAATCCTTCAAGTTCTTGCTCAACGAAGCGAAGGCTCTCTCGTCGTTAGACTTTACGCCCGCGGCGTCGAAGAACGTCTTCATGCTACCGGCGTCGATGATGGGAACTCCGGTCGCATTCTCCGTGTAGGCTGTGTACATTGAGGAGTAGGCGGAAGGGATGGAGTCCGGGTGTGCGGCTACGGGAACCATTGCGACGATACCGTTTACTTGAGAGCCTTGCCCGGCTTTGATAAGTTCGTTGGCAACGGAGAGTGCGAGTCCGCCGCCTGCTGAGGCACCGATTGTGAAGAGCTTGCTGCCGTCACCGCCATATTTGGTGGCATTGTTGCGGGCCTATTCATGTAGTGTCAGATGACTGATTAAAGGGTTGGAGGGAGAGGGAATACCCATTTGAAAGCAGTGACGCTGTCGTCGAGTTGGGTAGGCCACTTATCTGTCTGGCTGAGACGATAATCAACCGAGACGAGGATGCAGGGTGTGTTCTTGGAAATGACTCTGCACCACGCATCCTCAGAATCGAGACTACCAACGAGCCATCCACCACCATGGTAGTAGACACCAACAGGCAGTTTCTTGCCCGTCGCTCCAGGAGGTGTGTAGATGCGGACTGGGACGCCATCCGCAGTGGTGTCCTCAGTTATAATGGAGGCATCAGGGGGAGGTGCTTGTGCAGCGAGACTGGCGCCAAGGCCATTGAACTGGTCGATGATATCTTGCGGACTTCCAGTGAGGAGAGGTCGCATGCCAAGGACTTTCTCATACTTAGAGGGGAGTTAGACTCTTGCTGAATGGAATGACGAGAACGGGAGAAGGGAAGGTACCTCGAGCCAGCCTTGAGCATAGCCTTCAGTGGATGGTTCGGCCATGTTGATTGAGTTTCGTTATTTGAGAGAATCTGTGAAGAAAGAGACAGGAGAACAGATTGAAATTGACTCGAAGCTCTGGAACGAAGTTTCAATCTTCGTAATAGTCGTTAATGCAACGTAGGGCAGCTTTGGTGGGCAGATCACTTGATCATGTAACTTGTAGATGAGGTAGAGAAGGAGGAGACGGGGTAACAAGGTACCTTTTGGAAGTCCTTTATACTTTCACCATGGAGTCCAGGCCTAGAGAAACGGTGTCTTCCTAGCTGCTAGTAACACGAATGAGGGGAATGAGCTGGATGAGGGGTTCCCCTAGTCGCATTTGCGTGCCTTCTTTTGCTAGTCCACACCCCTCGGTCTCTGATCAAGAAACAGCTACCTCTGGCGCAGATCCGGCTAGCTGCGCAGCTATTCCTGCTCTGGCGGATTTGTTTCAAGGAATTGGCATGCAAAGAATGAGGGCTCGGGGAAATGGCAAAAGAGGGCCATTGAGAGCCATCAACATCTCTACAGTATAAAGAAGAATTGCACAGAAACCAGCGGCCGAGGATTTCCACGACTTCCATGCTGTAATTTAAAGATACCTCCCTACCTACCTTACATGAATTCTCAAAGGTTGAGCTTCAGCCTCGTGCGGAGGAGTAAAGCTAGCCGGCGGGTCAACGGGTTGGCGGGGTATTTCACCTCGGATTCGCCCCTTGGAATTAGAGTTACCGACTTGAGGGATCCAGATGTCCAATTCCCTGGTTTGGCATCCAGGTTGGCAATTATTCCCCAAGACCGCACTGCAGCAATCATTCGGAGATAAGATTCATGAGCGAGGTCGAGCAAGGTGTTGATGCTAAAGTTTCAGCCTCGTGTCTTGTGTGACATTCTTGGCATGTCGGGGCGCAGGTGGTGCGTGCTGCTCGATCTGATTTCGAGAGGCACGTCTCCGCTTCTCATCCAACTCCAGTGTGATTTGTTTTAAGAGGCGCGCCCCGTACCGCACTGAAGTCTCAACTCGACATCAACTTTCTTTGATGCCCCAAGCCCTTTAAGTTCCCTCAAAGCTGGGAGGGGAAAGGGGCGGAGGGGGGCATTTTGGAGGACGATCCTCATGTGACTGCTTCGGTCGCTATCAAAACGATCGACAAGAAGAAGCAATTAAAGAGTCATTCAGCTGGTGTGCATGCAAGCTCAAGGTAATCGCCTCACACGCTGTGCTCGACGATCCGGGCTTCCAGAATAGAGGTCTTCGTACGCGATTTGACAACCCGAGAGATAGGGCATGGAAGTGTTCCGTGTCGTGCCCAGAAGTGAGAAGTAGCTGACATCGGGTGGTTTGTTGATATACGAGATAAGATTCGGGGCAGCTCGAGGTTCAGGTCCATAGAATGCCAAGACTTTAGGTTCGGGAGCAGGGAAGCTTGCTAACTTACGAAGGCCTGACGGTCTTCCAGAACATCATCCAACCACTTCACATGAAATAATAAGTTACAAAACACCCGCAGTCTCTAACCGTGGATTCTCAGTGTTCATGTTACCATTTCTGATCATCAAATTTCAATTCACAATTCCCAATTTCCGTCATTCTCTCAGCCTCACACAGCCACAAGTAAATTACGTCTGTCACAGCATTGTCAGTGCTTGAAAATTAGGAGTGGGGCCGAAGTTAATGTGCCAGCATCCACCATCCATGACCATGACCTCGCGATGATGGCTAGCCACAAAGGTACGTGTGTCAAGAGGAGTCAAGTTGCGTATGTAAGGTACGGAGTGGCTTGTTCTATGGATCCGTTGTCACTACTATTGTGGAGAGTGTGGTTTGGAGATGGGGTACATAAGGTAGGGCTGGCTTCTCTTGCCTTGGTTGTTACTCTTCTATTGTATCATTTCAGAACAAGTCTCCACAAGTTGGATACTTCTCTACCATCTATCCTCCTGCTCTACCTACTTAAGTTTACAACGATTTTCAAGATGGGTCTCATGGAGAAGGTTATGCATAAGGCGGAGGAGCAAATCAAGAAGAAGATGCACGGGGGCAAAAACCAACAAAAAGCGTCATATGTTAGTCTTCTCATCTAATGCGACTAAGTCTTGCCCAATCAAACCTCTGACGTTAGATAGGGAGGACCACCAGCACAGCAAAATTACGGCGGTGGCGGAATGATGGGTATGGGTGGTGGTCACCAGCCAAGGCAACAAGGAGCATTCGGAGGCGGACATCACCACCAACAGCAACATGGTGGTGGGTTCGGAGGCCCACTTGGATTTAGAGGACAGCATGGCGGAGGTGGAGGAGGGTTTGGTGGCCAGCATGGAAGACCGCAGCATGGCGGTGGTGGGTCTGGGGGACATCACGGAGGAGGGGGAGCATTCGGGGGTCCTGGTGGTCATCATGGAGGCGGTGGAGGGGGATTTGGTGGTCACCACGGAGGAGGAGGAGTAGTACATCACGGAGGAGGTGGCGGTGGACATGGTGGATGGTAGATTTCCATTTGTTATTGCTGAAATACCCGGTTATGTTTAGGAGTTTTTGAAAAAACAAAAATAAATAATCAAAGATTCAATTCACTATAAGAACATAGATAAGATGTGAATGTCTAGAAGCGACAGACCTCCCTCCCGTAATACAGAAAGCTTAAGTAGAGTGGGGATGCAACCTTGCTCGCCTTGATACAACAAATACTTGAGTAGCGAAGCGAGCACCTCGGCTCAGCAAAGCATGCAGGCCCACCACAAAAAGGTGCCAACACTGAAAATACAGCTCAAGCAGTTAATACAGCATTTGATGTTTCTCAGCTACCCAAAGGTTCAAAAAAGATGATTTAATGAATGGACGAACAGGGAATCGAACCCTGGACCATTCCCAGGCTGAATGAACAAGTCCATTTATGCTAAGGGAATATTATACCACTAAACCATTCGCCCTTTTGATTGGATGCAAGATAAAGTGCTATTTCATTACATATTGAACACAAAAATTTGAGGAAATGTGTGTGCGGAAGCGAGTTGCCCTGGTGGGACAGGCATTACCTTACCTAGCAGCCTACCTAGTAGGTAGGTAGGTCTAGGTTGAAGTGGAGACAGTGGCTTGGACTATGTGCAGTGTGCAGCACGTCCTACAGATTCATGACTTGCAAAACAAGAAAAAATTGTAGAACCATGTCGCCAACATTTGCAAGAAATTTTAGGTATTCACTAATTCGGCACTTTCAAGTCAGTTATTGGATCGTTGTGTACGTTTAATTAAGAGGAAGCTGCCTACTTCGTGTCTAGGAGCCAAGCTGGCTCGTTGCTAAGAAGTTGGTCAAGTGGCGGCCAGAACATCAACATCATTGCTCTTTTGTAGTTGGAATCAGGGATTGATATCAATGAATTTACCTTCAATGTTCTGAAATGGGAACGAGGTTTGTCAAATGCAATATTAAACAGGCCAATCAACACTAATTACTACTTTTTGGATCTGGAACGCACTACCACCAGTATTTGCCCTTGTTCTCAAGCACCCTTCCATAATCTAGAGCCTTACCACAATTGGCATAACAGCTGTTACAAAAGTTACCTGTACAGTAAACGAACATTCGTTTCGGTAGGACTCAGCTGGATCATGGAGTAAATTATTGGGAACTTGTGTTCATTCCGTGTCCCAAGGCTTCACAGTCTCCAACGATCCGTCAGATACAAGCAGCCAGATTTTATGCTTTATACATAATTGTCCAGCTGGCAAGAAGACTTCCCAAGCTTTCAGATGATCCGACTGTACTCTGGGGTTCCCCTGTACTCGCTCGCATGGCAATGTTTTGTTTCACAGATTATGAGGACAACGAACTGTGAGAAAAGTTTGGCAGAGAAGCCTGGCGAACCACTTGGCTCAAGCTTGAAGTGACGACTGGAGGGGAGGCCATGGCCATGTATCAATAGCCGAATAACTATCTCTAGACGGAAGTCACTCTCAGAAAACAACTTATCTTACTTGCCCTGCAACAAAGTAGACTCATACTGGTCAGTTTCTGAACAAAACACGAGATCATGCCATTCTGCAAGTCCAGGGCACGTTCGGCCAATGACTCAGTCAAAGTCCACGGAAAAGTCAAGCACAAGGGTAAGATACTGCCTAAGACTTTTACCAAAGCCAGCTCTATGAAATCGCTCCAGTTGAGTCACTTTCAATTCGCTCTTCAATGCATAGATGATATTAAAGGTGATCACTGCTTTTCGGCTTGTCATCGGAAGCAGCAGCCGCAGAGCAATTTCGCGCTAGAAGTTCGCTTGCAGGGTTAGCTTCCCACACGCTAGTCAACCCCAATTTTCCGAACTTTCCTGAGTCCAAATCAACGACAACATCTCGAACATCACGTCTCAGTCTCCGCCTCAAATAGCGGTTAAATCGATTGAAACTCTTGTTCCCAAAAACAACAACCAAATGTGAGTTGCGCGCAGAGTGAAATGCCCTGTGGGCTGTACTGACGATCCCCAGCAAGCAAAATGAAGCACCTCGCGGCATACCTTCTCCTCACTATCGGTGGTAACACCTCTCCATCCGCCTCCGACGTCAAGGCCGTTCTCGAGTCCGTCGGAATCGAGGCCGATGATGAGCGTCTCTCCACCCTCATCTCCGAGCTCAAGGGCAAGGACATTCAAGAGGTACAACAATTCACGATGTGATATATGCAGGATGGGGGCTAATGGGCATTACAGTTGATCACTGAGGGATCCAGCAAGTTGGCTTCCGTTCCATCTGGAGGAGCCGGTGGTGCTGCCCCAGCTGCTGGAGGCGCCGCCGCTTCAGGTGGTGCTGCCGCCGAGGAGAAGGACGAGGAGAAGGTTGAGGGTAAGTTCTACAACTGGCAATCACTGGGATATATACTGATGCATCACACAGAGAAGGAGGAGTCCGACGAGGATATGGGTTTCGGTCTTTTCGACTAAACGAACAAATTCTTTCTTCTTGGACGACACCACGCTCTCGATACTTTACAACAAATGGTCAGGGCTTCTGGGAGAAGTTGTGCGCGCTTTGCAAGGGATTTGCATGTCATGGGAATTGGGTCGGATTAACGGCCTTCTACGATGAGATGTTAAGATGCAGGTTACATTAATGCAATACAGACGTGCTTCTTCCAACACGCAGTGCCTTTGATGAAAGTTGTGATAAGTGAAATGATTCAATAATTCTGAAAGAAGATCTACCGGTCTCGATCTGAGGGAGCAAAAGAATGTCCCATTCGGAATAAACAATTCTCAATTCTGAAGCTAATCAATTAATCACTGGTGCTTTAGCGCCAAGCAATGTTACAAAATCTGGAAGTTTGCCAATCCACCAACTGGACGTCCCCTGGCTTTTAGTAATTCTGAGGCTGAAGCTGTTCCTTCAGCCTTGTTCTCAGGTGCCAAGAGTTCGGGGTTTCTTGCCCTACTTTCGAGAATTATGACGCTAACGAGTAAGCGAGTTCTCCCGACGCTAACGAATCGCAAAATCCACTCCACGCCTCAGAACTTCATTTCACGATCGCCAGCAAACCATCGACTTTCGACATCAACGAAAGCCGACACTCACATCCACCGCAATCATGGCTGACGAATACGTGAGTATCAATCGCATTTCTCTTCTGTCTGCCACTCGCGCGCTCCTTCTGAGCACTGAGTAACCTCGAGAATCAATGCTGACGTCTTCTCCCATCACAGGACGCCGTTGAGGCCGCCGAGATCAAGAAGAAGAGAGCGTTCAGAAAGTTCTCCTACCGTGGAATCGACCTCGATCAGTACGCCTCCCATACATACACATACATAGCCAAGTCTTGAGAATTACAAAGGGGAGCAAATAAGCTAACCCTCGATTCTTCATCTACAGACTCCTGGACCTTTCCTCCGACCAACTTCGTGATGTCGTCCACGCCCGCGCCCGCCGTCGGTTCAACCGTGGTCTTAAGCGCAAGCCCATGGGTTTGATCAAGAAGCTCCGCAAGGCGAAGCAGGAGGCCAAGCCCAACGAGAAGCCGGATCTTGTCAAGACTCACCTCCGAAACATGATCGTTGTTCCAGAGATGATCGGCAGCGTTATCGGTATCTACTCAGGAAAGGAGTTCAACCAGGTCGAAATCAAGCCTGAGATGGTCGGACACTACTTGGGAGAATTCTCTATCTCTTAGTATGTACCTATACTTTGAAATCCGTTTTGGGTTTCAATGGAGGACAAAGCTGACATTTTCATAGCCACCCAGTGAAGCACGGAAGACCCGGTATTGGTGCCACCCACTCTTCCCGTTTCATTCCTCTCAAGTAAATACTTGCTGTACGCTGGGCTTTCTACGGATGGGATGGGCGCATGGATATGGGATGTTCGTTTGTAGCAGTCAACAAATGAACTGCCGCAGATACCAATGAACCCGTGCAACCTCCAGACATGTGTACAATGGATGTGATGTGTGAAGAGAGACCATACTAACGGGGAATATAAGCTCGAAAATAATGGTGAATGGCAATCGCTTCTAGTAGAGTTTAAAGCCATGTTGCGAGGCAAAGACCCCAGATGTAGCGTTCAGTGAAGCAGCTACGCTATGTCACCTTGGCTCTACAATCAATGATTCTAGTCTTCCCTATCCCCTCGGTTCTCCATCCCCTCTGCTTGTTCATAATGAGCCTCTCTTACCCCAACTGCTATTCATCCGCGCATCATTCCATAATGCATCAAGAACAGCTAGCCATTCCACTGCCGAATCCCACCCTTCAGATGGCTTTCATCGCAACAGACGTTCTCGCCGGCCATCCTTACTTCATCCACAGGAAATTCTGCTTTGCCTGTTCTTCACACTTACCCCAATTATAGTCGTCGCACAGATGTGGTACAGATGAGGGCTAGAAATCTTTCACCAGATGTCAGAGGCTCCTTGCTGCGGATACATTCAACACTCGTTCACCAGTAGGTTGTAAAAAGACATGCTTTCCATGGTATGAAGGGGTGGTGTAGGCACAGAAGATTTCTGGACCTGGCTTCCTTTGATCGAGAGTCTGAGCATTTACTATCGACCTGAGAAATGTTCGTTGTAAACTAGGCCGTTCATCTCCACTTACTTCAGGATTTCCAACTGTGAAAACGACACTGCTGATCATTCTCGTAAGATGAGTTGTCCGCCTCGGTAAACTTGAATTCGGGCCCTGGATTTGACCTATAATATGCGGGGGCTTTGTACTACGACAAGTAGAATCGTACAACGGCCTAAGTCCCGACTGCGTAATTTTGCCACTATACATGAGAATGCTAGTATCAACCGTAGCATGTGACAAACTCATAGAACAAGTTCACTGAAGTGCTTCATGAACTCGATCAGCAAACAAATGACCAGATAAAGAGGTCGGAATACAAAATGAAAGGGGGAAGGCACGGCAACAAGAGCAGAGGATTATAAAGGTCGCACTTTTGGCATTCTATTCGATAACACCTCTTGCATATGATAATCTCGGCTGAAGCCATTTCCAGGTAATTTCTGGGAAGCTAATACAAGCTTGAAGAACACGGAATTCCTCGATGAAATGGGGCGATTTGCCAAACGGGAGACCCCGAGCTTTGGACGTGCCAATGCTATTCCAGTATCTCTCTTGATGGAAAGTAAATGCCATGCAAGTCAACATGAAATATGAGAATGGGTCCACGAAAGATGAAAAGTAACTATGTGCAGAGCAGAGCAGAACGTGTCGAAGTAGCACAGCGCGGCCCCTCATTCGTCACTGTTTGGCTGGCCCGCCACTCCTGTGACGATCCGGAGTCTAAAGGTCCTACCATGATGTCCCGGCATCATTTGAAGATCCGGACACCAGATCCCCTTTTCATCTGGCTTGGTGACGGTCAGTTTCACGGACGTTATGATGTGGAATGGATGGCGGTTATGATGCAGGACGTTCATGCAGGGGTAAAGCTGTGAGGGATCCGAGCGGCCCCTGTCGCGTCCAGGAACCCGTCCCAAGTGCCCCGTCTGGTCACCCAACCAACCAACCAACCGCATCATCGCTTACTCTCTTTGCATGCAATGTGAAAGAGAGACATGGATCTCACTTTTGTACCTTTCCGTCCAACAACATTACCAGAATCACCACTATTTCTATCTCAACGGCAAGAACACATATTGCTAATTTGTGCTTTGCACGGTCTGGCAGGAAGTCGTTTGCAACCTCTACTACCGGCGTAGAAGGAACAGAAGGCTCCCAGGAAATACCTAGCACCAGGGCAATATCAACATCTGCATATTACTGGCAGTTACAGGTTATCCAGGGGAGAAGAAATGAAGAGCGATGAGCGCTCGAGAATTATACCTTCTGCCGGATCATCCCTACCAGCAGCAGTATCAACAACACATTACCATCCTTTCAGATTCTACTAGTACGTCTGCCAGCTTACTTTTTCCCACTTTCACTGTTCGAGCCTCCGGCCAGACAAATTTTTGGCGTGGCTACATCGCGCATATGAGAGGGCATAGATATCTGAAAATAGAAACAAGGTCTAATGGATCTCCCTGCCCCAGAACTTCGAAACGGCGAACCTGCAGATTTCGACTCTAGCAACCAACCCATTCATGCGCCTCCTCGAACGCTATCCCCAATCTCCTCGAACGCGATGAATACTTTGAATGGGAATAGTACACCATCGGCACTTTCGAAAAGTAACTCGTCTAATACCATCCGCTCAGTTCCGTCAGAGAGTCTTCATCTTGACATCACCTCTGCAGATGAGGTGCGGCGAGTTCAAAAAAGCGATCCAACAGCGATGCCTCACGCCACGAGAACCTCACCTCAAGCCTCTATACCGCATTCACAGCCGCCCCTCTCACGGCATAACCCGAACCTGGGAGTTGGGAACGGCTTGGTACGGAAGATATCGTCTGAATTTGGGCCAACACGATCATATACTACCAGCAACCTCCAAATACCAGAGGAAGGGTCTCCAAACACGAACGGGAATTTAGCATCGCCAGGAGGGCAATGGAGTTCCGCCGTTGGTCGTGCTAACCTGGGAAAGTCGGGCAGAGTCATTGAGAGGCTTATGGGTGAGAACGACATGTTGAAACGAGACCTCAATCTGGAGCGGCTCAGGGCGGAGGAGTCGAAACAAGCAGTTAGGATGGCGGAAGGGAAGATGGAAGCCCTTGCCGCAGAATACGATGGGAAACTACACGATGCCGCTATCAATAAAACGCTGCTCAAGCGAAGGGAACGACAAGTTGCGGAGATGAAGGCACAGATTGAGGCCGAGAAGAATCGGGCCGACAAAGCAATAGAACGTGAAAAGGGGTGGAGGGAAGCCATGGAGAAGATCGAGGGGGAGAGTAAGAGGAGTGTGGAAGAGGCACAGACCTTTGCAGCGCTGATGAAAGGCCGGAATGATGCCATGACAAGCCATTGGAGGGACCAAGGAGTTGAAGTCAATAGAACGGTTGCTAAGCTCGGCACAGAGATCAACAATATTGTGCAAGAAAGGAGAGCCGATGACGACCGGATGAATATGTTGCAAGAGCTATGTGACCAGCAAGCAGAGCAATTGACTGCTCTGCAAGCAGAGAAAGATGGGATAGCGAGCGCCTTTGACAGATACAAAATTGTGCAAGAAGACTCTCTCAAAAATATCAAAGAGCGAGCGCGAGCTCAAGAGCAAGCCAATGAAGCAGCTTTGCTAGAAACGCAGAAGGTTCTTGGGGAACTGAAATGGGCTCTGGGAGTGAAGAAAAACGTCAAAGGGGCCGAATAAGGCCCCCTAACCTCCTGTACGACAGAGGTTGCCTTATCAAGAAGCAAAGGTTGTGGATGGCTAGCTCATACTCTGCAGCTGTATGGTAATGGGTGGAGGTGGAGGGGACGACAAGCGCAAGCCAGACGGCAGATAGGTTGATATTCACGACTCTCCTTCATTATGACCATACATACACCAAGAAGACTGCATATTTGGGCATTGGATATGGGAAGCAGCTTGGCCAAGCAGCGACTTCGTTGTTTTTTGTACATTGCGGCATTTCCACAAGATAGCGGCTGGCTGGTTGGGTGTTCTAGGAGTTCTTTTCAATTCTGCTTCTTCTGCATCAAGGCAGCTTGTAAGCTTCCATACATGGGATGCGAGGAGTGGATGGGCTATAGAATCTTACGGTGTGTTGCGATGCACTGCGCTTTTTACGACTTTGATGACTTGGCTTCAAATCAACTGGTGGGATGAGTGTGGCGACTTTTGTATATGTTTCTAGGTGGCGTACAGACGCAATGGCCTGCATAGGGATCGGGAGCAAATGCGATGTAGGTTGAAGGAGAATGGAATGGGCCGGAGAGGACTTATTCGTTGACTTCTCTCATTCTGTCCAATTCTTCGTTGTGCCCTATCTAACGTCTTAGTTTTGGTGTCTGAGGGAACGACTTGCTTAAATGCCCGTTGTTCTTGGAATTTTAAAGAATTGTAATTTGGTATTTTTCATGCTGCTGCGTGTTTGGTTCCTTGCTTGCTTTTGTTGACTTTTGACTCGCGCATTACCGTCTGCTTCTGAAAGCCTCAACAGCTCAAGGTATTTAGGCTTCGTTGTCACAGCGGCGTCTGTGAGGCTTTCGCATCAAATAGTCCATGGCCCTCTTTCGGTAAGAGGAGACTCCTTTGTCGAGCATGCTTGGGGCTAAAAGCCTGCCACCATCTACTCTGCGGACTGAGAGAAAGACCCAAGAAAGCATCGACAATAGCTTGTTAGATATTGGGCTCATTCGTTACTTTCTTCATGCTGTACTCTCTACCTGTCCCACCCTTGATATCCCACAGAGCCATGTAAAATGCTACTTTGCAGTAAAGCCTTGATGCAGCTCCCTGTCGTAAGGCCAACCCTCCTTGGCCGAGCTTCAGGCTTTTCCACCTACCAGCTCAGGCTCGTAACGTTTGTTCTAGTCTTTGAATTCACCCAAACTAGGCAGTAGCCGAGTTGACAATGGTGAGTCCGTGATAGAAGTTGTCTGTGAACCTAGGTTTACTTCTATTTACGTTCGCGGAGGTTGGAGCAAACTCAGTGCTGGGAAAGTAGATAAAGATGATGCGAATCGGGAGGGTTCTGCGAGGTTTTTGGTCTTCTTGAGACCTCAAATATAGCCAATTGGAGACCGAATAGTTGAGCTCTGCATCTTCTGTATATGCTTCAGCTGAGGCTAGTTTCGTCCATCTCCAGGCTCCGTTCCATGCAGAGAAGGCTTCAGAGAGACGAAATTATACACTTCATGGGTTATTGATAGCCCATAGCTCCTTTTAGATCGTCGAGTAACAAAGACCTACTTCTCGTATCCTGGCGTGTAAATTGTAGCGTTGTGCTGGCTGCCCGGACGGCGTGCCGCCGGCTCGCTCGCAAGGTTGTGGTCTCCCACCTTTGTAAGGTGGTTCGGTTCGTACCTTCCATCCTTCGCCTAACACAACTTCTCGATCGCATCTTCCACACTTTCCCCTCCCACTCTCTCCAATCCAATCCAATCCAATCCAATCGTACTAAGGTATGCTTTCTGATACACCTCAAAGTGTGCTATGTGAAGCATCAACGTACTGAACGCGCATGGTGTCGTAACACCCGCCGATATTTCGTGGCAGATTTGAGTGTAAACAAAACAGTCAACAACAACAACACCACGTTGTCAACAATTCACTACATTTTGACTTGGTCAAAGCTGCTCTCAGTACAAAGCCCTTGCATATTGCTGATCTTCCTTTCGGCGTTGCACTACTGTGCTCCAATTGAGCAATTGTACACTTGCAACTTTCGTCCCCTCTTCGCTCGTCTGTCGCCTTAACCTAGGTAGATCGAAAAGGAGTGCAGTTCACGACCTACGTTACTACACGGTGAAGAACTCGTGAAGCTTTGAAGACTATTCAAAGGTACCTGCCCATTCTCTGCCTTTGCTATGCTACCACGTTACCTCTCTGGGAAGCCAAGCTACCTGGTTGTATGCTGCACCTGGGGACATTTCCAATATGAGTAGCTTTCAGTTCCCATCTCTAACAAGCCCACAGCATCATCTTACCGCAGCTTTCTGTCGCCATCGAAGGACTAACAATCACTCTGCGACTCTTCCCAGCGCCCCCCGAGTCGATATTGCCCTCGAAACAGTCTCGTCGCTCACTGGACATGCAAGTTCATCCCGCTGACCCATGACATATCAACAGGATCTTACATTTCCTTGGATTTCGCTGGTTCAGTGAGTATTTTCATCGCTACTCCAATATTCCATCGTGGCTCGTCTGATTTTCAGGTTTTAGAATCCTCCGGCTCCTAAATTCCCACCAAAGACGCCAGAACCGCCAACATGGACAGACGAAGTGTAGCCCCTCCACATCCAAAGTCTACTTTTACGACTGGTCGATCCGCCATTGACTTGTCGCGCGAGACTCTCTTGACAATCATGAGCTTTGCTAATGAATGGCATTTCAAGCCTGAGGGGGTTGACCTTGTCAAGAAGAGATTTGAAGCGGAGTTGGCAATAGCAGAACATACTCAACCTTGGGATTTCGTCAGTGCATAATTTATTCTGCAAAGTCCTGAAAGTTCTGCTAACCTGAGATAGCAAGTCGAGAACCGCTGGATCCCTGAGTACAGTATGTGGCAAGTCCGATGTGCTAAGGTTGATTGTAAGAGAGTTTGGACGGCTTTCTTTACAGTTATGAATGGAGTCATCAGAGAAGCCATTCACAGAGCGAACCAGAAGGATGAGGATATTGAGGAATGTACCATCGACGATGAGGACGCTGATGAAGACTATGACTTTGGTCAAGACACCCCAGTAAGTGTTGCTTATATGACACGCCCTCATAGATTTTGACGAGTGCTAGTTGGATAGCAATCTCATACAGCGACTCGCTGTGTGGAAGACGCAGTCTGCTGCTCGTGGTCTGAGTCCTGAGTTAGCGGCCACCAGCCAGCTAACTCAGATTGACGATCAACTCATGCCAGTCGTAGACGAAGATTCTTTCCCAGCAGAGATTCGATACTACAAGTTTCGCCAAGCTTGGAATTGTGTTGACAAGACCATTATGTTGAACGACCTGCTACCCGAAGATGATCTCAAGGAGCTTGTCCGCTTGACTTCGTGCCAATTCAGCAAGAATCTAAATGAGGGTATCGTGTTTGTTGGTGCCCATGAGGAAGCAAATCTGCATCTTGCGGTACACAAGCTAAACAACATTGAGAAGAATTGGGTCAGTGCTTATCGAAGCATTTGTGCAGGAAAATAGCTGACATAGCAAATAGCCATACAGACATCCATGGGTCAATCACGTTTTCTACACCGAGGAGACGGCCAACACCAAGTATGCCTTGAAGTATTTCGTTGATATGAAGATGTTCTACTTTGAAACAACGTTGTTGGATGAGTTACAAGTTATATTCTCAAATGGAGCGTGTGACTACGAGACGTTGACCAGCGCCATCACCGTGCGATGCGCACCCTACGTTCCAGTCAAGTCAACATATGTCCAGTTCAAGACGCCGAAGCTACGGAAGATCGAAGTGGAGGATATTCCGGGTGGTATTAAAGTGTTCTCAACCGCGTACACATACAATGGCAAAGGCGATCTTTCGGAAAATCCCATGCTATATCGACCTGCTCAAGATCCTGAGCGCGTCGCAACCCCTGCGGCCCAGACTAACTCCCAGCAACTTCAAAATGCTTTGGCTCCTCATCTGCGTAGCGGACCACATAAGAACCCGAAGGATGAATCTGTGCAGAAATGGGCAACAGAGATACCTGATCCGATCAGCTTGGGAGTCGCTTTAGCCCCAGAGGGTTTGCCTGATGGCCTCCGCATCCAAGCAAATGGCATTTCTGGTGGTCAAGGTAAGACGTTACATTTGCGGTTATATATTAAGTAGAGCTAATTTTTCCATAGCCAAGTCTCATAAGCCAACTTGGGATAGATATGAAGAGTACAGTCCGGAAAAGACTGCCGATATTGTAGAAAAGGAGCTTTCATGGAAGGCAAAGGTAGGTCCCATCGGTGTTATACGCAGGACTTCAGGCTCAACTGGGCCCGGCGTCCTTAACCCGTATTCCAATATCACAAACAAAAACGGAGTTACTCGTCATCCAACCTCGGAAGTGCCGCGGTCTGCTTCAATGCCACAGGTAACAAGCTCAAGCGATGGTCTCATGATACCACTCACACCAATAATTCTCCACCAGCAGCCACTGCAGTCAATTGCTGAACCTCGACCGCAAGCACGCCAACCTGATTTCCTCAAGCAGGTATCTCGAAGCCACACTAGGTCGGCATCTCAAACCGATACTGTTCCGCCGCAAGAACTTTCGAGTAATAGGCGTTTGTTTTCGGAAACGATTGCGAGACACAACAACGTTCAACTTTCCCTTCTTGATGAGGATGACCCTGTTCTTGAGTCGCTCGAATACAAAATCCTAGACCCCATTTTCAAACGCCCCGGCTTTCAGATGCAGACTGAGAAGGAACAATCTGAACACGAGCCCGATAATAGGGTTTTCCATCAAACCATGAAGCAGCGAGCACCTAAACCAAACCCCCATCATTTTGCCAGTAGACATGAACGGCCATTCTCACCACCAATGTCAGCAGCATCTTCTCAGCCCGGAAAATCATTAACAGATCCTCTATGTGACCTTGTCGAAGAAATGAATCAAAGTTTTAGGGAGCTATTGGCTGGACTTCGCGGATACCGAGGAAAGGTTGTCGTTCAAGCCGAATTCGGTCGCATCATCTTAGGACGCCTTCATCCAAAGTGGATCACCCAGGGTAGTGATCATCACCTTCTTGATGGTGTCTTTCTTCACAAGATGCTTATTCAGCCCACCGAGTACGGTCCTACTGCAGATTTTACGAGTGTTCTGACCACCATACCTGCCGAGATCCAGTACATGGTCAATATGAAGGGCAGAGGTGAACAGAATCTGTGGCAGGCAGACATAGTTTCGGGATGGAGTACCACTTACGAATTCGTGTTCACTGACCCTCGAGACCCGCTGTACCCTGTCATGATTGAGATCGATGCAGAGACCTTCGTTGCTCAGATTAAGGCACGATGCCGTCTGGGAAATCTCTTCATTCATGGAACCAAGAGACATTGGGACTTAAAGGTTGCCGCCATCGGATATGGTAATAGTCAAATCTTGGAAAACAAGTACGGCGAGCTTGCCACGGCTATCCAAGCCACTTTGTTCATTCCGTGAGTTGACCAGTCTGACATATAACTTATCTGACATCTATAGATCAAACTCACACAGACCATATTTATCTTGGAAGCTCGACAATTCTCTTCAGAAGAAATTCCTCATCCAAGATGTCACCGTTCGTCGGGTTTACGAATACAAGAGCACTATTCAAGATTCCACTCTCAAGGTATCGGAGCTTCAGTCTCTAGATATCAATGGTGGTCCGACGGAGAAATCATACTGGGTTTTTGAGGCATTGCCGAGCAATCCTGATCAGCCTCCTATTGAAAAGCTAACTACATGGTACGAGGCGTCCATTACGTCAGTAAAGCTTGATGACGTTCTCAAACAGAATGAGTCTCTGGACTTGGGCGATGAAACAGCCTGGACTTTGGAAGACACCGCCAACATGGAAGTTAGTAAGGCGATATACTCCCCAGCCCTCGAGATGCTCAAGCAGATGGATTGCGTAGGCCAGAATGGTCACAACGGCTCGGACTACAGATCTCGTAAGCCATCCAAGCATGTAATGCAGGCTCAGGCAAAGGAACCAGTAGTCTGGTGGTAAATCTTCGTCTACGATTCTCCACGCGCTCGTTGTAAGGGTCACGATCTTGCTGTTCTGGCATGATCTCTTTGACGTCAATTCGAGACTGCCTTGAAACTTATTGGGATGGCTTTTTCGGCACATTCGATCGTGTTGACTATCTCTGTCTGTACCTGCGAGCTCCCGAGCAAACTTCAGAACCTCAAGCTTTTCAAATTGTCAACGTGTCTCCATTTCCTGAATTCCAGAGATCTATAACTCTCGGCTTCACATAACGCAAGTCCTCGACATGCTTTCAAAATCTGCGCGAACATGTAGTTTGTACTTCACAACTACACAACCGTTTAGATGGAAAATCTATTGTCAGCAACGCTTCCAGTTGCAAAAAGCTCGATAGAGGTGCAATTCGGGATTCTCAGTTTGCGAGTTCGTCTCGAACATCTTTGCTCATTTGGCCCATATCGTCTCCTGAACGACTCTTACCTCAGAAAATAAAGAAGTCAACTTGGCAGAACGTTCTCAGGGCATTTGATCCTCGTAAAATGATATGACTCACGCCAGGCGCTGGTACAGTAAGAGTGACGCGTAAGTTACCGCCTTCCCTTGACTAAAGCTGATTCTATTATTTGGATGTACTGCAGAGTACAACTTAAGTCATTGAGCAATGGGTATTGTTGCGTGAACCGATTGTAGCCTTGAATTCCTAACCCAAATAGTCAGACTCCGCGTTGAAGTTCCACACCCATCGGCCTCGAGTTCTCATATCCCGCGATAAATTATCATCTTGGATGGGCTCAAGCAGCCCAGCTTCGGCGGCCACTGCATCATCTTGGTGATCGATATATTGGGCTACTCACTGCGACATGTGAAATCGGAAAATGAGAGTTTTACTCACCCTCCAGGCTAGGTCTCCTGGTCGTTTGCCGTGCTAGGGGTTTCTGAGCATGGAGCTGACATGGGCCATGAATTTCCAGCGTATTCGCTTTTCTTCATCTCTTTTGCGAGTATAGAAGCAATCAAATACTCCTCATTTCTCAACTCAAGTCTGGTTTCTTGGTTTTATTTGCCCTTTCTTCTGGATTTCCTGGCTCTCGTGCAATTCGTGACTCTCATTACTTTCTACACAATAGATCTGGTAGGGTCTTCATACGATGTGATGGCAACGAAGAATTCAGATTTAGATGTGGATTTTATCATCATGGGAGCAGAATTGAGTAACGTATCTGCCGCAGATGCCTTCTTCGAAGCCAAAATAGCATTGGCGGAAAGACTTACAGCGTTTCGAATGGTCATAGGGGATTCAATGATTTTTGGAGCTGTCTGGATCAACGATATAAGTCAAGGTGGGTGATTACTCAGAAATATGGATTCGAGACTATGGTGCAGCCTGATGTGGGTTTGAAATGTGTGTAAGATAGTGATGGGAGGGTGGTCACACAACCATATGGTGTCAGCGCTGTGGGTTTTCCTTCCGAGTATGGCAAATATAGATCTCTGATACCGAATTATGGTGCCGCGGAGGAAGAGACGGAAGTCGAAGCACTGATGAACAGCTATTAGTTCCGTTAGGAGAGTTGTAAGGGAAGTGATTAATGCTCGGATGGATGAATGACTAAGATTATTATCTTTGGGAGTTTCATATTGAGCTATGAATCAGCTGTGATCCCTCCTTTCCCCAATTTTGTTTCTCCTCATCCAACGCGATTCGCACCCAATAGATTGTCATAATCGTCCAAAAACTTGCCCATGCGAATGGTAAGCTCCAGCCAATCTCCGGCCTATTAGCATGCGAGACTCTACAATACGATGGGAATTATACTCACAACATAAGCGGTATCCTCATTTATTCCTCGCCAAAATATCAAATGGCTCACTGCCACATCAAAAAGCAGAGCTGGTACCATCCAAAAATATGTTAGATTGTTCATCAAGCGCCGAAACTCTGGACTCGTCTCATATCTGGTATTCAGTCGTTCCCGATATTCCGTCCCTCCATTGCCGTCCACCGCGACGACATCTTCGATGAGTGTGTAAAGTGCTGGGCGTAGCATGCCTCCTTTTGGCACAGATGAGACGCGAAAACGGGCTCGGATGTGAAATGATCTCATCAGTTCAACTAACAACATCTCGAGTCCAAAAGTGAAGAAAACAGAGGGGAGTGGCATTGCCAAAAGTCGAACTAGGGGCTCGTTCAGGCTGGTTGCTATCCCTACTTCGACAACAACTACGCCAAGAACTAAGGTAAGATTCCAATGAAGCCAGTCAAACTGGAAATAGTTAGAACATATTTGTAAGACCTCAATGGGGAAACATACATCTAGCCTCTTTGTGTTGACAACTCGACATGTTGAATTTTTCATCCAGAGTCTCCATGCTCTCTGAGCATATTCTAACATGAGAGTTCCAAACAATGTAAATGATATAATATAATATACTGAACACGGTTAGTTAGTTCAATCACGCTAAGCCCGAAATGTGTGTACCTTGCTTCTTATTCAACGTGGTAGAATAATTAAGGACAAAATACAGTATGATCGGAATTGCGAAGGAGTCCAGAATGACCAAAGTCCAAAATATGAGAATCCTCCATTTCTTGGAAGCAAGATCGTACTCTAAGCTGGGAAATGAATTTTCTGGCATTTGTCCTGTAAATCTTATCGAATGAGGAGACTGTGGGGAGCTGTCGTGAAATGTCATCAGTCAACGAAACAGTGGCAAACAAACGGCCGGTCGGCCGGTGTGGTTGAGTACGTACCATGGAACCTCGCCCTCTGGCTTTTCGTCCTCTACTGGGACGTACATCATGCAGTACTGCGTCGTGACGTGAGCTGCGAGAGTATGAAACCCGTGATTAGGGACGGAAAAGTCAGGCCTCGTCTAGTCTCAACTGGAAACCAGAATAGCAACAGCACAAATCGATCGGAAAACCACCCAGTTGCGAGAACTGCTCACGAAACAGATGGAATTGGCAGATGGCGAGGCGTCGTGGAAATATGAGTTGGACAATGAGATAAGCTTTTGTTGCTGAAACTCTGCCTGTAACCAGCTCAGACTCTATTCGGGCCAGGCGAAACGCGGAAAGGGGTTGTTTTGGTGGGCGTCGGCCTAAGCGAGGATCCCCATTCTTGGCGCAACACATACTAACTGGACGTTCTTCACTGACAAATCCTTTTGTTTACTGCAAGAACATGGTAGCGAGCCAGTAAACGATCATCCGCAGAGTAGCAAGGCGACGTATCGACCACTAAGAGTATAGTGCGACGTTATAATTAATAGCCCAATTCTTCCCTCTTATCCACGATTTTCTGCTCTCTAGTACAAAATCCTGTTGTGACAACGGAAACCATGTCAGCAGAAGGTATTTATTCTCAATCGTGCAGAAAGGCAGGTGTAAGAGAGAAGCAAGTCTTTCAATATAGTTGTGTAAAGAGCACAAAGCGTCTTGAAAAACGGACCCCTCTATTATTCTGCCTATACAGATTTTCGTACCCAACTTCTACTCAGATTTCAACCAGTCCTCCAAAGCTTCTCTAAAGATCTTCTGAAATCGAGCCGTTGCCTCTAACTCAAAAATTTGCGCGAAATGATGAGGGACACCCTTGAAAATCTCCAACTGAACCGACACCCCTGCTTCTTTCAATTTTGTCGCATATGCTATGCCTTCATCACGCAGCGCGTCTTGACCTGCCACAAACACCATGTGCCGTGGGAGATCTGACAGGTCACCGAGCAACGGCGAAACCATCGAATCAGCCCCAGACAGTTCAGATGGCTGGATCGTATTCCAAACCATAACCATAGCGCCAGAACTGTAGGTCTCGACAGCTTGCCTATAGGATCCGATTTGGCCTTCGGCGCTGTACCCGGCTGGAAAGTGACGGTAGTCGCATACCACAGGGACATTGAGAATTACGCCTGAGATCGGGATGTTCTTATCACGACACATCTGAGAAAGCGCAGCACTGATTCCTGCCCCTGATGAGGAGCCTGCAAGGAAAACTTTTTGGAGATCGAGGTCAACTTCAAGGGTCGAAATTTGGGACTTCTCAGAACATAGAAGATTTTCAAGAACATCCCAAGAATCTTCGATCCAGACTGGGAACGTGTATTCTGGAGCAAGACGGTACTCAACACTGACAACTGCGAGCTCGAAATGTTTGTATAGATGCCACAGGAGCCATGCCTCCTCTGAGATATGGGTTCCTTGCAGCCAACCGCCTCCATGTGTGACGAAAAGTAATGGCAGAGGAGCAGTAGGTTGTTTTTGGCGGAGACGAGTAGTATTGGGGTGTGAGATCCGAATGCTGACATCGGCTCCATCGCGGACTTTGATGGTTGTCAAGATTGCTACGTAACCGACTGACTCAAGAGGATGTGCTGTGGACCATTCGATATCGTCCTCAGCTTGGTTGGCTCGAGCTTGAATTACATCGAAGTGCAATGGTTCGATTGGCTCTGATAATGGTGGACAAGTATTGTTTGACGGTAGTGGACATCCATGTTTTGTGGCATACGCCTCCCAGTCTGGGTCCGAGGTGAAATGATCTGGAGGAAACATCTCAGGTTTGCTGCATATAGTTTCGACATCATTGTGTCAAGTCGTACTGCCACCGAACTATAAATGAAAAGAGGCAGAAGCACGTTATGAGCTCCTGCATATATGAAACATGATTTTGTGTACCCAAGCTGGTTTAGGAAGGTACCAACAAATCCAAGACTTAGAAGAGTCTTGGTCATTGAAAGCAACGCGCACGCAATTGGACAACCATCTGACTGTCGCCCCATATCATGTACCTACCATCACAAAACAGGACGCCAAGAAAAGTAAAGGCTGATGACAAGATACGAATGGCGCATCTTCAAGCATGCGTGTGGATATTCATCTGGACCCAGCAGTCTGGAAGGACCTGAGATTGGCCGAGCGAACAACAAGTCTGGTCAAAAGTGGAATTAACGTGGAAATATCTATGGTTGTCTAATAGGGTAGTATGGATACAAAGAGCTTGCGTATATTGAAGATAACATTCGTTAGTGACGTCTCCGGCTACGCATTGGGGACCGAAGAAGGGGATGTAGGAAGGATCGTTCCTGGAGAGGGAGTTCGGTGCGGCGCTGTCTGCTGGGATCTCGATGTCTGGGAAGAAGGTAAGATGATGCGGGTCGATGAGCTTGGGAAAGCGTGCCGATGTGAATAGCAGCGGGTACGGCACTGACGGCCACAGCAAGACACAAAAGCGTCACTGTAGTCTTCATGATCTGTGAGTTTGGAGTCAGGAGGACGGAGTTGAGTATGAAACGAGAGTAAGGTATTTGGAACGGTGAGTACACAGGTAGTTTTCCAAAAAGGTGCTCCCCTGGGCTTGTAAATACATCCAAGGCGCACATGTACCTCACCGAAAATTAGGATGACTCAGTGATTGTTGATCATGTAAGATTCGGCATACCGACCACTATTCAGAGAATTACGGATTCATTTCGAGGACATCAATGATAATTGTGGACGTTCCACGACAGTAGGATATATGTCCCAGGGATATTTTGTACTTCAAGGGACGAAACACACTATGTGGACCTAAAGATGCACCCATATGATCTGGAATGGTAATCTCGAGAGGCGACACAAACTTGCCTTGCTGAAATATTGTCCGTATCGGGCACGGTTCTGAGCCACTCTTGATGTTGTGTGAGACTTTTAAGAAACCACTTGGTCAGGTGCCGTTTATTCAAACCGAACCGGCAGGGACGAGAGAGCATGGTTCTTAAAGGAAGGCCACAGAGCTTTTCGCAACTATTAATTAGAGTGAGTTGCTGTTGCCGCTTTTTGAGACCATTTCACCCGCTGCCGTAAATACATACCGATATGCCACATTTACCTGACTATTCGTCCAAATAGTGCCGAAGTATCAGTCAATCAGTACAAGCCCTCATCTTCATCCTCTCCGTCTTGGAATCCCATGTCGATCGCCTTGCCCTTGCCCTTGCCCTTGCCCATCCCAACAAACCCATTGGTCCTCTCATCGAGGACTTCCTGATCCTCGTCTCCCTCACTGCCATCCCAGCTGCCCATAGCTTTCTCTTTCCCCTTTCCTTTCCTATCAGCAACTTTCTCTTTGCTTTTGCCTCTCCCGTTACTACGTGGCCGATGTGAATGGTCTCCTCCTCCTGCCCCGTTGCTCTTCTGCCAGTCTGGAATTCCATCAATGACTTTTCCCTTGCCTTTATCAACACGGCCATTGCTCTTCTCCTTGTCCTTATCTTCGACCTTCTCGAATTGCGCCCGCACCATACCATAATGTTCTAATTCCTTTGCACTAACACTAGGTACCAGTTCCTTTTCAGCATTGATGAAATCTTCTTCCGTGACCATGACCGCTACGTCTTCTTTGCTAGCGAAGTGATCAAAGAAGTACGCTGTGGAAATCTTGGATCTCCCCGATGCAATGTTAGTATTGTTGATCTGGGCAATTTTAGAATCAACCAGGGAAGCTTGGCGAGTGACGGCTTTGAGCATGGCATCGGAGCAAAGCGCATAGAAATCGGCTCCCGTGTATGTGAATGGGAGGCGAGAGGCAATACGTGGTAGTGAGAGGGTGGGATGGAGTGTGAATCTTTATTCTGTCAGTCTCGCCTTATGATATACTTCAGTGAAACACTTACTTTCTTGTCAATGCCTCCATAATGGTCAGCTGCTTTTCATGGGTATCGCTGACTCCCAGATAAAGCATCTTGTCAAATCGGCCCGGACGCAGTAAAGCAGCATCAAGCAGATCTGGCCTGTTGGTGGCACCAATTACAAAGACACCTCCACCACCATCCTTACCATCAGACATGCCGTCAAGCTCAGCCAATAATTGAGAGACAATTCGATCCATAACTCCACCGCTATCGCCCTGGTTTCCTCTTTTGGGTGCTACTGAATCGAGTTCATCGAAGAAGACGACGCAAGGACGTGCATCTCTGGCACGCTGGAAAACGCGACGTACATTGGCTTCAGACTCACCAATGTACATATTCAGCAGTTCTGGGCCTTTGACGCTGAAGAAGTTGAGACTAAACTCTGTGGCAATAGCCTTTGCAAGCAAAGTCTTGCCGGTTCCAGGCGGTCCATAGAACAAGATACCAGATCGTTTCTTCATGCCCTTTGCAAACAGTTCCGGGCGTTCGAGGGGCAGCTGAATAGTCTCCATGACAGCATCCTTGACGTTCGTAAGACCTCCAACATCGTTCCAACTGACGTTGGGAATCTTCGGAGCACCGATGGCATCCGCAAAATTCTTGCGAGCTGCTTCAACTGCAAGCTCGAAGTCGGCTTTCGTGAGACACCTACCAGCGGGACCACCAGCAACCAGAACATCACGAACTGTAACAGCATTTTCTGAATCAGAAGACATAGAAGCCAGCGCTTCAATTCGTGAGTTTCGAGCTGCGAGAGCTCTGTCAACAACATCAACGAGATCGCCCGCGACAAGTGCGGCAGTCTTGACTGCAACTCCACTGAGTTCGACATCAGGAGCGAGAGCGACTGGCTGGTCATCTATGATGCTCCTCAAAATGCCTTCTCTTTCCCATTCGTCAGGTGCAGTCATCTCTAGCTCATGGGTGAAGAGAGCTCTAACGCCATCTGGGACTTTGTCAACCTCAGTAGTAGTCGCTATGAGGACTCTTGATCCAGCCAATATTTCTTTGAGGGCGGCGATCATTCTGTCTGCTGTCAAAGCTTCAATATGTCTGATCAATAGCGCGCAATATTCCGGGCCACAGGTCATTGCTCGTTCAGCACGTGCTTCTAGAATTCCAGCTGATTTAACATCGCTGCCAGCGCTACCCTCACTAACAATGTCGTATGCGTCGACTGTAAAGGTGTGTAGCCCAATGTCAGAACATGCACGCTTTGACATTGTAGTTTTGCCAATATTCCTTTGAGTAGAAACCAAAAGGATCGCCAGTGGTTGTAGTTTTAAATGGATGGCACGAGGACTCGTGGCGGCTGCAATCAACTCTCTCAATCGGCGTTGAAGGGCTGGGATGTGATGCCTTACCGGTTCTGGCATGGAAGTTAATTCTGTGTCCGACTTTGATATGGACTTGAGCCCCAGATAGTACTCCCAAGAGTTCTCCATCGTCGCTGGCAATCGACTATTCTCGCTCCCAGATTGCATCATGTGTGTTGAAGACACATCTATCGATGCAACTCCACCCCAAAGATTCTCCTCTTCACCCTGTTCGGGGTTATCCTTCGCAGCACCAATATAACCGACTCTAAACCATGCAACGCCTGTTGCCTTGGCTGGTTTGGCGGGTCGAGAATTATCTAGGACGGTGTTCGATAACAGATCATCGATCTCTAAATCGTCGTTCGCTGCTGGCTGATACAAGGTACGGCCAAGATCTTCATCGATTGGAATAGCCAAGAGATCGCCTTTCTGGACGATTCGAGTGCGACTGGTGAAATGGCGCTTCAGACCGGAGAAGAATGCGTTTTGCAAAGTCCGTTCCGTTGAGAACGGTGTGCTGATCTTCAGAAGAGTGAGCTCTCGTGCAAAAGGAGGTCGAGATGCACCAGTAATCTTGGGTAGTGGGGCTCTCATGGGTAGCGGCGTCCGTTTCAAGGGAGAAAGCCTGCAATATGGCGTGTTCTCCATGTTGGCTAGAAGGATAGGAGAAAGATAAACAGTAGGGCTAGATGGCTTTTGAACTTGGGATTCAAAAAAGGATAAACGTCTTCCGTCCTGCTTGCTTGTAGATATCTTCGTTATTGGCCGATGGGAGTAACTTTCTGGCAGGCCAAAAACCTTCACTGGTCGCCAGATAGAATCCTCTTGCTCGGGAGCGCCGAAACTCCCTAGGCCCCACAGGCCGGTGCCTTGCTGCGGAGGCTCGGGTGCAGCTTCTAGTCGTACCCAATCTCCTGAAAAACAGCCAATCTTCGTCAAAGAATTGATGTCGACGTATATCCTGGCCTCCTCATCGTCCTCGCTGCTCGGCTTCGGATGGAGTGTCTCTTCCTGGAGAGGCTTCACAAGTCCCTGGGCTTTGAACAGCCGTCCCCGTTGGCCACCAGCCCTTGCCGTGGTTGCAGTAAATGAAGAAAATACTGAACCAGGAGTACTGATTCCATCGGTCTTTCGGCCGCGGCCAAGGGTCATCGGAGTGCCTGCTTGCATAGTTGATATGCCACTTGCATTGTGAGCCGGAAGTGAGGGTGCCTGTAGGGAGATCAGATCATCCATGGAGTCATCAGAGAGATCATCATTGTCCACTTCTGAAAGCTCGGTCTCTGTTTCCGTTTCTGTTCCATCCTCTACAGCTGTATCAGTCTTGTACCGGTCCTCGGCTGCGGAATAAAATTGGTCATTTGAAGTGTCTTCATCATCTTCCATGACTCCATTCAAACCACGATTGACTGGAAGCGGCTGAGACTTCCGCACGCTCTTGGCATGATGCCCAGTTTGTGTGATGATAATTCTCGTCCGCGCAGATAGAATTCCTTGTCCAACAGGTTCCGAGAGCGTGACTTTGGCGGGTGGCGGGGGCACATGGGTAATTGGGTGTGGTGGAAGAGGCAGGGAAAAGAAATCGCCGGTATGAACAATTCTCAGTGCACCTAATGATTCTCGTATTGCTGCTGTCAGGCGGTCTTCAGGTATCTTTGCAATCGCCTTCCCGTTTGGCAGCCCATTTACCCGTGTATGCTCTCCGTGAAATGTCCCTTCGCCATTTTCCAATCTTCTTGCTAAATCTGCCTCGATGGTCACAAAGACCGTATCCAGTGGAAGCGGTATCACATCGAGGATCCTGATTTCAATCCCACTCCGACTATGACTTGATAGCTTGGAGGGGGCAATTTTCTGGAGAGCTTCTGCGAAGCTTTGTAAGGCTAAAGACGCAGGCGAGAATTGTACGGTTGAATGTGCAAGCGCGCTCGAAGGTCTAACAGGAACTACTGTCCAGGTGGAGTCTTCAACGAACGTTGACGGGGCCCATGGAGAGATGGCGACATGATGGAATTCGGGGGCATTAGTTGCGCCATTACCATTCTCTAGTGCTATACACGCATATCAGAGTTGTGTTCACAGAGCCATTATCTCAACTAACCCAGAGCTAGAGCAGGGAATAAATCTGCGAATAGATCCTCGGACAGGATTCCAACATCCCCTTTCACATGGTCATCTAACACCAGTCGGGCAGATATCGCAGATTTATCCTGGCGTCTCCTTTTCCGCTTCCGACTATGTGACAATGGTATTCGCTCCGGCATGGCTGTATTTGCTAGAGGTCACCGGTCACTGTCGCGTTGATGGGCGATGTACGCGTAGAAGAGCTCAGGTTATGGATCCGATCATGCTTCGGACATGTTTCGGATGGTCGAATTGCAACTGATTTGAATAAGAGAAAGGTAGGACTCGAGTACCTGGGCCTATATCCAAGTAACTTGAATATTGAGACGCAGAACAATTTCAATGTCGGCCTAGACAAGTCGGTCTGGAGATCAACAACGAGGAACGAGATGCCGACAGCTCCCACCATCTCGTCGCAAGCCGAGGCTTGACAAGTTGCGGCGCTAAGTCTGGATGCGGGTAGAGGCTTTTGAATATCACCTGATGTTCCTGTATCCACCTGAACCGGTACAATACCAAATATGGCGAGCAGCAATATTGGCATGTCAAAAGGCATTATTATCCTTGTAAGGAAGAAATTCCACCCACTTTATGTACAAAGCTCAAAATTTGATGAAACGTGTCAATAGATATGTGCACCGAAGGTGCTGCCAAGTTTTGCTCGGAGTATCACGTTTTTATGTCACAGAAATCTTTTGTTGCAAATCGCACTTGTTTTCGAACCGACCATATCCGCTTCACGATCTCCAGAATTTTGTTTCACAACAGTCCATCCCAGAAAGGACTAGTTTGTTCAAAGCCTCCGTAGCTTGTACAGCAAGAAACGAATCATCTCGACAATTGTTTGGGCACCACAAAACAAATATTAGAGGAAAAGCTTTGGGAGGCCGAGGTGTTTCCTTCCAGTTTTCCAATTGCTCTCCGCGCTCGAATCAAAGAAAGTGGGGCGTGAGAGCTTCCACAGAAAGTATCGGTTTGATGTACCCGCACTAATCAAGAGGATGGGAGAATAACAAGCGACTGAGTTGACCGAATCCATTCATGACCAAAGTCACTGATGGATCCGGCCACCTTTGCTGTGTGGTTTGGCTCTTTTCCCGTATTCAGTCCACTGCAAGAAATCTGCATCCAGGATTCTGTCGCTCTCAGTGCATCTTGAATGACCTGGCTTGTTATGCCGCAAGAACATGTACCACAACCAAGCGTAGAAATATCTCTATCTGACCAAATAAGTCAATTCATAACCTTATCAAATGTCAACATGGACATTTCGCTTCGCAGACTCTCGCCGATCTGCGTGCAGCATGCCAACCGAAAGGACTCCTTCCACAGCAAATTTGTACTCAGCCATTTCACTGTGTCAGTTGTGTCAGGATGCTTCAAGATAGAGTGAACGAGCAGTACTTAATACTTAATTTGATTCTTGAGGCTGGGCGAGAACTTTACCTTCCCACAGCCTTGTTCAAATATGATGTCATTCAACCTTACAGTATTGGCTTCACTTCAGGGGTCCTTCTGCCCAACCGCTGTCAGCTTCCCACGTCGCCTACGAATTGCTTCTTCACAACAGCCATAACAACGGCCATACTCGATCGGGTAACGGGTAAGATCGTCTTCATTTATCAATTGTTAACCAAATCTCCAAACATTACAATAATACACACACAACTACATTACTGTACTCTACAGGATGTCTTATGTGGACTCTGTTTCGGTTCCAAGGCGACTCAGCCTCAGCCTCACGCTGATCTCGACGTCAATGACATGTACCTTTCGTCCTGCCGTGGTTGCAGCCATCACATGCCAATCGCAATATTAGGTAGAGTCCTCCTTCATTCTTGGGAAATTTGAGGAAGCTTGATAGACCAGTAGAAAGGCTTGGATAACATGCTCTAAACCTGTTTGCGCCACTCGATGGCGGGCCGAACGAATAGTGGGCTGGCCACCGCCTGAACGCGAAGCCCAGCAAGTGCAAGGCTATCCAGACCTCAGTTCCAATGCTCTTCATGCAACGCTATGGCAAGGCAAAGCAAGCCGTCGAAAAGCACAACAATCCTCCCGTCTCTGTCCCGTCTTTTCTCCAATTGCTTTCCATCATAATTACAACTCCTCTGCGTCGTTGATACATACCAATTCCTTCGCAATTGGGTCTCCTGTCATGTTAGCGATTCCCACTTCATTGCTTTGGCGATAACGGCTCGAGGCGACATGCCAACCATGGGAAGTAACACAGGCACAGCGCCAAAGGGAACCGATACTGCTGTGCTTCCTACCACCGCCATCAAATATGCTCACCAGGCGGAGAAGTTATCTCTCGCTTCCTCGGGGGACGACATCGACGGAGCAAATACGGCTGTTAAAGCCCATTTCATCACGCCCCATGACCCCATCATAGTTACAGGAGATGGGGGACGCTTACCTGGCGTCCCTCTCGCAGAGGCAGAAAAACTAAATCGACTGAAGGCTGTTGTTGAAGGAGACTCGGCGGACACAACACAAGTGGGGGCCATCTCTGAGAAACCACAATCGCAAAATGGGACACGGCCAGAACCTCCCCAGGACGGGAGAATACAGAAGAACGGGGAAGGCTCCCTGCGTCGAGCAATGCCCCCTTCGAGAACGAATCCTCTTTTCCCACCGCTTCCACTATATGGACCTTCCTCTATTGCACGAGAGCTGCAATGCCTTACATTCCGAGTCTCCTCATTCGTCCTCTCTGGGTGCTTTCTGGGTGCAATTGTGCTTGGTGCAGGTGTCAAAAATTTACAGCCAATGTTCTTCCATATCTGGCTACGCCTGACATTTCGAAACCCGGATGCTAGGCGACCCTTCTACCAAGAAGAGAAGCGACTAAAGAAAGTACGGAAGGATGAAGAAAAAGCTTGGAAGAAGAAGAAACGAGCCCGGAGAAGTTCAACGATTAAAATGGAGGATGATACTGAAGGCGGTCAGGAAGAATTCATACCTACGGAAGGTGGCCCAGATCCGTTGGTGTGCGACGTTAGTTACTATGCGAGACGAGTTGGACTTGACATGGAGACATTCAAGGTGCAGACGGAAGATGGCTTCATCATTGAGCTGGTAGGTGGTCGGGCAGAGGCCTTCTCACCCCGTGCGTTTGTCTCAAGAGTACTTAACTCCCAGATATGCTCCTGAGACATGATTATTGTGTAGCTGCTAACCTCCTGGTTATCGCAGTGGCATATTTACAACCCACTTGAATTTACGCCTCTGTCCGATGCCGAAAGAGCAGCTCGTGGCCCAGATATTTTTACTGGCGCTGGTCCTTCTCGCTCGTCGCAGACCCAGAAGCCCAAGTTTCCCATTCTTATGATGCACGGTCTCTTACAGTCATCTGGAGCATACTGCACAAACGATGACCGATCATTGGCTTTCTACTTGTGCAAGTCTGGTTACGACGTTTGGCTTGGAAACAACCGCTGCGGTTTTCACCCAGATCACACGCTTCTATCCACCTCCGACCCTAGGATGTGGGCATGGAACATTCGTCAAATGGGAGTAATGGACCTTCCAGCCCTTACGTCCCGAGTACTTTCAGAAACAGGCTTCGAGAAGCTTGGGCTAATAGCACATTCCCAAGGCACAACTCAAACACTCGTCGCGCTTGCGAAAGAGCAACGTCCAGATCTAGGCGAGAAGCTGACCGTCTTCTGTGCGCTCGCCCCAGCCGCGTATGCTGGTCCATTGATCGGGAAAGCCTACTTCAAGTTCATGCGACTCATCTCCCCAGCCTTCTTCCGTATCATCTTTGGTATTCATGCATTCATCCCTCTCATGATGACGATGCACCGAATCATCCCCGGCAAGCTCTTCGGCGCCATGGGATACGTAGTCTTTCATTTCCTGTTCAATTGGAGCGACGACCGCTGGGACCGTGGCCTACGAGACCGCTGCTTCCAGTTCGCGCCTGTTTACGTCTCTGCGGAATCGATGCGTTGGTGGCTGGGTCGCGAGTGTTTTGCGCAACAGAAATGTATCCTCGCTACTCGTGAAGAAGGACATGCTGAGGATGCAGAGGATGAGATGGAGGACTATTATAAGCAGTCCGAACAGCAGGGCGAATCATCGCAACCTGCTGATCGGCCATCGCATTTCCATCGCAGCCATGAGGTTAGGAAGAATCATTTGAGGAGACCTAAGGGTTCTACTGCGTGGTATAATGAAAAGGTCCCGCCATTTGCTCTCTGGATTACTGGATCGGATGAACTTGTTGATGGGCGTCGGCTGCTGAGAAGGTTTGAGAGAGGCAGAGAACCGCATGTGAGAGTTGTGCATAGTAATGTGATTGAGGAGTATGAGCATTTGGACGTTATCTGGGCGATGGACTGCATTGAAAAGGTTGGCAAAGAGTTAAAGGAAGTGCTGTGGAAGACGTGCGACGTTAGAGACAAAGTTCGGATACCGAAAGGCTGCGAGGATGTTGATGTTTGGAGGGATCCGAAGTTCGATCCAAAGGCTGAGAGCGTCAATGGTGCCGATGGTGTAGAAGAAAAGGAAGAGGAGAGCCAGAGTAGCAGTGATAGTCGGAGCGATTAAGCGGACGGGTGAGGAGCCGGGTAGAAGGCTATCACTATCAAGTACATAGTACATACTTTTCAGCGTTTGAGCGTGTTGGCGTCGGGCCTCGGTATGGCAAAAGCAGACGGTTTCAATGGGCCTGCATACATATACATAGAAATTACTGTAATAGCATTGATACTCTAGTATGTCAAAATTATGTAGATAGACTCTGACTACATACATTACGAACACATAAATAAATACAAGAAAGATGCCAATCTGAAAGCCAAAACGTAAACACCAAGCTGGACTGGTCCATGTGCACGTCAGTCTCCACATTCTGGTACATCCAAGGTAATAACGGGTCTCACAATATCCCGTCATGAATTTGCAGTAGCAACCTCTCATTCAGCAATCCAAAGGCCTAAGCCTATCAATTGACTTTGTTCTCTCAGAAGTCGAAACTCTGATTCCAGGCATCCGAAACTTGGCACCTTCAGTGGCGTCAATCCAAGTCACTCTCGGCAGGTCACCAATAAGATGTATCGACATATATAATCCCTCTCCCTTCAAAGAATCACATGCTTCTTCAATAGCGACTTAAACCTAAAGTTTATACTGCCCTCTCCTTTGGCAGACCAAAATTATTCAAATAATGGCCGTGGCAATGGTTGAGATACCTAGAAAACTTCCCCACAATGTCCCGCGCCTCGCTAAAAGCTCCTGTAGCACTGGCTCACTTCAGCCGTATGATCCCTGTGGTCCTAGCATCACCGTCTTTTTTGATTTCGAGCTCAACTGAAGATGTAAGAAAGCTCTTCATTGTAAGATCGAGAGAAATCATGAAGCCACCGTACTCACTAGAATGGTACCTGGCGGACTGGAGAACAAACTAGTTGATTGGTAGATGCCGAGCTCGGCGCGCTAGGATCTCGCTAAAGCCCGGGTCGCTTTGTTTACACAGTTTAGTGGCTGATGGAAATAAAGAATGGTCCTCGCCTGGAGGCTCAGTACCCGAAGTTTGGTGATACAGACTACGTAAGAGCTCAAGGCTTGAAATCCGTTTGGAACAAAGAGTCGATAACATCGTTGGCATGTGAGACGCACATATGTTCCTCAGAGGCTGCAGAGCAGCAGAAAGATGTGAGCTAAGATCCATCCAATTTTCAGCAACGGATATAACTCCAGAGCACAATCTTCATCTCCCTTTGCATTTAATTCAAATGTTCTCTTCAGATTCTCCTGATGAGCTTCCCGAATTATCTTACAAGCTCCAATATAGCTTTACATCTGGTCAATGGATCAGGTAAACCGTGTTCTTGTCGGCAAAAGCCTATTCCTCGAGAGTCTTCCCATCTACCAACTCTCCACCAACTTCCTTCCCAGAGCTATCAATCTTTGCTTCTCAATAGCAATACCCTTACCTTTCGTAATCTCTTCCTTCATGCGCAAAACCGTAGCTTTGCGAGCGATAGTCAAGGGGAATGTCCGTCCAGTCAACAGTCCGATTTCAAACGTGATGGACTCTGGAGGACTGACGGCGGGTTGCGGATAATTCATAAACATTTGTGGACGCAGTTGATATGCTGGACTGAGAGGCTCGGAGCCAAAGAAATTTTTGTACAGGGATTTCATTGTCGAAAGGCGTAGGGTGCGAGGTTCGTGGTCAGTATCTGGCGAGCTGACGCCGTAGCGGCGGTGGAGCTTGATGCCGAGAGCTGTTCGAAGGTTTGCGTATATTTGGGTGTCAATGATTGCTGCGACCCAGAGCTCATCCACTGTTCAGTTTAACCATCAGTCAGCAACATGCTCTAGAAGTTGAAGATCCGAAAGGCTGTACTTACTCATATTCGTCGGCATGATCTTACTTCCATCTTCATCTGCAGTGAATGTCTTGATGGCGATGAGACGACGAAGTTCCATGATTACGTTTCATGCTGGAAGGTGATACTTGAGATGATAGCTGCAATCGCAGTCTGGAACGATCGAGCGACATGAATACTAGTTACTGCTTCCTTGTTTCTGCTACCCTCCAAAAAATCGACGGTAAGCAGTCTTCTAGTGATTTTCTTTCTTTCTTTCTCCCGTTCTTTTGTCGTATTTTGTGGGGACAAAATACAGGACAACAACTCGAACAATAAAAGTCTATGATATTGGGTAATTGATGCACGCAATGGATACCCCTACAATTTAAGTATTTCTTGTCAATGCATATCTCAAACCGAAGTCAACGTTGTGTATAACTATGGATCGCTGGGAGCATCATGGTGGTAGCGTCAAAATGTGATTTTAAAGCTAGATCACAAATCTCGCAATTTAATCATTCCCAATTTTCCAATTTTCAAAAGAATGATCTCCGACCCTCAGAAAAACGCAAAGCCAAGCAACACTAAGCAAAACCAAGCAAAACCAATAGGAAAGGAACCCGAGCCAAAATTCAACTTAAAACAGAACCCAAACCCAAACCCAAGCTTACTCGCATAGGCCATCCAAAATACACTCCATCGATCCATCAATCTTTGCAATCCACAGTCTCTGCTCAGAGTTTTGATCTTGGACACTCTGGACAACCATTTCGATGAGCATCAGAGATCTTTGATGGCAGTTTTATCAAATACGGACATTTAAGACCATAATCTTCGGCTTCCGGATTTTCTTCCAGTGCTGCTAGGGCAAAGTCGCAGAGGATTGATGCCTCCCATGAGCCAAATATGGTTGCGACCAATCCTTTGCAATTTCCACACAGCAAGGGAGTGGCTCTGCACATGTTGACTATAGTATTGTCGACGAGGGCTTGTGTTGTATTTTTGAGTCGAATAGCTGCTCGTAAAACTTGATGAAGAAGAGTAATGGTGGAAACCTGAGATTCAGAGGTGCTATGATGGAGGATGTCGTTCGAATATATAGATTGTGAGCTTACCTTGTGGTTTAAAAGAGATGCCATTGAAGACATTCTGCTTTGTGGATATAAAAAAGACTAATAAAGCCACTGAAAATAGAATCGTAGACTCCAAGTAATTGGGCGGCTTTCAATATGCATCACTCTAAAGATATCAGAGAATCACAGTGACATCATAACTGATCAAACGCTTTGAGGAATTTGAAGCCATGGAGTTGCATCATAAAGATTTTGACCCGTACAGTGTAACACGAATATGTTTATTCTATATTTGAAGCGGGCTGTGATACAAGAATAGCCATAAGGCTGGATATATCCCGATTATCATGTCCTCGCCTTCGGTAAAGCCACGAACTAATCATAGAGTAATTGAGTAATGGAACGCTTGGACTGGTGTTCTTGAGTCCCAATTTGGCATCTGAGACAAGAAGGTCTAAAGAAAGCAAAAGCTCATTGATCTTCAGCTCAAAAAAGGGTAGGCAGCGGATTGATTATTGGGTCTTCAAAGCGCGCTGCGGCGCTGTGGTCTGCCTCTCATCCGGCTACCAGATAGGTGGACCTGGGAAACTTGTGTGGTGCCTGGAAATCCCAACCAATTCAGAAGAAACAACATCCTGAGGAGATGAATACTTGTCAGCCTCAAAAAGACGTGTCGAAAGAACTGATCTTGCGCGTGGTTGGTAAGCCAGCAATTGACCCTGTCCTGTTGTGATGCCAATGGTAAGCGAAAGCGGCCGCATCTGCCGACCATAATCCACTTCTCCTCCACCTGCTTACAAAACAGCCCTGATTGTGGACGAAACGGCCGCACCTCATTTGGTCAGCTAGTAGAATTACAAGCTCCTCATTTCATGAAATAATCCACTTTATTAAACAATACGAACGCGCAAGACAGAAATGTCACTATAGCTCGATGTTGATTGGCTCCTCGCTTCCCATATGTCAGAAATAGGCGGCGGCACCCAACCCGAGGTCAGAAGTTAGTCTCCCGCTTGGCTTGGCTTGATGCCCCTCCAAAGCTAGGAACTGACGACAAGCCACTTGTGCTTGGTGAGCTAGTTGAGGGGTAAGTAAAGGTAAGGGAAGGAAGAGTATATGAGTAGGTTCGTATGCTTCATTGAAAAGACTTCTCTCGTCCATCCACCATATCTCATCTCCTCTTTCTTCAATTGCAGCTACACTCAAGTTGACATCTTTATCGGAATTATCGAGAACTTGTGTTACTCACTATCTAGCTTGAAGTCACACCTATCTCATCTCTTATCCCGTCACCTCACAATGTCTAATCCCCAAAACACTGCATTCGTGCTGGTCCCCGGCTCCTTTTCACCCACCACCTTCTTTGAAAGAGTCACGCCTCTCCTTGAAAATCGCGGCTACTCCGTCCACCCCACCGCCCTGCAATCCGCCGGCGAGCGACCCTCAGACCAAGGTCCAGCCACTTTCCAAGAAGATGCTGCTTACATTCACTCTGCCCTCCTCCAGCTCGTCGAGCAAGGCAAGAATGTCGTCTTGGCTATGAACTCGTATGGAGGTTTCCCTGGCACCGAAGCGACGAAGGGTTTGAGTAAGGGGGAGAGGGAGAAAGAGGGCAAGGATGGTGGTGTGGTGGCATTGGTGTATTTGGCCAGTTTTATTCCTGCAGTGGGAATGAGTTTGAGGAAGTCGATGGGAGATGATTTGCCTGATTCGATCAAGAATGCTGTGAGTAGCTGACCTTCCTTTACCGAATCTCAGTCCCTTAGGAAAATGAATAATAGACGGCTCCCTGGTATTGACGCATTTCATCTAGGGCGAGTACATGGCGTTGGACCATGAAAACGACTGGAAGAATATTTTCTCCGATATGCCAGAGGATGAAGCGAAGCATTACATGAGCTTGATGCCGAACCACTCTACCATCTCTTTCTCTGGCGAACTCACCCACCCAGGGTACAAATACATTCCTGCTATTTATCTGCTTACTGAGGGAGATAAGATTATTCCTGTAGAGGCGCAGAGACAGATGATCGAGTTTGCGAGAAGTGAGGGCGTGGACGTGAAGGTTGTGGAGACTGATTCGGGTCATTGTCCGATGCTGAGCATTCCTGAGAAGACAGTGGATGTTTTGGTTGCGGCTGCTAGTGGGCTGTGAGGTCTGTGACTGGACTGAGTTTTGGATAGAGAAGTGGGCGAAAGTTATTGAAACAAAGGAGATCTTTTGTGTAGGTTGTTGACTTTCGAATTTTGATGTGGTTGCTTAGCGACATTAAAAGTTGGACGATTGTACCTCTTAAAATTCAGCCAAATACTGAGAGCGAACTCGCCTTCTCGGTATGATAGATGATTGCCAATTCTCGGTGCCTGGTACTCTTATGCTCTCCAGTGTCCGACTTGGGTCGCTGACACATCCGAGTATGCAGAAATGTATGATGGGAAGTATTCATAGGCTAGTCAGAGAAACCTCCTTTCCATTCGGAATCCCAAGTCTCCATTGAAAGTCGTCAGGTCCTTCGTAGCTGTAAACTGTCAATTCCATACTCAACACTGCTCAAAACACGATCCCATTCTCCTTGTACATTTCGTCAATCAACTCATGCCCCTCCACCGCATCCTCGAAACTACAATTCACTCTCCCTTCAGCCAAATCCCTATAAATCCTAGCCACATTTTTACTTGGGAGGCCCCAGCTATCTCCATCAAACTCATCTTTCTCAACCTCTACGGTCACTGTATCCTTGCTGTCTCCGCCATACAGATCAAAATCTGAAATGGAGATCTTGACATCGGGATATCCTACGTTGAGGAAAGGTCCAGAGGAAGTGACACGAATCTCACCTGTCTCGCCGTAGATGCGCCAATCGAGACCGGGGACGTCTTTGAAAGGCTTACCGCCACGGAGGGAGAATGCGAGAGGGACTCCAGTCGTGAGACTTCCGTGGAGAAAGATTGTGTCGTCGGATGTTACAGGGTGCTCTTCTTTGATCAGTTCGTTGGAAGATGAAAGGAGTTTCTGGTGTGAACGGCGAGACGCGAGCAGTGTCTTGGGGGCGGGTGTGAAGCCATAGCCCAGTACTGTATTGAATGTGAGTAAGTCTTTGCGAGTCATCGATAGAAAGATTAGTGGAATTACCGGCTTGGATGTAATCAATGGAGTGTCCGAAATGAATCGAGACCAGATTGCCACCAACCTCTCGTTGAGATAGATAGCTATGATTGTCAGCGTAAAATCGTCACCATAATCATGACAGAACACTCACGCATAACCTTCCTGCACAGTTGGGCCCAGATTTCCACCCTGGCCTGTCCAAGTACTACTCAATACCTTCCCGACTCTTCCATCATCAACAAGCTGCTTCAGCTTTCTCACAACCGGGCTTTGTCTTGCCTGTAATCCAACCACAGCGGTCTTGACTCCGCCTTCATTCTTGAGGCGAAGCAGCTCTTTGGCCTCCGCGAGGTTCTTTCCCAGAGGCCATTCAACGAATACGTTTTTGCCCGCTCTCAAACTGGGGCTAACAGTGGCGAGATGACGGTCTACGCGCACGCTACAAACAACAAGGTCGACATCTTTGTCTTTGGCGAGTTCTGTGGCTGTTATTTAAGGTACTATACAGTCAAAATTGAACGATATTCTCATCATCGCTGTCCTTTTCTGAGGAAAATTCATGACTTTGCAAAGCAGTTCACTCACCTTCGGGATCACCATAGGCCCTCGTGTTCTCAGGCAGCTCGTACTTCTTGATCGCCGCTTTCGAGCTCTCCACCGAACTATTGCAGATAGCTACGATCTGGTACTTGTCGCTGTGCTTCAAGAATGGAAGATGAGCACCAGGTGCCCAGCCTGAGCTAGACAGACCCAAGAAGCCGACGCGGATGGGTGGCATTGGTGCTGTTTTGTCTCGGACTTGTCTCCCGTATTATTGTCTGATGGGTTTGAAACGGGAAGTTTGCAGCAATTTAGATAGAGGAAATAATTGCGAGAGGTTGTACGTTTGTATTTGTTCAAAATACCAAATAAATGCTGCCTGGTTTATTTGCTCTTGGTACAGTATTGTACCTTGGAAGAGGAACTGAGGGGGTGAAGCAGTAGATTTAAGCTACAGGTGGGGTTGGGGAGCAGTGCTTTGAAATCAAGAGACATCATTCACCTGTAGTCTGACTTGATTTAAAAGCAGCCCGATTGCAATGTTGCTTGTACTTATACATTGTGACCATTAAAATGGAGTGGCACGATTGTTGAGATTACCAAATACCGGAATATCTGTCAGGAATTGATCCTCTGTGGAGAAGCTTCAGTTCAAGGCGGTTTGTTGCAGGGCACCGCTATGACCAGTGATAAGTGACATACGAGAGAAGCAAATATTGGATTTCAATCACTTCATCATCTTGGAAAGGATTTATTCACGTTTCCTTTCATCGACACCCTCGATCTGTCCGATCGACTAATCAGTCAGCCTTTCTTTCTTTTACCCCCCTAATCATCCATCGAATATGAGCAGCCAGCCCAGTAGGCCAGGACAAAAATGACAGAGAGAATGTACGTGGACAGCGCAATGTTTTCCATTCGCTGAAGATGGATCACGTTCCAACCTTTTAGAAGAGAGAGTTTCGAAATAGAATCTCCCAAAGATGCCAGACCATGTACTCCAAACAATTCCCGGCCCCTCCTTGGAGGTAAAGCCTCGATAATAAGTAGACATATAACAAACAATCGTTCAGAGCAGCTGCATGTATGCGCAAGTGCCTGCTGGTTGTGAAAGAGAAGATTAACGCCAGGTCCAATGCTTCAGAAATGGGCTTTCAGAATAGCAGAATGTTGGAAGAAATTCGCGGCACAAAGTAAGTCAAGATCGGCCGTGACGGTTCGTAGAGAGAGCCTGGCCTCGTCGTAGTATAGTTGTGGAGAGTGGCGCCCCGCGAAGTTGAAGGGAAGTTACGTTATGCATTATTGACTCGGACCTTATCCAGCTCCTGTGACGCCGACTGAGCCGTTTTGAGGTCGACCCCATCCTGAGTTTCGGTATTCTCGTCGTGTATCGTGTTGACTGTCAGGGGTGCCATTGCGCTGTGGATACGGAGACGGGTGTTCAAGGTCTTGTCCTTGCCACTGCTGTTGTGGGGGTGTATTCTGGTTGGAGCTTCCTGCGTAAGGCGCAGGAGGATCCTGAACGTGACGGACACTACTCTCCTTCTGCCAGGCATATGCCTGAGATGGATCTGTGTCGACTCGAGTTACGACAGGTGCCAACGGGCGACCATCTTTGGATTTGCCCAGCGGGGAAGATTCAGTCTCAACTGTTCGGCGTGGGCCGCCCGCTGCACCTAGGTCACCATATCGCTTCAAGATCTCCTTCGTAGTAATGTCACTGGGATTGTTGAAAAGAGTTTGGTCGCTCAAAATCGATTGAAGATCTTCAGGGACCTGGGATATGGTTAGTGAATGGAGTGGTTAGGAGGGTAAAGCTAGACATACTTCGCACATCTGCTCATTACATTCAATGAGCGTGTGTACGACTTCGATCGCCAAGAAGTTATCGTCAACGGGAGTCTTTGCATTGGTGTAGAGGATATTAGGTGCAATAACAGTAGCAAGATTATGCGTGTCCATCTTTGACCCTGATTCTTCATCAACTTGGTGGAAGGAAGCGACGAAGTTAAAGAAAGCGCAAAGGACTTCGAGGCAATCCCGGTGAGCTTTTGGAAGCAGACAACAAGTCAAATGGAGGATCCGTCGCCGCTTGTCTTCGTCTGCAATCTTCTGTGATGCAATGAAGAGTCTGTGTAGCTTGAAGGTTAATAGTGGATCTGGAAGCTCCCGGAGATACTTCTTGAGTATAGCAGCAACTTGGACAACGTTTTCCTTCGAGAAGTCGACAGCTTCGCATCCATCTCGGTCAATTGTCGCCATAGTATCATTCAGACGCTTGATATTGCCGTTTTTCCTGAAAACACCTTCTACTGAGAGATCCATCTTCCGCATGGTGGTCACAGCATCATCAACCATTGCTGGGATCCGCAATGTGCCAGGTCCGATGCCCTCAGTTGAGTCTGCACCGTCCCTGTCGATGATAACCTCGAGAGGCACACCGAAAACGCCTTTCTTCTTTCCGCCTTTTTTGCCGTCAGTCTTGAGAGCTTTGCCAACCTTCGTCCAAAATGTAGGCTTTCTAGTCTCGATCAAGTTGAGTAGCTCTTCCATGGTGAAGTGACCCTCTAGCATCGGTTGCATGGCAATAACAGCTACATGTCGAACAATGAAATACTCCAAGGCAGAAAGTTCGGAAAAGTATCTCTTGCCTTCTCGTCGTTGAGGAGACGGCTCACCTACACCTGGTTGATCGAGAGGATTGCCACTGGACAAATTGCGCTGGTGGCCGTTGATAAGCTTTGGCTCAGTGATGGAAGTTCGGAATATCTCATGGCGAGCATGCTTGTAGGCATTTGGGCGTTGCTCTTTGGCTTGCTCAGCTGCCACAATTCTCGGGATGTCGTCGAGAGTGATACCGTTACTGCCACTGAACATGAGCTCCGTGCGCGACGCTCCAGTAACATCTCTCTCATCAACTACCTGTAGGTTAGGGTCTCGTTGTTCGGATCCGTCAGCACCAGCGGATCCAGGTCTTATACCTCGACCATCTGGACCTTCCAATACTCGTGACGTTCGGGCTTTCTTGATAGTTGATGATAGGTGCTTGTCCATTCGTGTACTTCGTAGCCGACGAACATCGTTGAGAGTGTTCTCGTAGGAAGAAGAGCCACGCTTGTCGTCCGAATTCCCGCCGTACGACTTCGAACGAGTATCGGATTTCAATAACGGTGCTTCATTGTGAGCAGGTAAACGATGGCCTTCAGAAGAGTCGTAACCGTTCAAATTGGGGTCATCGGAGGTATGTGGAAGACTGCCACTAGTTCGTAGCATGTCCAGCAATCGAGCCAGGGAGACTCGCAACAAGAAAACATACTCCTGAAGTCTTGTTACCCGCTCGAACCCACCTACCGATCCTTGCGTTCGCACTTCACAATTGGTGCAAAAGACTCTTTGATCCTGATCGGACCATGTGGCATCCTCAAGGCTTTGACCAAGCTCTCGAGTACAGTTGGCACATTTCATGCAGCTCAAGTGCCATCTCCGCTCTCCCAACCGTGTGCATTCATCTTCGATGGTTCTCCGACAGTTGACGCATTGATCTGGATTTGAGCCGCTGAGGTTCGATGTTCCTGTGGTAGTTTCAAGAGAGTCCTCATTCTTGATGGCTTCCAAATCACCAAGATCATCCAGAAATTCCTGCAGGCATTGCGAGCTCTGATGCTCTCGCTCAACCTTCAAAGCGCCCTGCAGGCATATTCTGATCAAAAGCTTCAGATAATGAGCTAAGCCAGTTACCAACGCGAGCAGCTCTTGGGTAACTCCAAGTTTTCTAACTCCTCCTTCTTGACTTTTCGACAGAAGCGAGAAGAAAGCTACGATCTTCTTGCAAAGCAACTTCGCCTCTCTTGAATAAGACAATCCTGATATTATTAGCATATTTGAAAGGAACAGGTTCAAGCTGTTTACCTTTTGGGCCTAGTGAGGACATAGTAGAATCGAGCTTGTCAGCAGAGCGAAACAGAATATCCACATGCCAAATGAATTTCTTGGCAACTAACACTCCGTCCACATAGGCCCCGTTGCTGACATGCAGGAGCATGTCGGAGATGCAAGCAGCTGAGGACTCCTCAAAGGTTGAAAGCACACTCCAGATCTTGTAAACCTTCTCCTCCATTCTCTCCTCCAGATCCCGAACAGCATTTCGACCTGCTTCATCGGTTGTGTCCTCAATGGCCTTTGTCTCATCTTTGTCTTGCTTCTCTTGTGATGAAGCGAGGCGAACATTCCAAAACTTATGAATCATGTAGCATTCAGGATGCCAATGTTGATTCTGACCATTTCGAAAGATTTCAACAAACTGCTTCAAAATTGCAGTTTGACATCCATTACATCTTTGTGCAAATTGAGTCGAATAGTGGTAATGACAGTAGACTTGGCTGTCATGCTCGTAATAACTGTCTTGTGCTCCAAAGACGGTAGGACAAACTGAACACGTGAAATGATCGATGTGATATTTCCGATCTAGAGCCGTAATGTATGATCCTCTCAAGGCACCGTTACACTTATAGCAGATCAAATCCAGTCTTCGAAAGTAGTCGGTTTCGCAGAGAGGGTATTGGCCATCACCATTCTCATCGTCAACAGGGAAAAACTTCGAGGCAACTATCTCTCCGCAGTCCTGTGAGACATTGTTAGCAAGCCCCCGGAGGATGGAGGAGAAAAAAATCAAAGGAAGTGCTTACTCGACATCTGAAGCAGTCCAAGTGAAATGTTCCCCCTAGCGCTCGAACAAATTGCCCTGTCAAAGGCTCACCGCATTTCTTGCAGAGTCTCAGCTGTCCTGACGCGGTCCTTCCGTTTCTTGTCCTTGACCGATTGCGTTCTCCGCTCGTCTTTGGTAGTCCGCCTTCCCTGTCTCTTTCTCTTCCACTTGCACTTCCAGAAGGTGATGCAGCCATTCTGCTATCCGACGCGAAAGCACCATTGGGTCTGGGAAGTGGCCCATCTTGCCCTTCTCTCTCCGTTTGATATCGGCTCCTATCATCAGGGTATTGTTGTCTGGTATACTCTGCAGGAACGCTGCCTCTGTCCGGATCATACGCTGTATACTGTCCACCATGTTGGCCAGATGGACCCCCTTCCGACTGAGGACTCATCATGCCCTACTCAACTTATGTACCTCCTATCCCAATCCACGAGTATGTTGCTTGCAAGAGGCAGCTTTTGAAGTGGCAGGAACTGGGAGGTCGATCTCGTCCAATCGCAGTAGCAAAGGTGAGCGTATTGAGCAGACGACGAAATAGCAGACCTGGACCAGCACTCCCGATCACTGCCCAGATTCTGCTGGGATTGAGTCGTGAGGATCAAATTAACTGGCCTGCGTACGTGCGATCAAGAGCTGGCGACTCAAATATCCTGCCCGCAACACCTGAAACATGAACACTTCGCCAGGAGTAATATCGTCCCAAGTATTCCCTCTTAGCTTGGCTAATCGCATCAACACCGGTTTCTTGAAGTGGAAGTAAAAGATGTGATTCTGAACTGGCTGCGACTCAATCGCGTGGTGTCGATCAGAAGCACTTGCTGATACAGGAGTTCGAGTCTTGACTGAGAGCCCGTCTGTGAGTGGATTGCGCCCGCTAGAACCAAGCCCTGAATCCTCCGGCGAGATTGCGTATAGTGCTCGTTAACAGCAGGGAAAGTCGTATTTGTGTCGAACGAGAGAGGCGCCAGCGACAAGATGCAAGAGATTGGAGTTCGGGTTGCTCCCAATGTGAGGTTTGTCCTGGAGAGGTACTCACTCTCGTCTCCTCCCGCTCGAGAGCAGTGCCACTACAGCGCAGACGAAACCCTTGTGCCTCAGGCATCGAACTGCCAGCGAGCCTAAGCAGATCTACACTCATATTACCTTTTTGTGTCCAAGTTACATTCAATAATCAGCCCAGAACTTCTCGAATAAAAACCCGCATCTCAATCCCGGTGTTCTGGATATACTTGGTACTCCAGGGCACTCAAAAGCTACCCCTGACTTGCATGCCACATCATTCAACTTGTGACAAGACACAGCAAGAAGTCATTCACAATGGAACCCTTAGCCTGATTAGACGAAGGACCGCAAGTCGCTACAAAGTCCTGCAGCTCAAGTAGGTAGGTAGCGTAACTGACCAATAGAATATAGCAGTCAGCTGCTGTCTCCTGCCAAGAGTCCTCCTCCCTTGTGTTGGTCGGTTTGTCAGATTATTCGCTTGCTCTAGGACGCAGAGGCACGATGACCCTATCACATCTAGGAAACGACACTCCATGGCTTTCTAGAGAGTTTTGCTCGTCAATACATACTGCGGACAGATTTACCATAATAAAATTTCTACCTTCCTAAACAACTTGAACTAATTGCAAGTCAATGGCGACACAGTCCAGGCTCAGAACTCCTTACTTGGACCTTCCTACTCCCTACCTTGAAGATTATATTGGTAGAGAAACTTCTGATGAACAGTGCTAGTCATGGACTCAGGTATGAATATTAAATAATGCTACAATTTAAGTGTGAATGTTATTCAGAATACGTCAAACACCATCTTTTGTAAGTAACCGGTCCTGGCTTTGACTTCGTCATTCCAAGCAGCTCCCGCCAGCTCAGAAGGAGACCTGCAGTGAAACCTCACGAATTTTCTCATTCGCCACCAAACTTCAACATGAAGAAAAGTAAAGATATTCAAGGTGTCAAACTATACACCGAAAAGTCTCGTATTCACAAAATCAAATCAAAATCACCCAAGTAGCTATAGGGAGGTATTGAGTGAATTCTTACAGATTAGAGTTTAGCTTCAGCCTCACGTTAGCCGTGCCAAGCGAAGGCCTGCCTGCCTTGTTTCCCGTATCAACGCTGGCAACGCTTCCCTTTTGGTAGACTCCAGTACCCGCTCCCCACCACAGTCCTCCTCCTCTTCCATCCCTCAACATATATTTTCTTACCACATGCACCTGCGCAAGAGAAGAAAACACCTTGAATCCTCGGCGAACAGTTGATCGTCCACCATGTCAAATCACTCCATAATTCGAATTACAAGAGTACGTTTGGGAATGGCGCATCCATGGTGGGGTCGCGAGGCTGACGTTTAATTGCTAGGAGTTGTCGGACCTCCAGAAGTCCTCTGATTTGTGTAAGATCTACCATACGATTTATTTCCACAAGGAATGTCGAGCTGATCCATTCTGTATTAGCTCTGGCCGTCGCATGCCGAGACGTCGATGTACGCAACGTGAAGGCGATCATAATCGGTCCTCCAGAAACACCTTATGAATTTGGTTTCTTTGAGGTTGGTCAAACTTATGCAGGTTGCGATAGACTTTTGCTGATATTGTTCTAGTTCGCGGTCAAGTTTGGTAGAGGTATAACCGTATTATATAAATTCAAGGACGAAGCGCTGAGATAAGGTACAGACTACCCAGGGAAGGCACCATCCGTGATTGCAACGACTACAAACGGAGGCAGATGCCGGTTCAACCCAAACATATATGCTGGAGGAAAGGTGTGCTTGTTAGTACTTCGAAGATACTAGTTCGAAACCTGGGCTGACTCTTATTTCTAGGTCGATTCTTGGGTAGGACATACATTTCCGACACAAAGGACGGAGGCTGATATGAGTACAGCACATGGCGAGGCGAGCGAGGAGAAGAATGGTCATCCGCACAGGGACTGGAGTCAATTTTAATCTCGATTCAAAGTCTGATGTCGTCGAATCCCTACGAGAACGAGCCAGGGTTTGAAACTGCCAATGAGGAGGGTGACAAGAAGAATCAGAAGGACTATGTCAACAAGGTGGATATGGTCTCACCAAAAGATGGATTATGCTTACATGGGGTCTAGATCCGCCATGAGTCCCTCCGAATTTCTGTCATCCAGCGGCTCGAGGAGTATCTAGGTATATCACCATCAGGAGCCGTCCAAGAGCAGGCCATGGTCGGTGGAGACGATAGTGATACCGAAGCTGATATCGACCGAGACTTCGATGAAGCTTCCGCAAACTTTGATCCATTCAAGGATCTTTGCAAACGCCGGTTTCTTTGGTATTATGAGTCGTACCTACTAGCAATCAGCAAGGCCAAGGCCGATGTTACTGATGGACAGCCATTCGCCCGGATGCCCTTTGAATGTGCAGGAAATGGCATGGAAGGAAAGTTCAACTATACCGAGCTTGAACGACGCTTACGGCTGATTCGCAAGACAATGGATGCCGAGACCGACAGATGGGCTGAGGAAGGCTTAGTATCGAAGAAGAAGGAAAGCAGTGTATCCTCCAATCTTCAACGGCAATACGAGCAGGTCGTCGAGGCGTACAAACGAGATAAGAATGTCACTCTAGATATCGAATTAGTTGACAAAAATCCCTTTGTTTGGTCGATTACCTATTTTGGACGTCCAATGACCAACCTCGATGGTGGTCTCTTCCGGATCAAGCTTTTCTTCAGCCCACGCTTCCCTGAGGAACAGCCAAGAGCAAAATTCGAGACTCAACTTTTCCATCACCGCATTGCATCCGACGGTACTCCGTGCTACACTTCGAGACGAGCCGAGGATGTGAAATCACATATTGAAGCTATCATTGAGGCTCTGGAGGAAGAATCGCCACCGTACGATCCCAGAACGATGGTCAACCCTGAGGCTGCTAAGCTATACTGGGGGTCTGAGGATGACAAGAAGACGTATAATCGCAAGCTTCGGAGAGCTGTTCAGCGAAGCATGGAGTAAGTCAGACATCTACATATCTATTCCCACGGATCCTTTAACATCAAATAGGGAATGAACGGGAAGCATGAAGCAATGGACCGATAAAACGAGTTACCCAGCATACGAGCGACTCCGAATTCCCACGCGAGTATGTCCTTGTCATTTAGCGTCGTACATTGAACACAAGCGAGCCCTTTCGTCTCGCGTAGACAGCGAGACCCATGACTCTATGACATCGACTTATTTCCTTTGTATTCTGTCCTCTCTGGCTGCTTGCAATGACTGGAGTTACTGGATTAGGTTTGGTTGCTGGATCGGTTCTTGCCTGGCCATTGCAATTTGAATCATGACATGGATGGATGGGACGGCTGGGAAGGATAGGACTAGGTTGGGGCGTTTAGCGAATTGCTGGTACTGGCGCATCTGGGAAGCTCTTTAGCAACTTGAACTTGGTCTACATGCATTGCAGTGCTTCTCTTCTGATGCGTGTGATGACTTTAAGTACATTTAGAGATGTGGAACACCAATTTCCCCAAGCCCTTCAGCCATAATATCATTAAGATGGGTTTACATGTTCTTACATCCACCACCTGTCTATGTACTATTAAATTGCCAAATTGTTCATTTGGCGAAACGAGCCTCTTCCCTTGCAGCGATATATGATCGTCATAACCCTATACTTTCTCTTCTCTGCACCTCTAGAACTCACTGAGCCTTCTTCTCCTCCTCCTTGATCCTCTGCTCTTCAAACCAGCCCACCGCCCTCGTAATACCTTCCTGCAAGCCCACCAACGGCTTATACCCCAGCCTCCTCTTTGCCTTTCCACAATCATAGTACCTCGTCATAGTACTATATCTCACCTGCCTCCTCGTCAACTTCGGCGTCCTCCCAATAAGCCACATTCCCCACTCTAGAATACCCCCAATGCTCATCCCTAAATCTCTGCCAATAATCCAGACATGCTCAGTCCCCTTGTCACTCCCTGCAGCCTTCCACACAGCCCTGGCGAAATCCCAGAAATAGACCGGCTCGTCATTGGTAACAAAGAACGCCTCGCCATCTACTTTCTCGTAATCCAGAGGCGCTGTGCCAAGTTTGTAGGTTTGGACCAGGGCGAATGCGGCGAGGAGGTGGGCGTGTGCTACGTTGAGGACATAGGTGAAATCGAAGAGGTTCTGGTTGTCGCCGAGTTGGAAGCCGGTTTTATTGGTGCGGTGGACGTTGATCATGGGTGGAATGAGTTGAACGTCGCCTTCACCGAAGATGCCTGCTGGGCGGAGGGAGCAGGTTAGGAAATTCGGTGCGTTTGGAGAGCGGTTTGCTGCAAGAACGAGGGCTTCAGCTTGGGCCTGGCCGGAGAGGAAGGTTAGCTTTTGGGACCATTGGAGTTTCACATATAGAAAACATGTCCCAAGCGTAGTGGCTCGTTCGGGAAAGGGTTTGCATAATACAAAAATTGGAGGGCTACATACCTTAGTTGTAGAATAATACTCTGCCTGAGCCTTGGCTGGAATAACAGGCCATCTCTCATCCGCATTTACCAGGTCATTAATGGTATCAGAAATCACACTCGCAGAGCTGGTATATACCAATGCCTTGACGCCAGTCTTCTGACACGCCTCAATAACGCTCTTGGTTCCCTCCACATTAACCTTGTAATACAGATCATTGTTCGCGCCCACCAGGTTCGGCGACGCTGTATGGATGACTACATCTGGTTTAGCCTTCTCGAAGATGCTGATCAGAGAAGTGACGGAAGTGATATCGCCATCGAAGTATGTAATTTCTGAGGAGGAATGTCTGTTACGCGACGTGTGCAGGTCTAGAACGGAGATCTTGCAGGTGTAGCTGTCGTGCAGGAGATTGACGATGTGGTGGCCTAGGAATCCACAGCCGCCGATTACGACTACATTGCCCAGGGACTTTTTGGGCGCGGTAGAGGGGATTGGTGCCATCTTCGAAGTGCTGGAGGAGGAGAGGTGGTGGGTTGGTGGATGTTGGGCACTATTTCGTGAAGGAGAAGGATGCTTTCCCAGGGGGTAAATTGAGAATCTGGGGTCTTGCTAGTGCTGACATCCTGGTCCTGCAGTCCTGGTCTATCAAACGTCAAGTGCCAAGATTAGGTAAGTTTCCACTTGGTCACTACCTTATCCACACTTCACAAAAATAACATTTGTTTGAACAGTCCTCCAGAATCCAAGTTCATTTTTCTCTCAACAGAATCTCTGTCTCCATTAGTACAGAAGCCCCCCATTCGCACAAAAGCAGCTCTTAACGAAATGTTGTCTGAGGCATTAACCTTAAACACAGATCATAGTGGGCGTTGCCAGATTCACCAGAAACACCAGAAACATGCTGGTCGGCTTCTGGGACGACTCTGTTCCTGCGCATCGGGTTATGCCATCTGCATTTGTTTTTCCCTATATCCAATAGGGGCCTGGAAATGGCAGCCATACGCTCTCGCAGATATATGAAGCCCATCATAATCTCCTTCAAAGTTCGACGTCCCGATGGCTGAGATACAAGACTGCTGAAACGTGTATAGTTGCGTGACTTGCGCAGCTAGCAGGTCATTCCCTCTGTATTCTTGCACCAATAGATCTCCATGCACCGATTTTCCTTGCTTGTTTATTGGTTTTGATGCCATATTGGTGGGATTGCTTATTCGTGTATATCCAAGTGGAATCTTGGATCTATATCTCATGCAAAGCTCTTTCTTCAGCTTAAGCTCAGCGCTTAAGCTCAGTGGCTTCATTTTCCCGATGCGAAGCGAATCCCACATCGCGAAGCATAAAGTGTGGGTATTCTGAATGCCAGGCTATTCTTCTTCATTTGGACTCGTAGTCTTTTGTAAGATCTTCCTCTGGTCTCAGCGCGGTTGTCAGGAATTAGCGAGTGGTTTCAATCAACCCTCTGAGTGAACCAACGATGTGCATCGTAAACACAGTATATTCATATTGGCGCACAGGGGTATGCTACTCTTCAAAAGCTTGAAGTGGCTTGTCCTTACAGGGCTGAGTCTCCGCGTCACCAAGCCGTCTTTCCTGCCCCAGATTTCTCTATCTTCCATGCTTGTGAGTATCCACACTTGCCAGCTTCGAGGTGGATTATCTGCACCTGCTCCACAGCACTGGGCAGATTTCGAAAAAGAATGTGTTGGGGCCAATTTACTACAAATCAGATATGAACTCCACCCGACGTATTCGTTCCTACTCTTATCCTCATGCCCGTTTCCTAGCCAGTTTTCCTTACTGAGTTTTCTACCCTGGTGTCCTCTTTCGACCTTTCCATTTCTGGTATCGTATCTGCTTACTTGAAATCTTCAAGTTCCATTACAAAACTCAGCAATCAATGTTCTCTTCCTCTAGTTTTCCGATCTTTAAACTCAGCAATCATGCAGATCTTCATCGCCATCCTTGCTGCTTCAGTTTGATCGCTTCGGTCTCTGGATCGCCTCTGACCATTCACAACACTTGTGGCAGTGCTCCATCTTTCAGTAGCAGCCAAGCTCCAATCGCTCAACCAACTGGCATTCCTACCGCAGCTTGCCAGGATGAATGCCAAGCTAATGGTTCTTGCCAGTCTTTCGTTTTTTGGTAAAGTTGATAACGTTGTCAAGTGCATGCTCTACTCTGTCTCGGCTGCTTCCTTCCCCAAGCAATCCAGTACCAACCAATCTGATCACATACGACAAGGCGTGCAGCTCAATCCCAGCTGTTGCACTTACCAGCTCCAACCTAAAGGGAGTCGCTATTAGCGCAACTGGCTCAACCACTGGCTCCAACACTGGATCTAGCACTGGATCTAGCACTGTCTCAAATGCAGTATCAAACACAGGATCTGGTTCCAACACCATGCCTCAGCAGTCAACACAAGCGCAACAGTTGTGGCGCCACTCCCTCAGCACACACGGGACAGGCCGCCCCGATTTCCACTCCAGCAGACATCAACAGCCTCGCTGACTGTCGTGCCGCTTGCTAAGCTGGTATCTCCTGCAAGTTCTTCAAGTTCGGCACCATGGCTCCTTGCCACCTTTTCTCGGTAGCTGCCTCATCCTTTCCAGTTCCTGCGAACGGCCAGATCTACGATGTACAGTAGTCTGATCTATCTAATGCTGAACCCTTTTGATCCTTCGAATGAAACGCCTCTGGGATCAATTAACTTTCGTCACTCAGTCTCCTCCCCCCAGGGTCGAGCTGCTGTCTAGTTCAACTTCACACTTCTCCCTAACTAATCGTTTTTATTTGTTTGTTTGTCTGCTGTTTCTTACGAGTCTCTTTTGGGTGGTATAGTTGCATCGGCCGGCTGCATCGTTCTTGCGAAAATATGAAAAGAGCATCAGTTGTTTCGTTGAGTATTGCCTGCTTGATGCATTGGGAGTTTTGGTTGGTTATCTGAGGTGACTGTACCACTATTGCTTAGCTCCGGAGGGGGCAATCTTCTAGATCTAGATTTCGCATGGAAATTTCCATAGCTGGCAATTCTTCTTTCCGTTTCACCTTGCGTGCCGTGCAGTTGCCACAATTGATCACATTTACCATCCGACATAACCGTCACACTGGGACCACGCTAATAAAGACGGGACAGATCTAGCCAACGAATAATAAGCACGATGGACAGACGGAGGATCTCCCCTTTTCCCGTGTGAGAGTCGCATGGCGGCATGGGTTGGCTTTGTTCTTCCCTTTGTTTGGCATCCACGCGTGACAGATATCCAATCAATAATGGTTGTGCGCCTCCGGCACAGGACGGAGAATTTCGAGGAGAGGGAGCCCAGCCTGCAGCGCGCAAGACAGGCGTGCCCAATGACAGGACGATCGCGATTCGGCTTCACGATTCCGAGGTCTAGATGTCGACATCACACAGAACAGAGCCTTGCTGCGATTTACTGAAACACTTTGTTATTGTAAATACTCGGTAGGATGGTTAGCAATGACATACAGACAATAACGAGAAATCAAGCAGTGTTTCGGCAGCTCATCCGACGGCACTCGCGATGCGAGCGTGCGTTTGTGTACACGCTCCTGCAACCCGTCGGGGCCCAACTCTGATTTCCTTGAAGAGCGCCCGTCAACGCCATCGTGCATTATCATCACGATGGTGACATGTACTTGATTAATCGTCAGCCCCCCCAGGAAACCCACCATCCACCAACCCCCCTTCTACCAGACTACCACGCTGAAGATTATTCCAGTATTACTCCGCGGAACATTAAGCCTGGCTTCCCGTCCCTAGTGCCAATCCCCCAGATCATCAGAAAATGGGACGACGCCCCATCCCAGTAGTAGTCTCCTACGCGGCGGCACAAACAAGGGAAAGCAGGGCACCGCAGGGCACGAAGGAGGGAACGGAAGCCTTAGTGCGGAGGGACATCCTCGCTTTGAGATTCAGTTGCATAAACTTTGATTTTAGTTCATCGACGGCTTGACATTTTAAATTCTCGATCATCGACGATTTGAGATGGCCTTCGGGGCTTTCTTCTTTTCTGATAGTTCTGTTCCTAAAAGGAGTCGAGGAGTACAGTAGTGCACGGGCCGTGCCTTTGGGGGCGGCAGATGGTTGATGGGGTGGGATGGGATGATATGTGGATGTTATTATTATTATTATTATTATTATTATTATTATTATTATTATTATTATTATTATTATTATTCACGTCCTGACCGGTGTTTGAGAGCCTTCCTCGCCTTCATGCCCCCCCGGAACACATGTCCCCGGATCATCATCAATCTTTCGGAGTCCGGCAATCTAAATCGGCGCTCGAGTTAATCACAGCATCGCCAACTGCTGTAACTTGTCGAGCTTGTCTCATGATCGGCAAGGGAACCGGCCCTGTTGGATCTCAAAAAGGGGTTCACTTTGGTTCACTTTGGTTCATGGGGATCACCACCTGCAAGCTCCATTATTCGTCTATTATAATAATCTCAACTTACTCGCTTAGCTTAGGTAGGCACGTTCTGCAGTCCTCCCCGGACAACACTACTGTACCTCCTGAGGAGCTCCATCATCGACCTGCCTCACTGCCTGCCTGCGTAGGAATAGCTCCCCTAGTCTGTGTCAATTTAGAGTTTTCTTCTACGCCACAAGGATGCGTTCCTGCCCAATGAACACATGGTCTTCTTCCCGGTGTCAAGCATCTTTGAGTTCCGGTCTAGGGAGTTCCTTGCACTGGCGTGGAACAATTCAGCTTGTCAGCACATTTACGTCGTCAGCTAGTCCACACAGGCAGGAACATGGGTATTCCGCGATGATCTCTCGATTGGAACAACACTGTACCTCCCTTGTCACTTTCGTAATCTGCAGGGTGTGCTCAGAGACAAATTGAATTTAACTTGAGTCAAGCGTCGATGCAGAGGCACTGTTTGCGGGGGAATGGTGAGACTGAATTGAAGTAGATCGAAGCTGTGGACATGGTTGGAAAGTGAGGGGGCTAAGAGAAAGAGAATAGGAATGCCACAACACTGTTGTGATGCAGCTTTGACCCCGAGGATTCGGCTGGGGAAGAACAGTACGCCGCCCGCAGGCCAATGCGAGCGTTATATTGCAGGCATCTCTCTGCCATTCATTGATCGATATTAATGTGGAGATACATATAACCAAACTAGAGGCGATGCTCATCCTTTCTCGATAGTTGTTTGTGAAGTCACAAGCCAAAACCGACGGACTCTCGACCGAGCGGGAAGCATAGCGAGCCATAGACCTAGTTTAGCATATGAGCGAACTGACATCCGCAGGCTATAACCTGACTGATCCCTTCTCTCATCCTCCTAAGAAAGGAGTTCGAGCATATGAAACAGGATATCTATGTCCACCTGTTGGTCTGTCATTCATACTTCAAGCAAGGCACCTAGAAACTCAGTCTTACCCGTCGATTGACTTGTACAAACAAAACGATACGATGTCGTCGGGTCCGAAATCCAAAGGGAGCACCGTGATCGTCACGGGCATTGTGTTTATGGTCCTCGCTGCGGTGTCTGTTATCTTCAGATTGATTGCACGAGTTGGATATTTGAAGAATGCTGGGAAGGACGATGCTGCAATTGTGGTTTCTCTCGTAAGTGCTTGACAACAATAATCGAGCTCGGCTTGGAAAATTAACACTCCATTCCAGATTGCGTGCATTGTTCTCGTCGTTGCATCTGGTTTCGGCAAGTACTATAGTGCCTTCGAATGCTTTTACTGTACTGACATCAGCCAACAAAACAGAAGTCAAACATGGCCTAGGAAAACACATCTCAGAAGTGAGCCCCGAAGAGTTCTCTAATATGCTGAAAGTCGGTAACCTTGCAATTCTCCACTCAACGCATCTAACCTATGATCAGTCCCTGTTCATTGCCATCATAGCCTACAATGTTGCTCTGACCAGCATCAAAATATCCATCATCTTACAATACCTACGCGTGTTCGTGGGCACCAAAATTAGATTCTGGTGCTGGGCGTCCATTGTTCTCGTCGCAGTATTTGGCTTAGAAACAGTCATTACACAGATATTCAATTGTAAGTCGTTCGGATAGTGCCTAACCTACCAGTACATTACTCCCCAGAGATGCGTAGATGAGCAATTGCTGACTTCCCGATCATCACAGGTGTACCGATCGACGCGTTCTGGCTTGGTGGTGGGAAGTGTATTCCGAACCAGTTCCTATGGTTCTTCAATGCAGCGTTCAATATCTTGACAGATATCATCATCCTCGTCTTGCCGATGCCGGTGTTGTCGAGCTTGAGGTTGCCGCTGAAGCAAAAGATTGGCTTGATGCTTGTTTTTGCACTAGGTGGATTGTAAGTGATCATCGTATCTGAATGCGGCTATCCGGGCATGGCTAACCTTTGAGTAGCGTTTGCCTCGTCAGCGTTTTGCGTCTTCACGGTCTATATATTTCCTCCATTTCAAAGGACATGACGTGTAAGTCCTCTGCTCGGGGTTTGACTGTTCAGAGCTGACATAAATGATTAGGGGACAATGCCGACACTGCAACATGGTCTAACATTGAAGTGACGGTCGGTATAATTTGCGCTTGCATGCCCGCAACAAAAGCATTGATCTCTCGCTTCTTCCCCCGTCTGCTCTCGACAAATCACAGCAGCAGACAGCCTACTATGCCATCTCAAGGCCGCTCACATACTTTCCGATCTGGTTTGTGCCACACGGCACCTGTTCGTCTGACGGATTTGAATGGTGATCACAAGACTGTAACGAGAGTTGGGGTCGGTGAAGGCAGGTACAGGGAAAGAGATGTGGAGAGAGCGTCGATAGATGACAGTGGTAGTGGGAACGGGAAGGACATCTTTGTGACGACGATCATGACGCAGGACGTGGAGCGGAAGAGTGAAGTGGGTAGTGAAAAGGGTCTCATCATCCAGCATAATTAGCAAACTGTAATTTAGCCTCTTCATTGCATCATACTCCCGAGCGTCGTCTGCACGGTAAATAGAGAAATGAGTTATGAACTATCACCATGCAAGAAGTGTAACACGAACGTTCTACAGACTGAGCAAAACTGGTGTGTTCCATCATGTCATTTGAATTATCGTCTCGCCATCTCCACCTATCCAACGAGCTCCTGTTTTCCTGATCCTGTTATCACTTGCCATATATAGCAACAGATAGATGTGCTTAACCACCACACCCCAGCAGTAAACCCGAATGCTCTTGAAGTCTTCATCCCGGACGCACCAAACACCCCATCCCGCAAGATCTCGTGCAATGCACCTGCCAAGTGTATCCCAACACCTTTGCAGCAACTCCTCGTACCAACCCTCGCATTCCATAACCCAGTAGCCTCGCTCCATCCCCCGTAAAGAACGCTTCTCTAACACGGGGGCATAGAGACTTGGCGGCATTTTGTTGGCAATTAACGCAAGGTGAGGGGTGATCAGCATTTCGGCTTTGAGCTCTACAGTTGACGTTGCTGGCGGCTTGGGCCAAATCTCGAGCTGCTCCCACCAGATTCCTGGAGCTAAGAAACTGCTTGGGTCTGGAGTAGCGGATGGTTTGCTAGATGCCAGAAGGGGTTGACTGCTCGCAAAAGGTCGAGTATTCTGTGGCTCAAGGCGAGCCCTCTTCTCAAGTCTCGCGGGGAGGGGTTGAGACGATATTGATTCTTGAGCAGTTGGCACTGCCAGTCTTAGAGGAGCTGATGAAGAATGAGATTTTTCCGAGCTTGAACTAGTCCACTTTCTTTTCAAGTTGAGGGCAGGATCTTGAGATGATGGTGGATTTAGACTTCTAGACTTGAGTATTCTCTCCAGTGGACGTCCTGAATGATTCACAGGTGAAGGTGACGATGGTGTGAAGCCTTGATCTGGTGAAGACGACAGTGCTTCTCCCAAGCCAGACGGGAGTTCGAGACGGCTCGTTTTATCGGACCGACCCAGGCTTTTGTCTGGAGTTGACATTGTTCCCTGACTTTCTTGATTTTGGAGCTTGTATTCCAGCATTCGAAAGGGGGAGGAGAACACAACCATAGTATTATGGACTTCTGGTTGCGAGTCTGGAATTTCGTTTGGTGGCGCCACAAACGAGTCTGCCACTACTATTTCTTGACTCCGATGTAACGATAGGTCATCGTCATAGTGTGTAATTCCTGCGTGAAAGACTGGAGAGTCCGCATTATCCACTGCACTTCTGAAAGACATCGATGGAGAGTGTAGCTGCTCCTGAGACAAGCTCAACCGGTGCTCGACCATATACTCGTATGCATCCTCCTCTTCGCTGCTGTCCTCACCAGGGCGATATGATGCGCTTGATGCTTGTGTCGCCTGTATCAGTTCTTCCTGCAGTTGGCTGCCTGCGTCCTTATCCAGCTTCTCTGCCGCATATTTCGGACTGTCATCTCTGATTGGGATTATTTGATGTGTCGCAGGCTGAAAGTTTAAGTATGCTTCCGCCATCCTCCTGTATAGCGCATCATCCTGTCCTCGGCTTGGAGCTGTGGTATGAATTAAGATTTCGACGTTTTTTCGGGCGATTCCTGCCATGGCTGCGGGAAAGTCTTGTGCTCATTATGTTAAGAATGAATAGCAAAGAGCAAGTTTGAGCATATGTCTTGGTGATGTCTAGCTTGGTGTCGTACTCTATCTTTGCATTTGAATAATTGAGGTTGTAGATTTCGAGGATGCTGGTACTCGGAGAGGTGGTCTTTGACTTGGTTGGCGGGGCGGGCAGGCGGGGTGGACGCGTCGCACGTGTAGCGCGATCTTTCCTTGGCAGCAAGTTTATCAACTCCTTCCAGCACGGAGTAACTTACTGGACATTGCTTTTTCTTCCCCTTCTGATCTTAAGTTTGATAAGATTGAGTATTGTTTCTTTATAACTCTACGAATAAGAATCCAGCATATATACCTCACAACTAGTTACCAACTTCATTTTCAATCTTCAGTCGTCTCCCATTGGCAGGCAGGGAACGGATGTCCCATCAGTTCGGCTTGGATCTGGAGTGCAATGAACCTCGAATTCCAACGAGCAATAGACACTGCTCCTCCTAAAAGCCAGGCAAATGGATAGGATGGCATCATAATCCCATCAAGCTCACCATCCTCGTCAAATCCTCTTGAAAAACGCATTGAGTTTGCTATCTCATTTCCAACAATGGATGCTGCTTGAAGTCGAGGATCTCGTTGGTATCCAGTGGCAAAAACAACAACGTCTGCCTCCACAACATCCCCGGACTCGAATTCTAGTCCGTGTGGCACAAATCGTTTGATGGGATCCCGGGATTTGACTTTGATGTCTCCTTTGGCGACTCTGGCACTCGTTCCAACATCAATGTAGTAGCCGCCTAAACGCAGAACAACTCCATCGTTCAATGGCTTTTCTCTATCCACATAGAAGCCAACTCGCTCCAAAGCGTCAAATCGTTCCTGCTCAATCTCCCTGGCAATATCAAAGTTAGTCTTCAAAATCTCTCGAGAAACCTTGTGCGGCTCTGTCCCGGCGATACGGTCTGCCACTTGTGGGGGAATATCGAGATTGTATATTGCTGCAATATCGACGTTAGCTCTTGGTTTCATAATAAGATCCTGCCCACGTACTTGACTGGCCGGCAACAATCCACTCAACAGGGAAAACAGAAGTCTTCTCCCTCTGGACCATTGTAACTTTGCCAACACCATAGTCAAGCATGTCTTGTGCAACTGTGTTGGGTTGTGGTCAGCATCATCCCCAACTTTTTGCCCGCCAGGGAGTGGAAAGATGGGATCCTACCGTCATGTGCCCCCGTTGCAGAACCAACAACGATTGCTTTCTTGCCCTTCCATTGAGAGCTGTTTTTGAAAGTGCCGATATTGAGGATAGTTCCTCTGAATGAAGACGCGTTTTTCTAATTTCCCGTGAAATCAGTACTTGCCAGACGACCAAAGAGAGTTCGGTCCTGATCTTGGGATGCGTTTATTTTCAACAAGGGCTCCATGAGTACCTACAATTGCTGGGGGATTTGGAACGGATTGGCTTGCACCCATCGATAGAGCAATATGCCTCGCCTTTATCACATATTCGTGCTCTCCTTTCCGGACTTTGACGACCCACCCTGGCTTCTCTTTGCTGTTCAAGCAGCTTTCCACGTTTGAATTCAGCCAGATATTGATTTTATACTTCTCGGCATAGTTCTGGAAGCCTTCCGCAACGGTCTTGGCCGGCAACAATGTCGGATCGGAAGCCTTGTATGTCCTGTCGAACGGAAGGTTGTTCATCTCCTTGACTGTATGCTGTCTTACTGCATCGTACTTCCCCGTCCAAGAGAAGCCAATAGTTGGAGCTTTTTCCAATAGGATATAGGAGATTCCCAATGCGCCCAATCTTCCAGCGACGCTGAGTCCATTTTGTCCTGCCCCAACAACCAAGACATCAATATCATGCTCGGACTGTTCAGATACGTGATTGGTGACTTCTTGCTCTTTAAATACTGGCGATGGGTCGTCAGGATGGCCGAACCCTTCAAAATTCTCCAGCATAGTTTTCAACATCCACAGCTTCCATCCTTGGCCATTTTCATTCGGAAAAAAACTGGCTGTTCCAGAGCCGTTCCCAACAACGTCTCCTCTTTGAGTGGTGATAAATGTGAATGAGACGTCGACCCAGGATGAGCCCGGTGTAGGCCGTATGATCATGGCTGCACCAGCCTTGAACGAGCGGGGGAGTCTTTCTCGACTGTAAGACGACCACTGTTTCTTAATTCTTTCCCGGCCAAAAAAGGTCCGTACCGCTCCAGCTAATACAAAATGGTCCCTCCATAATGCAGAGTCGTCAATGTCGCTTCCTGAGAGGTCTCCAAGTACACGTTCTGCAATGTCGCTGAACGGGATGGTACTGATGTCAATGTCCTTCGGAACCTTATCGGAAGGGAGGGACCCAGGAATGTCATCGAATCCGCGAGCCATAATTGAGCATGGACTAGCAAGAGCAAATTGTCTGTTCTTCAACTGCTTTTTAAGCGGAAGGGTTTATATCGTGTACGGTCAGGGGCACATGCAGGTTAAGTTGCAACGCGCTTAAACTCGGAACTGGCTGCATGACCCTACGATGTACGTCGAACAGGGAGCGACCTGTGAGATACTACTCAAAACTTACATGAAATCGCAGACTGTATGAAGACGACTGCTGACAAACTCTTCAAGGAGTGTTTGTAATTAAGGTATGTCGTTCCTGGATTGGTCTTGGCTACGAAGTCCTACAGTAGCTTCCACGCCAGCTACTAGATCTTACGCTACCTCAGCTGACTTGCTCGCTCGTCTAGGTAGTTCTGGCCATTGGGAAACATCCCAGAGGAAGGGAATCCAGGAAAAGTTTGGACTTCCTGCTTGTGTCCCCGTTAATCAAGCATTCGAGGTCAAACTGACACTTTCCCATCGAAACCCTTGAAAATTGCGTGGGCGCTAGCTCGTTGCCGCCAAAGGCAGCGCGCTCCAAGCACTGGCGTCTAACAACACGACATGGGGCGATCAGGTCTGACGGAAAATTTGAGAAAACTAGACAACTGCGAGAGCCGGATTTTTCAAGAGCTCACTTTATTCGTGAGTTAGGTACAGTGATCATGTCACTACTTTTCCTCCTATCTTTTGCAGTGCCGTCTTTTGTTCCTTCTGTAAGTTAATATACCAATTTGACTTTGAGTTTATCTCCTTTCGGAATCTCGTCCTTCATTGCTACCAATTCTGGCATGTCCCCTACGAGTATTCCAAGTCAGTAATGCTCTTCCTGCTCTTCCCGAATCTGTCATGAGCACTCTCAAGGACACATGAAAAGCATGAGACGAATTTGGCTGAGGTAACCTACAGAAACAGTTGATATAACGTCCTCCAAGCCACTCTCTATACTCTCTCGTCAGGAAGGTAACCGTATCTGCCGGTAATTGCACAGTATCGACGAGAACTACCAGATGCATCAGCGACTTCTTCACGGCCTAGACTGGACGTCGGCCCCAACTAACCTGCGTCAAAGACAGGTGGTAATCCACCAGGGAACGCGCTCAATATGTCAGTCTTGATATTTCCTGGATGGATGCAGAATGCCACAACGCCCTTCTCTCTATATTCCTCAGAGATGAATTGCATCAATCTCATCACAGCCAACTTGCTCGTCTGATACGAGCTCAATCCTGGACCAACAAGATGAGCACCGACACTGCTGGTCGTTACGATAGTCTTGTCACCTCCTTTCAGTAATAAAGGAAGAAAAGCTCTGCTGACGAGATACGGACCCTTCAAATTAGTCGCCATTGTCTCCCACCAGTCATCTGGATCGCTTTCCCCGACCATAGCTGGGGTACCAATAGTTCCAGCATTGTTGACAACAATGTCCAGCTTTCCAAATTCCTTTTCAACAAGCTGCGCAGCTTCCTCAGTACTTTTCTTGTCGCTCACATTGAGCTTGATGATCAACACCTTGGGTTCTTCACGACCTGCATTCTTAGCTGCTGCCAGGATGGTTTCTTTTTGGGTGATCAGAGACGATCGTGCTCCAATGGCTATCCGAGAGGCGCCTGACTGAGCGAATGAGATGCCCATTGCAAGACCAATTCCACGAGACGCTCCTACGATGAGGACGCTTTTCTTGGTCGCTGGTGAGGACAGCGGAGAAATTCCAGGATAAGTATCGCTGTGGACTTCCGAAGTGACATCCTATCGTTGTAAGTCAGGTGGAGATCTCTCCCGAAAGCTTTACCCCAGAGAAGAAAGGCTAAGAGCTTTGCTGTCGATAAACATACATAGTCACCTAAAATAATGTTGGTTAGTGAACCTCTACAGTTAGATACTGGTGCAGTGCACTCGCCTGGACCCTCAAGTGGGTTTGGAGTTCCTCTTGGAGGAGGCATGATTGATCGAAGATCTGGTAGGACCAAGTCGAGCTGAAACCGAAGACTATGCTGATCAAAACCTGTTACTCGAGGAGGAATGATGAAATGACGTAGGATCTTCAATTCTATGGCCAAGCGCCTTTCGACGGTAGCAGGTTATGGAAAGCAATTACACGAAGACTTCATCGTAATGCTATATACTTCGAGAAATCCACTTGCTCATACAAAGCGACGTATCATCAGTACAGTCGGTGTTGTCCTTGCCCCATAGGCGCATAATTTTCCACATCGGCTTTAACGACCCATTCCGCGGTGGATACTGCTGATCGTGGATTTACCTGCGTTTCGCATCGGAGTTTAGAAAAGCTGCCTTACAGCCGTATATCCTGAGTGTCGTCCCGCTCAAACGAGTAGAATCATAATATCACCTCTCACCTGAAACATTTTATCTGTAACATTTACGTGAAGGATGCTGGGAGAGGATGATTGCGGCTTTCAAGCATGGTGATGACGCCATGGCAAGATTTTTCAACCATAGCTAGGATTGTAAACATCGCTATCGAAAACACAGGAAAGACACAATGAAACCAGCCTGTTGTATGATCAAAAACTGGGTTTATTGGAAGTTACTGCTGCAGAATGAGAACGATGAGACCAAGAGAGGATTTAGGCGACAGGCACAACGTCGGAACCCACGTCTCAAATGCTGAACTACTGATGATATACCAACACCCTTGGACAATCATGACGAAGCATCCGCTATCTTCGATAATAGTCAGATAGCTCCCATTACCAGTAGAAACACTGGATATCGATAGTGAATTATTGTTCCACCATGGTTGTGTCTACAAAAGTAGCTAGAACTCTCCGTGTTCGGTTAACTTTCAACTCGAAAACATCCAATCGCTGATATCCACCAACGACATCATGGTACTGCTTCCCTTCCACACAGTCCTCAAAATCAATATCCGCGTACAAAATATCTTCCTCATGTTGCAAGAAGTCCTTGGTATGACTTTGCCCGCTGTTCTCATCGACAGTATAGCCAGGTAACAATGCTCCTGTCGGGTCCAAGAACATAGTTGCAGCAGCTGGCGACTGTTTTAGTACGCTACGAACATGGCTTTCATCAGAAGATCCTTCTGAGATTCTGTCTATGGCGTTATGGTCAAGGCGACCTGAGCAGAGGACACCGAAGCACTTGGCTTCAAAGCAATGGGCAGCAGCTCTCGTTCGATTTGCCGCAATGTTGTCGTAGTTTGCTGGTCCTTTCTTTTCTACTTCTCTAGTTGAGACAATTGAGTTCGACTTCTTTTCACTGAAATCTTTAGTCGTCGCTGTTGTTGCCGCTCTCGTTGGCCAGATCGCTGGCCACGTAGAAATGTGCAATTGCTCACCCTGAGCCATCAGCGAGTACCTTGCCAACGGGTTCGTATTTTCGCCACAAATCAAATTCCCAATCTTCCCAAACGCAGTTTCAGCCACTCGCAGCCCATATCCATCCCCCGAGCTCCAGGTCAATCTTTCAAAGAACGTCGGCATCAACTTCCTGTGATGGACCAGAATCTCTCCATCCGAGCCAATGATGACATTACTATTGAAGAGACAAGCAGAGCTGTATCGCACTTTCTCTGAGATACCAATACTGATGATTGTGTTCGATATCTTCGCTGTGGCCTGAATGGCACTCATCTCTGGCCCGTCAACGTATATTGATTGGTGAGCCATTTGTTGGAAAAGTCCGTGGTTTTCGGTTGGTGGACGAACGGAACTCCAGACTGGGAAGGCAGGTATGAATGTCTCTGGGAAGACGACGAGGTTGGCTTTGTTTTTGGCAGCTTCGTGGACGAGGGAGATAGCCTTCTCGGTTGTGCCTTTGGCGGAGAGGAAGACGGCTGAGGCGTGACATGCCGCAACGCGGATTGGGTTCGTCATGGTGAGATCCCTATTAAGGATTTAAGACTGATACCTTAAATATTATAAATGGGTACAACCATTGGAGGCTGTGACACAGCACTCAAAGGCCTTTGCTACTCTTGTGGAGTCCTTGATGACCCCGAGGAAGTTAAGTATTACCTTGCAGGTAGTTCTGGAGGGCGAACCAGCGATAAAAGCTTCAGCTCGAATTCATTCCTGATTTCCTGATACAGTGAAAGAACAGTATCTTTTTCTCGAATCACTGCGCTGGACTTGACAGCGGCCTGGAAGTGGGGTAAATCGTTGATCTTGCGGGGAAGCGGGGAAGGCACACGCGGTACGCTTTGCGTATGCATCTTGGCTCTGGTATCTTTTGAGTATTTTGATTTCTAGGAGTTTGACGATCGTAATACCAGATAAATCTCAAGTCAGGAGGACTTACCTTTGATGGTCACAACCTTGCCTTCCGACAAATCTTGAACCAGCTGAACATATCATCGTGTATGGAGTTTGATTGGAATTCTATGGACATGATTCCGTCGCCCAGAATCCCTCTGCATCATACCAGACACTGAAGTCGCACGAGATACAAGTGTACACTCGCCTTGTAGCGTGGGAGGAATGTTGACATCTGCCGAGAAATGTTGCCAGCTAAAATCCTTCCTTTCACAAACTGCTGTGTCATGCCATGACTTACCCTCATCCAAACTCACATTAACAAGCTCTATCCCGTCGCAACTCCACGCCCAACCTTCAACACGTAGCGTGGATCCTTCCACTTCCTCCCCCGGTTCCGGCCTTACAATCATCGAATTTGGTCCCACAGCCCATACTGGTTTCGTCCTCCTCAAAGGATCATCCTCATCAACTGCATTGTAGAAAGTCGTGGTATAAGGGCCTTTCGCCCGACCGCTTTGTAAAGACAGCTTACTTAGCCACTTCGTACTATTCGTCCCAAACCACCCTGGAACAACTAACCGCACAGGTCCACCCCGCTCCTTCGACAAAGGCTGCCCGTTGATTTCGTAGGCTACGAGCACTTCCGGTTGCATGGCCTTCGTCAGAGGAAGGTCTTTCTGATACCTGTCTGAGGTGACACCGTAGAACTCTCCGTGATCGAGACCTTCGGACCAGACAAATTGTGCTGCTGGTAAAGGACAAGCTAGAGAGAGTAAAGTATTGAGTTGTACACCTGTCCATTCTACGTTGCCTATGCGCCACAAGTTCTCCACCGGCGGCTTGACAGGACTACCATAACATTCATGGAAGGATGTGACGGTTGTCTTTGGAAACTTGTAGAGGCCCTCCAGTGTGATTGTAAATGGATGCTTGACTTGCCCGTCAACTACCAGCATCCATTTCTTGAAGTCGACAACGGCTGCTCCCATATGTATTGTCTGGAATAGCTGGGAGTCCGGAGTGATAAAAGACTTGAGGAGATGTGGAGCAGGTGGGTGGCGGATATAAAATCCGGTTGGGTGAATGGAAGAACATGCCTCTCGCTCCTGATCGTGAGATGGAGGATCTTGGAATTGGCGCGACAGTTGGCCTTCCATTATCATGAAGACAGCTTCTTGAGATGAGGACTTAGTGTATATTGATAGAGAACTTGAAGATTGAAATGTCTAGAGAGGCCGTGAAGTCAACAGACCATGTTCCAAGGTTGAAGCAGGCTTTGATCTAACATTCCGATTGTTGATTTTAGACACCATCAGTTGCTCTCGACAATCCAGTGGCCGTTAGTCGGTATCTTAGCAATAAGCTTTGCAAGCGAAATGCGGGGAAGTAGCGAGATGGTGATGGAGCAGATCGCCCAACAGGTCGTCTTCAGCGCACTTATGTAAGCAACAAAACTAAACCACCAAAACATTGGGACAAATAGATGGACATCATTCGCGCCTCATCTCTATCATTTGATCCTCTCATATTCAATTCGTTGCTTGACCTTCATTTCCCCGTCACCACTCACAAATCTTCAGCCAACTCATCTGAAAGCTCATCCGACAGCTCGCCTTCCTCCAGACTTCCTGCTCGTTCCGGCTGGTAAAGAGCAGAATCGAATGCTAACTCCTCTCTGGGTTCTTGCTCTCCATACATATATGGAGGAATGAAACCAGACCACTTCAGATTGAAGATTCTCAGACGCCGCCCCTGTGTCGATTTTTGCTTCTGACCATGGCCTAGCAGACTCAAAATCTGCTTCATCTGCTTCCGACCATGCTTCCCTTTCCATAATTGTGGTACGATCGTCTCCATGTCGTTTCGCTCCCCAAAATCAACAATGAAGTCAAGGTAAGAGACCCTTCCCAGCCATTCAATGATGGCAGACAGAGGCTCGAACCATATATCGTCATCATCTTCGAGGTAGAGTTGCCAAGAACGGAAGGTAATACGAAGTGAGAGGTCAGGAGGCATTGTTGGCATCCATGGTGGTGCCGTGTCGCTGAGAATGCGAGTTAGGATCGACTGTGACTCAAGCTCCATCTCTCGCAGACTAGAGAAGTTGGTCATAGAAAGATTGGCTGAAGCATGCGAGACACTGTAGCGTCCACCAACGTGCTTCAAATACTGCAAAGAGCGTTCTTGAATTGCTAGAGCCTTCAAGAACTCCGCTGGGAATCGTCCAAGTGGTTCGTGGTTGCTTGTTACATGGTACATTCTCTCACCAAGTATCAACCTTTCGAGACCCTTAGGAACAGAGAGGATGGCTGCTAGCCCCATTACAGTGATATTACACTCGTCGAATGTGAGGCTTTTGAGAACTGTTGAATTCTGGGATGCTGAGAGATGTACCTCAACATTGTCGCCAACGTCAAAGCAGGATATCTTCAAGTTCTGAAGTGTGGGATGACGAAAGATGCTAACGGCAGGACAAATTAGTAAATATTTCAGCATGTATGGCCCAACACAAGCCTAAACGTGTATCTAGCCGATTCTGACATATCTAACCTGAGCGAGAGCGAAAGTGGACCTACATGGAATTCTTCCCCAGGTCAAACACTTCTCGATTAGAACCTTGTTTATTGTGACTGTGAAGTGTAACTATAAATCAGAGTTATTCGAGGACCTAGAGAATCTGTGCCAAAGGGTCTGACTTACAAGTTTCCAGAGGGACTTGAACTCTTGGCTGCGGCCCTAGCGTCATCGAGGAAGCAAAGTCGAAATACGCCGCGTAGTTTATCTTCCCCTCGCTCTCAAAGTCCGCTCTTATGGCATGCGTATCGTTACAGCAGGGTGCCTCAATCAGTAATTCCTTCAGCTGGGTTAGGTGCTGCAGTGTTATGTTCAACGTCTCGATACCTGCCGAATTATCGTACAAATATCGGACATGGAGCTTGCGAATGAGAAGTGCGCGTTCCAGCCTTCCAAGGATCGAGGCTAAGATATCGAGAGCTCGATATCCTTTACGGATGAGAATCGTGTTATACAAGGCAGCTTCTGCAAGGCCTTGGAGCCGCGAACATGTGGCTGCGAGGTTACAGAGGCTGCGAGGATCATCGAGATGGTAAATTATTTGTATCAAGAGCTCATCAGCCAGCCCCAGAAGACGGGAAAAGGCAGTCACTGGGTGGGCCATTGTTTCTTAAGCCCTTCTGCTGTGTTTGGTTCTGGCTCTGAGATTGTTGGACCGGTGTTGCAACGAATCGGGAGGTTACCTTACGAGTGATGTTGTGTGCATCACGTGAAGCAGCTCCACCAATCAGCACCAGTAGCAAAGTCTTAGTTTCACTCAAGGACCTAGGTACGGAGACAGAGATTTACTCGTGGTGGATTGTACATATCTTATAACTCCATCGTTTGCAACTGTCTCTTGATCATATGATGTAATTGTGTAACTGTCTTCTCATTCGTTCATTCTCAGCCCAACAGAAGTCCTCGGAATGTATCAGAAGGCGCTTTTAAATTCCAAGAATGTGCATTTCGTCTGCTGTTTATCGAGTCTTTAATAAGCGGTGGCAGCTTGTTTCCCAATATCCATCTGATAGAAAGCTTCACTAGTGTCTGGTGCTTATGTGGACAGAGCAGCCCATGGGTGGAGGTGGACTGAACATTTCCACAAGCTTTTGTATTTTTCTATTCATATACGCTACCCGACTGCAGCCTACCTTTTCTGCATGCGTATGAAGGAGTGTTCTGGTGAAAAGCGAACAGACTGTCCTCTCTGGTGCCCAGAGTCATGCATAAAGAACCAATCGAATGCTTGAACTCCAGTACACCTTCGAATTTTCCATGCCAAAAATTCGATGTGCAGGCAGACGCGCACGTTGCGTTTCCTCTCTATTGAAACCCCTCCCATACATCCCGCCAGATTGCAGTAAACTTCTATTCACAACCATGAATCTGCAAGTGACAGACGCCAGATCGCTGAAGACTTCCAAGCCCACAAAGCCAAGCAATCCAATCAAACAACCATCCAATCTTCAGACGCCAAATAAGTAGTCAGATCTATCCTGTTCCGCAAGCCATTCATGGTACTTCTTCAACTGGTTTACTCTGTCCTTGCAGGTGGAGCACATGAAGGAAGCGCAGCGCTTGCACTGAAAACAATTGAAGAAAATGTCCCTCTTGCAACGACGGCAGATCCGTAAGTCATTGAAGTCCTCCTCAACTACTATCTCATGCCTCCAAGCAACTTTACAAGCCTTCTCGATATCACCGGGTTGCCGGTAGCTCTGGTACTCAGTGACGCCGATGTGAGTCAGCTTCTTCCATTCCATCTTGCTCTTTGCAACATCTTTTGGATCCTTATCAGAAACATACTCAGCTTTGTCAAGCACGTTCAAGACTTTGCTAGCCACAGCAAGGAGTGCCTTGTGTTCAGCGTGCTCGAAGTCATCTTGGTGATCTTGAAGTTGATCCATGAACATTCGAATTGACGACTTGATACCTTCCATCTTCTTCTCCGCCTCCAGTATGTCCGTTTGAAAAGCTTTGAACCATCGTTCTTCCAGCAAGGCCTGATCAAGCTCATATTGGCTCCGGAAAATCTGGCCATTCCGTTCCTTCCTGATTACAAAAATTTCGATCTCGCTCTGCAAGTCTTCCTTAAAGCAAGCAACCTTTCCTTGTTGTCGTTGAGCGTTAAGGCGGCGCAGCTCGATCTGTCCGCGTAACTCATCAGCTAAGCGATACCATTTTTTCACTCTGCGGTTTCTGGCTTGTAGTTCCGAGATTTTCCATGAGCAGAAGAGCTGCGCTGGCGTGTGCATTCGGGGTAACCAAGAGGTACGAGATGGTATGAGAGAAGTGGTGTTGAATAACTTCGCACCCGAATGCCACTTCACCAATCTATCAGCTGGGATCCTTGGTACCTTTGAGGCAGCGATGTTTTGATATGTTTGTTGCTGTTGCTCCTCTTCATCCTCGTCTTCTTCAAAGATAGTGTACAGGCCGATTTGCAACTCTGGTCTAGGTCTCCAACGGCGACGTGGACGACCAACCAAATGATTTCTCATGGAAGCTGAGAATGTGAGGCGGGTCCCGACCCCATCAATCTGACCCCTTGACTTCTTGGGTGTGTCTTGTAAAGGGTTCTTGGCAGAGTCATCTCGATCTTCCTCATCCCTCTTCACATCCTCTGGAAATGCCCACTCCTTGTCTCCCATGAACTTTTGACGCTCCAAGTCAAAAATCTTCCGCTTCGACTTGTCTTTAAGAGTGGCATAAGCATTGCTAATCATCTGGAAGGTTGCGGTGGCATCGGGTGCATTATACTTGTCTGGGTGGAACGACATTGAAAGTTTCAGGTACGCTTGCTTGATCTCAACATTAGAAGCGGACAATCCCACACGCAGGACTTGATAATGGTCGATGAAGGTCCCCATGATGATCTTTGACGAAGTTTCTGACAGTGTTCTGGATGATATTTCAAGTTACAATCCCAGATAAATGTTAGTTATACTGTCAAAATTAGTATGTGAGAGCTTGGACATACAAGAACTCATAGATCGAGACTCTTTTTATTCGGCGTTGTCTTTATTAGAATGTCGGTTTGGGTTCACTTCCAGGGGCGGTTTCGAGAAGCTGCTTGTCCTAAAGCTTTGATTCAGTCAAGAGCTTCTTTTGACAGGATAAAGGCATCTTACCAGACATTTATAGCTTGTGATTCTCTTTCCTGTGTAAAAACTTGTCTGCAATTATTGGACGAGCAGATATGCGTAGATCAGCACTAGCAATAACGCTCGAGCAGGTTCTGAAAGTGAGACGAGTGACTGCCTTTGCAGATTGGACGTAGCGAGAGAGATCATAGATGTTGAGATCAAAGACGACTTCTGCAAATGTTTTCAGAGAAGGAAGATCCAAGAGAAGTTCTCCGTTGATCTCATTTGAGAAAAATGAGGTTAAATTTGTGTGCCTGATTCGAGGTTGGAAGGACATATTCAGTGAATTCGATAAAAAATTCTGTTCAGCAAAGTCAGGCATCCAAGTTGACCTAGCGAATGGCTGTCTACGTGCCATTACTGTTGAGAAAAGCAGTCCATCCTTGCATTGCGGTCGTAGCTATTGTGCTTTGAGGCACAAAGGTTGTAAAGCGAGTGGGTATTGTCAATATTGACTTCGGGTGATTGGCTCGGTACGGAGTCTTGGCTCGTCAAATCGTGCTTCCTATGGTTGGTTTTGCAATTGACCTTTTACTCTACAAGATCACACAAACTTGTAGTAACGTTCATCAGTCTGCAGCGTATACTTTGTCATGACTAGTGGCTTTGCGTTGTTGGAAATTGTCAAGGCTGCAGTCAATTGAGTCAAGATCCATGGGCTTCTTTTTCATTTCGGCTACGTTAATGGTCTTGACTCCAAGTCTTCGCAGACATATTTAATCTAACGAAGCGTCAAACTCTGATAGCCCCTGAATTTGGATGAACCTATTACTAACAGAGCACTACTGTATTCTCGTCCAGGCTCTGTAGCATCCGCCAGAGCTGGAATACACTTTCATGGCCTTGGCCGACATTAGTATCACGAGGAATATCTGTAGCAAGTAAACTGGCAACAGAAATGGACATCTGCTTACCTCGAAAGGACAGTATCTGGAAATAACTGATAGATCTGGAGTACTCGATGGACCGATGGTCGAGATACTGGACCAACCATGTATACAGTGCCCAGACTCCAGAAAGGTAATCATTGTCCTGAGCAGACTGGATCCATGCACTTTTGAGTCGTGATTTCTGGGTCCGTAGCTCGAGCTGGGCTAGACATCTCAAGGTAAAAAAGTCTCGTCATTGTGAAGTTTCAAATTTGCATCCCGGCTACTCTCTCAAAATAAATATATATCAAATGCTAGCGAGGTGTTTACATCTGTATTTCTTCGATTGCGGGCTGAGCATGATGAACACGCCGAAGGTTGTCTGCGGGAGATCGACTCAACCCTGCGGGCAATCTGCGTCATGATCGACAAAACCATCCAAAGTTCACCCCTCTTCCTTCAACACCATTTATTCTACTTACCGGGCCCGAACCTTAGTCTTCATTAATTTACATACTAATAAGCAGCATTGACAAAATGTCCGAAACAACTCTGGATATGGATGCCATCCTGGCAACCTACCGCAGCGAAGCAACTTTTGAAACCACCGACAGCCTCGGCCTCGATGTTGAAGACCCAAAAACGCAGTACGAGTCTGGCACTGTACCATACTCGTTCGTCGAGCCCTCCACTCGTATGCTCAAAGTCTATCACCAAGAAATTGCCCCATTTCTCTCCAGCGCCGGCGTGATAGGCATGGTCACAAACGTGTCACATGGCACCTTTCACAAACGACCAGCATCGCTCATCATCTTCTCCTTTTCCCTCCGAAGTGGCGAGCATGGCTTTCGCTTCAAGAACGCCAATATTAAAATCACCCTCTCGAAACACTCATCTTCTTCCCCAGCCGACGCAAGTCCGGCTGTACTCAAATTCGCGCCGAGGAAGATCTATGGGCTGCCTACTGTGGAAGGCAGGAAGAACACTGTGGGTGGAGAACTCACGTTGCAGGTTCCTGCTGGTCCGCTGACTGTCGGGCCTGGGATGAAAGGAGAACGAGAAACGGAGTATGAGAAGCAATATCGCTTCGAGACGGTCGGGAATTTCTGGAGCAGCAAGATGGGAACTGATTGGGATATCGTCTATTGGGATATGAGAGAGAATAAACGTACCAAGGAAGGAATCCCAGACAGACTGAACGTTGCTGTGGTTGTGGAAACATCTGGACCATTTATTGCTAGTGTTGAAGTCGTGGTCGACACGCCTTTCGCGAATGGGTTTCTGAGCAGTCCATGGACGAAGAGTGATCCGGCGGTTTTTGTACCGGGCGTGGTGATGGGTAATCAACCTCGGACGACGAACTTTGATGAGTTGACGCATGAGGAATGGAGAGCCATGATCCCATTTGAAGAGGAGTGGGAGAATAAATTGACGGATGAGGCAGAATTTGAGATGACTTCGGCTACAGAGCAGAGTCGCCCTGGTAATGCGTTTGTTGGAAGCGGAGACCTGAAAGTCAATGCCAGACTTTTGGAAGAAGAGGAAAGTGATGATAGATAGTCAGGATATCAATTTTAGCAGACCATTCTCCGATCCTACACTACATTTGAAGGAGGCCCTTACTCATGTGTTTTCGCTCCAGTAATGCAGCTCCTGTACCTATTTCCTACGCTAATTTATCGAGTTTCCCCACGAGTTGCCTCCCATCTCCAACCAAAACACCAGGAGGAGAAATAATCTCACCTCTCTAGACGCTTGAAGTCTCCCAGTCCTGTTACATGTTTTGGGAACAAGTCTGCATAACTTTTCGCTTCGTCTCGGCCTCTTTCTCATTCTTCGCAGCAGTGGATTCGGTCTGTGTTCTGTATCAGAAACTCTTCACAACTAAAGAAAATATAGTGAGATGGTACAACTTACAAGACATCAACAACAGTGTTTTTCTCAGATTCATGACCTATCTCCTCGACCTCCTCCTCCGCTCTATCCCCAGCCCCATCTCCCCTCCACACCCCTCATCAGTGCCCCCAAAACCCACGGCCCAACAACCCACAACACCAAGAAAATGACACAGAAGAAGCGTATAGGGCGCCAGTTCCTACCCCACCATGTGGGTGCGGATGGAGTAGGCTGAGCGTGTTGGGGGAGGAGGGGTGTGAGGGAGGTGGGGGAGGTGGAGAGGAGTGGCATCCTGTCGTGTTCTGGGAGTTCAATTTGGGGGGTTTGAGGAACTGTTCTATCTTTTCTTGCATACATAGGGACGAACTGGAGTGTAAAGGGGATGGGTGGTATGAGCCTCTGCGAAATAGCTAAAGCCCAAACCTGAGCTTGAATCTTGAGGCAGGAACAATCATCACAGGCATTAGATTTAGCAGAGGCAATGTAATGGGCTGAGGCTGACCGTCGAAATATTGCAGCCTGAAGAGATGTTGAAAGCTTGCGCGGCTTTGCCTCGCTTGAGAAAGAAGGATTGGGCGACTGTGCCAAGACCATTGGTGCTGATAGGCACAAGTCATGAATTTAACCCAACACCTGGAAAAGTACAAACAAGAGAGACCAAGAGAGACCAAGAGGAAGCAACCCAGTCAACTATAACTTAAAGAGGGATTATAGCAGTAGCAGAGGGAGGTGGCACATCGTTTTGATTGCCGTCTAAGAATCAAGTAAGCTTCACAACTCCGATATCCCCAAGAACTGCCCTCAGGAGCCAACTCCATGAATCCCCCTTCGGTTCATGACCTGCCTTTCGGAAAGAGTAATTTGCTTTTCCATTCCTATCATAACCGCGCTCAATCAATACAAATCTATTCCTCAGCCTCCTCAGCCTCCTCAGCCTCCTCGATGATCTCGCCTTCACCGTCATCCTCGAAACTACCAGCGGGCACCTCGTACAGACGCAGAATCTGCTTGTTGGGGTCCTTGACAAGAACATACTTGCCCTCCTCGCGCTGGAGACACATGTCGGCGATCGTGCGAACAATACCCCATCCGTTGGAGAGACTAAGGTTCATCTGTTGGGCGAAGTCGCGTGGCTTCCAGCCGACAACACCAAGAACGACGTGCTTGTCGTTGGTCTTGGGGTTGGCACGAGAAACGAATCTGGAGTGTATTAGTATTTCCTATTTCCTGTTCTGTGAGAAAGAACTTACCCGAGCTTCATGACATCCGCCTTGGCCATGATACTTTGGACAGTCCATCTAGCAAGCTTGCAGCTGTTGTTCTTCATTTCTGTTGCGACAACTGCACCACGTTGGCCAACCAACTTCGTTCTCCAGTCAAGAGCACCACCGCTACCTTGTGCCTTGTGGTCGAACTCGTTCAGAGCCTTGACTGTGAGGAACTGATCTTCTCCGCTGATGGCGTTCTTCTGAACGGCATCAATTTCTGTACGGACAATCAAGTGCACTGGATCCTCATCATTAAGCGACAGGTCGAATCGTCTGTATTTGTATGCCTTGCTGGCAGCGGGCTCAGTCTCCTCGGCGGGGTTGTAGAAGGGGTTCTCGTGGGCCATCTCGACCTTCTGGTTCTCATTCTCAATCATAACCTGGTTAGCGAAGTTGTGGTTGATATACGTAGCCTCCTCAGCCAAAGCACTCGGTTGGTTGATAGCATCTTTGCTTCCTTCTGAGGCATCCATTGGCGCATCAGCAGCGTTCTCGTTGACTGTGACCATGTCCAAAGTGGCATTGTCTCTCTTGTCGAGGAAGACCTTGTTGCCCTGTCGGACGATAACAATATCCCAGGGGTAGACGGAACGGGGAGAGCACATGAGCATGGAAAGAATGCTATCTGTGGCGAAGATGGTAGCCTCGTCCTTCTCTGCGAGTTCTTGGATGACAGGATCTGAGGATGTGGTGACATTGTAGGCGGCACGATCAACGACGTTCAACTTTCGCTCCGCAGACTTGACAGGCTGCTTGTCGTATGACCGATCGTAGTAGTAGACGAAACCGTAGTTCTCGATATCCTCTCCATCATCCGTATCCAGGTTCAGCTTGGCCAGACGGTTGAAGTCAATCTCCTCCAGCATCTTCCAGTCAGGCTTGATGTTAACAGACGCATCACGGTTGCGCTGTGGCTTGTCGTAATCCTTCCAGCCAAATCTCCGTCCACCACGCGCACCTCCACGGCCTCCTCGCTGATCATAGTTGTTGTAACCTTGCTGGCCACCACGTCCTCCGACTCTCTGGAACTGTCCTCGTCCGCCTCTGGTATCGCCGCGTCCACCACGTTGACCCCGTCCTCTCGTGAATGCTCCGCCCCGACCAAATCTCGTCTTCGTTGAGTCGCGAGTATTGCTGACAACGGAGAAAGAGGACTCATCTTCGGCGAGTTGGACAGCAAATAAGGAGGATGTTCCGGCACCGTAGACTTGTTGATCTATTTTACAGAAATTAGCAAAATGCCCCTCCCCGCATATTCCCCCAATGATGTTATATGGCAGATATGTGGCATTATATTGAGGCAAAAGATCAGACCTCTGTAGTTTCGGTTGTATTGTTGTCTCCCACCTCTGCCATCTCTTCCATCCTTGCCCTCTGTGGTCCAGTCTGCCATGCGACCTAATTTGTCGCCTTTCGAGTATGGGGCATAGGGAACGCCATTTAATGTGGTTTCATTCGAGGTTGGTGGTCCCCAAGAATCTTCCGACGGAAGGGCGGCAATGATATCTGTAAGTGATATGGGTGCCATGATTGCGACGTGTTCTGGTGTTGAGAATACGTGGGGTTGAGCCTGTCGCCGACGAGGTTTGAATATTCTATTTCGATGTGTGGAAATCTAGTGGGGCACACATCCCTGTCAGTCGAGCCAGAGCCAAAATCCCATTATGTAAGCATCAAAACCGCCGGATAGGCAGACAGGATACTCCAAACCAACAACAAATTTAAATAAGTGTCGTGGAGCATTTCAGCGAATGTTCCAGGTCGTCAGAGGCCTTTAATTTTTGGGTTCTAGCATTTCTTGGTTTAGTACAATTAAATTTCAATTTCGGGACGTTTCGAATCAATCGTTCTCTAATTTCAATAACAGGCTCGCCTGTCAATCTTACGCATATAGCAGAGTAGGTAAGAGGTTGTTTGGAGCCGGGAACGAAGTAACAAGATAGAAATCTAATTTCCAGAATTGTCTTCCACGCTTTTTTACCTTATCCGGCTATCAACACAGATTAAATTCATTACAAATTGCTCATGAAACCCTTCATCACATTCCCAACCCACCAGGTATCAAACCATACGCCTGATATTAGCTATACGAAAATCGAAAACTTTTCTTAGCCCTAGAACACCATGTCCGGCTTAGTATAAAGCACACTTTCCAAAGCATCTCGAACCTCGAATTCTTCCAATACTGCGCCAAACCTGCACATATCAGTACCAAAACCTGGGAGACAAGGTTAATAGACATACCCGTAACACCTGACTTTTCCCCTAAGCTCCAGGCACACGTTTTGGAAGTCGGTGGTAGACATTTCTGTGAACCTGGGATGGCCAAGTACCATTCCCCAAGCCATAACAGGCGTGATCTCCCCGTCTAGATTCAGCCGTTTACTAAGGTCCAGCAAGTTCGCCAGATCTGGTTTCGACAGATCCCATGTCTTCTGGGCATCGCCATTGATGTTCGTAGGCCCGTGACCGAATGGCATCTCGGGCTTACTTTCGGGATACGGTTCAGGAGGGCACGAAGCCATCAAGGCGTGGCCGCAAAATTCGCCTTCGGGATCACTCGCTCGCTCGATGAGGAACTGGATGTGGTCCATACACGGTCTCTCGAGCCTATGCGTGGTGAAAAAGCCTCGTTAGCTACTGCGGGGGAGGCGACATGTACGCTTTCGAAGGATTGGCGTAAACTGACGTTAACACGAAGTCAATGCCTGCCTGGTCATAATCCACCCCCTGCTGGACCTGTTGTTGGGCCATACTCCGACCGTTCATGCCTGTACCTGATGCACCGTTCTGAAAGTTGGGATTCGAATTGGTTGGGGGTGGTGGGCTGTATGATTGTGACCCTGGAGCGTAGCTGCCGGAGATGCTTCCGCTGGAAGTATATCCAACGCTAGTATTGTTTGCAAGCTCATCAACACCACCTGTCCCATTCCATGGTATGCCGTGTTGGGCGAGGATTTTTTTGAGTTGTCGATTCTCCTCTGCAAGTGTATCCTTGTCGCGGGATACCATACTGAAATTCTCCTTGAGGCGCAGGACTTCTTGCTCCAGGGCCTTGATATATAGTTCTTTTCTTTCCCTGTGCGTTCTTGATGCTGTTAGAAGATAGAACCAAAGTATTCCGATACATGCCTACCGTTGCGCCTGTCTGTTCAATTCTTGCCTCCTCGTCAATGCAGGCTTGCTATCCGGCTTTGGTCCTCTCCTCTTCGGTGGCTGGCCGTCGACTAAACGAAGGTCAATTCGTGCACCGCACCAACGTAGTAGCAGCACTGACCTCTCGTACTCTTCTTTTCCGTTAAATTCTTCAAAAATCCCAGGCTCATGGAAAGCGGGCTCTTGCTGCTGTCCGACTGGCCGCTGCCATATCCACTCCCACCTACAGATTTATTGCCGTATTGATCGGCTGGGGACGCGGACGACATGGTCGCAAGGTTTGGAGACGTAAGATTGCTATCAGCAGCGCCCTGGAGAGCGATCTCTGCGTGATTTTGATTAGCCATGTGCCTTTACATGAATCGCGGTGCTGCTTGTGGTTCGATGTCAACGCTCAAGCCGCAAGGTGGCTTCCAGTCGGCGGATACACGGGAGCTGATTGCGCAGGAGCGAAAGGATGTTGTGCAGAACTTACCCAGAGATATGGGAGCCAGGAATTGTCCACCGGCTGTTCTAGACTGCTACTGCTTGATAATTGGTGACAATAGGCTTCGTACGCGCGTGGCGGGGTGGATGTGAGGTATTTGGAATTGAGGTTGTCGGAGAAGGGTAGCGAGCGACTTTAACCTAGGTATGGATCGTCGCAGGGGGAGCTATGCAGGTTGAGGGAGATCAGTTGCGACTACACCACGGCTCTGGAAAGGCTGATGTTGAGATATGATAGAATATCGTGCACGGAGGGTCGAGATCAGATCAGATGGAGACGAGATAGAATGGCAGATGTAGGCTAGCTATCGATCGGGAAGAGTTGGTCTGTTCTGCTGTGGAGGGGACGTCGTCTTAAATGCAATTGATGTCGGGGAGCCACAATTGGGGGTCTGTTCGGGTATTGGCATGAGCTTATTCAAACGGTATGGGGCAGTGCAAAATGCATTGGCTGATGCCCGTGCCTAAGGTGTCTTGTCTTGCCTTGCCTCGCCAGAAACCGAAAATCAGCGGAGACGGAGAGAAAGTTCCCGTTTTAAATTGTGCTGAGAGAAGTGAGTAGAACGATAACGAGCAGATACTTGGTTGAGACTCGAGAGGTGATGCCGAGTTACGAAGGGTACCTATATAGATAGATAGATAGATAGATAGATAGATGCCTTGGGTAAAGCCGAATTGAGGTAAGCGGGGGATGGATGCCCTCTGATCAGACCACTCGAGACTCTGTGCTTGTGCAACACCAACCTTTTCCATTGCTCCTTTCTCCAGCTTTTCCGGAGGAGCGATGCTCTGCTCTGCTGGATGATGAGTAAGAGAGCTCATCTCATCTCATCTCATCTCATCTCATCTCATCTCATGCCAAGCCGATATCTGCCTGGCCGACCTAACCAACAAACTTGTGCTCTGGCGCTTTGGGCTTGCAAACAAAGGCATGATGACAATGTAATGTTTTGCATAGAGGACGATCGAACAGTGGACGAGAAAGAGAGCTATTCCTGCCTGGCACTGACACATTAGCACAGCCAGACCGTTTAATGGTCAGACAAATTGTTTGACAGTGAGTAAACTCCGGGCCCATCGCATCCAATAATCGCCCTCGCCTTCGCCTCTCCGATGCTCGAGATCTCTATTGCTGGTCAAAGCTCGCTGAGAGCGAAAAGTATTCAAGTGCCTGTACCTCCCTGCCTCCCCTCACTACAGTACGTAGGTGGTACCGAGGTCCTGTCATCATAACCTTAAATTCTTAAATCCTTCTCGCCGGGTTGTCCTTGTCCTCGTCCTCGTCCTTGTCCTCGTCCTCGTCCTCGTCGAGCGCTGGGACGCAGACATGGGAAAGGGTGGGACGGTAACAGCCTCAAGTCCCTCAAGCAGGCAAATTAGCAGGCAATCTTACCTACCTAAGGTACCTTAGGTACCTCAGGCTCTCAAGCACCTCAAGTAAGAATCTAGATAGGTAACCTCAGAGCAGGTAAGGTTGGTACTTACCTTAGGTAGGTTCCTTAGGTACCTTCGCCCGGGAAGTCTTTGCCAAGAGAACCCTGAAGCCCGTGCCTGGCACATGCACACGCACATGCCAATACCAATCGCCAAAGTCCAGTCTCGTCAGTGCAGCTGCAGCTACAGTAGCTAGCTACCTTATCCACTCCAACCCACCTGGACCTTGGAACCTGGACGGGAACTGTTGCACCAAGGCACGACGACGTGGGGCACGAGGGCACGAGGGCAAAGCAAAGGCCACTCGAGTGCGTCGTTGACCGCTGCTCGATTTTGCAAATTCTCGTTCTCCCTTCCATTATTCTCTGGACAGACTCGCAAGCATCCAACATGTCGTCTGGAAACATTCTCACAACCCTGCGGGGCCTGGTAATCATCATACCATGGGCGTTGTGCCTGGTCCTCATGGACCTGGTTTGCTCTCTGCTCCTCCCCTTGAGTTATTTCTTCCCTGACGGAGTATACAATGCGTCTTCATTCGTCGCTTTCACAAATTGGAACTGGATACAATGTATTTTCGAGGTGTTCAATGGTGCGGTGATCACCATGTCCGGAGACAAAGTCCCTGAAGGAGAGTCTGCCATTGTAATTTCGAACCATGTCAGCTGGACGGACTTCTATATGATCCAAGCACTTGCCATTCGCGCAGGCATGCTTGGCCGCTGCCGCTGGTTTGCGAAGATTGAGCTTCGCTGGGTGCCGTTGCTTGGATGGGGTATCTGGGCTATGGGAATGCCTATGGTGAGCAGACAGTGGACGAAGGACAAAGAAGAGCTGGATCGAGTTTTTGCAGGGATTACTGTGCGGAAATGGCCAACTTGTAAGTTGCATAACACTGCTTGGGAACTAGCGACAAAATACTGATCAATTCATAGGGCTCATCAGCTTCAGCGAAGCCACAAGATACACTCCCCAAAAAGCAGAAGCAGCACGAGTATGGTGCAAAGAGAACGACCGACCAATCCCCAAACACCTCCTCTATCCTCGCACAAAAGGCTTCGTGACGACAGTCCAGCATCTCCGAAAGGCCAAACACATCAAAGCCGTATACGACATGACTATTGCTTACGAGCACAATCATAAATTTCTGGAAGCGCCAACGATATGGGAGTCCCTTAGCTGTGGGGGACTGAGTGGAAAGAGAGGATACAAATTCCATGTTCATCTGAGGAGATTTCCACTGGAAGATCTACCCGAGAGTGAGGCGGAGCTCTCAAAGTGGCTGGAGACTAGATGGGTTGAGAAGGGAGAGTGGTTAGAGGAGAAGAAAGAGGAATGGGCAAGGAATTGATTGGAATCGAAGTCAACATGGTGTTCTGTAGACCGTTTGATGGGCTGGTCGTACAGGATTACCTCTTGCTAACTACGGCTCAAAAGACCATGTTCGAGACTTGGCTTCGATGCCGTACCCCGTGCCGAATCCTTTGTGTCCATATTCAGCATCTTACTCTACACTAATCCGCAAACGCCCCAACCGGCGACAAAGGGAAGTTGGCCTTCAACTCTACATACATATCGTATCTTGAATATGCAGCTGCATGGATATCTTCGATACGTGTAAACGCATTCAAGCAACCGTCAACTCATTACCACAATGCCCTTCCGCTCTTCCAAAGTTCAATCTCGCATCATGGAAGCCGACTCCCGCCCCTCCCTCTCAATCTCATTCCTAGACCTCCCGTCGCCGTTTCACGCCTCTCACCTGAATCCCTACTCGCCACACAACTCACCTTCAACCAACCTATCCTCCCCTCCAGATACTTCCAACCAGAGCCCCAGATACACAGGCATCTACGACCGGCCCAATACCCACGGAATCTCTAATAACTTATCGTCCAGCACCTCCTCATGGTGGCCTATTGGCAACGCCTTCAAGCACAACTATAACAAACTCGACGAAGCCAATGATGAGGGCTTGTTAACGCAATCACATGGTGTTGAGGTTGATATCATTGAAGATGCGATGCTACAGAGAACGCTGCGGAGGAGGCTATTCTGGGAGTTAATCGCTCTTGGAGGCCTATTGGTCTTTCTGCTGGGTATCATCGTGCTGTGTATTAGAGGTACTGGCGGGATGAGAATGGATGGTAGAATCTTGGCAAGGGATTAAGCTGTGGAGTTGTATCTGGGGCAGGGACAGAAATTGCGGGGGGATGGAAAATGGAAAAAGATGACTAGATTTCGTGGATATCTACGAAGTTTTCTGGGCGATATTGGGATACGGTTCTATGTTAGACAAGATTCGCACAATGGAAAGGCATTGAGTTCGAAGCTGGGTCTTGAGGTCGAGTGCCCTGCATTTCCCAGGTTGTGAGCATATGGTGAGATATTATGGAACAATTCTGTGGCGTTATCGTTTTGAGTTCGTGTCTCATTGCTTTCTCTTGTTTTGCGGTTTTGCCTTGCCGTGTTGTGTGAATGGGTTTGGTACCATTCTTGATGGTCCATCTGAATGCCATGAAATATAGTAGTTATGGATGATTTATATCCAACAACATTCAATTTGCTTTGCTGTTACTATTCCCAAGAGAGCGTGCTACGGCGAGTCTGCGGCTCTGAAGGTGGGGAGCGGCTTGGAGGAGGGGGAGAGTCGGCGCCGAGTTTCGGTATCTGTTGCAAAGTAGTCTATAGTCATACTTGTGTCTTTCTTCCTCAGTTTTGTTTACATTCGGCATACACACGGACAATGAGACTTCCATCTTGGACTCTGCAAGTGCTAAAGGCTGTTCAAAGAATCGGAATTCTGCTACGTCAAGACTAGGAGCTGCATCAGCCAGCGTACCACTCAGATTCTTACTTTTCATTGTAAGTGAGTGTCTCCCTCGAAATATCTGCCTACCTTGGTTTGATTTTTACTACTTTAGTCGGAGCAAAGGCGGTGGGAGCGGCAGATCAAGGGAGATAAAAGGTGATGTTTTCCTCCAAGCGCGTTCTGACCTCAAATAACAAAAAACGACTTGGAATCTGGCAAGGTGTGCAAATACCAAGATGCCTCGCAAACGCAAGCCTGCAAGCCAGGTCAGCGCCCAAGGCGTTCCTGATCCACCAAAGCGCAAGAAGGAGTCTTTCTCCAAAGGTCAACATTGTCAAGCCCCCTCAACGGTCAAACCCCTTTGCGGCCTCCAGTACTCAATCGAGTTTCTGGACCCAGAGCTACGCAACTGGCTTCCGCTTGACAGCAGACCTGCTGATTGAATGAGAGCTCGTGTACCACTTGTGACCGAATTTGTTAGGAAGGATGATGACTAGGCTAATTTTTTCTCATTCATATCGCAACCAATACATACAGTACCGCGATATCAATGCCATTGAACCATTATCCGAAACTGCCGAAGTTCAACTTGGCTCCCTGTACTTCAACTTCAAACAGGATATCTATCATTATTTTGCTCTCAAGCCGAAGGCTGATACTAAACTCGACTACTGCTACCTCAATTTACAACTTCTCGATTCCACAACTTCTCGATTCCACCTTTGTAAGGCACGTGAAAATAGTCGGTATACGTTTAATATGAGTTAGGCGTATTCAGCTTGCGCTGAATATTGTGATCTTTTGGTCCAGTTAGTGGAGTTGGTGTGAGCCTAACCTCGGCATCATTACACTTCACCTCTCTCCTTGCTATCCCGCAACCTCTCCGCCCGCTCATCCGTCGCGTTATCGTCAAGAACGACTTTCAGTACATGTTTGAAGCGGTCTCTCTGTCCGGTTGCGATTCCACAGGGAAGATTCCGTACGAATAAGACTACGTACGAGTTTCTGAGTAGGGAGTTCGGGGCGTTGGAGGAGGTTTGATTGCTGATGGGGTCCATATGCTGCATTTGTATGGTGCACTTCCTTGTTTCAAGAAAGCTCTCGAGATCGGTGAACATGAGTGAGAGATGGGGATTGGTTGAGGAGGTCAAGAAAGAACAACCGGAGTTGGAAGGTCGGAAGGTGTTTTCTTGAACGTTGACGTTTGCTTGAGGAGTGCGGGAGCTTCACATGTCAATTGTCAGATCATCATGGAATCTTGAAAAATAGATCCAAGATATCGCAGAAAGTCTTGGAGCTGTTTCTGATGGCCTTGGTTGTGGTATGGTATCGGAAAGCATGGACATACTTCGACGTGTGGCAATTCTGACAGAATAACAGCAATAGGACACTCGAAAATAACTTCCTTAGAGCAGAGACCTAACATAAGCTCGATTGATTGAAGACATGGAAGCTTTCATCTGTACTTTTTGACTTGTGCCAGCCTATCCTGTATCCTCTGTTGAAGGTGTGACGATGAAGTGGCGCGAGGTGGCTCCACCCAAAACGCGCTAGCTAAGCGAGACCCATGTTTACTTTGCTTTATCAGAGCAATGATCCTCCAAAAGTGGTCTTTTATTCTGAACTTATGCTGTGAGGGGTCAAATCCTGTCTACCTTAGATGCGGACGATACAGAGTCACATAGGTAGGACCAGGTTTCCAGAACTGGGGAAACCAGAAGCTGGGATCGCTGCCGCTGCCAGCACGGGAAGGGAGAAAAGGGCGGCAAATAGTATGCACCACTGCACGCAAACGATAACTGCATGCGAGATTGTCAAAGTTTGATTTATTCAAACCAACAATAACTGTGTTCTGTTTCTGTAAAGGGGTATCCAAGCAATGATAGCAATACAAAGCCACGTATCAAAACAAGTAGATAGCTCTATATATACAGCATGGAGAAAGTCTTCAAAATACTGCAAAGAAAAAGAAATCACAAGCCTTTTTGGGATTCAAAGGTAACCTTTATCTTGGGTATGAGGTACAACTTAATACTTATACGTGGATACTACTTCAAAATGAAACACAAAAACGCGCACACGTCTTCAGTACAATTGCGCAGTACGAGCTTTGGACTTGTCTCTCGACTTGGTATTTTTTTTAAAGTAGACCAGCTGTAGCCTTCAGATCTCACTGGGTCTCTGGGTCTAGTATTTAGGAGGGCGATCAAACAAACTATTTGTACCTCGCTTGAGAAAAAGAACCTTCCAGACTCAGGACTCAGGAGGGTGCAAATTTTCAAAGTAACTAACCGAGGATCAACATCAATCAAACACAAACTCCGAAACAGACCCAACAAACTTCAACAAATAAATGGCAAAAAAACTATTTCTATACTTTAAATTACCAGAACAATGACGAAAGGGAAAGAAATGTCTGACAACAATCCCGCATAAAACACCACAAACCCTTCTGGCCCAGCTCAGACGAACGGGGATCCAAGCTCCAGTAAAAAATTTCCTATCTTAATTCCGACAAGAGATTGACCTCAAAATAGTCCCACATAACTTCACTCTCTTCCAAAACCTGATCCCCGAGCTCAGCATCCAAGTCTACGGTGCAGCAATCGTACCCCGCTACATAATCTTCCGCTACGATGCCCCCCGCAATATCTACATCGCTGCCCCTGCCATCACCGTCCCCAACCTCCTCCGCGCTTCGAAAGAGGCCCAAATCAATTGCCTACGACACTACATCGAGGTCTCGGCTATTCCCGGCCAGCCCAACTCCCCGATTCGTCTTCCTGCTCGCTCCAGACCACGATACGGTAATGGCATACTGCTGGAGTGCCATTACGCAGATGAATAGTTCGTCGGCGGCTGCGCTGCGTGCTGCTGTTGAGCCGGGTGGGTTTAAGAAGTTGGCCGTGGCTAGGGGGGATTTGATTTGGTTGTCGAGACACTTGGATGTTTGGAGGCGGTTGTGTGTGAGGGCCCCGGAGCTGGAGGTGATTGTGATTGTATGGCAGAACAATCATAGATTTGCGGAGAGGATTGGTGTTGCTGTGGATGAGGAGGGAGGCGAATCTGTAGGTTGGAGAACTATCTTGGAATGAGTTTGGCGTTCTTTAAATGATGTGTGAATACGATGGACAAGTGGGAGGATGGATTGGATTGGATTGTATGAATATGACGTAGTTCTAGTCTTCAAAACGGGATGCTGTCTGATATAAACATGTATCTGGACGATTTGTGTTCTTTGGCAGCCCGGTTTTTCGAAGAAACGACAGCTTCACTTGTCGTAATTGATCCCTCAGCAGCAAACTGTCAGGGGGTTGCTGGTGGCAGAAGCTTCGTCCGTCATAGTCAATTTCTCTGCAGCTTTGGTCGAAGGTGCCGAGAACTGCAGGGAGATGATGTCCCATCTGGTATTGCTCAGAAACAGCCATAGCCGAGAACCAGATTGCGTGCATATGCATGAAACCCCAAAGCTGCATTGAAAGCATTAGAATTCAATTGACGGTGTTCATATTTTCCCACTAGCTGAGCCATGCCAGCATCTAGGCCACTTGACAATGATTGATACGCTTTTGCGGCCATCACTACCGACTCGGCAATGATGCCTTGTCATATTCCTAGGTATGTGCAATGGTCTCTCAGCGTGATATAACTCTTGAATCTGGACTACTCGCAACAGAGACTTGTTGTCTGGGTGCTTTCCTGCTTGACTTCAACACGGCGGTGCACGTGAGAAACGCTTCAATTGATTGAATATTGTGTAATTTTGGGTATAACAAACGACTGCCTACTCAAAGTGATTGTGCACAAGAGAGCAATCAGTGTTTCAATCAAAATTATTTCCCCATTTACCAATACGATCGACAACAGTCCTCGCCTGGCTTACTTGCACACCTGCTGTGTTCTAAATGCCAAAGACGGCCTAGCCAGAGGCTGAGATTGCCTCGAGGAACCTGGGAAAGAGCGCCAAATAAGCTCTAAATCCTACTCGTTACGACTCGTAATCGGGAAGTTTAAAATTAGCTCTCCTCGTCCAAGTCCGTTTGCTAGCTAAGCTGCTGTATGCCGCCCAAGGTGTGCTGCAGTAGGGTGCGGGGTCAATGAATAGTGGCTCGGAGACTCGGGTGGCCCCACGTGTGTCAACGGTGACGGACGGTCTCGCGGCATTTGCGAACGCTCAGATGTGGACGGGAATAACGGAAACTATCTAGGTATAGATGTCTAGGTAGATAGGGTGTGGAGGAAGTCAAAGCATTGAGAATTTGAGAGTAAGGGTATGTAATTGAGTTGGAAGGATCTAGAGCAGGAAAGTTTGATACAAGAGCTTGGAGCTCGGGAGGAACTATCTTCTCCACAGACTTTCGGCCCCCGCTACTCAATACTTAGAAGCTAGAACTAACTCGACAATCTCAGCTCCCAAGTCACTGCAGCTTTGCCGAGTCAGGGGCTGCGAGTTTCTCGTTGGTGGCAGAGCAAAGACTTGCTTGATGAATCTAGAGTGTATTGTGATGTAACAAATACTGGCAAAGACTGGCAAGCCGGCAGTGCTAGGGAACTCAAAAACCCAAACTTTCATGAAGCCCACAAATACCCCAAAGTCAAAGACATCCAGACATGCAGCCAATGTTTCCAAGGTCGCTTAAGGTTGCACCATCGACTGAGTTGTCACACGAATTAGCAACTTTGCTGCACGTGATTGAAGAAACAGCTCCTTCAGGATGGGCACAGAGGGGTCAGCAGACAACCCCACATTCCCGGTTCAGCATTTCTGCATCCGCGGTGACGGCGCTGCTGTTGGTGTTGACAATGACTCGACTAGTGTCTGACGTCGAGGTCCTATTTGAGACATGGGGGGATGGGAAGAGAGGAAGCTTGGGTCGAGGAGTGGCTCCGTAGTCGTCTTGTGATGGGGTATCAAACTTCCGGAGAGTTCTATGATGAGGTGCCTAGGCAGGTAATTTTAAGTATTTAAATTTAAATGTGTAGGTTTGCTGGCTTGTTGGGCTAGACGTCTGTCTGTCTGTGGCCCTACCACAGGTGCGACCACATTCTCTGGAAGGATGTTGGATTGGGAGCCTGCTGACTGCCAGAATGGAGAATTCGGTTGGTCGCATGCTCGTTCTGTCGGACTCTGAGACCATAGGAATATTACACTGGTACCTTGAATAGGCTTGCATAGCTGCGTGAGACCTTTATTATTACCTGCTTGCGTGGAGCTAGGTGTGTTCCTGCTGTACACTCTGCACTAAAATTCGTGGTGGAGGTGAGCTGTGAGGTGATATACGGAAGTCAGAAGGACGTGCAGGAGGGGAGAGTCTTCTTTTCATGTAGGGTGGACTGGGATGTGACGGGTTGATGGTTGCGAAACTGCTGTTGTTGGGTGAGACCGGCCAGGAAGGGGGTATGCTCCCGTTTGGCGAAGAGGGTGGGATGAGATCCGTAAGATGCTTGGGATTTCGAAGTCGGCGCTCGCTTTTGTTTAGGTATGGAATGTCGTGGGAGTGGCAGGAGAACAGAAGCTGTTGTCCAAACAAACAAATATGTGGGTTGATATTGTCCAGGGGGACTTCCTTGGCTGGCTGCCCTGCGGTGGCAAATATACGACCCCTGTGGGTCCCACGACGCAAGAGAAGGACACAGAATGCTAGATTTTTTGTGACTGGTCTGGACTGGTGAACCGGAGGCAAAGGATTCTCCGATGACAAGAAACAGTATTCATCCAGATCGATGGTGGTGGTCGAGATGATCATCTCACAACCCCACCCCTTCTGGCCTCCCCCTCTATGTGGTGATACCTCAGCAGTGTTGGATCATGGATGGACAAGCAGAACTTGAGTCTCAATCTGGATAATTAATTGCCGCGCAGGTGCTGACAGCCAGAATGATGCGCCACTCATTCCATCCATTGAACATAGCTTGCTATGGAAAGGAGGTACACAGTCTGGACTGGCAACTCACAACTTGGTGAAGGGGGCTGTTTTCGAGCTAGAGTGGAGTATACATCGTAGGTTTGTAATGCAAGAAAGCAATTCGAGCACTTGCTCTAATTGATGATGATAACAGCTTATGCATATAGGTACCCTGTGGGCTGAGGTAGACGAAGTTTTTGCCTACTATGCGAGAAGAAGTTGTGGCCAGCAGGTAAGGTAGGTGTTGCATGCATGATGCAAAGGGTTGAGAAGAAGACAGGGTTATCGGCAATGATGTGAAGCGCTAGTGTTGCCATAGTGAGTCTTGCCTTGCAAAGTATATGATTCTTCTTGTCATGTTAATTCGTTAGGGAATCTTAAAGTGAAAAATGGCGAACAGCTTGTGTTATGGCTTGTGCATAGCCTTTTGACACCCGGCATAGTGGTTTTGATTGTCGTGGTGAGACAGCATAAATGCAAGTCACAGCAGATAAGAAGCCGCCCGCTGTCCGAATAACGATGCTAGGCTTGTCTTACAGAGGGAGTGGACGAAGTGCCCAGCAACACTCTGAGGGTGATATTGCATGACGAGAAAGAAAAAAGAATACAACGTTCAGAAGCGAGTCCAGCGCTTGGAATAGGAATCATGTTGTTGTTTTACGATACTGGAAGCGAGAAGCCGTTGGAGAAGAAGAGTTGGAGAGAATGCTCTGCCTCCCAGCCAACGACTCATACATATCCCATAGAGTGCATCTCGAAAGTCAAGTAAATCTAGCAATGGTGGAATCCCAAGCGTATCATTTACCAAAATCTGGTAGTATAAGTATTTTATGCCGCTTTCATGCAGCGATTTATTTATTTACGCATGCTGTCTGTCAGCCAAGAGTCTTCCCTGCCCTTGTATGCAGCCGTGTCATTGGTCAACCACCCATCGTAGCCCGCTGAGGGGAATCCTCCTCAGCGCCAGACCAGACAGACGGCCGATTCAAGGGTTCCACTCTCAAGTCACATCCCCAAACTCCTCCCAAGTTTTGGGCCCACCGACAACAACAACACCACCAAACTTGCCGCCGACGAAGACAATTGCTGCTCGACTTCGACCTCGTGCCGGTCCCGAGCCTCTCTTGACGATAGATAGAGCTGGGCTATCTCTGCAGAGCCGGCGTGCCTTTGTCCCGCCCCGACAAACGACTTACTCGTAGCTCTTCCTCGAACTCTGGCACCAATTCCTTACCCGAAGCGCTTCCCAGCCCACAACAAGAAGAGACATCAGCATCAATCCCCATGATGTCTCCTATCGCCGTCAGTTGCTAGGTACGGGCACTCCGCCGAACAGCTACGCCGTTTTACGACACGGTTCCGAGCCAGACCCGCGATAACGACGCGAATGATAGCGACACTCAATCTGGTCCGGCAACTTGACCAGGGAGGCGCACGCATAGTCAATGTTGGGGCAGCATTGCAGTCAGAGGGATCTACTCAACAATGGAGGAAGAAAATAGTATGCTGGCACCACCAGTTGTCGTGCAGCTGCGGGCACAAGCTGGTGGTCAGATGGAGCGCTCTCTGAGTGCGGATATTCGGGAGGAGAGAGAGGACCTGCGAGAGGCCGCGGAGCAAACACTCAACGTGATCATGGATCTGGGACTAAATGGAAATATTAGATGGGTAAGCCCCTCTTGGACTGATGTTATCGGCACCAGTTTCGAGTCGGTGCAAGGAAAGCCAATCAAAGACCTGCTAGTCAGCGAGAACAAGGAGGCTTTTTCGGACATAGTGGAGTCTATGAAGAAAGATGATTCACGCAGTCAAATAGTCCGTTTCAGTGTGCAGCTGGGACCTGCCTCCAAGTTGGCTCCCATCGACACTCTCATGGCCGAGACGGACGAGGAATTGGCGGCAGCACAGCGTGAACCCGCGACGATTGAGCTGGAGGGACAAGGCATCATGGTTTACGACCGAACATCTGGAGGAGAGAGTCACGTAGGTTGAGCTGAACTCGAGATTGAAATTATGCTGACTGTTCCAGACAATGTGGATGATCAGACCCTGGATCGCCCCTCGCGAAATCCAAATCGACTTACCTGCTGTAATTGTCGATTCTCTCGGTTCCGGAGCAGAGGTCCTGGCAAGTCATCTTACGACATTAGCTGAAGCTGGGTTGGAGGATCCGGGAAATCATGCCCCCCCTCTTCCTGTTCTTTGTCGGATTTGCGAACGGCAAATTCCTCCATGGTGGTTTGAGAAGCATACAGAGCTATGTCTGCAGGAGCACAAAGCTGAGATGGAAGTTCAGATGTGCCAAGAAAACCTTACAGAGCACCGTCACGCCATTGTGAAAGTGCTCGATGCTCTTGAAGCTCGCAAATCACGACCTATTGCTGGCGACCAACCTGCTTTGACACCTCCCCAGGCCGAATACAAGGGCATGCCCATTGGTCCCGGCTCCTCCACATCTTCCTCCGGAACCGCATCTCCAGGTACACCTGCTGATCGATCGAGGGATCCTTCCAGGTCTGGCTTCGGCCATGCGCGAGCCAGATCCTTTGCTGTTCGAAGACCCCAAGCAAGGATTGTCGAACTACTCCTTGATCTTTGCGATACTGCTCTTGAGATTAGCACGCCCGCTATCAAAGAAGCCTCTGCTCATGCTCCTGGCGAGTTTCGCACGCAATCTCCTCAATCTGAATCCCGTATATCGCAAGTGATGCAATGGCAATCTCCTACTAATAATACGCTAGAGCAAGAACAGGGCTTGTCTGTACTTTGCCAGGATAGCGAGAGAGCAGCCAAAGGAAAGGTCGAGGCTGTTTTACGCCACCGCAGAATCATCGAATACTCCGAGCGTATCCGTATCGAGTTCTCGGTTATTGTTCAAGATTGTATCGATGAGGCCATGCGAAAGGCTGCTAAGATTGCTGCCGGTCATCTTACAGACTCCGATGACGAGACAGAGAGAATCCCTGCGAATGATGAAGGATTCTTCAGCGGCTCTTTTGATGGGCCTTCTTCATTAGCAGCCGCTCTTCGAGAAGCTGAATTGGGTCGTAGTGGAGCACGGCGAATTTCGTCAACTGCGATTTCGACCAGATCGAGCAGCCCCAAGGAGTGCCCAACACCGCGATCGCATACTGGCCAGCACAGCATCTTATCGCAGTCTCAGGATTCTCGTCGACAATCTCTATTCTTTGAGAGTGATGCAGGTGCAGAAAGTGATACGAGTCATCGGTCGTCATCATTGATGTCCCGACCTACCCGCACAGAATCTCCTGTCTCCGAATTTGGTGATCTTAGACGTGCTGCGAGCTCTCGTCAACGACATCGGCGAAGTATTATCCTTCCTGGAACAACATCTCCTCACAGGCAAGAATCTCCTGTCCGGATCCCGCAACCGTCTTCGCCGCTCCGCATTTCAAAGCCTCGAGGTTTGCCTATTGCTCATGAAGGAGTTGTCTCCCCTACAGCATCGCCGATGCTTCCGGGAAGCGAATTTACCTCACCAGCGCTTATTCCCAATCACCAGCACCATCATAGACGGCAGTCATCAGCTGCTGGCTCGGACCCCTCACGGCAACCGCCATCCCCTCGACTCAATTCTGTCAGTGCACCGCAAGCTCGAGCGGTACCACCATCCATTAAGGACTTCGAGATCATTAAACCAATCAGTAAAGGTGCATTTGGTAGTGTCTATCTAGCCAAGAAGAGATCTACCGGTGACTACTATGCCATCAAAGTCTTGAAAAAGGCAGACATGGTTGCAAAGAACCAAGTCACCAATGTCAAAGCAGAGCGTGCTATCATGATGTGGCAAGGTGAAAGCGATTTTGTTGCGAAACTGTACTGGACCTTTTCCAGCAAGGATTATCTCTATTTGGTCATGGAGTATTTGAATGGTGGAGATTGTGCGTCTCTCATCAAAGTTCTCGGCGGCCTGCCAGAAGATTGGGCGAAGAAATACCTGGGCGAAGTTATTTTAGGTGTTGAGCATCTTCACAATCGCGGAATTGTTCATCGAGATCTCAAACCTGACAATCTTCTCATTGACCAGAAAGGTCATTTGAAATTAACTGATTTCGGTCTCTCGCGAATGGGCCTGATTGGTCGCCAAAAGCGGGTTCTCAACAGTTCCACAAATGATTCTGCCCCAGATCTTCTAAAGCAAGGCCCATTTGCGCGGACAATGTCCATTAGCTCATCACGGTCAACCTCATTTGATTTTCAAGGCCATCACTCACCAGGATCTACACCTCAGATGACTCCAGACCTTGCTGGTGGGCTGGCGACTCCATCATACTTCGCCCTGAGTCGTGAGAACACCCTGAACAAAGAGTCTCGCCGTGCTTCCGGCCGTAGCGACTCCGGTGGCAGTGATGCTTTAAATCAAATGTTCAGCAGCTTTTCTCTCAACGATAGTCAAGCCCAACACATGATGAACCAGAGACGGAGTCCTATTGAAGAAATGAGCGAGAATGAAGGAACCGTCTCTCCCGACCTTCCAGCTCTGCACCCGACAACCAGCCAAACAAGTTCAGACATGCGTAGTACGCCACCACAGACCAGTATGATGCCACCCCCAATGGCGTTGTTTGATCCTGATGATAGCAATCGTCGTTTCGTCGGCACTCCAGACTATCTTGCGCCCGAGACTGTGAATGGTGTTGGCCAGGACGAAAATAGTGATTGGTGGTCTGTTGGTTGTATTCTGTTCGAGTTCTTGTATGGATATCCACCATTCCATGCACCGACGCCGGACGAAGTTTTTGAAAACATCCTCGCTCGCAGAATCTCTTGGCCTGATGATAACGATTTTGAAGTGTCCCCAGAGGCAAAAGACTTGATGAACAAGCTTCTCTGCCTCAACCCGCGGGAAAGGCTTGGAGCCAATACTGATGACAAGTTTTCTTGCGGCGGCGACGAGATTCGAAACCATCCGTGGTTCGACGGCACGCAATGGGATAAGCTCCTGGAGGACGACGCACAATTCGTCCCGGCGCCTGAAAATCCAGAAGATACTGAATATTTTGACTCTCGCGGTGCTACCTTACAATCGTTTGCAGAGGAGATGGAAGATCAGACCTCACCACAGCCTTCGACGGCAGGTACTGAATACCATGAACGCCCTCATGATGCGCTGTCTCGTGTACGGTCTCAAGTCAATTCGATCAAGCGTGGCTTGATGCCTTTGCATATCCCACCCCATGTCCGCGATATGAAGAGTCGCAGACTCAGCGAACCTGTAATTGCGGATGACTTCGGGAATTTTGCGTTCAAGAATTTGCCGGTTCTGGAGAAGGCGAACAAAGACGTCATACAAAAACTTCGCGCTGAGGCTCTAGCTGCACAGAATAAACAAAATGCTACGAGCCCAAGTGGCCCAGGACCAAACAACGCAACTTCACCGGGACCAGTCTTGGAAGGAAGTCCTATCCTGCCAATGCCCATCCAGCGGACACTCTCAAATGCCAAAGCTACCGCCAGACCATCTTCACCATCAGGATTCAGCCAGTCAAATTCGTCGCCGAGCAGAGCGTCCCAGCCTTCATCGCCACTTCTCGTTTCTTTTGTTGCCGGCCAGAATGGTGAGGGTCGCCGCAAGACATCGAGCACTTCCTCCAGTCTGTCGCATCAATCCAACAATTCATTAGCACCTGGGAGCTTCTTCGACGGACCAAGACTTCCGTCTAGTCTTCAAAAGGCCTCCTCAGCGGTCTCGTCACCCATTAAGACTCGAGGAGGAGCACCACCACCACCATTGGCACTGTCACCTCAAAAGATTTCGACACCAAGACAAGCCAGTAGCTCTTCCACGAGAGCTCGGTCGCAAACTGTTGGCTCGCAGGAAGGCAGCCCAATACCTGCCGATCTCTTCTCGCACCGCAAGCGACGCAGCCAAGTTTTCGATATGTCGCCATCGTCATCGGACAACGAAGGCGATAAGGCCAACGCCCTTCTTCGTGTTCAACGTCGTCGCCAAAGTTCTCGCAGGATGTCTCAAATCACCTTGGCCGATGGGCCAGCTTTCCGTCCTCTAGATGTTCTCATCTGCGAAGATCATCCCGTGTCACGAATGGTGATGGAGAAACTATTGGAAAAATTACGGTGCCGGACTATCACTGTGGCGAACGGAGCGGAGGCCATGCGATATGCTATGAGTGAGATCAAATTCGACATTATCATGATGGAATTTAAGCTGCCTCAAATCAATGGAGCAGACGTTGCTCGAATGATTCGTGACACCAAGAATGCCAATTCTGCCACTCCAATAGTTGCAGTCACTGGCTATCTCAAAGAGCTACAAGCACCTCATCATTTTGATGCTTTGATTGAAAAGCCTCCAACGACTTCAAAGTTAACAGATGCCATGTGCAGATTGTGTCAGTGGAAGGCCCCATCACCTGGTCAAATTACATCGAACCCACTGGGCTACCCTCAACCTTCCGGCTTGCGACAGGAGAGTCTTCGACTGGAAGATAGCCCAACTTCAAATGGGTCTCTGAGCTACTCTCATATGCCTGGTAGCTACAGAGGTTCCAGTCGAGCGGATTCCAGAGGCTCTAGCCTCTTTGGAGACTCGGGGTCTCTTGCGAACGAGGACGTTCATGTTGTCATCAGTCGAAAAGCCACAGGCGATTGGGATGATGCATCTGGTCTCGGAATAAGCAACGAGGAGGCAATGCTCGACTCTCGCAATCTTCCAAAGGCACTACCTCCGCACCTTCTTCACGAGGAGTCTGCACCAGGGCGGATGGAGGCTACTCATAAGCTTCCAATCCGTCAACGATCTACAGAAAAGATGAGGATGAAGCGGGAGTCTCTGGAGAAGCACCGCCGGGAGTGTGCTGAGTCGGCTGAATCGGGAGATGACGAGGATGAAGTCCTGGGGGACGTGTCGGTGCGTGAGAAGACCAGCCCTAAAGGTGCCCAGAAGACACACCGAGGATCCAAGCTCAGCACGGAAATGATGAGAACAAACAGTCGTGGCAGCGTCGTCTCGAGTTCGGACGCGACAGCCTATGCTGACACCATCGAACCACCTCCTACAGTTGCTGAAGAAGCTCCTTTGGCGTCTGAAATCAGCGGCGCAAGCTTAACTCCACCGGAAGTTTTCACCACTCCGGGTGAGAATGTCATCAATATTGACTTGAACGAAACTCCCAAGCCATCTGCTTCCCAAAGAAACCCGATGGACGTTGATCAAACGCCACGACCGTCTACAGCGTCACATCGGTCAGATTACATGATGTGTAAGAGCAATAGTGGAGACGGCCAACCATTATAACTAAAAACAAAAAATAACAACTTTCTCTTTTGTTTGCAGGTTCGCCCGGCACTTAAACAACTTTTTTTTTGCAACACCAACAGCGCGGCGTTACGGTACATTTGGTCCTAGCAGGACATGTGGCGGAATATGGGGTCACAAACGGCGTTTTATTTGCACCCGGGCCGGGTGTTTTTGGACTTTTGCTGCATTTACACACTGGACGTGTCGCCGCTCAGCTCTCAAATTTTCATTTTGCGTTGATTCGTTGCTATCAAATCTGGAAGAGAAAAGGACACCACAAAATGTGTTTCTATACTGCTTCCTGGATGGAAATAATGCTTCTTCTCTGGCGCATATGCCACCCTCTCGACTCGGATTGCTACATACGTTTCATTTGTACATTTGCTTGGGGTTTTGGAGGGGATGGATGGGGCTGGCAGGCAGGGGACATTGAACCTTTTCTTTTTCGGATGTTTCTAATTTGTCTGTGTTTACTTGAGCGGGAACTTTCTTTTACAGATTGTCTGATCTCAACACCCACTAACCTACCGGCTGGGGTTTTTCTTCCATTTATCTAAGTACGGCTGCGTGGAGTTTGTTGGTCGAAACCAAGGCAGGGGACGGTGGAGAGAAACATAGTAGCTGGCGCCTGAAGAAAGGCAATCGCTGGAATGCTGTGGGCGAAGAGAATGTTGTAGACTTAGGATGGTTTGCAATGTACTTTCAATAAACTGCTTCGTTGTATACTGAGTGTTGTATGACTGTGCTCAAGACGCTGAGAGCTGATGCAATTTGCTGGGGCAAATAGTGCTTGGATAGCGGGACCCAGGTGAAGGTGGTTGAGCCGACCCATTCAAGCATTAAGATGCAAAGGGACATTCTCTCGCATATTTGAACTTGGTTCCTCTTGCTTTGGAGTTGTCGTATATCAACACATTTGAGATGTCAATATTCTTTGTTTACTTTCAAGTTGCTGGTTCAATGCCACCCGCCCGTGAAAGTACCAGCCACCGTCACCCTTTGAAACAAACTCATTGCCGTATTGCCTATTTACTTTTCATAGATTGAGCAGCGACATAAATGCATGTGACATACATTGTACCCATATTGGTTTCCCAGTATGGCGCTTTTTTTCTGGTGACTCGAGGCTAGTAGTACTCTCAAGCAAGCCGCGAACGAGTGATCGAAGTTGACACAGGACCGGAGAGAACAAGGCGTGTCAAGTCAACGCGAAATCCACGAGATCGATAATCAATATAAGTCAACTGCTCTCCGAGTCAACACGACGGCCCATTCACAATGCCTCTGTTGGATACACGTTCTGCAGGCGACAAGGTGGGGAATTCGATCAAGGACCTAGCTCCGTTTGTCGTGGCACCCAACACGATTCACGACGAACATGGCCTATGTAAGTTATTCGTATCAGCGTATACATCATATATTAATCTGCCCGCTATCTGCAGTGTTCAGTATGTTGTCCTCGCTCCACTGGCCAGTTGCTGCCTCTACCCTTTGACGAGCTTCCCTTTGTTTCGGAGCTTGCCAAGGGAAGTAAGATATATGATCGTGAGTGCTATCACTTGGAGCCTCTCATGGAACAACCGCGAGTCTTTGCATTCGTTCTAATTCAGAAACTTTTCAGTGGAAATTCGCATGTAACAACAGATCAACCACATTCACCCCATTCTTCTGCAACTGTACGTGGTCGTCTACCCCGCCGAGGACACCCACTTATGCAATAGTCCTAAGTGCGATAGCATCGCCAGCATTCTGCTCGCAACTTCTGAGTCTCGGACCGAAGCACTCCGACTATACAAAACTGTTACACTCCCGACTTGCTCCCAAGAAAGCTCATTGACGACATGGCCCCGAACAATGTACCTACATCCGTCCATTGACGTTGCTTGGATCTGTAAATTCCAGGACAAAGATACCTCAGACATGTTTCAAGTCTTAATGTCGGTCCGGCCCGAGTCCATCCCACTTCCACAAGTTGTGGACACCATCATGACTTACATCACTGAGCTATTGAATCCAGGAACAAAGCGAGTTTGTTTCGATTCGGAAATATGGATGTACATGCTATATTACGAAGCTGGCTACTCGGTGTTGGTGAAATCACTTTCGGGCTTTGACATCATCATAGATTGGGATCAGATCATCTGCGAGGGATCCTGGAAAGTGCGCTGGGCAAGCCGCGCAGGTCATGCCGACGAGGGAGTCAAGCTGGGTTCTTCCGCAGACCTGCGCCGTATACTGACGCATCATACCATGCTAGAATATGATACACATTTGCGCGCCCTGGTGGACGAGAAAGGATGGGTGGTCAGAGCCGAGGTCGTTTGGTCGGGATGACGAATTCCTGTTGAGATTCCGCGTCTGAAGGGACATGAGTTGTACGTGTGATGGAGCAATGAGAAGTACGTTGAAACTGCACTCATATAGGAAATACTGTTAATATTCCTGTTTTCGAGCCGAGTGGAGCAAAGCAAATATGAAGTTGTCCGATATGCCCTCTCGGTTTTAACCGAGGGACTGACCCGTGACCTGCTTGTCATTTTAAGATTACTTTTATATTGTTGGCCACATAAAACATAAATCTAGACAGTGTCTCGAGTGAGATTCCCTGCAGCCTAGGTTTGGACTTACTGAAACTGGCGCAGCTTCTGGTGACCACCTAATACTTCGAGCCATCAGCAAAGCCGTAACAACAAGATTTTGGCATCTGAAGCTGAAATCTCATTTAAGTTGCGACAATCGCCCGAGCGTATTCCTCTAAATTGGAGCCCTTACATGGCTGGTGCATTGTTGACTTGTGAAGTCTGCGTAGCCTGTAATGTTTCTGTAAGCGAGGACTGGCGTAATTCTCAGGAGTTCGATGCTGCAGTACAGTAACCTTACACCTCGGCAAAATCAGGGCACCGATTGGAACATCAGCCCTTCAGCACTCAGCTTCACTGCATCCATCCAACTTCCCTCCGAGCTCAGCTTCATCACCATTCTAGAGAATTGTCATTCTCGTTCAGCTCTCTGAACTATTCATCCACACATGTGCTTTTGTCTCTCCACGTGTCCACCACGGCTCCGTACACTTCTCGGCCCCCAACAATCAACATCTGAGGCAACAGCTGATGCGCAGGGCTGCACACCATGATCGTATTGCTCCGAGACCTTCATGCCAATGAGACGTTCGTGCAGTCATGCTGTACATCCTCTGTGTGCTACACCAAGCCGACAGCCTTGCGCCACCACCGCCTTATTCGATAGATTGAGGCGCCTGTCGCCCAGGACATACGCAGATCTCCTGCCTGGCAGGACAGTATTTGTTATGGCGTCTGGTGTGTTCAGCTCGGCCATGAATGACTGGGTGGCGTCTGCAAGGCTCTGCGAATTGAGGCTCTTGCACTTTCATGGTCTTATAAGTATGATTGATGGACGACCCTTTCGAAAAATGATCGCAAATCAAGACATGTACACACTTAGTGCGAAAATACACTACACGCTTATAGATCGTTTCCGAGTTGAAGATAATGCAAAGCCCCCCGACGTCGTACGCCAATGCGGCGAGCAGCTCTGATGTTGTGGATGGAAGCCACAGGCCTTTAGGTTACTCAGTTGATCGAAGGAATAGTGCCATCCCGACTCAGAACCAGAACCAAAGAAGTCGTCTAGCTTCCGTTATTACCATTGGAAAATCAAATCCGGAGAGGTCACGACTCTCCGGCAGATTATCGAGAGGCTCCGTTGACACCACATCCACCTCAATCAAACCATCTTTGGCATCTCGTAGAGCCTCTCTTGCCCAAAACGTGCTTGATTCCATCTCATCTCGACTTTCTGAGCCACCTTCCGGTGCCTCAACTACATTGGAAACCCTACCTACCTCTCAGTATGATGGCCCGATTCTTCAAGGACAGGGAAAGAGAAGAAAAAAGCAAAGGCCAAAAAATCGACGCCATAGGTCTTCACTTACGAGAGACCATGGTGATTTTCTTGCATCTCGAGCTGGGGCCCTTGAACATCAGCCAGTCAGCTCAGAACCCCTGAGCCCTTTACAGGAGGCAATCTCAGAGGGTGACTTGGAAGCTGTGAGAAATATCATCACCGATAAATCACACCTTTCAAGCCTAGAGAATATTGGAAAGCCACTGCATGCTGCTGCACTCGCTGGAAATGAAGCTATTTTTAATTTACTTTTGGAATCTGGTGACTTCAAGATTAATGACCGAGATTCTCGCGAACGGACTGCATTATATGCGGCGAGGTCAAGAGGTCATGAATCAATCGCACAAGTGCTGCTTGCAAATGGCGCCAAAGAGCTTTCGTTCGAGGAATCTCGTATCGCAGGCATTGAGCTCAAACAATGGCTTGCCTACGAATCCCAAATGAACACGTCTTTACCTGCTGCCGTTTTGCAGGAGCAAACCATCAAAGATGCCGAGGTGACTGCAGAGCCAGATTCTGACGACGACGTGATCCCGGCGACATTTTCTCAGCCCAACCGCGTAGAGTCAGAGTATGAACACATCTACAAGCTCGAAGTTGGGAGTTGCGAAAACATCAAGGACATGGAGGGAGTGGTCAATAAAAAACGCGAGGATGCTCAGAAAAGGGGGAAATGGGTGAAAGGACCCATTCCTACGCCAACCGCAGTTCCACAAGATGTTCTTCCGATGAAGCATAAGCATGTCAGATTTCCAGGCTTTGGATTCGAGATACCTATCGTGGAGTTCGACTTTACTAGCAACAGAGGTCACCGAGTAATATCCCCTGCGCCAACAGTCGACAACCTCCTTTACGGCGTGCAAGGAGTAGACTCAATTACACGCGGGGATGGTCCCTCCTCGGATGTGGTTTGTAGATGGTACCATATTCCTGTCAATCATCTTGGAGTAAGCTTATTCTCTCACCTTTCCCTTGCCAGTAGCCCTCGGTGTCAAGGGTGGAAAGGGCTATTGAAACGTTAAACCACCGTCAGTGCTGACTTTTCTAAAGTGGGCAGAGGATCTCATCAGGAAAATATACGAGAAGAGGAGTTTGAAAGAACAGCAAAAACGAGATGTCATCCTTCGGCGTGAACCATTCTCCGTCGATTCTGATCCGTTGAAGCCAATTCTGCTAGATCCCCGTCCGCAAGCAAGATCACTCAGACCACTTTGCCGCAATATGACCTTGGATCGTGATGGTAATACCCGAATGGCATCCGCACTTAATCTGAGAATTCCTTTTGTGCACTGGGAAACCGAAGCGAACAGATCTGAAATGCAACGTAAGTACCGCTGGAGCCAATGTAAAGAAAATATACTAATTCTCTGATAGGCATTATGGAGACAGTGCGTGAGGCCTACAAGCACGATCTTGATAACCCAAATCTACAAAGGAAAATACCAGACCTGAAAATTATTCAGAGCTTTAGAGAGTGGACCAAAAATGAAAAGCTGCTCTGTGCGTACCTGTATAGCACCTTACCAGTTCATCCACGCCGAACTCTTGATCAGTTTTATTATCATATGTTGGAAGACACTGAACACCGAGACCAGGATCAAGTCATCACCCGCTACTATCACAATGTATGGAGGCGGAATCACGAATTGCCTGCTGACGAAGAAGAGTACAATTTTGGGAAACCGACTTCGGCCACCCCAGAATCTGCATTTAATCTCGATAATCCGGATCCACAGGGGCCTGAGGCGTCAAAGGGGATTTCTCCCGCCGGTCGAAGGCTAACTTCAGTGTCTGGTAACCAGATGAACGAGGAGTCGCCCAGCATTCTTCAGAGCAGACGGAACACAAAGATTGATGAGCCTGAAGAAGAGTTCACGGAGCCTAAGGAACAAGCACATGTGCTAATGGTGGATCAGCTTTGGCTCTGGATCCTCGATGAGAGTAAGTGCCTGAACTGATGATTGTTTCAGTGCTAACTTACCAAAGACACAATTATCACAAGTTTTCCGCAAAACTGGACACATGATGTCGAAGATTCCCAGGTTGAAGGCGATCCTCAGGATGTCCTGAAGAGCATACAGAAATATCTCACACTTGTGAACAGGCCGCCACTGGAGTCGGTTTACGACCTGGCTCAATTGATTGTGTACAAGTGCCTCGCAACATTTTGCAACAAGCCAACACCTTATAGACAAATGCAAATACTGGATGTGTATGAAAGTGCCATTGCATCTGTTGTATGCCGTCTTTCCCCTTCTTCTAGATGGAGTCTTAAAAAGCAATGGCTAATATATGCTAGACCGATGAAGAAACCAAGCTTTTCAACAAATTCGCAAATGAATCGAAAGATGCTTGGTCTAAGGAGAGAACTACTGCTAAGCACAGCAGAAGTCCAGAGGAGCTTTACAACATAGACAAGGAAATTGAGCAGCTAAAGGAGATCAAAGATATTCAAGATGAACTTCACATTCTGTCTGTGCTACTTGAATCCCAACTCCCTGTTCTGCAGGAAGCTTCGGATGCATTGAGTAGGCCGGCAGAGACTTCTGAGCCCAAACCAAAATCTTCTGTCATTTCTCAAACTGGTGGATCTCTTCAGAACAATGTAGGACAAACCGTACCCTATAGTTCAGAGTTCGACTTCGAAAGGTTGCACAAGATGGTACAGGAACAAGAAGTGAGGGTCAAGGGACTCAAAGATCAAGCAGAACAGGCAAACAAGGCTGTAAGTCCCGGAACACTGGATGGGACCCATCAAAAGTACTGATGATGTCAGCTGAATCACCTGCTTGACCTGAAACAAAAGCAAGCAAATGTTTCTGAAGCACGGTCAGCAAGATGGACTGCAGAGTCAACCAAGCAACAAGGAAACATCATGGTGCTCTTCACACTCGTTACTATCATCTTTGTGTGTTTCACCAGCTCCCCTTAGTGTATCTTGCTAACAAGTCCAGGCTCCTCTCTCCCTCCTAGCCACTATCTTCAGCCTCCGAGTGGTAGAATTCCCCACTACGCTACACATGCGCTTCGTTGTAAAGTACATGTTCGTTGTCTCCATCGCAGTTATTGTCCCGCTTATGGGACTCGTCATCTATACAACCCGTCATGCTATTGGCAAAGTCTTAGAGCGCCTTAACCAGCGGCTTGGGACTCGGAGATGGTTCCATCAGGTCACGTGGCAGCGTCGAAAGCAAATATTGCGGAAGAGGTGGAAGGGTGACGATGGCGAAAATGCTTCTAGCGATACAGAAATACCCCAGTCAGGGTCAGAAGCCACTAGGGGACCGAGACAGAGGTTGAACTTTTGGAAATCGAGGAAGAAGGCGGTGGAAGATGCTGAGAAAGGTACTTAAGAGCCCCAAAGAAAACATGCTCTGCAATTCCCTGAACTGCTTTATGTCTCTCAGATATATATAAGAAGTGATACACAACAAGTATGCGAACAAACTGTGTTTTGGTACATTCAAAGCATCTTTGGAGTATGTCATGTATGCACGTGTGCACCTCAGGACAATATACCTCAAAGGAAAAAGCAGGTTCCGACCCACCGTGGGAGGGGCACTTTCCTAGAATAATAATCATATCACTGTTACAAAAATTTGGTAACTGTCAATTGACAGTCAATTGATAGTATAGTGATAAGAAATTCTTAGCAGTTGAGAGGTCGTCATTTCAGGAAAGTGCACCTCCCACGGTGGGTCGGAACCTGCTTTCTCCTGTAAGGTAGATAGATTGAATGAAGATAAACATTTGGAGAATAATCAAGCGAAATCTCGCTTAAAAGGAGTTTGTCAAAGCAAATAAACAGAGCAGACGCACCTTCTGATGACGCAAAATGTGTGAACGACCAAATGCATCTTGACCATTTTTTAATTACAGAAGTATTTGAAGCGCGTTAATTTAGAGTCGTTCTGTTTGGATGATGAAAGATAGCATTTTACCAGTTCGTGGATGGAAGTCCCCTCGGAACAACCCAGACCTGGGCCAGCAAAGACGTCTCACTTTCCGGCATCGTTCCATGGAGTACACTCCAAAACCTTGAATAGTTCCGCCCCTGAATAAGTGCACAGAAAGTGTATGCGCCAGATATATAGCATAGAACAGTTTCTCAAGGATGTTTCGTGGGCAGTCTTGATTCTATTTGGGGTAAGATACTTGGAAAGACACTGTTGAGGGTTTTATGATGCTATTGAAGGACAGGATGTTTCGTGACGTGCCTGGTGATTGGTTGTTATTTAATATTACGTACATATGATGAAATACGGGTTCTTTGATAGGTCTCTGTGGCAGGACAGAATGCGTGATCGGATTATAAGACATCTCCATATTGTAGCAAAATCTCTGAGATACGCCAAGATGATTAAGAACAAGTAACAAAACGATTGCCAGATCACTATCACACTCCAAGTAGAGCATATCGTTCTTCAGAACGCGCCGCCCTCGTACGGCTTGTCGTAGCGTGGTTCCCTCTCCCGACCTGAAAGCTCAAGGCAGTCAAGGTACGCGACCAATTTGTTTGCCGTGAATTCACCCAACTCAAATCCCTCCTGCCCATAATCGACAGTGTATCCGTTTACACTGAGATAGCACCCAGCCTTGTGCTCGTCCCAGCCCTCAGCTTTGGGCCGCCATATGGTTCTCTTACCCATCTTTTTGCCATCCTTGCCATTGACGCCTATGTCATCCAGGTCCACTTCTGCCGTTTCCCCCTGCCCGACGAAGAGAAAGCACCTCCCCCCACAATTCTTGCAGAATGGCCAGTGGATAGATCCGGCGTTGCAGGTGTAATCCCCAAGCTCGGTAAGGGGATCAAGCGGGGAGAGGAGCACGAAGTCCTGAGGAGCCCAATCCAAGCGGATGTGAAAGTGGCCAGCTTTGTGACACGGCGTGCAGTTGCAGCGGTAGAACTCTTGGTTTGAGCGGGTGGAACCCAGGGGAGGCGATGTGTCGCTGGATGGGGGTTGGTGGGGAAGTGTGAGGAATATGATGTACTGGATGGAGCCGCAGTGGCAGGAGCCGTGGAATGGGCGGCGTGTTGGTGACGAGTCGCTCATTTTGCTTGCAGCAACGGTTTTGTGACGGATTGTGTAATGTTGGGGATTATGAACGTGAAGACTCGAGGATATCGTAATGGATTGCTCTATTGATAGCAGCGTGAGGAGAATGTTTTCCGAAGGGCGTTACGCAAAGGAGGATGGATGATTGACAGAGGGGAGGGCGGGGTTGCCGACAGGGGAAGCTGAAATGGTGATCAGTGACGAGAAGGATTGACGATACTGTCCAACCACAACTATTTTGTTACTAATAACTAGGTAGCCTCCCGAACGAGAAGCAGAGAAAGAAAGTTACGCATTTAACAGCTATGAAGCTTTGCCAAGCAAATTATATATTTACAAACATTTCGTCTAGGGACTTAGCGCGACTCTCAATGCCAATTTCCGGGCAATGAGCACAAATATTAGATGTGGCGTGTCCTCTTGAAATGCACCAAGATAGATTTCCATCACTGTTTGTCTTTCAAAAAGTCTTGTGGTAATCTGGGATGCTTCTTTGTTGAACATGGGGACGCGTGCGGCGTTCTTGAAGTTGAAGGGACTGCGATCCTTTGTTGAGATGCACGTCTTGCAGGGAACCCTTTCATCACATCTCCATGTAAAGCATTGTGTCATATTTCAAAGTCCGCTGGTTTGATTACTGTTCTTGAAGTGATCTTTGTTTGTATTGTTACCTGGGGTAAACCACGTTCCATCTCCAGGCATCCTTGTTGGAGTTTGCCTTTCTCCATGCTTGTGACTTTGTCTTGAAACTATATGCAACATCGGATATTGCGCAGTGATGGCGGCCAGAAATCAAGGGTTCAAAACTCTTGCGACGACTAAGTATAAGGGAGTTCAAGTCGATATTCTCGAAGGTCACATCCATGACTTCAATGGCACATTTATCTCATTTCCAATACCCACAAACAACACAATATTCAACAGTCGCTTCTCTGCCAAGGATCTAAGAGCAAGACTTCATAAGTTCACTGTTGCGCAGAGGGTTTTTGAGGCTGCCGGTGACACCAATGGCGCAGGCGAGCTGAGCAAAGAAATCAAGAAAGGCGCAACTGGCGCACTAGCGGATCGTGAAGGGACTTTGAAAGTGACGAGCGCTTGTGGCCTGGAGCCTGGTGTTAAGAAGATCATTCATGTGTACCATCCGAGTTTTCTTGACGATGAGAATCCGGATTATATGCCATCGCGTTTGGAGTTGTTGTGGGATACTTATTCTGCGATCTTTGATACTGCGTACGCTAAAGAGAATTATGTACCTGGGATGAAGATTGCTATCTCTCCTTTATGTACAGAATTGCCGGACTGGAGATCTCCACAGGTACGTCTATTCTTCTGGGAGTGGTTCGTGCTAACGAGAGTATCAGCCACACGGAACAAAAAATGCTTTGAAAGCCATCGCTGGCTTCATCCGCCATCTTATCGGCAAAATTCAGATACAAAACTTGGAGATAGAGCCACCAGAGCAGATCGCAATAGTTATTCCACCTCCAGAGGGAGAGGATGTGCGCCAGGATAAGCGAGATGAAGAATTTCGACAACAGCTTGTGCAAAACTTTGTTACAGAGCTACCGTAAGTAACAGAATGGTGTATTACATGATTGAAGTTGCTAACAAGATTATAGAACACAGCTTGTGTATTCCTTAGCACCTCCTAATGAGAATGCGGCATACCTACTACCTGCCTTCCTTGTCGCCCCTTCAACGTCAAATGCCATACGGGGTGAGAAGACCGAGCCAATATCGGCTGCAAAATCTGCTGCTGCGACTCCTACTGGTGGGCCTTCAACTAGAAGCCCATTGCATATCAAGGCTAAAACTAGGAGATGTATTAGCCCAATTGTGAGCATTCCTCCTCAGTCTCCTCTCAAGCCGCTTAGCGAGTGCAACGCCTCCGAAGAAAACAATGACGACAACGCAGACGATCAGCCGGGTGACAACAACGATGATGAAGATGAAGAAGACAGTGATTGTAATTCGGATCCAGATGAGGAAGAACAAGACCAATTCGTGGACGCGACCCCGTTACCTGAATCCATTATCAGAAGGATATACAAAAGAGTGTTGATCCAGCTTTGCGCTGGCGACATTGCCCATTTCCCCTCTTTGAACCCGAAAGGTCCACCATATGCACGAATCGTTGTTACTGACGCAGCCATTGAGATGGATGGTAATGGAGGGCTAGACGATGAAGCGATCCATGCTGCTGCTGGTCCAATGCTAAAAGTCGCCTTAACAGATCTAAAGGATAGGGAGGACTATGTCAACAAACGAGCAAGTGTATGGACAACCGGGTCCTATAACTTAGGACTGATTGGAGTTCGCCGGATCATCCATGCCATTGGACCTCTTTATCATCCCAGGGCATCAGAAGAGTCAAATGCCAGGAAACGTATTGACCTTGGCGAGACTTATTATAATGCTCTTTGCAAAGCAGTCAGTGCTGAGAATAACAGAGCGAACATGATGATTGCTTTCTCGCTACTCTCGACGAATAAGAACAATTTTCCGTATGATGAAGCGATGCGTATTGCTGTAGAGACAATATTGAGATTCCTGAATGACGGTGAGATTGGTGGGATCAATCACATTGTGTTTGTTGTGCCACGCCGGGACGATGATAGAGTGAAGACGTTCATAGATGCCATAAAGTATTTTGACCTTGGAATTTTATTCGCTTATGCTGACTTTCGCACAGAAAGGTGCTTGGTGGGGAAGAAGATAGTGGGAGGGCTGGAGAGCGAAGCGATGCACCAGACTCAGATCCAGACTCAGATGATGAGGACAGCAACGGTGGTGAAGGTCCATCAAACGCAAATACTAGAACTACCACCAGCAAGAAAACTAGCGCTCAAAACACGAAGCGAAACACAATCAAGAGAGAAGCCAATGATAAAAGAAAGCCCAAGAGAATCACAAAGAAAGAGGCCAAAGACACAGCAGCTGATGCCGCAAGAACGAGTGCTGCCAAAGCTCAACGTATTCGAACACTTTTAAGAGAGGCTTTCAGACACAGAGTAGTAGAGACACCTGCCCAGATTGCAGAAAGACAGAAAATTGAAGCTGAAGAGTCAAAGAGGATGAAAGAGCAGGTCAAGAAAAATCTAGATGACCTGTACAAAAGAATAGCCGAGGAGAAGAAGAGGGAGAGAGAGGAGAAGCATGCAATGAGAGCTGCATATGAAAGGGTACAAGAGAAGGCTGAAGGGAAACCAATGGCGATTATGGCGACAAGGCAGTCTAGCAATGGCTCCGAGTATTCTGAGGATGCATCATTGACTCGGCAAATTCGACAGACACGCCAGGGGTCAGCAGGCAGGCTAGCAAAGCAAGCCCAAGGTGAAGAGGGCGTAGCTCCTAAGAAGACCCCTGCCAAACCATATCAAGCTAAGAGAGCATCAACTCCATACCCAGAACCGCCAAAGCAAAGACCTGCTGCAAAGCGATTATCGACTCAGATATTCCATAACAAGAAGGCGGCGGAAGGTGCTGATGGTGATTCAGATGCTTCTGTGAAGGATCTCTTTCTTGTGCCAGAACAGAGTATTGACGCTGGAATCCGGACTCGTTCGAGTACTAGGCTGAAGAGAAGTAGAGCGGATATAGAAGAGAATCTGGCTGGAAGTACCCAGGGGAAGAGGTTGAAGAAGAAGTGATTTTGAGGGTCAAGTTATGAGTTGGTGTTTAATATCTGGCACGATTTTGGAGGATGCAATCGATTTGATATTGATTTTTGATTGGCTCCATGTCTTTACATTATGAATGTAAGTGTGAGACTTATCGTCACTTGAGAGTGTCTGGCTGTTGGGGAAGTGGTGGTGACTGACAATGCGGGGTACTTCCCTCGCAGGAAATTGGGAATAAAGTTGGTACATTTCTGTGGTCCTGGGCTGTTTGTTAACAGGAGTTTTTAGCAAGATTTTCATTCTTTTTTTCGATGTTTAAACAAGAACAGTCAATGCAGAGCAAATAGAGAAAGCGGAAGGATTCAGCTATATGCTTCTGTACATGATATCGATTTTAAGAAGCCCCATCAAGTGTACCGACTTCTGAACACTTTCACTGACCATTGTCAAGGTCCTTATCCATGCTCTCTCGAGCAGAGTTTTGTCTCTTCTATACCCTCAAATCAGGTTTTCAATTGGAGTTCTTACAATAGACCAAGCCGAGGAATTGTTCTATCACTCATTTCTCCTTGCAAGTCTTAGCCGAGTACTCGGTATGTATTTGTATAGCAGGATCTTTATTTACAGAGAACTCAGCTAAGTTAGGCTTTAAATTCAACTCCGTTAGCCCTTATGCTACCTCTCCAAGTAAGGTCTTCACAATTGTGTATACCAAGATGACTTTGGAGGTGAGAAGTACTAATAGAGGAGTTCTCCACTTAGGGATAACCACTGTCGCGGAGGTCGTAGACTCAACAGAGATCTTCGGAAGCCAATGCAAATTGTATGCAACGCCAGGGACCAATATATATATTGAGCTTAGTGCTTAGGCGGTAGCAGAATAACTACTTGTTTTGAAGAATAAGAGGAGTGGGTAACGTCTTATGAAAAATTTCCCCCTTATCAAAGCGATAAGAAATGAGGGGTGCAATTTTGGAGGGGTGATTCGAGTGCCGCCTTTAGCTTCAAAGGGCTCTTTCCATCGTTGCCCTCCAGCTGCCATGTCCTGGTGTCCCTAATGTGCCCTGCAGTTGTGGCCTAGTGAAATGCATTGAGATAGATTGAGCATCTCGGGACTTACTAAGATATACATTGTAACAAGTGGCTTTCGGCCATAAATTAACCTTGATCGTCAACGAAACACTTGAATCTCGTGATGTATTCTAGGACAGGAAAAGGTTCATCTCGTAATGAATAGATTCTACTTCTTCAGAGAGAAGTCTGCCAAGACATGTATGACTTCTGATACTGATGTATTTTCTCAGATATCAGTGATTGTTCCATTTTGGTCTCCCAACCAGTCGCTTGGACTTGTGCTGCTGCTTTAACGGGCAAGTTTTCTTACTAGCGGTATGTGCGAAGATTTTATTTAACCTACCTACCTTATGTGCCACAAGTTAGATTTATGTTTGATGCGGTATGTAATAGGAACAAAACTCACTATGATGCATGAGTCTCTTGGCTACATACCTATCTTTTGTTCCCCTCAACTCTGTATTCTTTCCATCACTCAAGGGAGCTTCCTCCTCAGAGGAAACCGAACGCGGACGATACCCCTGTCTAGCGTGTTCGTGGTGATAAGAGGCGGGCCTGATTGTTAGTGGCAAGGCTGAGAAACTCGAACCTCGTGAACTTCTCAACTTCGCTTTGCAGATAACCTCCAGACGCTCTCACTTCTCAACCTACAAAGATTTTTTGTGTCATTTTTGAATATTTTCTTTGGTCTCTCATTGTCCCAGTCTCTCCTTGTCATCCCATAGGCCTATGTATTGACAGGCGCATTTCTTCTCCTAGGTGCAAGATCAAAAGTCTCGATAATGCCTCTATTCACAGTTCAGGATTGGATTGGAGCTGGGAATATTAGTGCAGGACAAGCTACGAGAGAAGAGGAGATAGTCACAGACTATGTTGGCTGTAAGAGTAGAAATAACAATTGAAAGACAAGCCGCCTGACTGAAAATAGCAATTGAGTTGGCTGTCTACTCCGTGGAGAACCTCCTCAAGGACCTTGCGCCATTCATCCATGCTGATGAGGACCTGGTCGCTGTCGCGAGAGGTTTGTTGGAACTCTCGCTCTCTGGCTACCTTCGACTGACAAATTACAGGATTGTCTCTCCTCTCACGAGTCTTGGCCAGATTGACGGTTGAGCCATCCAGACACACTGGTCAGTTATTGCTTTTCATCAACGCAAGCCAAAACTAACAATGCTTGGTAGTCAAGTATCTTACCGATTATCTCTGTGACAGACTAAACAACACCAATTCTCTACCGTCATTCCGTGCTGGCATACACGAAGTCGCAACTTGCCTGACAGTGATTGTCACATGGGCTCACTTTCCTCCTGGAGAAGCCGTATCTGTGGCAACAGCAATCTTCAGCTTGTCTAGAGAGACGCGGTTTAAGGATCTAAAGCCTACCGCACGTCAGACACTTTACCTTTTGATAAACACTCTCTTGAGATCACGGGGTGACGCCCTACTCAAATCCTCGACTATTCCTCAACTTGTCCGTGGTCTTGTCACACTTGCAGAATTCGAGAAGACCCCAGGTTGTTTGGAAGTTCTTTTCAATTTGTACAAGTACCTCAGCAACGACAGGGACATTGAAGTCGAGGAATCCCAGGCCATATGGGAATCCTTCTCCAGGTATTGGCCAGTGACGGTTGGTGGATCAAGGGAACAAATTTCCAAGCCCAGTTCTGAGGAGTTACGAGATATGTTGCTTGAATGCATTTTGTCTAGTGATTCGTACGCCAAGAATGCAATCCCAATGTGCTTGGAGAAGTTGGATACCACCCAGGACTTATCTGCAACGACAAAGGCGAGGCAACCCTGTAGCCCGAGAATGACTTCTACTAATATGAATTTAGAACGAAGTTTTGGCAACCCTTGCTGCTTGTGTCGAGTCATACTCAGTTCCAGCGCTTGCTCCATGGTCTATCAAGATCTGGGATTCGCTCAAATATGAGGTCTGGAACGGAGATGTCGATGACTTTATCAGATCATCGTTGAAGGTTCTACATGCCCTGAGCTCAGCTCTCAGCAGGAAATCTTACGATTGGTCAAGTCTTGACAGCCCTTTGGCTCTTTACGTTGTACCAACGGCGAAGGAGTGTAAGGAGCGCCTTCAAGACTCCAAAAAGCACTTCATGCGTCGTACCGGAGAGATTCTGAGCGTCATTGCATCTGGCTCTCCGTACGCCTTCCAGTTGGTTATTAAGGAAGTCCTCCCAAGCATGAACACAATCTGGCAAGATCTTCGCCTGGGGTCAGAGAAGACTCTATTACTTGGTGTTTTCAACAATATTTTGGTCGCACGACTGGCGCTACCTGATAATTCCAACCCCACCGCCACGTGTTCGGCCGACCAAGCAGCTCTGCTGATGGTCGAGCGACAAAACATGGAGAAATTGGCGACGGACTTTGCAAAATTTTCTCAGAACTTGGTTGACGTCTATTTCGGCGCATTTACGGACTCTGAAAATGCTACAGGATCAGGTCCAGACCCAACACTGATTGTTGCTGCGATCAAGGGCTTAACGTTGTTGTTTCAAATTCCTGAGTACCTGTCCACCGTTGAGCAGGGTATGATCGTTCAAAAGTTGAATGAGCTTGCAACGAGCCAAGCACAAGATGCCGAAGTTTCTCGGACTGTTGTAGAATCGTTGCAACATATTTGCTCGATTGAACCTCTGGTATTTCGAGAGAACACTCTATTGGATTTTCTTCAGAAGCTCCCTGAGAAAATCTCTACCGATCTTGAAACATGTACAGGGGAACTCGATGTCATCGTTCGATACCTGGAATCTCTGACCGAAATTTGCTGTACTGTTGTTTGCAAAAAAGAGATCATGATTAAGCCACCAGTCACTGCTGCGAGCAGCTTTTGGCACCGAAACTTCGATGCTATGGTTGAGAAGCTTTTGATCAAATTCACGGCTATTATGGGCGACAGTGGCCAACTGCAATATGCCTCTGCAATTGTTGCATCTATCGCTAATGCCATTGAGAAGTTCGATAAGACTGTGAACGAAGCCCATATCACTACTAAACTTCCTATCCCGAATGATCCCTCCGTGGGTCCGTACGACTACATCGTGCTGTCGCTGTTTCGAGAGGTTGTCGTTCAGAAGGTGGACTCGAACGGCCAGCTATATATCGGTCTCAAGCCTTCCAGCACGAGCGCTGAGTTGGATAAATTGGTTCTTATGATTGGGAAGGCCACTACGCTAGCTTTACGCTCAAAGTTGGTTACACCTGTAAACAACTTGGTCCTGACATGGAATCGGAATTTCCCAAAGGAGCCAAGTGCAATGTGGTCTCTCTTTACCCACACTGGAGATAGCTTGCTTGCGAGTTCCCAGAAGAACTTACAAGCAGGGCCGCGGGATAAGTGTTTAATGAATATATTGTCTACCTCACTTCTGGCAGTAATCCCAACAAAGGTATGTTTATCATGACTACATGTTATCTATACTGACCACGAACAAAGAGTAAGGACGAATTACGGATTCCAGCCGGTAATGTGGCTGCTGCGATGATCCGAAATTCTCTGAACATGCCAAAAGACACCTCTCGCACATGTTTACAATCTACCCATGAAATGCTTCAGCTGCTGGTTAACAAGTTCGGCGCCACGAAGGAGAACTTGGAAGACGGAACTAAGCTCTTTGATCTCATGAAGAGTCTGGTGGAAGATTCTGTATCTGCGAAAGCCGGCCAGGGGTCCAAGGTCTATCAAACACTTGCATATTTCACCGCAGCATCACTATCGGCATTCGACCCAACTTTGGAGCTTCTCGTTGGCCTGATGATTGACGGTATCCAGAACCCAACCTATGGCCGCAAGGTTGCTCAGTCCTTCCGCATTCTTCTTGCACCTTCCCCGGTCCTCACCAAAGAGAACTTCTGCTCTGTGAGACTGTTGAGAAATTCGAAATGTTTCGCACTTACCGCCAACCCTTTGATTGCACTCTGGCAAGCAGCTACAGACAAGTCTCTCAAGGAGAATTATCTGATCGCCATCTCAGGAATCCTGGTCTACATGACCCCGACTCAACTTGACGTAGGCATCGAAGCTTCTCGCCTCCTGCCTATCGTCCTTGAGGGCGTCACAGTACAAGATGAGCAATTCGCAAAGACCGCATATATGAAGACTCTCTTTCAGCTCGCCCCCCGTCATCCAAAGGTCATCGAAGAACATCTGGATTCCGTGCTCGGCCGAGTCTTAGATCGTCTGCGGAATACATATCACAATCCCTCAGACTCAAGTGTTGAATGCCGTGTCATCGCAGTCGATGTCCTGATCCTGATGGTGAAAACTGTGAAGCCTGCGTTACTCACTCAGCGCGCAAACAAGATCAAGTCGGAGCTGGATGCTGCAAAGGATGATGCTGCTTGGGAGGTTCGCAAGAAGGCTGGTGAATGTGCGATGGAGTTATTCAACTTGAATGATCGGATGAATTAAATGCCCAGTGCTTGTTGTTGGCCGTACTTACATCTTTCCTCTTTTTTCGCATATGTGGCTTCTTTTTGAGATTGCTTCTCTTGATTGTTTCTTTCTTCTATCGACGCTGTGTTGCATCTGATGGATATGTGGGGTGAGCTGGAATATGACGATGGCGCATAGCGAAGGAGTTAAGATGGACAGATAAAAGGCAACGCTGCTTGGACGTAGACGAAACAAAATCAAATGTGACTGAATTTCCGTTTCTACCTGTACTCTGGTCGATTTGTGAGCCGTGGATAAATATCCTGAAGTGACATAATCTTTGGGCGAGGTTTCCTTCCCATGCCCAGGACCCTCTCATTATTTCACTCTGTTATTGGTACAAGAAGAAACCCTCCAGCAAGGCGGTTGACATTAATTCTTCCCTCACAGAAAGCCAAATCGTCATATGCGAGATAACGTTGCCGACAGTCAAAACAATCCGTAGTGGATATTCATCAGAGAATCAAACAAGGAGAGTTGTACAATGTCTAAATACGATTGAGGACATAGAGCTTTTAATGCCTGAGCTTTGGGAGGGACAATGACTGTGCCGGATGTCCTGTAGCTGATCTGGATATTCTAATAATTTCAATGTCTAAAACGCACTTCGTTGTTCACGTACATCAATCTTATCGATAAAAATTGCAGTAGTGCATACCTGTAAATGGCAGAGAAGTATATGCCTAAGTTGGGTATTTGATCAAAACCTTCACATGGAAATGGCAGTCCAAACGCCTCCAGAAATGCTTTCCTTTTTCGACCCTTGATATTCCCTTCCAAATGCCGAAAGAGATAGAGGTCTTCTGCAGTTCATACACATCCACTCCATCCCTTACCCTACGCAGCCTTCTTGCTCCTTTTCTTAGAGGACTTCGGCGTCGTCGTCTCCTCTGCACCTACACTGACACTCGAACTCTCCGCCAACAAGCTCGCCCACTTATCATCCATACTCTTGTCTGCATCCTCCACACTCGCGACCTTCTTCTCCTTCTTTACCACCTTCCCTGGATCCATCTTGCCCACCACGTCTACCGCACTCGCAATCATTTGCTGAAATGGCAGAACCACAAATCCACCCTTCTTGTCAAACCATTGCGTGAATGGCTTCTTGATCCCCACTACCTTCCCCTCTTTGTCCCCCTTCTTCCAAACCGTAACTGTCAAATTGTAGATTGGGACATGCTTTTCTGTCTTAGATGCTATTTGGATCTTGTCACCAGCCGAACTCGTGCCAATGTAAATGGTGCCTTTTTCAACGCCCCAGATCCAGAATGTGAGGACGCCATTTAGGACTGTGTAGATGGCGACTGCGATGGCGGTGTAGTACTTTGTAGAGTCGAAGCCGAGTTTGTAGTCCCAGTAGAAGGTTGCGGCGCAGATGAAGAAGGCGGAATACCCCAGTGCGAGGCGTGTGTCGGTTAGGGTGTGTGATTGTTTGAAGGAGAGGGAGTTCAAGTAAGCGGGGATGGCATCGTCGGAGGTGTTCTTGAGGTCTGCGAGGGAACGTTAGCTGGAGCTTGGAGATAGAGGGGCTTTTTGGCATTCGAGGAGATGAGTACAGAAGCATTTGTAGAACTGATGGGGGCTTCACATACCTGCAAGTGAGTGCACTGATATTTTCTCCTGTGAAACTGCCATATTTGCGGTTGTCGTGGCAAGAAATATGGAAGTTGGAAGAGGAGGAGATGTCTCTGGAGTGAGTTTGGGCGAGGCGCGGTTGGAAGACGTGTCTTGAACTGAGTGAGATGGAGCTCTCGGAACGAGCCGAGTTAGCGGGCAAGCCATTTGAACATCAGCCAAACTTCACTCTCCCCTCCTCAACCAAGTCAACATTGCGACAACACTGATACCGCCGCAATCATGTCGCAAGTTCCTGTTCAGACGATCCATAGGGATCCACAGCTCTTGTAAGGACGACTACGTCTCTGCGTCGGCAATGGAATACTGATGGTGGTTTGTGTAGCTACTGGATTTTGATCCCTATTACAGTGGTCATGGTACGTTTCGCTATCCTCCAGCTCAAAGAGCACTCAATTAACACCTTATAGATCTTGACTGGAGTTCTCCGCCATTATGCAACGGTACTCATGCAAACTGCACCCAAGAAACAAGAACTCCCTGCCATCCGCGAGCAGCGCTCTCTCCTCCGTGGTATGAACCTCCGTGGAAACGCCAACGTCATCTCGCCTGCTTCCTTCCAAGCCCGCAAAGACTACCTGGTCACTGCATATGAGAATGGTGTGTTTTTGAAGGAGCCTGATAGGAAGGGCCAGGCGGCGCCGAATCCGATGACAGACCCAGCAGCTATGGAAGGTATGATGGGGATGATGAAGGGAAACATGGCAATGATTGTGCCACAGACACTGATTATGGGGTGGATTAATGCATTTTTCAGTGGTTTTGTTATCAGTATGTCTTCCCGCTGGAGTGTTGGATTGGGTGGTGCTGACCAAATTGGACAGTCAAGCTTCCATTCCCTTTGACGATCAAGTTTAAGAGTATGTTGCAAGCCGGTGTTATGACCAGAGATATGGATCCGCAGTGGATGTCTTCTATCTCGTGGTATGTGCTGTGTATCTTTGGATTACAGTCAGTGTTCAACTACTTGCTTGGCAGCGATAATGGTAAGTACCTCGGCCCAGATTAAGGAGTGGCAAGCTGATTGAATATAGCTGCAAGCCAGATGGCCCAGCAGATGGGACAAATGGGACCAGGTGCTGGAGCACAGATGTTTGGTCCTGGTGTTGATCCGGACAAGCAATTTCAGGGTGAGGCGGAGAACCTGGCTGTTTTGGCTCATGAGTATACGCTTGCTGGTGTTGAAGATAGACTTTTGAAGTCGGTGAAGGTGTGATTGCAAGTTTAGACTGCTTTCTTACTCTGGTCGGTAGTGGAGCGAAGCACAGGGTCCTCTCGAAAGTTTGCTAAGCAAACTGACGATACCGGTCTGTATATAATAAAATTTAGCTGGCATAGCGCAAATATCAATCAAGATTTCGGAGAAGCCGGCATCATTTTGGATAGTCTGTTGACTGGGAGTCAAGTTGTCATTGAGATGGTTTGCTGAAAGTCATTTGGGAAGGGCAGGAACGACCGTCGCAGTTGCTGGATCTGGATATAGCGACACCCACGACTGATCCTTTTTTATTTCGAGCTTGAGGGCACCCTCTACTCTCCGGGATGATCTGCTCCAAATTTGCAACATCATCCTTCTGATCTCAAGTCATGTCTCTCGCTCAAATCAGACGCAACATATTCAACCGCGATGACGTTCCCTCTGAGGAGGAGCTCAACGGCGGCTGGGAAGCTCCAGCTTCAGCTCCAGAAATCGGTCCTTCCATCAGTCCATGCCCGAAGAGCCTGATGCCCTCGCACGACAATACTGTGCCTCAGCCTTCAACGCCGACGATAGCAGGTTCTAAGGGAGCTTCTAATGAGCTGAGCGTACCTAAGCACTATAAAAAGCATCGACTCTATAGGTATGTGGCGTTCTGGACTTTCGCCATGATTTCTCAGTTCTAATCTGTAAAAGTTCGCTTGGAGATCTCATTAGTCTACGAGTCGGACCAGATTCCGTGCCTCTCAGTATTCATCGAGATGTCCTCCTCGCCGCTAGCCCTGGTCTCGCAGAAATGTGCAACCTCTTTGTTTCCCCCAATGATCGCACCATCTTCTTGCTCAACCAATGTCCCGAAACCATACGAGCACTTTGCTACTGGATGTACCACGACGAGATCTGTATCTCCCACACCATTGAACAACGCCCCATTAACTGTCTGGACCCTCTTCAGACAGCACCAGGTCTCTTCGTCAAGTTGTACCTCGCCGGTGACAAATTTTTCATGCCGGGGCTCAGGAATGATGCAATTGATGCTCTGCTGTCTCGTTCGCGAACGTTGGATTTGGTGAAGCTTTCACGATACATCTATGGCCAAACCCAACCAGGATCGAATCTCAGGAAGTTGGTGGTGAAGGCTGTGAGCTCGAAATTCGATGCGGACGACTTGTATGAGCATCGATGCTGGATTCGTGAGGATTTCCTGCTTGACCTTGCAAAAGCCGCGTTTCTGGATCGTGATCAGGGATTCAACAGGTTTAGGGACAGGAAGCCTCCGCAAGAGGGCTTTTGTGCGAATTTTCATAAACATGAGAAGGGAATGCCAAGATGTGAAATGATGAAGGGATATGTTGTGGCTGAAGATGAACGCCCTGAGTGATGGTGGTGCTTCACAGGTGTAGGAATATTGGAACGGAAAAATCTGCTGCTACTGCTTGCTTACTTATCTTTGGGACTCGTGAACTGGGCAAAGGCTCACAACTGAGAGCATGTGGAGGTGCTATACTTCATTAACGAAGATCATGTATGTATTATATATCATGGTTGCGTGGCTTCCCTTCATTGACAGTATAATCATTAGGGGAAACATTGCAATCCTCTAGGTCGCAAAATCCAAGATTCTGCTGTTCTTCTCTGCTGGGGCATTTGCAAAGGTGCCTGACCCTTCAAGGGGCGCCTTCTCGTCTCAGCATGCCCCTTGACGACCCTTCCTGTTTGGGAACAGTAAACGAGGCAACCGTCCAGTTCTTCAACCTCTCGTCCTCAACTTCCGTCTCCACTCACTCCTTTCAATATCAAAGCTCGTTCTACTCACCAACGCTGACGCTACCAGCGAAGCCATCGCTTCACTTATCTTTGAAGCTCGTGCTAGAGTACGAAACTACTGCTTACTTGCCCGAGAAGGATCATTACTGCATCCATTGTCCAGCACTACGTTGGAGAATTTCCTCTTCGCTACTCGGACGCCCTTCTCAAACCTACGCAAGTCAATCTGTGACCACCGGCCAGAATTCCAAGTTCTCGCGATGAAGCTCACCAACACATCTTCTATCGGTAAGGATCTTTATTTCTAGATTACAGGCCAGAAACTGACAAAGGGCTAGCAGGAAACAAATTTGGAGCAGCAGCGTCCAAAATAATTACCCTCCAGCCACCAGTAATGCAAGCGACTACCACGATGGAGGATAAGCCTGCCGAGAAATGAAAGTTAATCACAGCAGGGAATGAACAATCAATCAAGAAAACCAAGCTTTTTGAGTATGTGCATTGGGCCTTGGCTGTTTTCTGTACTGACACGAGCATTGTGGGAGTTTGGACCAACCTGTCACCCTTATCGTTGGAGATGAACCAAAGAGCAGTTGTTTCACGGTCCATAAAAACATCCTCTGCGAAAACAGTGCTTTCTTCAATGCTGCCACGCTACCTCCCCTGAATCTGCAATGGGATCTTATTGGGGCCTATTTGCAAAGCTGTATGTCATTGGGGACAAATACGGCATACCAAGGCTTCAGAACTATTGCATTGAAGCTATGCTCCAGTCGCGTAAAGCTGGCATGAACATTATCTGCCCAGCAATCAATCCATAAGTCTATGAGAGAACGTCAAGTAAAAACGATCCCTTACGCCAACTGCTAGTCATGGTTTTAAACCTGAGTTTGCCTCATGGTCTCTTGCTTACTTTATCGAATCAACGAAACGATGTTTGAAGTTCTTTCTTGACCTGACCGCCGCATTCCTCGATGGTAAGCCCCACACGGCATACCTGGATTTCCACGTCAAGCTAGAACGACCAGATATCGACTTCTGCAAGAAATTTCACAAGCACGATGAAGGGGTACTTCCTTGTAACCATTTCCACAGGTACTACATTGTGGGTGAAGTGGAAACGGCGAAAGATGCAGACGTGCCAGAAACCAGGAAGGAAGGAAAGACGTTGGAATTTTTGGAGCCAGTAATAATCGACTGAAGAGGATGAAGATGTTGTGGTACATTGCGGCTCATACCTACTGCTCCTTACCAGTCTTATTGGATTTGCTAACATTATCTAAGAACATAATCCTTGGTGATATTTGGGGAGATTGGAAGATATCTGGACAATTGGCTCATGAAATCAAGATGTCGTTGACTACACAGAAAAGTTTATTATGACAAATCATGGCTGGAGAAGACAACTACCTAAAGTACAGTCGATAGCTGCTCTGCATCATTTGCTTATGGTCCACGAACAAGCTCGCTCCAATTGAATATTCCCAAATCCTGAAATGGTGTTCTCTGATAATACTGATAAAAAAACGATCAGCAAAAATCCATCGATGTGCCCACCTCCTAATTTCACGACTTTGTAAGTCCTAGCAATCCGCTTTTACTTTTCATGAATTCGCTTCGGTAAACACTCGTCGGACATTGCTGCCGCTGACTTTGAGACGTGCTGCGCTATCGAGCGGCTGAATCCATCCAAGAAGGAGCGATGCGGCGGATACTACCTTCTCACAATATCCCACTGAACGCTTATTAGAGGGAAAAGGTGTCTAGAGCTGAGTCAAGTCCGAACGCAGGTTTGGAGATATCTTTGAAAACATCTTATATCGGTGTCGTCACTCTCTACTCCAAGTCAAATCACTCGAGAGAAGCCTTCAACACCATGGTCTCCGTCGATGACATGCGAGTCTTCAAGAGGGCACGCCTTCTCCAGTAAGTCTCCAGATATAAACTCTGAAGAGCCATTTTTATATGCCTCTGGATTTTGAATTTTAGACAGTGATCTCGATGAAGTTATTCGTCTCGAAGTAGGTGGATGCGAGAATCTGACGAAGTTCACTGTTCATAAGACCGTGCTTTGTCCTTCAAGTCCTTTCTTCGAATCCGCCTACAAACCAGAATGGATGACAGCAGAGGAGCGCGTCATCAGACTCCCAAACGATGACCCCATCGCTGTGCGAGCAATGGTCTATTGGATGTATCACAACATCATCTGCATATCCGGTGAGATGGACGAGCTTGAAATTGGGAATACGGAGGAGGACGCCATGAAGAGCGCATATGGCTTGCTCGCAAAGCTGTATATCCTTGGGGAAAAGTTTCAAATGCCCAGACTGAGAAACGATGCAATCGATGCGATTCTCTACCGCTACGAGAGCACAGGCAGTTTCGACATTGGTATTAACTCTTACGTCTATGCTAACACCTCCGGCGATTCTCCTCTTCGCAAACTTCTCGTCCACATTGCACTCGATAACTACAACAAGCCCCAAATTGGCTCCTTCAAGGAGATGCTGTGCGGAGAGCTTATCTTCGACTTGGCTAAGGTCCCTTTCAGCGAAGAGATGGAAGTTGAGAAAGCTCGTACCGGCTATGGGTACCCCATAGATGATTTCTGCAACAAATTCCACGTACATCCTATCAACCGCGTTAAGAAATGCGAGAACCTGACGAATTACGTACTCGACTCATGAAGTGGAAGGCTGGTTATGATCAATCCCACTCAAGAGATCTGCGACATCTGAAGATCGCAGTCACCCCGTAAGTTGAGCCCTCATCTAATTCGCAACGTAGGACACCAATTTGCATCAAGTGGCTAATTTGTTTTCACTAGATACGTTATTACCGGTCTGCAATGCGAATTATTGATGATTAGAGTCGTGCTCTCAGTAATATTGCTTGGCAGTCCTGCCACCAACACTTTCAGACACAACTCAAAGTGGTATTCAAGTTGAGGTTGGGGGCGAAGCTTGTCATCCTAGGGGTCTTGACTTGCTCTTCTGAGATTGAATGCTTTTCATTTCCCTTGCTGCCTGTACAATAGCAACATAATCCGTCGTACGCAGACTAACTCCGGAGAACTCCAAACACCTAGTCCATGCAGAATGTCTCTCATCCAATTTCAGCCTCTCTTTGACTTCTTCACAGGCTCAGGCTGGGGCTCGTCCTCACTAATCTGATCCTCCATTTCCTCATCCTCAGAATCGGCAACATCTCGGCTTCTCTTTAAACCCTTCATCTTTCTTGTCTGCAACTCCTTCAAGTCCTGCTTGCCCAGATGTATCCTACCCATCTTATCACCCACAATATCCGTAGATATATTCTTCTTCGGTCTCTCTTGGCTAGTTCTAGCTTTCTTCATCGCCTCCTTGAGCACGCTCTCATCAGCCTCCTGTACTCTGCCTACTCTGAAATCCATTCTAGGTCCCATCTCCTCAACCTCAACTCTGGGCAGCTTCTGTCCACTTCTCTTCGTCCTGACCAAGTAGACCCTCAAATGAACCTTTGGCTTAACCTCTTCCCCGTCCACCGTATCCCTCGCACTAATGCTCACCATGTACTGCAAGCCCTCAACATCCACCTTATCCGCGGGCTCACCCTTGAAGAAATCCGTAAAGAAAGACTTGACCAAGGTATATTCATTCGTAACGGGACTTTCAAATGGCGTTCCAGAGAACAACAACATAGGCTTCAATCCCACCGCACACTTTTTATTCTTGAATTGCGCCAGTGTTCGGAACGACTCAGCCTCTAAATACAACTCCAGCATATCCAAGACCTTGTATCCAAATGTCCTCACGAATGTAATCGCATGTGGACGCTTCTTGCTGCTCGATCCGAAGACTAATAATGAGGCATCGTTCTTCTCGGAGAAGAATTCTAGCGAGGCGGCATCGTCGAATGGGTGGATTGCATTTTTCTTGGTAAACTTCTTGGCGAGTGGGATGCGTAGTTGGTATAGATCTGTGAGGGCATCTTGGGTTACTTGCGAGCAGGTTGTGCCGCGGAGGAAGAGGGCGGTTTTGGGGTTCTCGATTGCTTTTGGGGCTTTTTTGTCGAGGGCTCGTTTGGAGCGAGCATTGCGGGGTTTGCTGGTTTGTGTTAGCTAATAGTGTTGCAATTTCGGGGGTGAAAACTATACATTTGCCGCAACATCTTGAGTTGAGTTGCTGGATCTGTTGGTGGGTTGGAAATAGGTCGGAGATGCTGCCGTCGCAAGCTGGACGAAGCTCTTGATCTCAAAATCTTCGCTATCAGAAAATTAATGTGGGGCGATAATAAAGTGAGCCAGGCACTTACTGATGGGTGCCTGACAGAATCATGATTCAGTTTAGCGTCCTTCTTCCTCTTTTCACATGGGAAATGCACCATGACATCCCTGTTACGGGGATCTGTGGGGTACTGGCGGCGGCATCTCCAAGTTCTTGAATGCCTGGTGCCGATTGAGTCCCATTCCGCCGGCAAACCAAAACACTTGCACATGAAAGAATAACAACACCACAACCGTCGCAATTACACCGAGAGAAGAAGTATACGAAGTAGAAGATTCAGATGCGCTGTCTGCGGTAGCGACAACCTTTTACCCTGCCGCATCGAGCGTGCGACGAGGACGAAGGAGAAGTTGGAGAGTTGCCGAGGCTTGCTGTTGCTTGAGCCGGGAAGGACAGAAATATGGCGACTGTTGATGCGGTCAAGGTATATCTTCATCTGCACCTTCTGCGAGCTATTGAGAAGGGTTTAGGGCAATGGCTGACGCAGAATTTATAGAAAGCGCTCGAGAGCGTAATCCTCAATCCTAAATATGCGGATATTCTCGCCGTCGTGAAAGCCGCTCGAAATGGTGCTGTATATGGTGCCAAAGTCAGGTTTCCACATGCGCTAGTGTACGTCTTCCTCTTGTTCTTTCTCGAAGGCAGTTTGGTGCCTGCGATGTTTCCCCCGATCAAATGGCTAACGTCTGTCTACTCGCAGTATGATATTCCTGTTCCGATCAGGAACCGTCCGCGAAAAACTGTCCCTCATATTCCGCGCAACGAAAACACACGCTCAGAATCTAGCGAAATATGCTACCATCTATAAGTTAACGATGCTGGCGCTCAAACATATGGGAAGTGAACCAGGGAAGGAAGGGTTCTATGATACCTTTTTCGCGGGTTTGCTTGGTGGTTATTTAGTATTTGGAAGGAGGAGTAAGAGGGGTCACATCAGTAGTGTCAGTAAACAGATTGTGATTTTTGGTAAGCCATCTTCCTTTCCAAACTGCTACTTGGTTGCTCGTTCCTGGCTTGTCTCCGCGCGAATATTACTAACTGAATTACGTCCCTTAGTATTCGCAAGAGTCTGTCTCTCCCTCGCCGAACTCTCCATCAAGCCTGCTGTGGGCATTATCAAAGACCCTGCCCTCTCCAAACGAATAGGACACGATGCGTGGCCTGTCTTTGCAGCTCTGAGCTGGGGAAGCGTCATGTGGCTGTTCAGATGGTATCCGGATACTGTGCAGAGCGGTCTGAGGAGTAGTATGGATTACATATATGTCCAAAGCGATCACTGGGATAGCTTGAGGAATTTTTTGGTGTACAATAAGTAGAGAGTGGTGGCATTGGATGAATGCTTATGCAGAGTGGAGAGGCCATTGAATGGCTGCTGGTAGGGATTCATAGGTCCATGGTTGGATGGCCCGATGATGCAATAGATCTCCTTGAAGCGAGGGGGACACGCGGTCTAGATTCCATGAAGAAAAGGCAGATTAAGACATTTGCATGCATACATATCTGGTACTGGAGAAGGAGGCATTGCATTGTTTGGTTAGACTAGACGGGAATTTTCATGACATGTTATTTATATATGAACAACTTGCTAACGCCTATGTTCACGTTCCTAGAATGGACGTGACTTAAACCAAGGAGAATTTAGCTTAGCCAATAAGGCAATCGTGTAAGGTAGTAACATAACTACTTTGGTCACGGTAGGGTGCACGACCCGGTAATCTACCCCTCAAGGTACATATTCAATCCTTTGGACCCACAAGGTCCCTACTATCAACACGACTCCCCATGCCAATTCAATTTCTAACTAATAAGTACTGCTATTCTCTCCAGTGACTCAAATACGGAATCGCGGAACCAAAACTTCATTCCCATGTTGCGAAATCCCCAGTCTTGGCAAGTGCCTCAAACTTGCTCAAAGGCCAGACAACTATCTCACATCTCGCTCAGATATTCTCAAATCTTCTCTCGAATACTCGTACACACTCACATATATCTTATCGTCAATGAAGCGATCTTAAAGCTTCAACTTGGGCAAGCCGTCCAAGGTACTCGGGTTTTACAAGAGTCAATTCCGCAATCTCGCGTCGCCTAGCATTACCGACGGTTCGAGTCAACAAACATGTCTGTCGTCAACCATGGCCAGAAAGTCGCCCTACAAATGGACGCATTAACATCATTGGAACTCAAAAGCTTCAATACCCAAACATCAATCGACATCTCAGCACTCTTACCATCCGAAACAAACACGCCACCACCAGTAGTCGCACCTTTTCCCCTCCTCTCCCTACCTCTCGAACTCCTCCACCAAATCGTCTCCAACTACTACGCCCTCCTCCCACACCTCACAATAACTCAGTGTAACCATCATCTCCCGCACCACGCCCTCACACCCCTAGCCCTCTCAAACCCTCTCTTACTAGCTATCCTCCCACCCTCCTTCTACTACGCACACGCTACTTTCGTCTTCTCGTCTCCATCTCTTTTACAGCCCTTCGGCAACCATTTCAACCGCTCAAATCAAGTCCGGAAAATCAAGATATGGTACGGAACTCTTGGACCTTTGGGACCTGGCACTGCTGCACGAGAACAGAGTGAGAATGATCATGGAAAAGGAAATGGGAGGCAAGACTGGGTATTTTCCTTTCTTGAAGCGTTCAAAGGCTTAGAGGAAGTGACGTTCGTGATAGAGTTGGGGATAAGTAAAAGCTTTTGTGAAAGAAGTCAGCATATGAGGGTTATGGAGGGGTGGTGGGGGTGTGTGAGGGATGCGGTTAGGGAGGGGATTGGTGCCCGGCCGGTTGGGCGAGGGAGGAAGAGGATAGGGAATGAGAATGGACTGACTGTGAAGGTTGAGTGTGAAGGGGTTAAGGGGTGCTGGGCAGAATTGATTCGTGGGTAGGATGACTGAGTTGGAGGGAAGAGGTAGTTTTGGACATCTGGTGCTGTGTGGTGATCGCTGAGGAACTATCGAGGTACGTGACAATATCGATAGGAGGAGTCTTTGAGACTCTAGATACAAGTAACCATGGGAAGGTTTCGGACAGCTTACCCGTTTTTCTCGACGAATGTTGGAGGGACTTTGAGGAAGAAGCTGGATTAACACGCCCACCAGTATCAAATCGTCAAAATGGAGTATCGGAATGGGGAGGAAGATAACTGGAAAGAAAAGAAGAACGGCTTTGACAAAGTGGGAACGAGAATAGTGAGATTCTACAAAATAGTCCAACCAACCGAGGGTCGTAAGACAAAGTTCAAGATGCGGACATGATAGAATTTCCTCTTGATACAGCTTCACATTTCGCGAAGTTGCTCACAATTTCGTCGACGTTTCTATTTTGGAGTGAGTTGAGATGTGGTGATAGGTAAGGATGAGATGTGACGCTTTCAATTGAGGGAGGTGAAGGTAGGTTGCTAGATTTTCCTTGAAATGATAGCATGATTGAATTGCTCCGGCGTCGCCAGTGGTCGGTTTAGCGACGTTTTTTTATTATCAGGCTAGAGCGTAGAGCTAGAGCAGACGCTGAAGCACGGGATGTGGACAAGCCACGAATGGATATTTCCAAAAACTGGTCAACATGGCTTTCAATTGTGTTTTTTCCCCTTGAATGTTATGAGATTATGTCGGCATATGAAGTACTATTAAGATTGTCAGCCATTCCTTTTCAGCCGACGAGCAGATCTTCCACTACCCAAGGTAGGTACTTCGTAGGTATACCCCCCAGTCAGGCCCCACTGAAATGAAGACCGGCCGAGTGCCGGGTCCGTAAACAGTCCGGAGCTTCCGCGTTGTGAAACCTTTCGACATCGTCAAAGTGGAATCGGAAGGACTGCCAATCCGTGTGAGAGGTATGTTCTGAAAAGGTCTCGTGGAATTTCTCACCTAGAGTCGAGAATTCTGCAGTTGATTCTTCGCCAACAAGACACTTGCGAATTTCCAAAGATAAAGGTGGATCTTCGCCATTTTGTTAGGCTTCGAAGTTCTATTGCAATTCAACATCCGGAGCGTATATAAGGTCACCGAACAAACAGCGGCCGTTATCAGCTATGTCGGAACAGTATACTACAGCCGGTATTCGGGCCGGTGCCGTTCCATCGACCGGAGCTCACGTCGAGAATGTCTCCCCTCCACGCAATCATCATGGTGTGCGGGCTTGCGTAGCCTGTAGACAGATGAAGGTTAGTGTCCCTTCGAAGCCCATGTAATGATTTCTAATCCAAGAAGAGTCCGGAACTTGAAGAATCCTGCAGTGTGGTGTATTTTGGCGTTGCTTAGAGACACTGGCTGACCTTCGCTTCACTAGATGAAATGTGAGGGGTCGGAAAATCCTCCATGTATCAGATGTCAAAAAGTCGGTCGAGAATGTGTTCCCCAGACTACATATCGTCAAAAATCCATTGTAGAGACGCGAATCTCCGATGTACGTGTGAATCAAGTAAGAAACTCCCTCAATCAAGCATGTCCTCTTCTGGTGGGGAGCTTGCCCCCCTCCATGTGTCGAGAGCTCCATGATAGACATTCACAAGGGAAACAACGCTTACTCTCTCACCAGCATGCGTCAAGGATCTCTTCGATTGCATCAATACCTCGACCGCCAACGAATAGCTTCAGATTTCTTCCAGATCCAAAGCCGAGATCTGTAGATCGTGAGCCGGCCAACGACTCCGTGATACCATGCATATACTCGACGCCACCAGTGGATGCTGTTCTTGAGTCTCGCTTCAAGCCATCTTCGTCGACATCATCACCGAGACCCATGGAGTCAACCTTCCTTCGGAAACGCAAACGGCAGTCGACCTACAGCCCAAGCAATGAAGCACTCACTCCAACCACGTCTAGCCTGGAAGTTGACCGTACTCTTCTTTCCAGGGCAGAGATGAAAGATATGATACAGCTGTAAGATACACGCCGAATACTAGACAGAAGTCAAGCTGATAGGCTCCAGATTCACCCAACGCCATCTTCCGTTCATGTGTGTCTTCCGACCCCAGGACTTCGAGGATACCGACTACTTGATCGACAATGACCTGCAAGTCGTCTATTGCATATGTTTCGTTACCGCGAGATATCTCCCTGGCGGCAAGGAGATGAGGGAGAGGCTACTACCTGAGGTAATCAAAGTCCCGAGAGGTGTACTTTCGATGCAATCAGGAGCTCCTCATGCGGACGAACTCTCGGCTCTGAAAAGCTTGTTCATCCTCTTTCTCTACGCTGATTTAACACCCCCGTCACGCTCCTCCAACCCGTCAGCAACTTCGGAAGTCCAATTCTGGTACCTCAAGTCTGTGATCGAAGTTTATGGAACTCGCTTAGGACTCCATCGCTCATTGCAAGATTTGCGGGCGGAGATGAGGTCGAATCCTGATGGAATCACGGAGACCAGAGCATATCAGAAATACATATACTGGTTATTTATGTTTGCTACCTCACATTAGTATGGGATTCGTGAATGATTTTGTTTACTTTGCTGACATATGCGAAGCACTTCGATTGTTAGTGGTACGCCTCCAACAATTCATATCGACTCTTCTATACGTGCAGCACCATTAGTACTCCAAGAAATCGGTGGGCAGATGTTGTCATCGTGTAATTGCAATCTATTCGGTCAGATCGACCTGAACCTAATCTGGGAGAAGGTTAGTTCATAGCCACTTTTCTGCTTCGGAGCCGCAATTTGACGCTCTTTTGTAGGCGAGTGCACAGCATCCACGTTTAGGAGAGTGGTGGTCTCTCCCTGATGTATCCGAGGCAGTGGACGAGAACTCCGTTGAAGCAGTTCTGAGGGACACTGACCGGGAGATCGATGCATGGTATGAGAAATGGTCGGGTTACCTCCAGGCCTCTGAGCAAGGAACATTTCTTGATTTTACTGCACGTTTCACTCGATTCTGCATTACAAGTTATGCCATAAAGTTCCTTAGGAATTCCCCTCAGAGTCTCACGGCTCTGCAAAAGGACCAGATCCGGAGGTGTGTAGCCTGTGCGAATCATGTTCTCGAATGTAGGTGTCCGATTTTCCCGTAAAATTCCTGTCTGAATGCTCCGTTCTACTGGCCCTCCCGAGCTTTTTGGGGATGTGACTTCTTTTTTACTTGTCTTAAGAAGAACCAATTGCTAATCTCGTTGACTAGGGCCTCTTGGTCGCAGTCCGATCCAGAAAGATAGGCTGCGCTACGTTGACGACACAGCATGTGTCATGGATTCTTTCTGCTGTCTCTTCGTCATCTCCGTCTGTCAGACCTACGCTTCCATTATCCCGAATATTTTCGACGTACTGGACAACGTCATCGAGACAGCGCAACTCATGGTTGATCTCCAAGTTGGCTTCGACGACAGCCACATGGTACATGTTCAAGGGTCCTTTATATTAAAGCGGGCAGAGTCGATGCGGACCGCGTTAGAGACGTCCATGACCTTGGACAAACAGCAGGACCAAGCCATTATCTCTCCCCCGGCATCAACTGGCTCGACTATACCCGAACCTCCTATCATGTTTGAGGGTTTGGACATGATTCTTAATGAAGAGGGCTTCTATGCTATGGAACCTCTCTGGGATTTTTCGTTGCTGTTCCCAAGTGTATGATCGTGTGGCATCTGGCGGATGGGGTTTCACCCCAAAAATTTATACTGAAGAGGAGTGCCAGTTGGTGACCAGCACGATTCACATAATATGTACAACATGGAGGGAATTTAAAATGAGAAGTTATACAGATCCCTTATCCAGGTGCTGCTTGTCCCGGAGCCATTATTCTGCATGCGGGCCATCATCATAGCAGCTTCTTGCGCATAGTTACATTTCATCCTCAGGCTCTCCCCATACTTGTACATCAAACAAGGAAACGGCAAGCAAACTGCAATCAAAAAAGCTGGTATTGAAGAAGCCCAATGTATACCAAGATTGGCATACATCCAAGAGGTGAACATAGGAAATGCGGCCCCGAAGATCGAACTCAACATTACGGTAGCTGCGAGGACTGATGCGGCGCAGATGGTATATGCCTTGGACGCTGGCATTCTGCCTTTGGGGCATTGAATTCTGTAGCTGCATATCGCTGGGACAATCTTGATCGCCACCGCGCTTCGATTATGTTTGTCGACCCCGGTGCTAGAGCGGAGGTGGGACCATGTCTACTTTACGTGCTGCGGAACAACTAAATCCATTCGTCAAGCAGTGCGTGGAACACTTCCATGTGCTGCTGAGCAAAATTCTGGAGACACACCAGTCACGCTCAGATATTGCACTCAACAGCACTTATTCCAGGATGTCTTTGGAGACATTGGGTTCGACCAGGATAGCTACTGTTTTGGAAACGACGATATATCCTAGCTGGGATCCTTGGAAATATCTTCACGACCCTTGTGGAGGCACACTCGAAACATGGACTTCTTTTCCACCATTTATTCTAAGACTATCGCAGACTAGTCAAGTCAAGTGAGACGAATACATGAATTTCTGAACATTTCAACCTCTAGCAGACAATCCTGGAAACAGAAGGCCCACGATCAAGAGATTGGCCTACAAATACACAGATATCGGATCCGATCAATCAATTGAACCTCGAAGCGTCACAAAGTTCACCCCTGTTCACTCCATCGAAATCCCAGGAACGAAACTCCAAACTCCAAAGTGCTAAATCGCTAGAAGCGCTCACTTCAAAGACATCATCAAGAAGCACGAATCAATCAACGATATCTCATATCCGTCCCAACGTCCTCTCGCCTCCAAAATTGCTTGTCCGATATGGGCCATAGTTGATGGCACCAAATGCTTCCCTTCCATTCGTCTTGATACCCTTCTTCTCATTTTGCTGACGGTCGTACTCGGCGGTTGGTGGTTCGCCGATCGAGGAGAGGAACTTCTTCGTCTTCTTCCATGCTTTGGAATTCTTCGACTCTCTTGATGATGATGAAGGAGATTCGGTCTCTAGGAGAGGCTTGTATGACTTGAAGGAGGAGGTTGTCGATTGGATTGAGGCTGCGTAGTTGTGCTTGTCGGAGGAGGAGGAGGAATAGTTTCCTTGTGAGCTTTGGCTGTTGGATTGATCGGACATCTTAACTGTGTTGGTAGAGGATATGTTGTGAAGTAGTTTTATGTGGTGGTCTTTGATGAGAATGTGTAAAACTGAGCAGAAGACTTGAGGATTGGTAGATGATGATGGTGAATGCTTTGTGGAGAGAATAATTCAGAAGGAACATGGAAGATTTATATAGTTCTCTTCCTTTCCTGTAGACTAGGAAATCAAAACAAATAACGCAAGCCTCTAACGAATTTTGCTGCCTTGAAATTTTTAGCCAGTAGGCAATGCAAGCCACGCATCCCTAAAGAAGATCGGACCATGGATTAACCAAACCAACATATCATACTCCACCATATGGGGAGTTCTAATTCCCCATGCTCGACCGCACCAGCATCACATAGAACTCTCCGATTCGTCGCACCCTTGCACAGTCACAGGATGACGATTTCGGCACCCCACTTTTCAGGCTTCTAAATTACGAACTTCGCCAAACCACAATAATACAGTACCAAAGCAAAAGGACCAGCTAAGAACTCCGAAAACCTTGGCTGCCTGACATGAAAATGTGCCTTAGTTATTACTCACATGGCCGATTGACTCAACTCGGGTCGTGCGCCGTTTCGACTATTCTGAAGCCACTCCCGAGTAGTTAGTTATTAATGGTGAGTCGGGTCACGCTACCGTACATGACACTGCCTGGGTTTTTTCTGCTGCTCAAGAAGCTTGTTTTCTGTTGGTGACTGATAGAATTCTGATTGGGGAACACAACGACAGGAAACACAACTGAGGCATTAAGACGAAACCAACAATGGGCATGCAAAGATGGCTTAGTAAGCGTTATTTCCTGTCTCGTCTTCTTTCGCAGCTTATCTGAACATCTAAATCTCCCCAACAAAACCTGTGACTCCTGGTCAGAAAAAGTTCCCAGAAAAGTTGCCGCGAACAACTAAGCCGTGAAAATTGAGTCACAGTCTGGTTAAGCCCAAATTCTTGCGGAACTCGGCACTAGTTCATAAGTTTGGTGTGGTGTAGGGTATGTCTCCTTTAGGCCTCGGTCAAGAAAGGGGCTGCTTACGAAATTAAGCGAAATGTTAATTCGGCAGCCTAGTTGAGGTACGCCGGGTGGACACGCAAAATCTGACGTCCACCGTGCAGGGACATCGTGGATCATGCAAGTTTGCGCAAATCGCAGTTGTCGCAGGTGCCTAAAAGATGAGGTATTTGATAGTCGTGTTCTACACCAATTAGAAGGAGTCCTTGTTTTCAAGACCCAAGTACCGTAAGCGAACTCAGTGGTGGAGGAATTTGATGACCGTCTTACGCTTTAGTATGCTCTGACAAAATGAGCCATTGGTCGCCCAGTTGGGAGGGCGTATCAGACTACTTGACTCGACAAGCGAGATGGAACATGGCATGCAATTGTGAGGTCGCTGTGCCTTCAAGTTTCTCCTGAGCGTCAATTCTGCCACACGGGCGCTTCCAGAGCAATCCAGCAGACTCGCACATCTCACGCAATTGTACGAACATATCATAACAGACAACAACAGACAATACGTGCTGATGACAGATCTTTGGGCTACTTTGAAACAAATAGCCATTTATCGTTGTTAAATGAACAACCAGACTAGTACCATGCACATAATGCTTCCGAAGATGGTGGCTGGCTTGCCATCCCCTCCCGCAATCGAAGGCTGAGATACCTTGAGGGTTGAAAATTTCTGGGACTTGTAATTATAAAATCTTATCATCCAAAACATAGTTTAGAGAGTCAATTCTCGAAAGGCTAATGGTCTGTGTGTATGCGCGACGTTGCAAATTTTGAGTGGTCATCTCGTTGTTGACATGTGTGCCAGCTATTAAGCGAGGTTCCGCCTTGCATGCTTAAGGTCAAGAAGAGAAAAAGATTGACTGTGGAATATGATGTGATTAAATCAATCAAGGACATCTCTAAATAATCGCTTTGTGAGAGCTTCCCAAATCCTACGCCGGATGTACATACGCCAACCCCGGATCGTTATTCACAATCTCACAATCATCTCTCACCCTTTTACACTCCTCTAAACTCCCATTAAAGCAATATCCACCCTCCAAATTCAGATTCACACACTGACTATATCCCCCCCTATATGCATCAGGACACGTCTCCTGGTACAACTCACATCGTCTAATACTCTGCTGGAGACAGCGCGACGGACATCCAGAATCGAACTCCGGCCTGCCATCCTCGTAACAGTAGCTGCAGTCCCAGTCCACAGCCGAACAGTCCCTCGAACAACCTGGTTCAAGTCGCGCTGGCACAGCTGCCCTACATTCTGCGTAGCCTGGAGCAGAGAGATACGTGAACGGTGTTGGGTTGTCGCGGAGATACGCACAAAGTGTTGTGGTGGCGGTGGGAGATTTACTTGTTGATGTGCTCGTTTTGGTCGTAGAGGTCTTGGTGCTACTGGCCGAGGTGCTTGTTGAGGATTCTGGTTTGTCGCAGGTACAGCGGCGGAAGTTTGCGGTCTGGAATGCTGCGAGACCGACCGGCCCGGCGACGATGCGGTAGAATGCTGCGCCGAGGCGGGTGCAGACTTGTTCGAGCTCGGGATCGTCGCCTAGTTTGCACTTTGGGAGCATGCAGTTGAGGAATCGATTGTTGCAGTCGAAAAAGTTGATACTGCAGTCATCTAATCAAGTGTTAGCTGGGAACATGAGTGATAATCGTACTGTTGAGGACGAGAGAGCGGGTTGTGTTTACCGAAGCAGGCATCATGGCCATCACAGCAAGGAGAGAAGTCAAAGAAGTCGAAAGCGTAGGGGACCGTGACACCGAACGACCCACAAGCATTTACAGTTGCTGGAGGTGCTCCTGGTTTCAGGAAAGCTGGGCCACCGAGAAGACAGCGGGGACTTGCTGGGATGGGAGGATTGACGCTACGAAGGAGTCGGAGGAGGGTGATGTCGAGGAGGAAGAGAGGAACTTCAATGAAAAGAATGCCGTCTCTGATTTCAATTGCTTTGCTAGGCGATGTAGAGCTACGACGTGTGATAATTGAGGTGGTATTCGAAGAGAGCGCACCGTTACAGTCAATTGACCATATTCTTTGAACAAATTAGCATGTGCCAGTACGAAAGGAAAGACGCTTACGATGTCGCAATCTGCCCTTCAAGGCCTGGATATGTGGTTGGCGATGCACTGTTTGAACTTTTCCGTCTTAGCAGTTTGCAGATCGTCTTGTGAGGCTCGGATCTACCTTGAGTCAACTAGAATATAAGTACTCGCATCCGAAACACCCAGATATCTCGGCGAGGCTTCATCAGTCACCAAATCGAATAAGCTTATATTTATCAGCCTCAACCCAGTCAATTAGCAGCAGAATATAGAAAACATACCCAGACGCAGAAATCTGCACCCGAAATGTCAAGCCGTTATCCTCATTTTGATAGCCGAGGACAGAGCCATTGTTGCCAAGAGCACCAAGTACATTGCCGTTCGTGCCATCGACGATGTATCTATGAAGTTTGGTCAGATCATTGGTGACAGATTCCGGGGTGAAAATACATACAGTCTGAAATCTGGGTTGTAAGGGTCTACTGAGCAGTCATTGTAAAAAGACGGGGGTTGAAGCGGAGACTGAGAAGGCGATGGCGAGCCGGTACTGCCTGAAGAGGTTGACTCTGAAGTAGTTTGAGAGGCAGTAGAGGACGACGGCGTAGGTAGTGAGCTACTGGCGGATGATAATGCAGGCGAAGACGTTGGGTATGGCACTCCATTAGAAGGACTTTCCCCTCCAGGTATATAGGGTGGTGGAGTTTGCGCAGTGACCGTCTTCTCAACAGTAACCGTCTTCGTATCATAAATCAGCGTATCCAAGAAGGTTGGCGCATTCGTTATTTCCGTCTCATACCCATTGCCAAATACAAACGTCGCATTTTCAATCACCGAGCATGAAAGTGAGAGAGGGGTGAGGACAACGTCGTAGGAGACGTGAACGGTGATGGTTGGAACTGGACATGTAGCTTGGGTTTTGATTTCCACGCCATTGGATTGTGCAACTACTGCTGTGAATAGTGTAGAAAGTGCTGACAGTGTGAAGAATACGAAGAGCGCATTAAAATTAGAGCGGTGGTGGAGATGCATGGTGTGAGAACTTTGAGGTGGGGGTGTTGCTCAAAGGGACGAGAAGAGAGGAAGGAGTAGTAAAGAACGCAGAGGGCAATGGATGTATTTGATTGCTGCGAAGCCATCGCGGCAGTTCTAAATTCCTACCTCAATTTTCTTCTCTGGAAAAGATGCCAAGTCGTTGATTTCCATCTCCTCGAGCGCAATATGTGGACTTGGCGATGTCAATGAGGTAAAGAGCGTTGACACATAAAGAACAACATTCCAACTAGAACGGCTAGGGCTGCTCTTGGTCAACATAGACTTTTCTTGTGGCTGGCAAACTCTGAGATCGATTAGCTTAAATCGTAGATAAGATTCAGAGATGTCACAAAATTGTCCACGGGGCAATAAACAGCCAATGACAACCAAGAAAAAACTATCAAATGCGGTGGCTCCTCAAGTATGGGAAATTTGTTTATGCACCCGTACCGTATGGCGTCTCGTAAGGTTTGGCTATGTTGTGCATCTACCTTCTTACTCCGTACCTGGATGATAGTGCTAGCCGCGAGTTCCAAAAAGGGGGTGGCTTAAGCCCACACAGCAAAAGCAGCTCACGGCTACTTAAACAGACGAATGACGCGAAAGACGAAGACACAGCTAGCGAGAAGCACCTTGGCAGAAATGTGTTTTGCAAGAAGTGTTATTAGCCAAGACCATACCCAAGATTTTGGTCGCGACCATGGCTTTCAGCCGCACCTGGCGTCGGACATGATTCAGTGTGCCTGGATCAGAGACGAGACGGAGGTCTATCTCAGTACCGCTGCTAGAGGCAGGGCTGGATGAGAATCACACTGTTGTAAATTACATTTCGATTTGAATTTCGACGTGATTTCTCCAGGAGATTGGTAGACATGGACATACTAATATCTTAGGCGCCAGATTCACGCTCAAAAGCCAAGCAAGCATAATGCTTCCCCACCAACTGCTGCCAAAATTCACCATCTGACTTCTCCCTTCGCCTCACCCCCTTCACCAAGCTTTAAACAACCATTCTTCCTCCTCTCCGCCATCCACCTCTCGATCCAACTTTTCATCTTCGCTCGTCCAGGCGCACTTCCTACGTTAACAGTCGGGACGACCTTCTCAATGCGCAATGCACAAACAAACATAGTCAGCTCACGGAAACTGCTATGTTCGGAGTAGGGGACTCCAAAGCACGAGGCTTCGCGAGTGCTGCCGCGCTGGGGCGTTAGTTCCATCATGGAGAAGGAAGAGCGCCAGGAAGGGGAGTGCAGGATTGTTGGGATGGCGGGGGAGGCTGTGAATCTATGAGGATGTTAGATACGACTTGTAAATGTGTTTATGTGATACTGCCACTGGGAAACGGAGCGACTAACCGAGAATTTGGAGGGCGATAATTCCAACCACTAGGTCTGAAGCCTACGATACGGCTGAAATGCGGTTTGTAGCCATTCAAGTAATCCTGCAGCGTCTCCGGCCGGATCTCCATTAGCATCTGCATATGTATCTGCGCTTCTCTCGGATCACTTGTCATCCTGGAGCTCAACTCCTCGTCTTCTAGCGCAGCGCAGATTTTCATCTTGCCAGGTGGCGCCCAGATCTTACAGTCCAGGGCACGAGCTATGCCCATGCATATTCGCTCTTTGCCTATACTGTACGTGCCGCAGACGACTAAGAGCCTACCGCGTGATTTGGTATCCTTTGATGAGTTGATGGACATGGCAATACTATCGTCTTCGGACTTGATGGTGGCGTTCTGTACGAATTTGGTCATCCCGGTCCCGGCTCGCTCCCGCTTGACAACCTCCCATGCATCGTTCTCCTCGGCGCGTTCCTTTTTGAGGGAGACGCACATGTCGGCGCAGGCTTTAATGACTTCTTCTTGAGACGGGAAGGAGTATTTAGGATTGAGGTAGGTAGTATCGAGGTAGCAGACATCGATTTTCTGCTGTTTAGTATTGCCAGTGATAGTGTCGACGACATCTGGCATAAGAAGAGGATGAGCGAGATGGGCTGGACAGGCACGAAAATCTCCGCAGTGTAGAATCCTTTGTACTTTTGGATTTGCTCCTTTCCCAATGACCTTCTCGAACAAGAAGAGAGAACTGCCTGGACAGTGGTTGGCGGGAATCATCGTGATGGCCACACCTTGAGTTCCCGGGACTTCGAAACGTTCCTCGAACTCGAGAAAAATGACATACTTTGGATCCACTCGAAGTTGCTGCTTTACTAGATTCCCTGTGACCTTGCTGCAGTAGATGGGACCATGGCTCCATGTAGACGTAAGTCCAATATAGTGATCGCTGTGAAAGTGGCTAAGAAAATACGCGTTACATCCTTGAACCGCGCCATATCTAAAGGCATCGACACATATGAAGAAACCTGGCATGATTTTGTAGAATGGGCATGTTCTCTGGTATGCCGGCTTTCCTCTTGATTTCTGCTCCGAGGCGGCAGCGTTCGCCCAGGCAGCGTCTTCGGCATGTCCTGACATGAGCTTTGAGAAAGCCGACGATGGTGCTGCGGCTGCTGATCCTACTTCAAATGGATTCGCTTGGCCTGGTCTGGGTACGGCTGCTTTCCGAGCAAAACGACTGGCTCCTGGAGTGAAAAATTTGGACTCTTTCGGACCCTCCTTCTCGACAGGAGCTTTCTGCCGCTCCGGTAAAGGGATCGGATTGCCGTCTAGACAGCCATTGACATGCTTTGTAGCATCATCTGCACATATGCCGGCTAGGCTCGCTTCACAAATTGGACAACTAGCAGACATCCCGTCGTCTTCCAGCTGGTCCAACACCATTTCGTCGTCGAAACCGTTGAAAGATGCCTCATCTTCGACTGCCTCTCCTGCCTCCAATCTAGCCTGTTCCTCCATCTCCAGTCTGGTCTGTTCCTCCATCCATCTCCTCTCGACCGCTTCCTCTCCATTTCCAAACTCATCGTCTTCATCCGGAAACTCTTCAAAATCCTCGAAATTCTCCCATTCATCTACACTAGTATTTTCCTTCTTCAAGGAAGGTATGACTGGTACTTTCTTTGCCTTCTTCGCTTTCTTAGAAACTTCGCCCTCGTGCTCGCCATCGCCATTACTTTCATTCTTCGTATCAGGCTTTGGAGACTTCTTTTTCTTCTTCCTTTTCTTTGACTTCTTGTTATCACCATAAGCGGACCCCTCGCTCTCTCCCGGGATGTCATAATCTGACGGTGGAGTGTTGGGTTGCATTGCCGCCCATTTTGCTTGAGCTTCTTTTACATCTATCTTCTTGCGGGATTTTGATGAAGATTTCTTTATTGGGACCACTGATATGATAGTGGGAACCAAAGGTTTGTTTTCCCGGATCTGGACATGGTCGATAGGTTTCGTCTCCACAACTTCATTCATGCTATCGGGTTGATTCGACACAAGGGTATCTAATTCCTCCTGCTCCGCCTTCACAGCATTCTGTTGAATCGCCTCGTTATCGTCCTCATCATCTGTATCCGAGTCTGACAAAAATGGTCCACTTCTTTTCTTCGGTTTAGGTTTCGGCTTTGCGTCTACCTCTGGCGGAGGAAGTGTACACCCATTCTTGATGGGAACTTCGTTCTCTCTAGCAGTTTCCAGGAAATCCGCATCATTTCCAATGGCACTCGGCATGTTCTCCCCAGAAATCTTCCTCTTCTTCACCGATCCACCCACCTCATTAAACCTATCTTCGCCATCTCCATACAGATCCAACTCCTCTTCTGCGAGGACAGGACTCAGGTCCCTTGCCAGATTCTGCAAATTCGCTATTTTTGATCCATGCGACAAGAATATCGAGTCATCTTGCACAGGTCCATCAACCTTCTTGAAAAAGTTGAGGATACTGGCGTTGGGCTTGCCCTGTGGTTTCGCAGAGAAAGGCTTCTTTGTGCTGGTGCTTTGCTTGCCTAGGCTGGGAGTGTTGGTTTTGGAAGATGGACGAGGAGTAAGTGGCTTGGTGGAACTGCGACTGGACATTATCGTTACTGTTGTGGTGGATTGAAGAGGGGTTCGATCTGTGCCGGGTGGCGTTGGAGGTCGACCTGTTGAGGGTCTGAGGGGAGTGGTGGTTGAAGGGTCGATAGTGATGTTCTCTCGTGGGTTGCGGAACATTATTAGCTGGCAATTGCTACGAGTTCATTCAGGGCGAGCGCTTTCGTGACAGGGTCGGCTCGCTTGGTGTACGAGACTCTCAGGATAGGACAATGCTGGAATGGTGGAGGCCTTTTGACGCGAGATTCATTGACGCGGTGTCAGGTGGGTTAGCGCGCTTGGCATTAACGCAGGCTGATTCGGTGCAGCGGGAAGAGCATGACCACTGTTTCCAATACAAGGATATATGTATTGTAAAAAGTATCAGTTACATTTGAAAGAAGCATAGTATACAGTAATAGTAGTTATCATTCGTTTCATCTCCCATCTATTAAGTAGCTTCATTCTCAAAGGTTTCCATGTACCGTCCGAGGTACGTAATCAACACATCCTGTCCGAATGCACTCCACATCTACTGGCTGGCAACTTGAGCTGGATGATATATTCCTCCGAGCCCTTCAAGGATCGCAGGATATTCCTGGCCCTTCTTGTGCCAGCCGTTGTAAGTGTCCGTTTGTCAAACTTGACCCAATCCCGGTCCGCCTCATTACTAAACACCCTCTTCAATCCAGGGGCTCCACAACACATCCGTTGACCATCGAAGCTAGCATTTCGATGTGCTGCGTGACGTCTGCCTCAAATTCGTCTTCTAGCTTCACAGTATCGTTCTCATACAATGTATGCAGCGAGCATCCCCAAACCTCTTCACTCATCGGACCTTCGTGATTCGCAACCCGTAATGCCCACTCCATCTTAGGCCACCAATCCTGCGGCAGCAGACTGAAGATACCGTTAACCTCTCGCTTAGCAATTCCCTCTAACCACCATACGTCATCCACCATTTTCGTAAGCGCAAAGAAGCATGCTGAGATCACGAGGGCTCTTGGATCTTGCTGTCCGATTAAATCCACATAATGTCGAGAAACGGTAGCTGCGAAGCCAAGAATGCGATTGCGTACAGGCTTCTGATGGGACCAGTTCAAAAATGAAACTGCATGTTCATACGCTTGTTTGGTTTCTGGTCGTGCCATGGGTGGGAGATTCTCTAGTTGCTCCTCGAGTCCCTGTAGGAGTGGCGCGAAGAACAGCTTCCGCTCTGGATCTGGGTCAAGAAAAAGCGCTGGTTGGCTGTTGATGATAGGGTATATGCGATTGCTTGATCTCAGCCATTGCCAACTCGCAAGAACAATCGTCTTGACTCCTTGGAACGAATGGAACCAAGCCAATGGGAGAGTATATGTTCCGTTCGCCTCGTCGTCAAAACGTCTCGAGGCTGATGCCTGGAAAGCTATCAGAGCAGAAGTTGAGAACAACGCTTCCGCATTCATTTCCGAAAGTCCTTGATTCAACAGGTTTGAATACTGTGCGATCGAGGAGGCCATGTATCCATGCGACGCTCGTATCAAACTGTGGTCTTCCGGATGTATAGACCGCAAATGCAGAGCAGACACCGCCAGAATGGCATCCATTAGATATTGAGCATCATACGCTATTGTCGGTATATCAACCTGCCATACATGGTTCTGCTCCTTCGTATCCGAGAATGTCTGCGAAGTGAGAGCTGTGTAGTGGTGCAAGAGCTTGAACTCCAAGGACCGGGACACAGTGGAATTCGAGTGTGTTCTGACAAGCGAGGTAGGGTTCTGATACATTGGCATCACCGTAGACGAACGCGGGGTGGAAGTTGATGATGATGCCGACCCCATGCGAGGACTTGGGGCCGGGTAAGGTGTGCTGGCGGATGCTGGCGTCTCGGGACACTCGAAATCGCAGGAAACTCCATGTTTAAGACAGTTACCACAAGTTGGGTGTACTTCATCGCACTAGAATAGTGTTAGGCCCGCCGAAGCTTGGGGAGAACGGGAATTCTGACCTTTATTTTCCTATTCTTGCATCTGTGAAACGAAGTCAGCACGGAAAGTAGTTTGGCTCAGCAAGCGTGAATGTCCACACAGGGGATTAGCCTGCCAAAGGAAAGAGACACTGCACATGCAATTGTTCCCGGACTGCACCGCGTATTCTGAAAATTTGACTGACCTTTGGCAGCCTGCCTTAGACTTCTTGTGTGACCTTCGCGGGGGCATTGCTCGTCGTCCTAGAGCCGGAGCTGAAGCTGTGGAATCAGGATCAAGGAATAGGGAATGGCGGAGTTTTGTTATTTGTAGGAGGGGGGTTCCTATGCATCGTGATGCCGTAGAACCGCAGGTACATAGGCATCAAGGTCAAGACGAAGAGTAGGGGAGAGGTCAGGGTCTGCGACAGTTCAGTCAACACTGCCTCACTGGTGCCTCCTCTTCATAATGGGGTTTTGGTTGTTGTCTGTTCTGTTCTGTTCTGTTCCGTTTGGGGTTTCCGATTGATGTCGGTTCCGGCAGCAGCACGAACCCGACCGCTTGTGCAGGACAGTGATCGACCAATAGGGTCGCAGATCCCCGAGCTCTCGTTTGTCGTACGTCTCTGGTATCGAGTATGAGGGGCATCACCTCGGCCAGAACGAGTGACGATGCGGCAGGGGCAGCAGGGGCAGCAGGGGCAGCAGGGGCAGCAGGCGAGCGAGGCTTGACTCTTGAGGCCAGCCAGGCCGCCAGGTGAAGCACGGCTGGGGCTTTGGGGCTTTGGGGCTGAGTGCTGCGAGCGCTGCTGACTGCCCAGTGCCCACCTCTGCCCTGGCGACCATCGGACCATGCCCTGGCCACGGGAAAAGTGGGCGTCCATGATGCCTGGGACTCAGGCTCAGGGACTGAGGTGGGCCGAACCAAAGAAAATAAAATCAAAATTTATGGACCACCTGGTAAGGTACAGCCTCCAGGTATACCAGGCATAGGTAAATCATATTATATGTACATGCAGCACAATCGTACAGGTACTCGTACCTAAAGGTAGGCACAGATACCTTAATAGACTGTATTATAGGTAACAATGCAAATGTCTAGAATACTAATCAAGCCTCAATCCCTTCCATACCTCCTTACCTGCCCTGCCATCTGACTAATTGACTCTCTTACCTGCGTCCAGCCCAGAGAGTCACCGAATTGCGTGATACACACGCCCTTTGTCCTTGTCCGGTCGTAACCGCACTTCGTGCAATCCATTATCAATCACTTCTCGATCCTTCAGATCAATCCCCACCAAACATTGCTTCATAAAATAAATTTCACCGCCCCTCCACTCCACAATCCTTCACTTCAAGACATCCTCCAACACTCTTGGTTACAAATACTCTTCACGCCTCACCATTTCCTGCTGCGCAATCAGTCTTCGACCGAACTCTTCTAACTACCCCTCGTCAAACACGTAACGACTTTTCAACATGGCCGACCACCCAATTGATACCCCTCCACGAGCTCCCTCTCCAGTCCAGGGTTTTGGCACTCTTGCTGTCCACGCTGGGTCTCGTCATGATCCTTCCACCGGTGCTGTCATTGCTCCAATTTCGCTATCGACCACCTTTGCGCAAACCGCTGTAGGCAAGCCGGTCGGGAAATACGAATATAGCCGTTCCTCCAACCCCAACCGCGATAACTTCGAGGAAGCTGTTGCAGCTCTAGAGCACGCAAAATATGCATTGGCTTTCTCTTCAGGCTCCGCAGCCACTGCCATCATCTTGCAGAGTTTGGCAGCGGGCAGTCATGTTATCAGTGTGAGCGATGTCTATGGTGGCACACACAGATACTTCACCCAGGTCGCAAAGGCACACGGTGTCAAAGTCACTTTTACTCCAGAAATTGAGGTCGATATTAGAGAACACATTACTCCAGAGACAAAGCTGGTATGGATTGAAACTCCTTCAAACCCTACTCTGCGACTGGTTGATATTCGGGCCGTTGCTACCCAGGCGCATGAACGTGGTGTTATGGTTGTGGTGGACAACACTTTCATGAGCCCATATGTCCAGAATCCTTTGGATCACGGAGCTGATATTGTCGTCCATTCGGTTACCAAGTACATCAATGGACATTCGGACGTGGTGATGGGTGTTGCAGCTTTCAACTCCGATGCCATGAAGGAGAGACTGGGATTCTTGCAAAACGCCGTTGGAGCCATCCCCTCGGCATTCGATAGTTGGTTGGCACACCGTGGATTGAAGACTTTGCATCTGAGAGCAAGAGAGGCAACAGTCAATGCTACTGCTGTCGCAAAGGCCCTGGAGGCGTCGCCAAATGTTATCGCAGTCAATTACCCCGGACTGAACTCTCACCCACACCGAGCCATCGCCATCAAGCAACACCGAAACGGCATGGGCGGTGGTATGCTCTCTTTCCGCATCAAGGGCGGTTCAGCAGCAGCCGAGCGATTCTGCCAGACCACAAACATCTTCACACTCGCAGAATCACTAGGTGGCATTGAGAGTTTAGTCGAGGTCCCCAGCAGCATGACACACGCCGGTATCCCCAAGGAGCAGCGTGAAGCAGTTGGTGTCTTTGATGACTTGGTGAGAATCAGCTGCGGTATCGAGGATGCGGAGGATCTCAAGCAAGATGTTCTCCAGGCACTGGAGAGGGCAGTTGTCTGGCCTAAGATCTCGAATGGTCTCAAGGGCATCATCGGTGTCAACGGATACGCTGCTTGATCCGAAATATACCTCACGAGCTACGAGAGTTGCATTGCATTTTGGGCATTTTAAGGAGTTCGAGATACGGCGTTATTTACAAGTCTTTCTACAAGATAGACTTGCTTTGGATCTACTACCGGAACTGTGTTTTCCTATAGACAGGATATAGGATTGTGTCCAGCGAATACTTTTCAGATACCTCTTGACTATTAGTCAGAAAATAGAAAATAGGCGGTTTCCTGCTCTACATCCATTTCACTCTGCAAACAAGCTTGCTTGAAAACATAATCCTGTAGCTGATTGGTCGGGAGACGACAGGTGACGACGAGGGTCTGAGCTGGGCAATCCCATGCTTTTTGATTTTATTTTGTCGTGCCTTCTCTGTCGCAGTCGAGAACAACTATGACTCGTTGTAAGATATCAGACGCTTCTCGTCTAGTAACTTATATTACCATCAATCTGTGTCACTGTCAGTTGCCCATCGAGTTTCTCTGCTGAGTGTAAGAAACACTACACGTCTGCAGCCTCGCAGTTCAACAAGTTCATCATTTCCCACTGCTCCTGCCATGCATCTTGCGATCCTGCTGGGACTATCAGGGTTTAGAAGGTTGGATCAGGAGGAAGACTGTAGAGCTCGACTGGCTCGGGAACTGGAGGATCTGAGAAAGGCGAGATTTGGTCTTTCAGTTCAGCACAGAGACGATTCACTAAGTACGCATAGGCAGATCTATGACAGTGATTATTCTGATTGTAACGCGGAAGAGCTTCCCAGCTTGCAGGGGCCTCAGATGGGACAGCGGAAAGCTTCTAATGAAGAGTTTTCATAAATAGACTGTATTTTGCAGCATTTCGGTGGGTCAGAGTCTGGATAATCCCAGAAGCTACACTTGCCACAGATTTATTGATTACACCTAGAAGTGAGACTCTGCCATGTAACTTAATCTGCTAGAGCTATCTTACGTATATGAGGAGCATATGGGGCGTACAGGTTTTCCAAAATCGCATCATGAGTAAACGCTTGACCCTTTGAGACGCCTTGATGTTATTCGACGTGAGGGGCGAGTTGTCGGTGAACCTTGCACCGAGATATCTGTCTTTCATATTCTTGACCTTATCATCTTTGTTCCTCAAGGCATCATTTGCTCGCGATAAACATGTGCACAATTTCGCCTTGGGAGGACTGATGTCAAAGCTGGGGACTCTTTTTGCGTCCCACCCATTGTTGTTGATGAATTGTGCAAGTTACAGAGAGGAGGTTGGGTGGAAGAAGGTGTGCTTCATTGATGAAGATTCGCGTTTGAAGTAATAATGATAGCAACGAAATCTCACTCAACACATATCGCAACATACAACGACCAACTTATATACAACTCCTGAGGATTTCTCCACTTGCTCGAACATCTGTCAGTGCATCCTGTCAACGAAAGAAAGAAACGTATCAAGGAAATTAGTAATCCAGATCAACACTCCATCAACAACGCTCATAGGCCGCCCTATCCCGAAGGCTTGCAGCACTCAAGCATCAATTGGTCCCACCTGAAATACCAAGAAACTGAACCATGCCAGCACGCGAGATATCTGAATTAAAGGATTCGGGAACCCCTGTGGTGGCTTTCCTGTTCGGGAAAGTGATTGGATGCCACCGCTCAGCTCTGGCTCGCTTAGAGATATAGTTCACAACTCGTGATGGGGATGGGTAAAAATAAACATGGGCTTTGGGGATGCATGGATGGCAGGTTTGAGGCAGAGGGAGGTACTTTTGTAAGTGGGCTTTTTGAGATTTCCTCGAGGTGTTTTGTACTTCTCGTCTTGTTTATTTTGTGTTCTACTTCGTTGTACCGACGGTGCTACGAACGACTGCTTTTCGGACGGAATCCTTTGGGCAAGCGAAGATAAGGTCGTGTACACGTCTAATATATGGCGACTCAACAACCTCATTCAGGGCTCGAAGTCGCGCCGGACACAAAGCCATATCTCGCGCCACAGTCGCCAGCTCCGACGAGCCATGTTCAGCCTTATTATGGACAGTCTCCTGAAAGTATGGGAGGGCCACCGGGTGGATATGTAGGGAAGGAGAAGACGATTTGCGGTGTGAGGAGGCCGACGTTTTGGTTGGCGCTGCTGTTGGCGTTCGTTACAATTGCGAGTGGGATTGGTGGTGGGCTGGGAGGGAGCCTGGCTGTGAGGAGTATTAGAAGGAAATGGTGAGTTTGTGTTATTCTCAGGCATGGCTTTGTGGAAACTCAGTGGTTAAGTAACTGGGGAATGAGATAAATTTAGACTGATGGTGGCTTCCGAAGACTTGTGTTAGAGTTTAGAATGGTCAGTCGCTAATAAGTAAACAGTTCTTCCTCAAACGTTAACCTTGACACCGGCTCTGGCACCGACTCCTCAGGATCCAACTCAAATCCTGACGCCATCTATATAACCCGCACACGAACCATCACCTCAACTCTCTCTCCAGACTCAACACCCACCGCCACAAGCGACATCACCGTCCCCACCTCCGGCTTCCTCGCCCTCGACTGCCCGTCCCTGGACGGCAACAACATCCAAGCATTCGGCTCAACATTCAAAGTAGTCTGTGGACAGGACTCTGCAGGCCCAGACATAATCTCCATTGTAGCGTACAGTTTGCTAGACTGCGCGAGAGCATGTGCGACGTATAATGCGAACGGGGTGGCGGCGAGTGGGAAGACGTGCGTGGCGGCGACTTTTAATAGTTATTTGGCGTATGTGAGTGCGCATCAAGGGACGTGCTGGTTGAAGACCGCGAGTACGAAGGGGAGTGAGCTGGTGGATGGTTTGACTGGGGTGGATAAGAATACTTATGCGCAAGTGGTGTTGCAGTAAGTAGAGATTGGTAAGGGGAGTCATAAGAAATTGGAATTGAGGTAGACGAAAGCAACAGATTGTCTTTCTGTATTGAATGAGGTGCTTGTAATCTAATTCAAAGCAACAAACTTTCTCATCCGTATCCTGGTAAGGTGTACTTGCCTGAGGAACTTTTTGCTCCACTCGGCGTTTTCCGAGAGGAGCAACATGTAAACACATTTGCCTCTCTCTAATCCAATCCCTTCCATCTTTGCCTCCTCCGAAGTCACCTCTTGGGTCTACGTCCCCGTAGAGTGTCTAGTTTTTTGGTTAGGTTCACTCCGCAACAGCTTCTTCCTCCTCCTCAGCTTCTTCGCCATCCCACCAGATGATAGGTCCCATTCCTGCATCATCCATGCTTCCAATCAGCGAGTACGGACTGTTCTTGGTCTTGCCACTACCAACAGGGATTGTGAGGCTATTGGATGGTTCTTCTTTTTCTGTGGGGAAAAGGATGAGTGTTAGACTTTCTTTTGGACGGTAGGAGGGAGAGCGGTGGATAAGATATGTTGATTTGGGAGGGGCAGGAGCGAGAAGAAGGATTTGGGGAGACTAGTACCTCTAGGGCCAACGGGATTCTGATCTTTCCAGACCTCGTCTTGGATACGGAGACGTACGGTCTCGTGAGTGTCGAAGAAGAGAGTGTTGTCTTCGGTGCGCCATTCGTAGATCTGTTCGCCGCTACTGGGAGGTTGTTAGCGCTTGAAAATGGGACGTGAGGTAACATGGGACTGGGGAAAGGGGATCATAGCGAAAGGAGGAAATGATGCTGACAATTCGGAGCCTTCTGGAAGAGATTGCCTGGGGACGAAGATCTCGTCGAAGAAAGGAAGGCGTACTGGGAAACGAGCATTAGTCTTGTTTCTTGGAGTATGGGGAAAGGGGCTGTGCAGCATTTGGAGTGGTCCTTTTGTTGATGTACGTACCTCTGATACCATCCGTGTTGGCGCTGCTTATACGACCAACTATTACTTCGTGCTTGAAAGGCCGGAAGACTATGAGGCGGAACTCGACTATATGGGTAAGATCAGCTATATTCTAGTTTTGGATATTGATAACAAGGCTATGATGGATCTCCTTCATATTAAACTAGAAACACTGCCGAATCAAGAAGTGCAGGAAATATTAAACTGGCCAAGCACATGAATAGAGAAGCAACCCGTAAATCAAAAGTTCACCATGAAGCCATAACAATATTGAAGAGAACAAGAGAGGCCTGGCCCGGCTCATAAAATCATACTTGGCGATGGCAGGAGTTGGGAAACATACCATTGACGTTGACAAGACCGGTACCATGACCAATCAAACCTTCAGACGAAGACAAGAGATCATAAAGACAGATGCAGAGCCCGATCTTTTGAATGACCTTGTTGGCATATTTAGCATTGATGTTATCCTCGATAGCTTGTGCTGCGTCCTTGTTGAAATCTTCTGGTACGATCTGGACAAGATCCGCGATTTTGGTCTGCTGAGAGGTCAATGGTAGTTCTTCGATATTACTCCCAAGGGTAATTCGCTCTCTGACTTACGAGAATAAACATGCCGGAGGGAGGGAAAATGGTTTGGCGTTAGGGAGATTTGGACTTGATATTTATGACGAACAAGAATACCAAGGACTAGTTTTGAGAACAGGTCCAAGAGGGCGCCCTTCAGCTTGGACCTTTTCCAGCCAGAGCCAAGTATTCCAAGTAGAATCCAACTTGAAGTTGAAGCCGAACAGGTCGTGAATCTTGATTTTGATACCACGTGACAAGACTTGAATTCGCTGTTTGCTGGCGCGAAAAACAGCTCGAGCCGATAGCAAACTTTTCCAATCTCGAGATGCTCGATCAACTACAACTCCACGTCCACAGCATCAAGGATCGATGATTTCACCACATTGAAGAGGTTACCTTAGTTAGTTGTCAGTGAGATCAGTCTTCGAGATAGTTGCATCTCCCAAAAGCTGTCGCATTCCTGACAAATAAGGTTTGAGTGGTTCCGCGCTAGCTGCCACGTTCCGCCAAAATGGCAGGACCTCGACCTCCTGGTGAGCTCCTCCCTGGCTCTCCCTTTCTCTTTCTTGTACCGCACGATTCAAATTGCATCTCCTTTCATCATCCTCCAGAGTCCAATTGACGCATCTTGCCATCAGAGCACATCTATTATAAGACTGTCGACATCCACAGCTACAACTACGCTTCTGAGCAACGTCTATTGCCAGCACTTGTACCGCGCCGTGTCGCTTCTCACAACGCTCCCATGGCTGGCACTCAGCAATACAACTACCCTCCGCCTCCACCGCCTCCTGGCCCTCCTCCATCGAATCACCTGCAGCAGCAACCGCAATACGGTTACCCGCAGCAGCAGCATCCTCATCCGCAATACCAACAGCCTCCTAGAGGAGGTGGTCCTCCTCGAGGTGGCCGAGGTGGCAATCAAGGAGGTCGAGGTGATTTCCATGGCAATCAACCCTATAATCCTCAACAACCAAATGGAGGCTACAACCCACAAGGACAAGGCCCTCCTCAAGCCCAAGGTCCGCCTGCTGGATATAATGGTCAGCAGTCTGCTCCATACATAGGCCCTCAAGCTCCCGGTCCCCAGCAGCCGCAGCAAGGCCCTCCTATTGGAGGCGGTTATGGTGGACCACAGTGGCAGAACAATCAGCACGATCAACATGGTCAACAGCATCATGGTCCTCCACAACATCAACAGCACCCTCACCCGCAACCTCCTATGCATGCACCTCAACCTGCCCCTTTGCAACCACAAAATTATCATCCAAATTACGCTCCACAAGCCTACCAGCCGCAGCCACAGTATGGGCCGCAACAACCACCTCAGCAGTTTCAGACTCCTCAGCCAACCCCTTCTTATGGTCACAGTGGGCCTCCTAACCAGCATGGCGGACCTCCACAGCAGTGGCAAGGTCCTCCCCAGCATGCCAGACCCCCTTTCAATAATAATAATAATCGCGGTCGTGGTGGCTTTCAAGGTGGCCGTGGAGGCCATGAAGCACCTCTCATGGGACCGCCCATTCGAATGGGATTTGACAATGATAGAGGAGGACATATGGCTCAAGCGGGCCCTCCCTTCTCTCATCAATTTGCAACCCATCAAAGTCCACCTCCCCCATTCTCTCAACCACACTATCAGCCGTATCCCCCTCAAGATTTCTCTCATGGAGGACAGCGTCCACCGCTAGATCCCAATCCATACAACTCTGGCCCTAATCGGGGTCGAGGCAATTCAAATTTCAGAGGCAGAGGTGGCGGTCGTAATGATTTTCAGCATTCTCGCGGCGGTCGTGGTGATCGCGATCGTGGCGATAATCGTAACCATCATCATGGAGGTGGTCAGAGATCTACTTCAGAGAATCGCCAAAGGCCTGCAGGTGCAGATGCCAACGGCAAAAAGAAGAAGAAGCGTCGCACCAATACTCTTGGTCTCACACCAAATGGTGTTGAGCATGAAGACAGCGAAGATGAGGTTGATGATGCCGACGAAGAAGCCAGACTTGTCACTTTGCTTGGTCCTGATACTCCGCAGTATGTTTGTTTGTTTGCGATAGGAGATTAGTTCTTCTTGCTAATATTTTCTAGGTTGCCAACTGATTTGGAAGAATGGCTTGCTGAGCGAAGAAGTAAATTTCCTACGAAAGCTCGTAGAGAAGCTGCCGCAGAAGAGCTTCGTCAACGACGTGAGCAAGAGCGTGAAAATAGACAGCGCATCAAGCAGGAGAAGTCTATCAAGAAGGAAGAGGGCGAGACCAAACTCGAGATTCAGCAGAGAAAAGCCGAAAAGCTCCGACGTGAGCTCGAGAAGGCTGAGCGAAAGATCCAAGAATCCATGGGCGGTTCTAAGCGCAAGCGTGAGAACGGCGATGAGGGCGATGAAGTCCGTGGTCAAGTGAGCGATGACGATTCCGATGGTTCATCGGATTCTGGCTCCGATGACTCCAAACCTGAAGCAGCTTCTTCTCGCCAGAATGCACCGTACCGTGTTTCACAGCCATCCAAAGCTCAACTTCAACGACATTGCAAGTACTTTTCGACTGGTGGTACCTGCGGCAAGAAGGGCAAGTGTCGCTTCGTTCACGACCAGGAGGTTCGCAATCAAGCTTTGAGAGATAAGGAGGCAAACGGTGGAAAGATGACTCTTGCACAACGGCTCATTCTCAACGACACGGCAAAAGATGATCTGACCATCTTGAAGTCTATCAAGTATCTCAAGGAGAAGGGATTGATGTCGGAGCAACTCACTGGTACATCAAGAAACGATGAGGAGCCTACCAGATTTAAAAGTGAGGAGAATACCTACACCGAGAACCTCACGTATGGAGACAATTGAGCTCGCCTTCTTCATTCCTGATTCTCTACCTTTCAATCACCACTTCCATCAACGTCTCGATATTTTCTCGCTCTTTCGACTTCACATTTTCATACAGCTCGAGGACAAGGTCTACTATAGAATCTGAGGCCGTTCGTTTTGAGGTCCAGTATTTCCTGGCAATGGCAAAGTGCTTGGTTCATTTACGTTCCTGCAGCTTCGCTCTGGAATGGGGCTCTGGGTGGTGAATAGGTTAAATCATGCCATGTTGCTCGAGTCCTATTGGATGGAGTCGCTTTCGTCCCGTACGATGTCCTTCGGACTACATCTTTGACCGCATTTCATATCTGCAGTCGACTAGAATGCGTTTCCTTTCAGTATTGCCTGTATCACCGCTTTTCATTCCGTCACACAATGGTCCTAATGTACTCGGTTCTCTTTTCTTTGACTCGCTAGTGAGAGGGCTTGTGCACTGGTAAAATTCAGAGTTACAACCGCGAATCGCGATCTGCAGTTGCTGCTGGTCACAGTGAATGGCTGATGAACCTGGTTGGTAGATGTTCCTGCCACGAATTGTACCATAGGAAGAAACTTTTAGTCTGTTAGGTGGTGTATTTTGATGGGTTTACAAACTTGCTTGACAGTGGCCGAAGTGATCTGGGATCTCGGATTTGTCCGATCGCAAGCAATCTGAAGTCCCTTCCCTTGGGTGTCTATTGTCTTTTGAGGACATGTCTCGAACCCTGTCTCTACAAATTGTATTTATTGAAGAGATCTTATCGCCAGTTAAATTAACAATTTGTAACAGTCCTTCCGATGTGTAAAACCAGCAAGTAGATTATCAACTGAGCTTGGAACTTATCCCGTGAGAGGACCTAACTCCAAAAGCCATACTACATGTGCTGCCATCTGGTCATTACGCTGGTCTCAAACCGATTGGACTTCTCTCTGGCGGGGCTCCTCATTGGAGGTGTCTCGCCGCCAAATTCAAAATCTGGTAAATGAGCATAGACAGAAGGGTGGAAGGGATGGAAGACGTCACCAAGAAGGCGGCTGCAAGGTCAAAGCCACCGTGTGCACACTATTGATAGCATCACGATCAGGATCGATCTCGGTAACAATTACTTGTAACCTTTGTGTTTACAGCCTTTGTGTTTGAGACATGATGGAGAGATACTCGGCGAGGTGCATGCGGCTGCCCCTTTGCATGTCACAGTTGTATTGTGCTTGGTTGTGCAAAAATGATGGGGGGATTGACTTGACTTGACCACCTATGCAGTTCTAGTAGTGTTCATCTCACAGAATTGTGGCGCGTGTGGAACTTATCTGGCAGTCTTTACGTCGACATGTTGAAAAGAGTAATAGGGCAGATGCGCTCTCGCCAAATTATGCGAGCTTTCGGGAAATTTACACTCCCAAGAATCCCAAGCGTAGGTGGAAGGCTTAAGCGCTTGAGCGGGCCAACAATTCACGATTCAACCAGTGGGTGTTTTTTTGCTTCGAATTCTGAATCTTGTGATAAGACGAAATGCAATAATGTAAGCACATGGCCCCCCACGGTGTATCTCGTGAGGTAAATTTCAGATGGTCTGGAGTTGGATCGTCAGGGGTGGAGGGGGACTGGGGGGAGCAAACAAGGTTAATTCTGTAGCGAAGCTACAGTAACGGCCAGGAACAGAGCAAGGGTGCAGCTATCCATCCACGGCCAGGCAATCTCGCCAACGAGGCAGCCCTCCCCCTCCCATGTGTTTGGCAATCCCTTTTTGCCATCGATTTCAGTTCTCAAAAGTCTCTGTTTCCCATGTTCGGCGCCTCCCTTCCGCATGCCAATGCTACCTAACCCCTGGTACACATCGATTCGGATTTGGATCCCTTATCGCAAAGATGCTGGGACAATTCGCATCCTGGCAATAGTTTCTTGGCAATAGTCTGTCAGTGGTGTACGCCACCACGCCGTGGCTTTTCCTCTGCCCTGTCTATCTCTGCCTCTGTTCTATTCCCGTAAGTGATCTGACATCAATGGAAGACTTGACGAGGTTACACCGTTTGGATGTCGTGGTTCCCGACAGACGGGAGCTTAGGTTGTGGATCGTTGGGCCAGAGGTCGATTGTTGAGCTCGAGATTCGACTAAGTAAGTCAAGGTGGAGAGGGAGAGAGTGGGTTGGATCGACTGGCTCCAGAGACGCACAGGACCAAACTATTGACATAAGCTTTTAGGAAGGAGTTGCTAAGAAGGGCAGGATCTCTTAGTTGCGCAAGCACAAATGAAGAGGTCTCAGCTAGAGGGCGACAACTCGCTTCCTCGCCCGCATCTCACAGACTCATAGATCTGACAACAGATTTGCAACACAACACAGCACATTGAGCACAGTACCCCAAAGCGAACGCGAAGTAGACTGATATCAATTCCTTGGTGTTGATCTTGGCTTCAATTTACAGATGCTCGTGTAAGTACTGTAAAATAGATGTTCCTGTCTTCCCCTGTCCATAATCAGCCACAACAGCCTAATACAGCACTAGCTGCTCTTTGTGCCGCAACTTGCCCGCAAGGACCTGGACACGGCTTGCGGCCTCCCTGAAGAGGAAGCAGCTTAACAGCAAAAACGTGTCATCCTGTGCCTGTGGTTCGTCGGTTGCTCTCCCCTTTTCAATATTTCGGAGGCAGGCAGGCAGGCACAGGGTTGCAATTGGTGATCGAGAAGGTCTCATTTCATACAGATTGGCGGATAAGGGCGTATCTTTGTGCCGGGTGATGGCGTCCATGACGTCTGGAACGTGAGGTAGGGGAGGCGTCAATTGGATGCCACAGATAATCCCGGGTCCTGTGCCTGCGCGCTTTGCAGGCGTGCACCATGACTTGGCAGGTACAACTCGGCCTCTTCCTGCCGTTCCCCATCTTGCTTTTGCTTTTGAGGCTTTTGAGGCTGTCCAGTGTCCAGTGTCCAGCCCTAGGTGGCCTGGCGCGTCCCTCAGCGTCTGATCGTTACCTTAAGTGACTATCCAGGGTTGTCTCTCCCAGGTTCCCTTCTTCAGTCTCACTCACTCGCTCACTCCACACCCGTTTGCTGGCACGTAAGTATCGTGAGAGTGCGAGTTACATTCTCGACCTCAACGATTCCTTTCGTCAGTCAGACACTCCGTCGTTTTCGACCTTCACGGAGAGTCCATCGCCATGATGATGGGTTGGAAGAAGTCCTTAGGGCTGGCGGCCGTTGCGTTGCCAGCCCTTGTCCATTCGTTTGCACCTACCGATTCTACACAGGATGCCGTACGTATCTCGAGCTCAAACAACGCGAATGCGGAGATTTGAGCATGTTTGTTAACATCATGCTTTTAGGATCCTCCTCAATCCGGCTATCTACCTAATCATAATATGGTATGTATCTCGTGCCTGGCGATCGCAAGTAAAGTGGGCATTTGAGCACTTGTTGACAACAGAATTTCAGGATCCCAAGCTAGTAGCCTCCTCACTAGCTATGGGATGGAAATTGACCTTCAACCTCAATGAAGTCTTTTATGCCAAGCCACTGGTCTACACGCCTCCTGGAGCACCAAATGAATATGTTATTACGGTGTCGAATCAAAACAATGTTCGCGTGCATGATGGGTTGACGGGTACTTTGATCAAGATGCGGACCCTGGATCCGCCATTCGCTTCCAGTGATGCCAACTGTGGTGATATGCCGAATACGATTGGTATTGCTGGAACACCAGTCATCGATACTGCTTCGGATACCATGTACTTCTTTTCGAAAGGGTATAAGAATGGTGTGTTTATCTTTGTTGGTGGAAGTGATTGAGCTGACTGGTTTGTAGGTCAAGCTGGACCGCAGGGAGCCATCAACGGTTTGTGATTCTCGATGTCACAAGGAAGTTTGACACCTGAACTAATGATTCTAGGCGTGTACAAGATGTATGCTGTCAAGCTTCCGGGTTTGACAGACGTGCCTGGATTTCCGGTTGTCATCGATGGCCATGCTGCTAACAATGACCGCACTCGGTATGACTGCCTAATTCAAAGATCGAAGATTCATGACTGATATCTTGGTAGCTACTTTGTAGGAGGTACCATCCTGCAGAGACCTGGACTTGCCATGCTTGGCAATACCATCGTGTAAGTGACATTTGGATCATGCTTTTCGAGAATTTCGCTTACGACGTGTTTATTCAGAGCTGGGTTTGGTGGTCATTGTGACAGATTCAACTACACAGGAATGCTGGTTGCTGTCAGCAAGACGGCCGGAGTTGGTGTTACAAATATCCAGGCAATGCAAGCTAGTCCTGGTGCTCCATCGCCACAGGAGCTCGACATCAATGAAGAAGGAGGTGGAAAAGCCGGCATTTGGCAGGGAGGCATGGTGAGCTTCAAGACTCAATTCGAGTCGATCGCTATTGACGGGATCTAGGGAATTGCTGCTGATATTAACCGAGTGTTCTTCATCACTGGGTAGGTGGCGGGTAACAAAGACGTGATCACATGTACTGACTGCTCCTCAGAAATGCTCGTGGAGCTGGACAGAATGGAGGAGCAAATGGCGCTCCAGCAAGTGGCAAGACTTATCTCAGCACTCTCGAGCAGGCTGTCGTTAACATGGGCGTCAATCCAAGCACGGGTGAACTCAAGCAGCAAGATTATTTTGAGACATACGCATACGACAGTAACAATGGAGGAGATACCGATTTTGGATCTGGAGGCTTGGCTTTGCTTGACCCAAACGTCTTTTACGGCACAGGTGTAAGCAGAATTGCAATTGGCGCAGGCAAAGATGCAAAGATGTTCATCATGAATGCGGACAATCTTGGTGGATTCGCAGGAGGTGAGAGACTCGATTGGTTCCTTGGCGAGCTGATACTAACAATACGCAGGAAAGGCAGGTGCTGATAATGGTAAATCCTTCCATCCTACAGCTGGTCTGGTACTAATCATTACAAGTCCTCCAAACAATCAATGTTAGCAAGCAGGTCCTCAGCGGCATCGGAAGCTACCCACTCGAGGGAGGATATGTCTAGTACGTTTTCCAATTTTGTTTTGGGACTTTGCTCACAGGTCGACAGCATCAACCCTTCTGGTATGGGTCTGTACGCGTACAAATTCAGTCGCGATGGAAATGGGAAACCGGTGTTCACACAAGCTGGAGTATCGGACCGAGTATTTACTAGCAAATCCGTCCCAACAGTGACAAGTATAGCCTCCCTAGACACCCCCAATGTTCAAAGCTAATGATCGTAGGTAACAATGGAGCTCCAGGATCTGGCATTGTAGGTGTTTGAAGAGTTATTTGGCCATGCGAGCTACTAACAACTGTTTAGGTTTGGCTAACAGACGTCAATTGGGGTCTTCAAGCCTACAACGCAATTCCTGTAAATGGGGTAATGACTCCAATCGTATTTCCAACCACGGCCGCAACTGGAGGTATCACGAAGTTTCAACGGGCTGTGTTCGGAGATGGGCGAGTGTATACTGTCAGAGCAACCTCACTCATGATGCTTACTGGCGGAGGCGTCAAAGCAAACCAACCTTTGACTTGTGCTCCTAATCCAGTTGCTTTTGGCAATGTCATGACCGGACAGACGTCGACCCTTCAAATTAAGTGTACCGCGAACACAGCAATCACCAATCCGAAGTGCAACATCACGTCACCAGTTTTCAAGTGTCCAACAACCGCTCTGCCTACTACTGTGGCTTCTGGAACATCGTTCACCTTTGGAGTCGTAAGTTTATCTAAGTTATCAATAATAGTAAACAGCATACTGATTGTTACCAGACATTTGACTTGACTTCCGCAGCTATTTTGGCATGGCAGAACGCAAATGGAGGCAACCAGCTTCCACCTGGCACACAGGGCAGTAATCTCAACGTTTATACGACCACAGCTGCTTCTGGCTACCTACCTGGTGTTGTGGTGCCAATGTCTGGGACTGTAGTCGCTTCCGGCGGATATCTAACAGTCAACCAAACCGTAGCTTCATTTGGTGGGGTATATATCGGAGGCCAAGAGCCTTCACAAGCTACGAAATCGGTCCTCCTGTCCAACAAAGGAAGCGCTGCTCTGGTTTTCAAGGGATTTGCGTGGCAAGATTACTACGCTGATGGAATGCCTTACCACAACGTTACTTTGCCAATTGTATGTACTACTTTCCCTTTTATTGATCCGAGATGTTGGGTCCAAAATACCCTTGGATGACGTCTCAGGAACCAAATCCTGATATTATATTCCCGACTTTACAGCGCTAAATATTTTTGCAGGTCGGAAACGGATATACCTCGCCAACATTTCCTGCTATTGGGACCACATTGGCAGCAGGAGCAACTCTTACCATTCCTTTGGTGTTCAAGCCGAGCGCCACCGGAATCTGGGCTTCCTATCTCACATGGTGGAGTGACGGAGGATACACCACGTTGTTGATGCAGGGTATCGCTGAACCAGGAGCTGCTGTTTCATCTTCCACAAGCAAATCATCATCCTCAACTTCAAAGCCTCTGACTTCGACATCGAGCACAAAGGTTTCTACAAGCACATCTCAGCCTAGCTCCAGCACTTCGAAGCCAAGTACAAGCACGTCGAAGCCATCATCGGTCAGTACAAAGCCAACCACCAGTACCTCTGCACCAACCTCGACCAAATCATCAGCAGCCCCAACAGCTACAGGGCCTGCAATCAAGCCAACGGTCGGCAATTATAACGTCCAAGGTTGCTGGACCGAGTCGACGACTGGCAGAGCCTTGAACAAGAAGACTTATGCAAACGATTTAATGACACTAGAGATGTGTGCGACTTTCTGCTCTACCGCCCCAGGGAACACGATGTTCGGCGTTGAGTATGGTCGTGAATGTGAGTCTGTCTTTGAGGTACCTTTGATCTGAGCTCACATGATGTAGGCTACTGTGGCGATGTTTTGAGTGCAGGAAGTGTCAAGGCAGACAACCAAGCCGATTGCAACTTTTTGTGCCCAGGCGATCCGCTCACCTACTGCGGAGCTGGAAAGAGATTACAGCTTTACAGTCTTGGGGCCGCTTCATCTTCCAGTACAATTAAGTCATCATCATCGGTTGCGACTTCAAGATCAAGCACATCTGTTTCGACTGCAAAGCCAAGTTCCAGCACAAAGTCGTCATCTCCAACATCGTTTTCAACATCCACAAAAGCCACTTCAACCTCGAAACCTGCAAGTTCTACCTCCTCGTCGGCTTTACCTTATGTCACACCTCCTGCTCCCAAACAGGTTGCGTATACCTGGAGTATTGGATGGGTACAAGCATCCCCAGATGGGTTCTCTCGCCCAATGATCGGCATCAATGGTCAATTCCCCTGTCCTCCCCTCAAAGCCAACATGGGGGACACTATCAAGATCACCTTGACAAACAACCTGGGAAACCAAAGTACGGCTATCCATTTCCATGGTATCTTCCAGACCGGTACTGCATATTCCGATGGACCTGCCATGGTCACTCAGTGTCCAATTCAACCTGGCGGTACGTTCGTGTACGAGTTCAAAGTAAATCAACCAGGCACCTATTGGTTTCATTCTCATGTCGGGGGCCAATACATTGATGGTCTCCGCGGACCTCTCATCGTCAACGACGTCAACGCGCCATACCGTGGTATTGACACGGAATACACACTCACGCTAAGCGATCTTTACCACACAGAAGCGCCGCCCTTGATCAACTACTACCAATCAACTGATAATGCCAACCAGAACAACGGCGCGGAGCCGGTACCTAATTCGGGACTTATTAATGAGGCTCAGAATGGCAATTTCCCGATGGTCGCTGGCAAGAAATACCTATTCCGGATCATCAACATGGGAGCTTTTGCGCCGTTTTATCTGCAATTCGATGGCCATGATATGACTGTCGTGGAAATCGATGGCGTATATACAACACAGAAGACCGTCAGCCAATTATTCATCACTGTTGCCCAACGATACAGTGTGATAGTCACTGCGAAATCGGATAGTACCAAGAATTTTGCTATTAAAGCATCAATGAGCACGGACATGTTCAATCCTACGATTATCCCTGCCACTTTCAATACAGAAGTCTCGGCTTATCTCGTTTACAACTCGGCTGCACCACTTCCTGCGCCTCTCACTATCAACCCACTTCCTTTTGACGATTCGATCTTTACACCATACGACCAGCAAGCGGCTCTCGAGCCCGTCACTATGCCAATTGAAATGACCATCAGCTTTGGGACCAATCAGAATGGGCAATTCCGTGGCTACCTCAATGGGATCGACTATATCCCACAGAAGGTCCCCACCCTGTACACAGCCATGAATGCCCCGCTTACCCAAGTCAACAACCCATCCATCTACGGTGCCAATACCAACTCTTACGTTCTTCCGCTTAATGCAGTGGTGGAACTCACTTTACAGAATCACGATTCTTTCGCCCATCCTTTCCATCTCCATGGCCATAATTTCCAAGTTATTTCTAGGACATCTGGAGGACCAGACTTCCCTATCAACATTCCCGCAGGAGCACCGATGCGCCGTGATACCGTCCAAGTCATGTCTGACGGCTCAGTTACCATCCGCTTCAAGGCTGATAATCCCGGTATCGCGCTTTTCCATTGCCACATTGAGTGGCATGTTGAAGCAGGATTGACGGCAACTTTCATTGAAGCTCCAACTGAGCTGCAAGCGGCGAAACTGTATATTCCAGTCAGTCACAGAGATGTGTGTGATATACAGGGTATTCCGAGGAAGGGCAATGCGGCGGGTAATTCGAAGAACTACCTGGATCTAAGTGGTGCCAACATTGTTGCTGATACAGACATGTGGGGGTAAGTTTTTCCGGATCGATGAAGAAGACTAAGCTAATTGAATACCAGTGCCCTTGTCACGAAGCCCACAAGTCCAGCTGCAGCATACCCACTCGGCTGATCCTACCTGGGACTCGGTTTGATATTCAAAACACTTTTGTTTTCAGTACGAAAAAGCAAATGCGCAAACAAGTTTGGTAACTATGAAATAGAATTGCAGCGCGGCGAATTGGTGTTTATCTCTTCTTTACAAGGCAAAGATACGAATGAATAGACGGGTATATATAGATGGATTGGTGGACTAGCTCGGTTAAAACGGAATAGTCAAAGTGCTCGAGCTTCTCGTCTGATAGATAAATGACATAATATGAGAATTGCTCAAAACGCTGCCTGAAATTTCCTAGATGCCAAGACTGGAGATTGAGAAGGATGCTGGCATAAATAATTATTGGAAGTCCAAACTTCTAATGATACGGTAAAAGAACGTTTGGCCTGACCCGAGGTTCCGACATGTGAGGAAATGAGTGACGAGAAAGGAGGAGCAGAGAGTATTGTACAGCAAAAAATAAGTAAAATCTGGGATCAACCCATAACACACTGAACATGGAGACATAAGCAGTTAAATGTTCCGAGTTTAGTTGACAACATGTATTGCTAGGATCACGGTATGTACTTACCTTTGAGGATGGAAGAGGAGTGGAGTTCGGTAGGGGAACGTATATTGTTACGAGGTATTGTACACACTATGAATCGTTTACTTTAAGTAGGTAGATTTGTAGCCTGATTTTTTTTAGGAATGTTTATAAGTAGTGATTAGTAGCAGGGAAATGCGGATTGTTCTTGGGTGACCCGACTCAATGCGACTCGATACATGAGTCCATCGATTACACGGGAGTTGCAGTGGCACTATCGTTACGGAGGGTCAGAACGGAACAAAAGTTGTGAATAATCGGGCCAGTGACCGAACGTGTGATCTGAGGATGCCGAATGCTCTTGTGATACGCATCGTGGTATTTGTTTTGGTCGACCTCGCTTAGGCCAGCCCCGTCTCTACATGTGTTCTGCTCGCTGAGCGCACGTCATTTGCTATAGAGAGGTCGGCTTTAAAGTAGTCTGCCACGGTCAGGTAATGGTATGATTCTATTTGACTCAAAACCATAAATAATCATTCGAGTTCCTACCTGTGAGTGAAGTCATTGCCTGTGGAAATTTGATTCGGCTGAAAAGGAGGTCGCTAAGGTTTTTCAAGCGAGAATTGGACTTGGTATTGTTGACAACTGTGGACGTGCTTCACAGAGCGTGGGCAGGATACCACAGGACCAGTTACTAATATGAGACGCTTATTGAAAGTCCCAGAAGTGTTTGACGACATTTAGAGAAGGAAGGTGGTCACTACAGCCCGCTGCATTCTACTAATCCATAATGCGATATCCTAAGAAACTTCAAGCCAAAACATCAACCACCCTCTCCGCCTCACATGGCGCCAGACCAGGCTGTCCCAAATAATGAGCAGACACAATCTTCGCCCTAAAGATCTTGGCACGACCCTCGATATCGCCCAAGGAGAATATTCCTTCACCTGTAAGCGGCACCGTCACGCTCGTCCCCAGCTGCTCCTTCTCGGCATGGAACTTCAGCAGAACCATACCACGCACACGAACACTTCCATCCATAGCGACAACTAGCCCTTTAATCTGATTCTCGCCTTTCAGCCACCTGAGATTCTTGAACACGGTCCCCTTGCCTGACCCGACGTCGATCTGACACCCACCTAGCAGGACTGGGCGGACAGGATCTTCAGGCGGGAAGCCGTACCCGCGGATACTCATCTGTGTTGGGCTGGTGAAGAACTCTTTGCCTCGTTTATCGATGATCTCTTTCAGTTCGTCGGAGTCGGATCCGAACATCGATTCGACCATGACTTGCACCTGCCTCGTCTCTCCCGGGTCGAGCGTCATACTTGCTGTTGCTAAGTACAAGCGATAGAAACGAGCATATAGACCTTGGATCTGGGCAGGACGTAGATATCCGCGCGGGATTTGAAGGGGTTGGTGAGGCTTACTTGGAGGATCTCGCGTGTGGCGGGGGACGCGGAGCGTGCGATGTATTTGGCGTAGTTGGACTGCGCGGTGTTGTTGGTGTCCGTGATCTCGACGATGTTAGGTGAGATGGAGGTGTCGACGAAGAGCGGGGTTGACGCTATGATGCATTTGTGGCCGTCGTTGTTGGGGATCCAGGTTGTTTCGAAGGTTACACCGTTTGGTGCTGTGCTCTCTGGCGGTACGTCTCGAGTATCAGTTCCTAGTAAGACCTTTGGTGGGTTTCCGCCGGCTGTGAAATCGACGATGTAGAATTCGACGCGGACGTTTCGTGCGGTCATGGGTCCGCGGTTGCGGTAGGTGGCGTGCACGGTGTTGGCGTGGCCTACCCAGGGTTGGTTGAACCATTGGGACGGGTCAGTGAGGCATTTGTCGTTGGTGATGAGAATATCCGGGCTTTGGTAGCTGTTTCCGGCCGGCCAGGGACGTATGTAGAGGTCTGGGCGGCCGTTTGTGCCGTATTGGATGCGGATCTGGGATTTGTTGCCGGAGATGGAGATGACTGTCATCTTGAAGTCGGAGATGGCTCCTGAGCTGGTATCTGTTTCTTTGTAGTCTTCGCCAGTGGTGAAGAAAGAGTTTTCCCTGAACGGAGTTTGACTTAGTCGTTGAGGAAACTGTTTGAGAAAAAAAAGCTAAGCGAGGAAGTTGTTTATCAAGAAGGTGTTGAGACGTTCAAAGAGGAGGATGAGGGGCTTAATAAGACGTACAATTCAGCATCTCTCCGTAGACGCATGATTTGAGGACGTGCAATTGGATACGAGAAATTATGAGAAATCATATCAGTTCCCACAACGACCGCATCTCCAGTATCGAGTTCCGAAGCAACTGCCTGGTCTCCAATTTGACTTACTTGCCCTCGGCGATACTCGAAGTAATAGTTCCAGCCGTCAGCAAGCCTGATCTCAACAGCTGAGAATTGATCACTTCCAACTGGAGGAGCACCAAGTTCCGCAGCTTGGAGAGTGACGAACTCATCTAAGGGGATGGTGGACCGTGAGAAATCGAATGTTCGCACCCATTCGGGCCTCAGCCAGCCTGTCTCCATTTTCTGGCCAACTGTCATGTGTGGCAAGTGAGCTTCTCTGGACATGAGATCAAAATTGGTGATGTTTCGTTTCTTGATCTCAGGAGAGAAATCGGTATTGAGACTGGTGTACAAGTCTGGGAATCCAAGATTGTGGCCGATTTCATGGCAGAGTGTACCTAGCAAGTCTTTGGTAGGCATAAAGGTGCTCCACGCATCTGGCATACCTAATACGGCGATGTTGGCAGAGCCGCCAGGAACGGTGAATGTGTCGCCCCAAGCTTGTGGCCAGAAGAAATGATCCGTTGCTGCGGGGCCTGAGGAGCGAATGACCATGATGATTGTCTGCACAGTTTTGAAATCGACGAGTGCGTTGCCGGAAGCGTCTGTGAGATCTGCTGCTGCTGAGATACAGGCTTGTGCCAATGCACCTCTCGGCCCGTACGAGGTAGGTGGAAAGGCAGCGGACATCTTCAAGAAGTACGTATCCCAGTCTTCAGGGAGACTGACATCGAGAGCTTGACCTGCCGCTAGGTTCAGGGTGAAGCGGTTCTGAGGAACTTCTTCGAATTACGCTTTTGCGCTTCGTATTTTGCCGTCTGCTCCAGGCACTGTGTCGGCTGTGGCATCAGTCCAGACTTTCTTGATGGCGTCGAAGTCAGTGCCGGCTGGATAACGAGATGTGCTTGTATCGACCATCAAGATACAAATGTTTCTCGTGCCAATTTGCGGAATTACATCAATGTTTTGAGGAGCGGATGAACCGCCTCCCCATTTATATCACGTAACGAAGTCTTGGAGCTGTCCTACAACCCAATGAGGTGGACGCACATCCTTCTCTGGCCAGAAGGATATGATTTCGTAGTCAAGCTGGGCGAGAACAGTCGTGCCAGCTGAGTCAAGGACTTGGAGAGCATGCTGTCCAGCCTGATAGCCGACTAGAAGCATTACTTCGTTTGGTTTGGAGAGGTCATCTTTAGTGAAGGAGATGGAGCCGCCGGAGCCTGGTGGACTGGATTTGATAAAGAAGGTAATCAGGTCGAGTGACAGGCCTGAATCACCGAAGTCAATTTGGACACGTTGGTATGAACCGATGAAAAGCTTGCTGGTCTCGATACTGAGAGTGATAGAAGCCATGGTCGGTGGAGTTGATGGGCAATGAGAATTCTACGCGAGTTCTTGTTGAATAAACAGAGACTGGGACTTACAGATATTTAGCTGCAGGAAATCAACACCACTCTTCACTTACTGAAGTACTACGGCTTTTAGTATATTGAAGCTGAGACTCGGTATGGCGAATAAAAGCAAGACGAGGCTGCAGCTGAGACCTCTGAACTCTCTTCAAGGGAAGCAGAATAGTTCGGCCCTACAGCTTTCGTCCGGTGGCTTGCCTCCTCAATTGAGCCAAGTACGCAGCTCCCATGACTTTCATCGCAAGCCGGATTCTCACATCCACCATCAGAAACAGTGCAAACTGAAACCTATCTTTGTTTGGCGGATAAGAACTCCTGGTCTTGGTACTTGGATGATATGGAGGCTGGGCAGCGATGCCACCCGTAAGCAAATGCAGGTCCTCGGATATTAGCTTCATAGCCAATCATCTGCAGATATTGTGCATAACCTCTACTCGGTCAAAACGTCGATTTCGTTGTCATTGATCCTGATACCTAGCTAGAACCAACAGCTGTACTTCATCTTTTCGATAGAATGTGTACCTTAGAGCTGGTCTTGTGCCAGTCTCTGATATCGTTGCCAAGCGAGAGCTTTGATGATTTCTCTACCGAAAATTTAGTGGAATGTCCTTTCAGAACTTGGAAGTAAGATCGTTATCTGATTTTGATATTATTATCTACTTTGGATATTAATATGTGTAAAGTCTCTTTGAACAAGAAAACCCATATTCAACAAGACATCAAGGTCAGGTTGTAGATAGATATGTACGATGCTCGCTCACCAGCAGTCTAGATATATTCGAGTCAACGCCAAGCTCTATCGCTTGCAGAAATGCACGCAATCATCCAATCCTGAACGCCAGGGCTCCGCTCATTTATTGAGATAATTGAGCCAATACATCAATCCATACCAACTACTTTCTGAATCGTCAATGCGTCGGTCAATACCGACTCCCATCTAATTCGAACCTGCAGGCGTAATCTTCTCATTTTCCGCCTCCTCACTGCTCGAGCGCTGCATAACACCATTCGGCGAGTTTGATCTCCTCGTCTCCTGGAAGTAGTTGTGCACCTCAGCACTGTACTCATCATCGTCGAAATCGTCACCGACAAGACCATCTTCGCGCTTTTGCTTCTCGGCCTCGCGGAGTTCCCAATCCTCGCGCATATCCTTGATCTTGCTGGCTTTGTCGAGCTCAGGGTTGTATGCCTTGCCGACGCCGGTCCAACGTTCCCACATAGATAAGTGCTTGGGGTGGACAGCGATACCATGGTACTCGTCGCCGCGGCCAGCGCGCAGGTAGGTCCATCGTCTCTCTTGCTCCTTGAGATCGAGACCAGTGGTATCTGGGAGAAAGAGGTAGGTGAGAAGCATGCCTGCAAGACCAAACCATGGCACGAAGTAGAACTTCGTTTGAGTGCCAATGTAATTGTATAGGACAGATGCAAGCAGAGCACCAGCTTTGCCGACGGCAGCTGAGAATCCGTGAGCGGTAGCCCGGACTGGCGTAGGGAAGACCTCGGCAGCGATAAGGAAGGTGACACTGTTTGGACCGAACTGGTTGAAGAATGAGGAGAGGAAGTACATGGCTTGGAATTCCTTGATGTGGTGGATCCCGGTGTAGTACTTGTAGTGGAAAGCGGGTACAACGAAGAAGATAAAACACATGAGGAATCCGATCTGTTGCATCCATTTTCGTCCATAGAGTTTGTTGTCAATGAGGAGCGAGGCAAGATAATATCCGCAGAGCGAGACACCGACGTTGACCAAGTTCCACAGCCAGCCAGTCATCACGTTACCGGATTCGGCTGAGGCTGGTGAGATGACCTTGATGAACTGTGATTGGAAGAGTTTGTTTCCGTAGAAGAACACATCATTTGCGAACCATGTGCCGGCCGTAGCGATGATTCGGGGTCCGAAATACTTGAAGGTCATCTTCAAAGACTGGACGTCGTATCCAGTGACATTTGCTTTCTTCTTTGACGCATTCAGCACTTTGGATGCGAGAGGCATCTTAAACCAACGGTAGTAGACAAGCCAGAGTGTTCCGACTGCTGGGAGAGCGAATGACACACGGAATGTCCACTGTGCGGAAACGGTGGAATATGGCGGATTTCCGCTGTGGTGGAAAATGAGGAGAAGGATGATAAGAATGGCCTGGTTGAAAAATTGACCCCAGCCCTGCATCAGAAATGCCATGGTGACCTTTCGGCCACGGTGAAGACGGTCCTCCTTGGTAGAAACACGTCCGGAGCCCGTGGCGTTTTCCATAGCTGCGGTTGCGGTCATCGGATACTCTCCCCCAACACCGATACCATAGAAGAAAAGGGCCCATCCATAGCAGATAACCCAGCCGTTCAAGTCGACACCCCAGGATGCAACGAGCATGAGGAGACCACCGAACATAATGAGGGCATCTTGGATCAAACCCCAACGGCGCCCGATTCTGGTTTATATTAGCAAAGTCACGTGAAGGGGTGACTCCTGTGACAATAAGAAAACCGAATCTTACCCATCACCAATGATACCGACAAGAATCTGTCCCAAAATAATACCAACAACCTCGAGATAAGTCACTGCGTCGATCCATTTCTTGTCACAGACTTCAAACTTCTTCCAGCATCTTGGCCAAACAGCCTGGAACAATGGAGTAAGGTTACCGATTGAGAACAGAACATATCCATTGAGTGTCAGCAGTGGCTTTTGTGACATTGGATCGTCTTACCCTTCAAGACCCAGTCCAGCTCCAGGGAGGACAGCATGTCTGAAATACCATCCAACAGGACTCAGAGGATCTTTCTTGAACATGCTCCAGAACGAGTTGAACTCCTTCTTAGCCTCGGCATTGTCGACCTTATTCACGAACTTGATTCTCTGTCCGATGGGAAGGTCGGCCCAGTAAACGCCCTCGGGAGTGTACAAGTCATCGGGATGGAGGAGGTAGTCGAAAATCTCCATCTCACGGTTCTTGTCGTGGGCGTATGGGAAACTTGCGTGGTCGTCACCAGTCTCAGGGCCATGAGGAGCGCTGACCATTCCCATATTTGTGGGATCATGGTGTCGGTGGTGGTGAAGGAGGTTGGCCATTTTCAACTACTTGAGTCGAGATGACTCGTTGAGATGAGAGAGTCTTGGGAGTTCTCGAGTCAATTGAGACTCGCGGAGTTGAGTGAGAAAAATCTACTGAGAGAAGAAAGGCTGAAGGAACGGGGGAGGAGAATAATATAGCTGGAAGAATGTAGGGCAAGCAGGGTTGTGGTAGTCTGGTTGGGTAGGTAGAGCGGGAAGCAGGGTTAGGGTAGTGGATTGCAAGTGGAGTGGCCGGTGCAGACGGAGGTTGAGCGGGACTAACAACCAGGAAGCTAGTGAAGGTAGTACTCCAAGTACGAGTACTCGACTCCAAAGGACTTGACCTTTGCTGCAATGCCGGGAAAGAGATGTGGAAAGGAGTGGCACGAATTGACCGATAAAGTCGACACATGCACGCGGGATCCGCTGTGATGGGTCGACAAGACGGATGTTGTGCTGCCACTGACCGGGAGGATCGGGAAGGAGGGGGAAACTTCGCGACTTTGTGGATGAGACAGTGGGAAGAACACAATCGACATATGAAATAACTCGGCCTACCTACCTGCCCAGTCTGCTTGCTTGCTTGCTTGCTTGCTGCTCGACTCACGTCACAAACGAACAAGTCCATCGTCAACGAGAAAAGGTAAAGTGCAACAACGGTACCCTAAAGCATGGCTCAAGCCCGAGGCGGACGGCATTTGAATTTTTCTGGTGCGTAAGAGGCAGAGGCACACGCAAAAGCTTGAGCTTATACGACTAGCTGACGCTTAATTGTCGATGTGACAATGGGAGCATATCAGATTTGGCTAGGGCCATCTGGTGGGAGATGCTCAAAGTCACTTTAGTCCATTCAAGGAAGCTTTCTTGCGTGAGGAAGATTTGTCTGAGATGGAACTGTAAGTAACGGTGCCGGTGCCAGCGCCAATGACCGAAGCCAAGGCGCCGGCTGTTCTGCGCTTGCAGGGGTCTGGCCAGCATCAGTGCCTCCACCCAGGGTCTTTTGCAGGAGTACGGAGAGTGGAGTGGAGTGGATCGGATCAACATTGTTCGGTTCAAGGTTAAGGTAGGTAATCTAATCTGGAGATGGACCTGATCCTTGACATCAGGATGTGCCCTGTTTGCAGCGTCATTTTGGGCAGCACGATTGACTGATGTTACAGAAGGGAGATTCACAACTTAAACAACTCAATTGTGACCGTATCCTGGCATGTCCTCATTATGTCAAAGAGCTTTTCTATCCTCATCACGTCGCAGAAAGACCATGATCGCGGTGCACCGTTCCGTGTTTTTGCTCCAATACTCGTAAACCACCTGCAGTCCACAGTTCCGTAACCGAGCAATAGACCATCGATCCCACCAAAGGCAATCCATTCCACTACTCTCCCCCGTTACTCTCTTCCCCTTCTGCAGCTAAAAGAAAATGTTCAACCCGCATATTTTTGTCCCAATGTTGCCATCCCCCACGCCGCCTTTTCCATCATCTGATAGCCTCTCATCGAATGGATTAGGTATCTGGAGAATCGAGGCGTCTAGAGCGGCCAGTGGTTGCGGTGACAATTTTACTCGTACTCTAGCATAAAAGTTGGATCTTCCTTGTCCTCTCCACTTATCAAATAGATGCAGCAAAGTGGTGCGACAAGAACATGGCTTTTAGTTGGAGGCAAGAAAGATATCGATATCACATATCAAGTCGTCTTCGGCTATGTGCATTTAATAATCCCCATCACTGGCTCACATTCGTCCCAGGGCTCAAAATCAAGCTCAACCAAGCATTTACTTGTGCGACTCGAGTTTCTCTGCTATCTTCGTTCTTCTCGGCGCCATTCCCGCCCGCAAACACAGCGCACGCGATACGTCTCACTGCGGTGAAGGCAAGCCTTTCATCCAAGACTCCAAGACCGCCACGCGCACATCCAAGCCCTCAGCCGATTCTGACAAACGCTTGTTATTCTGAACATCACTCGCCCCTCAAAACTCCCCACCACCGAAAAGCTCCGCTCTTCACTCCACAAACCAAAATACTTTTTCATTCCTTCTCGGTCGACCCGCCCCAGTTGCAGAGACACGACGTCCAGATAGCCAATCAGACTGCAAGATCAGAGCACGTTGCACGATGGTTGGAGATGAACCCCAGATGCAATGCCGAGCCGCTAGATCTTAGCTCCCAGCTAGTGTGGGCTAGAGAGCCCCTGCTCCAAAAAGCGAGGCGAGAGGAACGACGAATAAGGCAATTGGAGGCGTGCTCCGTTTCCTTGTTGAATTCTCTGTTCGGAGGCACGAAGTGAGAGGAGTGCTACGGGGCGAGAGATGTCACGATATGGTGATGCCTGAGGAGAGTGCCTAAAGACTTGCGTTGATGGACAAGATCGAAGTTTAAAAAGGGCCTTGGTTGAAAATGAAGTCACTTGAAAATAATGGTGTGGGGTCAAACACAAAGTGCACGACATCAGCAAAGCAAGCAAACAAGCAAGCTTCGGTACTTCACCAATAAGTGTCGGGAAGTTCAAATGAAGTAATGGAAGCTACCAATTTCCTCACTGCTTTGGATTAACTTAACTAACTTACAAGCAGATCAATCCAGTCGGGGCCACGCGAGCGCCTGCTGAACTATTTCATACAATTACTCAAACTGGCCATGCCTCAAAATGAAAGCACAGATCTGGAGAATTGACCTGGAAAGCGTCTCGCAGCCTGAGGCTCAATATCGAAGTCAAACCCACGTGCGCCGTTCTGGACGTTCATACGTCCATTCCTCCCAGCATAATCACCTCCTTTCCAACCAACAAACGCACAACTTCGATTAAATCATCAGCATAAACCGCAATTCGGAAACAACGGCTGTATAGCAGACGTCATCATCGCTCAGCACAATACAGAAACGAACCTTGTGGTCGGTAGTCCCGACTGGCATGCCAGATCAAGACCATCCATCCAAGCCTGATCAAGCCTTCTTGACAAGCCAGACCCCATGTCTTGCCTGTCAGCGGAAGAAAGACAGATCGACCTTGCATTTACAAGGTGTGCTTGCCTGGCATGGGCATGGCAAGACAGGGGACAGCAAGTGTCAAGAAACGCCACAAAAGCTTGAGGGCGTGAAGTGGATGACCGGCGGCGGCGCCCAGGCGCAAGGCTCGGATGCCACACGTTGAGGCGTGCTTGGCGCTGAGTGGCTATCGCGACGACATGTCTTGTGTCTCATGTGGGAAGTGTGCCTGGGGGAGATGCATGATGATGATGTTTTTCATGATGATGGTGATGAGATGGGAGACAAGGGGGTAAAAGGGAAAGAGGATGGGAAATGGGATCCGAGATATGGAGAGCTGAGCTTGGCGAAGTGAGTGAGTGATGTCTCCATCTTGCAAACGATGGCTGGATTCTTGGCTGTTGCTCGAAGTAGAAGTACGAGAGCGCAAAGATGGGAGGCAAGTCCCAGATCTCATATATTTCTCGATTCGGACATACGGTCCTCAGGATCGCGAGATAGGTGGAGAAGAAACAAGAAGTCTTACTGCACACCTCGCATGACGCATCTACTGTCATCTCCCATCCGCCAGACTTTCCCGGCAGATTCGGATCAGATGGCTCTAACGAGCTTTGCCATCGCTGCTTCACTTTCTTTTTCCTCTCTTGTCTCCCTGCGGCATGTTCTTCTCCAAACACAATTGGAAAACAGAACACGGTCTCTATGCACATTGAATGATTGGTACATCATTTCCCTTCTTTCTTATCTATCTACCTATCTACATCTCGATTCCAGCTTCAAGCAATGTTGACATGCAGCGTTAGCGAGTTCTCACTGAACGCCACCAACAACTTCTCTTCTCAGCCACAGTGAAATGTCAATTTTCTTATCTCTCTCACCGAACTCCAACTGCTTTCTCGAGAAAAAAAATCGAGCGTTAACGCTCCAAGAACGCCTTTCGTTCCCCTCCAAAGAGACTGTAAGAAGATATCGTCAGTATCTTCTATGTCCGTATTTCTCATTCTCAGCACCCAAGTACCCCCCCTGTTACCATTTCCATCTCATCTGAATGACTTTCCTAATCCTGCTCTCAATACCGGCTGCTTTTCATTGATTCGTTCCTGTCCGGTGAGTACGATCAAGAGCTTACTTGAAATTTTCACGTTTGATTGCCTCGTCTGATCTCTAAATTTCCTCTCTCCATCTCGGCAGTGTCGAAAACCAATAAATGCTGTTCGAGCAACAACGAGCAATAACAGATGCTAAGTCGCTTTCTTATTGTGTCCTGTTTGTCCCTGCGTGGGACTATAGACAGAGAAAACGAACGCATCAGGGGTTTTCCTCTCCCTCTCGATAAATGGAGGTCTTGTAGGACCTGTCCGTGCATGGTGGTTGTCGTGGTGAGTATTATAGCCTCTTGTCATTCGCGCTTGCATCTGCTCTCTGCTTTCTTTTGACTTGATTCGCCAGGAGGAAAGCCGTCCCAGTGTACTCCTTGCCTCTTTCTTCGGCCATGGCAGGCTCAAGAGTCTGCCTTTGGGTTCTAACGCTGACCATGTCATCTCGGTCCTGTCGCTGGATAGATGTCTCGCTAAGAAAGAATAGTTAAGAAGAGAGACTTGAGAATTTTGAAGAGTGTAGAGAGGTACGTAGATGGTCGAGATGCCAACTCAATAGGACACACTTTTTATGCGAGGCTCATACTCGCGATGAGGATTACTCTTGCGTGGAGAACTTGCGTGGAGAGTGAAAAGAATAATTGAGAGAACTCCCTTCGAGCATCAGACTATTTAGTCGAAAGCTTTTACCTTTACACAGGACGTGAGTTGATGTCGTTTACTTTATACATTCTATCGTCCCTCATCTTAATAGATTACAATTCCCTATCTTTAATCGAACTCCCAAACTTCTTCCTTCGCTCTCCAAGATTCTTCACAAAATCTCCTGCCCATTCTTCCTCTCCACCTGCCCTCTCCATGAATGCCTCAACATGTGTCTCCCAACATCCATCCTCTAACATCCGGGCCTTGCTCTCACACAACTTCTTCTCACTCCTTGGCATCTTTGGCCAAACACCTAGCTTCGCGCCCATCCCCTCGTCTAAGAAATTGTCGTTCACGAGCTGAGCGACTTTCATCCTCACGCCATCAAATTGCTCTCCCTTCTTTAGGAAGATAGCGAGCAGGAGCTCCATGCCTCCTTTCTCCAGAAACTCGTCCCTAATAAGCGGCTCCTTCAAAAGTCCACTAATAGCACCAACCTTCGCCTTCAACGCCCCAGCATCCTTCTCCCTCCCCAATCTAGCGCGAAGCATCGACACGAAATTCGGGATGCCCTTCTCAGCTCCGTTCCCGCTCTTCATTTGCTCGACTACACCGCACGACGGGTACATGACCATCTTCCAGAACTCGCTGACCTCCTTGAGCGCCGTGGGGTTATTCTGTATAGACGAGGCGAGAATATTAGCTGCCTTGTGGTCGCGGCCGTTCTCTCGCGCGGGTATCTTCTCGGTTCCGTAGCCGAGGGTGAGGCAGATGAGTTTCTCGAGGACGGGGCCGTCTTTGGCGATCTCGAGGCCGTAGTAGATGTCGTGGGAGAGGTCGCGGAGGTCGTCGAGGGCGGAGTCGAAGGCTCGGGCTTCCATTTGGATGGTTATCATGGCCTTTTGGAAGGTGGTTATTTCGTCGCCAGATTGGGGGGTTGGTGGGGGGATTTTGCCGGCGGTGTCGTAGATGGGGGCGTCTTTTGGGGGGATGGGTTGGGATTCGGAGTCCGAGTCTTCGGGTTGGGGGACTACGATGACGGATTGTTCGGTGGGGAGTTGGTCGGTTGGGATTTCAAGTACGCCATCTACTGCTCCTTGTTCGCCTTCCATTGGTATGTTCAGTCGTGCTTCTTTCTCCCCTGACCAGATGTTCATCCGTACATGGAGCCCAGGAGGTATGTTCTGTCCTTCTTTTATGATTTGGAAGTCTTCCGTGGGCTCGAAGGTTTTGGAATAACAGTCTGTTGGATCCGTACTTGAACATATCAGGTCTGCGTCTGCTGCTGGTGATGCTTCTGGTGGAGGAGAAGAAACTGCTAGTGCAAGTATTGGTAGGCTGAGGCAGACAAAGCCTAAAATACTGCGCGTATGTAGTTGAACCATTTTGTTCGTGGTTTGTGATCCGTTGGATGGTTGTAAATTTTCTTTCAAATGTTCTCTCAAAGACACGTTTCAATCAGTCACGATAGAGAGGACACGATTGACTTTGCGCTTCAGTCTTCGTAATATGCGCCGCTGCCTCTCAGCCAACTCCACATCAAGTACAGCTTGATTGAAAGCGTGTATGTCCAGCGGTTTCGATTTACCTTCGGCCTGGTTTTGTAGCTCAATTTGCCAGGAATCCAGAATGCAGGGACAATCGTCGAATAACTCTTTCCCCTCCCAGCTAGATCTCAATAATGGGCAATCCTGCCACTTGACGAGGTACCAGATGAAGCCTGTCTTGGATGTAAACTGCGCAAGAACCTTCTCAGGAGGATGATCCTGGCCGTCGTCGGTTTCTAGAGAGGCAAGCGATTCGGTGTCCTCTTCGAGATCGTCACTTTGGTCTTCCAGGTATTCCGCAGCAGATTGTGGGTTTGTGGAAGCCATTTTGAGGACAAGTGGCAGCTCTTGTACAGCTATGGAGTTCGAGCTGGACATATTGCCCCTGGACTAAACCATGTTTGGCGATCTTACCGCCCCGCTGACTAATTCAATCATCAATGAGGAGCCCAACTTCAACATCACATCTTCAAGACCAGAGCTGTGTTTGCGCCCAATTGAACCACAACAACATGTTTGCACTCAGAAAGGCAGTTGGATCTGCCGGGCGTTTTCCTGCAGCTGCTGGTCGGAGAATATCCCCATACTCGACTGCGCACCCAGAGAAGCACGGCGAGCACGGAGACCATGGCGATCACGGACATCACCATGAAGGACCAAAGGCGGAGTCGTTAGGAGTGAGTACCAATGCCGGAGAAACACGATTTCATGCTGAAGGATTTTCCAGACCCAATTCTATGTCGTTCTCGCCATTGTCCCGCTATCCCTAGGCATCTACGCCGCATCAAGACCATCAGCAAACGGCCAACAAACAGGATTCTCCAACTTCATCGGCAACTACTACAACGATTACAAGGAGAGATGGACAGCACGGAATGGTTTGCACACAGCTGCATTGGAGAGAGCTGCGTTCGACAGAAACTTGTTTCAGAGTACTCCAGGGTCCAAGCATGTTGAACTGAGGTTCCCAGAGTGAGTCTCCTCGAAGCGCGCTGAGACAACTCTAACAAGACGTAGAGTCTTCAATACCGGATCTCCTTTCAACGTATCGGCTGGTCAGGGCCCGAGGAATATGGATCAATTGGTGGCGCATTATGAGAAGCAGAATGCGGATGCGGAGGAGAAGAAGTCCAAGGCTTTAGAAAGCAAGGAATAGAGGAATAGAGGATGATACCAGCACTGTACATATGAAATGCTTTTGAGGTCACTCAATGCCCCACGTTCGTGAAATTGGATGGAGGTCGAGATATGTTTCGATCACTCCTTCCCAGTCTGGAATTCCAAGGACATGGTTTGTCAATGGCTCCCTCCATTTCGATTATGATATCGAATCACTTGAAACTTATTTACCACAGCGAGAATGCCTGGAATTGACAGCCGTTCAGTGTCTGAATCCGTTACGGTTAATGGGGAATCTACAGACAGGATGGCGGACGAGACTCGAGCAACTACACAATCTCTACCCAGTAATGCTAAGGAATCTCATCAGGAGAAATCAACCGCCTCAAATGGCCAGAAAGCGGATGGAGATACAGACCCGGGGGCCAGTCCTCGCAACTCCGGTGCCAGCGGACTTGATGAGCACAAGGGAAACGAGATGCCAGCCTATGAGTCTCCTTCGAACAGTCGAAAGCGTATTAACATGAAGCAGCTGTCTCAGCAATTATCGAATGGCCAGAAGCCCATTGCAGCGCATTCGAATTATGTTTCGCCAAACGGGATACCTCACTCTGAGCTAGGACTTCCTTATACTGTCGTCTCCGCCATAACTCGACGACAGCTCGAAGCCAATGAACTACCTCCATCTCGTCGTGTGATGTTTGAGGATAACACTGGTTGGGCAACCCTCAACTCATTTTCAAGGTCTTGCACTAACTTTATTCCCAGATCCAAATCAAGGTCCAGGATACATATCCCCAGGTAATCCCCACATGAGACACCTGTTGTAAATCATCTCACTATAATCATGTTATAGACCAACTTTACGAGATCCGAGATTGTACAAATGGTAAAGGTCGTGGCATGTTCGCAAAGGTCAATATCAAGAAGGGCCAGCTGATCATGTTTGAGCACGCGTTAATCACACTTTACTTCTACAAAACGGTCATCAAATGGTCCAAGGATATTGCAGAAGCGTTGGACAAAGTTGGGAGCACATTCGACCGTGCGGCTCGTAAGGCATCTAGTACTCACAAGAGCGATGAAATGGCCGAAAGACCGCTATCCATGACGGCTACAGCCTTGAGCTCTACATCTACGTCGTTTCAGCCCACAATTTCCGAAGCAATGGCTTCTGGAGACGGTAGTAATAATTCACGAAAGCTTATTTCCAAAGCCAGCCAAACCCTAACCAGCAAGGCTAATCGCCATTATGATCATCATTACAAAATGACACGTCGATCGAGGTCATTGAAGCTTCTCAAGATGATGTTAGTGATGAGCAAGACATGGAAACTGTATCACAAGCACCCATTCTTTATCTTGGTGAAGATTTCGAATACAAGGAAGATGATGATACACAAACTCTAGTCCGCAAGCGCCTCATGGCGGATTTTAGCAACCTCTGCAAGTTCAGTCCTGCAGAAGCAGATGCTCTGGAACTTCTACAAACGGATCCCGAGTACCAGTATTCTGGCGACTGGCTATATCGGCTCTGGCAACGCTTTTCGCGAGAGACGCCTAGTCCAGGTAGCATCAATCCGGAACTTTTGGATCTGGACCAGAAAGTCATGACAGATGTTCAATCCGCTCCAGCACATTGTCAATCTTTGTTTGGAGACAATTGTTACATCAATCATTCTTGTCTCAATAATTCCAAGATCGAATACCGATACGAGGCTGGAGCCTGCTATGGCTGGCTCTATGCTGTCGTTGATATTCTACGCAACGATGAAATCACCCTATTCTATGAAAGAGGTGACAGAATCAAGCGTAGAGGACCTTCTGGACTGTACCCGGACGTGGAAAGCGAGTTCAATTTGGAGTGTGGTTGTGAGCCTTGCTTGCGGGGTTACAAGGATCGGAAGTCATGGGAGGCTAGAAACTGAATGTACTTAGTGAGGCACATATTTAGAAGAGAAATACTGCGGGGTGTTATTCGCTTGTTGTGCGGTTGGTATCTCATAATCCCGACTTCGGGAAGCATCAATATCGGTTGTTGTTTTAGCAACAAATGATATTCTCGCTTATACGTATATGTCTTGTTGTCATTGCATCGTGCTAACGTGCTTGATTCAACGCATTACACCTAGGCCTCAACGTAGTGCTTGAAGCAATTCACCCTATTGTTCATTGAAATGAGAAACCGGGCAAAGATGTGACTCTAGATGAATCGTCTAAAGAACAACTGGCTGGCTGGCTGGCCACGAGGCGGAAATTGAGACGTTAAACACTGACTATCTGAGACAAGAATGCCAAGAATAGAACAAGTGGCAGTTAAGGCTGTCATTTCTACGCCGCCGTGCCTGGATCTATGGAGAGCACCGAAACCAAAGTCAATAGAAGAGTTCTCGACTTTCCTTCAACAGAGGAAAAAAGGGTTTACCTAGAGAAAACATATCCTGTCAAGATCCTCTGTAATTTACAATTCAACTTCCTATTCTGTCCTTCTCATTCAACGACTACCTTGGCGTTCCAATCTAGCTATATTCCGTCCGCTCGAGCAAATCAGATTGCATGGGGAGGAAGGTCTAGCACGGCGATGCTACCTAAGCACGAGGTCTATATACACCAGGACTTGACAGGTCATGATTGGTGTGAGGCACATGCATCCCAATGCAGAACCGAATGCAACGGTCATAAGCTTCTTCACGATTAACGAGACTTCGCGTTAAATTTACCTAGGTAAGAACTCAACAAGAAAGAGGAAGTCCGCGATTGCCAAGCGCACCAATCAGATGGCTGAATGAACCTCGGCAGTTCCCCCAATGCACTCCCCGAAACCAATTCACGACGCCACATGAATATATCCGTTCAACCACCCCCGACATCCCCGGTCTCCCCGACGTGCAGCTGCTTCCCGACCTTATTCAAGGGGACAATTGCTGCCAGACCCTGTTCATTTTGAGCCGTCTACCCCGCGTTTCTGCCTCCACGAATAGCGACTGTTTCTCTATCACCCCATCTTCCTTGCTCCTGCAGGACATCTCCGGTTCCAACGTTATTCGGTGGGTCAGCTTCAAGGAGTTTGCATCAAATGAAAATGTCAAGATGATGAACTGTAGGACTTGATTAGGTCCCACGTTCTCCACCTAGTAGTGTTGGAACCGGGGGTATACTGTATGCGATGGCACTAGCCCAGTGGTATCGGTCCCTTTTCCATGCACAGGTGCTGCTGATTGAAACTTCACACTCGGTTGCCCTCGATTGGGATACCTGCTGGATTAATGTACTCCCATGCCATGATTCGAGCTAGATTCCCTCATGGACATAAAGCTAAGTCGTTCCCCCATGTTTTACATTCTTGTTGTCCCACAGAGTACTCTCCATTTTCTATCTTGAAAGGTGCCTTTGGATCAGTTCCAGCTCACTAGACACAATGGGTTTCGACGAGAAGGAGGCCGTTGGTGTCTCGCACATCAATGACTTGGACAAGTCTGCATCTGATGCCATTATGCTGGCTACTGAGGTCGACACGACCAAGTACTCGGCATTTTCGAAGTCTATGTTCAAGCTATATGGTGTTCTCGCAATTGCTTATCTGTGCGGGTGCCTGAACGGGTATGATGGCTCTTTGATGGGTGCTATCAATGCCATGAAGCCATACCAGGACTATTTTGGAATGTGAGTAAGGAGCCTCCAAAAAAATTAACAACCCTGACAAGATTTAGTGGAAATACGGGTTCATCAACTGGAATCGTTTTCGCTATCTACAACATTGGATCAATCCCCGCCGTTATTCTTACCGGACCAGTCAATGATCGATTTGGCCGTCGAGCGGGCATGTTCACCGGCTCGGTTATTATCATTATCGGCACTTGCATTCAAGCTCCTGCGATTAACATGCACATGTTTATGGGAGGGAGATTTCTACTCGGATTTGGTGTCTCTTTCTGCTGTGTCAGCGCCCCTTGCTATGTCTCCGAAATGGCACATCCAATGTGGAGAGGAACTCTTACTGGGCTCTACAACACCTGCTGGTACATTGGATCTATTATCGCCAGTTGGACCTGTGAGTCATTGTCCATGAGTTCAACTATAATGTTCGCTGACATTTTAGGCTATGGCACCAATTTTATCGATTCCAACTGGTCATGGCGTATTCCACTTTGGGCTCAGTTGGCATCCTCTATCGTTGTGGCAGTAGGAGCTTTCATGCTTCCAGAATCTCCAAGAGTAAGATCGAGCTGTCCCCATGTATTCTTGATCCTAGGCTAAAATATGTTTCGCAGTGGCTCGTAGCAAATGATCGGGTCGAAGAAGCACGTACCATCCTTGGAAAATACCACGGTGAAGGTATGATGTATCTCCAACCGAGTCCTTGGAGTGATGCTGACCACCTCTAGGCCGAGATGATCACCCAATTGTCAATCTTCAAATCAACGAGATGTATCACCAAATCCAAACCGATGCAAGTGACAAACGACCTTGGGACTACTCTGCGCTCGTAAAGACACGCAACGCCCGTCACCGTCTTATCTGCGTTCTCGGCATGGCGTTCTTCGGACAATTGTCAGGAAACTCGATAACGTCCTACTACCTCCCAGTCATGGTGGAGACTGCAGGAATTGCAGACAGTTCCACCCAACTCAAGCTCAATGGAATTTATCCCGTGCTATGCTGGTTGGGCGCCATCTTCGGAGCTCGCATGACAGACCGCATCGGAAGACGTCCTCTTCTGATATGGTCCATCCTCTTCTCAAGTGTCTGTTTCGCAATCATCACTGGTACCACCAAGCTTGCAGTCGATAAGGAGAACAAAATGGCGTCAAATGCAGCGATTACTTTCGTCTACCTCTTCGGCATAGTCTTCTCATTCGGATGGACACCTCTCCAAAGCATGTACATCGCCGAAACTCTTCCTACCGAGACTAGGGCAAAGGGGACCGCAGTCGGAAACCTTGGATCCAGCATTGCCAGCACGATCATTCAATACAGCAGTGGACCCGCGTTCAAGGAGATCAGTTACTACTTCTATCTGGTCTTTGTTGTTTGGGATCTCATCGAGGCTCTGGTCATCTACCTTTACTTTGTGGAGACGAAGGACCGAACTCTGGAAGAACTTGAAGAGGTGTTCAGTGATCCACATCCTGTCAAAAAGAGTCTCCAGAAGAGATCTGTACATACTGTCGCCAATACCATGGGCGTATCTGTGACCACTTCGGCGGATGTTTAGTTGTAGGGAATTGATCGTAAGGCTTTTTTGTTTACAGGCGATTCTCCCCGGTGGGCAGAGTTGTCATTCTCCATGCCATACCGTCGAGATAGTAATATATTTGGTAGTTTCTGTGTGTTCTGAATCATGTTTATCTGTCACTCCTCCTGCATTGAAGTGGAATCTAAGTCGCGAAGCTTGTCCTCAGCCGACTGGCATACCTACGGAGTAGCATCAGTCATTACACCTACACCTATACCATTTGATCCCGGTAAACACATGGAAGCGGATAAACATACTTGAGCCCGGTCCCACAATTCATGCCATCTCTACCTGGATAACCTGGATTTTCCAGGGTTGACTGTACCCCGCATTGGCCCACCATCCCCCCCGTCAGTTGGTCCAAACCCCACGACACGTGAGCACCTGCAGCCGAGGTGGGACGGCTTTCTCGACCTTCACACGACTCTTCTTAGGGTCACCTAGTATCCGAAACCCAATGCCCACCTACACCTCTCCAGGAATTAAGAGTCCGCACTTATCATACGAGCTACAGTGACGAGCAAGAAAGGAATGTCTTTCCAGCTCCATCCCCGAAGCAATTCGGATAGCTCTGCAACGATGGCGACACCATATTCTGCGAGGCCGAGGAAGAGAACTGCTCATGCTGTAAGTGTCTTTACCAAAAGGTGTCAACCTCCCGCTAAATGTACAATATAGTGCGATGCTTGCCGAATGAGGAAATCCAGGTAGATTCATTTTTCAACTAGAGGCGGTGTCCGAAATTGTCACAGACTCAAAAGGAGTAGTAACTGACAGATGAAAGATGTGACGGTCGACAACCTTGTTCATGGTGCATGGAGAATGAAGTTGATTGTCTGTACGGACAGCAACAGCAGCCATCGGGTGCAAACCAGGGCAAGAGCGACAAGATCCTTGAAACTGTCCTGCGTATGGACGGTCTTCTTCGCAGTATTCATGAAAATCTTGTGAGTGTTGTGATTGAGATGGAAGAGTAATCCTAATATGGAAATTATAAGAGCGATCAACAGCAACAAACTCTTCAGCATAGAGCTGTAACTTCACCGAGATTCTCGGATCCGTCGTCACCAGATAATAGTGATTTTGCCAAGGTGGCAAATGCTACTGTATGTATGACTTTCTTTCACACCAGTTCACAGTATCAAACTAAGGTGGCAACGAAACGTTCTGCACGCGTCAATGTTTCGATGGGTTTGACATACTTTCCTCGCTCCACGTATTTCCCGTAATTCTGATTTTCTAACGTACTTACAGATTCCTTCGACTCACATCAGCGCTACCGAGGATCTTCTAAGCTCCGCCATTGCAGCTCCATATCCATCTCTCCGTGCTCAATTCCGCCCTATATTTCTTCTAGAGAGCAGATGTCCAGCAATCCCGTTCCAGCCGCGATCAATACGGCCAGTCTTTACCACAAACGAGGCAGAGCGTCTCCTCAACTCCTTCCAGAAAAATGTCAATTTTTGGTATCCAACTGTAAGCAAAGCAACATTACAGAATATCTTCGAAAGAGTCAGAAATGGGTTTGTCGAAAATACCTGTGGAGACTGTGCCGCACTCCTCGTTATGGGACTGGGAGCTGCTTCGGAATTGGTTCAGCTAGTACATTCGAACGTCAAAGGCCACGGATTTGAATCTAGACAGCAGCAGAACGAGCTGATGACGATGGCTACTGTTTGTTTTGATGAAGCTTTGAAGCTTCTCAACGTTGCGTACATGGAGATCAGCACCATTTCGACACAATGTGTATTCTTAGCAGCGTTCGTTCGGTACTCGTTTTGTGAAAGACATGGCACTGACTTTGGATTAGGATTTACTGCTCCTTTTTGCAGCGGCCTTTACAGACATGGGGCCACTTGAATACGGCGGCTACCAAGTGTCGAGCCCTCCTCGTATATGGCACAGGGTCAGGCAATATTGAAGACGAAGAATGTATTCGTCGCATCTTTTGGTCTTGTTACATTATCGAAAGGTAAGAAACTCCTCACTCATTACGATCCTTCTCATAACTGTATGTTAGCGATCTCATATCTGAACTCTCCCATCTTCCCCAAAGCGGAGTTGCCGAAGTCGAGTCAGAAGTACCACTACCAGGTCCCTTGCAGACACACTTCACAGAAGCTGAAACAGAATCATCGGCTCTGTACTTCTTGTCCTGCATCTCAATAAGACGTCTGCTCAACCGGGTGCATCATCTCCTCTACGCCGAGGATAAATACAAGAACTATACGAATGCGAGGGATGAGGCCTTACGAGGTCTGATTACTGAACTTGATCGACAACTAGTACTCTGGCACGATACCCTTCCCGAGTTTCTAAGATTTGAAGAAAATACGAGAGACTGTAGGAATGAGCATGCGGCCTTCCTCCGACAGCGGTATCTTGCATGCAAGAGTGTGATATATCGACCATACGTTGAGATTGTGCTAAAACATCGAGAAATTCCTCACTCAACTGAAACGATCGACGCAGCAAGTCGATGCCTCAAAGCAAGCTGTGATCACATCGCGAACTTGCGGTCCTTCAGTCAGGTTTGTGACCCCTTCACTCTTCCCAGGCTTTTTAAGTTCTCTTTACTGACGTCGATGGTCTCGCCAGACTGTTATGATCGACACTTGGATCTGTGCCCTCTCGTAAGTAATGACTACATTGAAATCCTCACAAGCAGCTTTATGTTGCACATTCTCTCCCAAGGGCGGCGTCAACAGCTACTAACCGCACTAGAATGACAAGTACTATGTTCATCATATTAGTCGCCCTTCAGAATCCCTCCCTCCGCCCCCGACTCCTCGAACACAATATCCCAGAATTTGGTCCCCATCTACGAGACCTTCTCACTGCATGGATCGGAGTGATGCCTCAGAAGAGTCCAAGTATCCAGCAAAGCATACGCCTCATCGCCGAGATTGAGGCGTTGATCAGGGAATCTCGATGATCCACTTCGGATACCAGATATTTTCCAATAGGGATCTTTGGAGAGATACCAGCAGTTGATGATCTCTGGGCACGCGCATATGCCGGGTATATACTTGCGACGTGCAACAAAACATCCTGGTTGTCCAATCATTTCCAGGATGGAAGTCACGAGCCACAAATAATCATGTGATCCTAGTAGACAATTCCTCACTGTTCGTACCTACAGAGCACTGCTCATCTGACGCCGAGTCGATTTTCGAATACCTGATTCAACAACGATTCCGTCGTGACACATCATGTGTTCCAAAAGAGCTGGTGAGGCATTGTTGCACCCAGGCTAGCCTTGCTATCCACACAAGCAATGCCAGAACAGTCGGGTTTGATCAGTAACAAGAGTCAGAGAAAGTTCGCAGGAAGGGTCCACAGAGAAGAATTCCAAAACTTCAGCCGACTTCTCATCGGTCGTACACTCGATATCGCCTGTATATGTACCAAAAAAGGGGCGTTTCAGTATTACTCAATCATATCCACTGAGCTGTCCTTGTTATGAGGATAGATTCTTCCCTGATAATCTGGAAATATATACGGAAATGTCAGGCAGAGACAGAATTCTCGTCTCAAAATTTCCCTTTGCCGATCTCACTTTCCCAACCCTTCGCTCGTTCGAAGCCATTCGAGTAGCTTCTGAAGTCCCTCATAGCTTGATCGATTTCTTCTTCAGTATTCATCACGAAAGGACCGTATCGAACGACTTCTTGATCCAATGGTGAACCGGCAACAAGGACTGCATTACTGTTATTAGTCATAGTTTCTACCTTTGACTCATATTTTCCTACGAGGATTGGGGGGGAGGGGCCCGGGGTAATCACGAGTAGACTTACCAAATCTCCCATTCTCCTTTGCATCAGCACCCACCTCCGCCTCAACAACATCTCCCTGTTGCCCAAAAACAACATTCTCATACTGCGTCACCATCTTACTCTCCTCGCCACTACCAAAACCCACCTCCCCGTCAAGCACATACGCAAACGCATTCCACCCCGCTGGCAACTTCTGGCTGATCCTCCCACCTGGCCTGATCTCTACGTCCAGCAACCAGACCGGCGTATACGCCAATTCCTTCACGCTCTCAACGCCATGGCTCTCCCCAGAAATAACCTTGACATGCACTTTGCCCTCATCAAGATCCACCGTCGGGATCTCCTCCTTCTGCAGATCCCGGTAGCGAGGCTCAGTGTTTTTGAGCCTTTTGGGAAGGTCAACCCAGAGCTGGAGCCCGATGTTGGGACTTCCGTCTGGGTTTGGACGAGGGATCTCAGAATGCATGATTCCTCGCCCGGCTGTCATGAATTGGAGCCCGCCGGTGTGGATGGTGCCGCTGTTTCCCATGAAGTCTTCGTGGGCTATGGAGCCGTTTATTACATATGTGATTGTTTCTGGATGGTGTGGCGACGTGAGCATATGCACTTTCATTACCAATATTTTCGAAATTGTGCTGGAATTTCAATAGACGTGGTGACTTACCTTGTCCACGATGTGGATGATCCGGAAAGCCAGCAAGCGAAGTTGACTTGAAATGGTCGAGCATCAGGAAAGGAGATAATTCTGGCATCTGCGCCGTTCCGATTGAGCGTCTGATGCGTGCACCTGCCCCTTCGCTTTGCTCGCGGGCGAGGAAGATCTTCTGAATTTTGCGGGGAGAGGCCATTGTTTTTGATAGTGAAGAGAGCCGCCGAAACGCTGGGTTCATCACAGAGTCTTGCAGGGCAGGTATGTGAGACGAATTTCAGAATGTATCTAGATACAGTCGATTGAGGAAACGAGAACAGAGGTGTGCACATGGGGACTGATAGGCGGTGGACTTTAAGAGCACTTATAACACATTCCATAACAATCAGTAGCTTGCTCGCCGTGTCAATAGTGGCCGCATGTTACTAAGCTGAGCAAGCACGGAGTGCAATTCGCTAAGCGAGTCCAAAAAAGCATACAATTCCACTTAGCTTACGGATTGCTTACAAGCACATGTGAAGACCAAAGCATTCCTATTATTGGCCGAGACTGCGGGAAGATGAATGATTGGTGGTTTCGGACTGTACAAATCGGGAGCTTGGCACGCAAAATAAAGCTTGATCATTCAACTAAGTTGATGCTGGGTATGGCAGCAGGCTTGTGAACTTGGAATTCTGGATCTAGTTTGCTTTGTGGTCGGCTTGGGTTTTGCAAGTACGTCGCCGACTGAGATCGTGGTATGAGTATTGTGCACTTCAAACGACTGAAAATAGACGAGCTGCCGAAACCTTTAGCTTTGCTTGTGAATTTGTCACTATTCAGGGAAAGGACAATGGGAAAGAGATGAGAAGTTCAAAGGAAGGTGAAAGGCGGGAGCGAACATTTCCAGGAGTAATAGAAGTAGCTGCTGAGAATTACCATCCTGAAATTTGTTTCTTGTAAAGCAGCGAGAACATGGATAAGCAGACTCCTGTATCACTGTCGAAGAAAGAAGTTCATTGCAAACGACGTGAACGAAATTGTGAAGGATGTCATCTGCAGGCAATGCCTTCCAGTATGGGAGCCTTCAAGTCCACCATGAGATCAAGAAAACGTCCTGGAAAAGCTTTGCCACTTGATCCAAGTTTTCTACCAAGGCATGGCAGATCTTTCAGTAGAAGCAGGAAAGCAACGTAAGTCTTCTCAACAAAAGTCATCTCAAGCCCTTGATCGTGAGATTGACGTTCACGGGACCAAGCGATAGAAGATTCGAAAGCTTCGAGATCGACATAGAGTGAGGCTGTGCGACAGATCTCAATCTGCAACATCCCGCCGTCCTCCGTAATGTATGATGTACAAGTTCATTGCTCTTCATGTGGTCCCATGCCAGCTCAGCAAACCACAATAGAGAAATGACATCCAAGCTCGAAGGGAGGGTCGTTGCAGCTCCCGAGGCGACCCCTGGGACCTGGAGAAGAAAACCCTTAGAATCGAACTTGCAGACAAGGAACAAGTGTTCACGAAGTTATGGGTGCTGCCACGCTCGCGTGCCAGTTGTACGAAAGGTACAGTGTACCCCCCGGTCCCAATGTTAGCTCGCCACTGGCGCCTAGGCAGCTGCTTTTACGTGCTCCCCTCACGGTTGCTATATCAACATACCTAAATCTGACACTCTAAACCCTTGTCACCTCTTAAAACAGCTTGAAATTCTTCTATTTCAAGTCTAATTGATAAACTGAGCAGGCCCACAATTTAACATTGGGACCGGGGGGTACACTGTACAGAGTTTGAACTGCTTCTGCCTTGGTTTCTGCCACCACATGTGCAGGCGCGAGGACGGAGGGCAAGCCACAGTGTCGGAATGAATATAAGAAAGTTACGACCAAGGCCAAAACGGGAAGCATTAAGGTAGCATCATTTTCCCGAGTGGCTGCTAAAGCCTTCTATGTGTCGAAAGAACATTTTAGTCTGAGGCTGTGCAGCTACTGGAAAGTCCGATGTGGGTTTCGTCCGTTGTTTTTTGGATGGGATTTTTGGAGGGAGGGAGGGGACGAGGACGAGGACGGGGACGAGGAGAGTTGGTGGGGAGCGAGATCGAGGGGCTCCTCCTACGTCATGAACAGCAGGGTAATTACCGCCCGACGACCCCTAAAATCCAGCGCTAGTGGAGGTAATTTCGATGTGTGATGTAGCAGACCAGACCAGACCAGACCAGACCAGAGATATAAAATCCAACATTCCTGCCTCGAACATCTACAATACCTTCCATATCGCAAAGCGACAAAGAATCAACGACTTTTTCTAAACCAGAATCTCCTAGGTACGTTCTACTCGTTCGGCATCCTGGACTGTTTTCTTCGCTTGGAGGGGCCGGAAATTAACCAACCTACGATTATCACCAGGATTGCATCCCCTACCCCACCCACCCACCCAAATCCAGTACTGTACCTTAAAGTGAGCTTGCAATACAGAACACATTTGCGATCCCATCATACGTACCAGCAACAACTAACTCAAGATGCTCAGAACAACCTCTATCATGTCTGCCGAGAAGCCAGGCTTGCCGGGATCGCACCCGGTCACCATGCCATTGCGTCAGGCCTCAACGTCCAGCGCCGTGAGCGATGATGCTGTGCCTCTCACGGACCCCAAGAATGTCAGTATACCTGCGCGTTCCACGCCTGTATGTGCACGACAGCAGCTAATTCAATTTATCTGTAGACTTCCGAGTTACTTGCAGAGCGTTTGCAAGCATGGAAACACGCCGTGGGCTATCTCGAAGCCTATGTCGGAGCCACAGAGAAGATCCAGAAGGCACATGCCAAGGAGTATGAAAAAGTGCTAAAGGTGCGGATACATTGGTTACGATAAGCCGGAGTATAGCGTGTTGACAATAAGAAACAGACAATCTCGGATCCCTTGAGGGAAGGTCACCACTTTGACCAGAACTTGGGAGGAATCGCAGGGCTCTTCGAGAACATGAGACAGAACACGCAGGTACGAAGCTCTTCGGAAATATCGGGACAACTTCTAACGACTTCTAGGGAATGGTTAACACACACATCGAAACCGAAAAGAACCTCAAGGGCTCCGTCCTCCCTATCCTCGACCGTCTTCACAAGGAAATCAAGAACAAGTCCAAGGAGCTGTCCGGTGGTGCTGGTAAGAGTGCGAAGGAAGTCGACAAGGCCCGAAATACCACCCAGAAGCACATCGAACTGTTGGGACAACACACTGCTGGATTCGGGTCTAGTGGAGGCAAGATGACGGCAAATGATGATCCATATATTTTGCAGAGAGGTGTTTATCACCGACTGGGCAAGCAGGTTATTGAAGGTATGCCAATTCTAAAATTTGTTACCAATGGTTGGGCAAGTTCCGAGACTTGTAGCTCTCTTGCCAGAGTAGAGACTTCACAAAGCTTACAATACTGACCGTGAATCCAGAGAATAATAACAAACATGACTTGATTGCTGTTCAGCAAAACTTCGCCCAATTCGAGGCGCACATTGTTGAGGTCATCCAACAAGCACTCATGTCCTTCAACCAATTCGTTGGTGGACAAGCTCAGAAGGTCGAGCAACTCTACGGGGAAATGCTCGGCACTGCCCAGGCTATTCCTCTCAACTTCGAATGGACCGGTTTTGTGGAGAGAAACAACAATATTCTTATTGATCCGAAGTCGCCAGATCGTACCATTGACGGCATGACTTTTCCGAACCAGAACCATCATTCCACCCAGGCCGTGATCGAAGGCACTCTGGAAAGAAAATCTCGCAACAAACTCAGCATGAGTGGTTACTCAACTGGATATTACGTTGTCACACCATCTAAATTCCTCCACGAGTTCAAGGACAGCGATAATTTGCGCAGGGACCCTACTCCTGAGCTTTCAATCTACCTTCCCGATGCTGTTATCGGAGCGACGAATGGCGAGAAGTTCAACGTTAAAGGGAAGGATGTCAGCAAGGGTTTCGGTAGCAAGTTGTCCGGCTCTTCAGAAATCCAATTCAAGGCCCACACTGCTGCCGATGCTACAAACTGGTTTGAGGCCATCAGATCTGTGGTTGGCTCTGCTCCAGCGACTGATGCAGTGAGCCCTATCAGTCCAGTGAGCCCGGACAGCCCTGTCGATAATAAGGCTTCGCAGCCACCTGTGTATCCTGAGGAGAAGCAAGCTGCTCCAGCTCCTCTGCAAACATCCGGCATGACTGGAGAGCAACATGTTGCCAGTCCAACCGTTGTCTCTCCAGCGGCTGCTCAAGCCAGCGCTCCAACCAGCGCTGTCACACCTACTGCTGCCGAAAAGATCTGATATCTGTCAACGGGAGTACATGGAATGACGACTAGGGGTGAGGTGGAAGTAGTAATGTATAATCTATGGAAGACGGAATGGAAGAAAAGTGAAGTGTGAGATTTGCCAGCGTGGAGTCTTTCGATTTGCGATGGCGATGTGGCGGATTGAATAGCATCAAATTGTGGTAACAGCTTGAAATTTCAAAAATAGACTGAATCTTCCTATCCTTTGGTACCTAGTGACATGGTTCATTTGAGGCGAATAATTTCATTCATACTTTACCCGAAATATAAGCTGCTTATACCTGTCAGCAGAAAATCTTAGTACATGTTAGGATGCAAGTAAGGGGAGATGCAGGTAAGGTAAGGTAAGCTCAGCCCTACTGCTCGGGAAATAACATATTCCAGAATCCGAACGTTGTCTCAATCGTCGTTTCTTATCTCTCCTGGCCCTCGCAAAAGCTCATGGCACCAGTGGTAGGCAGCCATCTTATAACTTGTTTCCGAAGATCCGTAATAAACGAATTACGCTGCCTGCACTGCCATGCAATGCAAGAATGCCAAGTACCAAAGACAAGTCACATGATCTTAATCTTGCCACACGTGTGGGTGCCAAGGTAGGTAGCATTCCGCCCAAACCATCGTCGATCCCATACGTCAAAACTGGAAACTCCAAGGCTGAGTTTAGCCTCCGCCTCTTAGCTCACCAGTTGGTATACTCTATTTATCGATAGCGAGCCTCTAAGGTACACGCCGCTCTCTGGGTCATGCCTTTTGCGTGCAAGTGTTCCAGGAAGCGAAGCATGGATCCGCACGCCACTCTTTACTCCTTGATGGGAATGGCCAATGACGACCTTTTGGTCGTGTCAGACTGATTCACCCGAGGATATTGGGTGAACTTTTTGGCGACAGCTTCAGGACGAGAGGCGCAGTCTGAATAACAGGCCTGGTGATGGGCCCCAGTGGCTATGGTCGTGCTTGGTAGGTAGCATTCGGAGGATTCTGTTGGTTGGTGTTTGGCCTTCGACTTTCCTGTTGGTGATTTGTCCGTTTGATCTTCATTAGACCAACCACACTCTCACGTAAGGAAGGACCCGGCTGTGGTAGAAATAGCTATCCTAGCTGTCTTTTCTTGGAGGTTAGGCTCTCCGCATATGTCATAGGCAGGTATATCAAAGCTGTCCTTCCCCAGGAAATGTGACTTGACACTTTCTTTTCATCTTTCTTCTTCATCCTGAGTCTCTCATCTACCTACTTACCTCATCTGACACATTCGCATTCCTTACACGCCTTAAAGTCTTTACAGTCAACTGCAGCGTTGGAGCCGTTCTTCTACACAAACCACGAGAAACAATCGACCAAATCCCTCAGAATGTCATACCCACAGGCTACTACCGATCCAAACGCCCACTATGGAGCTCAACCACAACAGCCCATCGCCATGCAGTCACCAGGCATAGAGACCGCACCCCCAAACTACGCAACCAATGCCGCCACCCACGGCAACGAGAAGCACGAATATGGCACAGAACACTTCCAACCTCAACAACAGCAACAGCCTCAATCAAACCCCCAACAGACTTTCCAGCAGGGCACTCCCCACCAGAGTTTCCAAGTCGGAGCTGCGCCCACGAGCACCGGGAAATATCAAATGGCTACGCCTCTAGCTTCGTTGCAGCAAGGTCCTGCACCGGTAGATTGTCCTGTCTGTGGCGTGAGGGAGATGACTAGGACGGAGTTTGTGTCCGGGGGAACTACACAGTAAGTCTTTACTACTTCCCAGGAATCTTCGAATTTGGAATGAACGAGAAGCTAATATTTTTGTTACAGTCTCTCGGCTCTGCTGTGCTGCTGCTGTCTCTGCTTGGGATGTATCCCGTATTTGGCATCTTGGTTTAAGGACTGCGAGCATAAGTGCGGATCTTGTGGTGCGCTCTTGGCAGTCTGGCATAGGAGCGGACGGACAGAAGTCATGGCTCACAGATGATCTTGAACGTCTTGAGTGGAGACTAATGATGTGACCGTATGATACCTTGTCTTTGGAGTTTGGGCATGCTTGTTCGTTGCGCTTAGGAGCGCTTATGTGTGAGAAGTCGTTGATGATACCTGATCTTTGCGGTTTTTAAAATAAAATATGCTGTTTATGCTTTTTTCGTTTGTCTTTTGGATTGCACCTGCTTCAGTGGTCCCCGCCTTTCATCAGAATCCTCCACGATACTCAGTGCACGTAAGAATGGCTTGAGATACAAGTTAGCAAGCAATAAGATGACAATTACTTGTGAAGTCACAAATCATATATGCATTGTACACATGGGGTATCTATCTGAATACAGGAATAACGCCAACGGGGAATTGGTCTCTCGGCTCTGGTAGCCATCGGTGGCGAGGTCCCTCCTTCCTCACTGGATGCCGTTAACAGCATCTTCTGCAAATCACCCCTTCACGTTCCTGACGATCCTCGGACCGGGACTCTAGAGAGATTCTCCATGGAGTCCACGCCGGACTTCTCCCAGCACCACCGTGGACTCCAACGAGAGTAAGATACCAATTCGCCTTATCTTCAAAACGCTCAGAGACCTAAGTCACTGCTCGCTCCACAGCCTCGGGGCCACTCTTGCCAGATGTTGCAAAGGGTTTTGAGCTAACTATTTGGTTCTCTAGATCCAGACTGGGATCCATCCTGGCTTTCAGTCAGTTAAACAAATTTGTACCAGAACCAGCCTAAAATGTCACGTTTTAATACTCCATCTCGAAAGTGGTGAATGGGCATGGCTTACTGTGTATGAGGAAGAATCTTCAGATGACGACTGAACTTGATATTCTGAAGTGAACACGCGTGGATCCCTTCGAGCTGCGTCTACTGGTAACTGAGATAGCCACGCTGAAGGCATCGAATCTTCTTTTGGGAAAGGCACGCAGTTTTCTTGACGAAGCCAATCTTGAATCCGTTGATTCAGGTCTGGGGCGTGCGGCAAAGGAACGTCATCCGGCCAGGATGACCTCTCTCTCGCAATAGCCCTTTGGAGTCTCCTCCTATGCCCCAGCCGAACATCGAGCAGCGAGAGCTACTCAGGCTAATTAGCCATTGCATTCCGTCTCGACAATCTCACAGGAACTTTGGCTGTTTTCCTCGTTGCAGGGAATTCCCCTCAGAAAATCAACAGTCCAACTCCGAAATCAGCTTACTTGGGTTTCTGCAATCTTAGTGAGCGCGTCCCAGTCTCCAAAGCCAGAGTCCAAGAACCGCGAGAGATACTGCTCCAGACCGAGTACCGTGAGCGCTGCTTCGAGTTCTGCGGCCATGATCGCCCACAGAACTCTGTTCGATGATGGGTTTCGCGCGAAGAATTGGTGGGAGAGTTGAATACTCGCATAATAACAATGGGCAAGAAACCCTCGAGGCGAGGCCCTGTTTATACTTTGATCGTCAGCGGCGCGGAGTCGACCTCCGGACCATGTTTTTCATCCATTCGCTTATCCTCCGAGCGGGCCGCGGACGTCATCCCGACGACTTTGACATTTCGGGATTCCACTTTAGGTCTTGGCTGAGAGCGGAATATTTATTCTCGATGCCCACATGGCCCAGTGTTCGTCCTCATCGTCAAAACATCTTAGCAATAATAATGCTGCGACATGCAACAAAACAATGGCACAATGTGCAAGCAGAACTCGGCACACAGGTCGAAAGTCTCGGCTTGCCAATACTGTTCTAAACAGCCGTTCATGTTAGATGCTTGCTTCTTTGAAGTTGGTGTTGCACCTCGCGGCTGTCCGAAAAGTCGTCGTATAAGCACGAGGTGCTCCGAATGGACTACGAAAAAGCATACAAAGTACAATAGATGAGTCGATCCTATTATCACTAAAGTGGTTTCTTTTCCAGCTTGCCGCATCATTCGCGGCCCTTACTCGCACTTGACATTTAGTTAGCTAAAGTTTTTCACGCGGGTGTCAAAAGTACCTTCGTCGGTCTCTTTTTAAGGGTCTCTAGGTTTCTGACTCAGTCTGGCCGAGATTTTACCTTCTCTAAAAGGTACTTGTCTCTTCGCCATACTTTCCCATTTACAGAGTCAGGCCAAAAAGACTCCCGATTTTGTTGTCAACACATCATGCATCGGAATCTTCGGTTGCAGGGTTTTTGACTCAATGGCGTGCAGATATCCAATTCCTGTATATGTCGCAACTGGAACCTGTCTAATAGGGTCCAGTAAGGAGCCCAGCAACTGGTGCTACTATCTCCAGATGGAACCAGGGAGCATACTACGGGGCTGTCAGCTCTAAATGCCTTCACAAGGAAGCAATATACCGAAATTAGGCAGATGGGCTATTACCTCTGTATTGCGAATTTTCACCGGACTTCGCCAAGTCTTGAGGCGCCGATTCCAAGCTGCTTCAAGAGTCACTGGCCTTGGTCCTGCCATTCTTGAATACGCTGATCACGATCAGAATTCATCCACAGGGGATCATCGTCTGGCCACGCCCTCGATCTCGCAATCTCTCGTTGCAGCTTCCGTCGATGCCCGAGCTTCACTTTCAGCGTCGATAGTTGACTTTCCGTGATTTTGGTGAGAGCTTCCCACGTATCGAACCCCGCATTCTGGAACAATCGCAGATACTCTTGCAGCCCAAGCCTGTTGAGTACATTTTCGAGTTCGGATGCCATGCCGAAGAAAGGGGGTGTCGCTTAACGAAAATAGGGCTGTTCACGTGGGTGCATGGTGGATTGGCGGGGGCCGGAGGAGAAGTTTTGAATGCGAAGTTGGGAATCCTCTTAAGATATTGTTTCAGCAAGAGGCTGAACGTCCCAAAACTTCCTTACGTCAATGATAGTATCCTTGCTATCCCATCATACGCATTAGACGTCATGTAGTCATGCGGGTTGACGATCTTGGCCCCATTAATAGTGTGAAGTTATCCCATTCTAATAACAACACCTTGGCGGAAACAACACTTGTTGTTCAGCATTTGAAATCATGTACAGCCGTCTTGTTCTTGTTCTCAGATTTCATGCAAATGACGAAATACGTTTTTGTACTGCGTCGATAGATTGGTTGGAACAAGGCACAAAGTCTCGGCAAGGTCCGCAAAAAGAATGCAGTGTGTTACGGAGAGCTATTTCTATTGGGTTTCCAAAATAAATATTTTGACAAGTCGGAAATAGTGTTCTTCTTCTCTCGGCACGGCAGCAAGATACGAAACCACCAATCAGTATCTTCATTCTACTCGGCCTCGAGCTCTCCTCAAGCACTTGCCCAACTCGTGAGAGCTCTTGTCGAATGTATTGGGAATTCACCATTACGGCCCGGTAGGAGATTCCGGACACGAGGACTCCACCCAATCTCAGGCCCCAAGAATACAAGCGAATCGATTTCTAGCCCCCACAGCACCGTTCATGCATACCTGCCCATTCATCTTAAAAACGGGCTGCTATTTCAGCCTGGTTGGGTCCTGAGGTTGGAACAAACAAGAATTCAGGGTCCTGGGGTTCAGCTTGTACACGCCCACTTATGTCGGGCGGAAAACGCAAGCCCTGTGTTGGAAATGCTCCGTCCGCCGTGATTGTGGTACGATTGCTTTGGCGAGGTGTTTCGTCACGAGACTTGGCTGGACTCCGGATTTTGAATGCTGAACTATGTTCCTTCATACAACAATGTGCTTTTGCAATGCAACAAAGTGATGCCACCGGGAAATAGTGCTGTTGCCGACTTCGACTGAGGTTATGTGGCGATGAAGAGTTCGCCGACTCCATCGACTCGCCACTGCCACTCCCTCTTGGACGGAGCCAAGCCTTCAATACCAACATCAAAGGCTGATTTTGACTAGTTTTGCATCGTGTATCTAAGTTTCTCATATCATATTTTACAATTTTCGTTCGTACATGTTTTTTTGGGATATTGGATCATACCTCATAAACATGCAGTCCAAAATGACCTGGCCGAACGCTCCCTCTTATACTTAACCTGTTTGGCCCGTGGCCCGTGGCCTGTTACCCTTCTCGTTCCCTTCGGCAGTAATCCAACTCTCTCACATGCTATCCTTCCTCTACATTTCCATCTCTTGACAAAATTGCTTCAAAAAGCAGGTGCAGTACGTTATCCAGGGTATCGAAACATACCAAAACATACCTATAATCTATGGTGCCTTAAAATGACCGAAAAACACGACCTCGAAAACGATGCACCACTCATATATACTCCTCTGAATACTTCGAATGCCGCGTATTATTCCGGGTCTTTGCCTTCATGCTGACACTGAGTCGGAGTGTCGTGCTTCTGCTGGAACCAACCGCCCTCGTTCCATTTGGCAGAACCATACATCAACGCGTTCCTTATCTTCTCATCTTCGATCGCTGCAATGATAGCCTCCAGTCTGGTGAAATCGATAGGCTTGAGAATCCATCCGTCAAATCCACTTTCCATGTACTCGGTACAGCTTGACTCCGATAGTGATGCAGAGACTGCGATGATTGGGATTCTTCCATGCGGCTTTGCCTGTTCGGACAACGGTGGGGACGCTTCCTTCTCATAGGTTCGAATCAAACGTGTGGATGCATTACCGTCGACTAATGGCATTTGTATATCCATCAAAATGACATCGAAAGCCGCTGGGTCGTGTTTGAAAACATCGGCGCAGGCTTGCCCGTCAACGCTTACTGTCACTCGATGTCCTCTCTTCGATAGACGAGTCTCAAGAAGTCGGCTGTTCAGGGGATTGTCTTCTGCGATCAATACACTAACTCTCTTGTAGTTGACATTCCCAGGAGGATATGGGAAGCGTCCTGTGTTTGGATCATACGATGGCCCTGTGGTCATTGAGACCGCATGTGCAATTGATGCCAGCGATTCGGGGCCGGGAGTCAACTGTAGCTCATCTCTAGTCATACCGAGTCGAATTGGCAGGATCGTATCTGAGATGGAACGCTCTAGGCTGCCTGGGCCGGGACCTGAATTCTGAGCCATAGCTGTAGTTGTATCAATAGTGCCATTTGTAGCGCTGGCTGTGGTATCAGAAGTAAGCATCGGCGGGGTTGGCAGGGAGTCTCCACTACGAGCGTCACTGTCTCTCGATTTGTCTCGTCGAGCCTTTCTGAATGGAATCTTGATCGATACTCTGGTCCCTTTCTCGAGTTCCGAGTCAATCGATACTTGACCAGCATTCAAACGAACAAATCTTGCGGTCATGGCCAAGCCAAGCCCCAATGATATTGGACCTGTTGGATCCTTCGCAGCAGTTTCGTATTTGCCACCATTGATTTCATTGTCATCATCGTCTAAGACTTGTTCGAAGTCTTGGAAGAGGCAGTCGAGTGCTTGCTCGGACAAGCCACAGCCATTGTCCTGAAATGACATTTCGACCAGATCATTTGTGTCCGAGGAGCTGATTTGTTCCACTAGAGAGTATCAGTCCTGCTCATAGGATTGGGTGTTTCAAGTCCATCTCCCACTTCAGCACCGTGGAGTGGAGGGAATGGTGAAGCTCGTGACGTTTCCCGTAAGCAAGACTACAGGGGAATGAAACAATATACTTACACTGAATGAAAATTACATCGCCACCGGAATGTTGAATTGCATTCGCCAGCAAGTTCGATACCACAGCCCGTAGCATGGATGGATCGCAACGTACAATAGTTGGGATGTGTAGGTCATCATGGAGGTCAATTAGAAGATCTGGGCGGGAGTCTCTGTCTTTGTACGAGCTGATAACCTCCTGAAGCAGATGTCTGAGATCAATGTTTTCCTCGTGTGTCTAGAATCATGATCAACCACATGTTTCTCTTATGGTTTCGAACAGGTGTGGGTTAAGTCGGTATCTCAGACCGCTGTCACTTGTAACAAGTGTGCAGTAGTGATTATGAAGGTCACATACATTAAAATCCGAGTCCTCGGCTTCAGTGAGGCTAAGGAGATCATTGACTTGAAAAACAAGGGACTTCGAGGCCTGCAACGACCTTTGCAAATGCTGTCGTGCTCGTTCATCCAAGACTTCTTCCAGTGCAACTTCGAGATAGTTGATAATACTATTTAGTGGTGTACGAACTGGATGACATCAGCACAGACATGCTAAAACATATCAAGGTACGCACCTTCATGGCCAGCATTTCGAATAAGAATGCGAGTCATCCGATTTCTCTGAACGATTGCCTCCTTCTGACGCCATACCTCGATAAACCGACCATACAAGGTGCTCAGGACTGCGGCAGACTCGACTGAAAAACTGGTTAGATTCAATCTCATCGTTTTGCATGCAAATACAAAAATTACTTACTCTGATCCTCCGTCCATTCTCGACTCCTTCCTACAACACGCTCACTCCAGCGGCGAAAGCTTGATCTTGGCTCCAAGTAGTTCCCAACAACCTTTTTCTTCTCATGTGGATTCCCCGCCCACTTGACCTCCTGCGTCTGACCCTTTCGAAAGAATATAAGAAAATCAGAGCCGGAAAGTGCGAGAGGAATAACCAATACTCCCGAAATCATGTGGAATCCAGCAGGGTAGTCGATATCAGGTAGGTCTTTCGTGATACATTCGGATGCGTATATGTTAGTGAATGATCTCGCCCGAATATATTGCAGAAGAACGATGGCTTCGCTGTATGCAAAAAGTCGACCAATAGTCCTCGCTTCTCCCTTGATAGCCAGGAATCCAAAGTCTGCTCCAAACATGTTCAGGAGGTCTCCGGAAGAAGCTGCGATGTACGCAGATGGGGAGCGCTGTTGTGGATGCGCAGACAGCGGCTTACGCGCCTTTATTCGACTTGAGTATATCAATTTCTCGATATTCGTACTCGCAAGGTCTCCCAGAGCGCGGCAAAGTTCTCGTACAGGTAGGGGAACTCGCTTGCCAGAGCCATAACCATGACAACTGACCAAACCCCACAACTTATTGTCCACCGTAAGCGATATTGACATGGCTGCTCGTACTCCCAGGTTCTCGAGATATTTGATGTGAATGGGAGACATGGCTCTCAAGTATGAGTGTCTGAGATCGAGTGGGGTTTCGGCGTCTTCGAGAGTTCGGCAGATTAGTCTCGCATTCGGGTGGTCGCGATCATAAAGAATTCGGATTTTGTTGATCATATAGAGATCGCGGGCCTGTTTTGGAACTACGAATATGTCAGAGTCAGTTATGATTGCATGGAGGGCAAATCATTGGACATAATTTTGAGTCCTGATGCAATCAGGACAAGGATATGCGACCTAGCCCCCACCACAAAGGTAAAGACAATTGTGAGAATACTCACTATCACTGGCGGGGAATTTCAACCCTCGATAAACTACCAAGCGTGTCAGTTGGTATAGTTGGAGGTACAAGCAAGACACATTTGGCATGAGAAGACACCTAGGCCCCAGAGGCGAAAAGTAATAGTGACATACTGTCTGTAGATGCTCTAGGATCGACTATCTCGCTCACAACAGTCCCTGCAGTAGTCTCATCGAACTGGTATAGCATTGCCCGGTGAAAGCTGGTAAGCTCATAAACCAAGCCAACAACGATGTCCAATAACTCAGGTAGGGTTGTAGCACTCGACAACTGGTCCTGGACTTCGCAAAGCACATGAAATAGCTCCATAGGTCCCATCTGGCGCCCAGTCTCTCTCGCAACTTGTACAGCACGCAGTGGTTTGTGCATTGCCGTTGTTGATAGGCTCATTTCTTCCTCGCTTGGCTCATGATCGGTAACTTGAATAGGCTCTGCTGGTAGCCCATCTTCGGGAGGATGTCGAGGATTGAAGATGTCTCTCTTTAGTTCGAATTCGCATATGATGAGGTCAGACTCGAGATTCAGATGCATTGCTATGTAGCATTGAAGAGGGGCACCGCGAAGCGACGTCAGCGAGAGGGAGAAGACGTCTAGGTTGGTAGTCGATGTAACCGGCTGGTTTCTTAGACCGCGAACCCGGGACAAAAATTCCCTCTTATCGTCTGAAAAGAGTAGATCGGTGAAACATCGAAGGTCAAATAATTGTTCAGGTTCTAGCCCGGTAATGTTCTGGGAGTTTTCACTAACGACGCGAACCGCGAACCGGCCCGCATCGTCCTCCCGAATCGCGATCAAAGCTCCGAACGCCTGTATCGCACCCGGCATATGAATTCTGGGACGTCTGGATTAGTAGCTTGGAATGTTTTATTTCAACTACTGAACTCACGGTTCATCTTCACACCTATAGACCTTAACAGTCTTTTGAACTTTCTCTGTTGTTGGAGCATTTGTAGCTGGCGTATCTCCGGCCGTCACATAGCTGTAAGTGTTTGAGACAAATCGTCCACCTGTTTGAGGCATTGTATCAAGCTCCTCCGTGGTGGCAACCTGCGGTGGGTCGTCATTGGAAATTTGATCAAGCTTTTGTCCATCCGGCGCATTTCCATTTGCTGGATCGGGATCTGGCTGGGATGCCCTCCGAACAAGTGCCTTCGGAATTGGAGGCTTTTCGTAACCCGAGTCTTCTCCATCGGCCGATGGCTCTGTGCCAGATATCAGGCCAAGGGCATCTGGCTGCTGTCAGTGGCAGGTAACGAACAATTCCCGTCTATCTCACTCACTCAATGCCGAATCTGCTGAGCTCCTAGGCTGTGGTATGCGGATGGGGAAGACCCGACGAATCCCAAATGAGTTGGAGGTCATGGTTGTAGCCATGATTCCCGTCTGAATAGAGGGGGTCCTCCGGACACTTCGTTGACTACTCGTGTGCGCCCCGGCGGTTTAGCGTCCAGGCGCAAGCCAAATGTTCATCATTCTGTGCTTGCAGTCTTAGTCTCAGTCATGGACGATGAACAAGTTCCAGAGTCCAAGGACAGAAGAACAATCATTCTACACATTGGAGAACAGCTCCGAAAGTCACAGGGGGAAGTTCTTATGAGATCTCCAGGTGCGGTGCGGTGCGGTCCAGCGAGTAATGGTCACTTTTCTATGGGTCGCAAATCAGGGTCCTTGACGCTAAACGCGCCCGATCGCCACGAGCGGAAACCAGATGGGGTTTGCTGGCAACTGGGACGCCTATCGAGAAAGCGGCATCTCCCCAGCTCCCCAGCTCCCCAGCTCGGTGACATGGCGCTGAGAGGTTCAGTGTGAGAGGCTACAGTAGTAGGCTGAGTAGATGAGTAGACTTCCCCGTCTCAACCGTAGCGCAAACTCAAACCACAGAGCTGCCCGCTGCGCTGGCTCAAATACACTCAGTGGCTGGGGTGGCGGCGAAATGCAGCGATGCGGAGCGTACTGTGCACTGTGCACAATGCACCTGGAGCTGAGCTCCGCCTGTTGACCGTGCGGTTGTGGGCGGATGGTGATCGCCCAGGAGAAAAGGGATTACTCCCCAGCAACCCGGAACATTCTTGTGCTTCAAGTTTGACTGATATCGATGCCGGGTACATGCGAGTACGAATGCGTGTTGGATTGCTCTCGACAGCCTTCAAATGCACGCTGGAGAAATAGATTTTTGAAAAGATATGATATGATATGATACGATGCCTCATCCCTTGGCAGAGAAACACTGCAGCTAGGCCAAGTGCGATGTCTTACTGCCACCACCTACTCCAATGACTTTCTCACGCAAAGCTGGTGGACAAAGCCGATTATGGCTGGATGTGAAAAGATCCAAATCGGGTCCTCCAGATCAACAATGAACAACCGACAGAAGAAACGAGGGAAAGAAGAAAGATGATGGTCCAGGGAGCTGGGAAGACCTTCCATCCTGGTTGAGGCGTGCCCGAGCCACATGGGACTCTAGGCCTCGAGCCATCGGACCGTTGTATGTTCACAACAGGAGAAGCTAAGAATTCTGGTGGATTTCAATAATAACTGAAACATATCGGCCCAAGGGGGAAACTGGACCCTGAAGCTCAGAAGCTGTAAATAGAACATGCAATTTTACCTTTTAAATCTTGTTAGAAAACCGACAGCACAATAGCTATCAAGAGCAAACCTATTCTTCAAGAGCATTCACAAGGGCCGGCAGAACTGAGGCAAGCCTAGAACATTGCCAGGCCTCCATCATCGCAAACATTCGCCAAACTCTGTTGACGGTCATCACTCTTGTGTCACGAGGTCCGACCACTGAGCAAACTCTATCGGGCAGTGAGCACGACCAAAAGCCACAACGCCGGCCGGCTCGAGTAAATTACTAGACAGCCGGTTACCCATATCGATGATTCAACACTCTTGCGAAAGCTGCTTGGTACATGACTCGAGACTTTTGAGCACGCATAAGTCAGGCTTGTTGCATGAAATTGGAGTTGCGAGCATATGCCCAATCGAGAATGACAGGAACTTTGTTTGATATAAGCTTATGGTCCTCAATTAGGCCCATAACCTTTGCAAATTCAAAGAGGCATGGGGCTCCAAGCAGCTGTCGTTCGATATGCGTGGCAGTTTAGCCCTCGAGCTGATCGAGAGAGGACGGCATTTTAGAGGAAAACAATACTGTTCGTCAAAAATAACACAGGAGATCGGTCTAGGATGACACTGGCCGTGGCCTCTGGATGACTCCCACACCCCTAGCTAGGTAGTGCGCTATGTCTGGACATGAGTCTGAATATGATGTCTGTCTAACTCATGATACCGAATAATGGGCGAGCATCGAAGTTGATCGGTTGTCTGTCTGCCCTCGGAAATCGGCTGGACTCCTCCTATGAACGAAGTAGTAGAGACTGACTTGCCATAAGATTTTCACATTGCCAAGCTGATGTTAGAGCCTCTGCGAGTATCATACTAAGCTGTCAAGATGGAGCTTCGTAGTTGAGTTTGCATTCGATAAATCCATGAAAGGAACGAGGTTGAAGAAATGGATCCGTATGTAAATCAATTGCTTGTATTTCTATGCCTGGGAACATAAGAAAATCGAGCGTCAAACAAATAGAATTCGTCCTTCACTGCTAGACTCGCTGATCTTGTAAATTGCTGTCTCCTAACATGGCCCGCTTATTCATTCTGCAAGTTGGGGACAATTTCGTAGACTGCGAAAGTCTTTAACCCTCTTGAACGCATATTCCAACACCATGATTCGGGCTATAATCTTTCGCAGAGGGTGAAAATTTTCATGGAAGATACAGCGAACGCGTAAGTGTGGTCTCCAATCTTGCCTCTGCAAGGCGTGTCTTGCTACGTTCGACGCAAAGCTCATGGCTCAGAGCAATTGATATATTTGAAGCTCTGAAATAGAGCATCTGGCCGAGTGAACTTTTATGCTTAAGCATGTGGATTGCTCGAGATGAAGTAAGGTAGTCTGCATGGGTCGTCTTATCGTCTTTCACTTTGATGGCCCTGTAGGCGCCGGAGGAGTCTTCATGGATTCACTAGAGCCAGCACCGCCTCTCGCTCCACCCCTCCCACCACGTCTGCCGACAGTTCCACTGCCGTTACCACCTCTTCCTCCACGTCCAGCCCTTGCCGGGGCATTTGGAATTTGATTGATAGCTTTCTTCTCTGGAGGTAACGCTGTACCTTTGCGTTGCATGACTTGAACTGTTCCTTGGGCCACTGAAATTGGATTGGCACCCATGGCCTTCTTTAGACCGTCAGTGTCGGCAAAGTCGACATAAGCGAATCCCTTTCTTCTATCAATCTCAACAGTCGTGACTGTACCGAACTTTTCCATGGCTTCCTTCAGCAGTGCTTCAGTGACACCTTGTGAAGGATTGGCATGCTTGACGAAAGCTTGTGTAGCCCCTTCTGAGGGAGTAGCTATCTGCTGTGGTCTTCGAGCAGCTGGCGGTGCAGTGGCAACTTTAGCAGGCTGAGAGGACGAGCTTGAAGCTGCCGTAGATTGAGCGTCAGGCTTCTTTAGCAAAACCATCGGAGTAGGAGGGTTATTTGCTGTCGTTGATTTGGTTCCTTCCGATTCAGTGGATGATCCTTTACCACGTCCTTTACGGTTGGAATTTTGATTCAGGGTCGATTTGGGAGCAGTCGGGACGGGCTGAGCCTGTAACGAGCGAGCAGGAGTCGAATCTCCATTATCCTTGCCCTTCTCTGCAGTCGCAGCTGCAGCCGCAGCCGCCCTTTCCGCTTTCTGCGCATCTGCATTATCGCGTCTGACCTGGCGATGCGCTTGGGCTGGACTCAATCCAAGGTCACGTTGTAACATACGTATATGTGCTGCTACGATGGCTTGTCTTTGTCGGCCTGGGACTTTGCCTAGGTCAAGCTTGGGTGTGGCAGAGCTCTCGGATCCCGATGCTTCTGATGTAGCAGATGAACCTGCTACAGACTTGGAAGCGGCTTCTCTGTTTAAGATCTTCACAGCTTCCTTGGTGGCCTTGTCAACCAATCTATCTGTCTTCGCATCCTTGCCTTTCTTTTTCTCTTCTGCAGCCGATTCCTTTGCAGACTTTCCCTTCGAGCTATTAACTTCCTGCTTCTTGGCGGCTTTTACCGCAGCGTCCTTATTCTTGCTTGCTTTCTTGTCCTTTAGAGCCTGAACCAAAGGAGTCATCGTAACTTTCTCGTGCTTTGAAGGACTTGGGTCAAGTAAAGAATCCGCGTTGATCTCCTTTCCAGTAGTTGGATTTGCTAGGTCTTCCAGGAAGGCCATAAATTCCGGATCTTGATCTATCGTGCCGGCACGAGCATCCACACGACGTCGCCCAGCGGGTATTCGGCCATAGGGTGCGAATTCAACAGAAGGAGGCCCGATAAGACACAGACTATTGTATGTATTGGTAGCATCTTCAAAAACTGCCAATCTAACAGCATCGGAGAGACTGAGTAGGTAGCTCTCATTCGTGAGATGGAGGTATGCTCGAGAAGGTTTGGAGGGTTTAGATGCGCTGGAAAATTTAGTAGATTCTCCAGCAGGTGGTAGAGGATATTACTCTTTTGAATCCTTGCCCGGTTTATAGCGAAACCAGTCAACTTTTCCCTGGCCCAGCTTCCACTCCTCCCCTAGAATCGTGGTGAATTCTTCTTGTGTGAGACCAGGAGGCAGTCTTCGGATGATAATCTTCAGCTTGACGGCTGCTGGTTTGGCTGGGGCTGGCTTGTTCCCGTTACCCGTCGTCTGAGAAGAGGCGATAGAGAGGACTCCATTTGCTTGGGTTCGAGTAGCCATCGGAAAGGTAGACTCGCTTCTAGTTGCGACGGGGGAGGTAGTTGAGTTGAGCTAGATGCTGGTTGCGGCGACAGTGGCGCTAATACGTTTCCAGATGGCGGTATGCACGGCCCAGTCTAGGGAGTTTTGGCGGTCGTCAAAGATGCTGAGAGCTTCGTCAGAAACGTTCTGACTTCGTTGCGCGCAACATTTGCTCATTTGTTGCTTTGCTCTTTATCGCTGCCAGCCTCGCGAACAAGCCCATTACCGAGCACTCGTAGTTGGCAGGCGTCAGTCTGATAGAGTCCCGGGCCGGCTAAACCTCGAGGAAACTAGACTGCTCCAAGCCCCGCTCGAGCCACCCCGCGACCATGGCACCCATCCACCAGCGACGCAACGGCAAAGCACAGCCAAAGGGAAAGGCAAGGGGAAGGGGACAGGCCAAGACAAGGGAAGGCAAGGCTTTGGACCTCGAGATCCAGACCGGTGAGCACGGAGTCAACAACGACAGCTCAAACCCCATTCTCTCTCCCACCTCCACTGCTAAGGAGCTCCTTGACTGCGAAAGCGAGGATCCTAACGACCGTTCTCTTGACAACAACGGCGACGACGAGTGGGAAGACGAAGACGAAGACGAAGACGAGGACGAAGACAATCTGCAGTTGTGCCATCAGCACAATATCGACACTGGGCGCAGAAACACCCTCCACCGTATCACCCCGCGTCCCCTCCCTCCACTCCCACAGCTACCTTCATACCCATCCTCACAACAGCAGTACTGTGCACCTTCACTTCCAGACCGATCACATCGTCGAAGCAACGCCCAAGTCCTCGATAAATCCTTTCTTGCGCCACCCCGAGAATACAAGATGCCAGGTCCAAATGTCCCCAAGCCCGGTCCGGCGAAACTGAAGCCCAACTCTGAGCTCCCAGAATGGTTAGAAGAAGCAAAACAGTGTCACTATCTTCCCGAGTCTGTTATGAAGCAGCTTTGTGAAAAGGTGAAAGAGTGTTTGATGGAAGGTCAGCTCACGCTTGATTTGAATTGCCAATATTTACTGATCTAATATCACAGAGTCCAATATTCAACCTGTTGAGACACCTGTTACGATCTGCGGTGATATCCATGGCCAATTCTACGATCTTCTTGAGCTGTTCCGCATTGCAGGTGGCATGCCAGGAGAGTCCAACGTTCAAGCGCCAACCACAGTCATCAGCTCCGACGATATTGAACCACCGACCGAGATTACCGATCCCAAGCTCCGAAAGAAGATCCGTTCATCAGACAGCGGTATTGAGAGTGCGAGTGGTGAGGATGATGACGAGGAAGAACGCGGTCGCCCACGTACAGCAGGTCAATCAAGTCGTGGTGGTAGTGCTGCTGGAGATTCAGCTATCGGTGTTAATGAGGTTTCTGGCACCGGAAGTCAGAAATTCATATTCCTTGGTGATTTCGTTGATCGGGGCTACTTCAGCTTGGAGACTTTTACTCTCTTGATGTGCCTTAAGGCTATGTAGGTTCGGTCGTGCTGATTTGACTTTCAATGCTAATTCTATGCAGGTACCCTGAAATGATCACCCTCGTGCGTGGTAACCACGAGTCCCGCCAAATCACTCAGGTCTATGGGTTCTATGAGGAGTGTCAACAAAAGTATGGCAATGCTTCGGTCTGGAAGTCTTGCTGCCAAGTTTTTGACTTTCTCGTCCTTGCTGCTATCGTTGATGGCAGAATTCTTTGTGTTCATGGCGGTTTGAGCCCAGAAATTCGCACCGTTGACCAGATCCGCGTTGTTGCTCGTGCTCAGGAGATTCCTCATGAAGGCGCTTTCTGTGACTTGGTCTGGAGTGATCCTGAAGATGTTGAAACTTGGGCAGTTTCCCCTCGTGGGGCTGGGTGGCTCTTTGGTAACAAGGTTGCAACTGAGTTCAATCACGTCAACAAGTTAACACTCATTGCCCGTGCTCATCAGCTGGTCAACGAAGGCTATAAGGTATGTTTTCCTGTACGTCCTTGAGTTTCAATACTGACTCCAAACAGTACCATTTCGCCGAGAAGTCCGTTGTTACTGTCTGGTCCGCTCCCAACTATTGCTACCGCTGTGGCAATGTTGCATCCATCATGAACGTCGGCAAAGATCTGGTCCCGAAGTTCAGCATCTTCAGCGCGGTCCCCGAGGACCAACGTGCCGTTCCAGCAGGTCGAAGAGGAGCTGGCGAATACTTCTTGTAGATCAACCTTTGCATATTCACACACTCGACAATCTTGTGGAGAATGCTGCAGGATATCACGATGGCGTTTAGAGGTTTTGCATTCGGAGGAGGCGTTTTGACTACCCTGTACAACAATTGTCGATTCATGTGTTTCTATATCTTCTTTTTTCAACGATTGACGTACACGGTTTTCCTGGAACCATGAGCATGAGGAAACATTGGAGTACTCGTTCGTAGTTCCTCCGCCGTATCTCCACCCAGTATTTCAAGATCGTAGCTGTTCAAGGATTCTGCATTACACAATCACGCTTTCGATGAGAGCGTCTCTTGGCATGATATGCTGGAGGATTTGAGCTGTTGGAGACGTCAGGAAAGATCTCTTCGGATGTGCTGCCTAGTGCTCCATGGGTATATACATTTCCGGCTTCTGGTGGTGCGATTTGGCCGAAATAGAGATGTTTCGTATGTTTCGAGGCATTGTTCTCTGGCATTTGACCTGACTGCAATGTATGAGTATTACGAGATGAGATAACGACATCAATGAAAATACCAAAATTTTAGATGCTGAGGTTTTCAATGTTGAGGTGGCCTGTGGTATGAGGTTGCCTAGGTATGTTGTGATGCTCTTCATCCAATTGCTGCAGCATTCCAGCGAAGTACGGTGTGCCTCACATGTCACACAAGAGAAAACAAGTATGTATTAAAGTTGCGTTGAGAATGATTCAATACAGTAAGCTAGCTACATAGATATACATCGCTTCCAAACTCGCAAATTGCTCACTGATAAGATCTAGCAAGATAATCGCTCAAACCGCCAGTATTTTCGTACACCCGTTTTCGATACATGGTTGACGAACTTCCTTTACAATCTCAAGCTCTTTGTAGCTCGTGCTGTTTACAAGCCACTTCTTCCCATCTCATCGTCTCAGCCGTAAAGTCTCGTGTCACTTGAAGTGCACACCCGCAGGTGCGTTAGGCTAAATGCTGTGTCGTACTGTGCCATGTCTGCCGATTCTTGTGAATCGGCTGGATCAGATGGCTCAAAGGCAGATAAGTCCGGAGACTGCTGCTCAGATCTCAGATGTGATCTGACTGTTGGTTACCAGGTTCTCATCTATCTTTCCAAGATAGATATATGTCATGCAGAGCAAGGCTCATGCATTCATCCAAAACTCAGATGGCTTCCTCAATTTCTCTGCTTGTTTTTCCTTTCCGGTGCGGTTCCAATTTGTCGCTTCAAGAACCACTTCACAGCGGGGAGAGGTGGTATTTCCCATCATTCACACTACTCCCCTTCCCACTCACACTCCCACTCTCATACCTGCTCCCCCTAGTCTGAACCGTCAGCGGCGCGTGAGCGTACACAGGCGAGCTAGAATACGACAGCGTACTAGGCGCATAGTTGACAGTCCTCTCAGGCACGAATACTACCCCAGGAACACCCGAGCTCGAGTTCCTGGGCGAAGGCAAGAATGGATTCGGTGCTGAGTTTGGCGGTGGTTGAGGAGCAGCTGGATACATTGGCTGAGGCTGCTGATAGCTTGATCTGCGTCCGGATTCTCGGTGGAAGGATACGGTGGCTGCTTCTTCGATCTCCCTTGAGTTGCGAGGCGAGGATCGGGGTGATGAGCGAGGTGGGCTGTTGCGGGATGAGGATGAGGATGAGACTTGGCCTTGGACTTCTCGTCTGAGCCTTGCGTTTCTCTCCCGCTCATCGTCGAGTGCGTCGAGTAGATCCTCGACTTTGTTACATAGCTCTGCTTTCTCTTTCTTCAGGAGTCGGTTCTCCTTGTTGCTCTCTGTAAGAGCGGCGTCGAGTTTCTGAGTGCTGGCCTCGTAGCGTTTGATTCTGTCGTTGGCGGCGTCGAGGGCTTCTTGCACGGCGCGAAGGCTGTGGCGCTGCGTTTCAATCTGGGCGTTGCTGAAGGAAGTGTTGTTGTTAGGTGTTGTTCCTAAGGAGGCTCGATCGCTTGCGCTGGATGACCCGACGCCTGAGTCGCGGCTTGAACGGTGGTGGTGGGAGGCTCCTTTGGTACCACGCTCGTAGTGGACCTTCTTCTTGGTTGAGTTGGTTGAGTTGGGGCTTGACATTGTGATAGGATAGGATGAGATATGTTTTGTTTGGATGGATCTGTGTACAGTACTGTACTACTGCAAAGCGAGGCGAGACAGACCGCAGGCTGGGTAGGATATGGCTGCCCAAGTGCAGTAAGGTGAGTTGGCAAAGAGGAAAGTGCCAATGAATAGTAGGATAGATCCAGCTCGTGGGGCGTACTGGCGGTGAAGTATGGAGGATTGAGACCCAATGTTGATGCAAGGCTGAGTTGGGTTGCGATTGAGGTCCAGTTGCAGTATATAAAGGGTAGAGAGGAACCACTTGACAGACAACTGAACAGAAGTACTCGAAGACTCGGGATCAAGAAGGAAAGAAAGGAAGATCTAGCTCGAACTGCTGCCTACCTTCCTTACATACATATCCTCCCTCCCTCATTCTCGCCCTGCCTAGCTGGCAATGCAATCTGGCAAAGGGCATCGCACACACCCTGCCCTCCCCTCCATACCGACCTGTCAATTGGAAGCATCCTCGCCAGACCAGGACTCATCTGCTCACCGAGTAAACTGCCCGCCAAGCACCAGGCCCACGCCGACCAATTGCCCACCGGCGTGAGAGGACGGGAACACGAGCCAGGGGAGGGAGTCATCGAGCCATGCATGTTCTACCGGCGCACCAATTGCGCTCACAGAGAACGGCGATGCACTGCCATTGGTGAGGGTTGGGGATGGGGTGGGCATAGGCGCAGGTTGCCTTGAGGAGGATGGAGGATGGAAAAGAAGCGGGCACTGCCCGGCTGCCTACAATATCCTGATCCTGCGAGCCTGCGTGGTTCTCGCTGCAGAAGCCTGTCAGGTGGAACGCCAAAAGGCGCAGCACGCACTGAAGCCGCTGCAAAGAGGAGAGAAATCCGCCTTGTCGCCTACAGAAGAGCCTCTCCTTCTTCCCTTTTCCCGGTTGGCCTTTACCTGGGGTACATTATGGTACTGAAAATTCGGTCGGTTGAACTGGGGGGCCTGCAAATGTGGACGAAAGTCGATGTTGCCTACCCTACCTTATCTACCAAGGTATCTACTGTAATCCATTGGCGATGTCCAGATCCGTCACCGTGGGATTTCCTTGCCCCACCTGCACCTCCTCCTCGACCCTGCCCGGTCTTGCAGTTTGCATGCTTTCTTTGCAGTTCTCCGTACCTTACTACAAGTACTGTCCATTGTTCCTTGCAGTGCAAGACTGCAAGTGCAAAAGTGGAGCACACTCGCTACCTACATCCGAAGGCTACCTTACCTACTATACCTACTGTGCGGGCTGTGGAATTGCAGTCGTTCGGACAGCTCAGTGGTCAATGTTAATCCATCGTCAGAGTGCGTTGTCTGGCTGCAGTTGCTGCTCGCAATGCAGCCACCTGCAGTCCTGCGAGCAGCCGACGCGACAAGTGGAGAGGCTGCAAGCCTCGGAGAAAGCTACTCGACGTCAAGGCCACTTGTTGATATTTATGAAGTAGGAAGATTTCTTCTTCACGGCCTTGAAAAATCAAGGTTCGCAATGAAAAAAAGAAAAAAAAAAAAGCACCGCTCAGTCATCCATCGGCACCCACCCAGACCTCGAGGCCGAAGCACACAAGGAAAGGGCCGAGATCATCACCACTTTCTATACAGCAAACGCTTGCGCATATGCCGCCATCTTTGCAGACAGTTCGAAAGTAAAAGGCTTCACTCTTGGGCACCGAGGAAAAATAATGGTCATCGTCGCGGATGGAGTACTGTAGCTTGTTTGAGAAGCTCAGAAGAGGACGTTTACTTTAGAAATGATTCTTTGACTGAAGAATATATTAGCACAGTGTTGAGGGCGGCTGTAGAGGGGGGGTGGTGCTCACAGTATTGTCGATAATTTTTGCAGAGAGTCCGAGGGAGCGGCCTAGATATATTCCTCCAGCGATGGCCCGTGCGTCTAGCGCGGCTGAGAAATTTTTTCCTCTTGACGTTAGCGAGCATGTTTGACATGTTTGACAGAATGTTTGATGGAATGTTTGACAGTTCTCACGTGCTTGCTTGTCTCAGCAGAGTTTACCCGGTCCGAAGCGGCCGCACCAACCATACAGCGAGCGCTCGCGGACTTTCGCAGACAAGTTGCTACCTAGGTAGGTGTGTGGTGTGCAAAGAATTCCTTTCCTACCCAAGGTGGGAGTATCTATAATTTTGTAAGCAATATCCCTGCTTACAGCTCTCACACGACAGCACACAATCACGATGTACCTGGGATTGGGAAATGTCCTCGGCGATTATCCAGCTAAGCACAATTTTTGAAGTCCTACAGAGAGAATGTGACATTGAAGTTAAATATTATCTTTTAATCAAACTTAATTTTTAGAAATAACTTAATAACTACGCCTCGTCTAGTAAAATAAAACCTAGGAATCGATTCCTAGAAGCTTCTTACCCTTATAGCACTAACTTTAAGTTCTCCCTAGCTTATTATAAGTAGGAAGAGTACAGATAGGAAAATCTATACGTTAAACCTTAATAAGGAGGCGTATTAACTTAAAGTAGTATATAACTTAGAAGCTAAATATAAAGTTAGTATACTTTATAGAATAGTAGTCTTATTCTTAGATTTAATTATTACCTATTTTAAAGTAGCAGAGAAATAAGATAAGTAAGATACGCTCTAGAAAGTAGTCTAGTAGCTCTAAGTTAATATTATAGCTTAGTATAAATAGTAGATCGCGTTATTATATAAATTACTTAGTAAAAGTAACTTCTTAATATAAGAGATATAGTTAAATACGATTATAGTATTACAGATATATTAGAAAAGATAGTCTTACGCGTTAGTAGCTAGTAGTAGAATCGCTACTAGAGGAGTAACTATAGTATCTACTACATCTATAGCTAGAGCTTCTTAGATTAATAGTATTACTATAAGAGAGATATAACTTACTATAAATAGTGAAACTATAAAGAAACTGCTCCGGGAGTAGCTTAAGCTAAATAAGTATATTATTAAGTAAGCTAATATCACTATTACTAGCGTATTAGGCAACTGTATTAGCTATAGTAATAATAGCAGATAAGCTACCGCGTTAATACTAGCTACCTTACTATAATAAGTAGAGTCGGTAAGACTAATATATAGTAAAGATATCTTTATATACGCTAAGAATATAGCTATAGTAGAGAGACTAATTTACTAAGGGAAGGAGTAGTAAAGCCTCTTAGGGAAGAGTGTAGAAGTTATAATACTAATATAAAGCGTAGTAGTATTAAGTATCCCGATTAAAAGTATAGATATAATAAACTAAGAACAGATAATTAATACGTTATTCTATAATAACCCTAACTTACTATACTTAGTAAGCGCTATTAAGAGAGTAAAGTAGCTCTCTAAAGTAAAGCTAAGGAAAATATATAATATAATTATATATTAGAATATAAAGGGATTCAGGTCAGATATCACGTGTACTACTAGGCTGAAGATAGCCTAGTTAGGGGCACTTAACTCTTTATATACTATAGCTTCTTCTATAGATAGTTCTGTATAGCTCTATAGATATACTTCCTAGAGGTGAAAAACCTGTAATAAAGTAGAGGAGTTAACTATAGTTAACTCTATTATCTAATATAAATAGTCTTACCTACTATTATCTAGTCTTTCTTACTTAGCCTTATAAATATACTATATAGTAGGCTATACCTTTTAATAGGTTATAAGCCTTAAGTAGATAAATTAGAATAAGTGAATCGATAAAAGTAAAGCGATTAATTCGAACTCCTTAAAGTAAGAAAAGGAACTAGTCTAAGTAAGAAGGACTAAGAGGCTAAGTAAGAGTACTAATAATAATAAGTTAAGAAGCTAAGTAAGAAGTACTCTCGTAACTAACTAAATAACTTATAAGCTCTAGAGGGAGTTTTATAATAACTACACGACTTATAGACTTTAGAGGAAGCTCTATATAAATATAAGAAGTCGAGTAGCACGTAAAGAAAGCTACTTATAATTATAAAATCAAGTATAGTTTCTATATAACCCTAAGTTAATAACACGTTAAAACCTTTTATTAATTATATATATATAAAAACTATCTAGTTAAAAAGTATCGATTTCTATATATTAATAGATATATAAAATAGGAAAAGATAGTAAGTACTTACTAACCTTAAGTAGAGAGTGCTATAAGGACTAGTTTTACTACATGAAAGTTAAGATTAAGAGTAAAAGCGTCTTTTATACTATTAAAGTAACTAGGACTAAATATATATAGATCCTAAGAGAAAGAGAAAGTAAAGCTAAAGCTACTACCTCTAAGATACTATCTAACTTAAGAGTAAACGAGATTACTATAAGATTTAAGCGACTTAGAGGAATATAGAACCTTAATAAAGTAAAGGAATAAGACTAAGATAACGTAAAAGCTCTAGAAATTATACTAGAAGGACTTAGTGAAAATAATATTATACTTATTAATAAGTATAAGACTACTTCTACTATTTAGATATAATTAAAGCTAAAGTATAATAAGACTAGCTTATTAACTACTAACTAATATATAATAAGTATTTAAAACTTCACTTTTAATAAGGACGTTAGTATCGATAGATTATAAAGTAAGCTAAAGAAGTACTAATAGAAGATTATTATAGTAAATAACGTAATAAAGAATATATACCCTAATAAAGCACTCTTCTTAATTCTGACTTTAGCTCTCTAAAAGTAAGGCTAATATACTACTATAGTAGATAGTTTCCTAACTTAATAATCTCTAATAGTTGATAAGAAGGTTAAGATCTTATAAGAAAAGGAATCTTATATATAAGATCTAAAGCTATAAAGTATAAGTAAGGAATAAGTATATACTACTTAGTAATAATATAAGTAAGTATACTATTACTCTAACTACTACTCTTACTAAGATAGTAGTTTATTAGACTATAGTATAACCGGAGTTACTCTAGAATACTACTATTATAGATCTAAAGATTATTTTATCGCTAACTACAAGTTTTAAGCTACTAGTAGAGAATACGCTAGAAACTTCTAGCTAAAGAAGAAGAAGAGAGGATAAGCTAAGCTAATATATAAGCTTAGATTATAAGTTAAAGATAAGACCTCTTATTCCTGATTTAATTAAAAGAATTACCCTAAGCTTATTAAGAAAAGCTCTTTATCTTATTACTCTAAATATAAAAGAAAGAATTATATAGTAGTATATAATTCAGATAATAATATATCTAATAAGTCTAACTACACTAGTAAGGATACTTCTTTTAATAAGGAAGATAATACTACTAAAAAGGTTATACTATCTAAAGAGTTAATCTATAAGAGTATCCCTAAAGACTAGGTAGTTAATATAAGTGTAAGTTTATTTATAACTAACTAACTCTACTTATTTAGGAAACTAAGACTTATATTTAAAGTCTGTATCTAAGTTAGGGGGGAGATATTATACTTATATATATATAGAGTTACACTAGTTAAGGTAATAGATAGAACTTCCTGTTTTCTAGATAATATACTTTATATTCCTAAGCTAGGTATAAATTTAATCTTAGTAAAGAAATTATATAAAGGTGACTATCGTAGAACTTTTAATAATAAGAATATTTAGATTATTAAAAGGAATAAAAGAGTTCTAAAAGTAAAGTAATCTTATAATCTTTATATTATAAAATATATCTTTAAAGTATTTAATAAGAAGGTAATTAGAACTATTAGAAAAGTTAACTATAGTTAACTTAAAACCTTAAGAGCTTTACTAGCTATCGAACTAGTAAAAGATAACTTAATAGATAATAATATAGCTACTATAAAAGACCTTAAGTGATACTTTAAGTACTACTAATAATTTATATACTTTAGACTTAAAAAGATTCAGAACTATATAATATAACTACACTGAAAAAGGTAATTAAGATTCCTAAGAATCTAAATATCTGTAATATATATACTATTATAAAAATAAAGAACTAGATTCTAAAGGCACTAAGTATATAGCTTACTGAAATCCTTAACTTAGTATAATTTAATATCACTAGACTATTTCTAATATTAATTAGAGGGAACTACTACTTTCTACTAATTATTAATATCTATTCTTACTAAAATTAAGTAATTCTACTAAAAACTAAAGGAGATACTTATTAAGTACTCTAAGATTAGAAAGTTAGTATTAAACTATAATCTAGTAAGAAAGTTAAGTAAGTAAGATTAGATAATATACTTAAGTTACTTAAGGCTACTAATAATTAAAGAACTAAAGACAGAGTACTAGTATAATTAATAACTATTATATCCTTATATTAGAATAGACCTATTAAATAATTAATTCAGACTATACAATTTAATATATATATAATACTTAAAGATACTTAACTACTACTAGAATTCTAAGATAAAGCTACTAAAGCTGACTTATATATAAGAAACTAGACTATAACTAGACCTGTAACTAATAGTATAAAGACTTACCTAATAAAAGCCTTTATAAGAGAAATACTATTAATTAACTATATCTATAAGTAAGGGAATAAATACTTTTACTATATAGATAAGAAGATAATACTTATAAATAAGTAGCATGATAAGCTTATTAATCTTAGTAGAATTAGAGTCTTAATAAGATACTCGGAAAATATAATAAAGTACTTCTAAGTATATTCCCCG